CCCAACCGTGTTTCCTGCCTCCTGCGCCCCTTCGTGCCCCTCAGGACTCCTTCCTACCCCCCATCCCCCTTCCTACCCCCCCCTCCCCCCCACACACACACACCGCACGAAGCACTGGTCGTCCATCATCTGCCTCATGGAGTAGGCCAGGCTGATGGTAACCGCCAACGGTAGACCCTCCGGAACCGCCACCACCACGATGGTCACGCAGTACAGGAAAAACTGGGGGGGGGAGGGGAGGGGGGGAGGGGAGGGGGGGAGGGGGGGCCAAGAGGCATACAAACCCACAGGTTAGGGCAACGGGAGGAGCGGGGGGAGAGGGGAAAGTTATAGATACGTGCAACAACGCAGTCGCAATCCCGAATCCCGACGCATGCAGTGAGCGGGGGGAGGGGGGAGGGAAGGAGGTGGGTAAAACTTTGGGAACTGCGGAACTGTATGACGAGGCTTCACAGGGGAGGCAGGTGGGGGGTGAAGGAGATGAGGTGAGGAAGGGAAAGGACTGGATTGGGCAAAGGGGGGAGGTGAGAGAGGGAGGGTGGGAGAGGAGGAGAAACGAGGAGGCGGAGTCAGCAGGAGGGGGGCTACTCCGCTACTGGTGCCTTTGGTATGAGACCCAAGATCGAGGTAATGAACGGAAGGTGCTACACGAGAGGCATTACGTTGCGGTTGACAGCTGCTCACATCCGCTGCATGGGTGCCCCTATTCCTCCATCCATTACCTCAACACTCCGACACACGCAGCCAGCTTTCTTTAAACCCACCTGAACGGGACCGTGCTCGTTGATCTTCTTTATCGGGAAGCCCCGGTGTTTCACCATCCAGATCACCATCAGTACGACAAACAGGATGATGGCGGCAGCCCCGCCGATCTTGCCGATAGCGCCTGTTTACAGCAGTGGAAGGACACGACAGCAGGGGCAGGAGACAGGGGGGCAAACAGGGCTTGGCGCTGCTGGGTGGGCTGGTGGGAAGCACTAGGGACAACAATCACCTGCCCCCACTCACTCCCCCCCCCCCACTCACTCCCCCCCCCCCACTCACTCCCCCCCCCCACTCACTCCCCCCCCCCGCCCCCCACTCACTCCCCCCCGCCCCCCACTCACTCCCCCCCCCCGCCCCCCAATTCCGCACCCGCTAGGTCCCCCAGCTTCTCCGTGAGTGGCGTCTCCCCGCCCCCCGCCGCACCAACCACCGCCATGGTCTTGCCGTACTCCGTATCGCCGCCAACCGCCACAACTAACAACCGCCCGCCGCCCTCCTGAACCTGAGTGCCGCACCTTTTGGGGGGGTGACAAAAGGTGTGTGGGTGTGTGTATTTTTAACAAAAGAAGAACTGGCTTTGCGAGGTTGTAATTTTAAGCGAAAACACAACGGCCCTTGGGACGAAACGGTGACCCATGGGTCACTCGCCTAGCACGTAGTACCTGCCTCCTCTTCACGAACCTCCATAGCTGTTCATAACGGTACGAATCCAATACACAACACCCACCGCATCTTCTCGCTCACCTGACCCATGGGTCAGCCTCGATCGATTTCTTCACCGCGTCGCTCTCCCCCGTCAGACTGGATTCGTCCACTGCCAGCAGCCCCCCTCGGTCCCTCCCCGGCACCGCCAGCAGCCCATCCGCCGTCACTTTGTCCCCGCCGGACACCACCAGAACGTCGCCCACCACCACCTTGGGGAGGGGGAGGGGGAGGAGGAGGGGGAGGGGGAAAATTATATAATAAATGCAAACAACGAGAGTCCCATACCCATAACCCGACTCATGCAGTGAGTGCATGAGGGAGGGGGTGGGAGCGAGGAGGGAGGAGCGGAAGTGAAGGGGGCTTGAAACATGCACCGGACACCCCACCCCGCCCCGCTCCGCCTCCACGCCCTACAGCATCTGTCATGCTTTGGATACCGTACGGACGGGTAACGCTCGCGCACTGCTTTTCTCACACGCATACAGCCCTCGACCCCTGCGGCGTTTCTGTGGGGACTTCCTCGTCCGGCTTAACGCGGCCCGGTACGGTAACTCAGCGCCCCCTACATCCCGCCCCCCAACCCAACCCAACCCAACGCACCTCCGTGTTCTTGATCCGCATCTCCAACCCGTCCCGAATGACGGTCACATCGGTGAGGTCGCGCTGCCGGTTGAGCGCTGCGAACTGGCGGTCCTTGGAGTAGTCATTGAAGGAGGCGACCTGGGGGGGGGGGGCGGGAGTGAGGAGGGGGAGGGAGGGCAGGGGCAGGGGTAGGTAAAAAATATATAAAGTGAAACAACGAGTCCCAATCCCATGGGCAGGGGTAGGGGGGAGAAGAGGTGGTGTGGGTAGCCGGGTATTGACCATTGAGCCGTGTGACAGCAACACACACCCAAGCCGCCTCTCCCCGCCGCAGCGGCGCCCCCTTTGCCATCCCATCCCATCCTCCTCCTCCTCCTCCTCCTCCTCCTCCTCCTCCTCCTCCTCCTCCTCCTCCTCCTCCTCCTCCACATGACCGCTTCCTCGCCCCGCCCACCACACCGCCACTTCCACACCCAACCCGCACCGCATGGTACGGCACACGCCGCTCACGCCCCCACCTTCTCCCATCCCCGTCCCCATCCCCAACCCCTCTCCCCCCAACCCCTCCTCCTTACCAGCACCACCACCGCAATGGCGACCCAGATGGCCACTCCCTCCACCCAGCCGCTCTCCGCTCGCTGCTCGGGTATGGCAGCACCCAGCACCGTAGACACCTGTGCGAGGGGGAGTGGATGGGGGCGGATGGGGGCCGGGGAACAACCAAAACCCCAAGGGTGAGGGCAAGTGGGGGCGCAGCGCAGGGAAAGGGAGAAGGAAAGCGACGGCTGGGTTATCGGAAACCGGTACGTACCACCACCATCACACCCCCTATCACACCGCAACGCGGCAACGAACCATCACCTGCTGCAGCCTCCCACACCCTCTGCTGTCCCTGGCAGCACAAGCCCAAACCTCTCCCTCCTCCTTGCTTGCCCCCCTGCCGCCTGTAACCCTCCTCCCTTCCCACCGTTCCCTGCAGTAACGCTGCTGTCGCTGCAGAGGGCTCATCAAACACCGCATGATCATGCATCCCCGCAGTCGCAACTTCCCCCCTCGAATTCCCTCACCCCTTTTACCCTCCTCCCCCTCGTTTCCTTATTTCCCCGCCCCCCCCCCCCCCGCCTCACCAGCGCCGCCGCTATCAGCAGCAGCAGGATGGGATCCCGCAGGTTGTCCAGTATGAGCGCCCACAGCGACTTGAGAGGCACCTCGGCAAACTGGTTGAATCCAAACACATTGACACGCTCTGCTAGGCTCGGAAACGCCGCCATCCCTCCTCCTCCTCCTCCTGCTGCTGCTGCTGCTGCTGCAGGTGGTCCCGCGAATGATGCAGCGTGTTTCCCATCCCCACTGCCCTCCCCTTCTCCGCCGCTTCCTCCTCCTCCTCCTCCTCCTCCTCCTCCTCCTCCTCCTCCGTGCCCCGCGCCCCCGCACCCCCGACATCCGCCGACACCATCCACAACACCATTATCGTCAGCAAGGACCTCATCATCGACATCAACATCAGCTGATGGGGCATCGGTTGTCGTACAAATGCCGTACTGCAGATCCGTACACAGCGCCGCTGCGAGCCCTGCCACGCCGCCAAACCGCTCCTGCAGGGCCTCCGTGTCTTTGCGATCATTGAGGGCGACTAGGTCGGCTCGGGAGACGCGGAAGGGGGGCACCGGCGGGGTGGCAGGAGGCGGAGAGGACTGCATGGAAGAAGGAGGAGGAGGAGGGCTTGTGGACGCAGTAGCCCCGAGTTGCGCCGCCGCGAAGGGAGAGGTAGGAGAACCAGCAGGAGGAGGAGCAGCATGGGGGGGAGGAGGAGGAGGAGATGGATGTGGGGAGGCAGAAAAAGGCGGCATGGGTGCAAGCGCCGCGGGTGGTGGAAGGAGGGGGCTGGGAGAAGAGCAAGGGGCTGCCGGCTGTCGCTTGGGTTGCTGATGGGGTCCTAGCTAGCTGGATGGTGTGGGTGGACTGGCTGGCTGGCTGGCTGGATGCTTGGCGGCGGCGGCTGACACGACAAGGGCAGCTGCTTGGACTAGAACTGGAGGCGATTGTGGTTGCGGGACGTGGGCAGTAAAATACGCCGCCGATTGCGCTTAACGTGCCAGGAGCGCAACACGTGCTAGCATTGTCCTGTAGCGGCTTGTCAGCAAGAGTATATGCCCAGGAATGTTTCTCTCTTCTTGTCTTGGTAGCATCTCCTACTGTTTGTTTGTCGTATTATACTTGACCAACGTGCGAAAGAAGTGCGTGCGTGCGTGCTGTCAGCACATGGAGCGGCTAACGAAGAGATGGCGGCCTTCCAGCCGCCTTCCGAGCCGCACGCGCCTGACCCACGGGTCCTAGGGATAAAGCACAGTTGCAACTTCTTAACCAAGCAAGCGTTTCCCTGTAGTGAACGTAATAAAAGCTACAAAAGCGTGGCGTAGTTCTAGTTGTGATTGGTGCATGAGGTACCGGAATAAGACAAGAGGCAGGACAAAGCGCGTCATTGGATTCGCTGCTCCAAGGAGGAATGTTACCAAGTCCGACAAATAAAAGTTTGTGCGAACACGGCAAGCCGTGGGTCCGACTTGAGTGGTCTATGTTGGATGGCCCTGGGGCCTGAGAAGCATTTCTGGCTTCTTATGGAAGGTTTTTGGGGACGAGAGGATCCGCTTGCTTGGAAGTGAAATATGACCATTCACCCAACCAACACAAGCACCGCCATGTTTGTACCTTGTCATAAGAAAGCAATGTGTCAAAGCCATATGGCTACATGGACATGCAAGTATGCCAAAACCCTATGAAAGCCATGGTTCGTAACACTGCTTAGATCTGCCAAATTTACAGCTAGACATATTTCCTGATTTGTTACAGTGCGAGAACAAGCGTATTTTGAACCAAGCACGGTTTCGGAGGGCCACTCAAGCTAGTACACGTGGCAGAGACCTTCAAGGCCTTTACTGCGACTCAGAGTAAGGAATGTCACTGGTAGATTTGGATAACATTGAGCGAATATCGCATACTACCCAAGGTTTAGAGAATATGGCGTCAACTTCTGGCACTGCACGCCCACCCCGGCCACCGCTTTACCAACCCCTAAACATTTCCGAATGGACAGTTCTCATTACAGGTAAAAAGGTGACGCCATTCGCCTAGGCTTATCGCAAACTTCATAGAGTCGCCGTCGTAAAGGAACACACTTGCCAACGCGATTACGCCGCGCACGCTGCAGGCGCAAGCTCAGGCTTTGGCGAAGCCATGGCTTGGCGTTTCGCTGAAGCAGGTTGTCGTTTGGTGCTGGTGGCTCGGCGCCTGGATCGATTGGAGAGCCTTCGCGACCAGCTCCAATTCACGTACCACGTGCCCGTTCACACGGTGCAGCTCGACGTGCGGAACATTGCGGAAGTGGACCTGTTGCCGCAGCAGCTGCCGGAGAGCTTTGCAAACGTGCGTAGTTTCGGAGGCGGGGCGCGCAAGCATACATGGCCATTGGACCAAGCGAATACGCCGCTGCATATAACTTCGAGCCTTTGCATGTTATAAGACACCATGCCTGCAAAAATAAAACCAACAGGCGGGCACTCTTCTCTTAGAGGGCACTGGTGCCTGCCATTCGCGACGACATATGGCCACATCGCCAACCTACCCTGCCTCCCCTTTCGCTTTAACACACACATCCCACCGGCCAACCCGGATCCCTCTCTCCATCCAGGTTGACATTCTGGTTAACAACGCTGGTCTGGCGTTGGGAACCGCATCCGTGCAGGACAACAACATTGACGTGAGTTTTGCCACGGGGTCGGGGAGCGATATGTGTGGTTGCATCAGGTTGCATACCACCTAAACCAGGATTCCAGGATGCTAGGGCTGCTAGCGGTGGGTTCTCCTCACTACGAGGAGTCGCTTGCGCGCCTGACAGCGGTGTGCCGTACTTCAAACCTCACTGCCGTACGCCCCACGCCGTACGCCCCTCCTCCCACAGGACGCGATTACCATGATCGAGACCAATGTAACCTCCGTTATCGCCATGACCCGTGCCTTCCTGGCTGGCATGCTGGAGAGGGGCCGGGGACACATCGTCAACATCTCCTCCAATGCCGGACGCGAGGCTTACGCGGGTAGGTGGTGGGGTCAGGGCACGTACGGCACGGCATTGTACGGATTGGGTACACTCCCACCTCCCCCCCTCCTCATCGGCTTGTTTGCCATCCTCATTCAACACATTGGGTATTCTTCTTTTTCCACTCCCACCTCCTCTCACGCCTCCCACCCACCCATCCACCCAATAGTGTCTCCGAATGCGCTCACTGCATGAGTCGGGATTCGGGATTGGGACTGCGTTGTTGCACTTATCTATAAATTTACCCACCCCCGCCCGCTTTCCCCCAACCATCCTCCTCCCCCCCCCAACCATCCTCCCCCCATACACACAGGCGGCAGTGTGTATTGCGCCACCAAGCACGCGCTAACCGCCTTCACCACCGCCGCCCGCCATGACCTTGTGGGAACCCCCATCCGCGTGACCTGCATTAGCCCGGGTGAGCAGCTAGCGGTAGTTGGAAGAGGGGGGGAGGAGGAAAGGAGGGAGGAGAGGGAAGGGGTCGGAAGGGGGGAGCAAGAGAGCATGGGACGGTTCTGGTAAGGGGCCTGTGGGCGGCTTAAGCAAAAACAAAAACCCACAAGGAGGAGATCCGTAATAGGCTAACCGCCCCTCTCCTCTTTGCCCCTCTCCTGTCAAACCCCTAGTCCAACCAGAATGTGCTCCGCCCCACCCCCCCGGCCCGCCCGCTCACCCCACCCCACTCACCCCATCCCCCGAAAACGCACACCTGTTCGCATGCAGGTGCTGCTCAGACGGAGTTCAGTCTGGTGCGTTACAAGGGTGACCAGTCGGCTGCGGATGCGGTGTACCGGGGCTTTGAGCCGCTCTCTGCGGAGGACATTGCGGATAACGTGCTGTACGCGTGCACACGGTGAGGCGGGGGGGGAGGAAGAGGATGGGGGATAAAGTGGAAAGGGGAGGATGGGATTGGGAGTGTTGGAGGGAGTGGAAGGGCAGGGAAGAAGTAGGTAAGGAAGGGTGCAAGACCCAACCACGGATGCCTTTACCAACACCATCACATGCCTCAACTCCTTCCCCACCTTTCCCGGATGCTTCACTCTTCTTCTGTCGTCTGCGTTTTCCCTACTCCCTCGCCCTTTCCCCCCCTCACAGGCCCGAGCACGTGCAGATTGCGGACATGCTTGTTCTGGCCACCAACCAGGCCTCGGCCAAGAACGTTGCACGCGTGCTGGACCCGCAGGAGCGGTGAGGATGTGCGCTGAGAAGCAGCAGGGGAGCAGCAGCACCCAGACAGGCGGAGGAATGGGAGAAGGGGCAGCAGCAGGAGGAGTAGAGGAGGGGTAACAGTTGGGTGTTTAGGGGGAAGGACGGGGGTCGACGGCAAATACAGGAGGCTCACAGACCTGGAGGATGTGGGGAGGAGCAGGAGCGGAGGGGTGGTGAGGAGGGCCTGTATGCTGTGTTTACGGTACCTATTGATGACATGAACACATGATGATTGGGGGTGGGGAAGCAATTGGTTTGTGGATGGAACCATGGATGCGAGGCAGCACGTACGCCTGTCATGTATTGTGGAGCTGACATATCTCGTTAACGTTCTGGAAGGCTGAGAGCGCAATGAAAGTGGCGTCAGGGGCAGGTGCGACGGTGTTTGCAACGTGCTTTGTTATGACCACACTTGCGAAACGCAGGCCTACACTGCTTAAGCTGGTTATTTTAATGTTCGCGTGCCGGGTCAAAAGCACTGATGACAAACGGTGCAGTTGGATTTACTGTGCGGTGAGCTGCGCAGTCGCTGCTGCCGAGCTGTTCTAGGGGCCCTAAGCCCATGGCATGAATGTTCAGGTGCGTCCAGGGTGCGTCAGCATTTAAGTAACGTTGTATGTGAAAGCGCTGTTGTATGTGAAAGGAGGGAAAGCGACATGGCTGGGAGGGCACTGTGCTGGACGGGAGGTTTCCGCAGGTGCAAATGAAAGCGTTTGTGCAACCACCCGTGTAGGAGAGAGGCGTGTATCATTTCAGTCGATTGTTACCAGGTTGCCAGAGGGTTACAGGGTTGACGTCAACCAAAACATGTGAGGGGTCCAACCAGGAATTTATGACTCTTTGTGGTTGGCAATCTGGATGGCAGACACAATCCCAAGCGCCTGCAGGGCAGCTACTGTAGCTGACGGCTGCCCCACACATGCCACGCCGGTGCCGCCAGAAACGCTGGTGCCTTCTTTCCACAGGAATCCTTGTTCCGGCTGCTGCCGCTGCTGCTGCTGCTGTTGCTGCTGCTCTGCGCACGGCATGCATCTTACAGTGCGAATCACGCGGTCGCATAACCGCCGACTGCCACCCCTGCTACCGTACCCGCTGTGCTTGCTGCTGCTGCCGCTCGGTTTGCCCTCCTTGTAACACTGTAACCTCTCACTTGCTGTTGCTACTGCTACTGTTGCCGTTGACCTGCTACAACTACTGCAGCTGCTGCTACTGTCCCTGTTGACTTGCTGCTGCCGCTGCCCCCCCAGCAGCAGCTCCTGCAGTCACCTCCCGGGGTCTTAATGGCCGCGTGCGGGGCGGTCTGAACTGGTGTCTGAACAGCTCGCATTCCGCTAACAGCTCCCGACCTAGCAGCGCAGCCAGCTGGGCCGCCGCATCCGCCTCCTGGTCCCCTCCTTGCTGCTCTCCCTGTAGCGGTTGCTGCTGCTCCTTCTCCTGGTGTTGCTGCTGTTGCTGCTCCCCCTCCTGCTGCTGCCCCCCCTGCCGCTGTTGTCTTAGCAGCTCCAGCCCGACTAGGGCGTCGTACAGCTGCTCGTTCTTCACGATCAAGGACGCCTGCGGGTAGGCCGCGTGCTGGGCGGTGATCATGGAGCAGATCAGCGCCAGGGGGGCTTTGCCTGGCAGGAGGGAGGGAGGCGGAGGAGGAGGAGGGAGGGAGGGTTTAGGAGGAGGAAGCGGAGGCTGGAGGACACAAGGAGGGAGTGGGGTGAGTAGGATGGGATGGGATGGGTGGCAGCACCACCGCATCATGTATAGGCCAGAGACAGGTGTCGTGCAGCATACCGGGACGGGGCTTGGAGCATTGCTGGTAAGCTAACCCGGAAAGCAGTCTATGCAGCGGAATAGAACTGTCCCTCCGGCAAAGAGAGTGTGCATAGCCGCTGACCTGATATGTCAATGCAGATGCGGTTGTAGGAGCCGCAGGGCGAGAGGGCGCGGGTGGCTGCGGTGTCAAGGCCGTCCAGTTGGTGCAGGTGGGGTGCCAGGTGGGGGTGGCGGCCGCGTGCAATGGCTACTACCTCGGACGCGGTGTCAATGCCGGCGACAAAGGTGGCGCGATTGCTGATGATGTTGGTGGTGAGGCCTTTCGGTTGGGGGTGAGGAAGGAACAGATAGGGTGTTAGAGAGAAGGCGAGAAAGTAAAGGGTAAACCTGTCCGCAGATGGGCAGGTGAGCGGGTGGCATGTACCTTCGTGGCAACCAATCTCCAGACAAACGTCTGGGCGGTCTATGTTGTGGACCATCGCATCCCGGTAGGCGTGGGTGTGCCGTGCGACAAGGACGCGCTTGGACGTCTGCTTAGTTCAGCAGGTGAAAGGAGATGGGAGTTGAGCATGACAGTTGGTGCGCCGACATAACAGTCGTGAGGGAGGTAAGCAGCTTAACTGGATGCATGAGTCGCATCAACTTGGGCCTACACCAGTAGGTGGTGTTGTCTTCATGATATCGTATGTGATAGCGTCCATGTTGAGGGTGTCCAGGCTGGTCGACTATTGCTTCAATTACTGTCGCGCGTCCATGGCCTTTAATGTCAACGATATCGCCTATTTTAAAGCGAACCGGGGCGCTGTCAAAGTCTTCATGGCTGTAACATGCCATTTCGGCAATTACTTGCGGCTTAATGCCTAGTAAAAGGTTAGGCGGTTTCAGGGAAACGAAGACGATGCAAATCTTAGGTAAGGGTAATGTGTTTGATTGCGCCTTCCATGATGTCGGGGACGTGTGGATCCAATGTACGGTACGACGACAGGACAGCCAAAATTGAGCTTCAATTCTTCACGGCATCACCCGAGAGCTGCTCAAGGGCATGCTCTTACAACATCGAATGCTCAGCGGGGCCTCCACTGCGACATAACTTTCACAATGTCTTCCAACGGTTGCTAACCCGTCGTTCCATCAACATGTATGAACCCGAGGCACCCGACATGCGCACACCTCCCTTAAGTCTGTTGCATTTTGGCTCCTCTGCCCCTTCCAAACCCTAAGAATCCCACTCCCTGGAGCCACACCCAACCACTCCCAAAACGGTTACCGCAGGCCGCCGCCCACCAACACCACCCGCACCCTTCATCCACACACACTCACTCATCTTCCGGCAATTACAGTACATTCCGACTAGCTCCCAGTATTCTTAACACACCGCCTCACTCCAGCAGCCGTACCAGCAGGTTATGAGCCGCCACCGTCTGCTGCGGTACCCAGTGCGCCAGCACGTGGAACAGGGAGGACATGGGCGCCAGGGAGGGGCGCAGCAGGTGCCGTACGCGGCTCAGGCTCCCTGCGCCGTACGGGATGCCGTACGAGGGTTAGGAGAGGAGCAGGCAGGTGGGGGTGGGGCGTGAGGGGTGAGTGTCACAAGCCGCGTTAGGCCGACCCGGCTTGCAATGTTACAGGGCTGAACACACCACAGATAGGGGGCCTTACACCCCCAAGCCAAGAGCCCATGTGGCACCCTACAAGTACATGCACACCCCGACCTACCCGCCGTATCCCAGCTTCCAAGGGTTCCAACCCTAGAACTCTCGCAGCCCCCCTGTGTCATTACGGCAATGATACACCCGTAGTGATTGGACAAACACTGAGACAACCATCCCGCACACACCACACACAGAGACCCCCTCCGCACACATACCTGCTTGGGTGCACCCAGCGGCGCTGCTGCTGCCGACAGCGGGTTGCGCCACCACTCCGATCACATGCCGCAGCCGCACCCCCACTACTGAGAAACGCCGTACGCCGGCGGCTCCGGAACCCATCTGGTTTGGTGGTTGGTGGTGATTGGTTGGTACCGGCAGTAGTTGGGGGCCCCGGGCAGTATTTCTAGTACAATCCATGCTTCATGACCGGAGGAATGCGAGGTATCGTCATGGAAACGTGGCATTCAACGCAATCGTGTTTGCAAGGGCGTAAATCTACGCTAAAGCGCGAATCACCTCAACACATCACCCAACACATACAAAACACAACAACCCTTGCCACCTCACCTGCAGCTCGAGCTCTAACTCCACATCCTCCAACTCCGGAAACGTCAGCACGCCCTCCTCATCCAACTCGGCACCCAGTTCCGCGGCAGAGCGCTCGCGTGTAGCAGCGCTGCCACCACCTCCGCTCTTGCGCCAGTCGCTGGGGTTAGCCGCGGGCCGATGCAACACCTCCTCTGGGGGCCGCACCTGCAACATCACCAGCACCAGTAGCAGCACCCCCGTGCGTCACGTGTGGTCAGGTATCGGTTGCGGATGCCAACACCCCTAACAAGTACCGGCGTGCCGCAGCATCAGTCATGAAGCTGACCCGATTTCAAGGATGGAGTCCACCGCGAGAGTCAGAAAGACAGGGAACAGCCCAACGCAACAGGACACACACCGCGCACAACGAGCCGCACCGGCTCACCTGAGTCACGGCGGCTGCAATGGCCGCCGCCTCCCACTCCACGTCCTCCACCCAGGGCCACCGCTGCTGGTCCTCCTCCGACGGCAGCACAAGGTGCTGCAGCTGACCCACGGGTCCAACCCCCCCCGGCGCCTGCTGCTCACTGCTGGACCCCTGCCTCGACCCCCTGCCCCCGCTCGACTTGCGACTGCTCCTCTCCCCTCCGCCGCCCTCATCCTTGCTCCCCTTCCCTCCCAACAGTCCCACCAAACTCCTCATCAACCCCGACTTCCTCTTCTCCCCCGCACCTGCCATACCCCCACCCCCGCTTCCACCTCCACTACTCCTCCCGCCCCCCGCCGCCCCACCCGCCTCCCAATACTCCCCCTCCCCGCCCGCCGCCCCTCCCAACCCCGCCCCTCCCGTCCGCCCCACATGCGCTCCCATGAACGAATCCACATGCGCAAAAAACAGCCAACAGGGCTGCAACCCACCTGCTGCCAGTGCCCCTAGCGCCGCCTGTGCCAGACGACACAGCAGCTTGAGCGCAGGCAGGGTTAGCAGCTCCGGGGGACCGCCCGTGGGGGCAGCTCGGAAGACCGAGGGAGGCCGCGACAGGCCGCCGCTAGCGCTGCCAGGGCCTCCGGGAGCGACAGCAGAAGCACCGGTGATGGATGCAGCGGAGGAGGAGGCGGTGCGGCCTGATGCTGGTGTTGCTGTTGGTGAGGTTATGGAGGAGGAGGAGGATAGCGGGGGTGGCAGGGTGGGAGCGGTGCGGGCGAGGGCGAGGAGCTGTGGGCGGTTGGCTGTGACGAAGGCGTCGCGTAGGGCCTATGTGGGGGGATGCGTAGACGAGGGGGGAATGAGAGGAAGGGCGGGTGGCGCGTGTGGGGGATCAAAGACCATACCGAACCATAGGAAACCACAGGTGGGGGCAAGACAATGGGGAGTTTGGCAGCTGCGCGAGGTGTGACATGCTGTCGTACTGCGGTAGGAGTGAGATCTGGTGATGGTGGGTTGGTGAGAGGTCGGGTGTGAACGAACGAACCGGCACACAAGACACAACCCAACAATACAGGTCCCTCAACTCGTCGTCGTCGATTCACACGCCCGATAGCGACAAGAGCATACCGGTAACAATCCTATGTTCGCCCGTGCGCGCACCCGTTTGTCGTCCATGCCCGTCCTTTGCCCCAGCCCGGCACACGGTTACTTGCATTCTTCCTCCTTTGCCCCAGCTAGAGTACCCAGCTCCCCGCGGAAGCCATACCTTGGCCAGGAAGGCCGCTGCGTTGGCATCCCATGCAGCATCCACGCAAACCGCCACCAGGAGCTGTGTGTCCGCATCCTCTGCCAGCTGCCACTGCTGGCGACCCACGTGCCACTGTCGTACGGCTAGCAGCGGGCGGGCAGGCGCGGACAGACCCTTGGGTCGGCCTAGCGCAGCTGTGGGAGAGAAGGATGCGGTGGATGCGGAGGATTGGAGGGAAGGAAGGTGGTTGGGGATGGGAGCTGCACGTGTAATGGTTATGGCTTCCTGGCGTCCTAGCTACCGATAAGCTGCAGCTTCCAGAACCGAAGAGCCGGGGTTAGCGGCTGACTGCAAGAGGAGCACTGCGGCGCCCAAGCTGCTTTAAGCGAGAGCTGCAGCAGCAGCAGCGGCCCAAAGCATCCTCTACATGCCCTCAGCTGGGGAACCCGCGCCCGCATATTGGTCCCCTGTCTGCTGACGGGGAACACGCCTCTCACCGTTCTGAGCGGACATGCGGCGCATGCCTGCTCCCAGAATGGTCGTGGAGCCGCTGTCAGCTGCACCGCCCCCTCCGCTGGAGCGCAGCGCGGCAACTGACGCGGCTGCTCCTGCTGCTGCCGGCGCACCCGATGGGTCTGCGCCGCCACCGCCACTGCCGCCAGCGCTGCCGCCGGGCTCATGGGTGGCCTGCAGCAGCTGCAGGGTACAGTACCGGTATGCATGAGGGGATGCGTGATGGGTACAAAGGACGGTTAGCAAAGGTGCTGGAAGATGGTGAGGAGGAAGGCACATGCAGGGACCCGATGGCGTGGGGCTTTGGGGTCCACAGAGGCCTTATACGGTGTCCAGCTTTAGGGGAGTGGTATAGCTCTGTAAGAGCCGCTCATTCCCACAGGCGGTAACCCGTAACCTGGCGTCTAATCCCAGCCACGCCCCCAGCGGATGCCCCGCAGACAACGCACTAACTGGTTCATGTTGAACAGCCGGGAAGCCGTGGCCGCGCCCTCATCCGCGCTGCCGCCATCCCGTCGCCCGAAATCCTGGTGATGAAAGGGGGGTTCGTCCGTCAGAACGGTTCAAGGGGCCGGGTACAAGCACGGCTGAGTCAGCTGGAGCGTCCTGGGAGGACCTACGTGATACGTTAAGCAAGCTCCAGTATTGGCTGAAAACGCAAGGAAGCGCATAAAATTGGATATTTATGGTGGTGTAACGCTAGGCACGGTGATACTCAGGCAGGTTTGGCTTATGTCACAGGGCTGTCAAGGCCTGCAAGTCAACTTGGTTGGATCTGTCGGACGTTTGAGCTTTGCAATTAGCTACACTCAATATCACATTCCATAACTACATGCTAAGCTCCCAACCATGCGGGACTGGCCCGAAAACCGTTTGGACGGGATGGGTACGGCGCGTGCGGTGGTCTGGCTGTTGTTCGCTTGCAAGTCCCAGTCCGTAATTGTCGAGGGAGTACACCTTCAACTTCTGTATGGATAGACCGTAATCCTGCCAATAAAATTTGTCATTTTGTCACGTTTCGTTTCCCCTCAAACTGCCATCTTAACTTCAGTGCTGGAGTCTAAGCACATCCAATAGTTACAACTAGGCAGAATGTCATTAGAATTTGTTTTATGGTTATTTGTCTTTTTGTTGCAAGCGGCGCTGCTTGGGAGGAACATGTATGCGGTGAGGCTTTCGTAGCGTCTGATTTCTTAGCCTAGTATATGTGGGTGATCTATTTATAGCCCGGTTGTCAATGTGCGTGCCTAGCTTGTCGTTGTGTGACGCGATCGGACTTCCCTGGTCGCAGCTTGTGTCGCTATCCGACTTGGAGAACGATTTTATCAACCCTTATGACCTAACCTTGCGTCTTAATCGCTTTGTGGTAAGTGGTTGGGCGATTGCGGGTTATGACAGCAGCCATGGTAGGGCTGCTGTTCACACACCATCAACTGGGGCGTGCCTATCATCCCATTCCAGTGTGCACGAACCATGTCAGAATGCAACCTAAGCTCTTCATCTGCAACACCCCGGCCCATGCTCCCCTCCAGCTCCATTTGCAACCCATCCACAGCAACACCTCACAACCTACGCCCCTGGCTCCCCACACCACTTCCCTCCTCGCTGCAACCCCACCCCCATCCCTCAATCCCCCATCCTCGCACGCCCAAACCCGCACGCCCGCTCCCCCCCCCCGCCCTCACCCACCCACCACTGCCCCCAGGCGCTCGAGTACGGCGCCCAGGTGCTCCTCACCGCCGCGCTGCTGCTGTCCGGCAAGTGGTTCATCGGCTGCCTGCAGCTGGTCATGCTGGGGTTCCTGCTGCACGGATGGTCCTCGAGGCAGCACGTGGTGGATGCAACGGACGTGTTCCGGCAGCTGCCCGCGCAAAAGAAGGTACGGGAGGTGGGAGGAGGTAGAAGTGCTGCGCAGGGTGGCGGCGGTGGCGGTGGCGGTGGCGGTGGCGGTGGCGGTGGGGGTTAGGGTAGTAGGCTACAAAGCCCCAGCAGAAAGGCAGCAGGAATGCGCGGAGCAGACACGCGTGGCGCATGTAATGGGGCTGGGTGGCAGGATAGGGGCTGCTGCAGTTGCTGCTGGTGGATGGTGGAGGTGGTAAAGCTGGGCGGCTGACCGTGGGTCCGTGGTATGCCGTATTTCTTCTTTAGGTTCGCAAAAGGGAGGCAACAGGGGCGGGGCTTGGGTGGAGGAAGGGTGAGAGTGCTTGACCGGGATGCTGCTCTCAAAGGCACACGAGCAAGCATTGGGAGTTACGGAGTGAGTCGCAGTAACAGCGGCTGCTTAAGGCCAACACCACAAGCACTGTGTGTAGGCCACGAAAGCGCGCGCAAGGCACCCGCCGGGGGAGCCTGTCGGGTCGCTACGGGAAAAATAGAGCTGCGCCTCGAAAACAGAGACACATCTCGATTGCATTCATGTGCCGCTGCTGTCACATCCTCCCGCCCCTCGCTGCCCAACTCCAACCCCCAACCCTTGTTACCCCATGCATGTTAACCCCCTTCACCCTCGCAGCGCCGGCTCATCATGTTCGGCGGCTTCCTGATCTTCTTCATCCTCATCACCTACCGGTGGGTGCCGTACGCGAGCAAAGAAAGTCGGTCGTACATGCGTGCGACCGATTGTGTAATTGTTTAAAGCAATTTTGAAATTTCCTGGCGGTGTGCATGGCTGACTGAGCGCTGTGCGCGTGAATGCATGCGGTGGGGTGCTCAGCCGCGTCTTTTGAGTGCACAGTGGTCTGCTCAACCCTTCCCCTGGGTCCTCACTGCTGTTCCGCAACACACACACCACTCTCAGCTCGCCGGTGCGCATGCTGCATACCGCGTTGCATTGCACTGCATCGACTGGCCTGCTGTTATACCCGAGACTGCCGTTAGACCCCTCCGTTTTGGACCACCCTCATCGTCCTCCTTCCTTCGCCCCACCTGCTCCTCCCGACGTCTCCTCAGGTTAATCGAGTCGGTCATCCACGGGCTCCTCACTGATGAGGGGCGGGCGCACGCCAAGGTAAGGAGTTGGGGTTAACAAAAGGGGCTGGGGGGGGGGGGGGAAGCCGCCCTGGCTTGCGGAAGGGGGCCGCGTTTACCATTGCTGATATGTGTGTGGAAAGAAAAGTAGCCGCGCGTGATGAAGACGCGTGTGTGTCCCCTGCGTACCGTGCACGTCCTACGCCATTACCGTATATGCTGACACCGGTGCGCTGCGCAGTTCCTGCATTGCTTCCGCCGCCGTTGCACTGTGGGCCCCATCCTAGCAGCAGCTTCCTGGTTCTGCGCATCCCCTGTGGCATGCATGCCGGTACCTTCAGCCATGCCTACGTCACGCTCGTCGCCCTTTGTCAGCGTGCCGGGGAGGGCTTGTCGCCCCTTCCTCAACGCCGTTTTGCCTTGTATAACGAGTTAACGACCCCTCTCGTTCCCTGTGGCCTGAAACGCGCAGAAACTGTTTCAGGATGCGGCGGCTACCCTGCATGGGTACTAAGGAAAAGGAGGGGGAGGAAGAAGTAGAAGAGGAAGAAGACTTTGCTTGCTTCATCACTAGCCGTGGGATCTCGACCGGATTACGGGTTTCGCCCTTGCATGCCGGAAGTTTGCTGAACTTCTAGGAAAGGCCAACAAGGACCCAGCGGGTCAACCAATTGGCCTTTCTGCAAGGCGCACGCACGCATGTATGGGAGGGTCCGTGTGTCATTCGAAAACCGAACACAAGCGAGGGGCAAGCTCTTTAGCTTGGTGGGTGAACCTTCATGGCCTGGCTCCTGGGCATGTGCTTGGGATTGCTTGACAGGATAGCACGTTCTGCGAGGCTATAGCTAGGATGCGCGGCTGGGGAATATGGGTAGTGGATGAGCTAGGGTGGGTAGAGCAGGGGGCGCTCTTGGGCTGCTGCTGGTGCGGCCTTGTTCTTTTGGCGGACATTGATGCTTCCAACCTGCTGCTGCATTCGGAAGGGCCAAGCTTGCACGTGCGGTGTTGTCATGTGTGCAGTGGAGCTCAATAAGCAGCCATGGTTTTCAGTTGGGCAGCAAAGGGTAGCGCCGGTCCCATTCTGGCGCGGCTGTGATGACGGGGCATGCGGCCCAGTGGACAACCATGGCACCGGTCGGCACTGACCCATGGGTCGCATGATGAGCCAGGTTGGGTTGTTACGAGGGAATAGGTTTTTGCAGGATAGGCCAATCGTTAATGCCACGAGAGGCAATGCCGGGGCCGGAACGAAAGCACAAGGGCACGTGACATGGAGATTAGTACTACGAAAAGGTCGGGAAGGGATCTTGTAGGCCAAAGGCTTCATTCCTGCTGTTGTGGTTCCACGCTGGCTCGACGTCCGTGTAACGTAGCAGCTGTGCTGCAGGGGCCACGCTGTCGCTCGGCCAAGCTGACACCTGGGTTTGAATACCGGTACCCTGACAGTTGCTGCCCATGCGGCGCTCAGTTCCTCCCACTGCTACAGCACGAGACGTGCACCTACCACCGTTTCACACCGTACCCCGTCGCAAATGTTAGCTTGCAGGGAAAGGTGTGTCGGTGAATGCGGTGGTCAGAGGAGGAAAGCCAGGGCTCCCGCACAGCATGTTTCGCTACCGTCTGTTGAGTGGTGACTGGATGCATGTTGCCGCGTTACGTTCGATGTTGTCTGGCGTCACGTTCAGCCCGTTTCGAGGTCCGTTGAAGGTATACCTGTGCCGGTGTGTCCGGCAACTAACCCATTGGATTCCGGATCTCACGTCATCGCCCCTCTCGATGATATCAGCGCTGTGTCGGTCGGCGGTAACCGTGCCACCTTACCGTTACCGTTACGGCACGGTTCACAGCGAACACCGAATCGCTTCGGCAAAACCTTTATTGCTCCCTGCAGACCCCCTATCCTGCCATACTTAAAAGGATAAACTCCTAGAACTCCCACAGGTTGCATATTACCGCATCAGCAGGAATGGCCAGCCTTTCGTCTTGCTGCTTGGTGCGTAGCGGCGCTCGGATCGCCCCACGGGTCACCAGCTGCTCTGCAGCCTTCCCCGACTCAAGGCAGGCGACATCCTGCGGGAAGCAGCTAGGGATGCCGCAGCCCGCAAAGCTGCCGCAGTTCGCACAGGTGCCGCAGCCCGTAAAGCGGCCGCAGCCCGTAATGCTACATGCGGAAAAGGAGGATACACCGGTTCAGGGCGAAAAGCCGGAGCGCCGAGATTTCTCCGAAAGCGCGCAGTTGGAGGCCGCAAAGGTGTGTCATTGTAACAACGTGTGGGCTTCTTGCTGCTGATGTGTCTTTTAGGGCTTCAGGTATTGTCCAACAATCTACAACAAACAAGCAGCAAAACAAAACAGCAACAAGCCAACCTGTTTGTTGTGTTACGTTACACTACCGTCACTACCTAAGTAAGCCCTAGCTTACAACTAACAACAGGAACGTTTGCCATGCCCTCCGTTCTAGCGTCAGGATGCTAAGCTGGCTGCTCTCCAAAAGCAACTGCAGGATCAGCGGCGGGAGGTGCGGCACAGCTGGATCGCGTCGTCGCTGTGCGTCGGAGGCATGTTCGCCAGCCTCCTTATTGCAATAACGGTGAGCCTCCATCCGCCCTTCGATCGCGCACCATGCATGGTTTCGGGGCCTTTGCTGGACTGCAAAAGCCTGCTGCTGGATGGATGAAGCGTTGACCCTTACAGCGATTTCGTTCCCAGGAAGGGAACACGCACGGATCGTACCTGATGTACGGCACCGGTGTACGACACTGCAAGCTATAACAGCAGCCCTCCATCCCTTCCCCCGGTGTTGCTGCTGCTTTGCATGTTCTGCTGTTCTGGTGCTGATGACCGCTACACGGGCAGCTGGCTTCCAACAACAAGAACTCCAGCCATGCGACCAACATTGTAAGTTCTCCTGGGGAGCGGTCTTTGGTGCTGCACATACTATACGCACGGGCCCGCCTACCTTGCATGCATGCGCTCCTTTTCGCCACCCTCAACATAACGAGCAACCAGCAATCGTCGTTACCGGTATACGCATTGGTTTCATGCCCAGCTTTCACTCCTACCATGCCTTCCTCCTTACAACCTACCGAAGACAATGTCTTGCGAACGTGCTTGTGGTCTTACATCCTTACAAACTCTCCGCCGCCCCCTGCCTGCCCATGCTACACCCGGGCACTCGCCTGCTGCTGCAGACGCCAGCCCAGACAACAACAACAACAACAACAGCAGCACCCGTCGTCAAGGACAAGACCCCGCGGCCCTCAGCCCTCGCTCGCAAGGCCTCCAAACCGAAACCCTCCGCCGACGTGTTCCCCGTCCCGCTGCCCAAGGGCTTCACAGTGCATGCCTGCAAGATGCGAAAGGACGCGCAGGCGCATGCCATCATCTACACACACGCAATCGCCAAGCACTACGTCAACAGGCCGGAAGCCTGCATGCAGCTCATCAGCAACGAGTTCGGTCGCGTGTACGGCGGACACTGGGTGTGTCTGGTGGGTGAGCGCGGGGCGCTGAGCACCGCGGCTTGGCTGTCGGCCAAGACGTTCATCCAGTTTTCCGCCGGCACCAATGAGTTCGTCCTGTATCAGCATAACGTACACCATGAGTTCTAGTTTCGGCAGGGGCGGCGGGGGCGGCGGGGGCGGCGGGGTTTGCTTCGCGCTGCTGGCGCCATCAGGGCTCTGTCGTGTGTGTTCGCCGACCCATGGGTCATGGTTGGCAGTTGTTCGCGGTTTAGGGAATTTTTCCGGGTTGCGGTTGCGGTTGCTTACGAAGGCTGCATAGGTCATTCAAAGATACAATACGCGTTCGGCTTATGCGCTCTGCTGTGACAATAAAGTGGACGCGCCTGCCACATACAGCCAAGGGCGTTAGGACGGAGGCGGTAAAGGGATGTGCTGTTGTACAACCAACGAGGAGGTAGAGGGAGGTTGACGTGCCTGCAGTGGATGGGTGAGGAGTTGTTAGAAGGCACGGGACGGCGGGTGTTCGCCCTGTATGTGTTTTGCTGTACATGGTCATGCCATTTTAACCAATCTATTCCGCTTTCAGACACTCTTGTCTTTTTGAGATAGATCAACAGCTGTACAACTTGCATGCTTAAGTGCGATTGGCGCAGTGCCGTGGCATGCATGCAGGGCTTGGGTCAGGGAGTGAGGCAGCATCCTGCCGGCACGCTACTGTAAGCACGCTACTGTAAGCAGCTAAGCACGCTACTGTAAGGGCTATAGCTACTTCTTGAGGAAGATGAAGTGGTAGAGAAGCAAATAACCCAAATAGAAAAGGCCAAGTGCCAGCCTGCCGTCCCAAGTTGTCTTCCCCTCACCCTGCGGGGCCTGTCGCGTCAAAAGGCGCGCAGCCGTATATAAACGACCACTGGTGTAAATAAACGCCTTGATAACGCAGGCCGTCAGTGTCTTTCAATCGCCTCAGTGGTCTCCGTATGATGACGCAGCCACCGATTTTACCCCGGGCTCGTAGTACTGAAATAATCCAATGGGAGTTAAAGAGTCGAAAGTGACTGGATGGCAGGAGTTAGTGACTAATGGACTAGGTACCTGCAAGCAACCTGCAAGTAACTTAAGGGTGTTAGGGTTAGCAGCTGGCCAACCTACTGAGGTAGCGGGTGCAACAGCACTTAGGTAGAATCGTAGCTGTCAGTCGTGAGGTGATCGCGGTCCTCCGGCAAGAGAAGGCTCAAGGTAACACACGCGATGGTTACACAACTAGTAGGCCCGAGTTGGGCTAGCAATAGCCAGAGTCTAGGCCAACGAGGGCCGATAACAGGTCCAATGCGTCGCGAGACAGCGTCGCAAATAAACGTACCGTTTATTAGTCCAGAATACAGCTCCAAGTAAGGAGTAATAGCAGCGCCACAAATCGGCGGTAGAAGTCGTGAATGGTCCAAGCCAGGTCAGTATCTTAACTGCCGCTCGTCCAAATATGTCAGAAACCACGTCGCTGGTCAAGGCGACAAACTAAGGGATAACAGGAAATCCGTAGGTATCACCTACACATATCAGTCGGTAACAGGGCTTGTAGCCAGAAACAACGGAAGTCTCGCGTCCGGTCGCGGAACTATACCCAGGATAGGCGTCTGCAAGTATTAGTTATACTATCCAAGCAAACATTCCTCCTTTTATATTAATTCTAACACGACCTCAACGTACAGGCCAAAGCAACTAGTAGGAAACAACCTCCAGCTTCTCCGCCCGACAAAAGGATCCTTCTAGGTCACGGCCCCCGCGCAGCTAGGCCTCAAGGAGCACGCTTAGACAGACCAACAGGAGCACACTAGAACAAACATAGCGAAGGCAAGGGTAACTAGCCAACGCAATGAGGGAAACTAGACGAAGCGACGGGCGACGATTAGGAGCCCGTCCTTATTACTAATGAATAACCAAAACGCACAAACACAGACAACTTATTCTCCACTTAATCAACGCAGCGCAGCATGCTGAATCCAGCCGCCATAATCCATGATCCGCCTCCTCACTCCTGGCCGAAGGTCCTGGCCGCGCCCAGCTGTAGCAACGGGAAAGGAACACACAAGGCACCAAACAACACGTTAAAACACGCATAGCAACCAGAGACAGGGTTTAGACAGCACCACCTAGTCGCAGCAAAACAAAGCACGTCGAAAAATTTTGGCTGTAGTGTATTGTTGTGACAGGGGTTAGGGCGAAGATTCGGGGATCCCTCATCTCCCAAACACTGTGTAGTGCTACCTGTATAATAGACCAGTCGCCTAGCAATGGAGCCGTGCATTGAGCTGGGTGGGCTTACAGTTCGGAAAAGGGATCCAATTTTTTTCCAATGCGCATTCGAATTTACATGTGCCGTACATTTGTGTCAACAACATAACCTTCCCCGCCCGGCCGTCAGGGCCATGGATCCAGGGCCATGCTGGGCTTATACGACAAGGATCGCTACAATTGCAAGCGCCCTGAAATTTAGGATGGTTTAGACTGGTTTAGATGTTCTTTTTTACGCTGCAGTTAAGGCTATCGCACAGCTGCAATGGCTGATCTTTGCGCTAACGTGGATGCTGCACAGCTAAAGAGTTTTCGCACGCCATTTTAGCGAAGCTTTAACCTGCGAATGCCCGGAAAGTTGTCATGAAAGCTCTCACAGCAACGCAGTGATGCTAAACAGTTTTTTCTTGCACAACCGAGGAGGTGTAACGAGCGATAAAGGAAACACGGAAGGCGGGCGTTTTGCTGTTTGCACTACCTTTGTCGTATAAGCCCAGCATGGCCCTGGATCCATGGCCCTGACGGCCGGGCGGGTAACCTCCTTTGCCAAAGAGGGCTTTCCATCCTGCTAAGACAAAAGCACAAAAAATATTTTGCTGTAAGTCAGTGAAGAAATGCGTGGCCTTGTATCCTGCTACGGTTCCCAGCTAGGCCTGCGGGTCAGCAGCAGCCGCCAAGCAGCCTTCCTTTGCCAAAGCGATGTCATCGTCTGCAAGAGGCAGCTGCTGCGGCAACCACCCTTCATTCGCGCCCCAACGAGCCGCGTTACGGCGCTGGGCGACAGCAGCAGGCCGGAGCGCTGTTCCGATACTTCCGAAAGCCGCCAGGAAGCCGCCGGCCGGGCCGCAAAGGTGATTAGCTAGAAACAACAACTTGGCAGTACACCGTTGATTGACAGCTTAACCTTTGCATTGTGTTACGTAAGAGCTCATTTGTAAAGAGTGTGTCATCTATCGCCTTGTAGGCTGCTGACGTCGAGGCTCAGCTGCTGCGGCAACAGGACCGGCTGCTGTCGATGATTCAAGAGCTGAAGGAGCGTTTGCGGGAAGACCATCAACAGCTTCGAGAGCACGGGCAGCAAGTGTGGGAGCAGCAGCGGCAAATCAAGGAACACCAGGAGCAGCTGGAGGGAAACAAGCAGCTGGATAAATACGCCAGGATTTTAGCGGCCCTGTTTTCGCTTACCTGCGTCATCTTTTGCGGTGCGCTGTTCAACAGGGTAAGTATGTAAGCTTGCTGCTTAGCGGCTTAATTGGCTGGATGGGTCCGAGCTGTTGCAGCGAGCACAATATCCAGGTTCTGTAGGGAGCTGTTGGGCATGTATAACCATAATAACCTGCGTTCCCTACCTCACAACTGCCTTTGGCTGTTGCTTCATTGCGCCAGGTCGATCTCATCGCGTCCTCCTTGGGCGTCGACAACAACGGTCCGGTAAGCTCCGCTGCATGTTTGGAGTGGCTTTGAAGTGGCTTTCAGCATTATTATGCGTGATAGCACGCATGGCATCGCGCAATGTATGCTCGCGCTCTGTGTATGTTGGCGTTTTGCCGGATTCCTTGCTTGTGTAAAGCATGCAAGGGCAGAACTCCCATCTACTATTGTGCCATGGACGTACGGCCTCCTTTGCATCGGTACTCTCCCCCATAACATCTTCTCACCTCTTCCCTACCTCTTTCCCTATCTACCTACCGTTCACCCCGCCGACAGCAGCGCATCGCGGTTGTCAAGGACGACGCAGTCGCACCCGCAGCCGCCAAGCCCGCTGCTGCTCCTGCTGCCCCGGCGGTTCGCGATCAGGAGCGATCCGCCGTGGCGCCTGCTGCTGCCGCGCCCAAGCCCGTGGCCACCCTCCAGGCTGCCAACATGCGCGGCGACATGCAGGCGCATGCCATCAGCTTTGTAAACATGCTCCTCGCGGATGACGAGGACTGCCCTCCGAAAGTCGTAGCTGAGCTCCTACGCATGGAGTTCCACCGTGTGCACGGCCACACCTGGATAAGCCTCACGGGCGAGCGGGGTGCTTTGGATAGCGCGGCGCTGCTGCTGCCCGACAAGGTGTACATCAAGTTCTCCATCGGTACGAACGACTACATTCTGTACCAATACAGCATATTCTCTGAGTACTAGCTAGTCCCGGGGCGGTAGGCAGGAGGGGTGGGGCTTGTGTGCCTCTCCTGCTGGCGTTTGCGGGTGGTGTCGTCATCAGGGCTTTCTTTGCCAGGTGGTCGCGTGTCCGGGCCGACCCATGGGTCATCACTAAGCGCCTGCCATTGTTGGCGACTGTAGAGATGTTGCAAATGTCGTACATGATGCCTTATTAGGGTTAGGAGTGCTGCTGAGACAAGGATGGGGTGGATGCATGCATGAATGCATGCAGCTATCATAATAAGGACGTACGGACGGGAGGTGCCTGCTGTTTCAAGGTGCTCCGGGAGCCGATCCATTCTCCTGCTGCTTGCCCTGTATGAGGAGGGCAGGATGTGCTACTAAGAACATGCACTGGCCGGGGTGTACTACTAGGAACATGCACTGGCCGGGGTCTGTACTAGAAACATGCATCGTACATTGGGGGACGAGCCGAGCAGGTTTAGCAATGCCCCAATGTGAGTGCGTGGCTTTACATGGCCGTGGCCTACATGGGTGCCGTTTACCTCGTCTTAAAGGCGCACATGCAGTCGTCTGTTGCATGTATGTATGCCCGATGGCATGCATGCATGCATTCACACGTGCGGGGAGTGTTTAAGAGATGTGCTGTTGAAAAATGAACAAGGACCTCCAAAGCTTCCCTGTACTGAGAATGGCGCGAAGCCGGCTACTGGCCCTTAGGTGACGCAACTGCTGGTCAGCAACTACATACAGCAGGAGGTGACGCAACTGCTGGTCAGCAACTACATACAGCAGGAGGTGACGCAACTGCTGGTCAGCAACTACATACAGCAGGAGGTGACGCAACTGCTGGTCAGCAACTACATACAGCAGGAGGTGACGCAACTGCTGGTCAGCAACTACATACAGCAGGAGGTGACGCAACTGCTGGTCAGCAACTACATACAGCAGGAGGTGACGCAACTGCTGGTCAGCAACTACATACAGCAGGAGGTGACGCAACTGCTGGTCAGCAACTACATACAGCAGGAGCACAAACCACTTGATTACGAAGTACGAACACGCTCGGTCGCGAAGTCAGGACTTCAATAGGGGAGGCGGGCAGATTGCTGGGTGGGCTGTTGCTGTTGATCACCTTGACATGATCGTTCCGTGTTACGTACGCTGTATTACAGCCTTGTAAGCGCGGACAAGGCAACAGACAAGGACAGCAAAGAACGCGCCCGCAATGTGGTAGTGCAGAAGTGGCTCTGCCTTTGGGCCTTACGGCATGCCAGCGAGCGCTGTATAGTGGACCGAAGGCACGCAGCTGCAGTACTGGTCTGGCAGGTCGGGGACCGTTCGACCCTTCACTGGGATGGCAGGTCATGTCCAGATACACTCTTCAAGCCTTCGTGCCCTCCCCGGCCGCGGTCGCTCAGGTGCGGGCTGTGGCCTGAAGTGCAGGCTCCGTCTTTCCCTCACCTCTTCCAGTTGCAAGTTGAGGTACCGGTAGCTGTACGGTAGCCGTTCGTCGGTAAGCCATCCCACACAGCGGAGAAGCATGGTTTATAAACTGTAGATCAGTGGCACGGTGTCAGCTCGTAATGAAGCATTGGAGGCAATGGATGGCCGGCCTCCATCCATCCGGCCTTCCATCCGGCCGGCCCAGAGGATGGCAAAGTTCTGCAGCCGGGCCCGGCCTGTTAGATCAGAACGCACAGCTTTGCAAGTTCAGGTTGTATTGTGTAGCACAGGGATACAGCGTTTTCCGACGTCCGTATACCGGTACCTGCTGTGCCGTGCGTCCGTACTACAGGTTGCCTCAGGGTGTTGTGAGTAAAGCGTTACGCAACGTGTTTGCTTGATGCCCATTGGAAGCCTTATGGTAACCTGGACACTAAAGTGATGAGTGACCTTTGCAGCAATGCGAATCTCATGTGTCAACGTCAATGCGCAACACGTAGAAGAGTCTGAGTACTTTGTTTGTAAAATTGGGATGCACGTGCTTTAAGTTGCAGCCAATATGGTTTCACACGCTTGGCAAGATTTCGGCCAAAAGGTCGACCTAACAGCGCGCATCCGTGAAATCCTTCTCAACTATCCCGAGGGGACGTCCATCCTTAAGGAGCTAGTCCAGGTACGCGGGCTTTATCCTTTCTGTTCAACTTGTTTTTACACAGGGCACGCGTGGGTGGGTGGGTGGGTCGCAGTAGCAAGCATCAATGCATGCTGCCTACGGGCTTGTTTGGGCCGCAAGCTTGGATCAGATATCGGCGTGACGATGCCACAGCAGGGCTCCCGAGCACACCAAGTGCTCCAGTTAGCACTTGGCGATTCGGTGTTCCTGGCATCTCCAAAGGGAGGGCTGCACTCCCTCCCTCCCTCCCTCCCCACCTCCCTACTGGGAGTCCAGCCCCTCCTTTTTAGGATGCCAGGAACACCAGATCGCCAAGCGCTAACTAGACCCCCATGCCTTGTGGCACCCTGCCGCCTATCCCATCCCCTTTGTCTTGCCCTGGCCTCACTAGTTGGTTTGAAGTTTGTTTGCTCCTCCACACGCACGCCCATACACACACACCCTCAATCCCACGCGGCCCCCCTCCCCTCCCCTCGCAGAATGCCGACGACGCCCGGGCCACATGCATCAAGTTCTGCCTGGATTGCCGGCAGCACCCCACGGGTGGGTGCGTTGAGAGCGCCCGCATGACATCCTTTTCCATCCTTTTACATGCTTTCAACATGCTCACGACATGCTCACAACATGCCCACAACATGCATCCCTCCCTTCCCCTCCGCAGGCTCCCTGCTGGCGCCCTCGCTGGCCCCCTTCCAGGGCCCCGCGCTGCTTGCCTTCAACGACGGCGTGTTCAGCGAGCGGGACCTGCAGTCTATCAGCCGCATCGGGGACAGCAAGAAGAAGGAGGAGCAGGGCAAGACGGGGCGGTTCGGGTGGGTGCGGGTGGGGGGGAGGGGGAGGGGGAGGGGAAAGGTGGGGTGGTTGGGTTGCGTGAGTGGGAGGCCGCGGTGGGAAGGGAGCAGGCTGAGGGCGAGGGAGAGGAGGAGCAGGAGCGCACGCTTAGAGGAGGAGCAGGCGGGAGGCCGCAGGCGGCTGGGGCAGTTCTCGTTACCATACTTTGTTGATAGCGCCTCCTTACCTTTGTTACCGGTACCTTCTTTTATCTCCTAACCATGCCTGTTGACCTCCTTTCTAACCAAACCTGCTTACCTTCTAACTTTCCACCCGCCGGCCCGCCCTCGCACGCACCTCGCAGCGTGGGCTTCAACTCCTGCTACCACCTGACGGACGTGCCCAGCTTCGTGTCGGGTCGGCACCTGGTCATTTTCGACCCGCACTGCAAGTGAGGCGCGGGGGGGGCGAGGGCCGGGGAAAAAAGAAGAATACCCTGGGTGCGACAGAGTTGGTGAACTACTGAAGCAACCACACGGTTCAAACCACACAACCCACGCACGTAACCCCGTCGTGGCTCGCATACTGCGCTTCTACTGCCCTCCTCTCAGTTGGCCCCCTGTCCCCTTGCCGCTCACCCTTCCTCCTCTTTCCTCCCCCCTTTCCTCTCCCCCCTGCCAGGTACCTTCCCAACATCTCCTCTACCAACCCAGGTGCGACCGGCTGCAAATTTTGGGCTGTGACGCCCACAATTCCACAATCCAGGATAAACGTGTTTTTTTGTTTCCTCCATCCGCTCTTTTGCTGGGCCAGAATTGGCTTTGCGTCGATCTGTTTCCTTCACTTTCCGCTCCCTCGCTCTGCCTCGAACGTGTGCTAGGGTACCCAGTCAATCAATCATGCCTGCCACACCTCCTACCCTTCCCACTACATGCTGCTCCATGCACGTGTTGTACCATCACGTGTCGTATACCATGCACGTGTTGTACCATCACGTGTCGTATACCATGCACGTGTACTGCCGTGCACGTGTTGTTCCATGCACGTATCGTATGTCGTACCAAGCACGTGTCATGCACCCTGGTGCCCCCAGGGAAGCGCATCGACTTTGTGCAGTACGGCGATGTGGCAGCGCAGTTCGCGGATCAGGTGGCGCCGTACGCGGGGGTGTTTGGATGCACTCTGGGCGCTACAAATGCTGCATCTGCTGCTTCTGGTGCTTCGGGTGCTGCTGCTGCTGGTGCGAGTGGTGGTGGTGCTGCTGCTGCTGCTGCCGCTCCCTGGCCGGGCACGTTGTTCCGCTTCCCGCTGCGATCAGCTGAGCTGGCGGCCGCGAGCACCATATCCAAGCAGGTAGGTAATGCAAGGTTGCCTGCATTGGCACTGGGGGTGTGGGTGTTCTCGGAGTGGGTCTGAGTGGTTTGGTGGTGGTGATTGGATGTGGGGGTTGTGGTAAACTGAGCGGCAAAGAAAGACTGACCGTGACCATAGGAAGGATTGTGGGGGCGCCAGCCCCCGGGGGGTCCTCTTGCATGTCCGTGGGCCGTGTCAGTTGCTACGATAACCGAACCCCTTCCCTCACCTTTGACCTGTCACACAACCGCCTTCTCACCCCCTTCTGCTCCCCTCCTGCTCCCCTCCTCGGCTACCCTGTTTGCACCCTCCCCTCCATGTTGAAGCCGTGTCATACACAGCCGTGTCGGTTTCCTCTCTACCCCTCCTCCAACGCGACGTGTTTTTCTTTTTCCTCCTCCCCTCCCCTCCTCTCACCCCCTCCTCCTCCCCGCCTCCCCGCCTACCCAGGTATACACCCCCGAGTCGGTTCGAGTCCTGCTGCAACAGCTCTGCTCCGAATCCTCCCAGATCCTGCTGTTTCTAAAACACATCGTACGACTGGAGGTGTACGAATGGCCTCGCGGCGCCGCTCAACCACACCTGCTGTTCGCTTGCCACGTCAGCAACCCCAGTCAGGAGGTCCTTTGGGAGAGAGGTCTGTTCGCCCGGGTTAGCGGTGAACGCCCCTCCTCCTCCTCCTCCTCTGCACCATCACTAGCAGCGGCAGCAGCAGCAGGAGTTCTAGCAGCAACTGGTTCTGCTACTAGCGCTGCTGCCGCGGATTCCGGCTATCAGCCGTTACCCGACATCCTGCGTAGCTATCGACTGGAGCTCCAGAGCGAGTGGTACGACACGGGAGGGACATGGAACGTACGACAGGAGGAGGGGGAGGCGGAACAACAGCAGCAGCTGCAAGGGCAGCGGAGACGGGCGCGCAGGCGGCTACAGCGGCGGTCGTTTATCGTGTCTCAGATGCGGGGCGGGGGTGATGTGGCGGAGTTTGCGGATCAGCTGTCTCGGCACTTTGGAGTGCCCCTGGTTGCATGGGGCGCGGTGGCAGCAGACATTACGGTGCTGACGTCAGCAGCAGCAGCGGCGAGGGCGGGGAGTGGGGCTGGTGGGGAGGAGGATCAGGAGCAGGAGGAGGAGGAGGTGGCAGCAGCGCCAGAGGAGGGTCGCGCGTTCTGCTTCCTGCCGCTGCCCGCTCGTACCGGACTGCCGGTTCACGTCAACGGCTACTTTGAACTGTCGAGCAACCGCCGAGACATTTGGTGGGTGCTGCTGCTGCTCCTCCTTCTGATGCTGCGGCTGTTGCTGCAGCTGCTGCTGCTGTTGCAACGTTGCTGCTTGACTTGAGGATACTGCCCAGCGCTCATCGTCCTGCATTGCGCATCTCAGCTGCATGACTTCCTTTTGACAAGACTCCAACCCCACCTCTCACCCCCTCACCCCTCCCCTCCGCCACCCCTTCCTCCTCCGCCACCCCTCCCCTCCTCCTCCAAACACACACACACACGCACGCAGGCATGGTGAGGACATGGCCGGCAGTGGTGCCCGGCGGGCCCAGTGGAACACCATGCTGCTCCAGCGAGTCATCGCACCCGCATACGCAGCGGCGCTGACGGCGGCGGCGGCGGCGCTGGGTCCGGGAGCGCCGTACGACAGGCTGTGGCCCGCTGCTGACGTGGCGCCGCCCTGGCAGACGCTGCTGGTGGCGCTGTGAGTGTGGTGGGGTGCCTAGGGGGTGGGGTGGGGTGGTGGGGCGGGTGGGGTGGTGGGGCGGGGTAACCCCTTTCTTAACACACACTCTCTTGATACCCCTCCGTCACTCCTCGTGCATCCGTCACATCGCTCCCCACTCCCTACTTTGTGGTTTCACATACCGGTAGTCTAATTCGGCCCCCCTCCCTGATGCCCCATCCCTGCATGCATGCAGCTATCGCGCGCTGTCCCAGGCGGCGGTGTGTTGGAGCCCCGCGCGAGGCGGCGTCTGGGTGGCCCCCGCCGGCGGGGTGCTGCGGGACGCGGCGGCGGTGGACAGCCCGCAGCTGGCGGCGGCGCTGGTGGCGGCGGCGGGGCTGCCGCTGCTGGAACTGCCGGCGGGGGTGGCGGAGCTGATGACACGGCACATGGTGGGCTGAGGGGGGTGTATTGGGGGTGGCGGGGTGGGGTGGGGGGGGTGAGGCGACGCTAAGGGATTGAGCTGTTCCCGATGAACGGATGGATATCAGCTACACGCTAGCGACGGCAAGGCATGTTGCAATCCTAGCCTCCCGAGATGCTGCTAGACCTCCCCGCACACGTCTCACCCTCAGAACAACGCGCGCGCTACACCCCACCCCCGCTAACCCCCCATCACCCCTCGCCTCCGCGCCTCGCCTCACCTTCCCAACACCCCTCCCAGGTTTCCAAGCCCCGCACCTGCTCCCCCGCACTCGCCCGCCAAGCCCTCCTGGAGGCCTCCCACGCTGCTGCTGCCGCTGCCAGCCCCCAACCCGACCCCGACCCCGCGCTCCGCTCCCACGCACCCCACCTCCTGGACTACTGCCTCAGCGACCTGCATGCAGCGCAACCCCAGCAGCATGCAGCACACTCCTCCCAGCAGCACTCCTCCCAGCAGCAGCAGCATCGAGGACTGCCGGCCCCAGGGACCCCGGCTGCTGCCGCTGCTTGGAGCTCGCAGCAGGCGGGTCAGCTGGTGGGGTTGCGGCTGCTGCCGCTGCTGGACGGTACCACCGCAACCCTGCAGCAGCAGCAGCAGCTGCAGCAGCCGGGTGCTACTGCTGCTTCCGCTGGCAGAACCCTGGCGCAGCATCAGCAGCAGCAAGGGGGAGCAACACTCTTCTTCGTGCCGTCTGAGGAGGAGCGGTTGTTGCTGGCCAGGACGGGTGAGCGCGCCTGGGTGTGTTAAAAAGCCACCCTGCTTTCCTACATCCCCGTTGAATTGCCTGTGGATTTGGTATATCTTTTAACCCGCATCCCCGCCCATGGTGAAGCCTCGTCATACAGCTCGGCAGTTGCCTTACTTGTACCCCTCCCCTGCCCCTGCTGCACTTATCACTTACTTTGCCCCCGCCTCCCTGCCCCCAGCCGGCCTGCTGGTGGATGTGAGCGGGTTGAGTCCCACGGGTCAGTCCAAGCTGCGCTCCCTGGCCGCCTCCCGCCTGCTCAACTTGGCTCAGCTAGGGCCGCAAGACATGGCGACCCGGGTGCTGCCGCGCGTGCTGCCCGGGGAGTGGCTGGGCGGGGCAGCAGCAGCAGCGGGGGCGGGAGTAGCAGCGGGGGCGGCAGGAGGCAGGGTGGTGGAGTGGCTGGAGGATGCGACAGCGGTGGCGGCCGGGGTGGACAGGTGGGTGGGTGGGGGAGGTTGTGGTGTTTGGGTGGGCTGGGTGGTGTGTATGGGCGCGTTTCGTGGCATGTGACGCCATGAGGGCCACTGCCTGGCTTGCTGCTGGTGCGGCGGGTGCGTGTTGCGTTTGGCCCCCCGTCTTCTGCAGTCAAGGCGTACATACCGGTATGTTTGCCAAGTTCCTCCGGACCTGCTGCCGTGTGCCATTTGTTTACTCATTGAACCTACTCATTGAACCGCTACTTCGAATATTAAAACTTTAAACTATATTTTTTTTGCTCGGCCCCCCTGTCTGTCACACAGGGACTGGCTGCAGCGGTTATGGCGCTGGATTGCGACCCATGGGTCGTTCTCCAGCTTTCTGGGCCTGCCGCTCCTTCCCATCTTGGGCGGCCGCCTGGCGCCCCTGGCAGACCACTCCACCTCCATCGCCATCCTACCGCCTCCGGAGACCTTGCGGACCCCATCCTCCTCCTCATCTTCCTCATCTTCCTCGTCCTCCGCTGCAGCAGCAGCAGCTGTAGCTGCTGCCCTGACAGCAACACTATCCTTACCTCCCTCCTCAACAACAGCAACCACGCCCCAACCAGCATCTCAGCTGCTATCGCAGCTGCTGACTCAGCTCGGATTGCAGATTGTGGATCTGTCCACATTCCCGCACCTGCCGGTCTCGGAGCTGGTTCGTTCCGGTCATGTGCACCGCTGTGACGGTCCTGGAATCCTGGCTGCGTTGCAAAGGCTGTCTGCAGCTACCTATCATCCCTCCGGCAGCAGCCGTGCAGCAGCAGCAGCAGCAGCAGCGGGTGCGGGTGCGGGTGCGGGTGCGGGTGCTGCCCCTGCCCTCGCTGATAACCCTGGGCACGCCGCAGCAGCAGGCGAGGGTAGCGCTAGCAGCCGAGGACGTCCGGTCCTCTCTTTGGGGCTCTCGGCACGCTTGCATGCGCTCACAGCATCCGACAAACGCCTTCTCAGGGCGATGTTATTAACGGAGGAGTGTTTGGCGGTGCTGGCGGGAGGAGGAGCAGCAGCACAAGGCGTCAAGCCGGCCCCCGGCGGTGATGGTGGTGTAAGCGGTGGCCCTCACGCGCATGCATCGCATCGGCCGCCGTCGCTGCTCGCCCCAGCGGAGGCGCGTGGGCTGCTACAGCTGCTAGCGGCGCTGCCAATCTACGAGTCCGCACCAAGAGGAAGAGGAGGGGTTGGAGGTGGAGGAGCAGCCAGTCGCAGCGGCGGCGTGAGCGAAGGCGGAGAGCAGCAGCGGTCAGAGCCTCAGTTCGTCTCGCTGCCGTCTCCACTGGGAGGTGGAGGTGGAGGTGGCGGGACGTGTTTCCTGGCGCCGGCGGGGGTGGACGTGCGGGTGCTGGGGGCGGTGTCAGGCGGGTTCCTGCTGGCGGGTACGGAGGCGGAGGGACGGCTGATGGTGTCGTACCTGGGTGTACGGCAGCTGACGGCGGCGGAGGCGTACAGGTACGACACAGATGGAGGGGGGGCTCGTACGGCACACCTGTACGGCACGCTGCATGGGTGAACACCGGTAATAGTAACATCATGCACACAGCCGGGAATGGCAGTACGGCTATCGTATTCCCCCCACCTGCGCTCAGCTGCCACGTGCCTGCCCTGCCCTGTCCTGCCAACCCGCTGCCACCCTCCTTCCTCCCCCCATCTGCTCGCAGGTACCATGTGCTGCCGGCGCTGTCCTCCCTTCCCCCTGAGCTCCGCAACTCCGCGGTGCTGGGGGTGCTGCGCAGCCTGCCGCAGCTGGGCCGCCAGGATCGGGGGTTTGAGCCCTGGCTCGGGCAGCAGGCCTTCGTGCCCAACAACAAGGTGAGTGCGGCCGCGAGGGACAGAAGGGGCTGGGAGGCTGGGGCTGAGGACTTGAGCTAAAGCTGTAGCTGTGTTCTGGCTTGTTGGCTTATTGAGGAAAGGTGTAGGAAAATGTATAGGCAATAGTTGTTGGCGATAGTCATAGGTGAGAATGCTATAGTTGTTGGCGGTAGTCACGTGGTAAGTGGGAAAAGGAAAAGGAAAAAGGGAAAAAAGGAAAAGGCTTGTCATAAGGAGGTATGTTGAATGTGGGAATGGGTGCAGGTTGAACATCCGGGACTTGTTTGACCGTAGAGTGGTGGCATTGTGGTGAGTCCGGCGACGCGGAAGATGTGATTGGAATGGTTGCGACGTAAAGAAGGGTTGTCTATTAATGGTACTGCATGTTGATGCATATGATATGGAGCGCATGATGGCTCTATCCTCAGCGCATGATGGTAAGGTCCTGTTTTGGACAGAGTTTGTGCGTTACATGCTCATTGGGACTCACTGTTACGCGTTTAACCCAGCTCTCCTACGCTTTTCCCCCTAGCTCTTCATCCTGCTTAGCGTACTACCCGTCACTTGCCTCTGTCTCCTCCCGCCTTCTCCCTTTTCCCTTCCCCCTTATTCAACACGTCGGGTATCCTTCTTTTCTCCATTCTCCCTCACCTCACCTCACCTCACCGTACCAGGGCGAGCTTCACTCCCCAGCAGAGCTCTACGACCCGCGCATCCCCGAGCTGGCCGCGCTGCTGGACCCGGACACCGACTTTCCCGCCACGTCAGTGCTCCTAGAGGCCGCGGGCGCCGGGGGTGCGGTAACCGCCACCACCGCCACCACCACCGCTGCCACTGCTGCCACTGCTGCCACTGCTGCCACTGCTGCCACTGCTAGCGCTAGCGCTGCTACCGCTGCATCGGCAGCGCCAAGCCTCGAGCAGCAAGAAGAACGGCAACGTGAAGACGGAAGCCGGAGGAGAAGGAGTAGCAGTAGCAGCGACAGCAGTGGGGGCGGGAGTACGGCGGCTGCGGGCGCCTCCGGTGGCGGCAGCGGTGGCAGCGGTGGCGATGTGGGCGACGCCTCGTTGTTGCTCTACATGTTGGAGCGGTTGGGGCTGAGGAAGGTGGCTACGATGGATACGTTGCTGAGGGCGGCGAGGTTCGTGGAGAGGACGGCGGATGCGGCAGCTGCTGCAGCTGCGGTGGTGACGGCGGGGGCGGCGACGGCGGCGGCAGGGTCTGGGCCTGCAGCGGCCGCAGCGGCTGCTCATGATGACATGGACATGGCAGTGGCTCGCGGGAAGGTAGGGTTAGGTTTACCCCTCTCTCTAGTAAGGGTGCAGGGGTGTGTCACACGCTGGTACGCAGCCTGGCGTCATTCACCTCACATCGCCGTCCCTTGCCGGCCTCGCCCATCTCCTCGACACCTCTTTACCCCCTTTCATTCCTTCCCTCCTCTCGCGCGCATACCTCCTGCTCCGATATTTCCCACTAAGCACCTCCCGCTGCCCACCTCCTCCTCAGGCGTTTGCTGGCCATCCAGACGTCGCCTGTTCGGCTTAACTAACTCAACTCCATTTCCGTTGAGCTTGTCGTCTGGTTTGCATTCTCTTATTCAAAACATTGGGTATCTTCTTCCTCCTCCCCCCCCCCTCCCCCCCCAGGCGTTGCTGTCCTATCTGGACTCGGAGGCGGGCCGCATCATGGCGCCCGTGGGGGCGGCACCGGGAGGAGGGGCGCCCTACATGGGAGGTGGTGGTAATGGTGGTGGTGGTAATGGTGGTGGCAGCGGAGGAGGCGGAGGCGGGGGTGTGGCTCTGAAGTTCGCAGCGGGGCTGTTCTCCCGCGCCCGGGAGCTGTTTGGGTCGCAGAGTTCCCTGCAGCAGGGGCAGGGGCAGCAGCAGGAGGGGCAGGCGGCGATGGCGGAGGTGCACAGGTGGGGGCAGGGGGGCGGGTGTGTGTGGTGGGGGCGGCTGGGGGTTGGGCGGGTTAGTTCACGTGAGCGGCGGGCTCTCTGCTTTGCTGGTCCCTGTGCCGTCTTGCGGCCCAGGACGTGCGGTAGGGAGCGGTCAACGCATGTGTGTTGTGACTCGTGCGGCACCTGCTTACCCCGGCTCCACCTGCTCTTCAGACTACAAGCGCACCTTCCCTCGCCCCACATGGGGCCTTGTGTGATCACATCCCCCCAACCGCGCCCTCCTCTCCCACCCTTTCGCCCTCCTCCCCACCACCTCCTCCCTCCGCAGCTTCTGGCAGGAGCTCTCCCGGCTGCGCTGGGTGCCGGTGCTGCGCCAGCCGCCCGCTCCCGGACTGCCCTGGCCGCCCGCGCCCGGCCCGCCCCGCCTGGCTGCCCCCCGCGGTGTGCGGCCGGCGGGCGACATGTGGCTGTGCAGCGGCAGCTGCTTCCTGGTGGAGGGGGAGTGCAGGTGCGGGGTGGGGGGCTGAGGGGCCAGAATGTGTCCTGAAGCGGCCTTGAGAGCCGGATGCGCCTCACTTCGCCCGCCCCTTACAGGCCTGTGCCTGCCTTCCTCCGCACACCTCCCTCCCCACACACCTCCTCCTCCCCACACTTATATGTATCCCTACTATCCCCCACACACACCTCCCTCCCCACACCCGCAGGTCCTCAGCCCTGGCAGCCGGACTGGGCTGGAATGCGCCCCTGGGCGGCTCCGTGCTGGCGCAGCAGCTGCTGCAGCTGGGTGGGTGTTGCAGCGGGTTGGTTGGCTGGTTGGGCGGTTGGTTTGCTGGTTAGTTTGTTGGTTCGTTGGTTGGTTAGTTGGGTGGGTGGGTGGTCAAAGCAGGCTCGGACAGCGGTACGGGACCGTTTTTTGCGCGCTTCGTGTCCTCTTCCCTAAAAAACGCGACTCGACCCTTTAAAGCCGCTCGGCCATGTCCTTGTCTGACCGTTTGACCTCTCCTTGGTGCTCTTCCCACCTACCTCCATCTCACCCTTCCCAAACCCATCCCACCACTCCCTCCCAAACACCACACGCACAGGCGAGCTGCATGCGCGGGTCACCGACCCCTCCCTCAGTCAGGTGCTGGCGGCGGTGGTGCCTCAGCTCTACCGGGCCCTATCCGGGCTGGGACTGCACGAGGGGCCGGTGGCGCGGGGGCTGCTGCAGGGCAGTAGATGTGTGTGGGTGGGCAACGGATTCGCGCATGCGGGGCGCGTGGCGTTCAAGGTAAGGGGAGTGGGTGGGTGGGAGGGAGGGAAAGGGGAGGTACAAATAAGGAAACAGACGAGGCAACTAACGAAACACGGCTTTACACGCCAAACATTCCCTTCACGCACGCCTCCCTAACATCCCGGCTCCCCACTTCCCGTCCTCCACTCCTCCTCAACCCCCCCCAACCCCCCCTCCACAGGGCTCTCTGGACCTCTCCCCCTACCTCTACGTCATGCCCGCGGAGCTCGCCCCCTTCAAGGACCTGCTTCTGTCGTACGGCGCAGCAGACGGATTCTCTGCCGTACAGTACTGCAGTGTACTGCAAGACATGGCGGCTGCTACAGGCGCAGCACCCGCAGCAGCGGCTGCTGCAGATGTGGCAGTAGCAGCAGCAGCCGGCAGTGCTACATCTACTACCCCTGCTGCTGCGGGTCCAGGTGCTGCTGCGGGTGCTGGCGAGCCGGGTCCGCAGCCGCTTTCTGAGAAGCAGCTGAGCCAAGTGGTGGCGGTAGCGCAGGTGAGTGAGTCCGTGATTGTAACCTAGCTTGCATGGCGCATGCATGTGCGCTGTCTGCTGTACTCATGCAACAACAGCGACAGGAATACAAGTATACATCCTCGTCCTCCTCTTCCGTAACGAGGACCGTATAAATGTCCTCTTCGTTATCCACCCTCCTCAACCCTTCCTCTTCCTGCCCCCATCCTGCCCTCCCCCACCCTCCTCCTGCCCCCCTCCTGCCCCCCAGGCGCTGGCCGACCTGGCCCTGCCCCCCGGTGCCCTTATCTACCTGCCAGACGAGCGAGGGCTGCTGGCCAGGGCGGGGGAGCTGGCCTTCAATGATGCGCCATGGCTGGCAGGACAGGTGGGTCAAAGACAGGTGGGGTCAAAGACCATACCCCTTCCCTCCCCTCCCCCGCCCCCTCCACCCTACTGCGGAACATGTATCCCTAGTCATCCCCTCCATCCTCCCTCCCGCTTCCTCCTCCGCGCCCCCCCCTCCTCCGGCCCCCTCCCTCCGCAGCCCTCCTCCGCCTCCGTCCGCCTCGTGCACCCGCGCATCTCACCGCACGTGGCCGCTCGTCTGGGCGCCCCCTCGCTGCGGCGGCTGCTGCTGGCCGCCTCCGCCGACTGCCTGGCGCTGGGGCCGGTGGGCGGCGCGGAGGCGTTCGGTCAAAGCGAGGCGCTGACCACCCGGCTGCGACACATCATCGGGGACTATCCGGAGGGGCCGGGTGAGGGCGGGTGGGGGGTGGGGTGGGTTGGGGGGTGGTAGTAGGGGCGGGGTGAGGGCGGTTGGGGTGGGGTGGGGTGGGGTGGTGAGGGTGTGGAGGTGTGGTGGTGGAGGTGTGGTGGTGGTGGTGGCGGTGATGTTGGGGTGGGCACAGAGGGCCCACCGAAGGTTACGTAGGGGTTGGGGAAAGGGCGTTACACAGTGGTTGGGGTAAGGAGGAGTTACGAAGGGTTTGCACTGCACGGTTCGCGGGGTGCTGGATTTGGGCCGTGGCTGCTGCTCGCCCCCGCCCTCTCCCTTGACACACTGCCCCACCTTCACCCCTCCACTACCCCACTACCCCACCCCCGCCCACACTTCCCTTGTGGAACCCCGCCGCTTCCTATTCCCATTGCTCTGCCCTAATCTGTGGTCTCCTATGGTTTGCTATGGTCTTTGACCCCCCTCAGGAGTGCTCATGGAGCTGCTGCAGAACGCGGACGACGCGGGCGCCTCCCGGCTGGAGCTGCTGCTGGACTGCGGCAGCTACCCCGCGGGCTCCATTCTGTCACCCGCCATGGCGGTGTGGCAGGTAAGTAGGGGGAGGCTGTACTCAGCTCAGCTGACGCATGCGCCCTGTTGTTGCTGCTGCTGCTGCTCACATCACTGTTGGCACTGCTGTTGCTGCTGCTGCCCCCGCCGTTGTTTGAGCTGCTGCTGCTGCTGCTATTGCCCCCGCCGTTCTTCGCACTCCCCTGCCCGCACTCCTTCCCGCCCCCCGCCCCCCCCCACCCCCCAGGGTCCGGCTCTGCTGGTGTCCAATGACGCGGTGTTCAGTCCCGCGGACTTTGCAAACATCTCCCGCATCGGCCAGGTGGGGTGTGGTGTGGTGGGATGTATGGTGATGGGGGGTATGGGGTGTGTGGGGTGCAGGAGGAGTGTGCCGTACAGGAGGAAGTACAAGTGCGGCCGCGCGGGGGGAGATGAGGATATTCCCCTTGTTCCTTTCGGAGCCCTCCGCTCACTCTTCGGAGCCCGCACCGGTGCCTGCCGGTAGCCCCATGATCGGGGCTCAGGGCCATTTTAAGCGTATGCGCCCGCCTGCCAGCTAATTCTATACGCACGGGCATCCTGGCAACCGCACACTCGCACCAACACCACTCGGCCGCCTCCCTCCTCCAACACTGCTGCTAACGAAGCTCCCCCCATCCGCCTATCCCAACCTCTCCCAACCTCTGTATGGCTGTTTGCTGTGGACTCCCCTTGGCACCTGGTTTACCACTGTCACACAACGCATTGGATATTCTTCTCCCCCCCACCTCACCCGCGCACAGGACTCCAAGGCCTCCCGCCCCACCTCCATCGGTCGCTTCGGTCTGGGCTTCAACGCGGTGTACCACTTCACCGACCTGCCCAGCTTCGTGTCCGGGGACTACCTGGTTATGTTCGACCCGCACGCAAAGTACCTGCCGGTGCGGGGGGGGGAGGTGTTTGGGGTTTGGGGGTTTGAGGTTGGGGGTTAGAAGACGCAAGAACGGGTTATGGAGTTGGTTGTTCCCCCGTCTCTCTCCCTCCTGTCCCTCTTTCCCGTCCCCCCTTCCTCTCTCCCCCACCATCGCATCTCGCCCCCTCCATTCCTCCATTCCTCCATTCCCCCCTCAGGGTGTGAGTGCAGCGCAGCCGGGCTTGAAGATCGCCTTCGCTCGGGCGCAGCTGCTGCAGCAGTTCCCGGACGCCTTCACGCCCTTCACGCACCTGGGTTGCAACATGAGGGAGCGGTTCATGGGTGGGTCCGGGGCGGGGTGGGGGGGAAAAGAAGGATACCGGTACCCGATGTGTTGCATGGCAATGGCAAACAAGGCGACTAGCTCCCGGTGGTGAATGGGCGATGTGGGGTGTCTGGCCCTTTCTCCCTTTCCCCGCCTGTCCCCATCCCCTGTCTCCCCTTTCTCCCCTTCACCTGTCCAGGCACGCTGTTCCGCTTCCCCCTGCGCGGACCCGCTGCCGCCGCCGCCAGCGACATCAAGAGCACCCCCTGCGGCCCCGGGGAGGTGGAGCAGCTGCTGGAGAGCTTCCGGTGGGTGGGGGCGGGTGTACGACAGCTGCAGGTGTGTTTTCTGTGCGGCAGCTATATATTGTACGACAGCTATATATTGTACGACAGCTGGTGTAGTGCACGGCACTTGTGGCGTGAGGCACACGTACGTGTGTACAAGAGGTTGGGCCGCCTTGAGCAGATGGGGAAGTGGAATGAGGGGAGCTGGGCTCACCTCTTTTTTGGCACCCCAGCCCATTTCTTGTTGGTCATCTTTGGTCACCTGAACACGCATCACCTAAGCGTCATCCAAACCTTCTCTTGCTGCCGCCGCAGGCGCCAGCTTCCCTCCGCACTGCTCTTCCTGAAGAACGTACGGTCCGTGAGCGCCTACATCCGCAACCCCCCACCGGCCTCCACTGCCGCCTCGGCAGCAGCAGCAGCCCCCGGCGAGGGCGGTGACTCGCTGCGGCTGCTGTTCCGCGCCACTCGGGAGCTGGCGGAGGGGGAGACGGGGCTGGGGACGGAGGCGGCGGCGGGGCCGGGGCTGCTACAGTCCGCTATTACTCGGTAGGGAGGGGGAGGGGTGGGTGGGTGGGTGGGGTTAGGGTTGGAGTTGATTGCAAACGGTAAGGGTGCTTCACCGTTGTAATGTGTGCACTGTGGGAGGCTTGGAGCGGAACGAAAGCCTTGTTCTGATGCGTCATGTGTGTGTGTTTTAGGAAAACTGGCTGTGAGTCGGAACGTACTGGCTTGTCGGAATTGTGTATATATATGTGTGTTTTCCTGTTCCCCCGCAGCTTCATCGCGGGAAGCCCCACCGACCCAACCGACCTACCCACCTTCTACAAGCGTCTAGCCACCGCACAGCCCGCCAGCCTGCCGTGCCAAATGGGCCTCATGCGACTCACGCTGGAGACGCCGTACGCCGCCAATGGGGGAGGCAATGGCGGCGGCAACGGCGGCGGCGACTCGGCGACGGCGGCACTTGTCAGTGGCAGCAGCGCCACCGCCGACGCCGGGACCGCAAGCGCTGCTGCTGCTGCTGCTGTGGCCACAACTGAAACCGCAACGGCGGCGGCGGCGCTAGCGAAGGAACCGCAGCAGCAGCAGCAGCAGGGTTTGGGCAGGGTTTCGGAGCTGTGGCTTGTGTGTAACTCCCTGGGCGGCGGCGCGGCGAGGGAGATCGCGGTGCGGTCCTTCCGCAGCAGCGGGACCAAGATGGTCCCATGGGTCGGTGTGGCGGCGAGGATGACTGAGGAGCTCGGACCCGACGGCGGACCTGCCGGCGGCAATGCATCGCATGCGTTGGTGGTGAAGAAGGGCTCGGATGACGGGAGGATGGTGGGCACTGGCGGTGGTGGCGGTGTGGAGGGTCGCGCCTTCTGCTTCCTGCCGCTGCCCATCCGTACGGGACTACCGGTGCATGTCAACGGCTATTTCGAGTTGTCGAGTAACCGCCGAGACATATGGTGGGTGAAATCTGAAAACGCCATACAAGCAGTCAACTCGTCGCGTGTTCATGCCTTTTGACAGTCTGCTGCTGTTCCCGCATGCATCCGTTCACGGGACGTGATCACATGCAGCCTTAGGGCGTCCATGTAAGTGGTGCGCTTTCGCCTCTTTTCGTCGTACTTTACCGGCACTCTCCTGCCGCCTGATGGGCCTCCTGCCGTACGGATGGCAGGTACGGCGGCGACATGTCAGGTGCGGGCGCGGCTCGCTCCAGCTGGAACGTGGCGTTGCTGGCGGATGCGTTGGGGCCGTGCTGGGGCCGGCTGCTGGTGGCGCTGGCGCAGCGGGCGGGACCGGGGGAGCAGCTGTACAGGTGGGATTGTGGGAAGGGTCGTAACACCTGGGGCCAGGGGGGATACCGGTACGGTCGTGCGGGTTGTGCAGTTGTGTTGGGGGCTTGACTTGGGTGTTGTGGGGTATTGGATACTGCTCCTTGCTTTCCGGACAGACTCGTGCCATGTCTATTCAATCCGCAGAACCACCGCTCCGTACTCGGGTGTGAGATGCGTGCTGACCTTGATGCCGCTGCACTCTGCTGCAAGGCCCCTGTCCCCACTCCCGCTCCTGCCCCCACTCCCGCTCCTGCCTCGCTCCTGCTGCCGCAGCCTGCTCCCCTCCCTGGACACCCCCGAGCCCTGGTCCCACGCGGTGTCAGCGCTGTACGGCAACCTGCTGCCCGACCTGCCCATCGTGTGGAGCAGAGGCGGCGCGGGGGGCGGAGGAGGCCGCTGGATCAGCCCCAGGTATGGTATGCGGTGGCTGCTGCTGGGTTGGTGGATATGACCGTGCGTGCGCAGGGCAAGGGACAGGGGGGTTCTTCAAGACTACCGGTATGATGTTGTTAAGCTCAGGTGTACACGGGGTACGGCGTTGTCTGGCTCTTGTCGTGCTCGTTGACTGTTCATCAGCCCCCCCCCGTCATCCTTCACATGGGGTAAACCTATCATGCCTGTAACACCGTCACTGGATGTACGCCTCATCTGCCTCTGTTGCTGGCTGTTGTCTGTCTCTCCCGGCCGCAGGTCCGCGCTGTTCTCCGACGCCGCATGCGCTTCCCAGCCGCTGCTGCGAGCCCTGCTGGTAGCCCTGGACCTGCCGCTAGCGTGCAACATGTCGCCGCATGTGGAAGCTGCACTGCTACGAGGCACGCCAGGAGCAGCAGCCGTGAGCCCGCAGGCGGTGCGGAGGCACCTGGCGCAGGCACTGCGAGCGGCGGGCGGAGATGCCTCGGCACTGTCGCTGCGTATTGCCGAGGCGGCGAAGGCGGCTGCGCTGGAGGTTAGGGTACAACAGCAAGGGAAGGAGGGGAAGAAGGAGGAGGAGAGCGGCCGGCTGCAGTGGCAGCAGGCGGAGAGTGTGGGGTTGTCAGAGGTGGCGAATGCGGTGTCGGCGCTGTTGCTGTATTGCTTGTCAGATGTGGATGCTGCGAGTGCTGTCATTGCTCCTGGCGGCAAGCAGCAGCACCAGCACCAGCAGCAACAACAACAGCAGCAGCTATTGCAGCTACAGCAGGAGCTCGACGGACTACCGTTGCTGCCGCTTGCGGATGGAACCATGGGTCGTTTGCAGGTGAGCTGTTACGCATTCCGCAGGCGTTCTACATTACCATACAATTGAATGTACTAAATGCGTTCATGTCGCTTTCATGACTTTGCAGACCGTGGCTGCGCTCAAGTCGCCGCGAGGCCGGCCCCCAACAGTGCGGCCGGACGTGCACGTGTATGTGCTGACCCATGGGTCACTGGAGTTGGAACTCCTCGCCTGCCTGCCCGACAGGTGCCTGGCGCCCGGGCTGCCAGCGCCGCTAGTTGAGCGACTGCAGAAGGTACGACAGGTGCTAGGGTAGAGCCGGAAAAGCCGACCGTATCGGTCCTGTCCTAAAGAAAGTACTGGCGTGTCAGCCTACACGATGTCTTTGTGATGTCCTGTGATGCCTGCAAGCAAGGCAGACAGGGTTCATACGTCATTACCCTCTTAGCTCTAGCCCCTTCTTGCTCATAACCCTGCCCCGAGTTGTGTCACTTGCATTGTACCGGTAGTCACCCCCTCATCACCACACAGCCTCCACCTCCCATTCCCCCTCCTCACCACCTGCCAATGCTTCTGCCACCGCTTTTGCTACCCCACAGGTGATCGACCTGGGCCTCTTCAACCTGCAACGCCTCTCCCCCGCCCTACTTGACAGCGCCCTGCTACCCGCGCTGCTCCCGCCCGGCTGGCAGGGCGCAGCGGAGGTGGAGTGGAGCCCGTCGCCTGCTGAGGCGGTGACAGGCGGGACAGCCCCCGCATCAGAGGCGTCTCGTACAGCTCAGGGCGCCGCGACCACCGCCACAGCCGCCGCTAGCGCTCCCGGACCCATGGGTCAGCCGCACCCGCAGGCGCAAGAGCTGCGGTCGTCACCGACGTATACGCAGCAGCAACAGCAGCAGCAGCAGCCGTCTGCGGAGTGGGTTCGTGCGCTGTGGCGATGGCTGGCGGACCGACCCGACGTGCTGCGGCTGGGTTCCTGGCCGGTGCTGCCCATCCAGGGAGGGCGGCTGGGGCGACTGAGTGAGCAGTCGCTGGTAAGGTGCTGTTGGGGTGTCAGGGGGGCTGCTGGTTGCTGGCTGCTGCTGTTCATGCAGCTGCTTCCTGCTGTTTTCTGCTGCCCTGTTTTACTTGATTCAATTAGGCAAGGTCCTCGTTTACCCCTTTCTGCCCCTCGCCCCCTGCCCTCCCTCCCTGGCACATCGTGGCCGTAGGTGCTTCGCGAGGGCGACTGGACGGAGGGAGTCAGCTCCGCGCTGCTGCGACTGGGATGTCGGCTGCTGGACTCGGCCCTGCTGACTGCCGCCGTCACCACCGCCGCCACCCCCGCATTACAGGTGTGGGATGGCCCGGGCTGCCGGACGGTGGATGCGTTGCTGCCCTTGGTGATGACTCAGGACGGTGCTATGAGCCCAATGGCTGGCCTAACCTAATCGGCCTAACCGGAATAATAGGCGCGAGCGTCGTACCCATGTCCTTTGCTTCTGTGCTTCAGACACACCCCTCCCTCCCGCGTCCTCGCAGCAAACCCAAACCACCCTCCACCCTCCAAACCCTTCCCGCCCCCCGCCTCAGGTCTGTGTGCAGCAGCCTAGTCTGTCAGGCCTGCTGGCGGCCATCTCAGCTGCCCAGGCGAGGGCCGCGGAAGCCACCACCGCCAACGCCACCACCGCCACTGCTGCTGCTGCTGCTGCTGCTGCTGCTGCTGCTGTGGTCAGTCGAACCAGCCGTGACGGCAGCTCCCCCTCCGCGGCCTCCCCCTCGGCCTCCTCCTGGTCTGCCAGACTGGCTTCGCTGACGGCGGTGGAGCGGCGGCAACTGCGAAGCTACCTGCTGCAGGGGCGCTGGTTCGCGGGTAGGGGCAGCGGGCGCTAGCTTGCGTACTTTCATTAGCTGATTAGCACCGAGTACCGTCCAACGTATAGTCCTGTCAAATGGTCTGGCTGGGATGCCGCGGAACTAGAGCTGCTGCTGCTGCTGCTGCCGCTGCCAGATGAAAGGCGCCTTAGTAAAGCCCTTCTTCCGCTTGTAGGAAGCTCCTTCGCGGCCCCTGCTTAGCGTGTTCACAACCTTACATGCTGTGTACCTGCCTGTGTTGCCCTGTCGTACAGGCACGGCTCAGTCGCTGTCCGCGGAAGACCTCGAGCTGCTGCGCTCGCTGCCCATCTACGAGATCCACCCAGACCCACGGGTCGGCAGTCCTAGCAGCGGCAGTAGCAGCGGCAGCAGCAGCCCTGCTGAGCCTCAAACAGCTGCAGCCACTGCTGTCCCGGAGCAACCGTCGGCCACAACCACAGGCGCACCCACCGCTACTGCTTTAACTGCTACTGAAGTCACCGCTGCTGCTACTGCTGCTGCTACCGGTACCTCATCCACAGCAGCCGCGGCAACCTGCCTGCAGCACTGCTTCACACCACTTGATCCGCGCCGCCACCGCCTAGCTCCGCCCGACACCGACCCACGGGTCCTTTCCTCCGCCTTTCTGCGTGCCGACTCGCCCGTCGAAGAAGCCCTGCTGGAGCGCCAGCTGGGGGTGCCGCGGTTGAGCCATGCCGAGCTTCTAGAGCAGCATGTGGCGCCCGCTGCTGCGTCACTGCCCGGGGAGGCACTCATGGCGCATGTGGCGGGGTTGCTGGGACGGCTGGGGGATGTGGGGGCTGCCGGGCAGGAGGGGCAGAGGCTGCGGCAGGCGTTAAGGTAGGGGTGGGTGCGGGGGTGGGTAGGGTGGGATGTGGAAAGGTCTGGTAGTTTTCCAGAGTAATGGAAATAGGATATTACCGGTAGCCCCGATGCCATACATAACGATGGATGCCCTCACCCCGCCCTCCACTGCAGCGAGCATGCCCTCATTCCAACTGCATCCTCCTCCGGCGAGCTACGTCGCCCCTCGGAGCTTCATGACCCACGGGTCGCCGCCCTCTCAGCGCTGCTGCCGCCCGCCAGCACCTTCTTCCCTGCACCCGCTCTGGCGGCCTCCTCACCCCGCCTCCTGGACGCCCTGGCACAGCTGGGCATGGCACGAACCGCCGACATGCGAGTCTTCCTGACGGCCGCACGAGCCCTGCATGACGAGCACGCGGCGGCTGCGGCAGTAGCTACTGTGGGGGCGGCGGCGCGGCCGCCGCTGCCGTCTCCGCCGGCAGGCGGCGGCGCAGCCGCCGCAGCCGCAGCCTCCGCAGCGGCCGCAGCTGCCTCGGTGGGTGTGGAGGAGTCGCTGTTGCCGCGAGCTCGTGCGTTGCTGAAGCACCTGGAGAGCTGGGCGGCGCAGCGAGCTGGGACCAGCAGCGCTGCTCGGGGCGAGGAGGAGCAGCGGTGCTGGTCGCAGCTGGCGGGACTGAGCTGGTCCCCCGTGGTGAAGGAGGCGCCGGAGCCGGGTGAGGGCGAGGGTGGGCAAACGTGGGAGGGCCGTGGAATGGGGCACGGTAGCAAGGGCACGCTGAGTGGCTTGCGCGTCCGAACGTCTTGCGTTTGACCAACCCCATGTTCCCTAACGGCTGCCCTGTGCAGGCTTGCCCTGGTCCTCCGCTCAGCAGCCCCTGCTGGCACCTCCCCGGCTCTGCCGCCCGCCCGGCGACGCATGGCTGGTCAGCGCCACGCTGCACATCCTGGAGCGACCCGTGGGTCAGCAGCTGGCAGCCGCACTGGGCTGGGACATGCCACCCAGGGTTAGCGTGCTGGCAGCTCAGCTGCTGGAGACGGGTCGGCTGCACGCCCACCGGCCCACAGGCATCCTGTCCGCAGCAGCAGTTCCATCGTCGGGTGCGATAACCTCGGAGCAGGAGCAGAGGACCGAGGGTGACAGCTCTGGGGTGGCTGCCGGCAGCAGCAGCAGCTCCTCGGAAACTGAGGTTGCTGCGGGCAGCGCTGAGGCGACAGCCACTGACGCTGGCAGCGACAGCAATAGCAAGGCCCCTGCTTCGGTCCCTGTCTCCGCCGGTACGGCATCTCTCATCAAGGCCTTGGATCGAGCCGTACATTTGCTGTACGGCGCCCTATCTCAGGCGATTGACGGATCGGAGGGGGATCTGGTGATGATGAGCTTTGAGCGGCAGGATTCCCCGGTGGTGTGGGTGGGCGAGGCGTTTGTGACCCCTGGGTCTGCGGCCCTTCACTTTGAGGGCGACTTCCGGCCTTACCTCTGGGTGGTTCCGGAGCCGCTCCACCAGTACGACAAGCTGCTAGCGCTGATGGGCGTGCATGACAGGTAACGGATGGTGCCGTGCTGGTGCTGGTGGCGGTGCTGGTCTTACTGCTCTCACTAAATTCGTTTTTTGCCATCTCCATGCGTTCTTAGGTGTTTGCTAGTATCGGTTGGCGATCGGTTTGAACATCGTGTGGTTTGTGGTGACCACATGGTTATCATGGGTGTCTCCATCAACGCTTCCGTCATCAACTTTACCGCACCTGCTGCAGACATCATAAACCCCCTCCTTCTGTCTACCGCTTGTTTCTGGAGCCCGCTCTCCAACCCTAACGGATGAGCGCTCCTTTCCAACCCGTCGCCGTTTCCTTCAAGGCCTGCCTCCTGCCTCCTTCCGTTCTCTTCACAGGTTCACCGCACAGCACTTCGCAGCCGGCCTCGCCGGCCTCGCGTCCGCCGCCTCCGGCTCGCCACTCGACGACACCGCACTGGCGTTGGCGTTACAACTCGCCGACTGCGCCGCCGACGCACTGGCTGCCTACGGTGTCCGACCCACGGGTCACTTCTTCGTGCCGGACGCATCGTCCGTGATGGCGCCGGCGAGCGAGCTGTTCTTTAACGATGCCGAGTGGCTGGACACTCGGGATGTGCAGCTGGCACACGGGGCGCTGCCGCAGGCTACTGCTGAGGCGCTTGGAGTGCGGAGTCTGCGGTGGGTTGGGTTGTGTTGCTCCTGGCGTGTGGGGGGTTGAAGTGTGACGATCCTGATGTATGATATGTTGAAGTCAACTTAGCCAAGCCGCAAAACTGACATTGTCCTCCACTGGTGCGCCCCTTCACCTCACCTGTCCTAATGTGGTATATGTATCCCTATCAATTCCCATGTCCCCCTGACAGCTACTCGGCCGAGGTGGAGGCTCAGCGCACCGCGGTGCTGCCGTGTCCCTCGCCGGCAGAGCTGCGGGAGCGGCTGGGGCTGCAGGCGCAGGTGGGGGTGGCTGAGTGGGTGGCGAGGTGCTTCCCTGTTCCCTCCCTCCTTCGCAGGACGCTTGCGCGCATGCACACGGCTTGAGACGAGAGCTTTTCTTGCGTTTTGTTATGTCTTCCCGGCATTTAAGCAGCCCCGGCAAGCAATGTGCCGCCGTGCACTCCGTCCTCCGCTCATTCCTTCACTCAGGCCGAGTCGTCAGTACCAACAGCAACCGCCACCGCGTCCGCTGCTGCCGCTGCTGCTGCCGCCGAGTCCGCCGCTGCAACCTTCCTGTTTGAGCTGCTGGAGGTAGCTGACGCGCTGGGGTCCCGGGGGCTGCGACTGGTGTTGGACAGGCGGCATCATCCCGCGCAGTCGCTGCTGCAGCCCGCACTTGCGGCGTTCCAAGGTAGGGAGTGGAGGAGGGGTGCGTGTGGGCGTGTGAGGGAGGCCGAAATTGCTGAGTGGGCTGATCCTACGGTTGCAGCTCTGCCTCGCACCTTCTTCTGCGGGGGGTGAAGCGGTACAATACGTTGCGGCTCGCGGCCGGTTTTTTTTAAAACACACACACACACACACACACACACGTCGCCCTCTACCCCCCCCCCCCGACCGCCCGCAGGCCCCGCGCTGTGTGCCGTGATGCCCGATGTGGTCCTCAGCGCCGAGGAGGTGGCGGGGCTGGTGGGCAGCCGCGCGCAACCTCCCGCGGTGCGGGGCCGTGCCACCGCCTACTCGGCTGGGCTGCAGTCGGCCTTCCTGGTCTCGGAGCTGCTGCAGGTGAGGGGCGGGGCGTTGGCAGGATGATGTGCTGAGGGGAGATTGGTGGGGTGGGTGTGGAGGGGGGAATGCATGGCCATGGCGTGTGTGCATGTGGCGTGCGGCGTCCTTTCATAGCGCCGCGTCCAGGCGTGAAGGAGAAGTAAAGGCTGCATGTGAACAGCCTCAGAAAATACTGACACGTGTTATAATGTGTTATAACTGACAACGAAATCGCCCCCCCTCGTCACGCAGGTGGTTTCCGGCAGCTGTTCCTACATGTTTGATCCCAGCGGCGCTTATCTGGGGGGCAGCACCGGGTCCGGAGCCGGAGCCGGCGGGAGCGCAGGTCGGAGCAGCAGCGGCAGCGGACCTTCTCGGTCCCGTCATGCGGGCGGCCTAGCCACCCCACGTGCCAAGCAGTACCTCCACGTCTCCTCGGACCTCACCACCACCTTTGCGGACCAGTTTGCGGTCTGGAGCTTTGCAGAAGGGTACGACATTCGGCAGCATGTGAGCGCTACACTGATCCGGCTGCCGCTGCCGCGAACTGTCCTGCCGGCGGCGGCGGCAGCCGCCGGGAGAGCCCGCGGCAGCAGTGCCGGCTCGGCCGCCGCCGCCGCCGCCGCAGTCGGCGGGTTACGAGGCGGCGGCCTGGCGGCGGCGACACTGGACTCAGTGGAGCGAGCGTTACGAGTGTTCGCGACCCATGGGCCACGTAGTTTGCTGTTCTTGCAGAGTCTCACTCGCTTTGACGTGTCGCTGTTGCGACCGGTGCCTCGTCCGCCGCCGTCGTCGTCATCTCGGCCCCCGTTGCCACCTGTCTCTGCTAGCTCGCCTGCCGTACAGCTACAGCAACGACAGCAGCAGCACCCGTCAGCAGAGGCCGAAGGCCAAGCCCAGTCGGATGACCGGACGATGTTGCTGCAGGCGCGCTTAGTCATGCTGGATCTCGATCGGCCGCGACCCGAGTACGGCAATGCCGCCGCCGCTGCAGCGGCAGCACGGCAGCGCTCTGTGGGCCCTGCGGCGCTTGGGAAAGCGCTTGCGCAGGCGTTTGGTCGTGGCCTGGGGCGCATTGCTGGACATGACGGTCCAAAGCAGTACCTGTGCCCCTTGGTAAGTGCCTTCATCTTGCAGACATTGCGCTGCGTTGAACCAAATCTTTGCCACGGAGATGTACCCGGTAATACGAATAACCTAAATATTATACCTCAATCCTCTCATGGTTGCATGCGTGCACCACGGTATATTGGTACCAGTTGTTTGCCGGTATGCAAGTTGCTGAGCGTCCTCACGTGTACATCCGCTGCTGCTGCTGCTGCTGCAGGAACTGCACGTGCTAGTGGACAACGGCCTGCTGCTGCCCCAGGACGCCGAGCTTGACGCAGCAGTGCCGTCAGCCCTTTCCTCCTCCTCCCCAACACCGCCAGCATCCTCCCTGGCTACTCCTGCGGCTGCGGCCGCTGCTTCCACTCCTCACAGCCCTACCCATGCAACCCAGCCCACCATAGACAACGCCGGTGGCGGCAACAGCGCCGGCGGCGGTGGTGGCGGCGGCGGTAGTCGTACGGAATCCCTGGGCAGTACCCTCTACCGAGAGCGATGGCTGCTCTCCTCATGCCACGATGCCGAGGGCGTTCCGCTGCCGGCGGCGGCGGCGGCGGCGAGCGCAGGCGGTGCCGTACGACCTGAGCTCGTGGCGGCGGTTGCCGTTTGCATCGCACGCAATGAGGAACGGGACTTGTACCCCGCTAGTGGCCTCTTCGCGCCTGTATTCCTACTTCCGCCGCCGCCGCAGCAGCAGCTGACGGCGGCGGCGGCGGGGCCGGCGGCAGCGGCAGTGGCAGGTTCGGCGCTGGGACGCATGCCCTTCCTGGTTGCTGGGCACTTCTACCTCTCCCGCCGCAGCGGTAAACACGTGCTCTCGCCGTTTACGCGCTCTGACGGCGGCGGGATTGCTTCCGGTGGTACGATGGCGGCGGACGCTTCCGGCGTTTCCGGCGGAGCAATGATGACGTCAGCGGCGGCGGCGGCGGCGCTGCCGCCGCTGCTGCAGCACCGTTGCGACCACAACCGTCGCGTGTTGGATCTCGCATCAACCGCCTGGCAACAACTAGCGTCGTACTTTTGCGCACCGGACCAATACAACGGTCCGAGAAACCGTTTGTACGACATCTTTCCCGACATGGCTGCAGCTACAGCCGCCATCGGTGCTACAACTGCTACTGCTCCTGCTTCTGCAGCGACAACCCCCGCCCGAAGTCCCCCAACCACCCTAACCGCCACTTCTGGCGGCACAACAGGCGCCAACAGCAGTACTGCTGCCGCTGCTGCTGCTGACGAAGTTGCGTTGTACTGCCTACGTCAGATGTACGGCGCCGCCTCACGGTTACCGTTATGGCGGCTCCGTACGGGTCGCTTCGTACACTTGCCCGAGGGCTGCTTCCTCCAGCCGACCACGGAGGGCCTAGGACCCGCAGCCATGGGCTTCATGGCCCGGCAGCTGCCGCTGTTTGATGTCCCATGGGTCGTCAAGAAGCACCTGGAGGCCGCGGACGTGCACGGTCTGCGGACGGTTAGTCCCGCTGTCGTACGTCCGCTGCTCAAGAACCTTGGACGTCGGCAAGGCATGGGAGTGGGCGCTACCGCCGGCGTCGGCGTCGGCGGCGGCGGCGGCGGCGGCGGCAGCGGTTCTGGCGGCAAGCCCACATGGCCCAATTTGACGGTTCTGGAGGCGACGGAGCTGCTGCTGTTTTGTTCCGCGGATCTCCTGGCGGATCAGCTGCCTGCATCGGCTGCTGCCGGCGGGGTTGCTGCTAGTGGCAGCGGCGGAGCAGGTGTCGGTCGGCCTGGTACGGCGGCGGCGGCTGGGAGTGGGGCGGCGGCGGGTGGCGGCTCGGGTGCTGCGGGTGGTTTAGCGAGCGCTAGCAGTCTGATGGATGAGCTGTCATCGCAGGTGAGAGGTTGGTTGGGGTAGGTTGCATGGGAACTGTATCTGAGTTGTTTGGGGGTCGCAGAACAACAGATGGGCCGACAGAATGCGGTTGTCGGTGTGTGGGCTTGCTTGGAGTAACGCCAATGATGCTGATGAAGCACACCCTGTTGCGCAACTTGATGGTGTTTACTGCTACAGCAGTTTCCTAAACTGGCTCCCGCGCATGTCCTGTTCCGCCCTGCAGGTCCGCAATGTGGTGGGCGAGCTGGTGGGCCCCGCCTTGTACGACCAACTCAGGCAGCAGGTGCGACAAGTGTGCGGCAAACATACCTGCTAGCTGAGCCCCATGTCTTATTCTTTTGCCGTTCTGTCCATCTGCTCGGCCATCAACACCTCTCTCTCTCTCCCTAGTAGGGTTTTCACTTCATACCTACCCTACTCTAGACTCCCCGCCCTCCCCACCTTGAATCCTAGCTCCGGAGTCTCCTCGTCTTTAGGTCACCACCAAACGGCGCCCTCCACCCGCGCTGCCGGTACCGGTATCCCTCATGTTCACCACAGGCCCTGGGTATACTCTCCGGAGCAGCGGTGCCCGCCGGCTTCGGAGCCGCAGCCGCCGCCCCTCAGCCCCAGCAGCTCCAGTCGCATCCCTCCCATCACGCCCAGCCGGCCTCGCAGTCCCCCGCCGCCGGCCCGCGCTACCATGCAGCTCGACTGCTGGACTGCCGGGGGCTGCCGCTACCCACGGCGGCAGGCAAGTGGGGGAGGGCTGGGTCACGTGAGGGGTTGCATGCCGAGAGAAGGCAGTAGCCCTGAAGTGCATAGTCGGTCTACTGCTACACTCTCTGCTTTGCGCTGTCTGCATTGGCTAATATACGGTCCAATTTGCGCTGTCGGTAACCACGTTGTGACGCCTCAGGTCGCACCAGTATATGACGCCTTGCAAGGCTCCCGCAGGTCCATGTCATGCTCTCCCAGCCCACAGTCCCCATCCCTATCTAACCATAGTAATCACCCCAAGAACCCCCTACACAGGTCCTAACACAATCCACCACCTCCTCCCTCACAGGCAGCATCGAGGTGCTGGGCTCCCAGCCGCTGCTGGCCGCCCCGCCGCTGCCCTCGCTGGCCTCCCCCGCCTCGCTGCTGCCCCCGCACTGCGCGGCGGAGTTCGTACACCCGGACTGCGTGGCGCGCATGAGCGAGCACTTCAAGGTGGGTGGGTTGTTCAAGTTTCTTACTTTTTTCTTGTTTTCCTTCGTAGTGCTGCTTTCGCGTGGAATTATAGTTTGTCCATGTCCAAGGTCTCCTCTCTGCCGTACATCTCCAGTACGTCTTCCCTGCCGTACAACTCCCCCATGTCGTACAACTTCCCTCTGCCGTACAACTCCTCCCTGCAGGATCCGCAGTACCGCTCCTCCCTGGCGCTGCGGCTGTACACACTGGGGGACCTGGCCCGACACCTCCGTACGGCACTGCCTCCCGGCTGGGATCACCCCATGCCGCCGCCACCATCACACTCAGCCGCAGCGGCCGCCGTAACGCCTGCGGGCGACGTAACGCCTGCGGACGGACCCGTGGGTCTGGGTCGGGCGTGGGACAGCGGCCTAGGGCTGCTGGGCGATGGCCCCAGCGGGCTGTGGCTGTGGCAGCTGTGGGTGCTTGTGAACGGCATGCTGGATGCGGCGGAGGAGTGGCAGGTGTGTGAGGGACGTGCGAGGGACTTGCACCGCTGCGTGCCGCCAGAAGAGCGTGTGCGAGCCGTACGGGGGTCGGAAGCAGAGAGGAATGCGGTGCCTTTGAGTTCCGTCTTGCACCTTGCATTCCCCTTGCATGCATGAAACACCCAACCCTTGCGTGCAACCCCCACCCCTCCATCCAGGCCGGAACCAGTGGTGCGCGGCTGGAAGAATTGCAGCACTGGCCGCTGCTGCCGGCGCTGGGCTCGCGCTCGGGATGCGGGGTGCTGCTGCCGGTACGACACAGCCGACTGCTGTTCTGCCTGCCGCCCTCTGCGCCAGCCGGCAAGGAGGCCAAGGGGCCGAGCGGCGGCGGCGGCGGCGGCGGCGTGAGTGGAGGGGGAGCGGCGGCGCCGGAGGTTAGCGGTGCGGCGGCGGCAGCGGGGCCCGTGCCTGCGCTGGACGACCTGGTAAGACCTTGGCTTCGCTGTTAGGAGTAAAGTGGGAAGTGAAAAGAACTGTGGAAGCGGATGGCGAATGTGGAAGCATGTACTCGTACTTTACTGGGAGAGTCAAGTGAGCATGTGCTTTGAAGCACGTTTCGTTCTGTTCGCTGTACAGGACCGCAAATCCTTGCTTCCCCCCCTGGTCATCCTAAAACCCTGGCACCCTCACAGGCACCCTCTCTCCCGGCCCCTTGGAACTGGCTATCCCCCGCCCTGCACGGCATTGGCTGCCCGCTGCTTGACCCACGGTTCACTTCCGTCGTCAGCCGCCACTGCGGCCCGCATCCGGAGGACCTGCCGCCTCGGAGCCTCGCCGAGGCGGCGGCAGTCGCCGCCACTGGCGCGTCGCCGGCGTCACTGACCCGTGGGTCGGCAGCGACGGCCGCCGCCGCCGCATGCGCCGCATTGGTGTCGCGAATGCGACTGTGTGACGCGGCGGTGGGCGGGTCGCTGCCGGTGCGGTGTGAGGCGGCGTGGGATGACCGGACGAGGGCTGCGGTGCTGGGGTTGCTGGCGGAGACGACTCCCACGTAGGTTGGGGAGTAGGTGGAAGAATAGCTGGGGCTTGAAGTACGGAGTTAGAGGGGTCCTGTAATTCGCGGACCAGACCTCAGGCGTTTGGGTGGGAGTACCTACTTAGGATCCCATTGCAGTACACAGGTATAGCTCTCTAGCTATTCACGTTCAAAGTTCGTGGCCTGTTCTCGTCCAATGTACATAACGCGGTATTAGTAACCCTTTGTGACCCATGGGTCTCCCGCACATCCGCAGTACGCTGGACCCAGCGGACCTCATCTTCCTGCGCCGCCTGCCCATCTACCCCACCCATGCGGGCGGCTACACAGCCCTGGAGGGACCCCTGGCGCCGCCGCCACCACCACCATCGGTCGGTTCAGCGGCAGCGGACGTCCCTGCGGCCGCCGGAGCCCCCGCAACGACGGGTGGAACAGGAGGAGGAGGAGCAGGAGGAGCTGGTGGTGCTGGAGGTGGTATTGCGGTGGAGGGCGGTGCCGTGGTGTGTTCCTCGGAGCTGCTGCAGCTGGTGCCGGGTGGGTGGGGATGTACGTGTGTGGGAGGGAGGGGAGGGGGGTTTTGTGGAGTTGTAAGACGAAACCTGCGAGTACCGGTGTACTGGTTGCATGGCTCTGGTGTGTGTGTCTGGCGTATGTGTGTGCACAGCAACGGCGTGTGTCAGGATGGCCGTAGCCAAAGCTCGGGGTGTGTGGGCTGTGTAGATACATGCTTTCGCGTCGCCGTGCGTGCCTTCCCTCACTGCCTCCCTCCTCTCCACCTCCCTCCCTCCCTCCTTCCCGCAGGCCTGGCCGCCTCGCTGCCCTCTTCCGTCCCGCAGCGCCTGCTCCTCCCGCAGCCCGGCGCCTCCCGCCTCTACTCACTCCTCAACATCTCCTCCCTCACCCCCGCCACCTTCCTCGCCTCCATCGCCCTGCCGCACCTCCCCGCCCTACCCGACACCCTCCAAGCCTCCCTCCTTACCTACCTCCAAACCAACTGGACCCGCCTGCGATCCGAAGAAGGCCTACTGGCCGCCCTACGCGACACGGCATTCGTACTAACCGCCGACGGTACGACAAAACGACCGGGAGAGTTGTACGACCCTGATCAACCGCTTTTCGCAGCGGCTTTCCTGGGTTGCCCGGTGTTCCCTCGGGAGCAGTTTGCCTTCCCTGCCTGGCTAGCGGTGTTGCGGGATGTGGGGTTGCAGGCAACGGTGACGCCGGCGGCGTTTCTGGCGGCTGCGGAGGCGGTGGCGGCGAGGGCGACGGCGCTGCACATGACGTTGCCGTACGAGGGGATTCCGGAAGAGGGAGCGAGCTTGGAAGGTGGGTAGGATGGAGGTTGGGGGATACGTTGGAAAGGGTTTAGGAAGAGCAGTAAGGGGAGGGATAGCGAGAGCTACGTCTTTTATCATTGTTTGGCTGGGTTGCAGCCTGCTGGCCAACCATTTGTCTGTGCCGCTTCGCAACTCTTAAAACTCCCTTGCCCTTGCTCTCAACCTCCTCGACCCCTTGCCTATTCCTTCCCTGTTAACCTAAAATGTCCCAATACTCGCCCCTTACCTCCCCGCCCCGCAGACCCCTTCCTCTCCGGCGGTGCTCCCGAGGTGCCCCCACCGGTGGCCGCCGCTCGCGCCCGCTTGCTGCAGGCTGCTGACATGCTGGTCTCGCACCTCACCTCCTCTGCGTCCTCCTCCTCCTCCTCCTTGCTAGCAGCGGTAGGGGCTGCAGGCAGGGGTGCAGCAGCAGGAGGTGCAGGAGGAGGTGCAGGGCAGTCGCTGGCGGGAGCGGGTCGGGAGTGGTGGGGCTCGCTGGCCAAGGTCGCTTTCGTGCCTGCGCAGCTGGGGCTGCCGGGCAGCAGGCGGGCGAGGCAGGTGCTCACAAGGTAGGGCGGGGATGGGAGCAGGGAGTAGGAAAGGGGCGAGAGGGAGGGGCTGGGGGCGGTGTCATGCTGCCTGCCCACCGTTCTCTGGCGGACAACATAGGCCGGCCGGGGGTCTACGGATCCCAGCTTGGCCTCTCTTGTTAACACCCTGCCCCACGACCCCGTCCCCTTCCCTGCGGCCCCTCCGTTTCGCCTCCTCTGTCCATACCGCCTTGCCCTCGCTTGCTACCGGTACCTCCTTACCGGTACTTACTTCCATACCTCGCTTGAAACTCCCGTACGGACTGAACGGTTTGATCATCTACCTGGCCCCTCCTCTCCCTCTCCCCCTCCACCTCCGCCCCTCATCCCAAGGTACTCTGACGCTGCCGCCGCCGCCGACTGGCCGCTGGTGTGGTCGGTGCTGCCGGTGGTGGCGGCGGAGCGACAGCCGGCGGCGGGGCTGGGGCAGGGGCAGCTGCGGCTGCGCTCGCCGCCGCCCTTCGCGGCGATGCTGGCACACCTGCGGCGGGTGAGGAGGGGCTGCTGGAGAGGGGGGTCCTGGGAAGTCCAGGGGAAGCACACAGGGGGTGTGAAGGGAGTGCGGCCGTGCTGGCGCACCTGCGTATGATGACACGAGATGCGTCGGACTGTCGTGCGGTGGCGGTGGCGGTGATGGCGGTGATGGGCTTTTCCTCACCCTCGCCGACATGCTTGCCCCATCCCGCGTCACATCCCATCCCATCCGGTTCCAGCACTACCTCCCTCCCCCCGACATATGCACACATGCAGGTTGGCGCCGACTGCGGCGAAGAGGCGTTGGGCGGCTGGCCAGCGTCCGCGGGGTCAGTGGAGGAGGCGTTTAAAGCCGTGCTGCAATACCTGGACAGGGAGGGAGTGGCGGGGGGCAAGGTGAGGGCAGGTGCCGGAGGGAGTCGGGGTGGCGGAGGGTGGTTGGTGTTGATGGCTGGAACCCCTGTATGTATGCGTGGTGGAGGCATAGGAATGGTTTGTGGAGGACTTGGGGGAACAGCTGAGGCTACTGGCTTTGAATCCTGGCCGCCGTTCTGGCTACCAAGCAGAGCTGTCTCGTAACAGGATTGCGATGACCACTGACCCGTGGGTCTTCCCGCCTCTCCCCTTTCCTTCCCTGTCTCCCCCCCTCCTCCCTCAGGCTGCCCAGCTGCGAGATGTGGCGTTTGTCCCCGTGGCCCGAGGCACGCTGCTTGCGCCGCCCAGACGCCTGTACGTGCGACTCAAGGTATGTGTATGTACGGTAATGTCGTACGACGCTGGGAGCCGGGACGTGTTCCGTACGTAGGAAGGGCTTGCATCATACTGGTAATAGTAGATATCCCAGAACGTGTCTATGTCCCGAAGAGACCGCACGATTCACTGCTATGCTTCGAAACCAGTGCCCTGCGACAGCGCTACCGTTCCCCTTGCCCATACCGGTACCTCCATCACCGTCTCCCTCCCTCGGTTCGTTCCCTTTTCCTCTCTCCCCCGCCCCACCCCCCAGGAGGACCTGGCTCCGTTTGCCTTCGAGGTCCCGCCCTCCCTCGCCTCCTTCACGCCCCTTCTCAAGAGCCTGGGAGCTCAAGACGAGCCGCGTGCGCAAGACCTCCTCGACTCCCTGCACGCCCTCGCAGCCTCAGCGGGTGGCGCGCCGCTCAGTCCCAACCAACGCCATGCCGTACTGCGGTTGCTGGCGTTGCTTGCAGGACCCACGGCAGGCGGCGCGGCGGGGGTGGGCGCGGCGGCAGGGGGTGCAGGAGTGGTGGCAGCCGGGGGCGCAGGTGGAATGGGAGGAGTGGGTCGCAGTGCGGCGGACCTGGCCTACCTGAATGCGGCTAGGAGGGAGCGGCGGCTGCTGGTTCTGGCTGCGGATGGCAGGTAGGAACTGGGGGGGGGCCGTATGGATGGCTCTTTTTGCTATCTTTCTTTAAGCAAAATGCAGCAACTATCGTACTCTTATCTCCGCACTGACCTCAAAACCCTAAACCTTGAACCCGCATACCTACACGCAGGCTTGTTCCCGCACACACGGCGGTGAGTGTGGGCGAGGGCGGCGGCGGCGGCGGCGGCAGTTCCGCGGGTCGGTTGCTGGGTCGGCTGGACCCGCGCGCCCTCACTCTGGCTCACCCGCTGCTGCCGGAGGGTGTGGCTGGGTGGCTGGGCTGCATGCGGCTGGGTGAGGTGGCGGAGGAGCGGCTGGATCCGGGGCACTGCTTGGAGCCCGTGGAGCAGATACAGGTGGGGGATGAAGAGGAAAGGACCTTCCAAGTAGCTCCAGTTGTCTGTCTTTTCCGTGTGATAAGGCACCATCATGGTGGGGGATGAGGGGGAAAGAGTGAGGAGGAGTAAGGGTGGGGATTGGCGAAAGCAGGGAGGAGTTGGTGCTTACGGGGGTTAAGGAAAATGATTATGGCATGGTGGGATAACGGATAAGGAAAGGAGATGGGTTGAAGGGTGCAAGCGGAGTGGATTGCTGCATACGGGGAGGGTTGCTTACCGGTAACCGCTTACAGGTTGGGCAGCCGTGTCATGTCTTAATCCTGAAGATGCCCACTCGATCCAGCCACCTCTGATCCCCCTCCACGACGCCCCCACGCCCCAACCCACCACAGGGCCTCACCCTACGAGACGCCCGCGCCCTCCTCGCCTCCCCAGCCTTTATCAGCGCCTGTCACGCCCTGCTGCGCACCCACGCGCCTTTACTTCGCGGCCTGACCGCCACCGCGTCCTCACTGACCCGTGGGTCACTCCACGAGCTCGCCGCGACGCTTCGCTCCGCCGCCTCTCGCCTCACCTTTGTCCGCAGCCTCCGTACAACTGCCGTACTTCGCAGCTCAGGCGCGCCTCTCTCTCCTGATGCGGAGGCCTCTCGCGCCGTCTTTGACTTTGTGGAGAGCTCCCCGACTCCCACATCAGCCCATCCGTCGGCAGCGCCACAACACACGGCTTCAAGCCTCGGCCGGATCTACATCGCAGAGCCGCCGTCGCATCTGCCGGTATCCTGGCTCCTCTCCAGCGTCGTGAGTCGCGTGCTGGGCAGTCCCGTGGTTCTTCCGCTCCAGCCACTCTTCACCACACCGCCCGCCGAGCTCCCGCAGCTGCAGCCGGTGCTGCTGCCGGGCGGCTTCGATGCGGGCATGGAGACGGCGGCGCAGGCGGGCACACCCGGAGCGCCGCTGCTGCCTGCTGACGTGGCATTGCTGCAGCTGAAGCCGCTGCGGCGATACGTGGCGGGGGAGGTGGTGGCGTACCAGCGGACTGCGGAGATGACGACGACCGCAGCGGCGGAGGGGGGAGGCGTGGCGGCGGCGGCGGCGGCGGCAGCCGCGGAGCGGCGGGCCGCCGGCGGTGACGCCGTTGCCTCCGGCAGCAACAGCAGCAGCAGCAGCAGCAGCAGCAGCAGCACCAGCAGCACCAGCATGTGTTACGGTCGGGTTGCGGCGCACTGCGCTGCGAGTGAGGGTGCGGGGGTGCATCGGGTGCAGGTGGAGGTGGAGCCGGGGGTGGTACGGCAGCTGCTGTCCACGCAGGTGTTTTGCTTCAGGTGAGGATGGGGATTACCCGGGTTCTCAGCTGTATGGTCTGGGAGTTTGGGCGATGGGGTATAAAATCATATGAAGCACGAGCCATGGCAGACTACCCAGGCAAGCGCTCACAGCTGCTGGTGTTATTGGTAATTGCGGTGGTATATGGTGGTTGCTGTGACCCGTGAACAATCTGAGATGAGATCCACCCTCTGGTTTCGTCATATACCGTCGTACACCCAACAGGAGCCCTTCCGGCGAAGCAGCGGCCCAAGACACTGCCGCCGCCGTGGCGACATCTCCAGCCATGCCCGCTCCCACCACCGCTACCATGCCCTCCGGCGGAGGCTCACAAACGTCCCCTGCGGCCGCCTCCACGCCCTCTTCCACCACCGCAACCGCAACCGCACCCCACGCCGCTGCTGCTGCTGCTGTTGACGCGGCCGGCGGTCCGGTTCGGGCGAGTGAGATGGTTGCAGCCGTGCGGGACGTGTTGGCGGCTGCGGGGCTGCCGCTGGAGGCGGGTGCGGGGCAGCTGATGGGGCGGGTGGCGGCACTTCAGGAGGAGCTTGAGGCGGCGCAGGAGCAACTGGCGCAGGTGGGGATGTACTGGGAAGTAGCGGCGGAGGTTGGGGCTTTTGGTTGGGGTTGCGGGAAGTTCTAGGCTGGGGTGTGGGGTGGGAGATGGGTTGTAATGGCAACGCCGGCATTGCGTTTGTTCCGGAGGGAAGGGTTATGGGGTTCTGGGTTGAGCCGGGGATATGGGCTTTGGGTGCGCACGGTTGAAGGGGCGCGCCTCTGTGTCATGCGTGTTGTGCATGACATCGAGGCGATGCCGGGGCGATGCCATGCGGTGTTTGCGATGCATGCATGCATGGCAACATGCAACACAATCCATGCAATCCATGCCTCTGGAGCATCATCACCATCACCACCACCACAACAACAATAACAACAGACGCCCCTACCCCTTCATCTTCCGGCAATCGCAGTACGTTCCGATTCGCGGCCAGTTTTCTTAACACCCCTCCCCTCCCCTCCTACATCCACAACCCAGGCCAAGCGGGAGGCTGCCTCCAGTGCTGCTGACGCGGAGAGTGCTCGCGGCGCTTGGCAGTGCAAGATCTGCTTCAGTCGCGACGTGGACGCAGCCTTCACGGGCTGCGGACACCTCATCTGCGCTCGCTGCGCCGCTGCCTCCGGCTCCAGTCGCTGCCCCGTGTGCCGCAAGCCCAGCCAGCAGCTGCTGCGGCTGTACAGGGCGTGATCAGGGCAGCGGAGCAGAGCAGGCGGTGCGGGTAGAAGTGGGGTAGAAGGTGGTGGAACTGGTGGTGGTGGTGGGCTGCTAGCGTAGGTGGTGGGGTGAAACCGTGTAGAGGTGTAGGCAGCAAATGAGCGGCGCGGAATGGGCACCCAGTGCTGGGTGTTAGGAACACTGACCGCGTGTTAGATGGCGGTGCGGACAGAAGGGCGGGGAGCATAGATCGGTAGAGGCAGGTCGAGTAGTGGGCGGGGGTTACATCTTACATGTAGGTAGAATGCAGAGAACGAAAATGTAGGTCGCATTGAGTGGCATTGAGTGGTGCATGGCGATGGCAGTGTGAGGGTAATTCGTGGTTGTGTTGTGTTGTGCGATCGTGTGTTCGTCCACTGTATGGAATGTAGTGGTGCTGAAGAGTTGAAACGCAAGTGCCTGAAGAGGGGAAGAAGTTCAGCAGGCGGTGCAGTGCGGGGGTGGAATATGCGGGTGGATCGCCGTGACATGGGCGTGTTATTGCATGCAGGCGTAGTGGTCGTTGTTGTTGTTGCTCATGGGGGCGGTGACATCAGTGGGACATGTTTGTGAAGTGTCCAGGAATCCATGTAATGAAAGGTGTGCGGGGGCCGGACCCCCGTCTCCTGCCTGGCCTGGCACTTAGAGAATTAGATACGCGTTTGAAACTACTTTGTTGCAGCGAACAGCTGTGCCATGCATATATTTGTACTGGGGCGTAAAGAGGGCCCTTGCGTGTAACCTGGGAACGCATACCAGCCTCCTGACTAAGCCTCTGGATCACCCACCATGCACCCCCACCTCATTCCACGTGCTTCCCTTCCACCGTTCATCCAGAATCCCGCGAAAAGCAGGTTGGGTTATAACTGGCGGAAATGATCACAGGCAGCGATGGGAAGGAGTGTTGCTTTTGGACCTAAGTCGCGCCAACAGCACTTGTAGCAGATTATAAGCCGAGTTTGTGTCCTGGGTACTTGGTGGATGCTTCGTCTTTAGTCTGCTCGAAGCGTTTGATTGGCTTATCCGCCGTTATGTTTGGCTTCCGCATTTACCAATCGGCGGCATTTCCGAGAATTAACATAATCATGATCGAAAGTTGAAATACAAGGAGATGTAAATTGCTCAAGCTTGTTCGTGAGCTACGTCGCGGGCTCGCGGCAAAGCAGCGACTCACTGCAAGCAAAGTGGGATCAGGATTTTGCAGTGTGCAGGTATACCTAACCTATTACAATTGCTAAGGCCATAACGGACATTGGAAAAGCGTTGGGTGTGCATTTTTAGATCTTGTCTGATGATCGATCCGCCGTACATTCGCGGTATGAGAGTACCTGCCAGTCTCCACCCGTAGACATATAGCCAGTCATACGGAGCACCTTTGCTCGCCAGTTCAAGCTGGTTAGTACTTTAGGCTACTATACAAAGAGGCTCTGTTTCGCAAGAGAGCCAGTCACCTTTTTGCATTGTATACACCTGAAAGTACTCCGAAAACGACTGAATACTTCAGCGGTAAATCACGTTTTTCGTTGGGTGCGCTATGCTTCCAGCGGCGTACCAGCGACGGGCAGCTTGCACCAGCGGACTAAAGCGCGCGCCGGGCAGCTGCACCCTGCGCGCTGCGGTTCGCGTGGCCGCTGCAGCGCCTCAGCAGCAGCCATCTAACAAGGGTTCGCCGCAGCAGCCAGGGTCATCTCTTCCATTTGAGGACCCAGAGGCCAAGTTCCGTCGCTATGGCAAATACTTCGGCGGTATCCATAAGCTTAACTTTGACTGGCTGGACTCCGTGCCGCGAGTGCGTGTTCGGACAAAGGATTCCCGTCAGCTCGATGAGCTGCTTGAGTTGGCTGTCCTGAACGAACGCCTTGCCGGTCGGCTCGAGCCCTGGCAAGCGCGTCAAAAGCTTGAGTACCTTCGTAAACGTCGGAAGAACTGGGAGCGCATCTTTGAGTATGTGACTAAGCAGGATGCTGCCGCGACCCTGGCCATGATAGAGGAAGCAAACCGACAGGTGCGGCCTGAGCAGCTGCAAAGTGAGCGTGTGGTCCTGGATTGTGCTATTCAAGCCAAAGCTGCATATGAACTCTCCCTTTCGAGCTCGCTCTCGCAACATTATAAAACCCTCTTTACAGTTCACTCCATGTGTCCGCAGTTCGCTGTATGTTTCCGACAAAGTCTGTCATTCCTTCTTACTGTATCCCGAAAGGTGGAGGAATCGCTGAGCGAAGAAGCGCGCGAGCGTACGGCGGTTGGAGATCTGCGGGAGCAGCTAGAGGTGCTGCAGCTTCAAGTCCAAGAGGCGCAGGAGCGGCTCAAAATGACTCAGGCGCGCGTGGAGCAGAACCTGATGCGCGTCAACGACCTCAAAGCCGAAGCGGTGAGCGTCTTTCCCAACTTCCCTACTTCCCGGTACATGCCCCATAAATCATTGCTACAGGGCGGCCAACGCGCTAATCCTGAACACTTGGTGCCACAAAGCCTCCCTCCCTCCAGCTTACCATTCCTTCCCTTATCCTTTCACCCTCCTTACCATTCCTTCCTTATCCTTTCACCCTCCCTCTATCCTCCATCCTCTCACGTCCAGACCCACTTGGAGCGCCTCCGTAACGCAGCAGACCGGGAGGAGCTCCTCGCTCGCCGCTCCTCCTCCTCCGCTGCCCCCACCGCCTCCTCCTCCTCCTCCCGCACCTCCACCTCCACCACCACAGCAGCTGCTACCGCCCAGCCCTCTGCCGCCACTGCTGCTCCTGTCGAGGCCCCGGCCACGGCCTCCAGCAGCTATGCCGGCGTGGCAGCGGCGGTGGCGGCAGCCGAGCCCGCCACGGCAGCACCCGCACGTGGGCCCCCCCGGCGCGGCAAGGCAGCCATTCGGCGGAGTCGCGGTCTGGAGAGCAGTTTGGATTTTGAGCCGGGTCTGCGGAACTTTTGGTACCCCGTGGAGTTTACCAAGGTGAGGAGGAGGAGGAGGGAGGGGGAGGGAGGGGTGAGGAGGAGGAGGGGTAAGGAGGGAGGGGTGAGGAGGAGGAGGGGTAAGGAGGGAGGGGTGAGGAGGAGGAGGGGTAAGGAGGGAGGGGTGAGGAGGGGGGTGAGGAGGAGGAGGGGGGGTAAGGAGGGAGGGGTGAGGAGGAGGGTTTAAGGGGATGCGCATCCTGCACAGGGCTGAGGAGGAGTGGAAGGAAATGGTTCGTGGTTGTTGGATGGATGCAAGGGAGGAAGCGGAGGAAAGGGGCGGGGCGCGGAGTTATGGAGGGAGGGAAAGGAACGTGTGGCGGAGGAAGGGACAAGGAAAGCACGAACAGCCTGGAGTGTGGCGTGGGAGGAAGAGGAAAGGGTTACACAGGGTTTGTGGTGTTGGAAAGGTGCTTAGTGGATGGCGAAAGGAAAGCCATGTGGGGCTCTTCTGCAAAGGTGGTCTTGGGGAAATGCTAACCTGACACAACCCTACCAGCCCTGTCAACAAGCGCGGCTTTTGCTGGGAAACGCTCCTCACTCCGCCGCCCACCAAGCTGCCATCTCATACCCCTTGTACAGTAACCCTGTGATTGCAACCACCTGCCTGTTGCGCCCCTCCCTTCCCCCTTCCCTCCTCAGAACCTGACCAAGGACAAGCTGGTGCCCCTGGAGCTGTTCGACGAGCCCTGGGTGCTCTTCCGAGACGAGCGGGGACAGCCCGCCTGCATCAAGGACGAGTGCGCGCACCGGGGATGCCCGCTGTCGGTGGGGAAGGTGAGGGGGCGCGGCGGCTGGGCTGGTGGGAGGTGGGAGGGAAAAAATATAAGACAGCTCAAGAGAATGCAAACCAGGCAGGTGTGGTGAGGGAGGAGGGGGGGAGGGAGGAGGCCCTGCGCTCTCTAAGACCTTGGCGCCCCCGCCTAGGCACTCCCTTTTGCGTCTCTGTTGCTGTTGCCTCACGCATGTACTGCCGTACCCAACACCCGTGCCCACCACTCACCGCCCCTTTGTACCCATCCATGCGCGCACACACACAGGTTGAGAACGGCCAGATCGTGTGCCCCTACCACGGCTGGGAGTTCAACGGCGACGGGCAGTGCACCAAGATGCCCTCCATGCGCCACTGCCGCGGGGTGGGCGTGTCGGCGCTGCCTTGCGCGGAGAAGGACGGCTTCATCTGGGTGTGGCCGGGAGAGGGGCTGCCTGCGCAGGTGGGAGCTGGGAACGGGGGGAGCGGGAAAAGCGGGTTGAGGAAACGCGGGTGGCCGCATAGGAAGCTGGAAGCAGTGTTTCAGCGTTAGAACCGGCTGCGATTCGGCGGTAAGGTCCTTACACATATGGCCACGCCCCCCTGAAGCTTGCCCCTTTTGCGTCATCGCCTCTCATCCTCCCATCCTCATCCCTGCGCTGCAGACCCTGCCCGACTTTGCCCGGCTGCAAGACGGCTTCCAGCTGCACGCCGAGATCTGCGTGGAGGTCCCCGTGGAACACGGCCTGCTGATCGAGAACCTGCTCGACCTGGCGCACGCGCCCTTCACCCACACCACCACCTTTGCGCGCGGCTGGTCCGTCCCCGACATGGTCAAATTCCACGCCAACAAGGTCCTCAGCGGCTACTGGGACCCCTACCCCATCAACATGGCCTTCCAGCCGCCCTGCGTGACCATCTCCATGATCGGCCTGGACAAACCCGGCAAGGTCGCTTCGGGGGCCTTTGCGGAGGAGTGCAAGACGCACCTGTTCCAGATGCACGTGTGCCTGCCGGCGAAGCGCGGCCACACTCGGCTGTTGTACCGCATGGCCCTGGACTTCATGCCTTGGGTGAAGTACATTCCGTTCATTGACCGCGTGTGGAAGCATGTGGCGGGGCAGGTGTTGGGCGAGGACTTGGTGTTGGTGGAGGGGCAGCAGGACAGGCTACTGAGGGGAGGGGATACCTGGGCGAACCCCGCTCCGTACGACAAGCTTGCCGTACGGTACCGGCGGTGGCGCAACTCGGTGGATGCGGAGGGGGTGGCGCTGGGAGGCGTGCCGCCCAGCAACCCGGTTGCGTTGACGGCGACCCGGATGATCCTGATGGACGAGGAGGAGGAGAGCATGGCGTGAGGAGGAGGGGTGAAGAGAAGAAACGAGGAGGGGTGAGGAGCGAGGGTGATAGATGTGATTGGACCCTATGGCTTATGACGGGGTAGAGTAGGAGTTGGGAGGGCTTGGCTTAGGAAAGAGAAGAGCCGGGTGGGGTCAATCAGGATCAGCGTTCAAGTGATGGAGCGCCGAAAGGTGAGAGATGAAAGCGGAGAGCTGTGAAGGGGAGACCGAGGATGCTAGATGGATATAGGCGCTGAAACCCGAAGGAAAGAACCTTTCATAAGCGGCTAAGCAAGTGTGTTCTTTGTCTGTTGAGCAGACGCAATTTGTAGCACTATGTGTGTGGTCAGTTTTGTAGCAAGGCTTTTTGACCAGTCAGGTATCTACTAGCGAAGCGTGCAGTTTTATCTGGTCTGGGGTGCATGGGTGGCTGAGGAGGCATTGCTTTGTTGCAGGATTCAGGGCGGAGGACGGAATGGAAGGGTGTGTGTTGTGCCGCTATCTGGCGGCCTAAACGAGCGTCAGTTAACCGCACAGTGGCTTGTTAGCTGGAACCCGCACGTGCTTTCATTCTCAAAAGTGCCTTGGGTTTCATGGACTAGGATGCTGCCGGTTTGGATTCAACACAGAAGGACTGAAAAGCATGCATTATGCCATTGCAATTTTAGCGCCTGGCTTAGGCTCTGGGAGGTTGTCTTCTGTGAGAGGAGCAGTGGGGCCTTCATGCGCTTAGATGACATCATTTGAGAGAGTTTTTGCACTGCGGAGTGAGGTTGTGTTGGAAAGTCGTGTTGGGGTGGGTGGGAGCTAGCGGGTTCATGCATGTGGGCCGCTCAGCTCCTCAGGTGGCGCTTGCTAGTGCTTCAAATTATCCAGATGGCATAGTGTTGACAGGTGTTGGACCCATGGGTCAGTTTGCGCACCCCACGGGGCTGGGAAGAACGTCAAGGCTGGAGCTGCTGTTCAAGCCGTACCACGGTCACCGCTTCCGTACAGCAAGAAGCTTGAAGCTGAAGGACTGCGTTGGTAGTGTTGTCCTGGTGCCGTGTCGTGGTTGATGTGGGTAGATGGTGGGTTGCGGTAGGTAGGTTGCGGATGGTTGCATAGAAGACGGTACGGTAGCCTAAGGGGGGTGTACGATCGTCATGCTTTCCCTTGAAGGCACTCAAAAGCTGCATTGCTTCGCCAGTCTCACGCAGCTGTTGTTAAGTCATGGTGTTAAGGAATTGGATGGAGTCATCTGTAGTTCCCGTTAGTGAGGGTTTGAGGATCTGTCGTTGCTTGTCTGGCTCAGCGTGGGTGAACAACGAACATCCAATCCCGCCTGTACTGGTCTTCATCTGTTTGTCACTAGCAGGGCTTTTGGTCAAAAGTATCCTTGCTTGCTATGCAACCATCTTGGATAAATGCGGGCTCATGCAATGGGCCCACGCATGTTAACTGCATAGGAATTGGATCTCACCATGTTAGTTGTCAGGAAGACCCTTAATCCCTTCCAGGTATCAGTATGGGGTTTCTGAACCTCCAATGTAACACTTATTGACACACGGGCATCCTTCAGGGCCATGTCCCTAGCCTTATCCTAGCGGGTATGCGGTTTCCGGTTGCCACCAACAGCACCTGGAGGACTAGTTATATTCTGAAACGCTTCTGAAGTCCTCGGAAAGATGTCAACCGCTTACGTTGTCAAAGACCAGCTGTCAACCGACAGTGGTGTACGACAAATGGCGATCGGTGGGGGAAACATGTGAGCATTCCCATTTGAACCAATAATTTTATTAGTCTCAAGTTTGAAAAACTCCTAAACTTGCTGGCTGACGCATTTCGGCAATTAGCAATAACAAATGGCAACAGTCGTTAACGGCTTGGTCGATGTGGGAACCAGCAGCGTCGTGTTGCCATCTAAGAGCCAAATTGAATACCTCATAAGCCAAACTCCTGCCTGCTTGTTGCGGCCTCTGGCTTTCTTCGTTAGTTGGAACGGCGTGCTCACGCTCGCTTACAGGTACGTACATCGCCATCGCACCGTCTCGCGAGCGATGAACGACTCGATCTGCGTATTCATGTGGCAGCCAAGGCGGCCGTTCTTGCATGGGTCCCTCGCGCATACGGGTGCTACTACAACCGGGAAAACCGTGCATTCCGCAGACGCGACTACCCCCCCCCCCCCCCGATGGGCGCTGCGTCGGGTTGGGTGCAAGGCCGACGTCGCGGCCTCCCTGCGCGGCTTTCCCTGCACTCTGCAACATCACCTTCCACCCAACACAACACTCCAACCGCATCCTCGCTCTTCCTGCCGCAGCAATCACATTCTCAACCGCACATCCTCACACGCACCCCTGCCCCGCCCCTGCTCCCTCCCCTCCCCTCCAGCGGCTTCCCGCCCGCCCTGGCCTCCCTCAAGTCCGCTCTCAACGACAGCCTGCCCTCCCTGCCGCCCGAGTACTCGGGCAGCAAGTGGCCCAAGACCTCCCTTGGGGCGCTGCACGACACCGCGCGCCTCACACCGCAGCAACTGGAGCGACTGAACCAGATCTGCAGGTATCGCTAGCTAGGTGTGGGAGGGATGTAGGGAAAGGCTCTAGGGGAGGATCTAGAGCTAGAGCTGGAGCTAGAGCTAGGGGAAAAAAAAGCCATGGAACACAAACAAGTGGTATGGCTTGGCAGCGGAACAAGCACGAGGGATTGGAGGGAGGGGCTGTGGGGAGCACTGGGGAGGGTGCATCCGGGCTTGCTTGCATGTGGTGCCATGCAGTTGCTTGCCTGCCCTGTCGCAACGGTGAGGTGTCTCCTCCTGCTACTCGGTACCCGCAGGGAGGAGAGCGCCAAGCTGTCTCAGCAGGTTGACGAGCAGGTGACAGGACGGGTGCATGGACTCTTGGACTGGTCAGCATGCAGGGACACCGCAGCAGCACCCCGTGTACCGTATCCAATAACCGTGCCCCGGTCCTTGTCTGTCGCCTAGCGTGTGCCCTTTGAACCGCTGGGGCTTCGGCGCCCTGCCCGCTACCTGCACCCAGCTGCTGCCGGCTCCTTGGCAAGGAGAGGCCCTGTAGCCCTAACACGGCCGAAGACCAGGACAGTGCATGTCAGCCTTACAGCGCTCTGGAAGTACACCAGTATCAAACCAGGAGCATGTCGCGTGGTGCCCCAACTGCGACACCCACCGTGTGCCCGTGTGTTCGCCTACCCCGGCAGTCACATTCGACATGACGCCTTATCGCACGTGACGCCTTATCGCACGGTCAGTTAGTTGTTACCCCCTTTTCTCCCCTCTCAGGCGGTGCTAGTGGACCGACTGACAGTGGTGTTCTACGAGTGCAGGTGCGTGAGGGCGCCAGCAGCAGGAGGGGTAGCATGCAGGGCATGGCAAGCGTGGGGCGGCATGCAGGGGTGGGGTGAGCAGCAGACCTTGAAGCAGGAGCAGGGGCAAACCGTAGCCCCGTAGCGTGCGTCACGCCTCCCTGCTCCCTCGCTCCCCTGCCTCCACGCCTCTCCCTACTCTCTCCTCTGCCTTCCTCACCCCCACCCCCTTCTCCACCAGATCCCTAGAACGGCGGCTGCTGGAGCACAGCGTGCCCCTGTCATCACACCCCTCCACTCCGCTGGACCCCAGCCCTCCGCAGCCCGAGGAGCAGGCGCGGGTGCGGGGCGTGGTGGCGGAGGCGGAGCAGCCGGGGTACTGGTTCCATGCCAGCAAGGATGGCAGCCGGGAGGCGCACTACAGGTGCAGGATGGCTGAATGGGGGGGCAGCCGGGGAGGCACGTGGGTGGGGGTTAAACAAATCTTTATGGCGGGTTGGATGGGGTACAGGACATGAGTTTAAAGAGTCGGGTACCGGTATTTCTTGTAGGTAGGAAAGCATGTCGCAGCTGAAGCACACGTATGGGGCCTCTTTTCCCAATTATCCCGGCCCCGCAGGGGCTCACATCTGGGTGTCACGCTGGTGCATGACCTGGAGGCCTTTAGGGCGGCAGCAGTCTGCGCAACACCTGCTGCTGCTGCAGCTGCTGCTGCGGCGGCGGCGGCGGGGGCTGGTGGCCAAACCTACGGATCCGGTCTCCCAGGTGCGATTAGAGCCCTGTGTGGCCACACTGCCATACACTTGCTGCATGCAGCGTCGATAGGCAGCAGATCCTACATGCTTCCCTTGCGGCTTTGTGACCCATGGGTCGCTGTGGCAATCCCACTTGCATGCGTGCACAGGCATTGTCCGCGGCTTCCGCGACCGGGTGGAGGCTGAGCTGCCCGGGCTGTACCGCTGGTTCCAAGACACCTCGCTGCACTCCACCGTGCGTTCGCTGATGGGCTGATGATAACAGCATGGCTGATGACCACATGCATGCATGGCGGGTGCGCTCGTTGCTACTAACAACTCGGTTGGGTTCATCAACCGTGTGTGTTCTCTTCTTGAAAACAACAGCTGTAGCAGGCATCATTCATTCAACGCTAGTGCTGCAATGTGTGCCGCAAGGGTTCATTGGAGTTCATTGCCGGGTGCCGCGTTGGTAGCCTCCTGGTGGTTAGGGTGCGACCTGTAGAGGCTGAGACATTATCACGTGGAGCCTGCTGGGGTGGTCTGCTGGTGGATGGGCCTCATGGACGAGGGATGTGCGTGTGTGATGGAACAAACGGGTTGGCACCTGACATGAGCTACATCGCAACATGAATGTCGGTACCTGTGCTTGACAGGCATTAAGACTTACTGCCTGCAGCCTTTACCAGCATGCAAAGCACACAGCGCCACCAATCACTCTTTCCACGTACAGAGGTACGAGTGGAAGTTCAATCACCAAACGTTAATGACAATTAGGGAGACTTCATATGTTCACAAGCGGGTACACAGCAGGCGTAAGCAGGATAATCACATGCACCATGCTTCACAGCCAACGGGTGTTTATTAAAAACATACAGAAAACAGATCACCTTTGTAAAGGAGTATACCCCAATGGAAAGGTGCTTGGGCCACTACAGTGCTGCCGTACAAGACACAACGACGGCACTGCAACTCCAAGTCGCAGGTAAGCAAGGTGTTCGTGACAATGTCTGGCCGAGCCTACGTTGTTACCAGTACCTATGGCACTACTAGTCCCTCACATGAACAGCAGTGCAAGTGCCAACCTGCTGCACGCATGAAGGCACCCAGATACATTGCTTGCCAAAGAATGAACCGCTATGGCGCATCACATAGCCACACCTTCAGTTCCGAAAACATGCGTTTGAAAGCGCAGCCTAATGTCCCATGAGTTGTTTCGTCACCATCAGCTGCTAACCGACCAGGCCAGTTAATCACTGCAATCATGCGCGATAACAAAGCTGCACTACAGTGCGTTGTTCACATCAGTCAACAACCTGCCTTTAGCGTTCACTCCACACATACCACGCCGTGCACTCCACGTTCATTCACAACTTCTGGATATCAATTAAAGCAACGAACACGTACATCCCTCAAGCAAAAGAGCCCTCACTGAGCGCCGACTTTGAGCGCCGAACGCTGCTGTTCCCTGTCAGAGACCCCGCTTGCAGCAGCGGACTCACTCCCTGATTACCCCAAATGGACGCGTGTACGAACATACGACACGAGACGAATATGCCCAGCGTCAAACCCACGACGCCGAAGACAATGGCTGTGATGGTGATCGCCTCCAAGATCGCAATCTTGCTTTCCATTTTGTCTAGTTTGTCCTTGAGGTTGGCGGGGACGTCAGCCAGGCTTGTGGAGTTGGCAGAGGTGCCGTTACCGGCTGTCGTATTCGCAGCAGCTGCGTTCTTCTGGTTTTGCTGCAGGCTGTAGGCCTGGTAGAAGTCCGCAAAGGCCTGCGAGTTAACGTTCTCGTAGCTGCCCGCGAATGAGCTGATCACGTAATCTGCGCTGCCCTTGCCTGCATGGGAAGCATGCATGGCATGGGAGCGAGGGGGGGGGGCAGGAAGCCGGGATGCGTGTTTCTTACTCAGGACTCACGAAACCTTGGCCAGTTCAGGGTCCATGCCATGATCATAACACCAGACAAACATGAGTGATGCTGTCCACACCGCCTATGCATACCCAGCTTCTCATGCTAGGAGACCATTTTGGTCACGCACTAAATCCATCACAACACCAGATGCGTACCATAAAACGCAATCCCCGACAACATATGCCGTACGCACCCGCGGGCAGTACCGAACCGCTTTCAAACGTCCACGATTTGGCGCGCGTGTCCACCTGCAGCAGCGGTACGGCACGCTCCTTGGCGTACTGCCGTACCTCCGCCGGCAGCGCGGAGAAGCCCACCGCGGACGCGATGGTGTCTTGTGCGTAGCTGTCAAGCATGAAGTTTAGGAAGGCGAGCAGCAGGGTTCCCGAGTCGCCACGGCTTGTGAGGTCGGTTCGTACGAACATGAAAGGCATTGCCACGATGGGGAAGGTGGAGGTGCCGGGCTGGTTTAGCACTGACACGGAGGAGAAGGACTGCGTGGGGCTCTTGGGCCAGGCGTCGGACTTGAAGAGTGCGGTAGCGGCGCCAGGAATGTCGCCCGTCTGCGGAACGCACGGTGGGGTGGCATTGAGGGAAGATTGGCAAAATGCTGACGTGGAGGGTAGGCATGGCTGGCGGGTGAGTGGCATGTGGGAGGGGCAGGGCTGTGCCGTCTGGGGGACATCTTGCCGAGGTTTGCTGGACAAGAAAGCAAGGCCCTTTGGGCCCGCCTAGCACGTTTCGCCCTTCGCTACTTCGCTTGCTCTCGCTCTTTCATGCATGCGTTACCACACCCGCAGTCCCACACCCGTACCAACCTGCGACGTGACGAAGTTGCCGGCCTTGTTCTTGACAGCCACCTCCAGAAGGTTCAGCTCATGGCCGTTGGCTGCGTCCATGTAGCCGATGGACCAGGGCGTTGCTTCCACACTGTTAGACATGTTGGAGCTGCTGGTGGTCGGCTTGAAGGCGGAGGGCCAGCTGGTGAGCAGGCTGCCGGAGCCCAGGCGCCAACCTGGTAGATGGCGGGGTGGGCGTGCGGTAACAGAGTAGGAGGGTGTTGAGACCCGGCGGGGCGGAGGTAAATAATGCGTAGTGATGAGCAGTGGGGTTAAGCAAGGGGTAAGGAGAGGTAGTTTCGTCGCAGGGTGCAGGAGGAAGTTAACCGCGGAGTGAAGGTAAGGCGGTGGGAACGCTGTGGGCACAGGGGTTGTCTGCGTTGCAAGAGTGACCCGCGGGTCATCTAGTGAGTTAGAGCAGGATAGCATGTATGGATGCGCTGTTGCTATAGTGCACGTCAAGATAACGTCAATATAGATGCTGCAGGGACGTTAAAGTGAAGCATCTGAGCGCTACGCACTCGTGCACGCCGCTGTGAGGTAGGCGGTGATGACGGCGGTGGTTCCGGAGCTCAGCTGGCGGTAGAAAACGGTGATGGGCTTGTCAGGCAGCGTGTAGCCGTTATCGGTGGTGATGTCGGGGTGAGCCCAGCTGGTGATATCGGCCTGGCAGGATGGGAGAGTGAAGAAGTAAGCATGCATGCGGAGGAAAGCAGCACCGAGTGGGTGGAGTCCCGACCCGATAGATGTAACCCCTCCATGCTAATTGGCTGGCGGCGTGGCCATGGCATGTTCCCTCGCGTGCACCAGCAGTGGCTTAACTAGGCGTGTGGCATTCTTGCATGGCGCACGCAAGGCAATGCGATGCGTATACAGATCGGTACAGATCGATACGCTGCCAGCTGCGATACCTTGCTTCTAGCTTCGGAGCCCACCTGCATGATCTTGGCGATGGTGCAAGGGCTCATCTTGAGCTGCCTCGAAGGCAGCACACCGTCCGGGAAGTTGACGAAGAAGTTCATGGGCTGCATTGAGGACAGCACGAACAACAGCAGCGATAGCGCACAGGGCAGATGTCATGCAATACAAAGTGTTCGCTCTTTCGAATCGGCTGCCGCTTACAAGCGGCCTTAGGCAGCTGAGCACCATATGCTTGTATGCATGCATGCATGTCCGCCCTGCGCGGCTACACTCACCGCAAGTAGGATTGGAATATGCACCACCGAAATCTTAGCGTTCGCCGTCAGATCGGCGTACGAAGAGTCAGACATGGGCGTATCCGACGCTCCAAAGTCCACCAGCGCCTTATAGCTGTTTGCCTTGGCCACCATCTCCGACTGTCCGGCTCCGGAACCAGCGGCGCGGTAAACCAGGTGCAGAGGGCTGGTTGAGCGCGCCTTCAGTTCCGAAAAGGAGCGCCAGATGAAGAGTGACACGGCGGAGCTGCCCACTCCCCGCATGACGCGCGCACCGCTTATGTCCAGCGTCTTCCGCAGCGTGGCGAGCTGTGTACGGAGGACGAAGGGTAGGGTTGGGCATGGGGGCTGATTGTTAGTTTGCCGTGCCGTACCGGTAAGTGTGACAGCGAGGTGGGAGAAAGAGAGCACAAGGGAGCACTGGTCTGACCTCGCTAAGCCATGTCCGTAGCTGGAACAACCTGGCAGTCTTTCCGCGGCAGTTAGTCCGCCCCCACCATCAGCACACCTACCTGGCTGAGCACATCCTCGTACGCCATCACATCATAGGCGGTGCGTGTGGGGCTGATAACTGCAGCAGCGGCGGGCGGGTAGGAGGCAGGGCAGCATGGTTGCTGAGTGTTGGATGATACATATACCCGCATACACCCGCTGAACCTCCACGGGTGGGGCGGGTAAGGATGGACACGCAGGTTTACGGTGCCGGGACTTACCAGTCATGTGGCAATCATGGGAAGAGGGTCCGCCAAGAGATAGGAGGTCTCACACTCACCGTTGGCAGCGTTACCGTCAGTAAAGATGTACGGCACAGCGGCTGGTCGGCTCACGAAGGACGTGATCATGGCGGCCCTGCAGGTCACAGATTGGTCCGGGTGCACACAGCGGGGATGAGACACATGGGACGTAAGGTTGGTAAGGCCCCAAAAAGCGCAATGTAGCTATGACACGCAGAGTTTTCCAGAGTGAAGGAACGAACGTTGGAAAAGGCTGGTTCTTGGTGACATGAACAACTGAGTTGGCTGTACGGCATTTCATTTCAACCCCTACAGCCCCCACCTTATCGAGGTCATCATGCTGTCACCCAGCGACAGCAATCCGTAGTCCGCAATCATGCCAACCGCCGAACCGCTGCCAGCAACAGTACTGCTGAGGAGGAAGGTACACAGCGCCTTCATCGCCTCCCCGCGCTGCCCCTCCGCCTCGCCCGCCCCCGACCAGTCGCTCTTGGTCACCAGGTAGACCAAGCTGAGGATGGGGGCCACGCGGCTGCTGCCCAGGTTGGCGACCGACACGCCGCTGTAGTCGCCGGTAAGGGCTGTAGTTGTATGGCGATTGTGCGGCAGTAGTTGCGCAGCAACAGATGGTAGGGTCATGGGAAAAGGAAAGGAAAGGGTTAGGTTCGGTGATGCTTGTTTTCAGCATGGCAAGCCTTCCTAGGAGGTGCTTGGCGGCAATTTACATCATACTTGTGGGGTTGGGGCGTTGGACGCTTGGCGTTATGATGACGAACAAGCGCCCAAACCCAGGACATCACAACCGACAAGGGAAGCGAGGGAAGCTAGCTGGCGCATGTACGTTGAACGCAGGCACTTACTTTGCGGCACCACAGTTGTCAGTTTGTCGTACAAGGTCGTTGTGTTCGTTGCACCCGTTAGCAGGTACTGGCCGGTGGTTGCTGTCTCCACGGCAAACTCAGATATTGAAGCCGACCTGCCAGTCGAACCCATTGCCAAGCCGAACGAGAAGGGCGTTGACTGCAGGAAGCCAACCATGTTGGATCCGGCCTTCACGACATCTGAACGAAGGGTGCCGTACGTAACGGGTACGGACGGACAGGCCCTTGACAGCCAGCTGAAAGTTGCCAGCGTCGATCCGGCATTGTTGTCCTCAATGAATACGGTTATCGGGTAGGAGTCGGAGGCTGCCTGCGCGCGAGCAGCATGTCATTACATGGTGGCGGCAAACGAGGTGTGAGGGTTTTAAGCTTGCATGGTACGGTAAGCTGGTACGAGCGGAGATTGCAGGGGGCCATGGCACGGCCAGCAGGTCCAGGGGGAGCATCCAGGGAGCAGCGAAAGGCCTAAAAGTAACGTGTCGCTGCTGCCAACCTTGACGAAGTTTGGATTCTTGTCCAGAAAGTCAGGATGCGTCCACTGGCTGATGTCCTGTTGGGGCGAAACGTATTCACTACATCGCCATCTCCAATACATTGCCCATCACGCTCTGTTGGACCTACCCCGGTAAGAATGCGTGCAGCCAGACAAGCGGTAATGTTCAGCGGCGTGCCTCGGTTGCCTGCGAAGAGGTCTCGGTATTCAGCTGCTGTGCAAGAAAAGGTCACACTGTCAAAGAGACTGGCTTGGCGTTCGTACCTGGTACATTGTAAAAGAGGCCGTACGAGTTCACGTACAGCGGGACATGTATCGAGTCCTTAACGACGGGGTTGCTGGTGAAGTTGGCACGTGCGGCCGCATTTAACGGCTGCTCGGTGATAGCAAACTGCATTGCAGAGGCAAGAGCAAGACAATACAGACTGGTCTGGCTGTGGAATCGATGAAACGTTGCGGTTAATTGGCAAATGAGCCCTGGTTGATTGGCACATGTTAATAAGGCTAAACAGGGAATGAACGTCGACGTCTTCGTAATGCACGTTTACGGTACCCATCCAGCCACCTACCGTACCTGCAGTGCGCTGCCAGAGGAAGCATTTTGTTGGGCTGCATCCGCCGCGATGTCGGAAACAGCTGTGAAGGAGCTGGTAACACGGTATGTCAGGCGCAGGGGGACACCCATTCGAGTCTCGAATACCTTGAAAGCCTGCAATACATGTACAACTTGGTCCCGCAAGCGCAATGCCTCCTTTCTAAAGAGCCTAAAGATCCAGGCGGAATTACCAAATCCGGAAAGAGGCACCATTGTTTTAGAGGTTTCCATTGTTGCTGTGCGCTGCTTACTCTAAGCATGACGACTTGCGTCTCCAATTGCCCTTCGCCATTAAGGGTAAGTATCCCTGTGCTACCCTGCTGAGCTGCAGTAAACCCGGCAAGCTGCCACGCAATGCAAGCCACGAGAAAAAGTGTAGTCGCAACACGACGTCCTGAAACCTGCGAAGCGCATGCAATGCGAGGAAGAAGGGCGGTTGACACCAAGAACGTGGTATATCCAAGACGCTGACCAAATTGCAGGATACAATCCAGCGGCACTTGCCATGGTCTTGCTGCTTGCTGCTGAACCAGGGCACTCGTGCATCCGCCGACGTACAGCAACCAGTTGTCGCCGCAGAAATCCAGAGGATACGCACTTAAGTATCGCCAACCCGCCCTGCTTTCTGGCTACTTTATCGGCTAGAGGACAGTGAGCGACGTTGTAGCTGTGACCGTTTCACGGAGTTGTGACCGTTAGTATCAATCTATTTCGACCAAAAAGCGTCTAGCAAGATAGTAGTACTATTCGTAGGAGCTAACCTTTAGGTATGGTTATCATGTGTAATTCCAAGTCGTCACGTGGCTTTACAGGATTCCACTAAAAGACAAATTTATTCCGATGCCATGTACCGATAGCCGGCATTGGTCCCGCTGATAGTTATTGCTGTATTGGAGACTAGCAATCCAGAACTAAATATTCCTATGTAAGATTCTACTCGTTCACAAAACACGGCTGAACTCGGCTCTTTGGGCGGCGTTAGCGACGTTTAACAACTTACTGCAATGCGGGATGCAAAGCTTGATACGGACAAGCGCACGAGTAAACCCAACGGTATATGCGATGCCGTGACCAGCGTACGAGTCGTTAGGCAGGCATCTCTCTGCGCAGCGCGGGGCGATCGAAGGAGGCACGAAGCTTACACTGGCATTACAACAAATTTTAGATAGTGCTGAGTGGGTAGCCAATCAGGTTAACACATATATACCGACCGGAAAGCACATCGTAAGGACTTGCAGGGCAGCGTGATGTGAGATTGACCAAAGCGTAGAGGATGCAAACAGACATGCTTGAATATGCCACTGCATACTGACCGTAAAGACTATCGAGTGTTGGTGTTTATCGCTTTATGTCATACACGGAACAAAGGTCATCGATAATATCTATCCACGGTCGCGCCCTCACAGATAGGCAGCAATAGTACCACTCCTGTAACGCCAGTTGAAATGGCGACATTTCAAGGACGGGGCTGTGGCGCCGTCTTGCATGGCGATGGCCTTCTGGACCGCAACCGGAGATTCTTTATGTTCTCAGCGTTGATAGTCATATGGGGATATGCACGTTCTGAAACGATAGGAACATTCACGGTAAGGTACTTTGTTTTATGAACTGTTCGGTTAAGGCCTATCTACGAATAATGTCGCGTCCCTAAATTTTTCAGGTTGGCATAGCGACATCAATCTCGGGGCCATTCTCTGAATGGAATGAGGCAATAAACGGTGAGGTGGGGATGAGGCTTTCTGTCTAACCCCGGCCGTTAGTGCGGATGCCGCTTATTTCTTCTGAACGTACTCAGCGTCCACTCTATTCCTTAACCCTTTTCCTCCCAAAGCGCTATCATGGTATTCAGAATCCGCAACCTTCTTTATTCCCACATTGTTGTGTGGGCAAACTCCCTTAGGATACAAGCTCTGGGAGAGCGCCGTAAATGCCGCTGGCGGCATCAGCATACGCGACATTAATGGCACCAGCTACCAGTACGGCGTACGGCTCGTGGTTAGGGATGACAACAGCACAGAGGCTGGACATGCCAGCGCCCTAGATGCGTTGCTCAACGAGCATGGTGCACACTTCATCTTGGGCGCTTCACCAGCGTTTGCAGAGGCGGAGTCCATAGCAACGCATGCAGCCGGGCGCCTTAACTTCCACTGCTGCTCGGGGGACTCGACTATCTACGCACGTGACCTCAAGAACGTCTTTGGTAGGGCACAATTGCTTCCTGCTACCAGCCTACACGCGACATGGTAGCTTCCTTACTAAGGGACCAGACATTGCGCATCGCACAATTCGCTGGCATGTGAGGCTTTAAGAGTACATTTGTTGGGCGTAAGTAAGTGTGGCGGGTGGGCTGCTGCTCCGCGCAGGAATGTCAATCGACAACTCCCCCTACACACAAGAGCTCTTTACGGGTAAGGGTAGGGCTTTTGTGGGGAACCACGCCTAAGGAAGGGAAACCGCCTATAGCAGTTGATCCCTTTCCTTACGCCATCGATTGCAGCTTGCCTGGCCTATGTGTCCTCTATCCTGCGCGCTTGCAAGCTGCATGCGTGCAGCTGCACATCCACGCCCATCCACGCCCACTCTCATATCGTCACATGGCACGCGACACGGTCCTACCTCCCTTCCGGCCACCCTTCATGCCAAGCTGCCCATTCCGCACATTGTCTCCCCCTTTCAGCATTCACTCCACACATCCATCTACATACCTGCTGTTGACTCTTGACCCCCACGTTGTCTTTAACTCAGAGTTCCGCTCCAAAGACATCTTCAAGGTGGCCGTCATCTACCGTAACGACGTCCAGGAACTGCAGACCGCCTGCCAGGGCGTGATTGCACAGGCGAAGGCGCAGCTGCTGACTGTCGTACTCGAAGTGCCGTACGACCATAGCAGCAATACGGCTCTTGCCAGCAATGTTGATAAGCTGGCTGCGTCAACCGCTGAGGCACTGGTCATGTGCGGATTGGCGGAGGAGAGCAGCGCTACTGTGCAGCTAATTGATAAGCGGCAGAAGCCGCTGAAGGCCATCGTATTCACTGGCGGCGCTTACAAGAGGCAAGGAGGGGCGTGGTACTGGCTAGAAGGCCCGTTGCATGGGCCTTACTAGACTTGCTATTGAGGGGATAAGGTCTTCGGCTTGCTTGGCGGGTTGACATGTTCCGCATGCTGGCATACGTTCTTGCATGCATGTTGCATGGCTCACTTGCTCTCCGATACGACCTCGCTTTCACAGAAGGCCCCATCGGCTCCTAATCGACTCCCCACCACAGGAGCTGGAACAACCAGCTAGGGAACCTCTCCGTGTCCGTCTTCTCCTTTGCGAGCTGGGCGCCTGACCTGTCGCGCAAGGACAACTTCTGGGGCGATTCGTCGTCGTACGCGCTCAAGTACGGCAGCGTGTACAACGGATCCGATGCCACCTACATTGCCGCAGGTGTGCAGCAACCGCCGCCAGTAGTGTCAAGCTCGCTGACCTTGTTTGGCGTGCGTGCACTTGTGCGTAATCCAATGCATAGTTGCATTACCGCAGGGCGAGCATATTACGTGCCATCGGTGATCACCATGCTTCCTGCGCCCATCCCCTCCCACCTGTACGACCATGCGTCAGCTGTAAACTAAATCCGGGTACCACCCACCAACAACCTGGTCACTTGCCACAGCCGCTTCCGCCACCGGCTACACGCTGCAAGTGGTGCTGGCCGACCTCTTCCGCAAGTGCTCCCTCAGCGCTGCCGCCCTGGCTGACCCCGCCGTACTGCTGTTCACGCAAGGCGCCATCAACTGTAGTGACTACGTGAACCGAGGACACGACCGGCTGCTCTCCGCGCTGGCCCAAGTGGACCTGGAAACCTTTTACGGCACCGTCAGCTTCAACCGGTGGGTTCGTATATCCATCCGGCAGACTGATGAAGGCTGGGCTGGACGCCTTACGTCAACCTTGCAATATCAGGCCCGCCGTGGCATTAGGCAAGCGTTTTGCCGCCTCCTCTTTTCCTTCATCGTCTACCTTGCAAGGCTTACACCCTACCTTTCTACACCCACAGCTACAGGCAAAACCAGGGCTACAGTCCGGTCACACTGCAGACATACGAGGTCACGGAGAACCTCATGCTGGCATACAAACCATCCGTGGTGCTGCCCCTGAGCTCCGCCACGCGACCGCTGCTGCTGCCACAGCACAACCGCTACGCGCCCGTGTGCCAGCCGGGCACCTACCGGGGAACGGATGAGTTTGTGGAATGCATTCCCTGCAACCCTGGTAAGAACTTGAGGCACGCATGTGATAAGCTGGGGGTATTACGTCTGCTGGCAGGTCTTTCATCTGTCAGATCTGAAGTGCAGTCACAGCAGAAATCGGAGTTATAAGGGTTACGGTAGCAGCAAGGTACGGCGGCTACATGGCACCCGAATACGATAGCAAGGCTTTGCGAGGGATGGTTGTCGTACGCTTCATATGTACCTGCAGGCGAGTTTCAGGAATTCTCTAGTCAGGGCAACTGCGAGCTGTGTGCCAAGGACTTTTACGCGGACCAGTCCAGCATGGCGAATTGCCGGGAGTGCCCCGCCAACACGCTCACCACCCAGCGCGGCTCCAAGAACCTAACAGACTGTATCTGTAAGGTATGCCGCCTGCCCACTGGCCAGCATGCACCATGTCAGTTTGGGCACATTGCGTTACGTTTGGGCCGCATTGCAGCTGGCCCAGGCAGGCACGGCGGGGAACGAGCTGAGCCTCTGCTACCCCCTTACCTCGCTCACAACCCCAATTGCCTGAAGAAGAACCCGCTAGCGGTAAATCCACCCTGAGCCACCGCTAACTTACATACATCATCACCGCTTGCTGTTGCACCCCCTGCCAGGTCGGCTTCTACAACCGAGACGGCCTTCCAGGCTTGCCCTGCGAGGCGTGCCCCAAGAACGCTGTGTGCGAGGGGGGCACCTCCATGCCCTTCCCGCTGCCTGGATTTTACGCGGAGCCCGGCTCGCCCCATGTCATGTACCCATGCAACCCGTCTAGCGTGTGTGCGGGAAACTACACATGCGCTGCGGGCTACCGCGGACGTATGTGCTCTAAATGCGCCGCTGGGTACTTCCGGTGGGTTGGGAGCTTGGATGTGTGTACGGATTTGTGCCGTCTTGCACACGCAGCTTAACTTTATGTGCCTGAGGGCGATGATAATGGAAGAGATGTGGGAGCCATGCATGTGGTAGCAGCAAGGCTGCAGATAACACCTCACTGCAGCCGCAGTTGCCCTTACACACGTATAGGATACCCATGCCAAGCAACGCTGGTGTGGGAGACCCACGAGAGTGTAGTCACTTTGACCCTCATCACGGCAGCATCCTCTGGTGCAGATGCATAGATTCCCCTTGGACGCTGCTTGGCTGTCTGTCCCCCTCCCTGCTGTCCTGCACGAGTGCATACTGCTATATCCGCATGTACTTGCTGCTGCTGTGCAGGTTTCTGGGCAACTGCGTCACCTGCCCCCACCAGCGCAGCACCGTGCTGGGTTACCTGGTCGTGCTAGCCCTGTTGTGGATCGTCATCAACGTCTCCTTCGCACGCAGCGTGGAGAATCTCATGGTGGTGGTTAACTTCTGCCAGCTCTTGTCCATCATAGTGGGCTTCTCGCTCAACTGGCCACAAAAGGCACGTGATGTATGCGCGCGTTTATTTCGTAAGGATCCATGCTTCGTCTGGTTTCTTTCCTGCTGCCGCCGCCGTCATCTCTCACATGCAGGCGGACGTGTATATATACCGGCGTGTCACATCTCCCTCGCTGCCTGCCGCCTTCCCCTCTCCCCCCCCCTCCGCCCCTATGCACAGATGTACCAAGTCATGAGTCTGTCTAGCATCCTCTCATTCGAGATGGATTCCCTGGAACCCTCCTGCCTAGTGCCCGACTGGGGCTTCGAGCACAACCTGCTGGTGCAGCTGTTGCTGCCGCTAACCATGGCAACCATAGTGGCGCTGTACTCCCTGGTCACCTTTGGAGCCTACTGGTTGCATGAGGTGCGGACGTGTGTCGTACTGCGGTGTCTTGTACCACACACAGCAGTGTTACTGTAGCACATACACGTGAAAGCTTACATGGTAGGCATGTGTGTCAGGATTGCATGGTATGCATGACCGCATGGTGATGTTTGCGCCCGTGCCTGCTGTCGCTGCAGGCTCGCATGACACGCTCCGCGAGGGCTGCATCGAGCCTTCGTTTCGCACAGGAGCCGCCATGGAGGCAGGTGTTGTGGACTCTGCTTGATGTTCCCGGGGGTAAGATAATAAGCGTTCTGCTGGGGTTACGAGCTTACGACCACATGCACTGAAAGCTGCTTGTCGCTGCGGTTGGAGTGTCGAGCACGTACTCGAGCGCGACATTTCCCAATGCATGCTATAATAGGCTTCGTTCCCTCCCTTGACCATAGCAAGCCATGCAAGCTTTACAATGAGGCTTTACGACCCCATCTTAGCTGTACGACGCCACCCTCAATCATGCGGCGCCCGGCCCCTGAATCCCGCAGATAAACGGGAACTGTACGACATGTTTTTAGAGCGGTGCGCCGTTCCCCTCAACTTCTTAAACATCGGTTTCCTGGTGATGCTCAAGTATAACCTCAGTGCATTCAAGTGCACATCAATTGCTGGCGTCAAGTACATTGCAGCTTCGCCAAACGACTTATGTTACACCAAAAAGGTAACAGCAGCGCCGTATGGTGTCGCTGGGCTGCACGGTAATCGGACCCAGCGGATCGACCCACGGGTCGCCCAGTGCCATCTGCAGTCCCATACCATCAACGCTGACCCCTCCCTTTTGCCATGGTAACCGCAGCACTGGAACCTTATGCTTCTTGGGACTACGGGACTGATAGTATACAAGTAAGTGCCTCGCCTGATGCAACACTCTCCGACTTTGTTTCTTAGTGCACACGGCAGGAAGGTGCACGCCCCTGTACAGCGTGCATGGGCACAAGTAATCCGGAATAGGCTTTTGGACTACCCAAGCAACCGTTGCCGGTTGACCTTTCCAATGCAATTTGCTTTCACTCCGTCCACAGCTTTGGTTTCATCTTCTTGTACGGTCACGTCATGCGGCAGCTGCGCAAGCATCGGGCGCTGGGCGACAGGAAACCGCTCCTGTTGTACGGCTGGATGTACGAGCGCTACGAGGCGCAGTACTACTGGTACGAGACTACAATTATACTGCAAAGGTATGAAAGCCAAACCCACTACGCCAGTCCAATTTCACGTAACACACTTTAGATGGACACGCCGTCTGTGTCGTACTAAGTGTAACACCAAACAACGCCTTATTGCAGGTCACTTGAACCCTCCATCCTAAACCTACTTATCTATCTAAGTATCCGTGGTGCTGCTATCTACATTTGGCAACCCCGCTGCCTGCAGAATGGGTTTCGTGCTGGTCTCCCTCTTCGTCAGCGACCCGGCGCTCCAAGCCGTGCTATGCATGATCGTCAGCGTGGCGGTTCTGCTGCTGGATATGCGCACCTCCGCCTACATGGACAAGCAGATTCACCTGCTGCAAGCGGTGGCGGAGGGGGTGGTGGGTGCGCTGCTGGTGGCAGGGCTGCTGTTCTACAACCCGCTCAGCGACCCCGCTGTTATCCGGCCGGTGGAGGTAGGTGAGGCGAGCGTGTGGGACCTAAGTATCGGTAGTTAGCGCAAGCACCCAGCAGCGAGTAATGAAAAGCCTGCATGCATGCGTGTTGTTTCCAATGCGCCTCAATGCACGCTATCCCGCCTCGCTCCATTCAGTCCCGCCTAATCTTTCCCTTTATCCCCCTGATTGCCTTCCGGCAACTTATGTGGCAACTCCCCTTTTTACGTCTTACAGTACGTGCTGCTTGTGGCCGTGATCGCGGCTTTTTGCATGGCCGTTGTGTCGGTTGTGGAGGGCGTGCTAGTCCGGCTGATCACCATTTGGCTCATGTCCAAGCACAGACTCATTGCGCACAAAATGGGCCAGCGAGTCAAAGGCTACAGGCACATGTATCAGGTCTTCGGAACCATTTTCCTGTTCAAGTAAGCAGGGGGTGGGTGGTAGTATGGATGAGTTGGTTCCATGCCTCTGATGCCATGCCACCTTATGCGTGTGAATGAATGACCGTTACAATGGTTTCCTGAAAGAGAACACGGGTGCATGTATCAAAATAAGGCAGTTGAGCTTACTTTGCAGTAGTTGCTGACATTCCTGCGCTAGCTTCAATGACCCTAACTGTCCCAACGGCCCGAACTTGATACTGCTGTTGCAGCTGGCTGCGAAAGTGCACGCCTGAGGAGTGGGACGACTGGCACCGCATGTAAGTGCAGGCCTTTACTAGTGTAGGACTAGAGCAGGGCGTTGCCTGGACAGGGACATGCACGTTACAGCGGCCTACATGCTGATGCGCGCCTACCTCTGCTTACCCACAAATGTCTCGCGACACACAAGAAGCTCACACTACGTACCATTCAGACGCCGACCCGCGGATCACCTTGCTTGTAGCAGCGTAGCATGCATGTGTTATCTTGCCCTACGTCCTCCAACCCGGCGGCGGTCCTCTTCTATCTACAGGTGCATGATCCTCATCGACTACGTGCACCCCACATCGGATGTGTCGTACCTGTCTCTCAAGAAGGTCGGCCGCTTCTGGAGGTACTTGCTGAGCAACTTTCCAGAGACCATTGGTACGCGGCCGCAGTACGGCGCAGGAGGGAGGGGCCTGCATGCATGCAGCGCTTTCGTGCTGATAAGCTCGTCACGGTTGGGTGGACCAGCAAACGCTCTTAACGGCTGCTGCACTCGTGCTAGCGTCATGTAGCTTAAGACTATAGCATTGTCTCTCCCTCACTTCTCTTGCTGCATGCATGCAGACTACCTGGTATCAGTTGACGAGGAGCAGCGTGCGCACTTCAACAGCTTTGCCGAGGTGGGATCGGTCTCGGAGGGCCCCAATCGGCTCAGCAGGGGCTGTAGCTGTTACTCATTTTACTAACCTCGAGTACAACCAACTGTTTCATGCCCCTGTGGAGGCTTCCTTTCACCCACCCGATGTAAATGCGCTGTGCCTCCGCTTTTGATACCCAGGTGTTGTACGACTCATTCTTCGACACCAAGGAGGAGCACCACTACCAGGTCTATTATTACATTAATGACAAATTCAAAGCGGCCTTTGCGCAGTGGCTCAGCAGCTGCGAGGATGAGGACCGCGCCTTCTGCCAGCAGGTGAGATACCGGCACCGGTAAAGAGCGAGGAAAACCAACCGTGCATGCATGTGACAAGTTGACGGCGAGGGTGTGTGGCCAGCAGCATTGTACACTCCCGCTGCCCAGCTGTAGGGGAAGGCGGCTGGGGTACGGCGCGCGGCGGTGTGGTACCGTATGGCAGCATTGACAATGCTGCTGAGCAATACGCTTTACTTCCTTTCTTCCACCCTCCTCTCCACATCTGCACCCGCAGGTCATGAAAACCGCTCTGGGCAAGGCCATAGGCACGCAGGCGGCCACAGAGCTCGGCGCGGCCATGTGCCGCTCAAGCAAACTAAGCCACACACTCACCGCGCTGCAAGCCATCGAGAAGTTCAGGAGCGGGCTATCCAACGCAGGTAATCCGCCGCCGCCCCCCGAGAGCTCGCCCTCACCCATGCCCAGCGTTAGGGACATTGGCGGCATCAACGTGCGGTTCAGGGCATCTGCATCGGACCAGCCGGAGGGCGGTTCTGATCAGGACCCTGGCTCCAGACAACACAGTCGGACTGCAGACGGCAGCAGGTGCCTCAGCATCCTCAAATCTGTGCGGTATTCCACGAGCTCACTGGACGCGATGGAGGGAGGCAGGACCAGCCCTGGCCCGCCTCCTTCACTAGGTGTGGCAACGCCGGGGAAGCAAAGCACGCATGACTTCAAGGTGTCGTTTACCGGGGCGCCGATCGATGCACCGGTTGAGGTGCAAGATAAGCTGCAGCAGCAACAGCAGCAACGTATGCTGATGACGACTACAAGCGGATGCGGAGTGCTCACGGTAGCAGCAGCGGCTGGTGAGGAAGCCACGGCGCCAGGAGCAGCAGCAGCAGCAGCGTCGACAACAGCCACTGTTGGAATGGCTGCCACTGTTACGTCGGCGCATTCAAGCAGCGTGGAACTACCAGGCATGCGTGCATCCCTTGTTAGTCCCACACGGCCGCATACGGCAGAGAACCTGCCTCGGCAACAAGGACAGCAACTGCTGCAAGCACCAGAAGAACACCAACAAGGACAAAACGATCCACAGCAGCAACCCCAGCAGCCGCAGCAGCAGCTATCACCATCCGGCTCACTGACGCCCCCAACGCCACGACCCATGCTGCTGCTTCCAAGACAACTGGATGTCAACCGTTGCTCCGTCAGCAGCAACACTGTATACGAGGAGGTGCTTCCCATGACGACCCGACCTGAGGAAGGCGCCGCCGCCACAGTCGCCGCACTCGCCGGCTTATCATCAGACACCACCGCCTGTTCGGCCACGGAGGTCGCATCAGCATCACCTTCTGGCTGCTTTCGTATGTCCCCATGCAACCCTAACGGCCGTACGGCAACATCCCAACCGGGTGCTGCTGCTGCAACCACGCCGGCGAGGGACACGGTGCTAGCGTCGCTGCGTCGCTCTGCCACGTCAAGACTCTACCGCCAGGCACCGGATCTGCCCCCGGGTGATCTGGTGCTTGCCGTTGGGAACCCGGACATAGAAGAGCTCGACATCGGTAAAGAGACCACCGTCACAAGAAAGGACGGCTTCGGCGGTGTAAGGGGCGGCGGCCTTGGCAGCAGCTGGCGTGGAAATGACGGCGGCGTAGGGCGCGCTAACAACTACAACAGTAACGGCGGCAACAACCCGCCGTTGAAGATTCGTGGGGACAGCGCCGAAAACTTACGGGGCTTAGATGAGGCCGAGCAGTTGGGCAGCACGTGGACATCTGTTGAGGCCTTGATGACCCTTCCGGTGCTCGGAAGCTCGGGTGTAATGACCCTTGCCGGCGCGCCCCTCACCAACACCGGCAGCAGCAGGTCGGCAGCTGGAGGCTACCCCACGGCGTCAGTTATGGGTGGTTCCTTCGTCAGGAGGAACACTGCAGCGGCGTACGGGGTGGTGGAGGAACAGCGGCAGCTGCAACTGCCAGTGCAGCAGCAGTCGCAGCAGCTGCGGACATGGGCGCTGCAGACGGGTGCGATGGCGGCGGCGGGAGGAGGCGGCTGGGAAGCAGCGGCGGCGGCGGCGGCGGGAGGAGGCGGCTTACAGCAGGGGGCGAGCAGTGCGGCCGACGATGAAGGCGGGGACGGGGTCGTCGAGGTTTTCCATGCGGAGAAGGGCGGGCAGGACGAGTGAGCCGCGCCGGCGATGGTTTAGCAGGCAGGCTTGGAGGTGAGGACGAAGTTGAATAAACATTTAGAGCAGGGCGTGACTGACTGGTCTTTCCGACGACCTAGAGCATCAAACGGGCAGGTGTGTGGCTGCTTAGTAGTGATGGAACCGCAATAGTTTATTGGGAAGAGCTGGTGAAGTAACCGAGTGGAGCAAGGCAAGCAGCGGAGCAGCAGGGCTGTGTGTGTGGTAACATGGCTAGAATGCATGCAGCAGCCGAGCAGAGCGTGGGAATGGGTGTAAACCTTGCGTGTGCGGCCGCCGTACAAGCCGTGTGGCGGCTTGCAGGGAGGGGATGAGCGGCCATGCAAGCTGCCGTCGAACTTGGTCAACCCACAATCAGCACGATAAATATATTTCTGACGTTTGTGCTAATTCACTTTCCAGTACTATCGAAGCGGGTTCATGTGGGCCTTTGTTTCGTGCTTACCGTACTGGTACGATCTGCCATCCGGGGCGCATGGCGTGTGTGTCAGCGTGTGAGCCGGGGGTAGCTACGTTGTCTGTGTTTCTGCAAGCCTGCCTGAGGCTTGACAGCCTATCTTGAGATATTCATCCACCAAGAAAACTACAACCCTGCTATATCGTAAGCGGTATAAGGTTTTGCCGTCGTGTCGCGTTGTTGAGATGCATGTTGCAGCAGTTGACGTGTAGCTCAAGGTTCCAAATGCATGCTGTTCCTCCTTGCGGGTTTTGCGTTGCTTCGTGACTTGTGCTGCAGGTGTTCTGTCATTTGCAAACCATAAGTGGCACCGCTTTGGGTCTAAGGACCTGCTGCCTGGCTCATAGGGGGTGTTTTTTCGATGTGGATTTTCCCTTTAGGCCTTCCTAAGATGTTCGTTGGTTCGCCAGCCTTACTAATGCAATTGATAATACGTCGTTGGCCAAAGTGTCCCTGTGTTGCGCCTTGCGTTGTTTGTTTGATTTAACAATAAGCAGCCCAGTAGCCCTTTGGGTTGTTCAGGAGGGACGCAAGGGGCAGCCTCAGGCATCGTTGTTGGGTTTAGGTATCTCGGCTGGTTGGACGGGGAGAAGGCCGGCTTACATTGGAATGACAAGGAAGAGCTTAACTGCCCAGTTTGCTCGTCCCGAATAGGGGCGTGGAGGAGATTAGTAATGCCAAGGGATGCCGTGCTTCCGATCAATGCTGGTCCTGCTCCAACACCTATAAAGAGCCCTCGCTATACCATACGGTAAACTTATCACACCAACGTTGCATGCGTGCCCTGTTGCTCTCTGCACCGGACCTCATCCATATGCATTTCTGACTATGCACCAGTTTCCACGCAGTGAAAGAGCGAATGCATGTTGTTCACAGCTAGATTTCAGCAAAACGCGTAAGATGGTTACGCATAAGTAGCCGACCAGGCTGTAGAAGCCCCGAATATGCCGTACATGCCCCGCACATGCCCCGATCACATGATGTACATAACCCCCAGCATGCCGTATAAGCCCGCAAAACATGCCGTATAAGCCCCATGTAGAACATGCCGTACACGCCTCAACCTCATGCATTCACAAGTCACACCCCTTGCTTAGGACATGACGGAAATGAGGTCCCGGAACGACTCCTTGTCCATGCGCACATCCTGTGTGATGCCCGCCTCATCACGCGCCTGCACACTTTGGAGCATGGACTCCCAGTCTCCGCCGCTGAACAGCGAACCCACAACGTAGTCGTCCGATAGGTCGATCTGGGAAGGTTAGGAAGCACAGCGAGGTACGACAGGCGTGATGAGGGTACGACGCTTTAGGTAAGTTTTAAGGCCAACAGCAGGAGGCGTGCGGACTCGGTTGTGGTGCTACCATGGTTGACAGACGACGGAAAGGAGGGGAGCATGACTACGCTTCAACCAATTGAGAAGCAAACCTCAGGGCGTGCTCCCTCTCTGTCTCGCAGACGTTTATTGACACACAGCACCAGGGCATGAACACACAAACACATCCGCCGCCGCCAATAACGTTCCATCCAATACGGCACTCGTACGGCACATCTCCGCGGCTCTCTTGAGACAGACACCATCAACCTATGTATGTTTCTTTTGTCCGATGTAAAACCTGCCGGCACGCTGCCGTAATCCCTGCCGTACTCCCTGCCATGCGCGCTGCCGTACTCTCACCTGTTGTACGTCGGAGAATGAGATGAAAAACACGCTGTCCTGCGGGTCCCTCAGCAGCAGGGTGCCGGGCAGCTTGGCGTCCAGCCGTACCTCCCACCAGCCGCCCTTGCCGTCCCGTACGAACACGTGACCGTCGTAGTCCCGACGGAAGTTTAGCTCACGACGGAGCTCGTCTGTCGTACGGCAGTACGGCAGCAAGTACACGGCAGTACAGCGGCGGCGGTGGAGAGATGTGAGTGGACGGTAATGGCGAATGCAACCATAAGATGACACCTTCCCGGCTCACCACCACCCGTTCATGCGGCCCCCCTTATGAGCCCGCCCCACTTCCTCTCACCACCACTCACCCTCTCCTGCGCCTCCCACCCGACCATGAGTCGGGATAAGGGATTGGGTCCTTAGTTGTTTGCATTTCTATATAATTTTCCCACCCGACCATGCGTCCTCACCTCAGCGCCCCACACCGCCAGTCCGCCACCCCACTCACCCACTTCCGCCCGCTCTGCTGCAGACAGTCCGCCCCCCTGGCTGCTGCCGCTGCGCGAACCCAGCAGATAGCCCACCGCACCGCCCAGGGCAGCTGTGGCGGCCAGACCTCCAAACCGCTGCAGCAGCCCCCGTCGTGTCACACCCTGGAAGGGGTGCGGGCGAAGGGAACGAGGGCAGAAGGGGCGAGGGCGGAGTGGTGAGGGCGGAGGGTGATATAGGACACGTGAATTTCGCTTTGTGGGGAGGGGATGTGAACAGGGAACACAGCCGGAGTCGTGTAACCCTACCTGCCCAGGGGGTGGCGGAGGAGGTGGTGGGGGCGGAGGCGGCATGCTCGCCTCTGTCTGGTATACGGCTCGGCATCTTAAACAGGCAGTTCTAGAAGGCCGAGGAGACGGGACCGCCTGGGTGCAAGCTCGCCATGATGTCCGGCCGGAAGTGGATGCCACGCCTGTAAGCGTCATCGCTTGCTGAAACAGCTAGTTACAATTACCTATTAGAAAGAAAACCCTATGTTTGAGTCGGAGGATAACGTCTCAAGCGTGGGCGTGTTTCTATTATCAATGACGACAAACGTTCCGCAGCGTAGCTGCACACTGAGTTGCGTATCAATACAAAATTATAGGCGTGGGTTTGTCGAATGAGTTGAAGACGTCGTGTCAAACAAACAGAGCTTGGCTTACCTCTTGTCCCCCATTACAGTGTACCAGAAACAGAACCGCCGCCGTCGTACCTTACTTACGAGGCCGCGCCTTTCGCATCAGTGCTCGCAAGCGAGTTCAATTGAGTCAGCGTCGCAATTGTGATCCGGTAATTCAGTGCCCCTTGTTCCAGAACTGCAGCGCATTGGCTCTCGTGTCTCGACCTGACTTCACACCAATCGAATTGAACACATCATCGACATAATTAGAAACCGTTCTCTTTGCGCCTATTTCTTGCTCCAAGAGAGAAGCACAAAAGCGCGTCGAGAGGCGATGTGCCCTAAGCCGTAGGAAGTGACGTCGCTAGCAAATCATGCAGTCACGCGTCGATCACCGTTCCGGAGCTATCGGGCAGGCTGGTTTGGGGCACCTACCCTCTCGGAACTTCTCAAGTCGTCATCGGCAAGGTTTACCCATCTCTTCCAGCCCATGCCACCACCTACCTCTAGCCCCTGCGCCTCTACTTCGCCATGGCCATTCAACTGCAGGGTCATCAGCCCCTGGTCTCACTCGTGGCCCGCATGAGGCCCCACCTTTCAGCACCTGGGTTTCAAGCGGGTTTCGGAGCCCTAGGACTCCAAGCTGCCAGCGTCCGAACCCTAATCGTCCTGAAGCCAAAGTTGCTGCCAGCAGCGGCAACGGAGGCTCGGATCACTCCACATCAGGACCTGCCGATGGAACCGCTTCCCAGGCGTCCAAGTCGCCAGCCAGTGGCCCCAAAAACGACTCACAGCAACCTCCGCAGCAGCAGCAGCAGCCACAGCAGCCGCAGCCCAAACGGGGTCGCCCTTCCCTAGAGCAAGTCCAACGCGACGTCCGGGCCAAGGTCGCAAGCCTCGCTCAAGATCAGCTGGCAGCACGACAACGTGAACAGCAACAGCAGCAACTGCTAGAGCAACAGCAGCAGCGGTTACACCGACAGCAGCAGCAGCAGCAGCTAAGGCCGCTGGCAGCTGACTCCATCACAACAGGGCACACAGGGCCGTTGGAAGTCGTTGAGCCGGAAGCCGTACTGGATCCAAACGGAGCTCCAGTTTCCGTACCTCAGTACGCAGCGCCCAACCCAGCTCAGCCAGCAGCCCGCTCAGACGGCTCCAGCCCGCCCACCTCCACTGGCCAGGGAGCCCGACTGAGTCCCACCTCGGCCACCACCACCACTACCTTCTCCAACACCCTGCAGTCAGCACCATCATCATCACCGTTTTCAAACGTATCGTATACCACAACTGCTTCATCCTCCGCGGCCCCCTCCGCAACCGCCTCCGCCGCTGCTGCTACCACCCACGCCGATATCACCACCACCACCGCCACCTCTGCCGCCGCCGCCGCCGGTAGCGACGACGGCCCTGCTGCCGCCAGCGACGTCACCGACCCCTCAAACGCCGCTCAGCTAGACATCGTCCCTCGCACCGCAGTCAGTGGCGCACTGGTGGTGGGACTGTGGGCGGTGTTCCTGCTGCAGTGGGCTCCGGTGGGGCGGGCGCTGCTGGAGGGGGCGGGGGTGCTGGCGCGGGCAGCTGGGGCGGGGGCAGCGGGGGCGGCAGGTGCTGCGTCCGCGCCCGGGTTGCGAGATGTGGGGATAGCGCTGCTGCTGGCGTGTCCGCCCACCTCGCTGACACTGTCCTGGCAGGCGGTGAGTGAGGGGGAGGGGAGGGGGGAGGGGTGGACACGGGGGCCAGGGCAGGGGTCATGGTGCGGGAGGTTTGGGTGTGTTATCCAGGTTTCAGAGAAGGGGAACTAGAGGAGATGTGTACGGTGGCCTTGTGTGTGTTAGGGGACGCGCTGGGTAGGCTGCTCGGCTGATGATAACTCGGGATGTCATGATGAGGAAAACCGTATCTCATAATAGCCTCCGACGCCCAGGACGCCTCCCTCCCTCCTCATCCTTCCCCTCCTTCCGTCCCCATCTCCCTCCCTCCCTCCCTCCGCCCCCCGCCAGGACGCCATCTCCCTGGCCTCGGGTCAGCTGGGCTGCCTGTTTAGCAGCTCCCTGCTGCACAGCGGCCTCATCTCGCTGCTGGTGAGGGGGGGGGGCGGCGGCTGGAATCAAACACGAGGGGAGCTTACTGGATGGCTCACTGAGCAGGATAGCGGGTCAGGAACTTAGGATGGAGGCTTAGGAGGTTTGGGTTGGGTGTGTTAAGAAAACTGGCCGCGAGTAGGCACATACTGTAATTGTCGGTTGGGTGTGTCTGACCTGCGCACACCCACGCGCCGCTTGTAGCTTGTAGGGATAAACTGCAACTGCATGCTCATGTGGCTACCACCGGGTATGTGCACGCTCTTCGCCCATCCCATCCTTTCTTCCTCCCCTTTTCCTGACAGGTCTCCATCGCCTCCCTGCGTGAGACCGCCGAGTGGCTGGAGACCTTCCACGGCTACATGATCATGCTCATCTCCTACTTCATGGCGGGCGGTACGGCGGCCCTGGCGCAGATGTGCGTGGCGGGACAGCCCACCGGCATCGCCGGAGTGGGTGAGTAGCTGCCGTAACTCCGTATTGAACCTATTGTTCTGTTCTGTGCTGTGCTCTGTTTGCTCTGCTGCACTGCGCTGCGCGATGTTCTTTTAAATCTGCACCCTCACACGAGGCGTACCATACCTCAACCGCTCTCCGTTGTTTTCCCTCACCTAGGTTTGCCCTTGGCTCCTGCTTCCAACAGTCGACATGATGCTTGTTGCAAGTAGACCGTTCCCTGTGTTATCGTGCCTACACGGCCCCCCACTGCGCCCCGCCCCCAAACGCATTTCCACCCATCCCATTCCGCTCCCCACCGCTCCTCACCGCCCTCTGCCCCTCCTCCACCTCATCCGCAGCTGCTGCACTGGGTATGGAGGCTGCTGTGTTCGTACGCTGCTGGCGTATGACGGGGGAGGCGCTGCCGCCCACCCCCGCCTGCCTGGCGCTGATAGCCGTGGCGGCGTTGATGGCGGCGTACCAGCCGTTGGTCGGGGCCTGGTGGGTGCTGGCATTGTTGAAGCCTGATTGGAACACGGGGCTTGGCGGGGCTGCGGGGACCTGGGTGGGCGGCTAGGTGCGGTACTTGTGGCATGGATTTCTGCTCCGTAAGAACCAGGAGTGCTGGCGTCGCTGATGCCCGTAATCCTCAGGCAGTGAATTTTGTGTTGCGCGAGTTCTAATGATGTTTTCTCAAGCTAACCTGATGACCGTTCCTCTCCCTTCTCTTCTCTCATCTTCCCTTCAGGGGCATCGTGGGCGGAGTCCTGGGCGGCGCGCTGTCCGGGGTGCTGGCGTACGACGTCTTGTACGGCATGCGAGTGGTGCTGGGCGTGAGCATGCTGCTAGCGCTGGCGGGCTGGGAGTTCCTGACGTGGCTGCCGCAGGTGGTGTGGCAGTGGTTGGTGGTCGCGGGGATAGCGGTGTGGGAGGTGGTTAAGGTGATTGTGCAGGCGGTGCGGGGAGTGTGAGGAGTGTGAGGAGGTCAGAGGGAGAAAGAGAGATGCGGTGGGAGTTGGGGAGAGTTGAGGTGGTGGGAGTGGCTCGGGAGAGGAGAAGAGAGCGAGCGAATAGGGAGTGGGCTGCTTGATGGCAGCACAAGAGCTTGCAGAGGAGGAGACGTGTGAAGGTTGCGGCATACTGAGCTGTTTAATTCACGCATTGGCTTCAGCTGGCTTGCCCTCCATGCATGTTGACTGTTGCTTCTGCAGATAGCTTTTCACGTAGCCCAATGCGACTTACGTGACAGGCTCATGCATAAAGCTCTTAAAGGAAGGTCTTTGAGGCAAACTTCCGACAATTGTGTACCGGTAATTGCATGAGTAAGAGCTCCTCGGAAGTCTCCGCTTCATAAGAACGGGGTATGCTTATACTGTTATAAGATCGCTAAGAGTTTACTATTGTTAAAGGTATGAGAGTGGTGACATGGCAGGGATGGCAGCATGGCACGGTGGTAGAAGTCGGCTCCAGACTGCTCCAGAACCATTTGGACTTGCCTGGTTGTCCGTGGCCCTGGGCTTCTGTTGTCCTTTCACACAATCACTGCATACTCATAGCTGCTTCAGGGTTTCCTTGCACTATCTTCGGTACCACCTCCCGCCACTTAAAATACCGGTACTATTAGGCATATTTAGTTACTTTGCGGTGCGTACCTAGGAATTCCTCCTGCTTTTCGTCTTGCCTATTCACAGTATTCGAGGGAGCACCAACATCACACCGGTATCATGGTCTGGTGGTGGCCGTGGGGACGGTCTAAAGCGACCGAGCAAGGCCCAACCCTAGCCCCACCCAAAGTAGAGCGTAAATGCAGAGCGATCAGAAGCGGTCTCGCCGGATGCCGTATGGCTAACTCGGAGAAGCCCACCGAGGCATGCAGGACTCTGGAGACGGCTCTTATAATGTGCCTGTCGGAGGGCTTATGTAAGGAGCAGCATGAGGAGCACAAGCGTTGTTACACATCAGTTTATAAGACGGGGATGTATAAGGGCCAGGGTCACTGCAATCAGTACGAGGATGCGATGAAGTCGTGCCTGCGCAAACAAAAGTTGTTCCCGTTGTAACAGCTCAGTGCATGTGAAGGGTGTTGGTGATGGCTTCCGATCTTGAGGGGGCACCTTCACGGCGGTAGGATGGGCACCTGTACTGCTTGCCAGCACGTGTCAGCTTCGGTGTTGCATGCTGTGGGCTTCAGGGTAGTCCTAAGTAGGTCAACGGGTATGTTGCGAGCGCAGGAAGCAAGTGGTAGGGACTATGGGAGGGTAGAGGGACGCATGGGCGTGTCTATGTAGGGTTTCGTGCCCCGCTGGGCAGTGGCGCAACTTTAAACAACGATTTGGAAGGGTCCTATCCTACCGTTCATTTCATTTTGCCGTTTTGAGTGCTGCGTATGGGGGCGCTGTATGGGTGTGTGGTTGCGTACGGCATGCTGTGTACGAGTGAGACTGGCACGTGTCCGACTTGCTGTTGCCGTGGCCATCGCTGCTATGTTAATCATTGGTAGGTTTATCCGTGACATTCCGTGCGAGTACGCCTTACCGACGCTTGGTGTTGTCTTGGCCCCGGCTTTACACCCGCTTGGGTAAATATACGTTTCGGTGTTTTGTTCTGCACTGGACCTTGCCAGGCCGACGGCCATACCGGTAACACTCATGACACCCACAGCCTCTTATTCTCATCAATGCATGCATGCATGCTGAGGAGTGCTTGCAAGAATAACACCTAAAGCATCACACGAAGAAGTCCCAAATCCGCAACAAAACCTGTTACCCGACAGCTGGCAGAGAGAAATTTCCTGCAGCAGGCCGTTGCTCGAAATGGACACGTAACACAACCACGCATTATCCAGAGTTTCTTATTGCGTCTTCCCCACACACGCCTGACGAGAGGGCCCCAACCCCCGCACTCCTCATGCTTAGAATGCAGCTGCAATTCCTCCTGTGCCACTCCTGCGCTATCCGTCCGATAGCAGGATAAGATAAGCTATGAACAAGTCCAACACGTGTCATGGGCAATGCGTCACTGCACACCGGGTTTGGGGCTACCATCCATCCAAGCAAGTCATCCACCTGCCAAGCCAAGGCATATTAAGGATAACCGATAACAGACAAGTGAGGACTATCTACTAAAGAAAATATATCTTGGGAGTCCTTCCCTTATTCAGGCCAGCAAATACCACCAAGGGGGACACCTCCTACAGGCTGCCTCCGAGCGTCTTGCCTCATGCCGTACAATACCGTGGTAGAGCTCCATACAGCCCACCTGCTCGTACATTTCAAATAATGCTGCCTCAACAAACATGCTGTACCAGGTACGTTTAATTACCGTATAGGCGCTTCTTATTCTAGCGCAGACGGCACTTCCTTAGCCACATTGCACGACCGTTTCGGTGACCGCCTTCGGCTACATACAATTCGCCTGTCATGCACGGATCCGTCCCAGGCCGCATCACTCCACGGCCACAGCGCGGGCTCTACCGCTGCGCCGGGCTTGCAGCCGCCTGCTGCTCCTCCTCCTCGTCCTCCTCATCCACGTCCCCGACCTGCAACCACGTCAGCACACATGAAGAAGAAGCAGTTGTTAAAAACACATTCGTGTGGTAAGCGCCGTGATGCGGTGTATGTGGGGGTGTGTGCAACGGCGCCGTCGTGTGACGTACCCTTTCAGGACCACTCCCTGTCAGCATGCGGCAGAGCCTGCCATGCAGCCTCTCACCTCACACGCTGCACTGCGCACTCCCACCTGAATGCACGGCACCCAGCGCAGCTCCACCCAGATCCGCGCCCCGTCGCCCTCCTCCAGCGGAATTCCCCGCTCCAAGTCCTCCGGCGCCCGCTCCGGCTGGTCGGGATTGTACTCCTCCCACTTCCTGCGGTGCAGCCCGAACTCCCGCTGGCCTGCGCGGAGGTAGGAAGGCACACCGGGGGAAGGGGTTGCTCGCGGGCGCGTGTGGCTCATGCCAGTGATCCCATACAAGATGACTTTGTTCCCCATGCAACCATACATTCCACCAGTACGGTAAGCAGGAACCCGACTCCATGCACGCTGTCCTCGGTTGCGTTATGTGGTTTACATCCCGTACAAACGCCCCGCATGCAGCAAGTAGGGTAGAAGAAGGCTGAAAAGGCAAAACCTTGCGCACCTGACAGCGGGTTGACGTCGCAGGAGGTGACGATGTCGGAGGCGGGGATGTCCAGTCGGCCCAGGCACTCGGGCGAGGACAGCAGGCTGGACTCCAGCACCTTGATCTTGATCATGTCCGTCAGCTTCACGTGGTAGATGGCGCACATGGCGGTGCTGTCAAGCTGCGGGGGGGGGGCGGTATGGGGCGGGGGCGGTATGGGGCGGCAGGTAAGCGGCAGAGTGTGCGGTAGGGGCAGGGGACGCGGAAACGGACCATGAAAAAGGCGGTGAAGTGGGGGTAAATTTGTCGGGCGTACGATATGTGTTGGCCGATATGTGTTAAGAGGGGAGCGGAGAGAGCTGGGTGCAAGGCCGCCTGGACGTCATGCATGCGCAGCCAAGGTAGCCAACCACACCCACAGCCGTTGCAAACCATCCCAGACAATACCGGTAGCCACACTACGCCCCACCCCACTGTATCCCACCGTATAGTCCAGGTCGACCATGAGTCTGGCCCGCTTGTTGTCGCCGGCAATGGCCTCCTGCAGCGCCTCCATGTACCTCGCCTTCTTGTCAGCATCCCGAGTGCGACCCTCGCGCAGGTCCCGCTCACGCGCCTCGCCCAGCCGCTTGATCTCGGCGCGTAGGCGCGCAGTCTGGTGGGGCGGGTGAGCCGTGTATGGACGGTAGGAAAGGGTCCATAAGGTTCACCATTGAATTGAAAATCCTCCTAAAGCACGTGCAATGTGCGTGAGTCACGAAAGACTGGCGTGGTTTCTTGCTTAGACGAACAACGCATTCCTAAGGCCAGTCAGGCTCCCGTCTAAGTCCCTGCGGCCCCCGAGTACACCCAGCACAAGCACTCACATGCTGCCGGCGGTTCCACGCCTTGGTAGAGCTCTTCCACTCCCTCTTGTTCGCGGTGCTGGTGACGCGCACGTAGGCGGACAGGCTGTCCCCAGTGGCGGCCAGACCCCACACCCGCAGCAGCCGAACCGTGACGATTCCCTGGAGCAGCAGCAGGGGCAGCAGCGGGAGGAGGAGGTGCGGCAACGGAGGTCAGAGCAGCATATGCTGGGCTCGTAAACACGCAAACCCCAAAAGGAGCTAACGACCTGTTCTATCCGTCAATACGGGCTTTCGTTGTCCTAAACGTACCGATTTTGACGGAAGGGAATGCCCGAGGAGACAACGCATGCTACTAGGCAGCAAAGTTAAACCCCGAACGGGCGGGGAGGTGTCGTACCTACCTCCATGGAGTTCTCGATGTCATGCTTGGTGAACCGCTCGAACGGCCAGTACCGCATCTGCAACCGCACCTTGCCGGCTCCCTTGCCCTGCAGCAGCACAATATTCGTGCGCGCAGCAGCACATGTCAAAAACATCACATGTCAAAACATGCCACACCTCCATCCAGACCTCCGGGCAGAACAGGACCTAACCGGTGCGCCAAACCCATCCCGCTATCCGCAAGGACCCGCGCCAACCCATGCCCTCGCATATGCTCTCCACCCCTCCGTGCATCCTCACCGGGCCGCCCGGGCTGCCCCAATCCGCTCGCCCCAGCTGCGTCACCACTGTCTCGCTCTGGTCCTGCGAGCCCGCCTTGCAGATGGGGCCCAGCTTGACCATGGAGCGGCCGATGAGGCCGCGGCCGTTGACCACCTGCGTCACCTGCCCCGTCAGCAGTTTCGAGGGGCGCAGCTTGTCGATGTCGAACGCCTCCAGTCGCATCAACTGATCCCGCGGCTCCTGCAAGATGAGGAGGAAAGGGAAGAAAAATGGGGAATGCAGATGAAGGGGCGCATGTTCGTGATGCTGCTCCTGGTGCTGCAAGAGGAAGTACTTCGGTACACGAACGACTGTACTTCTGACGCGCGGCTGGATTGTATGCTCAGGCTCACCGCGGCATGCGCGCCGCCATGCTCCCCTGAGTCCTCTAAACCTCACCCCCCTCCCCGTTCCTCCCAACCCACCTGGATGAGCAGGAAGATGCACTCGTTCCACGTCACCGACTCCCCCAGCCGCTCCTGCTCCTCGGGCGTAACGCCCGCCACGGGCTTCGCACGGCGGATGCTGGTCGCCTGCACACACACAGATCTTCATCTTCATCTTCCGACATCCCAGTACGTTCCTACTCGCGGCCAGTTTTCTTAACACACCGATACACGCCAGCTTACATGACACGCGCACGCACATGGGGGTGTGCATGGACCAAGAAGGACCAGACCGCGTGCGTCACATACATCCTGCCCCCACCACCCACCTCGAAGTGCTCGCTGTCCGTGGTGAGCTCCACGCTCACATCATTGGTGCCCCATTCCTGCGGCCGCAGCTCCTTGGCCGACTCAACACACACCCGCAGCACGCCTCGGTGCCGCCGCATCAGCCGCTGGATCTCAATCTTGTCCTGGTCCGTCTCCTGGGGGGGTGCCGGCCACAGCCCGTTCACAACCGGTTCCGGCATTCCAAAATCAGCCCAGCTTAGAAGCCCCTCCCGCCCGCTCAGCAGCCCCCCCCCTCAGCCCACCTGCAGGATGGGCACCACCAGTCGCTGCGGCCACACCAGCATCTTGGTAATGACGTCGCGCAGGAAGAAGTTGACCACGGGCGTCACGGCGGCTGGCGCCATGGAGCCGCCCATGGCCCGACCAAAGTCCAGTCGGTACTTGATGAGCGGTGGCTTGGGGACCGTGGCCATGGCGCCCACTGCAGGGAGGGAGAGGGCAGAAGGAGGGCGTGCGGGCGGGGTAGTAGTAGGGTGAGGTGTGGAATGCAAGAGAGGGGAAAGCATGGCCAGAAGGTACCGGTAGTGAGACGGTGAGTCGCGCAAGACATACTGCAAGACAGGAGCATTGAAACGCGGGAGGGAAATGTGTAGGGGGCATGAAAGCGTGGGTCCAGAGGTGGCGTGTCTCTGTGTGTGCTAGCAGGCAGTGCAGTGCGCGGCCCGCCGTCACTCACCGAAGCCCGGGATGCGAGGTACGAGCGGGTTCAGCACCACACGCACAGTGGCCGCGAAGGTGATGTCCATGATGCGGGGGCACAGCTTTTGACTGCGGCGCGCAGGACACAGAGAAGCAGGGAGTAAAGACGGGGGTGTGTGCAGCGTTTAGACAGTGTCTACAGCGTCTCCGAGAGTTGAGGCTTGAGACAATGACCGGGGCACTGAAACAACGCTGGTCCTCAAAAAACAGCGCCACACACTCAAACGCGCCTGTGGAAGGTTGGATACCCCGGAAGCCGCCACCCGCTTACCCGGTGGGGATTTCGATGGCCAGCGTGATATTGGGGTCGCCGCACCACTTGACGTCCAACTCCATGACCAGGCTGCCGGTGTCCTCGGGACTCACCCAAATACCTGTTTTCGGGGGTGCGGCAATGCCGCAGGCAGCAAGGAAGAGCGCCGTGTAAGCAGAGGTGTAAGAGGGTCAACAGGGACACGAGAGCAAGGCATGTGTGGCCTTGCTGCCTTGCTTGCCACGCACTGGTTCCTGGGCCGTGGCACGTACAGGTTCCCATATGGCTGCTTCCCAGAATCACGTAAAGGGTTATCCAGAGTGCTACCCAAAGCGCTCATGTTTGGACCATCATAAAAGATAAAACCCATTACAGCACATGCATGGCGGGCCTCAACTCACTCTCCACACGGACAGGCGCCCCGCCGAACGTCAGGTGCTTGAAGCCGATGCTCTTCACCACGCCCCTCAGCCCCACGGGCAGCTCCTTCAGCACATCAGGCATCACTCGGGCTGTGGTGTCCTGCAACAAGCAAGCGAGCAATCACAGGGGCGTTTGAAGGCAACACAGATTGGATTGCCACCCCACGCAACTGCAACCACAGCACGTCCTTCGGGCATTCAGGAAACAACGCAACCAGGAACGCACTGCACCAACAACTGCTGCTATCTAAGTAAGTTCGTATGTACAACAACAGCCAACGCGCCCCGCGCATGTGCTCGGCTCCAGCCACTCAACCCACACCTTGATCATCTGGCATATGCCCTTGTCGACGAACGGCCACACCTCCACAATCAGGCTGTTCAGCCACTGTGAGGTTGAGGCGGAGGCAGGTGCGAACCGAGGGCAACGGCAAGCGTTAACAACAGGGCGCACGAAAACAAGCATTCAATCTCACTTCTTCCATTCTGCCAAGGCCGCACGCTCACGGCGTTGCCATGCGTGGGGAGTGCCGTGGCTAGCGCAATCTGTATGTGGGGGAGTTACGGTAACGCACAGCGGGGCAGCGGTTACGTACCTCCAGCTTCTCCTTGTGCGAGATGTTGAACCAGGAGGGCAGGCCGCCCGCCACCAGGTTGGCGCCCTTCAGACCCAAGTTGATGGACAGCTGCGCGGGCACCACAACAGCAGCAGCACAGCAGCGGTGGGCCACGAAGCACAGCAGCAGCAGAGGGAGGGGGGCACGAAGCAGCGCGGCGCAGGGCACACCGTGAGGGCTCCGTCATTGTTAAGGATTACAGTAATGCAGCGCGAGGGCAGAAGCACCATGTGAACGAGCACCGCAGCACAAGAAACCACCTGCCTCCGATATCCAGGAGGAACCAATCCTCCTGCCCTTCAGCCCCACGCCGCGATCAACCCAGCCCCACGCCTTACTTAACTCCTTTCCCTCTCGTCGCCTAGGACGGCCCCCCCGTAGCCACCTACCAGCTCGTTCACCTCCGCCTTCCGCTTCTTGTTGTAGTAGAACAGGAAACTTAGGCCCAGGCCGAACAGCAGCCCCCACACCAGGTTGTACGCCAGTCGGAACACGGACGGCATGAAGATGGGTAGCAGCAGCACCTGGAAGCCCAGGACCACGAAGAAGAGGGCGACGCCGATTTGGTCGAGGGTTAGGGTGATGGGCGGTCCCTCCTTGAGGAATGGAGCCTTCATGAGCAGCGCCAACGTGCCGCGAGCTTCCTTGCCAGCCTCCACGTAAGCCTGCCCCGCCTGCTTGGCTGCGTCAGCAGCGACCTTTGGCAGGGTCTTTAGGTTCAGGCCCTCTGCCGCCTCAGGGGCTGCAGGAGCCGCAGCGGGTGTGTTTGGTGCATCCTTGCTGGGTTTGGCGCCAGTTGTGTCGGGTGCGCGCGCCTCAGGCACCTTCCCAGCAGCGCTCCCAGCGGCATGCGTGTAGGTCGGTGTCGCCGGTGCACCGCCGCCATCGGATGGCGCGTTTGCCGCATTTACAATGCGTTCGCGAGGTGTTTCTAAAGGTGTAGCTTGCGTGCGCAGGGTGGTCGAGTTGGGCGTTGAGACCTCCACAATTTCAGGGAGGTTGGTCTTTGGCGACGGTTGCAAAGCCGGGATGCTGTTCCCATTCAAGTCTTTAGGAGCAGGCGTTGGTGACGTCTCCGACCCACTTGGTTGTGACCGCGGCGTTGCGGAGGTGTCTGGGGACGACTTGGGCTTTGTCGGCAGGTCGGAAGGCGAGCCCTGGACCACCTGGGAAGTGCGCTGCGGCTGAGGTGAAATAGAGGAAGCTACTGAAGTACTACCGTTTGCGGTGGAGGGCTTATCGCCCGGGCCCAACTCGGCCATTTAGGTTACAAGTCGAATATATGCACCTCGGAAATGCGCCCAACTCAAGGAATAATCACCGCGTACACGTGGCGGTGCGTAACATTGCCAATCGTCTTGCTATATATCGAGGAGAGCACGGCACGAGCAAGACCCCAGGCCGTTACGAAGTTGATGATTAGCTGAAAAGCAAGAAATGGCATAAGACCTGTGGAGACGAACCCCACTAGGGTCAAAAGTCCTGCCGACCACTTTCATGCGACCTTGGGTCGGAGCACTTCCGAAACCACAATGTACAGTACGGACATCGTTCTCAACCAGCCATATGATACAACAAAGGTGTAACAGCACAAAGAATATGCAAGGATGCAAATAGGCAAACTGATGAATAGCTTCTTCCAAGCTAGTAGGTACGGTTAGTGTGCTGCTCAACTCCATCGTACTGCGACCACAGCCTCGGTTCTTGAGCGTTCTATGGTTCCTAAGCAGATCAGCTTTTCAAGCGTCTGGGTTTGTGACGAATAACGGATTGTTGAGTTGGGGGCCGCTTACTGTTGCCATTCTAAGCCGGGACAATCAGGAGCCCTGGCACGCTCTTTAAAGTTGCTTACCTATATGTGAGGCTCAGCGTGGAAACCATGGCGCAGACACCCGCTGACTGACATGAGGGTCAGAAACTAACTAGGCACTTAGGCAGGAAAGGAAAGCGGGCGCTTCGCTAATGACACAAGTGTTGGTTGCAATGTCCTGTCTACAGACTCGCCAAACGCGGCGTGCAAGGGACTAGCAATACTTACAGATGCCGCGTCCCGCGGGTCTGGGCTGGATTCCACCCTAGCCGAGTGCCCTCGGCCAGTCACTTCCAAAAGGAAGCAGCACCCGTGACACGCGGTACGGTTCTCTCGAATCCCCCATGTGAAATAGCCCCCAGTAGTAAGGGAAAACATTAGCTCGGTTAGAATTGAATAGGAACTGCTAAAAGGTAACTGTAGGACCTTCAGACGCACTGTGGCTGCTAAAAGAATGTACATACCGGTAAACTGTGAGGACTCAAAACAACCAAACAACATCCCATGTTACGCGCGTTGGCTTCATAGCTATCCGCCATGCATACAAGCGGATGCCACCGAGCTGCAAATTAACGCACCGATTAACAACGTGGGGAAGAAGGCAGACCCAAGCAACCCCCATTACTATATGGGTATTTATTACTACGCAACATTCTTACCAATGAGGTTTATTGACGAGTCCTATTCCGCAACCACGCAACCGGAAAGAGGAACACGCGTAACAATGATCATTGTGCTTTGCTTGTTATTAGCTGTCACAAATAGCCCCATGCTCTGCCACAAGCAATTGAAGACACTCACAACTGAACAGACGTCCTATGAAAGGCGCAATGCTCACGTTCATGCAGCAACAGGGCGGACAAAGAGGGCGTTGTATGGACGTATTATTCACAGCTTATGACGCACCACAGAGTACGACATCCACAACAACCACCTAGCTGGCGTGTGATGCCAACCCACTCTATACTCCACATCAACTGAACCAACATTGTATATGTAACTGACATTAACTGCATAAGCACTTGCAGAGCAATTTCGCAACATACGCGCAACCTCTTTCAGCCGCAATCCTCATTACTCCATCGCAAGGCACATCCACCGGCCATGCACACCGTAACCGCCACCAAGGCTTGCTTACATGGTGTCATGGAAGGTGCGCGCAATGACCTCCAGCTGCTGCTCGTGCGTGAGGCGGGCGAAGTGGACAGCGTAGCCAGACACGCGGATGGTCAGGTTGGGGTACTTCTCGGGGTGCTGCAAGGGGAGCACGTCGTAGGCATTGTCGGGCAGGAGTTCAGAACAGGCCAGAAGCCACGTAAGGGGGCCCAGGTCAATCTGTTATCAGGCCCCGCACCTGCCACTCGCGACCATGTCTTAAGGACATGCAACCACAAAGCATTATGCCTTTATGCGAATGCGTCATGCCCCGCGCCGCTTTGGCCCTTTCCCCACCACCCCTCCACCATGATGACGCCTCATCGCACGTTTCGTTACTTGTTTCCTCTTTACCCCTCCACCCACCTCCACTGCGTCCATGAGCATGGCGCGGTTGAGCACGTTGACGTTGATGTGGTGGCCGCCGTTGGCGAAGTAGCCGTCCAGGATGGAAGACAGGTTGGAGGCGCGCTCCTGTTCGTCGCCCTTGCCCAGCACCTAGCCGCAGAGGGCCCCCAGTAGTAAGGGAAAACATGAGGGATCGAGGTTAAGCGTCCTCTGACTACCGGATTGTCCTGATTTGGCCTCCCATTGCAGCTCCTCATGTATGCATGCTTGCATACAGGAGATGCCTTTCCGGCACCTTTCAATCCTTACGATCCTTCTGCAATCCACAACATTGCAGCCTGCAGCCATGGCTTACGTTTTCTAAGTTACTTACCTGTGGAACAAGGGAGAAGGTGTTGGAGATGCCGTCCAGGCAGCAAGTGTACGGCAGCTTGGCAACGGAGTTGAGGGACGCCAGGGCGCCATGTGCATCGCGGCCATGCATGGGGTTGGCTCCAGGTGCAAACGGCTCGCCCTTCTTGCGGCCATCCGGAGTGTTGCCGGTCTTCTTGCCGTACACCACATTGGAGGTGATGGTCAGCACCGACAGCGTGGGAATGGAGTTGCTGTGGGACGGCATTGAATGCACAAAAGGCCAGAAGTCGGGACGATACCCCTGGTGAACTGCAAGACGTAGTCTACGTTGATGCCGTTGTCTTCATTAGCGGCCGGGCAGTGCTAAGCGGTAGTACCACAACGTTTATTACTTACCGGTACGTGTGCTGCGTGCTAGACGCTAAACAGCCCAAAGGCCTGGAACCCCGGACGAGCACTTACCGGTACGTGTGCTGCTTGCTGAGCTTCTGAGAGAAGGACGACACCACCCACTCAGCCAGCGAATCCGCCCGGTCATCGTCGTTGCCGTACTTGGGGAAGCTGCCCTCTACCTTGAAGTCCACCATGAGGCCCTTCTCGTCGTACACGGGCGTGACCTTGGCGTGCTTGATGGCAGACAGCGAGTCGGCCACCACCGACAGGCCCGAGATGCCGAACGCAAGCAGGCGCCGCACGTGGGTGTCGTGCAGAGCCATCTCCATCCTTTCATAGTTGTACTTGTCGTGCATGTAGTGGATGACGTTCATGGTGTTGGCGTACAGGGTTGCCAGCCACTCCATGCCTGCATGGTGGCGTGAGCAGGGGTGCGGCAACGGGTTTTGCACACCAGCTGTACGACATGGACTGTGGTAGCAGCACGCAGCCGGGACGCATGCACCCGTTTCACCATGGCAACCAAGGGGTAGCCTAACAGCAGCGGCTCACCATCTTCCAGCTTGGCCTTGACCTCCTCGAAGTCCAGTGGCGCGTCCTTGTTGGCCACCGGGGCGAACTTGGGGCCCACCTGGTCGCCAGTCACCTCGTCGCGGCCCTGGGCGGACGGAAAGATGGTGGAGGGGAGATACACTCAGCAGTTTGGGCAACTATACCCTTCGTGCTCAACAGCTCAACAGCAAGGCGAAGCAAGCTACCTGTCAACCCGGAGAAGAAAGCCGTAATAGGCATGCACCTCACCTGGTTGAGGACGTAGAGCAGCAGCTTGGGCAGGTTGGAGCGCGCACCAAAGTACTGCATGTCCTTGCCCACGCGCATGGCCGACACGCAGCAGGCGATGGAGTAGTCCGAGCCGAACAGGCGGCTCATCAGCGTATCGGATTCGTACTGGATGGAGGAGGTGTTAATGGAAACCTGTCCAGCGGAAGCGGAGAGAACACGTTCGTTCTCAATATTCGGGATCAGCGCATGCATGGATCAGCCTGCAGCACTCCCGATACGCTGCAACTCGCGATACTGGTATGCCGCGACAGCCGTGTCGGTACATCCAACCCTTCCTTAACCGCTGTACCTGAGAGCAGAAGTCCTTGAAATTCTGCGGTAGGTTCTCGTTCCATAGCACGGTCAGGTTGGGTTCCGGAGCCGGGCCCAGGTTGTAGAGGGTCTGCAGCATGCGGAAGCTGGTCTTGGTGACCATGGCCTTGCCGCTTGCATCGGTGCCGCCCAGCACGCAGGTGACCCAGGTAGGATCACCCGCGAACAGCGCGTTGTAGTCGGGCGTGCGAAGCTGCCTGCGGGGAAAAGGAAGACAAACCTTATACGCAGTTTGGCGCATAACGGGAGCAACAACGGGCTGTAGCCCAGGCGCAGCTGTCGTCTCTTGCGCCCTTGCATGCGTGCGTGCCTGCCCACCTGACGATGCGCAGCTTCATCACAAAGTCGTCAATCAGCTCCTGCACCTCCTGCTCCGTCATGTTCCCAGCCGCCAAGTCGCGCTCAAAGTAGGTGTCCAGGAAGGCGTCGATGCGGCCCAAGCTCATGGCAGCACCGTCTGCATGCGCCCACGTTCGACATTGTGTCAAGCAGAGAGGATGCAGGGAGACACTCGCCAACCCGCCGGGACTAAGGCCACACAGCCTTGCGTGGGGTTGCGTCGGTAGCGCCTATTTGGCACGAGGCCGCGTCGCAAGAAACTCAGTTCCACGCAGTGCAACCAAGCCCCCACCCACCTTGCTCCTTGACTGCGGCGAGGTAGGCAAAGTAGAGCCACTGTACCGCCTCGCGCGAGTTCTGGGCGGGCCTGCGATAGGAGGAAACAGGGAGCCGTCGTCAGCCTGCTGCACAAAGGCCAATCGGTAGCGCAAGTTCCAATAATCCAAGTTAGGAATCAGGATAACAGCATGGAACCAAGCATGAAGCACTAATTCGCAGTCCGTTCCTCCTCCGCGCCCCCCCCCCAAAACCACCCTCGCTCACTTGCTGATGTCGCAGCCGTACGCCTTGGCCATGGCCTTGAGCTCGTTGAGCGCGCGGATCTGCTCGTTGACCTCCTCGCGCAGCCGGATGCGCTCCTCGTCCATCACCCCCAGCAGGTTGTGCTTGAGGTCGGTCTTCTTGGCGGCGATCAGCGCGTCCACGCCGTACAGCGCAACACGCCTGCGAGGCATTGCAACCGCACATGTTACAGCCCGAGGAGACAGCTTACCCCCCATGCCAGGAACCTCACGCCAGGCATATCAAGCCAGGCATGGCCTTCGTCGGGCCGATTATTAGCACCGGACCACAAAACTGTCTGGCCCCAACGCAGTAGTAACCTCACCTGTAGTCGCCAATGATGCGGCCGCGGCCGTAGCCATCAGGCAGGCCCGTCAGGATGCCGCTCTTGCGTGCAGCGCGCATCTCATCGGTGTAGGCGTCAAACACGCCGGCGTTGTGGGTCTTGCGCACGTGCGTGTACAGTTTCTCCACCTGCAAGAAGCCAGTACGACATGGCGGACGTACGAGCAGTACAGTTGCATCAAACGGTCGCTCCAATCTCGTTCCACGCACCGCACATGAAGCAATGCGGGCTGTTTGCGTTCGCAGCGCAGGGCACTGACTGAGAATCGCTTCTTAGGCATGCAATCAAAGCAGAATTGCTCACGAAATGGCGTACCTCTGGATCTGGTGTGTAGCCGTACGCCTCCAGGGCCGCCTTGACCATGTTGATGCCGCCCAGGGGCTTGATGGCGCGCTTCAAGGGCGCATCCGTCTGCAAGCCCACAATCAACTCCAGGTCCTTGTTGATGTAGCCGGGAGGGAAGCCGGCGATGGTGGAGGGCTTGCTTGGGTCCACGTCCAGGACGCCCTTCTCCAACTGCAGGGCGGGGCAAGACACGTCAGCATGGTGTTTAAAGCGCATACACGCCAGCATGTGCGTATGCCCGGCTAAACCGCATGGCAAGAACACGCACCCAGCGAGAAGTCACGCCAGCCATACGCACCTCCGTGGCAATCAGCTTTTCCAGCTGGGACCAGAGCGCCTTGGTGCGGCTAGTGGGTCCAGCGAGGAAGGTCCGGTCGCCGTGGTAGGGTTTGTAGTTTTCCTGCGGGGTATACAAATCAGCATAGAAAGTTAAAGCCTGCAGGACCGCTTACAGGCATGGCCCCAATACCTGTGTTTTAGGCTTTACCTGTACGTACTTCTGCACGTTAATGCCAGATTCTACTGCCGGCTTTGGCCGAGGGTCGGGCAGATGGGGGAACTTGTCCGGATCGTAAGGACAAGACACAGCCGGGTGTGCGGGCTTTCCGACACTTGCTGCCACCGCGCAGAAGGGCCTATAGAGAAGATGTATGTCAGCCACCTTGAACCGGATTGCGGTGAAAGAACAAAATCAACGACGACTGACCGGAAGGTTAAGAGCCGGTTCCGGCATTTGGCAGTTGGCAGCTGAGTTCCCACGCCTCGAGCTACCATGCTGAACAGCTGTGGTGCGGGCCTACACAAACATAATCAGGCACAACGAGAGTTGTAAAGGGAAAAGCCAACAGTGACAGGAGACTGAGCCCATGAACCTTAACCACGCGCAAGATTCCGTCAACGGCGAAGGGCTGCTTCGCAACTAGACGTACCTTGAAGTTAGGATATCCAACGAGCCGCTACTTGACTTCCGCGAGGCCGCGGACACGCTATGCGACAATCTCGCATGCAGCATTTGCGACAAGGGAAACAGGACTGGGCAAGTCTGCTTTATTATGTTGCTGAAACTAAGTGCTGGTATCATGCAGTATGTCGTGTGTTTGTGCTGGCGAAATAAACAGCAGCAGAGCTTCCTGAAGTTTCTTACGCATCTATACGGGACGCAACGCTTGTACGTTATGACTGAATTTGAAGCTAATATCAATATGCCGCGGCAAAAGGGCATAAGGGTTTAAGGTTTGCGACATCTACCCTTGGACGTTCCTCATCAGCAGTTGATCTGCCCACGGTTGGCGGGCGTCAAAAAAGCAACCTCGGCAACGCGACAAAAACATAAACAAGTAGGATCTAAACAACTACATTAACCCAGTAGTTCATATTTGGCATTACGCAGAAGACTTGAGTCGGTGCGTTTCCGCCGCTGACGCGCATGAAGAACTTACAGTAGTCTACTGGTCCGCTAAAGCAAGGGGATAACACTTTAAGCGGATTAGGCCACCAGCTGTACATGTAACAGCGGCGGCGCTTACCCGCTGGATGTCCTATCGTCGCCTTCCATTCTGCCATCAGCTGCTGCCTGACCTGCCCGACGTTTCCCTGCTTCATGCTTCAATGCTGTATTTGCTTCTTATCGGAGGTGCTATTTACGCTTCGTGGGCTGGGCCCTTATGCCAAGCCACCTTATGCGCAGCTAGCACCACTGGTTTCCCTCGCCATCTTTCGCCTCAGGCAGAGGGGGGGTAGGAAACGCGAGGACAGACCCCATGATTTAAAGATAAAGAGCTTATTGAGAGCATTCCAAATCTGCTTTCAGAATTTTAATTGGATTTATCTGCGGAAAACGGAAAAAGTTATCTGCGCCCAAAGGTGACTGTACGGCAGGGTGGGTGGGTGGGGTCTGGGGGTCCAGTGGGTTTTTTCCGAGGGCTTCCTAACTTTTTCCTGGCGTTGCCAAACTCACTTTGAAGTATATTTATACGATAAACATACTGTAAGCAGTCTATAAACGCATTTTTGCCTCTTTCTGATATGGTTTGGGCATGGCATGATGACATTACCACGCATGGGTGGTCAGAGAGATACCAAAACACGTATGGGTCGGTGGGGGGCAGGCAGGGCGCGGGTCCGGGTGCCTCCACTTAGGGGGGAGACACCCGCAGGTGGTCTGCCCAGCCAAGCAGAAGGGGGCCGGGAAGTTAACCATGTGACACGGCTCCCCTACGTGCTGCATCCCTGGGGTGGGGTTGAGGGGAGTAGAACGGGGCAGGTCTCTCGGCAGCAGCTGCGTCACCTGTGCCAGCCGCTGCACGTTGTCTGAGCCCTGCTAATCCTTGCTGGTAATTGCTGGTCTTGACGCAGTAGTGCGTGTGTATGAGGCTAGTGTACAACGGTGCACCCGTTGCTGTCTATAGGGTTGGATGGCGCGACCATGGCATGGCGCGACCATGGCATGACTTAGTAGGTGCAAAAGCTCAACAAGTTGTATACACAGAAAGAGGACACTGAAAATAATCCATTGGTCTTCTTTGCGTCTTTTTTGGCGTACGGCTATATGAGAAAACAGCGTTCGAAGTTCTGTAGGGTGGGTGGGTGGGTCCGGGAGGGGTCGCCAAAAGTTCATCATGGGTTCAGATGGGTTTTACCAAAAAAATGTACCCCCCCCTGCCTCAGTGGCTTTTTTTAATGCACATGTAAGATCTTGTCTCTTGCTCTCTGCTTCGCATTCAATGTATGCAAAGTACGGGCAGTGTATGTCACAGCCGACAGCTTTATTACACGGCCCTTCAATTCGTCGTTTATATTATTCATTATTTCGGACATTGTCACGCGACGAGACTAAGTTGCATGCTGACACCTCCCCCGCCTCCAGGGAGCAGATTTGTTAATTTTGTGACAGGCGGCACGCAAGGCACAGAGTGATTTCTGTGAAAGGCAATACAACTCGTTCCGAGGCCCATAGGGTTGTGCGTCGTTCGGACTCCCCTGTAAAAGTCGCATTCGCCAGTCACAAAGGGGTCATGGGAACATAGATTTACTAGGGTTGAAGTAGTCGGATACTTCACTTTCGGCGGGGGAATTTGGGCCGTGAGCTAAGCATGCGTGCATACTCACGAGGTATCTGCTTCTCTGGTATCAATGCGCCTAGGTCTGGAAGTCTTAAAGACCATTACTGGGGAGGGTTTTGCACGAAGCAGGATAAGTTACATTGATTACGCCAAAAGCAACTGGTTACGCTGACTTCAGACGCGACCGCCTGTTTATTTAACACTACCCACAAAGCGCCTCAGGCAACAAACACACTTTATTGGGAAGTATGGGCCCCCAATTAACAGGGACAAACCATCTTCAGTACAGCCTGTAATAGCCATTAGTAATACAGCCCGCAACTGGTTATTGGCATCTATCAACGCAATGACGCCGTAGTACATTAGCTTCGGAATGCATGTTTAATGAACAACACTTTGGAAGGCACTCTGTATCACGTGTACGCGCGCACCACCTCGAGCCCGTTGACAAGGATGGAGACACGGTAACTAGTTCACAAAATGCCCCCCGACGATTGCATGTCGCATCGCAATTTCCTGAAAAGAGTAACAAAGATGGACGACGATCACACACATTGCACACTCAACGATAGTACACGAGGCGACACACCAGTTACCCCGCACCGCAGCCTGCAGCAATCGGCAGCCGACATTGCTTTGCAGTGGCAAAGAACAAATACACACAAGAACGCAACGGATGATACGGGATGACTGGTTCAGCTCATTCGAACTGACCAACGGAAGGGGCACGTTTCTGTGCTCCAGGGGCATATGTCACACAGCTCACACTTCCTCCACATGGCCAGTGTCCCCAAACGTACTTGAGCATATATGAAGATTGGTGCACACACAGAGCATGAGTAACGATGACTTAGTAACCTTGCTAAGTTCACATATCCACCGCGCGACAGCTCCCTACTAAAACCGTACTCAGCGAGGGTTATTCTTCGTCAAGGCATCCTTTGCCAAGCTTACATGGTGTCATGGAAGGTGCGCGCAATGACCTCCAGCTGCTGCTCGCGCGTGAGGCGGGCGAAGTGAACAGCGTAGCCAGACACGCGGATGGTCAGGTTGGGGTACTTCTCGGGGTGCTGCAATGAAGGGGACAGGGGGGAAAGCTGTGAGAACATCTTTCATTAAAAATCAATTCATCAAACACGCGGAAAAGCAAAAGAAGGTGGGGGTCCTTCCAAGGCATGGGCGGCTGGGCGCTTTAGGAAGAGTGCCGGAAGACTTTATGTGGGGCACGGTGGCATGGCTGTTGGCGGTAAAGGGGCATCTTCCCGCAATGGCACAGGGTTGTATTGAACTTCGGTGCTCACATGCCGCCTTGGTGTGCCTTTACAGCCATATTGACCGGGGCAAAATACCGCATGTGCATTGGGTGCCATACACATGTGTATGCGACATGTCTGTTGGCATCATCTGCTGCTGCATTGCAGCCCTATTCGCACCATTATCGAACAGCAATGTTTATTAGCACGTTATGAACCTAGGCTAGCTAGCTAGTCAGTAGGCGTTCATAGGCAGTTGCAAGTACAGCATGATCAGTCATCGTACAAAGGTTGCTTGTCGCAAACAGACGCAGGAAAATCGAGTGTGGCCTTTCCTCTGCCATATCATATGCGCAGCAGGCGGACATTTTTTTCATCACGTACGGCCCACGGGTGTGCCTGTGCGTTTGTGCATGCCTTTGTGTTTGCCGACCAAGGATGCGATAGGTATTTGCTGCATGAATGTGCCCCATACGGGCTACAAATACAGAGCATACGCACACGTAAGTGCCCCTTCCCACACCACTCTCCTCCACCCACCTCCACTGCGTCCATGAGCATGGCGCGGTTGAGCACGTTGACGTTGATGTGGTGGCCGCCGTTGGCGAAGTAGCCGTCCAGGATGGAAGACAGGTTGGAGGCGCGCTCGACCTCGCCGCCCTTGCCCAGCACCTGTGCGCGCATCATCCAACATGCAGTGAGCAGGTAGGATTGGGAAGGAGCCCGCGAATCGCTATGCAGCTCAAGTACCTTGTCACGGGAAAGCACTGTGTTGTGAAACTGAAAAAAACATGCACTCCGAATCTCATTACCTGGGGAATGAGCGAGAAGGTGTTGGAGATACCATCCAGGCAAGCGGAGTACGGCAGCTTGGCAACGGAGTTGAGGGACGCCAGGGCGCCATGTGCGTCGCGGCCGTGGAGAGGGTTGGCGCCGGGGGCGAATGGCTCGCCCTTCTTGCGGCCGTCAGGAGTGCTGCCAGTCTTCTTGCCGTACACCACATTGGAGGTGATGGTCAGCACCGACAGCGTGGGCACCGAGTTGCTGCACGTTTGCAAACACGGAAGATGATGTTAGTGAGGTAAACGACAGGCGCCGTACATGTAAACTGCAAATGGGCAATTTTCCCGGCTAGGCAGCCATGCTAGACGCTAAACAGCCCAAAGGCCTGGAACCCCGGAAGAGCACTTACCGGTACGTGTGCTGCTTGCTGAGCTTCTGAGAGAAGGTCCCGGCCACCCACTCAGCCAGATCGTCAGCACGGTCATCGTCGTTGCCGTACTTGGGGAAGGAGCCCTCGACCTTGAAGTCCACCATAAGGCCCCTCTCGTCGTACACGGGCGTGACCTTGGCGTGCTTGATGGCAGACAGCGAGTCGGCCACCACCGACAGGCCCGAGATGCCGAACGCGAGCAGGCGCCGCACGTGGGTGTCGTGCAGAGCCATCTGCAGGCGCTCATAGTCGTACTTGTCGTGCATGTAGTGGATGACGTTCATGGTGTTGGCGTACAGGGTTGCCAGCCACTCCATGCCTACATCGCGTCGAGGGGAAGGGCGAATCAGACGAGTGCAAGCGCATGATGGGTTGATGGCCGGCAAAAGCTGCAAAACAACTTGCTTGTAAGCAATTGCTGCCCCTCCCTGTCACTCACCGTCGGCCAGCTTGGCCTTGACCTCCTCGAAGTCCAGTGGCGCGTCCTTGTTGGCCACCGGGGCGAACTTGGGGCCCACCTGGTCGCCAGTCACCTCGTCGCGGCCCTGGGCGGACGGAAAGATGGAGGGGAGCGATGAGAGCGACGCCATACCGGTATGTAGCCATAGTAAGCTAATAACAGGCAGAACTTATCACGCCCCGTCTGGCAGAAGCATTTTAACGACAGCATCAACCAGACGGTTTTCTCAGCAAAGGTTCAAAGCACGGCAAGACTCTCGGACCCGTACCTGGTTGAGGACGTAGAGCAGCAGCTTGGGCAGGTTGGCGCGCGCACCAAAGTACTGCATGTCCTTGCCCACGCGCATGGCCGACACGCAGCAGGCGATGGAGTAGTCCGAGCCGAACAGGCGGCTCATGAGGCCGTCAGACTCGTACTGGATGGAGGAGGTGTCCAGGGAGACCTGTGGGGACAAACAAATGCCGTCAGCACTTAAGAACAACGTAAGGAATACGACACGTCCAAAGCACTGCATGTCCAACCGGGTCACCGGCAAAGACAAAAACTGGCAATGCCCACCTTGGAGCAGAAGTCCTTGAAGTTCTGCGGCAAGTTGTCGTTCCAGAGGATGGTCAGGTTGGGCTCGGGGGCCGGGCCCAGGTTGTACAGCGTGTTCAGGATGCGGAAGCTGGTCTTGGTGACCATGGGCTTGCCGCTTGCATCGGTGCCGCCCAGCACGGCGGTGACCCAGGTGGGGTCGCCGGCAAACAGTGCATTGTACTCGGGCGTGCGAAGCTGCCTGCGGATAGAAGGGAGGCAAAGGACCCGTCGGTTCCTGGCTGCTAGCAACGGCTCCTACAATGCCGCATGCGATTGCCAAGCGCGAACCTAAGCACGCCGCACACGTGCATCCGTCCCCTGCCCACCTGACGATGCGCAGCTTCATGACGAACTGGTCAATCAGCTCCTGCACCTCCTGCTCCGTGATGGTCCCAGCCGCCAGGTCACGCTCAAAGTAGGTGTCCAGGAAGGCGTCGATGCGGCCCAAGCTCATGGCAGCACCGTCTGCATGTGGTGAAACGCAGAAGGTGAGTACAGTCCTCTTACTATGCGCACGGCTTGCGTACCGAAATGCGAGGCCATGGTAAAGCCAAAACAAAAACAGGCCGCATACGCAAAGGATCAGTTCCCAAGTGCCCTGCAACGTACCCTGCTCCTTCACCGCGCCCAGGTAGGCAAAGTAGAGCCACTGCACCGCCTCGCGCGAGTTCTGGGCAGGCCTGCGATGGGTGGGGCCGGCAAACGTGTGATTAAGACATGAGGCGTGATGTCGAAAACAGGTAGCTCTGCATAATCGGGCGAGGGGTTCCTCACGCCCTAACCCGTCCGCCCCCTCCCTCGCTCACTTGCTGATGTCGCAGCCGTACGCCTTGGCCATGGCCTTGAGCTCGTTGAGAGCGCGGATCTGCTCGTTGACCTCCTCGCGCAGCCGGATGCGCTCCTCGTCCATCACCCCCAGCAGGTTGTGCTTGAGGTCGGTCTTCTTGGCGGCGATCAGCGCGTCCACGCCGTACAGCGCAACACGCCTGCAGTAGAAGTACACTCCAGTTGGAAGAAGAAGCTGAATATTGGTGCGCTTCCACGCTTTTGAAGGTCCAAGACCCAACAAGGAAGAGAAACAGAACTGGCACCAACACCTCCAGCCATGTTACAAGGCTAGACCTCACCTGTAGTCGCCAATGATGCGGCCGCGGCCGTAGCCATCAGGCAGGCCCGTCAGGATGCCGCTCTTGCGCGCAGCGCGCATCTCATCGTTGTAGGCGTCGAACACGCCGGCGTTGTGGGTCTTGCGCACGTGCGTGTACACCTTCTCCACCTGCAGTGGTTCAGGCCACGGGTTCCGTTTTGACATGCATATTGACAACCCAGTTCAGGTTCAGCGACCCCCTAACAACGCATGGCGGGTCACAATGGCACTGAGCCGGCCACAACGACAAGTACTAACGAAAAGCAGCAATCCTCGCTCACCTCCGCATCCGGGGTGAAGCCGTATGCCTCCAGGGCCGCCTTGACCATGTTGATGCCGCCCAGGGGCTTGATGGCGCGCTTCAGGGGCGCATCCGTCTGCAGGCCGACCACCACCTCCAGGTCCTTGTTGATGTAGCCGGGAGGGAAGCCGGCAATGCTGGAGGGCTTGCTTGGGTCAACGTCCAGGACGCCCTTCTCCAGCTGCGAGTTAGGACACGCGTAGGGCGAAAAGGAGCTGGTAAAGATGGTGCTGAATTGCGGTGAAGGGAATGGAGCCTGGAGAGCCAATCCATGCAACCACATAAATTTCCCCTGCCGCCGTGCCCACCTCCTTGCAGATGAGCTTCTCCAGCTGAGACCACAGCGCCTTGGTGCGCTCAGAGGGCCCAGCAAGGAAGCTGGCGCTTCCTGAGTATGGCGTGTAATTCTCCTACACCGCAGCGGAAGCCAGAGGGCGCCATTGGAGCTGTGTTTCGAACAAAGACTGCGTTAGAAAACATGGACAAAAGTGACTCACTTGCACATACTTCTGGACGTTGATGCCCGTGTCAACAGCGGGCTTTGGGCGGTTGTCCGGCAAATGCGGCATCTGGTCCGGGTCGTGAGGGCACGACAAAACAGCGCGAGCCGGCTCCGCAGCGCTAGCCATAGCACGCAATGGCCTGCAAGGTAAGGTTGGTGTGAGCTTGCAGCGAAAGTCGGGAGTCAAGGAAACTGTAACGTCAACTAAAGAACTGACCCAAGTGTAGGGAAATTCGCAGACTGTGCTCCAAGACGAAGCTGGCGAGGAGTCGCACGGAGAAGCGAAGGCCTGCAAGGAAAGCAGTATAGGCACGGGTAAGGCTAGGAATTCAACAGCGTGAGAGTCGGAGAGCTACTTTGACAGCCCTAAGGAAATTGCCTAGCATACCTCATTGTGATGGGGGCGGATTTGCCATAGGTAGCAGCGGTGGCTGAAGATGCCCGGCGGGCACAGTCCATAACCATTTGGGACATGGGGAAGAGCACTGGCAGCGCTTGGTTGTAGAGGGCGCTCACAAGAGGAGCGGAAAGGACAAACGACATATAATGCTGCAGAATTGGTACACGCCGATTCTCACGTCGGACGTGTGGCCTCAACGACTATCGGGAAAGGAAATGAGGAGTCAAGAGGCTGTAGGAAAAGGTAGTAAGTCAGGCTACTACCATTAAACACCAAACGATTACAAGTTGTGAAGGAAACGGGGCTGGGGGCGCTTTTATACTGTGCGGGACCCAGGGACGGTCCCACGTCCCTGAGCCGTACGGCGATTGCAATCGGAAGAAGACAAGAACATCCAAAAAAGATACTTCCCGACATCGTCCCAAAGCATCCGTTATCTCAATCCACATCCCCTGCATCCCTGTAGCACGTCTTGCTGCAAGCGCAGAGGCTTTCGTGGTCAGGCTACCGCAGGAAATCGACTTGTCACCTTCATGACACAGTTTTATTGTTGCCATATGTAGTGCATATATATCCCTTAATAATCCCAAGCAAGGACTACACAACGCAGACAGCAGGGGAGTTATGTTTTACATACGGCACCTTCCTATTGCTTCCAATTTTCTACTAGGGGCCAGGGCGGCCGAAACCAACGCTCAAAGCGCTTGCCTAACAACAAGGAGCCGTATTCAGTTGAGTTGGCTACCGTGCAGAGGTGGGCAAATGCGTTGGCATATTGTAACCAGTGTACGGAGGCATCCAGTACAAAAGGTGAGCAGGTGTTGTCAAGCGTACTGTCATTGAATGCACGTTAGTTTCTGTAAGGTAAGGCGCAGGTCTTTTGTCATTTGTCCTTATTGCCCTCCTGTCAACTAACCCCATGTCTTCAATACAGGAATCGCGCAGCAGCGCAACGCCCCGGTCCCACTACCTACCGTATCCATGCCGGCATGTGCTTCTCCACCAGGCAGGTATCGCCCCCCCTATCCAACTTCACTGCACTGCCAGAAGAGTCTACACCCAAACAATCTGTGTCTTCACTCCGCTACCCCGAGCACTTTTCCCCAAAGCAGCCATATCTTATATGTACAATCTCCCACGTGCACGGCATAAACCTGCAGAACCATAACACGATCGCGATGATCGTGCCCTAAACAAAAAGGAGCAGCAGCAGCAAGTACAATAGACGCATCGTTCCCATCATTGTATATGGCCTGCAGCGTGCACGCCTGGCTTTCTCCCTTATCCTTCCCTGCATTCACCCAATTTCAGGCATCACTTGGGTTGCCAAGCACCACCCAGGCACATTCTTCGCTACCTGCGTAACCATTTGCCCCATTTCGCGCCATTGGCTCCAACGCCTGTTCTAGCAGTATTGCTGCAACTATGTCTGCACCCCTTTCAGCGCCCGCCATCTCTTCGGCTGGCTATCCCGCAAACCCTGCAGAGCCACCCGTACCTAACCTATCCCATGACAATCCTTCCGGCTCTGCTCGCCCACCCCACCTTGCAACCATGGGTGGCAACTGGCAAGGGAGTGACTGGCGTCACAGTCCTAGCATGTGAATGCGGTTGGCTTCCTACTGGTTACCAGCGGCGCCTAACATGCCCCGCCAGCCGACCACACCGCTAGCTACCAAACATCAGGGATTGCCCATCTTGAAACGCCGTGCCGTCATGCCTCGCAGCCGCCTCGACTCATGCTATCGGTCACCCGCGGGATCCGCTTCAGGCAAGGGAATCTTGAACAGCTCGAAATCAACCCTACAATACCGACAATGAAGCAAGACCGTAAGGGAATGTAGCACGCGCTAGAGGACCAGCCAGGATTCTCTTTGCCCCTGCCTCCCCAAGCACCCCAGGCGCCTGTGCTCCCCGACTCCTTGCTACAGAACATCCATCCCCGCTAACCCCCTCACTGGCCCCCTGGCTCAGCGCGGCCCAGTTGAAGCACCCCCTCACCTGAAGTACTCGTAGATGTCCCGCACGCACTGCATGCCGCACTTGTGGTACTTGTCGCCGTGCCCCACCAGCGCCGCCGTGTTAGACTCCACACCCTGCTCCTCGTGCGACCGGGCCGCCTGCGCGCAACAGCCATGCAGACATGTCAGTGCACGCAACCAGGGGACAACTCAACGCGCTCGGCATGCGTCACCGCCCGCCCGCCCTCCTGCCAGGAGGCTAATATGCTAGCACTACGCATACACAGCGACAGGGAGAGACGCTTTTTCTAGAGGTGCCGGAATTGCGCCGGTTACCGCCTTTCCATAATCCCCGCATGGCGAGCTGCATGCCGTGCACGCAATGGGAGGGAGAAGAACAGGCCGGGAGGGCGAGGACAGGACCCCGCGTCAGCATCCTACCTGTCCTTTCTTCTTCCAGTAGATCTTAGGCTCGGGTAGCGGCGGCAGCGAGGGGTCCCGACGCTGGTTGATGATGCGCACCGCCTCGGGCAGGTCGCTGGACAGGTTCTCGTAGCTGCGGGGTGCACCAGGGGACCCAGGGTTTGGGGCGCCGTACCGTGTTAAGGAGGCAGTACGGCTTCGTCGCTTGCTGAACAGCAGGCAATGTGGGTTCACCGTTGGTGGGCACCTCAACACGACACGTACGGGGTGCGGCACGTCCCCCCGCCTGCGCCCCCCCCCCCGGCTGCTGCAGCTGTGGGTTCCTGTAGTTCGGTATGGTCTTTGACCCGCCTGCACCCCCCTCCCGGCTGCTGACCGTATGATGTAGTCCACCGCAGGCAGCCCCGTCTCCGTGGTGATGCAGGGCGCCACGGGCTCCGTGTGGTAGTAGTCATGGTACATGCCCACCCGGTCGAAGCAGTGGAACAGGTTGCTGATCTTGCCCAGGATGGAGGGGTCGCGAGAAAAGGCGGAGAAGGGAGGCTGCCTGCAGGGGCAGGTGGGTCCGGGGATCAGAAGCAGGCCGGGGTGGGTAAGAAAGCCGAGAGGGTGTGGTGGTGTGGAGAGAGAGAGGAAAAAGGTGGTGGATAGGGCTATTGAATACGGAGAAGTACCCTGTTCCAGCTCAACGAACACCACCACCACGCACCTGCAGGGTCCGTCCGTGCGAGCCCATTTGGTGGAGCAGTAGTCGTACGACGAGCCCGCTCGCGACCAGGGGTTGCGGCTAGTGGTGAACACAAAGTAGTCGCGCCACATGACCGCAGGGTCCACTCCTCGCTCCTTCAGCCGGTTCAGACTGACCACCTGCGGCAGGGGGAGGAGGGAAGGCGTGCGTCGGGCAGGGAAAGGTGGCTGTGCGTGAGGGGGGAGGGTGCTCGCATGAAGGGGCTTGAGGGTGGGTTTGACGGGAGGAGGAGGGGCGGAGATGGGACAGGCAGGCGGCTGAGACCACCCGAGACGCCGGGATGCTTCGCCAACGCCAACGCCGTGCCTCATCGGCTCGTGTCCCCCGCAGCCTGCACTCTCCTACCGTACCTCTATGCAGAGCCTGGGGTCCGAGTTCTCGTAGTGGCACTTGTCAAAGTTGTCAGTCACGGTGGTGCTCGCCGCCTTGCGGTTGCGAATGAACACGAACTTGTAGAAGTGGTTGGCCCACACGCCGCACGGGTACGACATGGGGTAATTGCGGTGTACGGCACGGCGGTACACCGAGGTATTCATGACCCATTGGTGGAAGGGCTCCCATGTGAACTGCGCCTCCTCCCACCGCTCTACGGGCACCTGCGGTGGTGGGGCCGGGGAGCATGCATGGCAGCAAGGAGGCCGGGAGGGGGATGGAGGGCTTTGCGGTGATTGGCAGTGCCATGTGGTGATGGGGTGTGCGGGGAGGGGGGAGAACCCCAGGAGGCAGGGGTGTGCGAGGCATACAAGGAGTGCTGGAGTGGAGATGTGGAGGGGGGTGGTTGAAAACGGTGAGTACGTGATTGCGTGCAGCCGTAAGCTTGGGTTCAGGAGGCGAGCAAGCGCGGCCCTTCTGTGAATAATGTGTAAGGTATTCAAGGTCCAGGGCCGCGGGGCGAAAAGCGGAAAGATGTTCTGTGGCAGACAGGGGTGCACGATAGCACTGCACGGGTCGGGCATATCGGCGCAGGAAAAGGGCTAATGGGTGGACAACTTGAACACATGTCCCATAGGTAAGCCAAAAGCTGGCTATTGGTGTGGGTGGGGGAGACGCGTGACACCAGGCTGGGAGTCTGGGTGTTGCAGGCACGGCAGCCCCCGAAACTTACCATGCCCTTCTTCTCCACTAACCGCGCAAGTGCTGATGGCTGTGCTACAAGGTTTCCATAGAACTCCGCTGATTCATCCGGAGCTGTCGCGGCGGCGCAGCATCCCAATAGAGCGACAGCTGCTCCCGCCCAGAACTGAAGCACCGACAACATACTGCCGGCAAAGCTAATGGAAGACAAGAAAGAATTGTCTATTGTGCATGTTCTGGCCGATACTGTCAGAAAGCCTTAGGCAGCACAGTTAATGGGCATCGGACTGATATTTATTTTGGAGCAGGGGTCCCATGTAATGTATGTTTGGGCAAGTCCTTCAAAACAATACTTAAAGGTCGCTTCCCCTATTGCTGCTTAAGCAGGTGGAAGGCTTAGACAGCTACTGCAGGTGATCGAGTACGAAAGGTAGGTTGGATTGTGCTCAGTCAGCGCAGACGTTTATTAGGCAGTCCATGAAAAAGAACCCCTATATGCCCTGTCTCAAGTAGTGCTGCTGACTTTACCCTAATACCTGCGCTACAAGGGTTGCTTGTCCGCTGCTTGCAGTCGCTTATCTTTACCGTTGCATAGATGCGCTGCTTAGCCGCACAAATACCGTGCAAGGACGCTGCGCAAACTGCCCACTACCGCGCATTTGTAAACCTACAGACAGCAAAGCCGTGGCCTTGCTTGCGTCGTCGGGAACCTACCCACCGTGCGCACGAGGGCTCCCGACGAACAATTAGGGCGCAAAGCATACTCCAGAATATTATGAAAAAGCTTGGCTCGGATACCAGGGATAGCAGCAGGCCGATGGTGAGCATCGCAGCTTCGGAGCTTCTTAGCGATGGCCAGGACGACCCGGACCGAACGCTCGGTCTTCGCGCCCGCTTTCCCCGCAGGAGGCGGCAACGGAACCCCTACAGACGCTGTCATTCAGCGACAACGCTCCTTCTTGGGAGGAGCTTGCTGACATCGTGCGGTGAGTTTGTGCCATCAGCCATCTCTGTGCTCATGTCCATCCTGATGCATTACCTGAGGCAGGCGCTTCCATCCATCTTTTCTGTGTGGGCCCTTACTTACTACCTGCTAACGTCCTGGGTTTCCCACTTACATCCCTGCTGTCTGCCTCCCTGCCTGCAGCGCGCAGCACGCGGAGCTAGGGGTGGACTTCTGGGCGGATCCAAACGAGGTGCGCAGGCGGGCGCAGCAAGGACACACCCTAGCCATGATGGCTGGGCGGCTGGCGGTCACATCTGGGTTATTCAATATAGACATAACACATATGCGCATGCGGCAGCGCACCTCAGGGTTAAGGCAGGGCCTGCCGGGACCACACCACCCAGCTCTTTGACTACCGGTACTGGTTCCAATTAGTGCCTGCTGCTCGCCGGTTATCCCGCCCCTCATGCCTGCTGCCACCCCGCACCTGCCGGCACTCCTGCTGCTGCTGCGCCGCAGGGTCCCACGCACCCGCTGGCGCTTGAGCGCACCTTCGGCTCCTCGCAGCCCGTGCGAGTGAAGCTGTACCGGGACCACGCGGCATGGTGGGGCCGGATGGGGCGAGCAGGGGACCTACGCTAGCATTCGTGCGCGGCAGGATAGGAAACGAAACACTGGTTGGATTGGTTTAGTTGCTTGGAGGCAAGCCCCAGCAGCCCGGGTACCTCCCTCGGCCGCCGCTCGCTCCCCGCTGTTACCGTGTACGTTACCGCGTACATCCATCCGGCCTGCTGCTGGCTGCGGTCCCCGCTGCAGGTGTCCCTACTGCCACAAGGTGTGGCTGCAGCTGGAGGAGAAGCGCATCCCCTACGTGGTGCAGAAGATCAACATGCGCGCGTACGGAGACAAGCCGCCGGAATTCCTGGCAAAGGTGGAGGCGCTGGGCGGGCGGATATGCGGGGGGCAAGGGCGGCTGTGTGGGGACCGGGGTCGTGAACGGCAGGCGGCAGGTTCCGCAGGATCTTCTCGCAGGTGTTGACTTCAGGTGTGTGGTACCGGTGGTGGTTGTGGACAGTTTGAAACAGGTGATCCTCTTCCAACCAACCGCTTCTCCCTGCCTCTTCCCGCGCTCCCTCCCGCTCCGCAGGTTCCCTCGGGTCTGCTGCCGGTTATCGAGCTGGACGGGCGGGTGGTGACGGAGAGCGCAGTCATCATGGCGCTGCTGGAGCGGGAGTTCCCGGACCACAACCCGCTGCTGCCGCCTGAGGGTGAGGGGGGCAGAGGGAGGGTGGGGCAGGCAGGAGGGTGGGGCAGGCAGGAGGGTGAGGCAGGCAGAGACAGGCAAAAAGCAGGGAATTTTTCGCCTGAAGGAGCTCGAAGAAGTGAGAGAGGAGGCAGATTTACCCCAGCCTACCACCTTTTACCTTTTCCCATCCACCTCACCCCATCTCCACCACCCCCACCCCAACGCACCCTGCCAACTCCTACCCCCATTGTTTTGCCCTAACTTGTGGTCTCCTGTGGTTTGGTATGGTCTTTCACACCAACGCTACCCCAGGCACGCCCGCCCGGCAGCGCGCCGAGGGGCTCATGCGGCTGGAGCGGCGACTGTTCTCCGACTGGCTGGGCTGGCTGTGCTCGGGGGGGGGCCATGCGCGGGCGCGGGCGCAGTTCGAGGCGAGCTTGGACCTGCTGGCGCAGGAGCTGGAGCGGGAGGGGGTGAGGAGGGAGGAAAAAATTATATAAGTGAAACAACGAATCTGGGGTTGGAGGGGAGTTGAGATCCAAGCGAAAAGAGCGCGAGACGGATTACTGGGTGTGGTGGATGAGGCATTGTGCAAGGCTGCGACAGCCTCACCGGTACCTAGGTCATGTGAGAGCTGCTAAAAGGTAGTACATGCAGCACCGGCCGCCTGCTGACAACCTATCCTGTCCCCCTGCTGCTCCCCTCCTTCACGCCGCCCCCCGCTCCCCCCAAGGGCCCCTACTTCCTGGGCCCCTCCCTGAGCCTGGTGGACGTCACCTTCGCGCCCATGTTGGAGCGCATGGCGGCCTCGCTGGCCTACTACAAGGGGCTGGCGCTGAGGGGGCAGGGGCGCTGGCCGGCGATTGACAGGTGCGGGGGAACAATTGTTGGATTATAGATGTTAAATGCAGCAACCGGAGTCCCAATCCCGCATCCCGACTCATGCAGAGAGCGCATGAGCGCATAAGGAGGGCGGGGGGTAAAGCTGACGGACTGGATGGAGGCGGGGGCGGGACGTGGCAGTGAAGATCTTGTTGAAGTGGTAGGCGACTATGGGTTCAGGATGGTCAGTGCGATGGCCGATTGGACACGCTTCCTTGCGCCCTCGGCCCGCCTCCCCCCGCCATGGCTTTCCCCAACGTGCTCGACCGCGAGACCGGGGAATGCACGGCGCAGGGGCCCATGCATTGCCGTGCCCACGGTGTATGCATCCTAGGTTCCGCATGTGGTCCTCGGTCCCCACCCACGCACATCACAACCCCTTACCCCGCACCCTCACCTCGAACCCCCACACCCCAGTACACCCCCCTACTCCTCCTACTCCTATGGTCTGCCCTTTCAAGTCCCCCATTCACCCCTCGGCCCCTCCTGCCCCTCCTCCTTAATTTACCCCCCCCCAGGTGGTTTGCCGCCATGGAGTCCCGACCCACCTACCTGGCCACCCGCTCCGACTACTACACCCACGCACACGACCTGCCTCCCCAGCTGGGTGGCTGCGCGCAGCACCCCGAGGGGGCGGCACTGGCGGCGGCAATCGACGGCCAGGACGGCACCTCCTGGCGGCTGCCGCTGCCGCCGCTGGGAGCCGCCTGCGCGCCGGAGCCGTACAGCCCGGGGGAGGAGCCGCCGCGGGACAGGCTGGAGGCCGCTGCTAGGCTGGTGGGTGTGTGGGGGTGTTAAAATAACTGGCCGCGAGGCGAAACGTATTGTGGGGGGGGTATGTGGGGGGGGGCTCGCTTTGCCGGTACCGGCTACCGGTACATGAAGGCGCGCAAAACATGCTAGCGAACAATTGCGAACCGGGTCCCGCCCAAGGGTGTACGGCACGAGTTGAACGTGAACCCTGCACTTCCCGCCCCGCCCTGCCCCATGCAACGCACGTCCCTTCCCATCCCGCCCCCCCCCTCTCCCCCCCTCCTCGCCACCCCCCACACCAGGTGGGTAACCACGAGGCGGTGGTGCGCTTCGCCCTGCGCGGCCCCGGTCGGCCCGGCCCCCGGCCCGTGCTGGCCCCGCTGTCCGACCCCTCCGCGCAGCCCGCCCTGGAGCACTGGCGGCAGGCGGATGCGGCTCTGCGGCACGTGGCGCATGCGCTGCTGGCGGGGGTGGAGGCCAAGCAAGCGTCGCAGCAGGCGCTGCAGGTGGGGGGAAAACAAGGAGACTGCGGGTGTGTGTGTGGGGGGGTAGGGTAGGTACCGGTAGGACTAGGAGGGAAGGAGGAAAAAATTAGGAAACTGAATGAGGAGGGAAGGGTGAGGGAGGTGTGCCGTAACTCTGTATATGTGTGAAGGGGCAGTGGAAGGGAGGGATTAGGGGGTGTTTGGCATTGCGGCGTCAGCGGTCTATGCCGCAGTGTTGGTTTAGAGCCGCCTCAGGGTTCTGCCGTATCCAGATCCTACCGGTATACCGGCACTACTTCTCACCTGTTGTAAACACTCGCACCCAACAGCGCTAAACAAACCCCTCCCCCGCGCCGCCGTTCCCTGCATCCCCCCGCGCCCCCACCAGACCTTTGCCTCAACCCCCTCAACCCCCTCGTCCCAAGAGGCGCTGTCCGGTGAGGCTGTGGTGGCCGCTGCCCGCTACCTGCGAGACCGGGTGGGGGTGCCCCGAGACATGCGCTTCCCCGCCGCACGCCAGCTGCGGGCGCACCTGAACTGGCTGATTGACAGCATCACCGCGAGGGGCGGCAGCAGCCAGTAGCGGACACCCAGTTGCAGTAGCAGTAGCGGCGCGTGGGAGCAGTGGGGGTGCAGTTGCGTCTCACGTGGTGAAGGGTATAAAAGAACGAGGACCAGGGCAACCCGAGTGAAGGGTGGTTAGGGGAGGGGGTGTGAGAAGGCGTGGTGGCCTCGAAGGCTCGGGATGCCTTCGTTGGCTTGCTTGCATGCATGGACGTCTATCTGTGAGCTTGAGTTATTTGGTTGTATTCTATTTGGCGCTGTACTTGTCTGCTTGGCTACCGCCCTCAATTTCGAGTGTGGTGGTATTTCGCTTAGAGCGTGAGTGCTGGCATGAATGGAGCGCTCCCGATTTTGCGAGGGTTACAGTTTTGAGGGTATATGGGAGCAGTTGCGAGAGGAGAGGAGGGTAACTCTGGTTTAACGTTATGTGGATTGAGAGGGACTACCGCGTCTTGAGCGCTGAGTTGAGCGGTGACCCGGGTGTACTGAGAGTGTGTAAGGGACTGAAGAGGTGGTGCAGCGATGACATTCACAAACACGCATGACATCTTTCTTTGCTCCATTCGCTTCGTGTTTACCTAAGGTAACTCGAAGTGCTGTCATGCTCTGTAGCAATGAGGCATGAGTGCTGGTTCGCCCAGCGTGTATGAGAATATGACCTGGGTGTCGAGACGGGGAGGGGGCCACGACGCGTCAGGATGCCGGAGTTGCACGGCCCCGCAGTGAATAGGGCTCGAAACAAGTTTGTGGGTCTAGTCGCTGTCTTGAAGGCAACCTACAATAACATGTAACAAGCAAGCGCCGTTCGCAGCCCCATGCATCTGGTGGCACACCACAACCCAACCTAACCTGTCCTGCCTTGCCCTAAACCTTCATTAGCTAATGTGCGCATGCGACCACCACGGCAATCACCACCTTGCCAGCATCCCCTCGTGCTTCTGTACCCGTGTGCACCCACACCCGCAACCAAGGTCATTGTCATTTTTGCGGCCAGTTGATTGAATACCCTCCACGCCACAACCCTCAGCAACCCCAATCCCCCAACTACTCTCACATCGCGTACGACATGCATCAAGCGACACATGTGTTTGTTGTGCCTACCCACCGCCAGCCTCCGTTGCTCCTCATCATCGCTGCAGCGCTCTAACCGAGTTGCACACGCCCGTTCCCTTCACAATCCTACACAGACATCAAAATACAAACCTAGCCAATCCTTAGCCAGGCCCTAACGTTTCCTATTTTAGCTACATGCTCCCAACACCTCGAAGGACGCATCGTCCACCTCCGTCATAAATACCGGTAGTTTATACAGGCCGCACCCGCACCCGAGCATCCGCAGCCTTCCGCTTCAGCCATCAGCTGCTCCGCGCCTTCCTGCACAACTCCGCCAGCCGCTTCTCCACCCCAGCCATCATGGGCAGAAAGCTCTTCCCCAGATCCAAACTAGAATGCTGGCACCGCAGCAACTCCGCAGCAACCGCCCGCAATTGGAGCTCCAGTTCCGTCGACCTCGCCTTCTCACCCAGCAACTCCACCTGCAGCGCCTGCACGCTCGGAGCCCCCGCCGCCGCCGTCGTCGTAGTCGCCGTTGTCACGACAGCCGTAGCGTTCGCAGGCGCGCTCACGACCCGTGGGTCACTGGGCGCGGGAGGAGGCTGCTGTTGTTGCTGCTGCTGCTCGTCCGGAGCCGCACCATTCCCCCACCGTGCGGAGTCTTCCAACAAGTCCTTCAGATGCTCCACCTGCGCTATCCCGTCCTGCGCCTGGCGCTCCCAGTTAGTCGCCAGGGTTCGTGCCGTACGGAGCTCGTCAGCCAGTACGGCATTCTCGCTCCCTAACCGCTCAATCTCCTCCCACTGCTTGTCAATCTCCGCTAGAAGCTTATCGCGCGAGGCCTTCAGCCTTGCGACTTGCTGCCGCAACCGCGCCACATCCTCTCCGCCGCCCGCTCCCTCGCCCCCTCCTGTTGCAGACGCAGGCGTGTCACAACGGCCACAACCCGACTCGCTAACTGCCATGCCGCCGTACAGCGACCCGCTTGAAGTAATCCGGCCTGCAAGGCCCAATAACCGCGAAGCAACACCACCGCCGCCACCACCTCCCTGCTGTTGCTGCTCAGCTCCGTTAACCGAGTACCTTCGCGGCTGCTGCTGATCCGACGCCTGAGCCTGGCTTGCTGCTGCTGCTGCAGCCACTGCCGCAGCCGCTGCTGCCTCCGCTTCAGTCACGGCAGCCCGCAACCTCACCGCTTCCGCTTCCAGCTCCCGGCTGCGGTCCGCTGAGGCAGCCAGCTGGGTGGTCAGCTCCTGATTGTGGTTTCGGAGCAGAGCCAGCTGATGCGCGAGGAGATCTGGATCCTGGTGCCCACGAGCCAGCATGTCCGTGTGGCGCGCCTCGTAGTCCGCCAGACGCTGGGTTAGGTCCATGATCTCGGACTTGGCTGCATGCAGGCTGCTGAGAAGGGTGGCAGCGCGGTACCGCTCGTGTTCTACCTGCTCGAGAAGGGGCGTGGTTGCGGCAGCGATGGCAGCTGCGATAGCGGCCGCAGTGTCGGCAGAGGAGGTGTGGGACAGGGTTGAGGAGGAGGATGGGTGCATGGCGGTTGCGGATGGAGGGTGAAGGGTGGTGGAGGCGGAGGAGGTGGCGGCTGCGGCTGCGGTTTGTTGGAGGGCGGCTACTTCGGCACGGAGAGCGGCTGCATCCTCCTCCGCCCGGACCTGCTCCTCCTCCGCCTCGCGCGCTTTCTTCTGCTCGACGCGCAGCTGCGTGGCCAGGTCGTCGCGCTGCTTGGCGATGCGTGCGCGGTCGCCTTCTAGCAGGGCCTTCTGCTCAGCCATTGCTGCTCGCTGACGCCGCTCATCATCGAGTTCCTGTTCGAGAATTCGACGGGCTGCTAGGCTCGTCTCCAGTTCAGACTGTAATCTCCGCAAGCTGGCCTCCAGCAGAGCACACCGTTGCTGAAGCTCCGGGATATGGTTGAGCTGCGCGTTGGCAGCGCGCAGCGAGGCCTCGACCTCATCGCAATGCCGTGCCAAGCGTTCCCGCTCGGACTGGAGTGCATCAACAGCCTGACGACGTTCCTCTGCTAGACGGCGAGTGTTGAACAGATCGGTGCGCAAAAGAGCTATTTCCTGCTGAGCTTCCTTAAGCAGGACAGCGGTCACTTCGCCACCCGCCATTTTTGGAAGAATCAAATCAAGGAGTTACCGCTCAAGCTTTAACCATTGCAGCACACCCTTGAGTAAATATAGTAATTTGGTTCTGATGCAAGCAATGGCTGTTACACGCGTAAGCTTGCAATTGTGCGGGATGGAAAGGATGCCAGCTGCCCATATGTTAATACGTATACACAGTGGAAATAGAACGACCGATGAATGTCCGATCCAGCATGACTTGACCAAAATTGCCGTGCTTCATCACCTCTCGGTAGCGACTCGACATAATATGACACGCTCAATGCATTGTACACTTTAATGTTGACAACCTAATCCCATACCAGTGACTCGTACTGTTAAAACGGTAAAGGGAAGTGCGACAGCGGACGGGCCGATTCAAGTTGCGAGACAACACTGCCTATCTTGCCATCCATCATGTCTCTAGATCACATTAAAACGCTGCACAAAAGGGAAGAAGCGCACAGGGGCTAGCTAGAAGCCAACGGCGCGCACGCCGGTCCCACGGTTCATGCTTTCCTCGCTGGGCGCTCCCTCCTCATCCGAGCGGAGCATCATTTACTTCATGTTGTTGACGCTCTCCAGCCACCTGCACCGCAACAAGTTTCCAGGACATCCATATAATGACCAACCGCATTCCAGCGCAGCAGCAAACATCAAGCTGTCACGAGCTGTCACGTTGACTGCTGTCCGTCCTCCCGCCAGTTACCACCAATCGACGCCTCCCTCCGCTGCAACGCATACGTCTCCCTTTTACCTGAATAGCCATATACCCCTGACGACAATGCACGACAGCCAAACGACGACTCACCTGTCTAGGGCTTCATTAATATCGTCCACGGCCTCCTGCGCCGCCCGTTCTACTTGCTGCTTCTCCGCCGCCGCTTTGGCCTTCTGCAACATTTCAGCTCGGTCCAACCGGCTCTCCATCTTAGCCGCCGCCACCCGCACCTGAATGCATGGGGGAGCGCAGTACGATAGCGCAGTACGACCACACAATCCGCCATTGAGGACATTCCGGACATCTTCGCGGCACAGTTGGGTTACAAGACTACACAACCACGGGCTCCAAAGCAACACACCTCCGAAACCATTACCGCCCGCGCAGCCCGCCCGCCCGCTGCTAGCCTGCCACCCACCTGCTCTGCCTTCTCCTCCAGCTGCGCTCCGTTCGCCTTGATCACGTCCGCCAGTCCCTTGTCCTGCGAGACATTACCCCGTCGTTACCACCAGCAATGCAACCCCGCCAGGACGCAAAGAAAGCCGCTGATTAGCGACGGGATGTAAAGCATGAGGCTAAGACCCGCACGTACATCACAACAGGCTAGAGAACACACCGTTACCGGTATATGGTTCAACTCTTAGGCTCTTCTGCCCAAACATGATTCCACCCATACTCTCGACGGGCCTAGTCTCGCCTAGTCGCTCCCCATCCACCCGAAACCCGCCGCACCCTCCAGCCGCCCAGACCGCCTGCTCCCCAACCGTTCCCCTCCCTGCTGCTCACCCCGTTCTTCTCCGCAGCCAGCGCGTTGGCTCGTTGCTCCGTGAGCTTCTGCTGCAGCGCCGTCTGCACGCTGCTCACCTGCTGCTCCACCGCCTTCCGCCTGGCGGGGGAGGCGTTGGGGAGGAGGAGGAGGTGGGGCGGGAACATGGGGCGAGGCGGGACGTAACTGCGTCTTAAATGCGGCGCAGCAGCGTCCAGGGGCGCTTCTTACACGCTCAGGGATGGCAAACGGCGGCAGCAGCCACTAATAAGCTGTCGACAGACGGCAGAAAATCCCTTAGGTTAGGGGAAGCCTTTTGTCCTCAAGCTCCCAAGACACACAGCTTCCATTGGCTCGGCTTGGCTGCCCCACTCACTGTGCCATCAGCGCTGCCCTGCGTGCGTTCTCCTGCTGCTGCAAAAGGTACTCCAACTGCTGCTTCTGAGAGGCGATGGCCAGCTCGCGCTCAGCGGCTGCCTCGGCCAGCGTCGCTGCATGGGCGCTAGGGGGGAAGAGTGGAGGGGGGAGACGGCGGGCGTGGAAGAGGTGTGACTTCAAGGAGCCGGGATGACCACAAATCGCGGAAGGGTAAGGTACGGGCTAAATGGGCGTCGCGGTAGCAACCCAGCGAAAGACGTTACCGTCAGTGAGCAATTAACCGCATAGTGATGTTGCGTTGACTATGCACGTCGTGCATTACGCATACCGCCGAGTGGCTTGCACACATCGCGTACCTCGGGCTGAGCAAAAGCGCTGTAAGGGCCGCTGCAGCAAACCCAGCCTGCAAAACATGCTTATGGTTTTAAATTTGGATGATTGCGACTATTCTGGTGCACGTTTGCATAATCCTGGTCACCTTCATGTTGCTCGCGCCGTCCCATCGAGCCGCATGCAACCTGCGCCAGCGGAGTAAACCCGTTTTGCTCAGCATAATTATCCTGGACGGTTTCTCATTGATATGGCTGCAGACCTGACTTCGATGCGCCGTGGACCAGGTCTAGCGACCGACGATGACGTGCAGCGGGTCTTCTTTGCGCTTAGCATTGTTCCTTTTACGCCTATACCTAAACCTAGAGGTTGCAAAACAACATTCACCCATTACATCAGCTTCGACGAAATCCTGCCACACCCACATGATCTCGGAGCATGTACGGTCAAGAGCGGGCGATCATCAAGCCCCCCAGCACACAGGGCGGCAGCAACGGCAGCACCGCTGACTCCCCAAGGGACCCACCACCACCACCACCACGCCCACACGCAGCTGCTGCTGCCAACCCATCGCCACCTCCGCCCATCCCCACCAGGTTGCTGCTCGGGTGTCCAGGCGTGAACAGAATCTGACCCCTACAACTCTGGCAAAAGGGAGCCGCTGCATCATCCACATCCTCATCTCCCTCTTCGCCGCCTGCCATGCTCCCATCCACAGCTCCCCTCGCTCTTGCCCTCGCCGCCGCGATCGCTTCCTGCTCTCTTCGCGTCAGCGGCGCTCGGCACAGCGCACAGCAAGCCATCATGCCCGACCGCCGTACAGGTGCCACCGTTGTTGTTGCCGCTCCCATTGAACGTGCCGGTACCTCCGAAGCGTCGTCTTCTGCCCCCGCCGCCGCCGCCGCCGCCGCCGCTGCGTCCCCCTCCGCTGGTAGCGTGTTGAAGGGGAAGGGTCTCAGTGCCGAGGCGGTTCGGAGCACCGTGAAGACGGTGGACGGCAGATTGGTCTGCGGGACAGAGGGAGGTTGGTAGGTGATGGGACGCCCGGATAGGCAGAACGGACAAACGAAATCGCTACAGCAAACGCAAACGTCACGGCACCCGCGCTGTGTCATCCCTCATCCAAAGTGCCGTACCGTACCTGCAGCCCGTCAATGAAAGCCCCCGCCAGCGTGTTAATGGAGCGACGCGGCTGCGGGGGCTGTAGGACCGGCAGCTCCACGGGTCGCAGCCCCCGCAGCCGGCACATGTACACCGCCTCCTTCAGCGTCACCTGGGGAGAGAGGTAAGGAAAAGCGAATTGAGAGAGTGTGGAGTGGAGCGGGACAGGGCGCATGACGGCACATGAGGGCTATCCTTCCAACCCAGGGTCACCAGCAGTATCACAGCCGCAAGGTGGTGTCTGCTGGCGCGATGATGTGTTTTGCTGTGCAATACCCCCCGCAGGTCTAATAACCGGACCCCGGTAGAGTTCCTATCCCGCTCCTATCCCAGCCGCGCCCTCGCCAGCGCTTCCCCCCCCTCGCCCCCTTACCTCCCGCATGGGGTACAACAGCGGCGGCTCCCCCGCCCCCGCCACCCCCACCGCCCCGCGCGCGTCCACCAGCTGGATGTCCCCCGGCAGCGAGTAGCCGCGACCCTGTGCGAAGAAGAAGACATGGAGGCACGCAGGGCTGAAGCCAGGAGGAAAAGGGAGTAACGACGGTAGCTGGCCAGTTTCCTCCTCCTTTCCCCCAACCCCCCGGCTCCCACCCCCACCTTGGCTGTGTCCGCAATGACCCGCGCTGCCAGGGCGGTGCCGCTGTCCGCCCGCAGCAGCTTGGTGGCGCCCAGCCGGCCGGCGGTGCCCGCAAGCAGCCGACCCCGCAGCAGCCGCACCAGGTCCTCGCGGCCCGTGGGGTCGGGGACAGCCTGCAGGCGCAGTGGGTGGGAAGGGAGCAGCCTTCAGTTATAGAAAAGAAGAATACCCAGTGCAGTGCAGTGCAGTGGGAGCAGGACAAGAACAGGAGGAGCGGAGCACGCTTCGGATGGGTGCGGTCAATCCTACATCGCATTCCATTTGGCCCACAACCAAGTCGCAGCACCCTGCATGCATTGCGCCCCTGCATGCACCCCCGCCCTCCTCCTCGCGCCCCTGCATGCACCCCCGCCCTCCTCCTCGCGCCCCTGCATGCACCCCCGCCCTCCTCCTCGCGCCCCTGCATGCACCCCCGCCCTCCTCCTCGCGCCCCTGCATGCACCCCCGCCCTCCTCCTCGCGCCCCTGCATGCACCCCCGCCCTCCTCCTCGCGCCCCTGCATGCACCCCCGCCCTCCTCCTCGCGCCCCTGCATGCACCCCCGCCCTCCTCCTCGCGCCCCTGCATGCACCCCCGCCCTCCTCCTCGCGCCCCTGCATGCACCCCCGCCCTCCTCCTCGCGCCCCTGCATGCACCCCCGCCCTCCTCGTCGCGCCCCTGCATGCACCCCCGCCCTCCTCCTCGCGCCCCTGCATGCACCCCCGCCCTCCTCGTCGCGCCCCTGCATGCACCCCCGCCCTCCTCCTCGCGCCCCTGCATGCACCTGCAACAGCGCCCGCAGCTGAGCATCCCGCGCCTCCGTCCCGCTGCTGCTGCTGCCACCCTGACCGTCCTGCTCAACCCCATCTGACACCGCCTCCCCTCCTTCGCGCAGCGCCTCCGCCTGGCCTCTCCGCCCCTCCTGCTGCTCCTGCTCCTGCTGAGCCGTCTCCTCACCCTCCTGCTGCCGCTGCCGCCGCGCCTCCTCCTGTGGCTGGCTGACTGAGCAACCCCCACCGCTGCGGCTGCCACTGCTGCTGCTGTTGCCATTGCCTCGGCCCGCCGAGGGCTCACCCGCCGCCGCAAAGGGCGGCAGCAGGAACACGTCCGACAGCGGCAGCACCAGGACGGTGGCGGCGGGCGGGGTGGCGCCGCACTGCTGCGCCGCCGCCAGTACGGCACGTGCATGCGCCTCCGCCGCCTGGGGGCTGAGTCCGAACGCAGCAGCCTCGTTGATGTGGATGACCGTCAGGTCAAACTCAATCTGCAGGGTACGGCAGGGTACGGCAGAGTAGTAACAGGACGAAGGTGCCGTATTCCGTACGGCCGTACCCGTAACGGTATTGGTGGAGGGTTGTAGAGGGTGTATGGGCAGAGGGGCCACACGTGACGTACCTTGCCTCTTTCCTTGCGGGGTGTGGCAGCATGCTTGCGCATGGGGAGGACGTTGCACAGCAGGGCCTGAGAGGAGGAACCTGGGGGGGGAAGCGGTGAAAGAGCACCATGCAAGGGAGGTGGGGACGGGAGTTAGGTGCGCGTGGGTGGGTGGGGTGAAGCCATGCGTGGGAGATCGGGTGACTCGGGATCACTGGCGGGCAACATCAAACGGCAGCTTCCGGTTTATCACACGCACTTCAAGGGTTCTCTCACGTCGTCACATACCCAAACCGAGCCCCCCCACCATCCCGACGATGACACACCTCCGGAGAATGCGATCGCGATGTGATCCCGCGGCTGCATCAGCTTGTGTGACTTGAGCGCACGCACCTGCCCGGGGAGGCACAGTGAACCAACAACTGTAAGCATGCAACCGACAGACACTGCGCCAGGACAAGCGCGCAGTTGCGATGTGTACCTTTCCCGAGATGCCAGTCTCAAGGCACGTTTTGCAGAGGGGCTCACGTTGGCGGACAAGCACCTGCAGGAAGCCACGGTATGCATGAGCGATTCTTTGAAATTCATGTTCTGTAATTGTCAAAAAGGTTTGAAGCATGACGGCCCTACCACGGCGTTAGCAGTCTTGCACTTCATGCATTTCGAGTATTCAGCCCGCACTCCTCCGCGGGCCCAGGAACCGTCACCATGTGTCCCCTGGCTTTCAGCATTACGACGCACGGCGGTATCGCAATTTCCTCTGTCCTGGCAAGTTGACTTCTCGCAGGGCGCCGCATGCCCGCAACCACCTGATGCCGCAGCGCGGCGTTCGGCCGCCTCCGCTTCTAATGCTGCAAGTTCTTCCTCTGATAACGCGCAACTCATTTTCTAACTTTACAAGGTGCAGGCGGCGGTTGTGTGAGATGTGCCGTGTGGCATACTTTCCTTGATCACGCTTATGTGAGTTATATCGCAAGATCGAGGATAAACTCTGGCATCGTGACGCTAAAGGTACAAATCTACTGGCAAGGAACCTCAAAGAAAAGTTAGTCATATCGCATGTCGTGCACTTCACGCACGTCATGGCATCATTGACCAGAACGCCACGGCGTAGGCATACGTGGCATAGTAAAGCATACGTGGTTTTCGCGTTCGAGTTTTCCATCGTTTAGGTGGAAATCTCGGGCACGGTGCCAGCTCCATCTGGAGGCTGCTAAAGTACGGTATGTCCCTTGCAGCTGGTCATCGGCCCATCTGCCGAAGTGCGGTACAGAACTTTCTTGCGCCGTCGGGCTTGCCTGACGAACGCGTTTTGCGATGCAGCGACCAGGAGGTGTGTGCAAAAGCCCAGCTACCCTACAGCGCCGCCTCAGTACAAGAACTTCCTCAGTATATGGCTGGCAGCTCCGCACACCGGAGAGGAGAGCCAGCATGCAACGTTGGTTGTTATCCGAAGCACGCTGCACGGGAAGGAGACGGGGGCGTAGCATCCTACACAGCGTGAATTAGATCATTACATGTCTGTCATACCCAGCCTGGACAGGCTTGGGAGGCATTTCACACCAATCAATGGCCCCATCATAGATCCACCAATAGCATACGTCCTCCGGCATCTTAGTTGTAAGGCCCCGCAGGAGCTACTCCAGACCCTACTTACCGACGCCTACCGAGCAACGTCCTAGCGACGCTGTCGCCCCAATGCTACTTGCACCCTTTCACTCCTCCGCCCCATCCTGCACCTCCTCAGACCTCCAAGCAGTCCCCTCCGATGCCTCCGCCCGCAACCCCTCACTCGCCCCTCCTCCTCCGACACTCGCCGGCCCCTGACCCGGAGCCCCCTCGGCAGCGCCTCCTCCGGCCCCATCCCCCACTCCATCAGTCAACACCATTTCCTCTTCCGGCTGCTGCTGCTGCTCCTGTTGCGGCTCCTGCTGAGGTGCCGCCGCTGCTGCCGCCGCTGCCGCCGCCGCAGCCTCCTGCTGCACCTGACCCGCTGCCTGCTGCAGGCTGCCCCCCTGCCCCTGCTGCGCCTGTTGCCCCTGCTGCGCCTGTTGCCCCTGCTGCGATGCCGGCAGCTGTGGGTTATACAGCGCCTCCACCAGGCTCCTGAAGTGCTGCAGCGACAGGCCGGGAGCCGCCTCCGTGACGCCCGGCACCTTCTCACGCACAAAGGCCATCATGGCGTCCAACAGTCCCTCGCCGAAGTCGTCCAGCCCCAGCTGTCCAGCCACACGGAGCACCTGGGGGGCGGGCGGGCGGGACGGCGGGGGGGGGGGGGCCGCGGGTGCAGGAGGAGGGCAAAGAGGGAGAGAGTGAGGAACTGTATGACGAGTGACGGGGCTTCATCGGGGGAGGGGGCAGGGGGCAGGAGGGCAGGCAGGTGGTGAAGATGGGAAACGCGGTGGGTTGGAGGCGGCGGCACCACACACAGTGCGCACGTGTCTGGCCTAACGGCACAACTCCCGTACAAATGCCGCCACTTGCGCCCGAGCCACAACTGCAAGATAGACCGCCTCACAACGTCACAAGCGCACCCCGCTACACACTCTCCACCATAACACTCGGGCACACTCCTGCAGCAGCAGCAGCTAGCTACTAGACGCCGGTGTACAAACACTAGAGGGGAAACAAACACTGTAGGACAATGCGGCCCGGGGCCCTGCCCGTGAGATGCCCAGGCGCCGCTCACCCCCGCCTTGGTGATCACTCCTTGATCCGGAGCCAACATGCTCCACAGCTCCAGCAGCTCCTCCTCCCGGGGCATGCCGCTGCTGCCCCCCTCCTCGCCACCCCCACCCGCTGTACCCGCACCAGCACCAGCCCGGCCGCGGGTCCGCCCCCGCGCTGGTTGTGGCTGCTGCTGGCGTGGCGGCCGCCGGCCCCGGGCGGCGGCTGGGGGTTCGGAGCCGCGACCGGCGGCAGCTGCGGATTTGCCTGTGGTTGAGTGGAGTGGAGTGGAGCGGAGTGAATGGCGGGTTTGAGGAAGGAGCGGGGGATAGTGGTGACATTCGGTGTATGTAAGCATGCGCGCCTTGTTGTAGTGCGTGTGGCAGCCCTAGCAGGCTCGTTCGGAGGCCTGTTAAAGCCCCGTAGATTAATGTCGACTACCGGTATCGGTAGCATCAGCGCCCGCTGAAGGCCTACCTCTGGCGCTCCCGCGAGCTGCAGCGCCTCCCCGACTGGGACCCGCTCGCCGTCGACCTGTTGTGGGGAAGACGAGGGAGGTTTAGAGAGATAAGTGTACGGCACCAAGTGGTTGTAGCATGAGGATGATGTGGGCAAAGGCAATGGGGGAAAGCAGCAGCGTGAATGGTGAGGGTGGGAGAGGATGAAGAGTAGTGGTAAGGACCGAGCTAGTGGTGCTTTGCCACCCCGATGCACTTCAGACTTCACACGTACCTCTCGCCGCTTCCCTGTCCGTTTCCTCCTCCTCCTCGCTGTCTTCTTCCTCCTCCTCCTCCTCCTCGTCATCCTCTGACGGGCCGCTATCGCTCTTCAGCTCCTCGCTCTCACTGCTGCTGCTGCTCTCCTCCTCCACGCCTTCCGACCGATCTCCGTCACCGTCGCCGTTGCCGCCTGCTGCGTCCTCGCCATCCGCCGCTGCCGCCGCAGCACCTGCGGACGCGGCTCCTCTGCCGCCGCGGCCCCGAGCGCTGGTGCGTCCTCCCCTCGGGGCTGCTGCAGCGCCGCGCCCTCCCTTGCCAGTGCGAGGGCTGGCCACCTGGTCCTTTCCTCCGTCGTCATTGCTGACAATATCGGTATCTGTGTCCAGGACAGCTGCGGGGGTGGGTCGGGTGAGGCAAGGCGAGGTCAGGGAGCAAAGATGGGCGACAGCTGGAGCGGGGAAGCCGCAAGGCGGACCTTTCCTTCCTGGGTTTGGCAGACTATGCTTTGGGGCTCACCTATAGATTGTTGCTGCAAGCGCTCCCTCGCTTTAAGGGCTTGAGCTCGTGAGGACCTGGCAATGCGATTGCCCAGCGGGTGTGGTACGGGTGAGTGAAGGCAGGTCGTCACGACACAGAGGCACGCGCAGCACTCAAACTGCAAGGTTAGCCATGTGTTTAATGAACTGGCCACATCCGTCATACCTTCTGGCTGGCACCGGAGCTGGCTCTACCTTGCGACGCTTATTGGACGCCCCAGCCCCACTGCCTGCTTCCGGTATCTGCGCCAGTATACAATATGAAAATAAACAACTATGTTTTCGAACCGAAGGCCGGTTCTCCCTTTGGCCAATTGGACAGTTGACAAAACAGAATCCCTCACCCCGAGCGCGGTCATCACTTGCTTGTTACGTGCCATGGTCCGTTCCCTCTCAGCGTCTAAATCCTCGGAAGAGGCCGACTTCTCCGGGTCCCCATCGGCACTCATCGTGTAAGCAATGAACACGGCCGTAAAAGTCTGTATGCACAGAGCGATCCCTTCACGCGACAGTGATAAGGATGTGTATACAGCCTATGAACAATGCAATCAGACGCCGGGGACGGATAGCTTTTTGTTCGTTGCTAGTTCGCTGTCGTACTTCACAAGCACCTGCGCCGAGCCTGTGACTTGGCACATGCAAAGTGCGGCCTGCGTACTCATGCAAACATTCGGACACTGGACCAGGTTCGTGAGCCCTGTAACCTAAGCAGCGGGTTATACGGGCGGCAATTGGCATCGTGGGAAGACCATGTAGGTCGGCGGTAAGCCCTGTCGTCAGGACGCTAATGGTGGCCTCCTGACCAGGTCCTCACCGTCAATTCCCCCGATCTCCTACCTTCACGCCCGCCGCGGAAGAAGGGGGTCAAGGGCCTCTGCAGTGCCCTGTCTCTTGTGCTGGCAGGGAATTTCCCGCCCCTAAAGCTTCGATCAGGAGTGCAGCCGCCGTGCCGTGTTGGCTACACAGTTGGCAAACGTACCCGGTTACCACCTTCATTTGTTGCTAGCCCACCTCATGTCCTTGCGCGCAAGCACCGAGCAGGGGTGATTATCTTAACGAACAAGTGGCTTGTGTAAATGTATTCGAGCATGTACGTACCAAGTATATACATGTAATGGCATGCTACGGGCACGGCGAACTCTCCCACGACCGTCCTGTTCTCCTGTTGCACAACAACACCGGTGCCACGTCTCGCCACCGCGTCTGATTGCGGTCAATCGCACACCACGCAAAGGTGCACAGCAGTCCCTCCCGGACGACGACGCTGCATAGGGCCCCGGTACACGGTAACACATGCAAGAACCGAACCCTCATACTAGCTACCCTGCAGCTGTTGACAAAACACGGTTGACGAAGCACTGTTGACGAAAAGTAAAAGCTATCCGTCTGAAGAAACTAAACATAGCACCATGCACCACGCAAACACCACGTCACGCACGAGCATGTGTGCCGCTTGCTGCCATCTCGGCTGCGAAAGCTGGCAATCCGGGGATACACGCGCCCAGAGAGCCCGCAGGACCAACATACACATACATATCGCATTCGTCACACCTTTAGTGCTGCGTATGGTTCCCATATGCAATCGGAGCGCACCGTTGTTTTACGGTTCTGTCTTAGGGAAGGACAGCCGAGCCAACCCCACCAAGTACCGGTATGACCTAACTCCACACTGTAGTGTTATGCCTCCCAACCCTGGCATCTGCTTATCCCTGGTCTGTCTAGAGAAGGCAAAAAAGTGCTGTCCACAACCATTCGTCGTAATACATAGCACACATCTACAACACCTGTCCACCAGGGTCTTCGCACCACATCAGGCACATCACACGAGGTGTCACGTGAGCAAGCAGGAGCTCCAACATGCGGCAATTCGCAGCGGCCATGAATGCGAGAGTCCTCTTTTGTATGCTACAAACTGGCCCTTGCTCTCTCCACCCGCACCCTTCTTCCATGTCAAGCAGGGCGAAGCGGTGCCGGTGTCACACACGTCAGCAACGGCTTGTCAAGACGAACTGCAGGACAGCGCTGTGACCCGTCCGTCGTCCCTTTTGCACAACGCTGTGGTTCTTGCCGTTGCCGTTGTTGTTGTTTCAATCGGGTGTCACCGAACCTCGTGTTCACAACCCAAACGACAACATGGACATGCAAACGCATCGTGAGCAACGCCGCAGCTGCTGGTAAAAGAATCCCGCCGTTCCCGCGTACAGAGTCACCCGTGTCCAAGCCGTACGACAGGGTTTGGGTTTGAGGATCGTACATCCACCTCTCCAGCCACCGACATCACCTTGTACATCCCCGCATGTCCCGACGGCCCCACTGGAATCCCCGGCGCGCGACTGCCCGACTTCTGCCGTTGCAGCGAGGACGAGCTGTGCTGCTGCGTGTAACTGCTCCCAATGCCGGCGGACATCGCCGTCGACCCCTCCTCTTCCCGTGACCCCGGCCTGCTAGAATATGAACACGTGTGCCCGTAATCTGATTGCCCTGACGAAGAACAAGTAGAGCGAGCCGAGCTGGGCCGGTGCGACCGCTGTTGCTGCTGGTGTTGCTGCTGGGCCGCAGCAGATGCATGCTGGTGATGGTGATGTTGCTGCTGATGCCGTTGGTGCTGCGAGGCGGGAGAGGCGCTAGCGCGGTGTTCCCCGTCCCGCTCATGCATATCGCCGTTGCCAAGAGGTGCGCCCCAAGCAATGCCTGGCTTGTGATGGGGACTCCCAACCATGAAGCCGGCCGGTGAGTGCACCGGTCGCAGCCCCGCCAGAATCTCCGAGATAGACGCGCCGCTGCTGCCGATGCTGTCCGCTGCCACGTCACGCAGGACCTTCGCCAGCACCATCTTCCGCCGTACGGCAGCCGCAGCCCCCGCAGGCGGCCGCGGCGGCTGCAGCGGACTGCTGGGAACCATCGGCGACATGCCGGGCTCCGGCCCTGGCTCCAGCAACCCCAGACCCAAGCCTATCCCAACCCCCAGCACGCCCCCCAGCTCCGACGAGGCAGCCACATCATGGCTGCTGCTAAGACTCAGCACATCCGGCCGGTGTCCGCCACCCATGCCCATGCCTCCGCCGCCACCGGCCGCCAGCTCCGGCCCCTCGGACCCCGCCCAGCACCCCTCCACGGGCGCCTCATCTGGGTCAACAAAGAGCACCCGGTCTGCCGTTTCCAGCTTCCACCTCTTGAGTTCCTCTAGCAGCGCCTTGGGGTCCAGCTGGCCACCACGCAGCAGCGTCTGCGAGAGGGCGTTGCCGCCGCCGCAGTGACCCGTGGGTCCTTCAGCTGCTGGCGCGTCGCCGCTAGCATCCGCGCCGCCAGCGGACGTGGAAGCCGCCGCCGCCCGTACCGCCGCGCCCTTCCATTTCCGCAGGTCCCGCGCGAGACTGGCGCCAAAGGTGGTGTCCGAGCCCTGCGTGAGCTTGCTGCTGCAGACCGCACCCTCTGCATCATCTGAGGAAGCCGTCCCGCCGTGGCCGCTGCAAGCACCCGTATCCACGTTGCCACCGCCGGCCCCATTGGCTCCACTGGCGCCAATGCGGTTCTTTGCCCAGTACAACCCTACCGTGGCCGATGATGGCGCCGTTCCAGTGCTGGCAGAGGTACTCACGCGCGCTGAAAAGGACGCGGACGTGCCCGGTCGGGCGCTGAAAGGCCGGCCGGCTGACCCCGGAGTGCCCAACCGGTAGCCCCCGCTGCCAGGCCGGCGAGGGCTCTCCGCCGTCACCATCCCACCATACCCGCCAGCCCCCATGCCCCCGTTCCCCGTCCAGCTGCCGTGCCCCCGCATGCCACCACCCCCGAATCCAAGCGACATGCCTAGCGCGGCGCCCGCGCCTGTAAGCACCGCCCAGCGCTCCTGCTGCTGCGGCTGCTGCTGGTGCTGCGAGAGCGCCGGACTCCGTTGCTGCTGTTGTTGCTGCTGCTGGTGCGGCGCGCTAGGCGGCCGGCTGCTAATGGGACTAGCGCTGCATGGCGATCCAGAGGACTGCGACCCCGTGCGGGCGCTCGCTGCGGCTGCATGCGAGGCACGCAGCGCCGCTAGGCTGCCCTCGCGACTGCTGCGCAGCGTGCGAACCCAGGTGCTGGCGCTGGCGGGCAGCAGCGTGGAGGAGCCGGGCCGCACATCCAGCTGCACGTCCGTGCCGTCCGCCGTAGCCACCAGAAGGTTCATCTCTATTTCTCGGAACTCATGCGAGTCAACACCCACCCGCGCGTGCTTGATGCCCGCCACCACTAGCGCGACCTCTTCTGCGTCTGCGGGAGCTCCTGGGGTTCCAGTTCGAGAGGTGGAAGCAGCAGATGATGATGCATGCGCGGCTGCGGTTAGTGTGCTGGCAGCGGTGTCTGACGGGCTATCGAACGCTGCGCTGCTAGTGCTGACGGCTGCTGCTGCGGCGGCAGCCCGGAGCGGCGGCAGCGGCAGTGATGACGGCCCCGCCGCCGACGACGACGGCGCCGTCACGACCCAGTTGAACCCTGATAGTACTGCGCCGCTGGCGGCTACGCTGCCCATTCCTGTGCTCCCGTCATGCTGCGGGTGCTGCGGATCGCGGTCTGCAGACGTGACGGGTTCGTCATCCAGACACTGCAGGGAGGGCAACGCCGCGCAGACCGTACGGCGGTAGTCGGGTTGCTCCGCCGCTGGGTTACCTGCCAGCGAGAGGGTTTGCAGGTTGGTGCAGGAGACGAGGTACAACACGTTGTCTGCGTCTGCGATGCAGTTGCATTCCACGTCCAGGACCTCTAGGTGCTGGCAGGCATCCACCGGCTGCAGGTCGGCTATGTCGTTGTAGGCCGCATAGAGTTCGCGCAGCGAGGGGAGGCCATTTAGACCGTCGAGGTCTTTAAGGCCGCAGCGGGAGACCCACAACACCTGCAGCAGGCGGAAGCCGGTGCCCAAGTCGCGTAGGGAGTCCAGCATGCTGCCGTTAAGGTTGAGCTCTTGCAGGTTGGGCAGCGTGCCCCCGAGGTGGTCTATGGTGCCGCCAGCGACGGTATTAACAACCAGCTGCAATGACGCTGCGTCCTCGAGCCGCTCGACGCCTGCAAGCTGCTCCAAGTACGCAGTCTCCAACTCTGGAGACCAATCCTGCCAGTGTACGTCGGGCCCCCCTCGTAAGCGAGAGAGCGGCAACGGATTCTCGCGATCGAGCTCCATGATTGCATTGGCGATATCGGGCCGCAGGGAGTCCAAATGTTGTTCGGTTGGCCCCTGGACCATACAACATCGCGGCATCCAACGATATTCGTGAGAAGCCTTGATACGAAAGTACACTTAGTCGGCAATAAGTCATCAAATGCTAGCTCGGGTGCAGGCAAACGGTCAATGGACCTTGGAAATAGGAGGACACACAACCGATAGGCACGTTTGTCACTCTACACCCGTGCTGAATATATACGCATAGTTCATATAGACGCTTACCACGAAGGCACCGCCGCTGACGCCAAGCCAAGGTGTGTCGGGGAGCTCAGCCCCTGCTTCTGCGATCAATAATCCATGTTCTAAGGCTGTACATAGTATGTAGTGCTAAAACGATAGGGTTCGCCTTGGAGGAAGCATACGCTTCCGCAGTTAGAACGAGCTGCATATGTGGATAAGCATTAACATTCACACCATAGCAATACAAAAAATGGCGAGGTCTTAAACCTTGATGCCATACGCTGGGCTTTGCAATCGCTATAGCCTTCTTGCGACGACCTTAGGTCTTACATTGTACGGCAGATACCTGTATCCGGCAAAGCGTCTGTCTGCTGTTCATATCCGCTGAAGTTAGAAGTACCCCGTCGGACTGCAAAAACGTTGATCACGATGGACGTCAATACAACTTATGCATGGTAAATGTGTACTTAGCATTGCATGCTAGGCGTTCTCCGCAAGGGCCTGGAAGCACTGGCAGGACTGCGGGTCGGGAGGGCGTTGCAAAGGGGGCGAGGCCGTGCGTGAAATACACTGGTGACACATGGACTCTGGTAGCAACATCCCAAGTCCGTATGCATTGCACATGTGCAGTGCGTGCTCATGTCACCAAACAAGGCCAAAGTCCCCTGCCTAATCCCGCCTCACGCACGCCTCAGACAGCTAATAACGGACAGGTAACGCATGAACTGGCCATGCTAAAAGCCCCTTATAGGTAGTGCTTCCCGTCTTTACTGCGGTCCGTCCGTTACCAGCCTCCTTCCCAGCAATGCTTGCCTTAACCTCTCTGCTCGCCCACCTTTCATGCTAAGACGTATCAACTCATGTGCTTCCAACCAGTCAGGCCACAACATGCTCCCTCCATACAGGCTCATGCAACTTCACCCACCTCCCACTCAACTGCTTCCACCGGCTGCACCACCTGCCGCTTACCGTAATGCTGCCACATCCTGCTCCTATACCACCTGCCCCTGCTCCTCCTGCTGCCGCTACCCCCCCTCATACCTCCTCCACCTCCTTCCCCTCCTCCTGCTGCTGCCCCCACTACACCTCCTCCTCCTCCCCCAGCGCCGTCACCACCTCCTGCAACGCCGCCCCGACCTCCGCCGCATCGTCCGTACCCAGTCCCCACGCATCCAGCACCGCGCGCCCTGCTGACCCCCCCGCTGCGCGCCCCCAGCGCCCATGCACGCCCGCCACCCAGCCCTCGAACTCCCGCGTCGCATGCATCCGCGTCAGCACCGGCACGCTGTGCACGCCCTGCCCCGCCGCCCGCGCCACAACACCTGAGGATGCTGCTCCCGGGGTGTGACTGGAAGCGGCCGCAGCAGCACTCGTAGCAGCAGCAGCAGCACCGGGGGAGAATGTCGTGGGCCGCAGCATGACGTCCCCATGCAGCGACACGCGGGGGCTGAAGATGCTTGGGAAGGGCAGGGGTACGGGCAGGGGCAGGGGTGCGGCACAGCGGTGTCGTACACACATGCGGTGGGGATGTCGCAGCAGCAGGGCGTCCAGGGCCTGCAGGGCGGAGGAGGTGGAGGCGGGGCCCGCGTCCGTGCGGCCACCTGGAGTGGAGGGGAACAGAGGGGTGTAATGGGGAACGATATGGTGGGGATTAATGCACCAGCAGGAAGCAGGGAGGGAAGCGGAAAGGAGGAAACGGATGAGCTTGTATCCTGTATGACGAGGCTTGACCATGGGTTGCTGCATTGGACCCCGCCCATCCCACCCTGCCTGGATTGCTGGTAGTCAAGCCACAGCAGGCAGGCGGGTTCAGAGGAGCAGCGACGAAGTGAGCATGAAGTACCACACCTCTTCGCATGCAAGATGCTTCTAGCAAGTGGTTCGGTGGGCCCGACAAGGCTAGCACCGTTCTCCTTCCAGCACCGCATGGGCTACGTCAACCCGGTCTCTACAAAGCTAAAGAACCCTAAGAACCTAAGACCGTAGTTGTAGTCATGTGCTAGCTTCCCTACTCACCCCTCAGGCAGTAGCTCTCAGCCCAGCTGCTGCCCCTAGCTGCGTCCTCCCGCCCGCTAATGCCGGGCGTAAGGCTCGCCAGGCCACCGTCTAGCGACAGCTGTGCCGTACTGCCGTGCAAAGCCTGACTCAGCGCCGCCGGCGACGTCAAACCTGCCCAGCTACTGCCGCCACCGCTGCCGCCGGCTGTAGTACCAGCAGCAGCAGCAGCGGTCACCGCCGCATGCGCGTGCGGCGGCCTGATTCGCTGGTCGAGTTGCTGTTGCAGTTGCTGCAGGTCCGCGGGCAGGGAGGGGCAGGGCAGCGCCAGGTGCAGGGCCGCAAGGTTTGCCCCCGGGTGACCCACGGGTCGCAGGAGGCGAGTCAGGGAGTGCAGGTCTGAGGCGCCTAGCGGCTCACCAAGCGCGCTGCGAACGCCTGCGGGCACACAGTTGGGAAAGACAAAAAAGCTGAAGGTGTCATCGTTGTACAAGTTAGATCCTTAGGAAAACATGCGGCCGTCATCTTGCACCCCTCCACATCCCCTTCCTAGTCCCCATCACCACACCTGCCAGGCGAGTGGGTAGCAACGCCGTGTCAATGGCGCTGGCCAGGATGGCGCTGCTGTGGAACGGCAGCCAGGGATTGTACGACAAGTACGGCAGTGCCGTACGATCTGCCGGTACCGCCAACGGTACGTACAACGACACGAGCTCGGTCATGCGAGTGAGCGCGAGCGCCTCACTCAGATCCTCCCGGGCTGCCGCGGCGGCTGACCCGCCTCTACCTCCCTGCCCCTGCCCCGGTTGCCTTAGCGAAAACAGCACACGGGGTCGGCTGCCGTACTCTTCTGCTACCTCCGACAGTACGGCAGCTGCCAGGGCTCCGAAACCCGTCAGGTCATCCGCAAACACCTGAAAGCCTGGGAGTACGGCAGGATGTGAGGGGGATTGAGGGGTAGGGTAAGGGTAAGAGAAGGGAAGTTGGCATGGTCGGAATTGAAGCGTCTACTTCTTACCAAACATTGGCTCTCCCCTCCACGACAGCACTCCACACCAACCGGTTGCGCATCACCACCCCCCGCGAGTGGGCCCCTCCAGCAACTCTCCTCCTCCTTCGTTTGCATCCTCTCTTTGGAACCCCCCTTCCCCTCCCTCCCGCTCCCCCCGCCCACCCCACCTGCCAGGCTGTCGCACGCCTCCCCCATCTGCCGAACCCGCTCCACCGCCTCCTCCACCACCCCGCCCCCGCTGCCTCCCCCCGCCGCCCCGCCGCCGCCCGGCCCCAGCAGGTCTCCCTCCGCTGCGGCGCCCCAGCCGCCCGCTAGCGAGTGGTCCAGCGGGTCGCGCCATGCACCCGGCAGGGTGCACACGGAGCGAGGGGAGATGAGGACCTGACGGGGAGGGGGAGCAGGGCCGAGAGGGGCCGAGAGGGGCAGGGAGGGACCCGGAGGGGCAGCGAAAGGGAAAACGGTGTGGTGTGCTCTTCCGCTTTCATGCATGGGGGAGAGGAAAGGCCAGGGAGAGGATGGGGCTAGGTTCTCCCTTTGTTGGCATCCCGAATGCACGGAGCCCTGCTGCAGGGCTGGTCCTCTAGCTAGTTCCAAAGTGAAACGTAGACCACAGTGACCCATGGGTCAGCGCCACCCCAGCAACGGCCCATGCAACGACCCCGGCACCGCACCCACCAGCCGCCACACGCGGCTCTGCGCCTTCCCACAGGCCCCAAACCGCACCGCTCTCACCTTACAGAAATCCGTCCAATGCCGTGCAGCCCCCGCAGCCGCCGCCGCCGCCGCCACCGCCGCACCCGGCCCCGATCCTCCACCGACCGCATCCAGCTGTCGTGCAGCCGCCTCCAGCGCCGCCTGATGCCGTGCCGCCTCCTCTTCACCTGCACCATCCAGCCGGCAAAACACGCGACTCAGCCTTTGTTAGGTCCGCATATACCTACGAACCCCTACTGGGACCCGTTACCTCTTTACCTCCTAACCCTAGGCCCCTGCCTCTGTCCCTCCCAGCCCCCCCCCGGCCCCACCCCGGTCCTCAACTCCCCTCCCCTCCCCTCCCCAGCCCCCCTTGAGCTCCTCACCCAGTCCCTCCCAGTCCAGCTCCTCCTGCGCCTCCAGCTGCTGCAGGAAGGCGCTGCGAGCCACCCGCGCAGCCCGGTGCACCTCGCAGCCGCCCGACCAGCTGGGAACCAGCCCACCACCAGCAGCAGCAGCAGAGGGGGAGGGGGAGGGGCCTAGGGAGCTAGGAGGGGGCAGCGGGGTGCCGTCGGGGCTGAAGGACACGCCTGGAAGGGGGGTTAGGGAGGGGCGGGAAAGGAGGTAAGGGGTGAGGAAGGGAAGAGGGGTTGGGTGGGTGGGGTGGGGCAGAGGGCAGAGGGGTGACAGGGTTCCTGAGGTAGGGAGGTAGGGAGGTAGGGAGGCGGAGGAGCTGTCAGCATGTGGGTGGGGATTGAGAGGTGGGGATTGGGAGGAGGGGGTTGGGAAGGGACAGGGGAGAGGAGGGGAAAGGAAAGGAGTAACACGGGTTGGGCGGCCGTGCTGTTGCCGTACGGCGCCGTACCTCCGGAGCTACCCACGATGTCGTACCAGATGGCACGGGGGCGGTACGTGGAGGGACCCTGCCGGGGGGGGGGGCAGGTGGGGCAAAGAGTGAGGGCGGTGGGGTGGTGCTCAGCGCGGCTGTACGGCACCGCTATCAGGGGAGGGCGGCTCTGGATTGCGCAACGCCGCATAGGAGGCAGGCATAGTCGTTCCTAGCCGACCGCCCAGGTACCAAGTTTCCCAAGTCCCTATAACCTCTGTCCCAGCCCTTCCTCTTCCTCTCTTCCGCTTCCTCTCTTCCGCTTCCTCTCTTCCGCTTCCTCTTCCCCTCCTCCTCCTGCCCACGTGCCCAGCCCTGCCTCACATGTCCCGTCGCCTCCACCTCCTGAAACAGCGCCCCGTGCTCCACGCTGCCAGCCAGCTCGGCCCAGCCCTCGCGGCCGCTGTAGCCGGCAGCCTCATCCTGAAGAGGGCGAGTGAGGGAGGCGGGAAGCGTCGGGAGAGGGTTGGGGCAGGATGCGGGAGAGGAGTAGCGGGATGGGGCCAGGAAGGGGCCAGGAAGGCGAGAAGGAGGGACGAGACTGGTGGGTGTTTTCAGGCCGCATGGAAGCTGCATTGCCGCAGTGCTGCTATTGATGTTGAGTGGGGAAAGTGTTGGGCACACCGCGTTGAGGAGGGTAGGCCGTAACAAACCTGGAGGTTCCAGAAGTGTGCCGAAACAAAGCTAGCGTAGCTGCCGAAACTGAGGGTGATCACTTCTTTTGGCATGGTGTTAAAGATCTGGCAGTGCTAGTGAGCGCTAGCGAGCCTGGATTCAGTTCCGGCTATGGCTGGTTGCAGGTGAGTAAGCCTTCCGCATGGAATGCGTATCCTAGCTGCAGGGCTATTGCAACTTAATAATAGCGTCTTGTTCAATTATATGCCTCCGACTTTCTTTGTGCATGGGTTGTATGGACGAATGGACCTGAAAAGTCCCTTGCCGGACTAGATGCGATTCGCGTTAACTGCTGACGTTGTTCGCTGTATACAGTAGTTACACTTGTTACCTCTCTGCATACTGTGAGCATTACACATGTATATCCTGTGCTTTGGTCTGTTCGACTGAACTGTGATAGCAGATAGGCAACACCGTGTCCCCATCCTGGTTCCCACCCTTATACCAATTCCCTTTTTGAAATGCTACTGTAAGGAACTTGACATACCGCCCGTCAGCGGGCGGGCGGGACGCATGTGACACATAGAGACATAGTCAGAAGCCAAACACCATGGAGTTAGAACTTTTCCGGCAGGACCTTATCCAGACCAGCACATGCGCTCCTGGAACGTTGGCGGTAGGCAGCAGAGGAGTACCTGTGAACGGCCTTGAGCATGCGGATGCTAATGCACGCTGGTCCCCAGGTGCTGCCGCTGACGGAGGAGAAGAAGACACAGAAGGTCGCTGTGGGCGACCTCTCAGGCGTGATGCAATGCTTCTCCGTCAAAAAGGGCGAGTTCAGCGTTTCCTTCAAGACGCTACCATCCTCAGCCAACAAGGTGAGCTGGACCGGTTGCCATGCTATCGTCCCCTCGCCCCACCCTGCGCCTAAGGCCTCGGGAGGACACGGTTTCCGTCTGGGGACAAGGATACATTCACCTCCCGGCCGTTCCTTGGAAGCCGTTCACCATGTGTTGTTGAAGCCCCTCCGACTGCTGCTGTTGCTGCTGCCTGTGCCCTGCAGGTCACCAGTCTGGTCCTGGGCAGGGGAAAGGCGCAGCGCGATAAGATGTTCGTTGCAGCAGGCAATCAGGTGTGAGGGGTGCGGGGTGCTGAGGTGACGCCACGCTTGCCCAAACCGGTGCGTCATGACCCCTCATATTTCTTTTGAGGTCTGATGTGAGGGCTCGTGCAATTCGCTTTGGAGCTGGGCAATGCAGCTGCTGTGCATCAGGGCAGCACACGAGGAGGGAAGTGCGCGCGCATGGGATGTACATGTTGTAGCACAACATTGTTGTAGGGCTACGTGCTTTCGGCACCCCACCCAGGGACCCCGCAGGGGCACCCCACCCAGGCACCCCACTTGGGCACCCGCCACCCAGGGACCCAGCGGCCCCCAAAGTAAGCCCACTGGCAGCACCAGCCGGTGAGCCGCGACTGGATGCTGCATGCGGGCGCTACCGGTATTGCGCAGGGTGGGTGCTGCAGCCTGCCTGCAGGGTGGAAGTCCAGGAGACGCGTGGCCGGCAGGGGCGAAGGCGGCACACACCTGCCTGGGCTCTGGCTAGAGTGCGCCGGCAGCTTCCGGGTCGGCATGGAGAGGACATAGAGAGCCTGTCCTAGCAGCGAGAGCGCATGTCATGTCCTACGTGACGTCTTACCCTGCAGCCCATGGCAGTCGCAGTTCGCAACCAGAGCAGTCGCTGTACCTGCGCGCGTGTTACCAGGAACCTCAAGAAGAGTTAACGTTGTGGTAAAAAAACCCCGCGAGAACACTACTCCTTACTCCTTACCTCAATCCTTCCTCCCAACCTCCACCGGCTCCACGTCTTCTTCATTGCCTTCTTAGCTCGCCCTCCATCCCTCCCTCCCTCCCACAGATCAAGGGTGTGAACAAGAAGGGCAAGGAGTTCTTCCGCTTCAACACGCAGCTCACGGAGACCATCCGCCGCATCGACATCTTCGAGAAGAACATCTGGAGCGCGGGGGAGTACGTGCACAACCACTTCATTGAGGGACGCGACAAGGCGCTCTACCTCTGCCCCGACCGCATCAATGACGCAGAGGTGGGTGGCGGGAGGGAGGGAGGAAGCAGACAGCAGAGGGGGGAATGTGCTTTTGCCATATGTAAACTTGGTTACAAATTGACAGGTTACAGATGCTCTAGATACTTGCTGGGCATGTGAAGGGCGCGGAAACTAGGTGCTGGACTGAGCTCCTGCCCCGTTCCTCGCACACCCCCCCCCCGCCCTTAGCTGGTTAAACTTCTCCCAACCACAGAGCCGGCCGGCATCCCCACTGCCTAACGCGAACTATGTACCGGCATCCCTACTACTCCCCACCCCTGCTGCAGGTGCTTCCGCTGCCTGGCCCCGCCGAGCTCTGGCCCGTGCTGGCCTGCCAGGACCGCTACGTGCGCGTGCTGCGCGGCAGCGAGGTGCGCTACGAGGCGCCCACCCCCGCCGCGCCCGTCAGCCTCAAGTACGTGGTGGACGCGCATGACCCGCAGCGCCGCTTCCCCAACGCCAAGGAGGTGCTGTACGGCACCGACACGGGTGGGTGGGTGCGCGGCGTGGTGGGGTGTGTGTCGTACTGCGTGGGTGGTGGTGGTGCAGGTGTGTGGGGGTGGGTGGTATGTGGTGTGTCGTACGGTGGGGTGTGTGTGGAGGATGAGAGGGCGGGTGCGGCACTGAGGCTGCTTGAGCTGTTACCTGTTGGCAATGGGAGTCGCATGACTGAAATCGAACTCCAGTCCATTGCGCGATTTTTGACTTACCGGTACTTTCCTCCCCCCCGCCCTTCCCTTTACCCTTCCTCTTCCCAGGCTCTCTTGTTCAGCTGCTGCTGGAGCCCGAGTCCGCGCGTCAGGGCTTCGTGCTGCCCAACCCCAAGAAGCAGGGCGCCATCTCCGCCGTCTACAGCGGCATCGACCTGACCAAGACCGGCATGAACAACATTGTGGTGGGGCGCGAGGACGGCGGGGTGGAGGTGCTGGAGGTGGAGGAGACGGGGCAGCTGCGAACGGTGTACAGGTGCGCGGGGGGGGGGAGAGCGGGAGGACAGGGGATGGAAAGCAGGGGAGGACAGCGGGAGCAGGGAAGGGAAAGCTGCTGCTAGAGCATGCGGTGATGTGGGAAGATGCTTAGGGGGCCGCTTGCCCGGTGATGGTTGGGACGGGCCTGAGTACACAGTATAAATGCCGCTTCCTTACTCTCCCCCCTGCTTTGTGAACGCCCCGCCCAGTGCATGGACGCTCATTACCGCCATGCTCCCTCCCTCGCCTCCCCTGCCCCTTCCCTCACCCCAGTGTCAAGCTCACCGAGTCCATTAATAGCCTAGACGGCGGCTTCCTAACCGGGCTGCTGGCCCAGGAGTTTGTGATGCACACCTTTTCGGGCAAGGTCATCAGCTACGCGCCCCCGGGCGGCGGCCTGCTGGTGTCGAACCCCGAGGCGCCCCGCCCCGGCATGCTGGGAGGCGCGCTGGGCGGCCGCCCGCGCGCCTCCGTGCATGTGCCGGGCGCGGAGGAGGAGGAGCGGCGGGCCAGCTACATGAAGCAGATTGAGCGGCTGCGGTCGGAGATCTCGGTGCTGAAGCAGGAGATTGATGCGGAGCGGACCAGGTGCGTGGCGGCGGGGGTGGTGGGAGGCGGGGCGGGCAGAGTCGTAGGGAGGAGGAGGACGTGAGAGGAGGACGACCCTAACCCCCACATCACCCGTTGACGCCCTCCCCCATACTGAGTCTCCTCCTTTCCTCCCCCTCCCCGCCCCTCCCCCCGGCCCGCTCCCTCAGGTTCACCCAGCGCGGCGGCGACACCGCGCTGCTGGCCATGTCCGCCCCCTTCACCGTGCAGGACAAGTGCAAGCTGGAGCCCGACGAGGCCTGCTACGTGCTGACCATCGAGTCCGCAGTGCCCATCTTCACCGTCGCCATCCAGAGCAACACGCAGCTGCAGATGCTGGACGTGCCCTCCAACGTGGCCATCCTGTCGCGCTCCCCCCCGGACGAGGCCAACGGCAACCTAACGCTGGCCACCTACAGGTGAGTGGGTGGGGGGTGGTTCCTACAGGGCTGGAAGGCTGGCAGCAGCAGATAGAAGGGGACTGGGAAGGAGCTGGGGAGGTGCGTTACCTACAACCCCGGGTGAGTCCCGTACCTTACAAGGGTTGCAACCCCTTACACCGTCCTCACCCGGCTCCCCTGCTACCCAGGTGCCAGGACGCCACCAACCGCCTGGCCGTCAAGTTCAAGGTGCGCGAGGGCCGCTCCGCCTCGCTGTCCGCCTTCGTCATCCCCGCCATCTCGCCCAAGGCCTGCTGCGTGGTGCGGCACACCATCCGCCCGCTGTGCCTGCACCAGCGCATCACGCAGATGGACACCAGCAGACCCACCAACGAGCTGCTCATCACGGGTGAGGGCCCCCTGGGTGGTGGTGGTGGTGGGGGGGGTAAAGAGGGAACAACTACGGTAACTGACCGTGTGGTAAGTGGCATCATCATGGTTTGCAACTTCATGTGAGCCACAGGGTCCACCTCTGCTTGTTGCTCCCTGTTTCAGTACTCCATGTGCTCCCTGCCCTCCCACAACAACCCCACCCCGCCCCGCCCCGCCCCCGCAGGCTCCTTCGCCAGCGGCGACGTGCACTCCTGGGTGACGGGCCTACTGCCCGACGTGCCGCCCACCCTGCCGCCGGGGCAGGACGGAGCCAGCTACGTCTTCCAAAACACGCTGCTGGGGACACAGCTGCTGTGCAGGTGGGGGGGGGGGCGGGGCAGGCGGCCCGCACGTGCTACCCGTAGGGCCCGTTGCTGCGGGTTGTGCGGCTGCGTACTGTGCATATCTAAACACTTGTTGTTTTTACCACGTCTTTCTCCCCCCCACCCCCCCGTCCTCAGGTACCGTGCCGGCGAGGCGCGCTTCGTGTCCGACCTGGTTTCCACGCTGGGCATCATCCATGAGCACGTCATGCGCGAGGCCACGGCCGCCAAGCTGCGCGTTAGCGTCTCCTTCAACCCCTCCGCGCAGAGCCTGCAGCACAGCGTGGCACTGGTGTGGCCGCAGCTGGAGAAGCAGCGCACGCTGAAGAAGACCTACAACATGCTGGAGGGGCTGCAGGTGGGACGGGGGAGCGCAGGGGTACTGGGCGGCGAAGAGGCCCGGGGACCGGGGACCAGGGGAAGCGGTGGCGGCGCGGGAAGGAGAGGGAACTACCGGTGGCCGCATTGTGGCCTAGTTCAACCAGCATGTGTTGCGCGACATGGGTTGATGGCTGGGGGACTTTGTTGTTATTGGTTTGGCGCGATAGGGGTATCGTAAGCGTCAACAGCTATCGTACGCATGCCGCATGTTTGGCGGGTAGGGAGTTGGCTTGCATCGGGGGGAGGGAGTACCTCCTCTGCTGCCTCTCACCCGCCCTCCTCGTCCCATTCCCTCCCACTCTCCCATCCCCTTGCACAGGAAATCAAGATGCAGGACGGCGACGTGTCGTACTTGACAGACGAGTACCGCACCATTCTGGAGCGAGCCGACAAGATCCGCCAGGAGTACAAGGTAAGGAGCGGCGGGGGGAGGCAGGGCTCCATTCCACATGTTATCGCCCCCCGCCTATTTGTTTGCTTGTAAAATTCCCTCAGCCCCTCCTCCCTCTCCCTCACTCCCTCTCCTCCCCTCCTCCCCCCCACTCCCCCCCCATCTCTTCGCCCCACCCCCCAGGAGCAGCCTCAGCACCTGGACCACCTGGTGGCACTCATCAAGGACCTGTACCTGGACTTCTGCAAGCTGTCGGTGAGGCGGGCAGGGGGGGGCGGAAGGGGGGCGGAGGTGCCGGGGAAGGAAAAGGAGAAGAAGTAGTAATGAGGCAAAAGGAGGAGGCTAGCCGGGATGTGTGTCCCGCACAGGGCTAGGGGCGGGGAGGGGTTGTGTTCAACTGATCCCCAGACCCGCTAAACTCTTAACCCCCTCCTGCCCCGCATGCTCCCCCCCCCTGCATTTATCATTCTTTTACACCCGTGCAGGGCGTGTCCACCCCCAAGCAGCGCCTGCCCGCGCTGGAGCAGCTGCTGCACGACACCTCCTCCACCCTGGACCAGCTCATGGAGTTCCTGCTGGGGCAGCGGTGAAGCGATGAAGGGAGGGAGGAGGAGGAGGGAGCAGGGGGGGGGATAGGGCAGCAGGGATTGGGAAGAGGAGGGGTGAGATGCGTTTGCATGGAAGGAGGAGCATATTGGCGGAAGGAGAAGACGTTTGGGTGACGGTGAATTTTGCACTTATGATGACGTGGGCACCGCTTGGCCCGTACAACTTAAAACACGGTTGACAAGCGCATTGACTAAGAATCAGTACTTTTGCCCATGACGTTGGCCGGCCCCGAGGAGAGCCCAGTAAATCCTAGGCCTTGTAACCAAATATAGGAGTGCAAAAATGCTGAGCGAAAGGGAAAAGACAGCGTGACGTGCCGACGTCTCCTCGTCTGGGCACAGTACAGGTCCGCCCTAGTCGCTCCGGACTTGGGGACAGGTCGCAGCTTCTTTGTAGGCACTCCTGTGCTTTGGGCCATAAGATTCTTGGCGCAGCAGCCACCTACAGGTATGCAACAGGCTCAGCCCCCGTGACCTGGAGATGCCAGCCACTAGCATGTCGTAGCACGATGGAATTGTGGTGGGGGGGCGGGGGTGTTGGCTGCTGGGGAGACTGGATTGCTCGGCTTCGCCCATGCAATCTTAACTCTTGCACCTGTGTCATATCCCTCCTATCACTTGAGCCTAGGGTACGTGCGGTAAGGGAGAGGGAAATGGTAATGGGGCGCAGTGGGGTGGATGCTTGGCAGGTGGAAGTTAGGGTGTTTCCCTTTCAAACCAATATACAACAACTTTCATGGAGAGGTAATGCCCGGGGTCCTCACCGGGCTGAAGCACTCCCTGCAAGTTGTGATCGTATATGCCTGACCGAATCCGTGCTTCCCCCCTTGCGGTAGTCACGGGTGACACCGCGGTTGTTGACAGGGTTATTTGCAGGTACTTACACATTTATATGCCATCAGTGTCGTTTGGGCAGTCAAACCGCACCGCAAGACACTCATGATGGGGGTATTGCGTAGCCCCTTCGCACAAGTGACAAAGCGTAGTGGCTAAGGAGTAGCGCTCCTTACTGTTACGGGATGGGTACCGTCGGCTCCTGACCTTCCGCTGGCGGATGAACCCAGACATTTTGCCCTCGTAGTAGCTGCCGCTTGCCATGCATGTGTTAAGCACTGGGTGACGATTTAGTTAGTTTCGGATGACAAACGGGGAGGCAAGTTTATTGCCGTTCTGAAGCAGCCAGTGCTTTGTCATCCACTGTCGCCTATCTAATACAATATGAATGCATCCATGCGATCACGTCTGGCACCGGGCTGGATCAGGTTTGGCTCCGAATCCACAGCTTTTATGGCATCGTGGCCCCTTTGACTGTAACAACTACCGCTTGTCATTGCAAACGCACTAATATTGCTGATTTAACACCCCTCGCTTGTAGCGAAGGCCTTACCCGGTGCCTTTACATTAAGCCTCACACAACGAAACAATGGCTCTGAGCGCAGTTGTGGGCCGGAGGGCCTGTGTAACTACCCGTCCTGCTATTAAGCCGAACCCTGTGGCGGTTAGCGCAATTCCAAGCCGCAAGGTTACTTGCCGCTCTCAGATGTTAGCGACGCTCGCTGCCGTCGGTGATGTGGACGCTCCCATCGGTGTTGTTGTCGGAGCGTAAGAAATGCACTTTAATTACATGTCGGATAAGCAGCATACTGAAGAATCATTTTGGGCATCCGACAGGGCCATCGTCATTTCTCTAGCAGCCACAGCCCTTGTACCTCTGGCGCTCAACCCAGGTGAGCCATGTCAATGAAGTGCGCGCTTCTTCCCCCAGCGCGCTTGTCAACTTGGCCTCCGAACCATCGTTTCCATCCTCAGGCCAGCAAGCGGCGAACAAGATTTTCTCAGCTACCGAGAAGGCGCCACTTGACAAGAAGCCATCGGCGCCTGCCAAGAAAAGCAAGAAGTGACCTGGCACGCGGTGGATGAGAAGGAAGGATTAGATTGATGTTCTGAGCGTGCTTTGCACGTTGTACAAACACGTAGTTGCTGAACGAGGTCATGGGGGGGACAGCGATATCACTCTCGGCTGCCACCTTGCCAGTAAGGCAGATATACTGTAACGGTATGCCAGTAGCGTTGCTAAACCAGGAATAGTTGAATGGTTGGCAACCCTTTGAATAAGGCAAGCTGCATGTATCATAGTACCCGCCGTTCGCCTGTAACACAGCATCCCCGCCCAGCGTGGCACGGGATACAACCATTATGTAACTTCAACAATCTCAATCACCATACATGCCAATCGACGCGACTCCTTAAAGCAATGTCAGCCTCCCGCCATAAATACCCGTAGTCGTTGAGACCGTCTTCGTTGGTTGTACCAATTTGTACATCAGGGCCCGGTTTACCCCACCCACCCCAACCTGCCAGCAGCCCTGCCGCGGCTGAGCCAACCTGCCCCCGCAGCAACCCCCATCGTCCCGCAAGCATCCCCTCACGACTGTTTATGTACTACCGCACGCAAAGCTAAGCACCAGCCGAATCATCTCTACTGTATGCGCCCCACGTGCCGCATCCCCCATGCACATTTGGTGCGATAACGGCCGGAAACAAGCAACCGGTTCCTCCTCGTAGAAAAAACAACAACAGAAAGGGCACGCAACAAACGCTCGTAAAGGCGTCTGCCACAGCTGAACACATGCACGGCAAACAAGTCCCGCGAAGCCGTGATCTTGGCTCAGGCATGGCGCGCGCTTAGCGACAAAGCAACTAATGTTTTGCAATGTCAAACTCTCCCAATGTAAATACAACACGGCTTACGTGCAGACCCTTTCGGTCGGAGCCTTAACAATGAGAAGCCGGCCTGGCTCACAATCGCAAAAGCACGTGCGAGTTAGTTACCGGTAGTTAGGACATGCACGAATGGTACGGCCCCTTGGCTGCAACGGCGGCTCTCGACGCCGTACAGTTCAACCCCCAAGTTCAACCAGTTGGGCCCACCATTGGCAATAACGTAAACAACTGTAAACATGAACGCGCAATGAATAAAAACGGACAAACCCCGTTATGGGCCCGCAACTAACGTGCCCGCACAGTTAGTTGAAGTGGGGACATCAGCCTCCAAAAGCTCTCAGGCAGCTGGCTGGGGAGTTGACATAACCCCGCCAGTTGACTTGTAAAGCACTCCTCGTGTAACCCTCGTGCACCCTTCGAATAACGCTTCTCTTCAGATATAAAACACCCAGTTGCAGCTACTGCCTTTAAATGCTCAAATTTCAACTCTTGCCGCTCGTATTCTCTCAACCACGCTTGAGACACAGAGCTTTCCGTGAAGCGTCCACATAGCTTCGACGGATCTGCCCGCAAAGTCTCAGAAGTGCGTGTGCAGGTACAGGTGCATAGCTTGGACAAACGGCCTTCACACGGCCGGCAAGCTAGCATGGGATAATCGACCGCGCGCGCACGCAAACCGCTCAGGTGCAAGGCCCAAAACCAAATAGAGAGATGTAGAACAACAACACCTGCAAACCCGGAGCGCTGCGCGACTCTTGACCTCAGTTTACCTCCTTTTAAATCACATCCGTCTCGACTCGAGCTCTTGGAGCTGTCTGGAGAGTCGCAATTGCAGCAGACTGGCCGCAGCTGCATGCCTGTTTAGGTTGATGACAGGCTCCTGCGATACGGAAAAGCAAGCAAGAACGCGAGCACGTGTAAGAGGGCTTTAGGTTCCAGCGAGACGTGACAGCAGCATGCGGGAGTGCATGTCGTATCCGGGGAACATGTCGTACTTTACAACCGCAGTACGCGCCCTGGCCTCCGCACGCATCACTGCCGCCCGGTTACCTTTAACCTGCAAATCAAAAAAGCCACAAACAGACACTCCGCTGCCCGCTGCAGCCCGTTGCCCGCCCATGCAGCAAACCTCCCGAGCACCTACCTCCTTATCACCAACCGCAGGTGCGCGGGGGCGGGATCCGCTGGGAGGGGGCCGAGGCGCCTGCTGCCCATGATACCCTGCAACCGGCCCCACGGGAGTTCCAGCCAACCGCCTGCCTTGACGAACGCCGCCGCCTCCACCGCTGCCGCTGCCGCAGCCCACCTCAGGCGAAGTAGCGCCAGCGCCCTCCGACGCACGCCCGTCACTATGCACGACAGGAAAAGAAGCTGCAGCGGCGGTGGCAGTAGCAGCGGCTGCTGCCGGCAAAACATCTCCGCTGCCGCTTCCCCGCCCACAGGCCGGTGGCGACCCCGATCCGGATCCCGATCCCGCCAGTCCTAGTCCCGGCCTGGAACTGAACCGGTCAAGAAACAGCGTTGGGGCGCCGCTGGATGGGGGCGACGGAACCAGCCCCAAAGCCGTTCCCCTAGGCGCCGCCGCCGCCGCCGCATCCGCCGCCGCCGCTACCGTCCGCAGGTAGGACGGTCCGCGAACCACTCTCCTGCTGCCGTCGGAAGCGACTCCGGCACCCCGAGGCACTGGCGCCGCCGCCGCTGCCGCTGCGGGCGCGCTGACGCCAGTCGGGCTCCGGCAGCCGCCACGCAACTTGTCAGCGGAGCCTTCGGCTGCCGAGTTCTGGCCCCCAAGCGGCGGCGACGATGTTGCCAGCGGCGCCGCTACCGGCGCGGCCGCAAGCGGCTGTGGCTTTGGCGCACTGAGCTCCGTCAGGGGGTCGCTGATGGCACCTCGAAGGTAAGCTGCTGCCTGCTGACCATCCTTGCACTGCCCCGGCTGAGGCGGATGGCTGGGAGGCTGCGGCCAGATGCCAGTGCTGGACATTTCCCATAGGAGCGGAGAGGGTGAGGGGGAAACAACCTCCACTGCTGTCGTACTGTGACTGGCGTTGTGGCCGCCTTCAAAGACACCGGTGTTGTCATTGTAACTATTGAACTTGGCGTTACGATGGTCCCAATCATGAGTGGCAGGCTTACAGGCGACGATGCCGCCATCGCCGCCACCGCTGCCACTGACGCTGCGGTCCCTACCGAACCCAGCCGCCGTCGAGGCGGCGAGTGCATGCACGCTTGACCGAGGCATGGTCGCAGACCGCAAAGACGAGCTGCCCGGTATTGGCTGCAGGCCCCTGCTGCCGGCGCCGCCGCCGCTGCTACCCATGGCCGCCTTCTGTGCCGCCGTGACCACGGCTGCGGTGGCTCCAAGGTCCGCCAAAGATGACATGCCCACGAGGTTGGAGGAGCCGTCGGCCGTCGGCATGGGTGGCGGCGAGTCGGAGCGGAAGGTGTAGTGCGTATGCATCGCAGGCGTCGCGACAGGCGTGGGGCCCACAGAGCTTGCAGGAACGCGCGTGTAGGATATCCATTCCGAGGCTGCCCTTGTCGTACTGTTGTTGCTGTTGTTGTTGTTGGTACTGTTCTCTGGTTGTATAAGGTAATGCGGCTCATGTGGCGCGGTTGCATGCAGCATGGGAGCTTGAGGGGTCGAAGAGTCATGAGACGAGGCAATCGCCACCGCTGCAGCACTTGCCCACATCGGCACGTGAGCCATGTCCGAACCGCCCAAAGCCGTACCGCCGCCGGCGCAGTTCTGATTCCACACGCTTCCATGGCCCGCCGTTGCCGCGCGCACCAGTGCTTTCCGTTCCGACAGCAGCATCGCGGGGTCACGCGGCAGGGGCCCGCCGGCGTAGCCACTGAAGGTTGCGGGGGTTGCATGCAGCCGGCTGACACTGCTGCCGCCGTACAGCGACCCCGCTGCCGCCGCCGCCGCTGCTGCGCTTGCGGCCGGCGGCGGCGGGCGGGGTTGCGGATGGTGATGAGGAATGGGCGCCGAGGGGTACAGCGGCGGGCGGGGATGATGCAGCGGTCCTGTAGCGCCGCCGCTTTGCGACACCCCTTGCTCGTTTCCATGACGCAAAACCGTGTCGCCGCCGCCGCCGCCAGGTGCCGCCGCCGCCGTCGCCGCAAAGACCACCGGAGCTGAACTCCATGTGGCGACGCCAGCACCTCCTGCCTCCGTCGCCCCTGCCGTGCCGCCGCGCTTTGAAAACGACGCCGTCGCCGCCGCCGTCGCGCCGACCAATGTGCGACCGCCACCGCCGGCGCCGCCAGCGCTGCCACAGCCGCTGCCACTGCCGGGCCCAGCTCCGTTCTCGCTCCTTTTGTACACGCGAGCCGAGCCCACCGCGCTTTCCAAATACTCGGCAAGCTGAGCAGGGTTGGGCAAGATGGGTAACATGCCGCTGTAGGTGGTTGGCAGTGAGGCAGAGTGCGTAACGGTGCTGCCAGCGCCGACGGGAGGCAGAAAGGCGCTGCTGGGTATGGAACCACTTCGGCTGTACGGCTGCGGTGACGCGTAGGCGGTGAAGGGCGGCGCATCAGGAGCTCCGGAAATGGGCGACATGGGCGGAGAATGGTAGGTGGCGTGGGTGTCAAGAAAGCGACTGGAAGCGAGGTCTGGACGGAGCATGTGGCCTCGATGATGTTGCGGCTGCGGCTCTAGCTGGGGCATGTGGGCTGGACGTGGGGACTGGGAGCGCGACTGCGGGCGTTGCTGGGGCGTCAGGAAGCTGCTGTAATTGCGGTGGGCGCCGGACATTGCTTTGGACATGGCTGCCGCCGTCACCGCTGCGGTATAGCCGCTGCCGCCGCCGCTGCTGCTGCCGTTGCTGGAATCGCCATCACACGACGGCGACGGTAGCGGCGACAATAAACTGCGTACGGCCGCCGACGCCGATGCCAGCGCCGATGGATGACGGCTGGCGCCGCCACCACCGGCGCTGGTTTGAGCGTGGTGGGATCCGGTGCGAAGCAGGCGGCCCCGGTGGAGGATGAAACCCGGCGGCAGCGATGACGCGTTGGCCGACAACGGTGGCGCAAGTTCCGGCGATGAGGGCGCCTGGCACAGCCCGCCGCCTCCGCCGCCTCCGCCGCGACCGAAAAGCCGGTATGCCGCGTTTTTGGCGTCCTGGACGTACGCAGGTTGCAGATCGTCAGACGACAACAGCTCGCCAGGAGGCAGGGCCGCCTCCGCCGCTTCAAAGCGGCCGCTGTGAACACCTGCGCGGCGTTCTGGCATGCATGTAGGCAGCCCTGGCGGCGGGGACGGTAGCCCGCCGGCAAGCGTTCCCGCCGGCGCCGTTGGCGGCGGCGGCGGCGCCTGAGGCACCATGGACAGCTGCGGCCGGGGACTGGCGGGTGGAGAGAGGAGGGAGGCTGGGCCGCCGGCGCCAGTTGCGGGATTGGAGCGGAAGCTAGGCAGGGCGAGGGTGCTGCGCTGGGTTACCGGCAGGCCGCCGCTGCCGGTGAGGGTGAGGGCGGGAGGCAGGGAGCCGGACTCGGTGGCACCGCTGCTGGTGGTGAGATGGACGAGCGGGTCGGTGAGGCTGGAGGCTTGCATGCGAGACTCGGTGCGAGTGGGGGCCTGCGCGTGGGAGCGGCGGACGGCCGGCATGTAGGGACAATGAGAGCGAAGCGAGGCAGAAGGCGCAGAAACCGTCCCAGAACAGGAGAGTAGCCTTTGGATGCGAGGATTGACCAGCTATAAACGAATGCAGGCAAAGCGACGTTCCACGTCACACAAATGAAGATACTCTTCAACCACCGGGCCCCCATGCCTCATCGCTGTCTCGCCTCGCAACGTCGCAAGCCCCTCCTCACCCGTGCAATGCTGCTCGATCGCTTCTTCCTGCTGTGATCCTGCTCAATCGCCTGCAGCAGCGCAGCCGTCGCCTGCGCCCGCGGCGAGTTCGCGTCCTCCGCGCCCGCATCCGCGCGCTTCACATGGTCCAGCGTCAAACTGGTGGCCTCAGTCGCTTCCTGCATGACCGCGAGCTCCCGACCCAAGGCATGCGGGTCGCGCGCAATGTCCGCCCACTTCTTCCTCTGCTGGCCCTCCTTCATCACATCGCCCAGCAGCTTGTCTCGCTTGAGCTTGCCGATCATGACACCAAAGTTTATCGCAAGTCCGGAGGGCAGCAGGTACTCTCCAGACAGCAGGTTTTTGCCAGCTGCGAATTCTTCCGTCATGAAGACCTCAAACTCGTCCCAGTCAATCACTCCGTCGCGATTCATGTCCATCATTTCAATCATCTCGGTGATTGTGGCGTCATCGCAGGGAATCTTCGCCGCCTGTGTATGTGTGCACGGCGGGGTCAGACCGGTAAGAGGATGTACACACGTGAGAAGAGGCGGCGCACAACACACCCAAGGGGGGCAATCTCGAGAATGTTGACCACATACTCGCGGAAAACTTAGTTACCGCTCACCACACCCAAGTGCCGAAGCGCATAGCCCCTGCCGTACAGTGTCAAGCACTCTCTGTCGTACACGAACACACATACACACACACACACACGCACGCACACCTTCAGCGCCGCCAGCAGCTCATGGTGCTCCAGCGTCATGGACTGGTCCTCGTCCACCAGCCGGAACCACTCCGCGATGACTCGGCTGATGGCGGGATGCAGCTTGTCGGCCTTCACCACGTAGCCGCGGGAGTGCAGCCAGGACTTGACCTGCGCCGTCTGCACGCTGCGGGATACCTTTGCCTGGCGACCGGAAGGGTATAAGAGGAGGGCAGGGAACGGGTGGAGGTTCGGGGCTTCGCTGTGGGCGCGACGGAAATTTTTCTTGCCGTTTCCTTCGCAGCGTGCATCTGGTTGGACCAACGGCGGGCCGCGGACACAACTCTTGTACACGACGGAAACGTATGGCGTGAGATATGATTTCCCACATTCCCCGTATTTCGAGTGCGCAACGGAGTAATAACAGCCACGGCGTACATGTTTGTAATAATACGGTTGTCGGCATCCAGTAGAAAAGCTCTGTAACCTAGCATGTTGACACCAGGATCTTACACCGTGCCGCATGTTGTACCTTTGTGCCGCCGTCAAGGTGAGATAACCGCGCGAGGCGTAGATTTTGCATCCTGTGGCGCTTGTTGGTCTTTTTGGGACCCCGTGAGGGCGGCGCCGTTGAGCATTCGACCTTTTGCTTGGCCTCCTGTAGCTGTGCTTGCGCTGGGGCCTCATCAGTGCGTTGCTTCAGTCTCCCGAGCTCGAGCAAAGGTAAATGGGGCCGACTCGATGCGACCGTTTGCGACACCGCCTCGACAGTTGTTTCATTTTTGTCCCCGTCATCCATTGCTGGAGCTATCCCTACCTCCCTTGCGGCGGGGCGCCTACGATAGCCGGCCAACCATGCTATATTTCGGTTTCATCTAGCTTTCACGGCGCAATGCTAAACATGTGCAGAAATAAGTTAAACGTATGATAATAAGGAGCACGATTCCTGTGTGAGTGGAGGAACGTCCAGGCAAGGAGGCCCTCGTACAGTTGTTCGCCAACGATAATTGCATGGGGAAAGAATTACAAGACGCGCAACCGTAGCTATAGATGGCTTTGTGTTTTTCCGAATTCTGCTGTCAAATATCAGGAAATGTTGGTGGCGCCTCTGGAGCTTCCTCTGCATCAAAAGTGGTACAGTGTCAGTCTGGCGCTAAAGGCATTCATCTACAGAGGGGAACTATCATATAGAATGAAGCTGGTCAGGTTTGACGCGACACGGTGTGCCGGCTGGCCGGCTTGCTATTCTGACGTACCGTAACTAACCCGACGAAGCTCACAATGCACGGTTAAGGGCGCCCTCACGACACAGCCTATCCGACAATACTTTCCATTAGCTACAATATTGTATAGCTCCGTGAATGATCTATTGGCAATGAAGCCCTACATGCTTACGTAACCACGGGGATTTGGGGCCCTCTTCTACAGTCCGCAATTGCACAAGGTAGCGCCAGCATCTGACAACAAATACTTTGGCAGAAATATCAAAAGTATAACAGCAGTGTAAATGCCGCAAGGGCTATGGTTACGCACATGCTCATATGGCCATTAGCGCGCACGTGGCACGACAACTAGGTCTCAGCGACTCCGACCTTGTCCAAACCCTCTACTCCTTCCGAATTCTATCCCGTCGGCCGCTTCAGTACACCTCGCGCACCCGAGTAGCCCATCCCACCGCTACTGCCCCCACTGCACCCTTGCCTCTACCAAACCTGCACCCCTATGCCGCCCCTCCCTCGTTCGCAATAATTGAGTCAATGGTCGCCCCCGCCCCCGCACCCGCACCCGCCCCTCCCTGCAGCCTCCTCAGCGCCGCCTGCTTCCGCCGCCGCAGCAGCTCCAGCCGCTCTAGCTGCAGGTCCAGCTGCGCTACCAGCGCACGAGCCGCGCCCTCGCGACCCCCATCGTCACTGCCGCTATCACCAGCCGCAGCAGCACCTAGGGCGGCGTTGTTGGACGGGGGCTGCTGCAGTAGGGCTTGTGCCGCCTCACGTTCCTACGTGGGCAAGTTCAGGTTGCAGAAGGAAAGGGTTGAAAGGGCGGGCGCGTGAGGAGGTTAGGGCGCTCTGCTAGGCTTTGGACCGCTACCGGCATGCCAGAGGATAGAGGCGAGCTTACTGCACAGCATACTCCCTGAAGGCGGCGGCTGCCGTGCTCATTTGAATCATACCCTGCGGCAATTCTGTCCCAACTGGATTCTTCCGACGACCCGCACATCCTCCACCTCCTCCCCTTAAGCCGTACCAACCTTGAGGTAGGCCGCCGTACGCTCCTCAATGCGCTGCAGGTCCCGCTGCAGGCCCGCCGCCCGCTCGCTCCCGGCCTCCTCACCGCAATCAGAGCCCGAGCCGCTGCCGCCCTCGCCCCGCGCCCCTTTGGACCTCGCGTTGAGCCTGCCGTGGAGCGCGGTCACCCCGGCTGCCCCCTGCGCCCGGCTGCTGCTGGTGGCGGCGCTGCTGCTGCTGCCGGTCGCCCGGCTGCCTTCCTTCACTTCCATGCCGTTTCTGTAAACATGGACGCCCCTGCCATCGCAGTGCTTGCAGAAGTTCTGTGGGCAGGGCAGTTGGTAACAGGTTAACGGCATCATGGCATTGGTGTGTGTTGCGCCAGAACACCCCCAACAAGCCCAGCACATAGCGTTGCCTACCTCCAATCGCCTGTGATTGTAAATCTCAACCAGGGTTCCTGTTCCTTGACAATGCGCACAGACAGCTGCGTCCACTTTGGCAATTGCTCCAGATGGTTTCGCCGATGGTTGGTGCTGGCTCGTTGCTGAGGCCGTGAGTTCACACGGCATACATGATCCTCCACTAGCCTATTGCAGAAACATTGTTTGTGATGCGGAATAAAGTAAGAAGCAACCACACCAAGTTTGTGCGGCAGCATGCCGCGGGCCGCTGTCAGGAGGATTTCCTCACCTCATCGTTTTGGCCAGATTGCCGCTCCTTAATCCCACCATACTTCTCCCGTAACTGATCTATAAGCTGCTGTTCTTGCGGTGTAAATGACGCCTGCATTTTTGAAATATCTTGTTGTTTCTGCGTCAAGAACTGCTGGTGGGATATTCAGGTCGTGTTGTGAAGAATATAAGAATGCATTGTTCCATCGCAAGTTATTAGGGTTGGTTGACGTTGGTTTGTACTGATGCAATCTCGCATACCTCCGAGAGGCGCCTTCCATAATGACACTGGCGGATAGCAGTCTATATTAGTGGACGCGTATTCATAGAACGGGATATATGCGACGAATCCACCCCAGCTGTGCTTCGCTTCGTCGCGTGTTCAGTGTCCAAGTGCATACAGCAACGTATTCCGGCGGCAAATTGTACTATAAAGTAGTGCAGTGGGAATAGCCACGGGTGGTATGCGCGTATGCCCTGTTGTGTCGACACCATGGGGACCATAGCCGTCCTCACCGAGCGCAGGCCTGCACCGAGCAATCACCAAGTTTGTTACAGGGGGCGCTGGCGTGCGAAGGGCCAGACCAGTCTGAATTGGCAATGGCCCAGATCAGGCTGAAGTGGTAATGGCCCCAAGCCGAGCTAACGAACGCCGTGCACGGCGTGAACGGCATGACTGAATGCCACAGAACCATTACTTGTCGGTGAACATGGATAGAATGAATGCATCTTCCACATATGGCCCCAATTGCGTGTTGACGAAGTCCGTTACGATGATGTCTTCTGCGAGCTGTTTCAAATAGGCGATCTAGTGTAAATCGTATCTATATCCCGATAGCGGCTATGGTAAGCCCTCTAATTCTTTTTCGGAATAGGTTATGTCGCTTGCCGTCGCTCTCCGCGACAGCTCTGTCTCAAACGGCAACTTTCACCTACGTCTCCCGGCAATCCCTCCACATATACTTCTAATCCTATCCAACTCTACTTTCTGCTCGCTGCTTTCCAGGAGGCCGAGTTGCAGTCGGCCGTATCCGAGTACCGCTCGCAGCTGGGCGCGCTGGAGGAGCTCCTGGCGGCAGACCCAGCCAACCAGGAGGCCAGGGAGGTGGGCCGCTCCAGGGAGGCGCCAGGGGGTATCGTCCCAGCTAGGTAGAGGGGCAAAGGGGCGCTTCTGTATCTTTGCGTGGCACTCATTTCTGTGTGGAGTCCTGCGCGGGGGGCTCCAACGAAGTTGGGTGTCTCATGCGTCAAGTGTGCCTTGCGTCGTTCACGTCCCCCCATTGCCGTAACCATGCTTTCCATTATCCCCTGCCTGCCCCTCGTCCCCCCATGCCGTACAGTTGTACGAGCAGCTCCAGGGTGCACTGCAGTACACCCTGGCGGCCCTGGGGCAGGTGGGCGGAGGCCAGCAGGCGGGCGAGCAGCAGCAGGCGGAGCAGCAGGCGGGGCAGGTGGGCAGCGGCGAGCCGGAGGAGGAGCAGGCGGCAGGCAGCAGCAGCCCTAGCGGGGCGGGCGAGGGGGTGGCGGCAGGTGGGCACACCGCCAGCCAGCAGGCTGCTGGCTGGCTGGCCCCCCCTGCTGCTGCCCCGCCTGCTGCCGGCCCTCGCGGCGGCGCCCCCAACAACGCGCGCATGCACCCCGCCAACCGCTACTTCCTGCGCGAGCCCGACTTCGGAGCGCTGGCGGAGCGGTACGAGCAGCTGCGACCGTACGTGAGCGTGGATGCAGGTGGGTGGGGATGAAGATATCAGCAGCAACTGGGCGCAGGTGGGGTGGGGACGGGGATTGCAGTACAAACATCCCATGTTATTGCTGCAGCCCTGGAGTAACCGTGTAACCCACCAACCCCAACCCCTCCTCTCCCCGCCCCTCCTCGCCTCACCTATCCTCTCCCAGCCGGTCGCGCGCACTTCGCCTCCACCAGCTGGGCCGCCACACGCGCCCTCACCGCCTGCCTGCTGCGGCACGACTTCGGACTCGCATGGTGGCTGCCGGAGGGGCAGCTGGTGCCGCCCGTGCCCAACCGGGCCAACTACCTGCACTGGATTAATGACCTGCTGCAACTGTCGGCGCCAGGGCCGGAAGGTATTAGGGCCGATACCGGGGGGTGAACGACAGTTTGTGGACCGTTCACCGTTGTGTGTGTCATTAAGGAAGACCAACTGAGCCTCTGAACTGAGCGACGGGCGAAACGAAAGATAGAGTGCAGTAGTACAGTAGTCAAGCAGGAATGAACCGTGGAGCTGACGTTCACCGGCTGTGCGCAAAGCGGAAGAGAAGTGCATGGCGTCAAGAAGGGCACACATTGCGCTGCTGCTGCTGCTGCTGCTGCATGTGCAGAGGGTCCCATTCGCGGCTTGGACATTGGTTGCGGCGCCAACTTCATCTACTGCCTTCTAGGCGCCGCACTGTACGGGTGGAGGATGGTGGGAGTGGACGTCACGCAGGTGGGGTGGCGGGGGAAGGGGGGAGGGAAACCAACTATAACCGTGTGACAAGGCTCGCCATGTGGTGGTGGTGATGGGGGGGATTATAAATAAGTGCAGGGCAGGGTGGGGTAGGGCTCGCCGGCCTAACTGAGGAGCGCGAGGGTTGGGGTTGGGGTTGGTGGATGGGGGCTGCTCAGCTCTCCATGCAGCACCCTTCATGCGCTGCAGGCAATACCTCCACCTGAGAACACATGCTAACCCGATCACGTGCTAACCTGATAACGTGCTAACCTGCCCTTCCTCCTCTTCTTTGGCTTGTGTGGGGCCAGGTCGCCGTACAGTGCTGCCGCAAGCTCATTGCCGACAACCCCCAGGTAAGTGGGCTGGTGTGGCTACCTGGCTATCTGGATGCGTGGATAGATGCATGGATGGCTATCTGGATGCATGCATGGGATGATGCACGCATGGATGGATGGAGGCACTGGTAGGTACTTGGGTGCTGGGGTGCATGCTTGTAGAGGTAGTGCGGAGCCTCCCTACCTCACCTCTCCCACCTCCGCCCCACCTCCTCTCCCCAGTGCTTCATCCCAGCCATCAGCTGACATCATCCCCGCCTGAACCCCCCCGCTCCCCCCCCACGTCCCGCAGGTGGCCCCGCTGCTGGAGGTCCGCGACCTCTCGCACCTCCACCCGCACCTGCAGGGGGCTGCGGCGGCAGCGCCCGCGGGCACACACCCCGAGGCGACAGCAGGCGGGGGCGGGGGAGGAGCGGGAGGGGGCCGCCGCGGCAGGAAGCGACCTGCACCCGCTGAGGCAGCAGATGACGGCCGGGAGGTGGTGGTTGCGGCAGCGGAGGGAGACGGCGAGGGCGAAGGGAAGGCCGGAGGAGGAAGGGAGGGAGGCGGAGGGAGCGGAGGAGAAGGCAGCGGCAGCTTCCGTGGCAATGAGCAGGTGAGGGGGGTGCAGTAGGTGGGAGCGCGGGGGTGTGAGGGCAGGGGCTTGTTGGGCAGGAGCCGGAGCGGCGGTGTGCTGTGACCTGTGAGCTACATACGCCTGCAACGCGGTGCCCCTTGCGTTGCGGTGTACGCCTGGATGGCACCCTGCCTGCATCGCTGATAGGCTCCGACAGCATCCGTGAGATGACCCGCCCTGCCCCGGCCCCTCTGCCCCCGCCCCTCTATCCCGGCCCCTCTGCCCCGCTGCCCCTCTGCCCCAGGGCATCCTGCTGCCCGCCTTCCAGGACCCGCAGGAGACGTTCGCCTTCACCATGTGCAACCCGCCCTTCTTCGAGAGCATGCAGGCGAGGCGGGGGGGCCCTATGGGGGGCAGGGGGGGAAGGTGGCGCGTGGGGGGGAAGAAAGGTTGGCGCATGAGGCTGTGGGGGTAGAGACTGTGAGGCTACGAGGGGTGAGACGCACTCCACACCTGTACGACTGTGCCTGGTCGCGTGCCTCACATTGTGTGCTCTTCACACCATGTCCGCGTGTCTGCATGTGCCGTCATCCCGCACTCACCTGCCCCCCCCTGCCCCCACCCCCACCCCCCTGGCCCCCACAGGAGGCCGCTCAGAACCCCAACACCGCCTTCGGAGGTGGGTCACCACTGCCTGCGCAGCCTGCCCCTTCCCCGCTGGGAGCCGCTGGGAGCCGCTGCACAGAGCTACTTGCTGCCGCTCTTGCCGTGCCCTGTCCTCCTCCCGCGCCTACACAACCTCACGCTTTCCTCCCTCATGCCGCGACGCGCACACCTCTCGATCCCTACAGCTACCTCGGTATCCGGCCCTGCTGGGTCCTTCCTGTAACCCCACATGGCTGCCTCCCTTGCTGCCCCCTCATGCCCAACCCCCACGGCTCCTACCTCCCACCTTTCCTGCCGTACCTCACACGTTTGCTGCCGTACCTCGCACTCTATCCTGCTTCCCTCCCTACTGCCCGCCCGCCCTCCCTCCCTCCCGCCCGCCCGGCCTGCAGGCACCGCCGCTGAGATGGTGTGTGCGGGCGGCGAGGTGGCGTTTGTGATGCGCATGCTGGCGGACAGCGAGCTGCTGAGGGGGCGGGTGCACTGGTGCGCAGGGGGGGTCAAAGACCATACCAAACCATAGGGGGGGGGCGGAAGAGAACGAAGGTAGGGCAAAGGGAGGGAGAGGGACCGACAATCAACAGCTTGGTCGTCTTCGTCTTCATTGCCTCCCCCCCTTCGCCAGCTCGTCAGTTTCCTCTTTATATCCCCCTTCGTCCCCCCCGCGCTGCAGGTTCAGTACCATGGTGGGCAAGAAGAGCACCCTCAAGGTGGGGACCACCGCCAGGGAGTGCCCGCAGACGGCAACTGGGGGACGGTTGGCGCTGCCCTCCTCCCTGTCCTGCACCCCTGCCCTGTCCTGCACCCTTGCCCTGCCCTGCACCCTTGCCGCCCGGATCCGCACGCGACGCCTTCCACCCCTCACTCCCTCACTCCCTCTCCTGCTCTCTCGCTCTCCTGCCCTACCCTGCTTCCAGGCTCTGCGCAAGGAGTTACACTCGAGGCACGTGACGGCGCTGCGGACAACGGAGCTTGCACAGGTGAGCGGGGCGGGGAGCGGGGCGGGGTGAAGCGAGGACATGGGGACGAGAAGGTTTAGGTAGAGGGATGGAAAAATCCCGGAGAATAGAGGGAGGCCCGCTCAACAGGAGCGGAAAGACGCACTTGTTGCGGGCTGTAGGAGGGGGCTGCCGCTCAGTCCACGTCGCCCCATGCCACCAGCATCCGCCTCTTTCCCCCCCCCCCCCCGCCCCGCTGCAGGGCAAGACCTCCCGCTGGGCGGTCGCCTGGTCCTGGCAGGTGCATCCCAACAAGGCCTCACAGCCGCTGCGGCGCACACTGACTCAGGAGGAGGACAACAGCACCCCCACCTGCACCACTGCTACCGCTGCTGCTGCTGCTGCTGCTGCTGTGTTGCCGAGCGGCCAGCGGGGCCGGCCGACGCAGCAGGACGCAACAACCGCTGCCGCCACCACCGCCGCTAGCACCGCCGCTGCATGCGCCAGTGCTGATCGCGACCAGCAGCAGCAGGTGGACCCAGGGTCGGGCCACGTGCATGCGGAGGTGGACGTATCGGTGGGGGCTAGCAGCAGCGGGCAGCAGGCTGAGAGGGCGGCGCAGCAGGCGGCGGCGAGAGCGGGAGCGGGGTCGCTGGCCGCTGCTCCTGCTGCTGCTGCTAGCGTGCCAGTGCTACCTCGGCGGCACATCAGCTTCGCGGTGCAGCTGGTAGGTAGGGAGGGCCCGCTTGCTCCGACCTTGCATGCTCCAACCTTGCTTCCCCGCCGGTAACCTCACCTGTCACTTCACGCCGTCCCGCCCTGGCGTCGGACGCGTATGTACCGGTATACAGGCGGCGGCGGGCTCCCAGCAGGGTAGCGGAGGTGGTGGCGCCCCGGGCCTGCTGCGGCGGCTGGCGGGGGCGCTGCAGGAGCGGTGCGGGTGCAGCGGGGTGCGGCTGGATGCGGCGGCGTGGACTGTCAGCTGGCCGCTGCAGGTACGGTGCAGGAGCAGGGGGGGGAGTACAGGGGAAACAACTAACTGACCGTGTGGTAAGGCATCGTCCATGGTTTGCAACATGTGAAGCAAACCAGGAGGAGCAGGGGGGGAAGGGGTTAGTGAAGGGGAAGGAACCAGCTGGACGCGTGACCTGTATAGACTCCCCAGTGACATGTAGTCTGCCCACCATGGGTCGCATGCCTTGCAGCTGGAGTAAAGTGTGTAGGCGGCTGGGGGCTAATGCCGCTTATGTAGCTGGAGGGCTTCCGCCTGCCTACCTTGGTTGCCCCATCCGAGTAGCTGTGTGAGGTCTTCTCAAGGGCCGCTGGGGTGCTGCATGGGGTGCATGTTGCCGCAGGTGGGGCCCTTCAGCAGCAGCACGAGTGGGACACGCGAAGGGGAGCTGGAGGGAGCTGGGGGCCCCAGGGGGGGTGCTGGTGGGGAGAAGGCAGCCGGCGGCAGCGGCGGTGGCGGCAGCTTGGCGAGTAACATCACGGTGGGTACACGGGGACAAAAGATGCCCACATCGCATTTAGCTGTCATCATGTTTAACGCAACATACAACAGAGTCTGATGTGTGTAATTGCTCGGTATGATGCGGTATAAGGTACATGCCCTGTTTAGAGCGTGGAAAGGCAGGAATAGCGTGTGTGGCCGACAGCGGAGGAGACGTGTACGGAAGGCTGTACTCTCAGCTATGTACTATGTGTCATTCCTTTCTCCCAAATCCTGCCGTGCAGGCCCGACTGCGAATTGCCCAGCAGCAGCGGGGCCGCGTGGAGGTGGTGGCGACCATCCCCAACGGGGCGCCCGATGCTGCTGCGCGTGCCTTTACATCCCTGATGGCCTCCCTGGAAGCCTTTGTGACACGTCCCATATCATGATAAGGATTCGATAGCGCCTGATGTTTTATCCAGCGCCTCCGGGAAACATGCGTTGGCAAAATGGCGACGCCTGGAAATAGGGCGACCGCACTGAGGGTGGCTAAAAGTTTCGCGCAGTCCTGATATGCTGTTGGTGCCAAGCTGTGTTATTGCTGCCATAGGGCGTTCTGGGTCGCTGCGATGGACCCTTTCTATTGATAGGGTTTGTTAATTTGCGCAAGGGATCTTGTCTGCATTGCCCACGGCGAGTGCTATACTTTGTAACAGAAGCATAGATGCCAGTTCTGCCTTAGGAGAGCAAAAAAGCGTAGGCACGCGGTCAGGGTTCCTAACTGTACGTAATGCTCGGCCAACTATGTCGTCAGGGACTTCGCCTTGAGGGGCAGCACGAGTTTTTTGGGCTAAAGGGAGCAATCTTACTGTTGTTCTATCCCCTCAGATATCCAATTTTTAGGATGCCGCCAGGGTCGAAGACTGCAAACGAGAATGTTGCACAGCCCATGTGTTGTGTCGTCTACATTTTGCCCGATGACATTAAAAGAAGAGACAACGAACGTTAGTGCACAGCTGCCTATGACTGTCGCCCAGTTGAGGTTCTACCAGGTGCCCCTTTACCCGCAGTATCGCAGTACCGTACTTCCTAGCTTTGTGACATTCCATGGCAAATCGCCTTAGCCTATTATAAGGTTTCATGTTTTCAGCATTACAGTTACGTAATACTAGGTGATAGCCCCCACATTCTCGCAGGCCTGGCGTTGGCACCCCTAGGCTACCCCACTAAGTGTGGCCTGCGTTGTTTTCATTACCGACGTGATGCTGGCGTTATCCAGATCCAGTGTTACGCTGTGAACACTGGGAATTCCATGAGCTTCACGGCGTTTAGCGGCGAAGTGCTTGGCGTGCGGGCCTACAGCGCCACGGTTGCTCGTGATGGATTTTTTCCTTTCTATGGCACCCATGGAGGCTATCAGCATCCTCCGGCGCAGATGCTCGGTGGGATTGGAACAGCCGGTGCATCCAGCCCGCAATGCTTCTTAGGTTCTGCTGCGAATGCCCGGCGCTCGAGCCAGTGCGTATATGGCCAGCATATAAGCCCTATGGCAGCACGTCGCGAACCAGAAGCGTCGGAAGAGCGCTTTTCCGGTTGCCCAGCGCGGCCTACAACTTTGGCGTATGTCATGCTGCCACTTGATACCGTAAGTTGGAAAGGAAATCTCGTATGTGGTGTTCTGTCTTTTCCGGAAGTGAATTGTATGAGCCCTTCTTGAACTCGACGGCCATGGGAACGCAGGTGAACTCTGAGGGTGTCTTTCGCTATGCTGGTTCGGCCTGGTTCTCCCAAGCGCTGCAACTTTTAGTCGCTTCTGGCGTTCACGGCGTAGCTATGGATTTTTGGGTAAGCTCTTGTCGCTGTGAAGTTCCTTCCTCCGCGACAAGCTTGGTGTTATCTGATTAGCTGGTGTATGCTTATTTAAGCTGGATTAAACGATAGTGATGTGGTATGCAGTGGGGCGCCGTGGAGAGGAGTCCCGGACAATACAACTGGTCTGGCTACAAACAGGCGCTGGAGGTCATAAAGCAAACAGGCTTAAAAGTACAGGTCAGTAAACATTTGGATGCTTTTAACCTGTTTGCGGTAAGGTCACGGGGACCAACTGACGTGTCGTGTATGACGCATGCGTGCAGGCCGTTCTGAGCTTCCACGCTTGCGGCGGGAATGTCGGCGACACGGTTCAGATCCCCTTGCCCGAGTGGGTGCTCCAGGTGAGAATATGGCCAGCCACCACTGCTGCTGCCTCATCTGGGCATCCATGCCTGCATGCCCAAACGAACGGATTTTGCAAGTCTCCCGCGAAACCTTCCCTCCATACCCTCTTCCTGGCCCTTCAGGCTGGCGAAGCCGACCCCGACTTGTTTTTCGCGGATAGGCCGCGCAACGGTCGTCGCGGCAACCGCAACCGAGAGTACATTTCCATTTGGGCGGACGATGCGCCTGGGGTGCTGCGTGGCCGCAGCCCCATGCAGTGCTACGAGGACTTCATGGCGAGCCTACGTGATAACTTTAGCATGGTGAGGGCTGAGGGGGCATGTGGCAAGCATTGGGATTAGGTGGTGCAGGGAACGACACTCGAACAAAATTTGACGGCCGTTGCTTAGCTTGCAAAGCAGGCGTATCAACCCGCTACCATAGAGGCAAGCTGATGGAAGGCAGACACCTCTTCATACCACGCCCCATCTGACCGTCATTCCCACAGGAGCTCGGAGCCGTGATCGACGAGCTGGTGGTGGGGTCGGGGCCCTGCGGCGAGCTGCGGCTGCCCTCCTACGTGGAGGCGAACGGCTGGCGCTTTCCGGGGGCGGGGGAGTTCCAGTGCTACGACCGGCGCGCGCTGGCCTCGCTGGCGCAGGCGGCTCGGGAGGCGGGGCACCCCGAGTGGGGCTACACGGGTCCGCACGATGCGGGGGAGTACAACAGCACTCCGGAGCACACCGGCTTCTTCAGCCAGAACGGCAGCTGGAACACGCCGTACGGCAGGTGGGAAGCCGCAGGAGGGGTGCACCTGGTTGGTGCGGGGGTTGACAGCATGGGAACAGCATGTGGCCGGTATAGGGTGCATGTAAGGACGGAGGTTGGGGAGAAAGGGTTGAAATTGTGGGCAGCTAGGCATCCATGCTTGGCTAGCGTGAATTCGCAGCTGACTACCGTGCCGTATGCTGTCATGTGCACTCCTTATGCCTTCCTATACCATCGCAGGTTCTTCCTGGAGTGGTACAGCAACTGCTTGCTGAAGCACGGGGAGCGGCTGCTTACCGTCGCCAACCAGGTCTTTGCCGCGAAGCGCCCTTGCCCCCCCAGCCTGTCCGCGCTGCAAACCAGCGGGTCAAGCATGCTGCTGCAGCCCTGCTTCTCCCAAGGGCTGCAGCCCTCACCTGCAGGCGCGCGCGCAAGCAACGCCTCCCTCAACCGCCTGCTAGAGGCCGGGTGTGGCAGCGATCCGAGCGCGAGCGAGTGCGGCTCCATGCGGCCGCCGTCGGTGTCGCTGCCGCGTCGGAACGCAGCGGAGGGCTCATTCGGCACCTCCAGCATCTCCCCCAGCTGCACCTGCTCCTCCATGTCGACCTACATGGGGCTCAGCAGCGGCGGGAGCGGCTACCTGCCTGCTGGGCAGGTGCAGGCGGCCGTCGGCATTGGGGCCGGGGCATGCCAACCCATGCAGCAGCTAGCGGCGACGGCTGGGGGAAGCGCGTCGTCGTTTGCGTCGCCGCGGATGATGGCGTTTGCTGCACATGCCGAGTTGCACCTGCAGGCGGGGAGTGGGTGTGCGGGGCTGGGAGGGGACCCTACAGCTGCTGCCGGGTTGGGTAGCGGCGCCAGCTGCAGTGGAACGGGTGGTTCGCAGCGGCTGTCCCGCGTGAGCGCCGCCACGGCAGCAATGGCGAGTGCGGTGTCCATGCAGGACGTGGGAGTTGGCGCGGCAGCCGGCGCCACTGCTGGAGGAGGCAGCACTGGGAGCGGTCCGAATCACAGCGGCTCTGGGGTTTTCGTCGCTGTTGCTGCGGATGCCCTGATGACGGACATCGAGCCCAGCGAGGCCTCCCACACCTCCCTGGCGACTATGCGCGATGCGCTGCTAGAACCACCGCTGTCGCTGTGCGGGGATGCCAGTGGACCCCTGTGCCAGCAGCCAGCAACCGGGGTGGTAGCAACGACCGCACCCTGCGGCGGCCCAAGCCTGACATCATCAGGCGTGCAGTGCCGCTCCTCTGCGTCTATGATAACGGAAAGCGAGCCGATGTACGGTCAAGGAACGGCGTACATGCCGGCAACAACGGCTACCGTTGCTGCTGCTGCCGCTGCGAACATGGCCTGCAGCAGCGCTGTTCGGATGGATGTTTACAACTCGCTGTCGTCGCTTTCAACCGAGTGCACGACGACGGGCGTCGGGGCGCATACGCAGGGGGTCATGTTTTTGGACGTCGCGGCGTCGCTAGCAGCCGACGGGGACGATGAGAGCGATATTGGCACGAGCTGCTGCACAGCTGTGGCACCAGAGGAGGCGGACGACCTCTTTTCCCTGGCAGCCGCCGCAGGCCGCGGCGGGGGTTGTCTGTCCGAGCATGCGGCGGTAATGCTAGCTCAGAGCTCCCCATTCAACGAGGACGGCCGGACTAGCAGCAACGCCGGGCTGGGCATGGGTATAGACAGAGCAGGAAGCTGCGCTGCGCCAGTAACGGCAGCCACGGTAGTAGCGCCCGCTGCTCCTGCTTCCGCGTCTTCGATGCTGTCCCCCTTGCCGTCGTGTTTGGCGCCAGCAGCAGCGACCGCCTCCTCACCAGCTGGAGGCCACGGCTTGCACCTGGCTCTCAAGATCGCGGGGATTCACTGGTGGTACCGCTCTCGGTCGCATGCCGCGGAGCTGACGGCGGGGTACTACAATGTGGACGGCCGGGACGGCTACGCAGCCATTGTGGAGCTCTGCGCACGGCACCGGGCCAACCTGGTGCTCACGTGCGTGGAGATGTGCGACTCGCAGCACCCCATGCAGGCGCAGTGCGGGCCGGAGGGGCTGCTGCGGCAGCTGCGGCAGCTGGCGGCGCGCGCAGGGGTGTCGCTGAGTGGAGAGAATGCGCTGGTGAGTAGGAAGGGGTGCGCGCCGCGGGTGACCTTAAGAGGGCGCTTTCGGGTATAGCACTAAATATTGGCTATGGTGACGCACTTAATAATCCGGTCAGTGTTCACCATTATCCCCCCCCCCCCCCTTCCCGCCCCCTACCTTGTTCATTCGCTTCCGAACAGCCTATCTTCTCCTCTGGCGGAGTGGACACGGACGCTCTGGACCGCATTGTTCAAAACGCGCGCGCTTGGCCTTCGCCTACATCCGCTCGAAACGAGACCACCACCACCACCACCACCACGGGTTTCTCAACCAACCCCATTACCTCGCTCTCGGCATTCATGCCGCACGGGGGAGCCCACTCCGCGCACCAGCTGCACCTCCCAACTGCCGCGCCGCTCTCGTCGTCCTTTGACAGCAGCAACATCGTCTGCGCCGCGTATCGCATGTCGGAGTCAGGCCGGATGGTCCAAGTCGAGTCGCACTGCCAACCGTTGGCGTCCTGTCCACAACTGCCGCAAGAGGTCTTGCCGCAACACGCGGTTGCAGGCACGTGGCCGGGCACAGCCTACTTGGAGCAACCCGGTTGCATTGTGCCTAGCCCAGCGGCCGGCGCAGCAGCTGCCGGCAGCTCCTCACCCGTGCTTCCAGGGCTGCGCGCGTTTACGTTCTTGCGGTTGGTACCTGAAATGCTTTTGCCGGGGTATCAGACCCTGTGGCTACGTTTCATGGGGAAGCTGGCGTCCACAAGCTGAGATGCTTGGGGGTCGGCGCATGGGCGAGAAGCTCCACGATCGATCCGTGGGTGATCCGATTCCAGCAAAGGTGCAGCCGTGCGCGCCCTGGTGCCCTGTTGACATCTGCTGGGGTTACACTTTGTATATTTACTGGCTCCTGGCTACTTATGAGGAGATGGCGTATAGAAGATGAAAGACGAATTGGGCGGATTTGTAGGGGCTGTGTGATTGAGATTTGCTGCAAGACGCTCGATCACTGTTGTATCCTTGCCGTTGTGGCATACCTATCTCACCACTGGGTGTTTGCTCGGGCCGTCGAGCCCAGGTCAGGCAGCTTTGCAATCGTCATATGCGCTAGAAGGGCGCCATGCGTACATACATCGCAACCCTGTTGCTCTCTTTTCGTATCGCACCTGAACAATGCTAACGTGTTTAAATATGACATGGTAGTACGGTAGTAAAGCTCCCAAGTAACACGTGTCGTTTGCGACATCCTGTAGGTTGCTGTCTGCGTTAACGTGGTATGGTTGCTGACCTTTCGGTCGGTCGCACGCTGCTTGCTGGTTTGTGCCTTGGTTGCTAATGATGATGTTTTTTGTGGGAAGCTACAGTGACATCGTTTGTTGCGTTGGCATTGCTTGCATCGAGTTTGAGGAGGGTTTGCGAGTGCGGGTTGCTGCATGGCCGTTTGGGCCGAGGGCTGTCAGCTAGCCTCGCCTAGCTTTGAGCGACGCTGATAGTACAGTTTGCACACACGCGCGGCTATGCATTTGCTTACTTATATGTTGGCTGTGGGGGGCTCGCTGTGCATACGATTCGCCATTTGCCATTCGGAAGGCATGCGACTGCAGGATTAAGGCGTTTGCCGTATTCTTGCAACTTGAGATTAGATGCAGCATGCCTGTGCCTACTGTAATCTAATGCGAGATATGTAGGCTGGACAGCTGCTTGACGTTGTCATGCCTCGTAGCTGCTTCGGTATGCCTGTTCTCACTCAGGGGTGGGCTATAGACACCAGACGTGACTTGGGGACAGACAACTAGTTCCATGTCTAACGGTATGTAAATGGAACGCGTGGCTCCTACACGTTCACAGCGGTACTGCACGTCACACGTGTCACCTATCCCAACTGCTTGCTCTTGTTTCCGCTCAACTATACACACACACGTGTCATCACCAAAAGGCAACACTGTGTGCTGGTGGTTTTGCTATCTGTGTCCACCTCTGCTGTGCCTCCAAAGGAAATCCCACTTATGTCGGCGTGCATGAACATGAGCCCCGTACGGACGCGCCGGTAGTTCCGCCGTACTCAGCAGATTGTTCATCTGGCAGTTGTTCAGCAGGATGTGCACAGGCATACTTCCGTCCTTGCCAGGAATCCCCCGTAGATCTTTACAATTACGTACCATACGTTCAGCGCCTCTAACACCAGACCGCTTGCGAACTAAGCTAGGCAGGCCTTAACTAGGGGCTTGGGCTACTCCATAGAAATATAGCTACTTTGAGTTTGCGCAAAGTGATAGCTTTCCTTCCCTTGCGGGCATTCAGCGCCAACCGTGAACAATGGGCTTCTGGCTTGGGACGTTGGTGTTCTTCCTCATCCAGATAGTCGTAACGGGATGCGTGAACTACTTTGGGAAGCCCGGCAACAAGGGGTAAGGGCTTCAGCGATGACGCTGCAAGTCCATCGTTCCTTCTCATTAGCTCTCTGTTTTCATAATACATGCCTCTTTGTTGCAGCATCATGTTCAGTTTACATTTGATCACTGCTCGCCCCCATACAATTTCGGAAGCTTTAGGTCCATCGTCCGCTTTCCCCAAACCTTGCAGGCTAACACATATCATGGCGTTTACAACAGTCTTCCAATTATGGTTCATGTAAGTTTCATGCTGCTAGATTCACCACTGCACTATAGCGGTATTCACACACGCTACCCATCTGCTCCTGTAGATGGGCCATCATCTACATGGCCCAAATGCACCCCCTGGTCAACCCCGAGTTCAAGGAGTGATGGCCGTCATCTACATGGCCCAAATGCACCCCCTGGTCAACTACTAATGGAGTGAGGACATCTGCGTCAACCTATAATGGAGCGTCACTCTTGCATTCAGAGGATACCGCAGCAGCGGATACTACACCGTGAACTTGAGACACCGTGTCTCCGTGTGGACTGTGTAACATTTCCGACAGCAGTATCGTGATCCGCATCGTGCGCACGTGTACCTGCATGGGGCGAGAGGGGTAAAAGGGGGCTTTAGGGAGGGGAGCGGTTAAGGCTTATCGGGGCAGCGCCAAGCGCATTAGGGCTTTCTAGTACGAAAAAGGAACGGCAACTCGTGGCTTGGCTCTTGCCATGCACATCAATGGACACCCACTCAGTAGCGTGGCAGCAATACCGTAACTCTTGCGTCCTACTTACCCGGACGTGTTGCCGCAAACGGAGCAGAACTTCCTTGCGGCGCTGGTGGTTGACGGCCGCGCAGCCGCCGTCAGGTAGCTTGGCTTGCCTGGGGGCAGCCGGTCCAGCTCAGCCTGCGCGCGGAGTCCGCATGGAAGAGCTGCGTCGTCGAAACTGCATGTCCATACCGATCAGAGCATACGCTGCTTGTTCGCCTTCCCGTCTTGACTCAGAATTACAGACACCGTGGTCCTTAGTTTATGGCGAAGACATCTAGTTCTGTTCCGCACAAGCACACAGGGCTTGCCGCCAGTGGTACAACACGCAGCCAGCGCTAGTGCGCCACGCACCTCCTCCAGTAACCGCGCGAAGGTCTTGGGCCCTCGACGATCCGACGCCACGCCGCGCAGTTTCCGCTTGACTCCGCCTGACTTCTTGCGCCCCTTGCCCTTCTTGCCACCAACCTCTGTTTATGCGTCCAGACATAAACAATAGGAGGGACAAGGCAATAGGATGGAGGGGCGGAGGAGCAAGACTGGAATGGCATATGCAGATAATCTGGCAGATAGTGGAGCCCGCTTCTAAACGGCATCGCGTCCAAAGCATAGGGCTTCAGGTGAAGCACTTACAAGCCAGCGGGCAACATCCCTATTTCACAATACCCGAATCGGAACCCGTGAATGCATGCAGCCCTCAATACTTAGCATCACGCCTTTCTCCCCAGGCTCCCTACCACGGTTCCGCCCTACCTTCCTCCTCTTCTTCGTCCTCCAACACGAACTCATCATCGTCGCTGGCCAGTCCGAACGGATCGCCCGCCTGCTCGTTGTCGTTCTCTAGCGCATCTAACCGGGCTTGGGCTGCCTGTGGAAGGGCATTGCGGAGGCGCACAGCAATGCAGTTAAGGAGACATGTAGCGCTATACGCCCTGAGTTTGGTGAAGGATTTCCTGGGAATGCTGGCGTGCGGCAGCGCGGCAAAGGCGAGCGAGAGCAAAGGGGGTCCCTTGGGAAAACAAGCATTCGGGGACCAGGAAAAGGGCATGCATGCCACTCTTTGCAATTCGGCAAGGCGGACGATATCCCAACAAAGCACATGGCCGAACTGGGGGCTTTTTAAGTGTGGCGATGCAGATCACTGCAGACGGAGCCTATCCGCCGGAACCATGGGACCGCAGCAAGGGCAAGGAAACTTTTCCCCGGGCATTTAGCATTACCTGTTGGCGAGTCGCATCGTCCACAACTGCCATGCGCTGTGAAACCTTACGCTCCCGCAAGGCTCGCCGGGCTGGCGCATCTGCATGAACCGGCCATATGTGCCTCAGCCCGAGAAAACAAGCGCGCCTGGAAACTTCTAAACTTAGACATACTTCCTGCGCGTTGCCCAGCCATTTATAGGGGCTTTTACACCGCAGGCCCTCTGTCAAATACAATGAAGTTCTTTCTTTCCTGTCTTCACTACACAATCGTCAGAAGCTTAAATAGGGTTCCAATACGAGAATTAAGCAGACGTGTTGTAGAGGTTAAAGTTACAGAAAGGGTTAAGGGAGGGAACTACGCCCCAACACTTCTACAAAAAAGAGGGCAGTGCATACAACGTGAAGTTAACTACGCGTACATGCTAGGAAAACACTGACACCATGTTCCTGTAAACCGTATCAACGGTAACGGGCTGGTACTGCTCTCGCACATTTCGCCATCGGAGCTCTGTGCGGCAGCTATGATACCATTTTCCTTTTCATCAATGGATATCATTTCACGTCTGGATTTTTGGTTCCTGAGCAAGATCGTAAAGTCACCTCTCTCGTCGTTGTTCCTACTGCGAAGTTCAGAGCGCGCACGCTCCTCGTAAGCCAGTACAAGATTCAAGTGCCAGGAGGCAAACAATCGAACCCTTTTGAACCTCGAATGCGTCTCGACCGCATAACTTAGTCGTGAAGAGTAGTGCAGTAGCCCTATAAAGGCGACTCGTTGGGCACTTAACCGCGCAAAACAACACGGCGTTTCAATGTGGCGCCACCTTCTTGGAGTTTGTGGGGGAACACGAGGTCGCAAGAGCAATTCACAGTCTTTATCGTCACCGTCTCCTGTGAACGCTAGCAAGTCAACAGCCGAGCATCGCGCAGTTGTTGACGTCTCCAGTAGAATCTCCCCAGATAGCAGCAGCGGCCATAGCTGCTGTTATCCTGGCGTTGCTAACACCATCGACGCGAGCTCATCCCTGCATGGTTCAACTTGTGGCTCTTCTGTACAGCTACATGTCTCCTTAATGTCGTCGTGCGCTTCTCAAACCGCTGGCTACTACGACTCCACTCAAACAGCTTCAACAAGCCCTTGCATGGCGAGAAATTCTTCACCTGAGTGTCCGACTTCGCATACAAACCAGTCACAACAACAGCCCCAGCCAGCTCCAGAACCTGAAGCTCAAGGCCCCATGGCCGTTGCTGTAATTACTCACCACGACAGTCCACTGTCAACAGCCCAGCCGGGCCCATCACTCCACGCGAATGCCCGCACGCAACCTCCCGACGGCCCAACGGACGGCCTCTTGCAAATCGCTCTGAGCGCATACAATATCCGTGATATCGCTGAGTGTGATCCTGCCGTACGTATGAGGTATGTCGTCCATGTGGCTCTTCAGCGGGGCATTTGGGGCGCAGCTTGTGTCAGCATGCGGGTACAGGTACCGGTATACAGCAAATGGGAGCAATGTAGCAAGGAGGCCCTTACGGGTGAACATGCTGCTCTGCCTCTCACACAAGCCTCCGCTCTCACCTGTTCCTCCCGTACAGAAACCTCGAGCCGCTACTGTATGGGCCCGGCACAGCCGTATACAAAGGTAGGAGGCACGGCCGCCTGATAGTGCCGCCTGATAGTGCCGCCTGATAGTGCCGCCTGATATTGCAGCCGGCGTAGCCTTCCCATATGGACGCTGCTTGCACATCCTATTCGTGTTCCTCACCTGGCAACCTTGGGGGTACCTTTCGCTCTCCCTTTCGTTCACAAAACCGAGCAACCGTCTAACAACCCCTAACTACCCCAACCAACCGCAGGCACGTGGCAAGGGCTTCCCATGGCAGTCAAGTTCATGTTGTACCGCGGAGGTGCAGGTGGTGGCAGCCGCCTCGGTGCTCACGATTGCAGCAGCAGCGGCGGGTGCGACGACGTGAGCTCCCTTCAACGCGATCTCGCAGCCTTGCTGACCACCCACTGCATGCCGCTTCGCTCCCACCTAGTCCGCGTGTACGCATGCGACGTCTCGGCAGTCGTGCAGGCCGCACCACCACCACCACCACCACCACGCCCGTCCCATCATCCGCCCCCTCCGCCGCCGCAGCAAGACATCTCTAACCCCGGCGAGGCTGGTTGGTCTCCTCCGTCGGCGTCTAAGGCTCAAGGCGCACGTGTCAACCCCACCAAGACGCCGAGCCCCTCTTGTGAAACACCTGCAGCGGCCCTCTCCGTGCGGCCCTGGCACCCGCAGCCGGCGCCGCCCCCGTCATCCACCTCTCACTCCACCTCCTGCACCTGCTCCGGCTGCGACACCGGATACAGCAACGGCAGTGACGACACCAACGGCACCAACAGTACCCACTGCAGCAACCACACGAGGGCCAGTACCAGCGTCGGGCACTGCATGAGCCCGTGCTGCCGCTGCGCTGGCCCATGCTGCACCCCCTCGACCTCCCCGTTCGCGGCTAGCTTACTTGACAACAGCGTGCATGGGGGCACATGCCAGCGGGCAGCGGGCGCCGCCAGGCGTGGGGGTGGTGGCAGTCGAGCTAGCGCCGGCGGCAACACTGGCGGTGGCACCGACGCCGCCGCGCATTTCCACTTCAGCAGCGCTGTGTTTTGCGAAGATGCTGGACCGCAGCACCCACATTCACATGCCAAGCAGCTATTACCCCCGGCATCTAACCCTGGCAGTAACTGCTGCAAAAGCAACCAGACGACCGACAATGGTATTACCAGCAAAAGCGACAGCAATAGGGATGGCAATGATGGTAACAGCGGCGACGCTGTGGGTTCAGCATGTTTGGTTCCTGGTCGTACATTGCAAGGGCTGCTGCGCTATCTGGGAGCACGACCCGGGGACTTCCTCGTGCACTGCGTGATGGAGCTGGCGTCCGGCGGGGACCTCTGGTACGGCATCCGGAGCGTCCTGTACGACATGAACGGACCCATGGGTCCACGGGGTGCCGTACGAATGATCCTTCGCAGCGCGCGGGGCATCGCCCAGGGGCTTCACCAACTGCACCAGGCGGGAGACGTGCACGGGGGCCTTACGCCTCGAAATGTGTTGTTGAACTGGAATGCAGCAGACGGACTGGATGAAGGGGACGAGGAGCAGGATATGGGCCGGAGCGCGGGTGAGGCGGGTCGCGCCCGGTTGTACCGCAGGCGATGCCGGGTCACTACGCGTGTGGCGGATTGCGGGTTACGGCGGCTGGTGCTGGGGCCAGCGTGGCGACGGGAGCTGGAGGGGAATGAGGAGCTCCGTCGTTGTACGGCACCCGAGCTGCTGGCGGAGGCCCCGGAGGCGGAGGTGACGGAGGCACAGGCGGCCGCGACTGGGGAGCAGGCGGCGGCGCTTGGTGGAAGGGCTGTAGCCGGAGGAGAAGTGCGGTGGTCACATGGCAGTGATATTTACTCGTGAGTCGCGAGAAGGTTCAGTTCTGGGTTCTTGGCTTCTGCCGTCGGCCCTAGTGTTCCTATCGCACGGGCGGAGCCATGGAAGCCGCTGTACCGCAACATTAACTGTATTATACAGCACTCCGATACAGTCCTCGACACTTTCCCAGCCCACACAAGGGCATTCATCGTGAACGTTTCACCGCACGCAAGCTTTTTAACCCTACCCAGGCATCACCTACTAATTCCCATCGCCCCAACGCCCCATGCCCAAACCCCCAGGTTTGGCGCCGTGCTGTACTGCATGTGCACGGGTCGGCTCCCGCCCGACAGTCCGCACCCCCCGGCGACTCTCTCCTCCGCACCTCACCCGGCCCCCTGGCCCTCCCACGTCTGGCAGCCACTACGCAGCCTGGGCGAGGCCTGCATGGCAGGTGACCCGGCGGGTCGGCCCTCCTCTGGAGAGGTGGTCAAGACGCTTCTCACTTGGGAGCATCGGCTCCTGTTCTCCAGTCGTACACAACACCACGCGACAGCGGCAGCAGCGCCGGTCGGAGCAGCGGGGGCAGCAGCAGGGCATGCGGTAGGCGCAGGGCGGGGTGCGCCGGGCGTCGCGGCGGCTGCGCTGGCTGTCGTTACTGGTCCTGGATCTGCTTTTAGTAGTGGCAGTGCCGGGCGGATGAGGGGCTTCCGGGCGGCGGGTGGGATATCTCGGGTTGGGGTGGCTTCGGGCTTTGGCGGGATGCATGGGTCAGTTGAGGGCGGGGAAGGTGTGGGTGGGGAGGCTCCATGACATGGAGGCGGGAGCACGGCGCCTGGCAGCTCGGGGGGCAATGCGGAGCTCATGTGCGAGCCCCATGTGCTGTGGGTACGAGGCATGGGTAGGTGCGGCGCGGTAGGTGCGGCGGAGGTAAGCAAAGCCATAAGGGAACAAGTGCAGGCAGGAAAGGAATGGCGGGAAAGGAAGGAATGCGGTCAGTGAAGGGGAGGATAAGAATTGCATACTGTCATGGGGTGTTGAGGATAGGGGTAACCCGTAGAGGTGCCAAGGGCGAGTTCGATGCAAATAGGAGGATGAAGCCTATTGGCTTGGTGGGCGCAAGGCAGGTGCCCAATTGGCAGGTTGCGGCGCCATATGGCGATATGTGTCTTAATGGATGTGCGCCGCTGCAGTGTAGGCTTGGAGCCGCAAGGTGCATGCATGCAGCCTGCATGGCTGCATACACCTCGAGGCATGGTGGCCGATGCTATGATGGCATCGTGGGGTGCAGTTGTGGTGGATTCATGTGTGGTGGCTTCCAGGCATGTGCATTCGTCCACACCGGCATTCGTTCATTCGTTCGCACCCTAAGAAGAGAGAAGAAGACGCGTTCAAAAATGGTAATGAAGACACTCCGATGTTGGGGAAGAAGGAAAGAGGCAGGCATAATGGGTGTGCCGTTACGTGGATTTTTGTTTCATCCCCAACCTGTCCTGATAGGACAGTTCTCTGAGATGTGTGTTTCTGCCGGGTTGTCAAGTTGCATGCTCTCGCACCGGAGTGGGATATAAATTGGTTATTACTTTTTGTCTTGGTTCGTTATGGTCGGTTATGGAAACTTTTGCTTGTTGCCTTGAACCCTTATAGTACCTATGAAGATGCTAAGTTTTCGGTTTGTCGTATGAACGACAGGGGTAAACATTTAATATAAACTCAACAGGTGCCCACCTTGGGTTTGGGTGTTGGAGGGGGGCGTCACAAGTATGACATACCCCAAAACCCCCTCTATTACATAGCGCATTCCAGTTGTGGAAGGCTGTACATTTTAGCGTGTAGCGGTTGCTCCTTACGATATGCGTGTATCGCCTCGATGCTCGTTCATGCTATCTGCGCTTGTGCGTGCCTCACCGCACCTCTAATAATGCGTCATTATTGCTGCTGCGTCGCTAAAAACCTTGCTTGGCGCATGGGTCACCAAGTCAACCATGGATTGTGCTGTTGTTGTATGGATTGGGAGCATGAAGCCTAAGTTGAGGAAAGGTTCACATGGCTCAATGGATCACAGTTGCAGTGGATGTTCTTTCTGTGCTACCGTATGTCGGTACAATGTTTGTGTGGTATTCTCACCTGTTAGGCACCTGCAGCTGCAACTACGCTAAGCAGGGGATGGGAAGAAAGATGTGACGGCCGTGTAAATACACAGCGTGCCGCCCCACCCTGTCTGCATGCTTGTCCTTCCAAGGAGGTGGGGAGATTGGATTGAGGCCCGTTAAGGTAATGTCGCAAGGGTTGCAACAATTGTAACGTTCGCTGGTACGTGAGGTGTGAGGCATTTCTTACAACACGCCCCCTCAAGTTTGTCGCGTCTGAACGACATTCTACACTCTCTCCAGGTCGACATTCGTACCAACCGTCATAGGCCAGATCCTATTTAGGAACACGTTGACGGTGTTAATAGGCACACATTGAACATTTTGCAGTCCTGAACATCGTTGCCGGGGCTCGTTGGGCTCCCAGGCAGGGGTGCTTTCCGCACATTATAAGCCATCGCAACATGCCATCCTCGGGAGCTTCCATATGCCACACCGTTCAGACATGTCACGTGCATGTCAGCCGTTCCGGGAAACACACTCACCTCAAGCAGACGCTGGTCTATCGCGGCACAGCAGCATTGTGGTCACGGACGGCACATGCGGTTGGCTCATCATCCAACGTCAGGCATGTCCAGTTCAAGAGTCATCCAAAACCCAGCTGCTCGCAGCCTCAACATCAAAAGCATCCAGGAGCAAGAACAAGCAAAAAGAGCACAACACGCAATGCCGCTGCATCAGTACACGCTCGTTCTAATGGAATGCCTACATCACGGTAACGTTTAGACCGCAAGCGTCTTGTGTCCCTTCAAACAAAGCGGTTCATCAAGGTGATGCATCAAGTCATATACATCCTATCCTCCCAATACCTTTTGTACTCTGCGATTCATGCACACGCCCACATGCTTATCAACGCTAGCTAACCACACATCCTTGCTGGAGGTACATATTGAGTTCCAACCGCCCCAATCACAGGCGGACAGCTGACCACTTGCTAAAAGGGCATCAATAAACAGCATAATCGCAAAATGATGACGCCAACTATAAACTACAAATAATAAGCAACGCTCGTTGTCATGTGCGGTGAATCATCCAGCAGTCCCAATCATGGCAAGGTCAGCACTGCCATTGCACACGGCCCCACGCACGCCTGTCGCGCAAGTCCTACGCTAATACACTGCACCAAGGCTATTAGTCCACAAACCAAAAAAAACAAGTCCTAAACATACTCTTACCGCCATTCCCGTCTTCCTATTCTCTCTTCCATTGCTACTCAAAATCCTGCACCCGACCACCTTCCACATCTCCTGCCATCTGTCCTGCTTCGGGGTGAGGTGGAAAGGTCAGCAACCATGATGCAGCACAGGGTTAAGCCTTGTCACAAGTTTTCTGTTTCCCTCTTTACCCAGCTCTTCACCCAGCTCTTCACCTCACCCTGCTCCGCTGCTCGACCTCAACACGCACCGCACACCCACCGCATCGCCGCCCCCGCAAGTCGTCGGCACGCTGCCCCAACCCGACCGATCGCAATCATCCAACGTCGCCTCGCTGCCATCACACTGCACCGCAGCCAACCAGAACCGCATGGCACTTGGGAGCCCAGGAAAGGACGTGGCGCCAGGCAACAACGCCGAGTAGCTCGCTACCGTCTGAGATGCTCCTGCAAACTGTCTGCAGGCAACACGAGCCGAATCATCGTCCCAAAGCAGGTCACTCTCATAATCGCTGTTGTCACCGTAGATCCAGTCCCGACCGCAAACGGATCCCCACTGGCCCGCATGGCACAGGTCAATGCGGCCCACGGTTACAGTGTAACCAAGGGTAGTGGTGGACGAGCCCACAATGCGAATTGCACCGTCTGTGTTGCCTGCATGGAGTGGTTAGATGGGTGAGTGGGTGTGAGTTTCCGGGAGTTAGGGAATGGTGAGAGGGCGTCTGCATGCGTGCAAGCCTTGGGGCTGGGTAGGAGTGGGTATAAGTGCGGTGCCTTGCTTTGGAACACACGCGAAAAGCAGAGGCAGCCTCGCCCATAACGCCTTTTACATAGCCCCACTACCACCTCCCCACACAGTGTGCGTGCCTGCCTCTGCTTACATGGATACAACGTGTTGGTCACCGGCGGCGGGGGTGGCGGCGGCGACGGCGGCTGCCTCCGCGGCGGCGGCGACGGAGGCGGCGAGGAGCTCAACAGCGGCGGCGGCGACACAGCTGCGGGGCCGACGCCGACTGTCGCCGGGCTGGGAGCAACTGACACGGTGCTCGGGCTGGGGCTGTGACTCGAAGAGGGGCTCGGCGGGCCGCAGCTCACACCCGCGTCCAGCCGGGGCCAGCGCCAGCAGTCACTGCTGCCCCAGGCGCGGATGCTGCAGCCCACCAGGGAGGTCTCTCCGCCGCGACACACCACCTCGTCCACCCACACCGGCAGGTCCTTGCTGGCCGAGCCGAAGCGGTCGTCTGTCACCGCTGCACCACCCGAGAGACCCAGCTGCCTGTGCGGTGTGTGGTGCGGTGTAGGGTGTCGTATGTAGGAGAGTGGCGCAAGGGTAAGGTAGGACAAAGTAGGACATCGCTTTCGGTGGGTGTCGGCCCAGTTGGGCATGTCACATTGTCAACCCACGTTGGGGTAGTATCGCTGTGCCGGTAAGCGAGCCCGTTGCGCCCGCTGTTGGGGGTTGCGCACCTATGCACGAGGTGCTACTGCATGTGCAGAAGCTGCCAAGGTGGTGCCTAATGCGCTGTCGGTTAATACCGGTTGGCACTGTTGAGAGATTGCACACCCTGCCAGCTGGGAGTCCCCCGCCCCCACCTGCACACCACCGATGCAGCCGTGTCGTTCCAGCCGTCTCGACACACAGAGCCCCACCGGCCCGAGTGGCAGATCTCCACCCGCCCTGCTCCCTCAGCGGTGCTGCTGCTGTTGCTGTCACGCATCAGCCGCACCGAGTCCGGCTGGCTGCCTGCGTGCGGGGAGGTACGGTGGGACGGCGACCTCAGCGCAGAGCGGTGCAACACGTCAGCTTTCGAACCCCATTGTCCACAAACGGTGCATTAGCACACGGTATAACATGTTGTCTCCCCATACACGCCCACAAAACCAGGACAGGATCCGAAACCACCAAAGCCCCGATTCCATGACGGCGTGAGTGATGCGCATTTGTGCATGGCAACTCACATGCAAAGGGATCCACGGGCGGCGGCGGCGGCCTGCCCATGCTACACACCGCGCCCACATCCCTGCGGGGGCTGCTGCACCTAGCCAGCCCGGTGGCGTTCCGGCTGGCGCAGGCGGTTAGGGTGCCTTCGCTTCCGGTGCAATTCACGTCCGCTAGCAGCACAGGCTGGGAGGAGCTGCCCGCCGGATAGCCGGTCAGAGGTTGGGTAGCTGCGCTTGCGACAGCGGTGCCGTCGACCCAGCCCAGCTGGCGACATACCACGGCGGCGTCCTTGTCATCCCAGCCGTCCTCGCAAACCTGTATACAATGACATTAATGAGTAAATGGGTAAGGAGAGGTGGCACCGGGGCGTTCATGGGGGCAATGGCAGGATGCGGGGTTAAGGCCGTGTGAGCAATGATGAGTTGACCGCGCCGGGCTTGCTTATGGGGCAGTCACGCGGGACAAGACTCACCGTTCCCCAAACTCCCCGTGCACACAACTCCACGCGCCCCGCGGAGGAGTTTCCGCCAACCAGCCGAACCGAGCCGGCGCCGCTACCTGCGGGTGCGGGTGCGGCAGGAAAGTGCAATGAGAGCGATGGCGTGGTAGCTGTGGCCAATCAAACGGCTGCTCGGATAGCAGCGCAAAACAGTTGCCATGTGCGGTAACAGCGTGCAAGAGGTGCAGGGGCCCCTCTGGTCCCCTTGTAACGGCAGCACCGTCCCCTGTGTGTAGGTTCTGGCATCTCCTGAACCCCAAGGAAACGTCCTTTAAAGCCCCGGACCCAGGTACGCTAGACGCTGCCCCAAGTAGGCGACCAGAACTTACATGCATATGAGGGTGAAGGAGGCGGGCGGGCTGTTGCGGGCGGTGACGGTAGCATGATTGAGGAATCATTCGAACACACCACGCCCACCGCCTCAAGCTTTGTGTCGCAATCATTGACGCCCCAGTCGCTAAACATGCACTGCGTCAGGCGCCACAAGCCGCTGTTATAGTTCTGCTCGTACGCCGTACAGTCCAGCTCGTCCATCAAGAAGAACGCGCTGTCACCTGGGTCGCCTGCCGCCCCTACGTTGGGCTGACCCAAGGGTCGGCCGTAGGTGTACCCCAGCTGCCTACACGCCACTCGAGCCTCCGTCACTGAAAACCCGTCGTCACACACGAGTCCGTAGCGCCCCTGGTAGCAGACCTCCAGCCGGCCGGCGCCCTCAGGCATCCCGACCACCGGCGCGAGCCTCAGAGCCCCGTCTTCCGAGCACTCGGGTGGCGGCGGCCTGGGAGGTATGGGAGGTGTGGGACGAGCGCTGCACACGACGCCCGCGTCCTCCTGATGCGAGCAGGATGCCTGGCCTAGCGGTGAGCCGCGGCTGCAGGACAGGATCCCACTGGAGGCGGCTTCCTTGCCGGTGCAGCCGACATTGGAAAGCCAGATGGTCATGTTGAGGGGCCCGGGGGACAGCGCACCGGTGCTGTAGTCGGTTGAGGTTGTTAGCGCCCAACCGCCCGGGAAACCCAACTGACGGCAAGCGAGGGAGGCATCAATGTCGTCCCAACCGTCGTCGCAGACGCTGCGGGGGGAGGGTTGGAGGGATGGTAGGGAGGGAGGGAGAAGGGTAAGGGTGTCCTCAGATGTGACGCAGGAGGCAGAGGGCACGGTACGAAGAGGGCAGGGTGGACCGCCGCTGTGGCAATGGGAAGCGAAACGACCCCTGTGTTCCCTACACAGCCGGCGATCAGCTTCTTGTGCCAGCCACACCAAAGAAACCCCCCAAGGCACTGACTCCAACACTCCAAGGCACTCACCTGCCCCACTGCCCCTGAACGCACACCTCCAGCCGTCCTGCCGAAGCTGCGACGCTGCCTGCCGCCTTCACAATCCGCAACGCCCCCTGCACACCGCACGGGTAGTCCCCGCTCTGCATGCCGCTGCCATTCGTCGAGCCCTTAGCCGGCGGCGGCGAACCCACTGCTGCGTTGCTGCAAATGACACCCGCATCATTCCTATGAGCGCACTGCGTCCCCGGGTTACGCTGCGCCGTACAGCCGCCTAGGGAAGCCTCACTACCCAAGCAGCCGACGCTGCTTAGGTGAACGGGCACGCTTGAGGCGGCTGCCGGGAACCAGCCGCCGATTAGGGCCTCACCGCCCTCGGGGTAGCCCAGCTGCCTGCATGCCACCCGCGCGTCATCCCAGGTCCACCCAATGTCGCAGACGCTGCCCCAGCGGCCCCCCAAACAGATTTCCAGGCGACCCGACCAGGCGTTGGGGCCGTCGCGCAGTCGGAGCGTGCCGTTTGTGCCTGAGGTGGTGGGGACGGGGGCGCGGAAGGGAAACCACACATACCGTCATAATTCTTCAATAACATTACTACGGATGCGGCGCAGGAAGGGGCATGAACGGGATGAAATGACAATGATGTGGCGTGCTGGTGCCCCGCCAGACTAGAGCGGATACGAGACACGCCAAACAGGAGAGCAACGAAACCCTACCACGCCCACGTCCCCCCTGCAAGGAGCAAGCACATCACCCGATCGCTAGCAGGCTCACATTCCGAAGCAGCAGACACTGTGCCAGTCGCATTCACACTCGCCGCTGGCACAGTAGCCACCACAGCGCTGGCCCCAGTGGAGCTGCTGCCGCTCGCTGCCCGTGTACTCAAGCTGCTGTCTGGCGGCGGAGAGGCCTTCAGCAGAGCAGCAGCAGGAGGAGCAGCAGGAGGAGCAGCAGGAGGAGCAGCAGGAGGAGCAGCAGGAGGAGCAGCAGGAGGAGCAGCCGCAGGAGGGGCAACAGCAGGAGCAGCAGGAGGGCCTTCCAGGAGCGGCTCCGGCAGCGACGGTGGCGACGTCGGCTGCGGTTTAGGCGGCAGGGGGCTCTTGGGAGCCGGCTTACCAAGCGGCGGAGGGCTGCCTATAAGTTGCAGGAAGGACTCCGGCGAGGTAGAGGCGGCACTTCGGGGCGCGGAGGAGGGTGGTGGCGACTTCTTGACAGAAGGTGGCGGGCGGGGAGACGGAGGACGGGGAATCGGAAGGGGTGGAGAGGGAGAGGGGTGCGGAGGGGAGCGCTTTGGCGGGGGTGGAGACATCCGCATGGCTGCGGTTGGCGGCGGAGAGCGGCGTGGAGGGGGCGGCAGCGGCAGCGGCGGGGACGGCTTGGTGCGTGGGGGAGGGCGTGGCGGAGGACGAGGAGGAGGAGGAGAAGGCCGGGGTGGAGACGGCCGAGGTGACGGAGGCGTCTTGGGTGGCGGAGATGGCGGTGAGGGTCGCGGCGACGGCGGACGGGGCGGCCGTCGCGGCGGGGGGCGCGGGGGCCGTGGCGGTGACGGACTGGGAGGTGAGGGCCGCGATGGGGGCAGTGGCTGCCGTGGTGTTTGCGGTGATGGGAACGAGGGCGGCGGCGGCAGCTGGGCGCCAGGCCACATCCAGAGGAGCAGGTTGCTGAAGTGAAAGGCGTCAATGGGTGTCCAGTAGGAGTAGTCCCAACTGGCTGTGGGACCGCCGCTCAGCACGCCTAGCACACGGAGGTCTTCCAGGTCTGTAATGGCCATGCCGGATTGGCCCCGCGTGGAGTAACAGTAGTTGTACATTTGCCACATGGGCCTGCATTGGGACGTCGTCAGAAAGCACTGGCTACAGAACTGCCAGTACACGGCAGGGCTGAAGGCCGGGTAGCCGCAGGCAAGGGTTTTGGGGTAGGTGGGACGAGCGCAGTCGTACTTCATACCCAGCCAAGAGGTGTGTGGACGCTTCACGCGAATAAGCGCGATATCGTAGTAGTTCACGGCGTATCGCTGGTAGTTGTAGCTCTTATCGGTTCCGTTTTCAGTGCGGTAAAAAGTTGCATATTCTGCAGTGAAAGCTGCCGAGCTGTCCAGGCTGTTGGACGCAAGAGCTGGCCAGATGCGCCAATCTGTGTAGCCGGTGCTGTTGTCAAAGTCCCAAACGCAATGTGCCGCAGTCAGAACGTCCCATGGCGTGATGAAGGTCGCAGAGCACTGGTATCTGGCATTGGTGATGGGTTGAGTGTAGGTTATGTATGCAATGGCACTGTAAGGATACACAGATGCGTCCTTCACACGCCAGCGGTTGTCTGAAAGCAGCTTTCGCCCGTGCTGCTGCTGCTCCTGTTGCTGTGTAATGTTGGACCTGCCGTCAGCACCCGCAGCCACGGCCGCGGCCGCTACCGCGGCCTTGGCAGTAGCCGCAACATCTTCGCTGCCGTCTGTAGCATCCATGTGACCTAGCTCCGAGACAAAACTGCGACCAGCGTCTAAATTGGATCTCCTAGCCGACTCAGGTCCGGGAACAAAACCACCGCCGCCGCCGCTGTCGCCCGCAGCTGAGGATGCGGACGTCCCGTGCACGTGTTCTACGAGAGCGCTGCGGCGGTGGCGGCTGAGGAGGGAGTCCAGAGCCGGCCGTGCCGAGGCCTCCACATATAGCCGCCCGTCTTCTGGAGTGTAGCGTAGAGCTCGCACCTATACCACCCGCCCGGCGACACCAGCAACGGCAATGTACCGCGAAAAGGCAGGAACAGGGGCCAGCGTTAGGGCTGATGCATGTTTTGAGGACTTGTAGGCAAAGGCATGGGAAGCTATGATACAGCCGGATGGTAGTGGTTAGCTGTTTAGGAGCATCACAGGTACAGCAGGACAAGAACAACAAAACATGGAAGATGCTTAGCACGGCGACTGGGCGGCTAAGGAGCAGCGCACCTGCAGCTTGTCGCTGTCCTCTGCTGCGGCAGCCCTGAAGGCTTGCTTCTGCTGCTGCTGGTGTGCCCCGGGACTCACTCGCATCCTGCCGTACGCAAGGGACAAAGTACATCCGCAACGTCAGCCAGTGTAACAGTAAGGAGCTACGGAAACGGAAACGCGGCTTTGTATGCACCCCTTATTGTGCCCCTGCATGCGCATGCTAGCGAGACGCCTTCGAGAGGAGCCACACTCGTACAACATCCATATATGACTGAAGCCCTGGGACCGTCCCTGCCGCTGCCATACGTTCCTCCCACCTTGCCGACATGCGCTTCGGGTCCCAGTCTGCGCTAGGTCCGTCACGCAGGCCTAACGATCCTACGAGCACAAAGCCCTCTGAAGCAAAGCGTCGCATGTCAGATACATGGTGCCGGCGATGCCGGCTTTTTGCTCCCCTGCCCGGCGGATGACTACGCCGGTCGGGTGGTGCAGCAGCGGCTGCAGTGGGCGCCCCAGGCTGCGTCCCAGACGTCGCTGCACTGCCGACTGTCGTCACACGTGCTAGCTGGTCGTCGCCTATCAATGCCCCAGAGCAGCAGTATGCAAGGGTACCTCTTTCAGCGTCTCATTCATACCGGTAGGGCGTCAGTCAACGTAAAGCCGGGCACGGACGTACCTCGGCACGGCCCATCTTTGCCGCCAGAGAGACCCTGGCATTCAGCCAAGCAGCGATGTCTAAATGTTACTCCGGCAATGCATATGGGTTCCGCATCATCAGAGCAAGTATCGCAGGTCCAGGCAGTTGCTGCGGATACGCTCCATTGTCGTGATGCGGAAAACAAGATAGACAGCAAAAACGTAGCTGCAAGCCACGATGCCAGGCCTCCAGCCCAGCGCATCGTTGGCTTATTGCATTGCTGTATACGCAGTTGTATGCCCCAACTCAAGGCTCTAATGTTTACCCTTAGCAAAGCGGCAGAAGTCCTAAAATTTAACGGAATTAAGGAGTCACTACAAACGTATGCATACAGGTTTAGTTGGAGTCTTGGAGAGCAACTGGGAGGTTCGTAGAGTTACTACAATAAAAACGGACCTTTCAACGAATGGTCCCTCGCCATGCACACTACCAACGCTAAATGGTAGCTTTCTAATTCTATACGGTGATTGACTTTCTTGTCTTCCCTAAGGGTGTACTGGCTAGGTAGCTTCTGTGCCAATCGCCCTCCGTACATGCTTGGCAGGTCGGGCGGGCGTTTCTTAAATCACCTGTATGCAGGAACTAGGTTCGCGTGCTACACGATACACTTATAGGCACATGCCCTTAGGTAATATCGCACGAGACTTACTAAACCGTTGGTGACCCGTGGGCTCGGCGAGGTGTCGCACAAATGCGAAGTAGCTTCCTTTGAAATCAGAGGGGTGCCTTAGTTGCTCGCCTATAATGGCTGGTGCTTGCCGGTGCTGGTATGGTTCTACTACAGGACTCCCCGCTCTCACATACGCACCGGTGCGGTATCCTTTTGCAAGCTGCTCGCAAAAGAGTATTGCACCCAATATAAGATACAGGATGTCAAGTCCACCCTGCTGGTAATGGAATGGGCTCTTTGCGGTCATTTACAAGGCCCGGACAAACCACCCGGACAGACTGGCCAGGCTCCTTAACCGAGTGCTAATGGGTGGCCAGATTTAATATAAGTAGCGCATACCGAAGAAAGTCAGTATGGGTATTTACAACTCAGTCGTGGTGAGACAACTGAGGCAGTGTGTGTGTGTGTGTGTTTACGCGTGTAAGCGCACACTTCTCCAGCAGAAACGCCTCAACTGGCGTTGGCCCTAAACTACCGTAACATAAATACTCGTACATACTCGCGATGACTAAGTAATGGATTTGCTTTCATGCGCACCGCACATTAAACCCTAAACAGCAAATGACGTTAAACACTTCTTCAGACGTCACACGTGCTTCCCACGAAGGGCGACTTCAGCTCTCCCATGCCATGCAGACCTGCTTGCCCCATCTGTCAAATGGCAGGAACTCCGGGACTTAACGTCAAGCCCCTGACTAAGCCGTTGACGGCAAATGTAAGATAAGAAAAACTCTCGCTAAGGCAACAGCTAAAGGCGTCCCCAAGGCCAGTGCGCTGAGCAAGGCAAGACTGGTGCGCATGTAGACGCCAAGTATTGCACGTGCGCATTAACACGATACCAAATCGCCACGCGTTTCGATTGGCCGCATTAGGAAACAGCAGCAAAAGAAGAATGGACAGCGCGCACCACCATGCCACCAACCCAACAGGCGACACGCCCCCGACCTAAACCATGCATGATCCTTCCGCCCTTCCGGCAAGTATTAGCAAATTTATGCGTATAGAATGCTTGATGCGTTGTTTAACCACCACCGGTAAAAACGCTGATCACCGATGTGGTACATGTGTTTGGAATACGTTGGGGACAAAGTTCCTCGATATGTACGACACTGCACGCAAAAGGTGCTACATCCCAACAGCCAGACCAAGCATGACCCGCCCTCCTTCCACAACGCTGCATCCCCATCCAAGGCTCACAAGCTGCATCCGCACACCTTCCGAACCCGAAGCAGCGACCATGCACCGTTTCCAACCTTTCCAACCTTTCCAGCATCTCCTAACAGTTTACAGAGAACTCACTCCAGGCCAGCGTCCGCGCCACTGCCATGCGCGTACAACACCTGAACAGGGCCACTCCTCTCACAATAACGCAGAAGCTTCCAGCCCAGCCCAACTCAGCCCTTCGCAGCTGCAGGGCAGTTCGGGGCCATCCACCCGCAAACAAGCCAAACACAGTGGCCATGCCGCACGCCTGCGCGCCTCTCACCTCACAACGCTCACACAACACGGCCACAACTCGCGGCCAGTTTTCTTCACACAACACAAAACCACGCGCTCACAACCCCGGCTTGACAGCCCTCAGCCCGCAGCACTAACCGAAGCCATGCAAACATACACCATTAACATCCCTACCTCCCAGGCCCAGGCCATAATTCTGCATCAGCATTTTACAGTTCGGCACCGGGCATCCGACGCTCATCCTTTCTCTCCTTGTCGCCCAGGCCCTCCTCGCAACACCCCGTCCAATCCTCTCTCCCGCACCGCTCACTCACTTTCCGCATGCGGCGGCGGCGTCAGCTCAATGCTCCCGTTGGGCCGTGCGGTGGCAACCGCCGACAAACGGGACTGCACACGCGGCGGGGCCTGGGTGCCGAGCCTCGGACCAGCGCTCGCAGACGAGGTGAGCATCACAGCCGGCTTTCCTGCTGCCTTAGCCTCTGGGTCGAGCGCTACAGGGTAGGGCGGCAGCCGAGGATTGGAGCTCTGGGAGGGAGTACGGCCAACACCGAGCGGCTCTCGAGCGGAAGCCGACTGAGCCGGTGCAGCGGGGCGGGCCGGGACGAACCCGCCGCCGTTTGCGGCAGCGGCGGCGGCAGCGGCCGCACTGATCTCCGCACCGTGAGTGGTGGTGGTGTTGGAGTGGCTGACAAAGGAGGAGTTGCGGCTGGGCAAGGCGCTCATGCTCATGTGCGGCGGCCTGCCGGCGGCAGTGACGCTGGCAAGGCGGCCGGGTGCTGAGTTGCGCTCCAGGTTGGGGCCGGTCTCGGCGTCGGGGTTGTCGGGATCCATGGGCGGCGGCGCATCCAGCAGCGTGCGTACCTGGGCGGGTTGGGACGCGATAGCAGGAGGAGAACCAGGTGGCGGAGAGGTGAGGTGAAATGTTGCCGACCAGGAGAGGACAGCGGAGCAAGCATCGGGTCCGCAGGACGCAGGCTATGGGTACGGATCCACACGCATCCAAGGAGGTGCAGGACAGCACCGCCGCCGGGGTCAACAACACTCAAAACACACGGTATGGGGAAGCACAGGCAGGTTGCAAGCCAGGAACAATCCTCGGTTCAGTAACTCACCCTGGTCATCACGCGGCTGGTGGTGGAGTTGACGCGCATGGAGGCCCAGAAGGCGGCCGCGTACAGGCCGGCCATGCGGGCTCCGTAGCTCGGCCTGCCAAAAGTGTGAACACATGCAACACGAGAGACATGTAAGCGGCGGGACGCAAGGATGGGGAGGAGGCCGGGAGAGGAACGCAGGGGTTCCTCAGTGCGAGCGAGCCCCTAGCAGGGCGAAAACATGCAAGGCGTATAGGGTAGCTTGCTAACGAGTGCCATACAACGCCGGTTTGGTATGTACGGATACCGGTATCGTGAGAGAGCAGGGAGCGCGTGGCGTTACGTACCTGGCGTCCATCTGCCGGGCAGTCACGGAGCCTTGGGAAGCGGCCATGTTTTCCAAAATCCTTTGCTGGATCTACAGGGGAGCACGGGATGGGTTTCCAGGTAACCAAAAGGGACTTACCAGGAGTGGGAAAGTGTAAATACACATGTAGGTACGTGCCAACTTTTAAAACACTGAGTACACGGTTGGCTGTGTAACACAGCAACGATCACCAAGCACACGCGCACGAAGCGTGTGACTTACCTCTGCCGGTGTCAGTCTACGCCGCGTCGCGGCGTCCAACTTGGCCAGGCCGGTGTTATCCAGGGCAACCGACCAGTAAGCCTGCAACACAAAGAAACACAACGTGGTGGGGTGATGCCGAGCAATGGTGAACAAAGTACTAACTAGCTAGCTTTAACTAGAATGATGCCGCAACCTAGCTGCCGTGTCACCAAGAAATGGCGCCGAACCTGCCGGTAACAAGCCGATAACTAGGAAGCCCTGGGTAGCATATGCGCCCCCGTTCACCCTTGCGATTGCCGTGCACACATCATCAATCGGAGAGAGAGAGAGTGCGGCATCCCCAGACGGCCACTGCCGCGCCCCCGAGGTTGTTAGCTCAGAGAGGGCCCAGCTCATCGGCCTCCCAAGTCCTAAACAAGCAACCCCCCCAGTCAGCCCTCACCCGCAGCACGTAGCGGACCAGCGTGAGGACCATGACAATGTTGAGGACGAGGATGATGATGGAGATGGCGATACGGCCGCCGCTGGAGATATCATTGCTGTGGGTAAGGGGTGGGGTTGGCAGAGGGCGGCAGTGAGGAAGGTCGGTGTGTGATGGATCGGAAAAACGGCGCGCCCCAAGGTCCATAAATATAAAAGTGGCGTTCTGTCAACAAGCCGTATTTCCATAGGCCGCTCCTGAGCCGCTCGTGCAACTTGCTCCTAGCCGTGCTTTCGTCCAACAGCCTGCTGTGTCCTCCTACGCACCCGCCCCACCGCACCTGAAGCTGAAGAAGAGTGAGAAGTAGAGGGTGAACAGCAGAACGACGAGCGACATGGACTCCAGGAAGTTGGTGTACGAGTGCCGGTACGGCTGGGCGTAAAGGTGGGCGGCCTGGCGGGTAGTTTGGGGCCACAGCCAGGGTGAGGGCGACATGAAGGCATTCGGCGAAAGTCCCACGCATATCGTGTTGTGCAGGGCAAGCTGCCCCTAGCTTGCCGTGACGCGTTCAGTGATCGGTGCAGCTATGAGGTTGCGATGTGGGTAGAGGAAAGCCGCTTGCCCCAGTATGCATTCGCTAAGGGTAAGGCTCCCCTGCATGTCGCATGCCGCCCCGCGCTGTCACCCTCTGTCCCTTCACCCCTTCACGCACCATGGCAATGACCAGGATGATGAAGACCAGCAGCAGCTGCACGCCCGCCGAGGTATTTGCCTCCACCAGCGTCACAATCACCGCGATGGCGAGCTTGCGCAGCATCACCAGGCTCTCCCACCACACGTACCTGGCGGGAAGAGGGAATCGGGGGGGGGGGCACGAGTCAGGCATGCCATATCGGTAAACATGAGGAAAGAGCCGCGGCACTGTGACAAAGTGGCCCCCGTGCCTGGCCTCTACCGGGTGCCCACTGTCCCTCCCGCTGCTCCCCTCGCGCTGCACTCACTCGGGCTTGAAGTCTGCCAGGAAGAAATCCGTCATCTCCTCGGTCAGCAGGATGTTGGTGATGCACGGTAGTCGCTGCGTCACCAACAGACCGCTCACGATGGGCCAGCCTGCGGAGCGCACAGAGAAGACAAAGAACAGAAGGAATAACACAGGAAGCAATGTTCATAACGTCGCCTAACATTCAGGAAAACAAGGTACACCGGCGGACGCAGTCGCAGCGACCAGCGCACAAGCAAGGGAGATACGTATCCAGCATGTCCGGCATCACAACCGGCCGCATGCATGAACATGATGCCGAAAGGCGTCATCACCACCGACTAGAGAATTCAGCTTCAATTGATTTACTCTTACCAATGGCGATGAGCAGGACGCCGGGCACCCCCAGACCCATTGCAAGGCCCAGATGGGTGCCCTTGTAGCACACCAGGCCAAAGTCCTGGGACCACACGCTGTCCGTCATCGTGCCTAGTCCGGCCTGCAGAGGGCAGGGCATTGGGTAGCAGCTGGTTAACATACCGGTAATAAAGGGTGACGAGGTCGTGCGAATGGGCTGGGAAAGGTCCATAAGCATCACCACCCGCAACCGTGCAACCCTTTGCAACACAGCCATTGCAACTGCTTACTGCCCGCCCGCACGCCCCCACGCCACTGTGTACGGTACTTGCCGCAAGCTGGGTGTCGGGCTCGCTGGCGGAGTTGACGTCCGTGCAGTTGAAGATTGTCATGAGCGATTGTACGACAGAAGGGTAAAAGAAGAAGAAGATGGTGATGAAGGTGACAATCAGCTGCCGCCCCAAGTAGTCCTCCATGTGCTGCTTGAAGGTGGGAGCGCGCAGCGGACCCTTCACCTTCTTGCGCTTCTTCGTGGCATGCTTGGCCCGCAGCCTGCAAGCCAGGTGATGGATAGAAGAGGAGAAGGAAGGGGCAACAGGGGGGTGGTTCAGCTAGGTGCGAGCAAAAGGGAGCCGAGGTTTGCCGAGTGTACTGGATGTGCGCAGAAGTAACAAGGAATCTATTCTGGAGGGGCTTGGGTGCGATCAAGTGCAGGACAACCCAACCGCCCAACGGGAGTGCCACCGAGCTGTTGCAACCGAAGCCACAAGGCGAGGAACCAAAGCCCCCAACCCACAGCCCGACTCACTCGATAAGGTAGAAGTAGTCCAGGACGTTGTACACGAGGAAGAAGATGATGGCACCGGCGAAGATGTACAGCGGCGCAAGTGCGGTCAGAGTGACACGCACAATTGCCTTGGACAGGTTGCCTTCGTTGGGCAGCGAGCAGTCCAGTGAAACCAGCATGCCTGTAAAGCAGCAGCGGTAACGGGGTCCAGCATGGTTGTCGAGACGTCGCAAATGCCGTTGACGGCGTGGCGGTGCGTGGTCATGACGGGGCTTTGCGTATGCCAGGATACGATACAATAGGGTAAAGCAGCCACGACAAATGATCCCGGGGTCATGCTATGCTTCCGGGGTGCCAACCGGTAACTCTATATTGTGTTAACAAAGAGATGTACCTCTTGACATGCCTTGCAAAGCAGCTGCAAACAGGCATGATTACTGAGTGCCATGCCACGCACCTGGGTAGCTGATCGCCTGGTTGTTAATGCGGTAGTAGATGTCCACGACGCCGGGAATGTCCAGCGGAACGTTCTGCAGCAGCGCCAACACCTGCAAATACCCGGTACAAGAAGACAGCGTCGGACCCACGGTACCCAGCTCAATGCATCGCGCAATCCACGAGTCACCCAGACACCCTGGGGCCATGACGAACACCAACAGCTGCGCGGGGTTCCCTCCTACCCTGCTCCGTTTATGCCGCCGAGATAATGACAAAAAGTCAAGGCACCTCAACCTGCCCTGCCCCCACCGCGCCCCCCCCCCGCCCACCCACCTGCACGTAGCTGACCAGGATCTTCACAATGGTGGAAGGCATCGCGAACTGACGCGGACGAGGCCCAAAAATGTGGGATGCGTCGCCAGCGCCCATTGGGTGGTGGTTGCTGCCCGGCGGCTGGACCGGGGCAGTGGGCGGTTGCATGCGGGGAGCCTGGGGTGGTGTGTCCTCCAGCGGCTGGATCTGCTGCAGAATCAGAGGCACGGATCGCCGCGTGTAGGAGCGTGCGGAGCGCTCCGAAGCAGGAAAACCTTCCGCGGGCTGAATCTGCTTTGGGTATTGAAAGAGACACAGGGCGAAACACAGTTCAAGCCACAGGCATAGGCGTTACTCCACATGCGTCCGCCCTCGCGCGTAACCTGTGAACCTAAACATGCGATGGAAGGCAGCCAGTGCTTTTCCCCATCAGCAATCAGGTACCCCTAGGTTTTCCGGCAGACACACATCCCTCCGCAGCCACGTACCTCGGCCGCCGTCCTGCCTGCGTTGCGGTCCAGGCCCTCCTCGTAAAGCACGTTGTTGTAGTCAACGCCCTCTCCCAGGGGAACCCCGCCCTCGAACGCCATGTTCACATGCTCTGCGCCCTCACCCAGGGGGCCCCAGGCCTCATAACCATCGTCCGCAAGCTCCGTTCCCTCCGCCACGGCACCACTGAGGCTGCCGCCGTTCGCCATGACCACGTGGCCGTTGGGTGGGGAGCAAGGAGCGCCGCCATTGATTGACACAACGGGAGACTGCGCGGAGGGGTCACGCGGGGGAAGCGACACGTGCAGCCCCTTGGGAGTTGCAGGCGCGCTGCCAAAGGCGCCGCGTGCGGCGGCAACCGCGGGGTCCTCGTAGTAGCTGCCGTTGTTGGTTAGGGAGCCGTTAGCGCCCTGAGGAGCAGTCACACTGGCGTTGTGGAAGGACACCACGGCCATGGCTTCAGCGGGCATGGAGCCAGAGGCTAGCCGCAAGGCGCAGGTGGGCGGGGCCACCGGGCCAGAATGTGCTGCAGGAGGCAGGTTGGAGGTGGTCTTGGCATGCTTGTCCTTCTTCTGCTTGTCCTTCTTCTTGCTGTCCTTGGGATCTACGCCGCCCACCAGCTTGCCCGGCTTCTTCTGCTCCCGCAAGCTTGAGTACACGGTGATGACCAGCATGGTGAGGGTGAGGATGGTGACCAGCAGGTAATACAGGTTGTTCAGGGCCTGGTGGGGTGGAGGTGGGAGAGGAAGCGCCGGAGGAGGTGGAGAGCAGGGTGCATCATCAGCGTAAACTGGGAGGAAAACTGGTGATTACCAGCTACACAAGCTGTCTGGCAGAACCAGCTAGGCCGCTACCCAATAATAAGGCGCCGGTGCGTATTGCAAACTGCTTCAGAAACAAGGGTTAATGATGGCTACATTCATGCTGTCAGTATCCTTAGCTCTTAACCCACCTTCGGCGGGCACTTCACGCATGTGGCAATCTTCCTCCAGCCATAGCCCGGCGCACACTGCCCGCACAGCGTGCCCGTGTAGCCTGTAGCGCACTGGTGCTGCTGGTAGTCAGACCTGCGTGCCATAACACACACCGTACAGGAGGACGCTAAGTTGCCGCAGTAGCAACAGCCGGCCGCCAGCAAGGCATGATCAAGGCATGGACCGCTAGGAAACTCGCGGCTTGGCAGCTGTCACCAAGGCAGCTACGGAAGCCAGCATCACCAGACAAAGCAACAGACAGCTGCAAGTGTTCTCAATCGTTCGCAATGCTATCAATGTCCTATCCGAGCTATACTTACAGCATGCCGACCGTGGCTTCTAGCACCCGGGCATAGTCCTCCTCATCGCTGATGGCCTTCTGCTGCAGCAGCCGCCGCAGCCCCAGACCCAGCTGTGAGTCCACCATATCCGCTATGTGCTTTTGTGCCGCCGCATCAGCCACCGCATTTGAAGTGTTCAGCTGGATGTTCCGGGCAAGCTGTTGCCGTACGGAAGGTCAAAGGAAAGGCAGCAGGGCAGTTTGAGGAGTGCATTCAAGGACAATGCAGCAGGCCCACCCAGACGAAGACATAGCAGCCTTTCTATTTGGTTCCGGCAGCCCCTCCCCACCTGCCAGATCTCTTGCTGAATCCTCGCCAGTGTCGTTGAGCGGTTCTCAGACATGCAGGAGTTTGGGTTCGGGCATTCAAGCACCTGCGATCATCACCATGGACGGTGAAGTTACCTAACGCTCGGCTCACTTTAAACGGAGACACGAGGCATGTATGACATGGCGGAATCTAAACGCATGCGCTGCAACACCGCAGTGTAGCTCACCTGGTTACTGAAGAAGTTGACGTGCCAGTAGCCGTCCTGGGGAACCATGAACCCAACTGGGTCGCAGCTTTCCTTCTGGCAAGCTGTTGGATTCGGGTACCCACAATCCGCGTTGTCGGGGCAAGGTGCACATGTAACCTGCAGCATGGAGACGCCCTCATGAGAAACGTGACACGGCAGCAGTTCGTCACGTAGCCTGCACATCAGGTGCCCGAACTTACCGCCGAAACATTAAAGTTGTAGCTGCCTACATCACACACGATGCACTCGTCGAGGTTCTTGGGTGACAGGAACTCGTTAATAGCGCAAGGGCGCACGTAGATTTCCACCTGCATGTTACCAGTAGGTACCAATTGTTACCCACGAACAAGAGGCATGGGCCGTCACAAGGCGACAAATGTGGCATTCCTAGAATTCCTGAAGGCCCCTAGGGCCTGGATCCCCAAAGGGGCACCCGACCTACATCGTCTGCCAAAAGTACGCGGGAGGGGCTGTACACCCGGCCCGTCATGGAGATGCTGTGGAGACCTTCTCTGGCGCGAAGCCTCATCGAGGTGAAGTTAGCCGAGCCATCAACTGCTTCCATTGCTAGCGCTCCGGACACCTGCAAACACAAAGAGCTAGTCCCTTAGTAAGGCCGTATACTATATACCGCTAGTGCCAGTCCCAAGCTGCCGTACAGGCATGTCGTACCTCAGTGGAATCAACGGAGACAATCACGAGGGGCTGTGTTGAGCTGTCGCCGGTGCAGTTCTGGCCAAACCAATCGTGAACCGTTACTTGCAGCTTGATGTCGGTGTTGGAGGTGTAAAAGCCGACACGAGGAGGAGCCTGCAGACGGTAAAGAAGCCGAGAAGCTCACGGAACAGTTGAAGCACTAAACGAAGGCACGGTAGACACGGTAAAGGCAACCAGCAGGAGCAAACACAGTCCCATGACCCCCATACTTAATACGGATTCGATACACCAGTTAAGCGCACCACCCACCAGAAGGAAGTACGGCGTGGTCGCAATGTCATCACCGGTGCCTGCTTTGTTGTTCCAGTTTGCGCATGGCAGGTACGTGTGGGGTATACCCTTGAACGACGTGTCATTAATTACGGACCCATCAACCACAACTAGTGGGTTAGCAACTGACGGTGTGCTCTGAGTAAACGTTGCTTGAGCCACAGAGACAAGCTGCCCATTAACCGTGTACAGACCAGCCTTTGTCGACGGCACGGGCCCACCCCAGGCTGATACCAAGCTCTTCTGGCTACCAGAAGTCAGTTGGCCGTACCAGCGGGAGGGACCTTTCCGACCAGGAAACTTATAGCTGACACTATAGACGTCGCCGGCCATGGAACTGTTTCCTGCCCCCAGCATTGTCCCATTGGTCAGGAATGACTGCGAGTAGTCTGTGGGGCACGTGTTAATGCTGAGGACGCCTGCATGCGTCCAGAAGATACCACCACCACGGCTGGTCGCCTTGTTCCCTGAGCAACGGAGAGACGAGCGGCAGCGCTGTTAGTGCTGGTAGTAGGAATATGTGCGCCATGGCGATAGGAATGGAGGGTAATAGGCGTTATGGTTGTTAAGGGGTGTAGCCAGGTTTAGCCAAGACAAGATTGGAGCAGTGCACACGGTTAAGGGAGTGGTACAGGCATGGTGGTAGCAGCTGTGGGTAGCTTAGTAAGCTGTCCTGCTTCTTTTCAACACGACAGACCCTCATCTGCACCCCCCCAATCCTTCCCCGACACAGCCACCTTACCCGTCATGTTAACCGCATTGAGGGCAACGCTGTAGCATCCGGCCTGCTCAATGCATTCCAGGCCCTCAGCGATGTAGAGGGCTGCACCATCCTTGGCAGTATTGAGGATCATATCCGAGGAAGAGATCTGCAGAACGCACGACAGCTTTCACGAGTGAGGAGTGGGGCAACAAATGAACTAAGCTCCAAGCGGGGGCTTACCTGGATTATTTCACTGGCTTGCCCGACAATGCACAGTCCACCGCCGCCTCCATTGTAGCACGGGTGTGCCATGGCAATGGCATAGTCACGCTCACGACCATAGAGCCCGGTGTAGTTCGCCAGCAAGGGAGGTGATGAGGCATTGTTGGCAGCAAACCGGCAGTTGCTCAGAGAAACCTGGACACACACGGAAGACGCTTATCAGCAAGGAGATGAACACCAAGCTCGTCAGTGGAAAAAAGGGCTGATACTGTCGTACCTTGCCGTTGCCTTTCAGGTAGACCCCAGCGCCTCCGTTGGCTAGGTTGTTAACAAAGAGAACGCCAGGGTGGTTATGGACCTTAGCTGAGTACGGATAGAGGTACCTAATGTAGGTCTTAAAGGCAACGGTGAAAGTTGAGTGGTACATGTAACCCTGATTGATCAACGTCTGGTCTAGGGGAGCAGGCTTAGTAACCAAAATGTCCAGGTTCATCCGAACCACTACAGAGTCCACATCGCTGATGTACAAGGACCCGCCAATAAGTGCTGAATTGTTTGCGAAAAGGACCCGATAAGGTAGAACTGCACCAGCTCCTGCACCGAGCATGCCAGCGGCCTCAGCCACCTCTGGTGTGACGCTGTAATTGTAAATAGGAGCTTTGTTGTAGGCTGTGTAGGAGTCAGGGTCGATGAAGAAGTCTGGAGAGGAGATCATAGCCATAGCACCTCCTGCAGTTCAGCACCGGGGGGTTGTGGGCCCATGACACACGCTTGCCTGCCATCCAGGCAAAACACCTCCGAACATTTCCAAACTGCTAAGATGCTAGTATGTCGTACACTGCCCTGGACTCACCCAGCTTGGCGCTGTTGCCTACAAAGCTCCCAGTGGTCATCATGTAGATTGCTGCTGAGAAAGCATAAGCCGCTCCACCAAAACCAGGGTCGATGAAGGACAGAGATGGCAGGCTCCGTGCGCGCAGGTCCTCAACCGGGGTTGTGTCCGGCCAGGCCCAGGGGTCCACTACAGTGTTGTTTACGAAGGTGCAGTCACTCCATGCGCTGGGCTGCGACGTCCTGCGTAATAGAACAAACAAGCACGGGGCAACTTACAGCTGCCGTACAGTTACCGCCTGCTGCTGCTATGCACCCATGCCGTGCCCTTACCCACCTGGTCACCGCGACTGCTCCACCCATGATTGCAACATTGTTCTTAAACGTGCATGTGGTTAGCTGCAGCTTGGAGCTATCCACCATGCGCACAGCCCCACCGGCATAGCCAAGCACCTGCATTAGACACTGTTAGTCGTACATGTTGCAATGCCACCTGCCGGGTACAGTGTTTCATACCTTATTTCCCGTGAGTTCCGACTTTGTCATGTGCAAATCCGTATTGGCTGCATAGATAGCACCTGGGAAAGAAGGACAACAATCAGCACAGCTCCGCTTAAAGTGTTGTCAACAGTGCAAGGCCACTCACCGCCGCCAGCCCGATCTTGCATTCTTGGACCCCTCTCCACGTCGGGGGATAGGAGTGCTACGTTGTCTGTAAATGTGCACTCCTCCACCGTCCAAGGCGTGCTAGATGTGATGGTATCTCCGGAAATGGCGCCACCATTACGACCTAAGGATTGAATGTAAGTTATTGATGGATGCCAATGAACCGCCAATGAGGAACATGGAGCAGGCATCTTACCAGCAGAGTTGTTTGAGAAGGTGCTGCCGTAGATGTACACAGCAGGCAGCTCGTTTCCGGAAATGCTGGACACTTCCATCCACAAGGCTCCACCATCGTACGTTTGGGCCTTATTCCCTTCGAAGCTGTGCCAGAGGGACGTGAAGGTGTCAGGGAAGGGCGGTTTCAACGTCGAAACTAATACTTCAAGCAATGGCCTTACCTGCAGCCATTGATTTGGGCACCATCGAAGTAGCGCAGGAAAACCGCACCACCTCCAACAGCAGCCACGTTGTTAATGAAGTCCGAGGACGTGATGTTCACTCCACCCAGACCAACGTAGTTAGCAATGATTCCTGCTCCACCTGCGGCGCAGTGGAGGTTGCGTGAAGGCTCCGGCAAGCCAACCTAGAACTTACATGGGTCACGTACCATATCCAGTATCACTGCCTTCTCCGTCACTGCCCTGATACGTGATAATGTTGCCTTCAAAGGTACTGCTGTCGATGACGCTGCCATGGACCGTATCCAGGTATACCCCGCCGTTCAAGTTGCCAGTAAACCTTCGAAAATAGTTTACCTTCGTTAGTCAAACGGGCATCTCGTACGTGCAAAACCAGCACCTAACAATTAGAAACGTAACATACCGGCAGCTTTCCACAGACGCGTTGTAGACATAGGCGAAAGACAAAGGCCGTTCCGCTGTAAGGCAGATCTCCGGCGAGCGCCTGCACCAATCGATAAGGTCATGTCCGTCATGCAATTCACCGTGCGGCACCGGGTAGCAACAAAAACCTGCCTGCACTTGTTGGCTGTGAAGTTCGTACCAACCACCTGGACTTGGGTAATCCCCGGCTGTGAATTCTTCTCAACAAGCTGGCTATCCGAAGCACGAATGAAGAGGACACCCGTTATGTAAGCCGAGTTATCTGCGCTCGCGTCGTACGTAGGGCAGCACACGTCAGCAATTAACAAGCAGGGCGTGCCTGTCAGTTTCACCCATCCTTGACCAACCACCTACCTTCAAAGCGGCAGTTCTTTATGATGGCAGTATTTTCCACATCACCAAGGGCTGTCATCTGGACTTTAACGGTGTGGGATATACCAGCGCCCACCGTTGTTCCATAGCTAATGCCCTCGTTTAGGGCAGCCGTCATGAAGCTGATGTAATCGAGCCAAAGCTGGGTCAGCTCGTTTCCTACGCAAGGTGCACGAGAAGGCAGAATTCAGGCCAGGGCCCCTTTCGAACTGGGCTTACCAAGACGGCACGCAAGGCCTCACCGATGAAAGAGCTGCCCACGATTGAGGCTGTGTCTCGGATCTCGTCCAACCATATAGCACCCGTGCTGCCGGTCATCTGCATGCAAACGTCACGTTGAATTGGAGTGAGAAGTTACCAAGCGTCGAAGGTAAAGCCAAAGAAGAGGAAAGCGTTTTGCTGATGCCTGAGACCGGGATATCCCCATGCACGTCATGCAGGCGCTTCGGGGTTCTACCTCAACCAGCCACAAGCCTCAGCACCTTCGCTGTCTTGCCATCTACGCCACAACACCCCTCCCCTCCTTGGCAGCCAGTTCAGGCACGCTTGTTACCAACAAGCAGTTTGCTGCAGAGCCAAAGATGCAGTCATCGCCTAAATATCTAAACAGGATATACCTAGGTGAAGCAAAGACCGGCCTATCTATTGCCCTACAGAGACGCCAGCAAAACAATAAATGCACTGCCTACCCGGCTTACCTCACAGTCCTCAATGTTGGCGTTCCGGGCCCAGCGCAGCCACACGGCTGGCCAGCCGCTGGTGTGGTCGTGCACGCTGATGCCTGATATGTTGAAGTCTGCGCTGTGCCGGGGAGGTCCGCCAGACCATGTGCCGTTGCCGCCTGCCATTTCCATAAAATCTACGGCATGGCTCGCCAAGGTTGGCGGGGTTAACGGGGGGCACGCGAGTTACCATAAAGTGTACTAACTAAGTGTACTAGCTTGGGTACGCCATGTGCGGTGCCATGCATTCTAAACAGGTATAAGGGCCAGGCACTGGGGCTAAGCGAATGCATCTATGCAAGCCACTGAGCCCGTAACTAATGCCTCGTCTCATGAAGGTCGGAATACCAGCATGGGAGTACAAGATACGAAGTCTGATGCTATTCAGGCCAGAGCCAGTCATACAGCATGAACGTTGGGCTATCCCACCCGCACTGGCGGACCATAAGGTTGCGGCAGTGTGCAATACACATACCTGTCGCAGTGCTCATAATGGCCGAACCGTCGTTTCCGTAGAACGAGCCGCCGGTGATTTGTACCTTCATCATGGCTGGGCTGGACGGCTCCGACCCAGGGGTCGGCGAATTCCGCTGGTGCAGCACGACAGCTCCCAGGGTGCGACCCGTGACGGTAGGGTACTGGGAGGCGTCAACTAGGAGGCTGTCCCCAAACAGGTTCCCTCCAGCCGCCTGCATTTGATGGGCACCAGGATGCTATGAAAGACCAGGGTGCTAGCAAGGAAGGGCCGCAACAAACGGCTAGGAGTTCAAGGATAAGCAGGGTAACCCATACACGTACGGTATATCATGCCAGATCCAGCCCGCGTGACATCCGCCTAAACCAATTCTCAGTACCCCCCGAGCAAGTGCTCACCGCCTGAGTCATGTAGTACTCCAGCAGGGGGTATGTATACATGAGCCAGGGTGTCATTAGACGGAACAAGATTGGCCCATCGCCATATATGTCCACTCCCTGAGGCAGGCTGTTTTCGTCTGTCGCTGCTTGCCACAGTAGCTTGTTGTCGGCAACAGTGCAGTTAACCATGTCGACGCTGCAGCTTGAGGCGCCGTCGCACAACACGTATAAACCGCTCGTAGCGACACCTGCAAGTCGGCAAGTTGTTAACATGCGAGGGCAACTCCGGCCACCTGAACCTGCATAACGTACCTGTGTTGTTGCTGATTGTAACGTCCTCAAACCTGACGTTGCAGCCTGCATCGCTTCGTCCCCCGCAGATAACGGAGATGACAGCTTCCATGTCATCCGCCCACGGGCCGGCCTACAGTAGGACCGAGCGGCAACAATAGTTGTCGTTAGGCGTCTCAAATCGGGGAAACCCATGCGAGCTTGCATTCGTACCTCAAGCTCTGGTTGGGCGTTCCTGGCCCTCTCAAGCAGAGGGAGGGAGTAACCTGACGTTGAGCTAGCAGCTGCCAGCTGGCGGCGCTGCAGTCCGAAGCCGCTGCCGGCCGCTAGGCCCCAGGACAAGTCAAGGACAGCGCTCGTCGCCCCGGCGGCCCTCCGCCAGGGGACCGACGTGCGTGCACGCCCCTGCTGCACTGCCTCCGACAAGCTGCGAACTCCGGAGGCTTGCCGTCCCATGCGTGGGGACCCCAGGCGGCCTGCGAGGGTCATCCGACGAGGGTATGCTACTTCGGATAGTCCAGGCGTGTAGGCTGTGCCGGAGCCGCTTATGTCAATCGGCCCACTTCATTACCCCTAGACTACGCCTGTCCTCCCAGGTCCAACGGGTGTAAGGGACATGGGGCCTCCGTGCTGGGCCCTAGGTACCCAAAACCCCCATATTGCACAGCACTTCACCGTTGGAACTTCTCCCCGGGCCTCTCATCTTTTACATGATAACACGCAGAGGGCTAAGGTAACTGACGAGATGCCTTTGCCTGCCAGCCCCGTCCATCAGCCCGTGAACATTCACTATCGACGGGAACGTGGGTGGAATGGTTTACATGCTCTAGCAATTTGGAGTCACCCCCGTCCCAACCGCCCACCAACATCTATACTAACCCCAGCCCGTCGGCTACACAACATGCCCCTACCTGGTAACCCAGTTGCGCCAGTGGCAGCCGGCTTTGTGCCATCCTCCATATCATCGGTTTCATACAACCGACGGCCGGACGGTGGCACCGAGGGAGGAAAGTCCGGTGGAGTCGCAGGCGGCACCCCGGGAGGCAACGAAAACGAGTTACCCGCGAACTTTGAGTTGCGGATAGTCAAGGAACCCGAGAATTCAATCGCATGAATGGCCAGCGCGGCTGTGGAGTCCGAAACCCTTTCTGGGTTACCCGGAGACGACAGGTCCACTCGGCCGGAGGCCTGCGCGGTCCACAGGTATACGTATCAACCCGCAGGCTGCAATCGCCCTAAGTCCCCTTGCGAGGGCCCACGCTTACCAGAACACGAGAAAAATTATGGAACACGCTGTCTGTTATAGTGACGTTGGCGGTAGTTTTAGAAACTATGCGCAACCCAGGGCACACGCAGTCCTGTAACTGAACACCGGAAAGCAGAATGCTGCTGCCACTGAACTCGATAAGGTTCGCCATTGATGCCGAACCGCAGCGCAGCACAGAAACCAGGCCATCTCCAGCTGAAGCTGCTCCTTGTATTGTCACGTCTATTGTTAGATTTAATGGAGTGTTCAACACCAGCGTTGTCGGTGGAAGCAGAAATACTACACGATGGTACCCGTCCAGGGCTGCACTCGCCGCCTTATTTATCAAGTCTAGTTCGTCTATAACATCGTAGGTCTTCACGGTCTCGGTAAGTACTCGGCGGGCACGTTCCTCCGCGAAAGCTTTGGAAGCCGAACAGAACGCTGAGCCCAGGACTACGACCAAGAAACCTATATTTAGCATGCGACCCAGAGGGCCAAGCATGGCTACAGTCGCAAGCAATTGGGCCCCAAGTGGTGTCTTCCAGCGTTGCTAGAGCATGCTTATGTTCGACTCGCGGTAAGCCGATTGTTGTCTATTAATATTACACTGCGTTTGACGTAAAAAAGGCCTTCGAAATGCTACTATAGATAGAGGCGAACAGAGGCCGCGTAATGTGCCAAGTAGCGGGCCCTTGGTAACTTGGCAATGGTTGTAATATTACCCTTCGGTTTTTCCTTATTGCAAGCATATACGTTATTCTCTGAGCTTGAGCAGGTCAACTGAATGTACTGTACTAGCTTCTACACCAACCGTACCCGTGCCATACAGCCCAAAGGCAGACCCAATTAATTGGGTTCCAGCAAGCCTGCATAATTTTTAGCGGGATTATTATATAATGGTATCTTTTACTAGCACTAGGCCGGAAGCATTTCGTCCTACCTCAGGACGTCCCAGAGCGTTGTTATTCGCAATAGGGACAGCTCGCTTACAATTGCGCTGGCAAGTAATGCATGTACCTAATTCGGTCCTTAACCCTATAGCCCGGCGCCAATCCTTTAAACCGACCCTTGTACGTGTTCGCGTTGGCAGCACAACAATTAAGATGTCTTCGGACGTGCATGTAGACATCGTTTGCATATGTGATAGCGCGTCCATAGCGCGAATAGAAGCCATACCAAAGTTTTAGTTAGCGTTATCCTCCTGCTTCATTGGCACTCACGGATAGCCGCCTTCCAGACTCCCAATTTGCACCCACATACTGTATAGCGGTACACAATGGTAAGAGATGTCATAACGTTGTCGTCCGAAGCTGGCTACTATCCCGCACTCCCGCTCGCTTAGCCGGTATTAAGTGCTGCCGCTCAGATTGTTGCCTCCTGGTGCTGACGGCCTGCTGCCATTCTTTAATATTTTGTCACTGTTAGAGTTTGAGGCGGTATGCTTGGTTCCGGGTTCACGGGCAACGTACACATACACGGCCACACTGGGGTTTCTAACAGCATTGGGGAATTATGAACGCAACTTCTAGTAGTCCGTACTATGCAATTACCCCGTTGTATTGTTCTTAAAAATGGTACAGTGCAACTTCAGTGGGCTTGCCTGGCGAAATAACAAGGACAAAGCAGGCAAGGCTTCGACTCTGGGACATATCCGAAGGTCCGCAGGTCTTTGAACAACAGCCAGGGGGGGGGGTAGGATCTTAGGAAGCGCAATAATAGACCCCAACCCTCAAATTGAAGGCGCTTTGCGTCGGGACTCCGAATCTGCTTTCAGATATTTATTTGGAGCTGTACCAGTGGGGTCAAAGACCATACCAAACCATAGGAGACCACAAGTAGGAGGCGCAATAATAGACCCCAATCCTCAAATTGAAGGCGCTTTGCGTCGAGACTCCGAATCTGGAGCTGTACGGAAAAAGTTATGGGCTTGCAAAGTTGGTTGTACGGCAGGGGTGGGTGGGTGGGTTCAGGGCCCCAACGACTTTTTTACATGAACCTCCGGAATATTTTCTCCAGGCCTCATGTTAGGGTTTTGAAAGCTGTATTGCCATCCTTTCTTCGTTTCTTATTCGTAGGATTAGTTCTATCAACAAAATGGTCTCTTCTCGGCTTCCGATGTTCCAATGACACTTCACCTCTGAACCACGGTAGCCGAACGGAACTGCCCGATCCCCAAACGTACAAGATACAACTTATGTAGAAAACATATATTGCGAACGCGGCTAGTCGGCCCTTTATAAAGCCCTAGCATAGCAGCGTGTCGCATGTCCCCATGGATGTGGAACACGACTGAGGATGCGGGGTTGGAGTAGACAGACTGAGCTGCGAGAAAGCACTTACAGTGACCACGAATGGGGTGGGGATGCAGAGCACAGAAACAAGAAGGCGTGGGAATTGGTGCCAGGGGCTATGGTCGAGGGCCCAGTGCCACAGGGGGAAGAAGAGGCAGGAGCAGGGACCTGGAATGTGGTGGCGCCGTTGTCTCGGTTGGTGAAAACAGAACTGGCGGTGGTATGGCGCAAATGGAAGGGCCGTGGTGCTTCCTAGGCGCCAAATACATAACATCAGTCAAGCTGGGGCCAAAAACATGTTTACCTTAGCCGTCCATAGTGCAACGCTGTGACATTCACTTCCCAGGGGGTTTTTCGACTGCATTTAATAGAGCTTGCGCAGAGGAACCTAGACGCTTTTTCCCCGGGCGTTTTGGCATAGTTTACAGGCCGCCGCCAGCGGCGGCGGTGTCGCGCCCCGTTACCGGCATGTGCATTCTACCGGCATGCCTGTACGGTTAATAGTGCTTGTCTCGCAGCTCAGTTGTGTTATGGGCGTGGTTCAGCGTATGTATGTTACAACCTGTTGTGCTAGCGCCTTTATCTTGGGTGTTGCCGGTTTCTGGTAGTTGTGAGTACGGCGTATCGGGCATATCTGCCGTACAGCCGCCGCTTCTCTTAGACCGCGCAGCCCCGTGACTCGGGGCTGCGCACCTCTCGCAACCAACGCAAGCATGTAACGACGGTGTTTGATCGCCACCTGTCGTGGCCCTGCTAGCGGGTCACCGGCTTGCATGTGACGTCGTGCGTAGCCATATCTTACTACCAGCGTAATCCGATAGCCATAGCAACCAAGGATAGCCGTAATAGTTCGTTGTAGTCTAGATCACCGTCCCTCACAGGCCTGGTCAGCTTGTGGCCCAGTCGCCTTGCGGTCGGACCCCAGCCAATGGCGCAAGGAGGGCTGGGCGGTGCTACCTAGACCCCGCAAGGTTTAGGTGCACCCCCTTCCTGCAACAGGCAGGAAGCGAGCGCGGGGACCAGAGGTGCGCAGCCATCGACCTGGCTGGTGGAGACGCCAATCTCGTCGAGACCGCAACCGCTCGTTTCGGTAAAGTTCTGGTTCTGGGGATTACGGTTAATATTGGGCTATTGGCTTGAGGAGCGCTCCTTTACTTTACGGTTGCCGGATTTTGCTGACGAGCATCCGCGCATCTGCAAGCGAGACACCCAACGACGTCTGCGGTCGGTTGTGGTACTCGAGCAGAAACTGGCTAATTGCAATGCGTGCATTAGCAGCAGCAGCGCTCTGCTTTGGGCAGAGTAAGAGGCCGCGGTGTGCGGTCTGGAGCGTGCAAGCCGGATGGGAGGTCCGTTACGCGAGTCGCAACTCGTGATTGCACGCAGCACGTTAGAACTCGTACTTCTATTCTGCGCTGAGCAGAGTAAAGAGGCCGCGGTGTGCGGTCTGGAGCGTGCAAGCCGGATGGGAGGTCCGTTACGCGAGTCGCAACTCGTGATTGCACGCAGCACGGTGATAGCAGCACTCTGCTGTGAGCGGAGCTAGAGGCCGTGATCTTTCTAGGCCTACCTTACGACTCCCCCATGTGCACGCCCCTTTCGTGTTACTTGCTGCCCGCAGGGTTGGCTTCGAGCGGTGCAGAGTGGGAGCCGCAGCCCCCCATGGAGGAGCAGCCAGCAGTGGGGGGGAGCTGAGCGGTCCTCCGCCGCTCGTTGTCCGACCCTGTTGGTGCAGCACACCGGCTCCATCCTACCTGGCGCGCCGCAGATCAGCGGGAGCGGTTCAACCCAGCTTGGAGCGGGGCGTGGTCACGTCCAGCGCGGCCAGGGGGCTCTCGGGCTAGACGGGGCTGGGGGACATCAGCGAAGGAGGAAAGGAGGCCGTGCGTTGATGAGGGGGAGGAGCAGCTGGGGTGGTTGAGGACTAGGGCTGGAGCAACGGTTGGGATTAGGGGGCGGCTCGTCCTAGTCGGCGGACTGTGGTCGAAGACTAGGGCTGGAGCAACGGTTGGGATCAGGGGGCGGCTCGTCCTTGTCGGCGGACTGCGGTGAAGACTAGGGCAGGAGCAACGGTTGGGATTAGGGGGCGGCTCGTCCTAGTCGGCGGACTGTGGTGAAGACTAGGGCAGGAGCAACGGTTGGGATCAGGGGGCGGCTCGCTCTAGTGGGCGGACGATGTCGGAGGCTAGGGCTTTGAGCAACGGTTCGGACTAGGGGGCGGCTCGCTCTAGTTGGCGGACAATGGCGGAGGCCAGGGCTTTGAGCGACGGTTGGGATTAGGGGGCGGCTCGCTCTAGTCGGCGGACGCTATTGTGGAGGCTGCAGATGTTGGGGCGTACGACCGCAGCAAGCACCGTTGCCTTGCTGTGGGCGACCTGCTGGTGGGGTGTTGCAGGTTGTGGTGCGCTCGTGTCACTGCAGCGCGTGTGCTGAGGCGTAGATGGGGGCTTGGCAGCCTGGGGTGATCATGTCTCTGGGTGCATGGCCCGACTTGGCGCTTCCTAATTGGCTTGATGGCAGAGCAAGATGCGCATTAGCTCAGCGAGATGGCTAGCTAGGGCAGCCCGTCGGGCTGGGTGTTACTTGGCCGGTGGTCACTAGTAAGAGGCTGGGCTCTGCAGCGTGCCTCAGCATGCGGTTCGTGTTGGACATGTGCAGGGGCTTTCTTTACAGCAGGGCTGGCGGCGCATTGGGCCTGTGGGAAAGCCGGGGGCAGTGGTCATGCCCTTGCTGCCTAGGGTTGGATCAGGGGGGGCAAGGCGCCGCCGCTCGGAAGTAGGGCCAGCATCGTCAGGGCCGGCGGCGGTGGTGGCGACAGAGTACAGTGGCAGCTGGGCTCGGTTGTGTTGTGGAGGGGGCCGTGTGGTGTACGCAAGGGTGCAGTACTTTGGGGCACTCGTGAGGACCGAGTGCGTCTTGGTGGCGCGGGTTGATGGAGGCCTGGGGCAGAACACTCTGGCATGTATGCGTGAGTGGCTCCCCCAGTGAGTGGGAGGCCGGGATGCAGCGGGACTTCGCCCTCTGGGGGTGACTCGGCCTGCGGGCTCCAGGCTCAGGCCCTTTGTGGGGCCGCTGGGGGCGCTGTGGGGCTGGGACTGTATCTGGGGGGGCGAGGCTCCGTGTGCTGATGTTGAGGCCCAGGAGTGTGTTGTGTAGGAGACGGCCGCCAGTGCACGGTGGCGGGCTGGGGTTGCTGAGGGAAGAGGCGGTGTAGGATTGGTTTGCAGATTGTGGGTTGCCGGGCAGGGCCCGGCTGGTGAAGCAGAGGTGCAAGCTAGCGGAGAGGTGAACTGGTGCTGCCGAGGGGATGCTCCTGACCGGTAAGGACGGGTGGCTCAGTGGATTGCATGGACGGCACGTATGGTCTGGGTGGATGACTTGCTGCTGCGTACGAGTGACATGCCCTATTGTGCTTAACGGGTACGGTGGTGTGAATCTTTATGTGCGCTTTGGTTCCTGTCATGCTCTCGTCTGCGCCGGCGTGTCCGGGGTCCTGGTGTTACAACCAACCCCAAGCCAAGGTTTGGTTTGGTTGTGGGGGGGAGTGTGGACCCCGGTGACGCTAGATGATCAGGCCGGTGTGTGGGCGCGACAGCTGTCGCGCCCCGTTACCGGCATGTGCATTCTACCGGCATGCCTGTACGGTTAATAGTGCTTGTCTCGCAGCTCAGTTGTGTTATGGGCGTGGTTCAGCGTATGTATGTTACAACCTGTTGTGCTAGCGCCTTTATCTTGGGTGTTGCCGGTTTCTGGTAGTTGTGAGTACGGCGTATCGGGCATATCTGCCGTACAGCCGCCGCTTCTCTTAGACCGCGCAGCCCCGTGACTCGGGGCTGCGCACCTCTCGCAACCAACGCAAGCATGTAACGACGGTGTTTGATCGCCACCTGTCGTGGCCCTGCTAGCGGGTCACCGGCTTGCATGTGACGTCGTGCGTAGCCATATCTTACTACCAGCGTAATCCGATAGCCATAGCAACCAAGGATGCACGCCGCTGTCGACACGCTTGGCGGTGGGTGGGTGGCTCCGAGGCCTTCTCGTTGGAAATTTCGGGTTGGGGTTATAAGGAAATTTCTTACCCCCCCTGCAACAGCCGCAACTTCCCTTATTTTGCTGAATATTTTCGAACGGTTATTGCCGTACAAGATGCCGTGCTCTTATGTGAGGATGTTGCTGTGGCAAGGTTGCCATGTCCCCTTATGACGAAGCCCAGATAATGAAACAGGTGACCGCAAATAACTGTGACTGCAGAGCTTGAGCTCGAAGCAGGAGGGGTAAAGGATGAGAAGTAAACACTGGAATCCTGGTAGCAGGAGGGGAGATGGTCGGTGGACAGAGCTTTAGGTGGTTGCAACGGGCGACCCGTGGGTCAGTGGAATATTGCATTTTCGCTTTCTGCCCACTTGGAATGCGAAGCTTACAAGGGGGACCGGAGTTCCTGGAAGCCTGGAAGCCGTACAAGAGGCCCAATCGCTAGCAGTACAAGCTAGGCAGCCGCGGCAAAGCAAACTACCCCAGGGACATGCCCTGCAAAAAGCACGGAGCCATGCCAGATACATGGCACCAAAAACCAAGCCCGCAATGCCACAACACCACAAACACCAAGCCCGCTAGGGGAAACCGCTAGCCCGCGAAACAAGCAACAATGGAAAAACAAACCAGTGTCAGGGGGAGGCCGGCGGGGACGCAGTGTCAGGCGGACCAAGAAATAAACCGTACACGGCCAGCCACATTGGCAAGGAAAGGGTGAACAGGACACACAGTCCCAGCCTCGGGGAGGCCACCTAAGACAGCAAAGGACTGGAGGCGGGACCAGAAATCAGCAACGACATGAGCACCCTACACAACAAGAGACCGTCTGGACAGGGTGGGCCGGCCACAGTTGTCAGCATACATCCACCTACGGGCCTGTTCAAGAGCCGAGGGAGCCCACGGGTGCACCTAAGGCCTCGCCCAGGGCCTCACGAAAGGTTCGGGCCACAAAGCACTCCCAAAACAAGTGTAACCGATCTTGAGCCACTCCAAGGGCGACCAGGGGTGCTCCACACGGGCAGACCAAGGTGCTTCCTTGTGTTGATTCTCCCAGCGCAGGCGCCACAGCCGCGCCGCGCCATGGCGCCAAAGTAGACCGAGAATCAGCAAGGAGTGCAGGGGGGCAATCGGGGGGCCCGTAGGCCTCCGCCACAAAGGCGGAATGCTTAGCAAGGAGTTCGCAGTAGGCAGGGGCGAGCTGGAAGTGGGTGCATCGGCACACACTGAGGCGAAGCAGGGGGACGGCGGTCGGGAAGGGGGGCGTGGGGCGCCACACAAGCGCACGGGCGAGCACCCGCCAGGCCTCGTCGGCCGGCACGGCAGCCGCACCGTCAGCCGCGGCCGTCACCGCAGCAACCCCCCAGGGGTGCGGGATCTGGAGCAGAGGAGGTGGAGGCGCCGGAAGGCATGCCAACCCGACACCAGCCGGTGGGAGAACTCCAGACCAGCAGGGCCAACACTCCATGGAAACAAGGCAACGGAAGACCCGAGTACATTGCCGCAGCAGGGGGGGAAGAGGAGAAGGCTGGTCCGTGGGGGTGAGAGCCGCCGCAGCGGAAGCAGGGGAGGGCAAGCCACGAAGCCAGCTTCGAACAGTGATCCCGATGGAGGTGAAGGCGTGAAGGGCGGCACGGTCGGGGAAGGCGGTCTTCAGGCCGGCACCTTCGGTGGTCAGCAGCGCTGCGTTGCCCCACAACGGAACAGAGGAGCACCAGGAGCACCAGGGGCCAGCAAGCGCAGCAGGGTCCGGGATGTGGAGGGTGCTAAGGGGCGCGAGGGCACAGGGCAGGGGAGTCAGCCGGGATGGGGCGGCCCAGGACTGTCCGGCCGGCGGTGGGCATGAGGACGCAGAGAGGGTGAGCTGCGGTAAACAACGGCGCATCATAGTCAGCGCAACCCGCACCCGGGGAGGAGTAACGGGCAGGATGCCGCAGGCACCACTTCCAAAGCGCACCGCAGTGGCAGCCTGGCGGGCGCGGACGTGCTGCACCAGGGGGAGGAGCCCAAAGCCGCCAGCAGCAGGAGGCAGTGCGAGGCAGCCGAGGCCGACCCCGGTGAGGCGCTAATAGGGGGCAGTAGCATGCATGCTGGGAAGGGGACAAACGGCGATTGATGACAGCACCAACAGCCCACTTGGCGGCCACGTCACTGTGGCGTAGTCGTGATCGCTGACGACGGCTTTGCCGTACGTGCTATCTCAGTGTGTTTGCCTGCCCGCTGACGACGGCTTTGCCGTACGTGCTATCTCAGTGTGTTTGCCTGCCCGCAGTGTGCGGGTGTCGCATGATTCCTGATCATTCAAGTTCGACGTGAGATGGTTAGCCAATTTAAATTGGCTACAATACTTTGTATAACTCACAGGCCTGGACGGAGCAAGAGGGTGTCACGCCCCATCGCTGTTTCTGCACAGATCCTGCCACAGGGTCAGTCCCCTCATGGTGGGTTGGGTACTGCACTGAAAAGGTATGGCGCGGATGGGGATTTCGGATATATTCTTGCTGATAGACTGCTGAAGGCCGCTAACTGCTACCGAGTCCGGAACGGCGGTCGGCATCTGGGCGTAGAGTGCTGGGCGCCTTGCCAATGCCAGCGTGCGGTGTCGCCGAAATGCTGCTGCCAGTGATGCATGACAAGGGTCAGTGTGTCGCATGGGAGTGTTGCTGCATCATCCTGGATGCATAGCGATTCAATCAGTACTGTCATGTTTCCATACGGTCAGTTGTGGGCCCTACGTACATCATGCCACGCTTGGGCTGCCCTGGACGCATAGCTGGTCGCGTGCTCACCAGTCGGTGCTGGAAACATTCCTATTCCGTCGCATGAACATGCACAATGGTCATAGAAGGTCGCTGTGATAAGCCTTACAGGCAAGCTTTGCGAGGTATTCCGACCAACCATTACACGTCCAACGTATGTTTGGACGCAGCAGTCCGTATAAAAGAATGGCGACGTTTCGGATGGCGGAGGTCCATATGACAGCCGCACACTCAACGGCTACCATCGAAAAACTTCCCGGAGACCCAACATGAGCACATCACAGCGCCCAACTGAGGGCGCAAAAGACAGTACGATATTGTTTCGTACAATCTTGCTCAAGAAGCCAATTGACCAGATACCACCAGAAAAAATTCTTAAATCCAAAAACCTTCATCACCAAACAACAGCCAACAAACCAGCCGGCCTTAACCGGCTAAACACTGCAAGCGAACTGCACAGCCCACCGCAATTTACATCTTGCCGGCCTTGAAGGCCGCGGCCATGGCGTTGAGCGCCGAGCCGTTCTTGAACCAGTTGATCTGGTTCTCGTTGAAGGTGTGGTTCACGGGGATGGTGTAGCTGGAGCCGTCCTTCTTCTTGCCGGCCAGGGTCAGGGGCACGCCGGGGGTGAAGGTCTTCAGGCCGAGGATGGAGATGCTGTCCGTGGGGTCGATCTTCTCGTAGTCAGCCGGGTTGGCGAAGGTCAGGGGCAGCATACCTGAGGTGGGGATAGAAAGCGAGGTCAACGTAAAGGCAACAACGCATGATACCGTGCAAGATCGACGTCACTGAGCAAAGGCCGACGGTGATTTGGATGACGGAGTGGAAGCCATGTTCCCACGCATGCACGCGTCATGCTTAAAAGGAGCCTCTACTTGCTTTACAGTAGTAAGGGTAGGCAATAGGGTAAAGTAATGGTAAGCACTAGGGTATGACTAGGGTATGACTAGGGTAGACATGGCGGAGGTACCTGCCAACTCCAAACCCACTGCAATGTGAAGACTTACCCTGCTTCTTGAGGTTCGTCTCGTGAATGCGAGCAAACGACTTCACGATGATGGCGACACCGCCCAGGTGGCGGGGCTCCAGCGCGGCGTGCTCGCGGCTGCTGCCCTCACCGTAGTTCTCATCGCCAATCACCACCCACGGCAGGCCGCGGGCCTTGTAGTCACTGCGAAGCAGGAATGACAAGAAGCAACGTTAAGCAGCAAGCTAGGAGCCACGGAAGACAAAATGGCTACTCTAACCAGGTCCTCAGGATTTTAAGCCCAACAGCCCATCCTATGGTACTCACCGGGCAGTGGCGGGCACGGCACCCTCCTCGCCGGTGATGAGGTTCTTCACGGCGTTGGGCTTGCCGTTCTCGATGTTGATGGCACCGATGAGCATGTTGTTGGAGATGTTGTCCAGGTGACCGCGGTACTTCAGCCACGGGCCGGCCATGGAGATGTGGTCGGTCGTGCACTTGCCCTTGACCTGAAAGGAGGAAGAAGCGGGAGGCGGATTAAGGAATGTAGCAAACGCATTGCATTTGCAAGGAACAAAGGGAACCGAACCGTAACAGGACAGGCTTCAATGCGTAGAGCTCAACGAGACTCAGCAAGCCAGCGCACCTTGATGAGGACGGCGGCGTCCTTAATGTCATCGCCGTTCCAGGCGTTGAAGGGCTCCAGCAGCTGCAGGCGCTGCGAGGCGGGGTCCACCTTGACCTGCACCTTGGTGCGGTCCTCGGTGTTGGTGGGGGGCGCCTGGTACACGTTGGCGCCGGCATCGAAGCCGCGAGCGGGCAGCTCATCGCCGAAGGGGGCCTCCAGCTTAATCTCCTTGCCGTCTGCAGACACACAGAAGGGCCGTGTTAGAGCCGTCATCCCAGGGTAAAACACATAGCTCTTAACCAAATGTCATTCCCCGTCGAGGTCTCAATTAGCAAGAGAAATGCTCCTTAATGCGCGCTACCCATCAAGTACTTACCAGCGCCGACCAGGGTGTCCTTCTCGGGGTTGAAGGTCAGGTCACCAGCAATGGCGAAGGCGGTCACCAGCTCGGGAGAGGCCACGAAACAGTGGGTGGCGGGGTTGCCGTCGTTGCGGGCAGCGAAGTTGCGGTTGAACGAGGTGATGATCGAGTTAGCCTCGCCCTTGGCAACATCCGTGCGCTTCCACTGGCCAATGCAGGGGCCGCAGCTGTTAGACAGCACGGTCCCGCCAATCTTGTCGAAGACGTCCATGATGCCGTCGCGGGTGGTGGTGGCGCGGATCTGCTCGCTGCCGGGGGAGATGGTGAAGGGCACCTTGGCCTTGATGCCTGCGGCGGGGAAGCAAAAGGGGTGCAAGGTCAATAACATGTGCAACCCAGAGACATGCTGACCTGAACAACGAGAATGCCACGGTCCTGGATCCACGCCTAGCGTAAGCTGTAAACCACAACGACCACTGAATGAATTTATCCCTCAGCGGAGCAAGCAGTCTTATCGTCCAATCCCGACGTGCAACGTACCGGCAGCCAGAGCCTGGCGGGCCACGGACGCGGCGCGGGCCATGTCCTCGTACGACGAGTTGGTGCAGCTGCCAATCAGGCCGGCCTTCAGCTCCGTGGGCCAGTTGTTCTTGCGCAGCTCCTCGGCGAACTTGGACAGCGGGTGAGCCAGGTCGGGCGTGAAGGGGCCGTTGATGTGCGGCTCCAGCTCCGACAGGTTGATCTCAATGACCTGGTCGTACTGGGCACCCTCATCAGCGCGCAGGTTCTCCCTGGAAGAGGAATAAGGAGAGAGGAGACCAAACAAGTGGTTAGCTTACAATGAAACGTTTTACCCGCTAGGCTATGCGTGGCTAAGCATCAGGCGGCGGTCGCCAACCAAGATTTGCAACCGGATAAGGTGGTAACCCGCTCCAACTCACTTGAAGGAGTCAGCCAGGGAGGCAGCGCTAGCACGCTCGGTGGAGACCAGGTAGTCGTACATGCGCTTGTTGAAGGGGAAGACCGAGGTGGTAGCACCGATCTCAGCACCCATGTTGCAAACGGTAGCCATACCGGTGCAGCTCATGTGGTCGACGCCGGGGCCGAAGTACTCCACAATAGCGCCAGTGCCACCCTTGACGGTCAAGATGCCAGCGACCTGTGGGGAGATGCGAAAGCGCATGAAGGGACAGATGCATTCATGAAGCATTCAGGCAAACAGCCATCATCGACGACATTTAGGACATGCGGTAGCTTATATGAAGGCGCACCTTGAGGATGACATCCTTGGGCGAGGTCCAGCGGGACATCTTGCCGGTCAGCTTAACACCAATGACCTTAGGGGCCTTCAGCTCCCAGGGCAGGCCAGCCATCACATCCACGGCATCAGCACCGCCGACACCGACAGCGCACATGCCCAGGCCACCGGCGTTGGGAGTGTGCGAGTCCGTGCCGATCATCATCAGACCGGGCAGGGCGTAGTTCTCCAGCACGATCTGCATGCGGATAAACAGTAACCACGTTAAGCTGTTGCGAAGCAACTGCTACCCTCAAACAACATGGTCAGACTAGTCGACATGTAGTACGCTTTAATATATTTGCTGGATTGGCCAGACCTTGGCAGCGCTCACCTGGTGGATAATGCCGGAGCCGGGCTGCCAGAAGCCCACGCCGTACTTAGCACCAGCCGTAGCCAGGAAGTCGTACACCTCCTTGTTGATGTTGACGGCGTACTTCAGGTCAGCCTCGCCACCGTACTTGCCCTCCCTGACAAAGTGAGCAGGTAATCCGTGAGCATACTGGACAGCTAGGGATGCTTGCCCTAAAAAACAGAATAAAACCTAACGGGCTCACCTGTCCGGCTGAGGAGAGGTGGTGCCCTCAATGAGGTGATCGCAGTGGATGGTGGAGGGCACCATGGTCTTAGGCAGACCGGACGAAATGAACTGCAGCATAGCCATCTGAGCGGTGGCATCCTGCATCGCCACGCGGTCTGCGCACAAAACCAGCCGTGTTAAGAATATGGCAAGACAGGCAAACCACATATAACATATAAGCCTGGAACACACCTGGGCGCAGCTTCAGGTAGGACACGCCGCGCTTCATCTCGGCAGTCTCGGGGTCATCGAGGTGACCATAGACGATCTGCGGGAACAGAACTTCGTTAGCGGCAATTCGATCAGTTTAGATAGAGGTAACACTTTAACATACCTTCTCAGCCAGCGTCATCGGCTTGTTCAGCCGCTTGCGCACCACCTGCGAGAAAAGAGAGCATGATGGTAAGACATCGGCGCAAGGATGCCGCTGAGAACCCAGTCGTTAAGCTTGAATGATGACTTACACTGAGGCGCTCCTCAATGGCCTTGTAGCGGTCGTTGAGGTACTCAGTCTGCTCGAACTTGCTCATCGGCACCTGTTTCGTCGTCTTTTGGTGAGAACCAAACCCATAACGCAACGGGGTTAACATACACATGCTTACCTTCTCGGCGGCCGCCGAAGAGTAGCAGAGAACATTCTGCCGCTCACCGCCCCGCAGGCCGAGGCGGACCTGCGGAGAGCACGCGGAGCAGGGAGTCGAGACACCATTTGAAATACACAAACAAAATAACCTAAAGATACATCTGTTAAGGGCAAGGGCGCCTGCCCTGGGTAGGAACTGCGTTGCGGAGCATCTTCCGGAAGAATGACAATCACGAGACCCAAGCGCTTACCGGCCCAAGCCCGAGCCGGGCCAATGGTTGCTGCTGCATGGTAACTGACTCTGTTGGCCGATGTCTAGGCCGGAAAGTGGGATGAGAATTGTGCAGCATGCCTTCTTTACTATGTCGGCTGTGGGCCCTACGTGGGGTGTCGGGCTGTTGTATCTGCGTAACCGCCCCAACCAATCAATAAAAGACCATGGTTAGCACCCGGAATCACTTCGGCTATGTTGTAGGTTGCATGCATGGTTTCCTTAAAACATTGTCGCTCACACTTGACCAGGGCGTGTTTTGTCCTTTCAAGCGAGCGCCTTAGTTCCGTAGAAAGTAATAAACATCTCGGAAGCTTGGGTTATGCTCGCGAGCGTTACGGCCGTCCGCCAAGGGCTCGGCGTTTGTGCTTGCCATGCATTGGCAGCAGGGTCGCGCGCTAACCTTTCGAAGCTGGAAGGGTTGCATCAGCGCGGCGGCGTAACGACCGAACAGGGTTAGTGCACCAAGCTCTCGTTAAGGGTGTGAGGAAGTTGCCCCTTGTGCGAAACAGCCATTACTGTGTCCAGGGGACGTTTCGCCCTCCTGACAATAAACTTACGTCTATACACGTTAAGTATTGCAACTCCTTGTCCCTCCCCTGGCTCTCCACCTTGCAAAATCTATGGCATTCACCTTCCCTCGGACAGCTACAATCTGTAGGCCTTTACGCTGCACTTTGATAAGTAATTTAGCCCATTAGCCCTCTGGTACACCGCAATATCTTGGTTGAGTTGCGAATGCAGAGATTAGGGCGACGCAAAACGACCTTCACGTGCGGGCGGTTGCATACGGAAACGCTTGTCTATACTGACTTTTAAGATCAGTCAGGGGTAGGGACTTCACACACATGTGTGCTATTCCGACACGTGTACCGGTAGCTTCGTCGTGTAACATAAAACGTACCCGCTCAGGCTGACCCGGCAAGGAGTCTTTCTTATGCCGCACCCGCGACTGGCCCATGGGTCGCCATGCTGAGCAAAACTCAGCCCAGCGTATCTCCCACTGGCGTGCGGTGGCTCATGCCTTAAGATGTACTAGCGTTTGCAATCCAACCTAGAGTGACATGCGAGCGTGCCGGTCCATAAACGGTTGTGGGATTGACTACATGCCGCCGTTGTCCTTAGTTCCATGCTTCCATGCAGTCTGAAACACCACGAGTCCATGGCGGCTACCGTACATAATCTTTTATGACGAACTTAAGCAGTCACCCTTGGGCAAAGGATACGGAACATAACTAAAGCCTTCAGTGGAAACTGCCTGCATGCCGCATGCCCCGAAAGGTGGATAACGGGTCACCGGGTCTGGCACAGCCAGGGTATGCAACACCGCTCGGCAAAACAGTAAGGAGCAAACTGGTTGCAGGTTTGTACACAGCCCACGGCTCTACGCAACAGCGGTTGCCGTGGACTTCGATTATCACTGCCATACGCAGCGGATGCAGGTCAGCCACCTGCCAAAGTTTGGCCCGACGGTTGGGACAGAGTGAGCAAAAGGAGCGGGGTGTCATGCCCCATCACCGGCAGCGGCATTTCGGCGTGACACGGGCCGTGACAGGGGTACTTCCCCTAGTATGGTGGAGGGAAGCTGGGAAGGGGTGAATGGAGACGCAGGATGCTGTTTGGATCAGGGGCATAGTGTTGGAAGTACGAATAATCTAAGTCAGTAACCTATCATACCACGTGAACCTTTAACAATTGGCTGTAGCATGGTAGGCAGCCAGACGGCCGCTAAGTGTTACGGAGTCCGGGAAGGCAGCTGGCATTTGGGCGTTGAATGCCGGTCGCCTTGCTGGGAGGAACATCATTGTGTGGTCGATGGTGTCGCCGAAATGCTGCTGCCGGTGATGGGGCATAAGGCTTACATAGCATCAGGTCCCAAAGTGATCCCCTCCTCGACCATATCTCCATTCTGGCCCAAAAGCTCCCAGTTGCAAGTGCCCCATATCCAGCGCCAGCGGCGGACAACCCTATTTGGCGCCGTTGGGCGCTTCTGTTGCTGACCAGCGACCGGTAGCATTGAGTGCGGGCTTTCTCTCTTTTAGGGTAAGCCACAGTGCCCGAAGTGGTTGTAGCTTGGGGGTGTGATGGCAAAGCGGCAGTCAAGGGAGTGGTGCCAGATAGCCCTGACTGAGGAGATCCACCACGCCCAAGCGATGCGGGTTCGCAAACACCCTACGGCAGGCCCTCACCCAAGCTCTGCAAGGCCTGTAACTTTCCCTATGTAGTTGGTTACCCCCTCTACTTTCTTGGCCCAAAACCATTCGCTCTTGGCGTCTACGTTAAGTACATTGGTCGTTGGGTGTAGCTGCAACGCTACTGGCTGCCTTGCAAGGTTCCATATGCCATCATTACGGTTGGTAACTTCTCTATTGACACGTCTCCTGTCTACCTTTGCGCGTTAAGCGATCCGTATCGGACTGAACTTTCATTTTGTCGAGCACGACAAGTCCTCCTTTATCATGGCAAATTTCCCCGATACTCCTGGATACACGGCTCGCCGTTTGCAAGTAGGATGATACGGCTTTCAGCACAACTTCATATAAAAAAGCTTACTTCACACCATGCCAGCAGCACAAGGCGTAATCCCAGAGCGAAGTAAGCGGGGTACCAAGAAGCGTTGTTGCCTGGCGAGGCGCGGCGTATCTTCTGCCTGCCCTTGTATGCAACAGTGTCCTTAAGACATGTCATATCGCCATGCTGAATTAGCTCTGGGTAGCCTGTAAATAGCAGGCAAAGCTTTGCGAGACAACAGGTATAGTATGTTAGTGTCCAACGAACAACGTTCCAGCCAGATGATGGCACCAGCCTTTACCTACGTTTCACTACGTCCATGTGGTATAGTAAAATCCAGGGCATTGGTACTGCTAATGACATAGCAACAGCTGCCTTCGGATATTTGGCTTTGTCCGGACTAATTCACACCCTTTCATCTCCCAAGCAAGCGCATTTCCGCATAATGCAGCATTGTTAGATAATTTGAGAGCTCGTGCTGCGACATTCAGTAAAGCCGAGTTGTTCCTGGCCACTGTACTTGCTCGTCCTTCGCACGTCCAAGCTCCCCCATTGGCATTTGGACAGGCAAATAATTAGCAAACCTGTTAGTGCATACATATTGGTTAGGTTCAGCGGAAGTATCTTCAGCCTTAGCAATAATACTTGAGAACCTGTCTTTGGCTTCGTGCTTTGGCGCCTGAACTTACAAAACTGAGCTAAGGACGACTCGCTGTTTCTAAAGTAAGTATTAACCTCCTGGAGAGTAAATTTCGCTCCTCACTGCATTCGTGACTTTGTGCCCATGGGCGAACGATACGCGCGGGTCAGCTCCAGTCCGACCATTATGTGTACTAGAAACCTCCAAATCTATGGTTGCTGGTTTTCTTTGCAGAGTGCCGCTCGTCCGGTGTTCCATCAGCCCGGTGTTCCTCTCGGGTTCCCTGCCTTCCCACTTATAACGGCCGATTTTGGGAGAAAGGTTAGCGATACAAATGAACCCTAGCACTTGCTTATTCCGCATGCTCAAGCCCCGGTGCTTGCGCTCCACCGTAGGCTGTATTGTGACTATGTCAGAAGGCAGGGGCGGAGACGCCGAGCAGTATGATAATGAGCTCCATGCGGACTCCTCGCAAGGGAGGGGCGGAGACGCCGAGCAACACAGCAGCGAGCTTAAGGTGGACGTCGGACGCTACGACGCTCGCTATGACCGCGTGACGCCCAGCCGTAACCAGATTAATCTGGAACGTAAGTTAGATATGGGCTTAGTGTCAACTTGCCGCTTTGGGAGCTACTACCGCGTGCCTAGACAGATAGGAGTAGTCCGCGACAAAACCCTAACTTGGCAGGGATAGGGGCACCTGCCAAGTACAAACCAGGTTTTCCCCGCGCATATTCTTTGGCAACGCCCTAACGTGCAGGCTTCGACGAGAAGACCCGTAACATCTTGAAGAAGTTCGACAACAACGGAGGTGGGTCTTATAGGTGCCGTGATAGGGTGCTGTTCGTGGCTGTGCTGGACCTGCGGCCCCGCGCCTGCTGAGGCCACCATGCTGTGCGCACCATGTGAGCTAAGGGTCTACGCCCCTCTTTTGCTGCCCTTCCAGATGGTCGCATTGACGCGTCGGAAATTCAGACCATTGTGTCCACGCTCGTCGCTGAGAAGTTCAAGTCGAAGGCATTCCGAATTGGCTTGATCATTCTCGGCGTCTTCACAGCGGTGCTCTTGGCTGCCATGTTTGGCTTGACGTGGGCTGTCGTGTCGGCGCTGAAAGACACGCAGGTAACGCTTAGATTCCAGTACCGTTGTACAGCTACTGCTATTCCGTTCCGAAACACCTGATTGCAGCAGCCCAAGACAGCGCCTCCTTAGTCTCGTTGTTCTTGCGACGCCGCCTCCTTAGCCTCGTTGTTCTTGCTTCTGAGACCCGCCTTTGTACACTCCGACTGCTGCTGTAGGTCGCTGGCGGGGTCCTGGTGACAAATGACAAGGCCCAGCAGACCGTCATGATTGCCAACAAGGACATGCTTGTGGTCGACGGCCTACTTGTGACGCGCGACACATCAGCTGTCGTGACGACGTCCGCCCTGCGTACGCGCGGTGGTATCAGTGGAGCCACGCCGTTTGACAAGCTGATGAGCATGCAATCCCTCGTGGTATGTGCACGGCGCAGGCGGGGCTGGGTTGGTGCGGTTTGACTGCCGTCTGTTCCTTGACAGGGCGGCTGCTGCGGCCTGTGCACTGCAAGGGATTGTCGAGCATCCAATGACGCAACTCAAACAAATGCCCTGTGCCCGTGTCGGGTTTTCCACCTTAACATGCTCCTCGCCCATCCTGGTTTGCCCCGCGCAGTTTACCACACCCGCTGGCGCCAACTACTCGGTCTCTTTCCAGGGTGTTGCCCGCATTCCGGACAGCAGCGACGTCGATGGCTACATTGTGAAGTTCCAGACATCTGCGGGTGTGCTGACTCTCGTGAACGGAACCTGGTCTGCCTCCAACCTGACCTCGCCCCTGCTCGAGGAGTTGTTCACGGCCATGGACGGCCATGGGCGCCGCCTGGTGGAGCAGCAGCACCGCACATGTGAGTCGTTGACCGTTAGGTTGGTGACCGTTTAGCCGTTGCAACTGATATTATGAACCGGCAACCTACGCGTCGTTTATACCCTGTTTTGTTGTTAAGTGTTGCCTAGTGCACTGAGACTGGTGAATGCACTCACCAATGCACGGCTTTTAGCGCGGCTTTGTTGTCTTGATGCTGATGGTGGATGTGTTTGTACGTCCTTGGTGCTGCAGTCGTCATCTGCGACTCTGGCGGCTTGTGCGGAGACCCCATCACCTGCGGAGAGTACGGCTACGACGATTGCCCCGACCTGCCGCCTCCCAGCACTGCCATTCCGAAGCCACCGCCTCCGGGTTCGTCTTCGAACACAGGCGCTACCCTGTACTCAGGCATGTGCAGCAAGTTTTCAACCTACGTCTACTCATGCGATGCGGGCGCAACCTTCTGCTATGGCCCAAACCCCTCAGCTACGCAGCTCAACAACTACTACTCACAGGGCGGCTGCATGAGCAACTGCCCCAAGGGTTGGGTAGTGGGCGACTCCTTTTTCTGCCAGGGAACCCCCGCGTATCGGTTCTGCTGCGTTTGAGGCGCTTACCTACTTGACGATTTACCTTATTCAAGCGATTGTACGCGCGCGCTTCTGAACGTTGACGGGGCCATTGTTCGCTGAGACAGGCGGCAGTGTCCTTACTGTCCTAAACGCTTGGATGCTGGAGCATGTTTTGTGATACACAGCTTAAAGCAGCAGCAGCAGCAGTGATTCTACCGTAAGCGTGCTTTGTGTTAACTTCTTGACGGGGCCCACTAGGGTGTGTCTCCTACTATTAAGTCCCCATAACTAAGTCAAGTCATCTACAGTGGGTGCCACCGCGTTGCTGTGCGCAGCACACGGCCCACGGTGTTACATTGCATCAAACAATTCATCTAGTTAGTTGGCATGTTGGTGCGTGTAGGCGCTAGCAGTATGAAGTGGTTGCGAATTTTCATAAGAGGGTCCCTGCTCTATCTCGTCCCGGTTTTAAGCGGCGGGTTTAAACCGGTTTTGAAAACATGATTTGCCTTCAATTGACCGGGGCTGTTGTGTCGTAGACTGTGAGCGCGTTGCCCATGTATTACCCCCCTTGTTGTGCGTCTGCATCATGTGTCTGCAGTCTGTTACGCTCGTGGCGGTTGTATGAAGCCTAAGTACTTCCAAAGCTCCTTGCAATGACGGCTGATGTATGAATAGAATTTGACAGTTTGGGACGAGCTCTGCTGTGTTTAGTGGCCGCTTTAGTAATATCATCAGTACCTGGATCTATGTGTAAAGCTCCTGGAATAAGTTGTTGCTGCTCACCCGTCGGGTTTAGCCTTCGCAGCCTGTCCTGTAACGCCGGAAAGCAGCATGTTGCAGGGCACGCCCCACGATAGCGGACCATGCTACGTCGCCTTGACCTGCCCGGCTCCTTCTTACGGTCCCCCTTGTCACCTTCGCATTCTATCGCCGCGTGTGGCTCGCTTCTGTTAGCAGAAATCCAAAACTGCATGCGCATGACTCTCGGCCAGACCTGCTTACAGCTGCACCACCGCAGTTCACGACGTAAGGGGCTTCGGCTCGTCGATGGACTGCTTGGTTGTTGGGCAGCGTCCGGGTTTCTGCGTCTGAATAGCAAACTCCCACCGAAGTGCATGGCGCCTTCGTGCTCACGAGAGCTTATGCCACAGTAATCCTAACCTAGCCGGCGGAAGCGGTACGCTTGCATGTGCATGGCAGCAGCATCTTGCAACCATGACTTCCTAGTTAACTAATTAAGTAGCCTTAAGGATCATGTAATTCCCCTATGTTCGGCCAACAGGGCGTCTGCCGGGGCTCTAGCAACAGGCTAGCAGGGGTCTAGCTCGTCGGAGAACATCGGTTTTACGACCGTACATAAAATACATAAACCTTATATAAGTGCAGTCCAGCATGCTTTTGCCGCTTCCCATGCATACATGTTACTAGAAGGGCGACAATATCCACCATCCGTCGGTCGACCCAACTTTGTACCCAAAATGGAGTATATAGTTGTAATTGTTGAGAGTGGCATATAACCTGCCAGGCATTCTGAATGTGAATGCCGGGATGAGTAATGGCAGACGGCGATAGAATGATGCTGCGTACGATACCCCCCCGGACGAGCGCCGAGCCGGCGAACGAAGACCCTTTTCACACCGCACGTATAGGTCAACCTTAGTGACAATAGCTAACTTGGGTTACCCTGTCAGCGCTTGGTTCCGACCAGTGCTCTGCATTGGTTGACCTCACCATGCAAGACCCCGCTTGCGCAAGGCATGATAGCTAACATGAAGCATTTTCACCTAATAAACGTCTTTTCCCTAGCTCTACTTGTATTCCTACAGAGCTGGGGTTTTCAGCCGCCCTTTGTTGACGCATCGCCCTCCATTGGCGACACCCAAAGCTGCCAGCTGTGCCCCTCTGACATCAGCCCTGTGTGCGCCAACGGTATCTTGACTCTGCAAAACGAATGTCTTGCGCTTTGTCAGGGTCTCCTGCTATTCCAACCGGGGCCTTGCGAAGGTAGGGTTTCGCCTGTTCGTTACTAATGGTTTCCATGCAGCGCCTAACGGGCTATTTCCCCGTTGCAGTCGACCCACTTTTCGAATCCCTAGCAGCACCTGAGGGAACGCCACCTCCCTCTCCAATAGCTGCGTCTCAGTCGCCGCTTGCCACCCAAAGTGGCCTGCAGCAGGCTGGCTCAACCCCACCTGCTGATGAGTCCGGCGTGGGGCGCAACCCGAATCCAGAAACCGTCAACCGCTACCGGTTGGAGGGCTATGTGTACTTAGGGAATGCTGGTGACCTGGGTTTCTCTGGCGTGCCTAGCGCGGAGAAGCAGGAGGCACACAGGCGGGCACGTCGAGCTCTGCAGGACGGGGCCCAAAGGTGCGAAGCATTGTGTGAGGAATACGGTCTTGGGAGCTACGTAATGGGACCAACGGGAAATGCTCCCAACATGAGTAGGGAGGTGTGACTGAACTAGCTGAGGCTGAGGCTTGCCGGAAGGCCCCATGCTTGTGCTGCTTCTGAGGCAAACCTGGCTGAGGCGACCTCCTTCAAACATGGCGCCCCGGTTAATCCAAGGACACGGCGGCACTAGCGCAGAACAGCGGGATCTGCCCTCAAACCTACGGCACTCCCAAAAACGCACACGTGCACTTGCCAGTGCCACTCATCCATGCCGGTTGCTTCCAACCGCCCACCTCTTCGTCTCCATCTCCCTTTTCCTCTGCGCTCAACCCCTCCGCGTTCCTCACCTCTCCACGATGCCCCTCTGCAGCAGCAGCAGTCCCGACGCCGACTGGGACCCCTCCAAGCTAGTCTACCGCTCCTTCCGCCTGCACAGAGATGGCTCTCTCTACGCGGAAACACAGCCCTGGACCCTCGCCGAAGCCTCCCTGCCTCCCTCCGGCTCCCGAGGCGGCTCCGCCCGCATGCCGCCCTCCCACCGCCGACAGCTAAGCGAGCGCCCAGGTGCACATGCAGCGGGCCGCAGTGGCCGGTCGCTGCTGCAGGCCGATGGGCGCTACCCCGTGACTAGCACCCACTACTGGCCGAACAACGCGCTGGTGCAGATGTACTTCCAGACGAGCAGCAGCTGGGAGGCTTGCTCCGGAACCTGGGTGTCAGGGTACGACATCCTGACCGCCGCGCACTGCCTGACCAACTGGGATACGCTGGAGACGTACCCCGTGGATAGCTACCAGGTGAGACCGGCGGGTGGAGGGGCAGGGCGGAAAGCGGAAAGCGGGAAAGAGGAGGAGAAGGGGAAGGAGAGGGGGTGAGCAAGAGCGGGGCGGGGGCAGGGAAAGCGCTTGGTAGCTGGTTTGGGAACGCTCGCGAGGGAAGGAGGCCGGATTACAAGGGCAATTGACGCGTCCACATGCCTCCCTCTAACACGACCGTGTTTCTCCGCTTACTGCTCCCTCATGCTGCAGATCCGCCCGGGCATGGACGGCCAGGATGTGCCGTACGGCACCTACCAGGCACTCTTCACCTCCTGGTATCGTGGCGAGTTTGCGATTGGGGAGCAGCCTAGCAGCGTCAACTACTACGATATCGGGATGATACGGGTGGCGCAGCTCTCTCCGGACTACCCGCTGCCGTACCACTCGTACATGGGGTACAAGTACGATTGCTCCAAGGTTGGTCTGTCCTTGTGACGAGCGTGCAATGCGTGCTAGTTGTGAATGAAACCATTGAATGAATAAATGTTGAAATGACTCGGATGGCCTCCCAAAAAGGTTGCTGCTGTGGGGTTACGGGTTTCCATTCGGCTGTGAACAAACCCACGGCAGCCGGACCCTGCTTGCCAGACGTCCTGCCAAGACAGGGCACCCAAGGACAACATTGCTGGCAGGGGTACGGCAACCAATGTGGGGCACTGCCAACAGCCCTCTGTTCCTCCCTGCTGCTCCACTGCACCGCAGAGCCTCTACAGCGCCACCACCTGCGGCTACCCCGTTGACAAGGCGGACGGCTACTACCTGGACGTGATGGGCTGGTACCAGTGGTGCTGCGACTTCAGCTTTGGGGGCTCCACATGCGAGCCGGGTGCGCAGGTAGGCATGCTTGCCGCAACGCACATCAGATACCACATGTGCAACATAGTCGCCCTTCGCAAAAAGCCAAGGCCACACCGGTACACATAACTATCCTCGTGCATGCGACATGGAAACTTATGGGCACATAACACAGTACCCAAGATGAAAGTAACCTCACACGCAATCCACCCGCTTCAAATAAAACCGGCGTCACCGGTATCGCTCCTCTTGTGCGCTCCCCCGTTGCAGGTATCCGCCTGGTGTAATGCGGTCGCGGGTCAATCCGGCAGTGCAGTCCTGGACTTGGCAGACCAGCGGGTGATTGGCGTCCTCAGCGGCAAGCCCACTGCCAGCAACAGCACCTCCATCTGGGCGCCCATCACCGCGCAGCATTTCGCGGCTCTGGAGCGATGGCGGTACGACGGAGCGGACCCGCTGCACCCCGCGCCCTCGCAACCCAGCAGCCCGCCGCCGCCGCCGCCGTTTGACCCGCAGCGCTACGCATGTGAGTGTCGTGGCCCCTCATGGCCCCTCATGGCCCCTCATGGCCCCTCATAGGACGGTACTAAAAGCAGCGCCCTGGTTGGCCTTCGCCTGCTTCATAGAGCCCATGGGGGTTGGGTTAGGAAGCCGCTGCCATGCATGTGTTTTGACTTTTGAGCAAGCGGTTCCAAGTTCGAGACCTCTGCTTTTGGTACAACACCGCCTCTTTGCGAATTGCGGCCCACGGTGCCCTCCTCGGCTTTCCTTGCAGGCACGACCCCTGGGTCAGTTCGACTGGTGCCGACAGGAGGCCTGGCCAGCCAGGGACGCGTGGAGGTGTGCATGGCTGACGTCATCGGAGCCTCATGTAAGCCTAGCGCGCGTACGGTATCAGCCGCCATGGCTGAATTGCAGTGTAGTTGACCTGGTGTTGCCGCATCATCACCACCCGAAAACAAGGTGCTCATCTTTCCTCGGTTCCCTTCTTGTCCTGATTTGTCCCTCTTATTCTCTTTCCCGCCCAATCTTACTGCACAGACTGGTGGACCAGCGTGTGCTCCCGAACGTGGGGCTATGCCGAGGCGGAGGTAGTGTGCAGGCAGCTCAACATCCTTGGCCAGGCCGTCCCCGCCAACGGCTTCTTCGGACCCCAGGGAGCAGACCAAAAGTACTTTTGGGTGAGCCGCTAAGCCCCTGATGCGCCCGCGGCATACTGACGCTGCGAATACGGCATTTGAGGCTGACATCGCTCTCATGTGGTACTGGAACGGCTACTGAATCGTGTGTGTTAAAATAACTGGCCGCGAGGCGAAACGTGAATCGTGTGTGTCTGTGCTTTGCACATACACTTAAGTGGTCAGCTTGCAGTTTGGGGCAGCCTTGCCAGCTCAACGTGTGCTGTGCACTGCAGGTAACCAACGTGACCTGTACGGGCGATGAGGCGACATTGGCTGACTGCCGTCAAAACGCCTGGGGCAACCTGGACAGTTGCAGTGCCGCGGAGGTGGCTGGGGTGGTGTGCGACTTCAAGGACGCAGGCAGCAGCGGCAGCACCCCTGACAGCATTGACAGCGCCTACCAGTACGCCTCGTATCCATGTAAGCTGCATTGGGGGGCGGCTGTTGGTGCGGTCATGGAGGCAGCAAATGACGGAATGAAGCGGTCCGCAAAGCTGCTACATGTTTGCGCCCTCTATTTTGTGCTCCTATAGCGTCATTTGCCTCGGCGTGTTTTTTGTAAGCGTTTAACCTCAACCGCTGACGGGTGAATCCCACTACTCAGGCGGCTCCGACTGGCAAGTGCGTGTGAACGGCACTGCCAGCGGTCGGGTGGAGGTTTGCTTGAACGGCACTTGGGGCAGGTGAGGAGGACCCGGGCAGTACCTTCGCCATGGCTGTACATACCATGCATGCCACTTTGCTGCTAAGTTGTTGCTGGCTACTACGTTACGTGGCGCGGCGTCAGCCGTACTCGTGGCGCCCCTTGCACTCCACCTTACACCGGGCTTGCGGTGCCTGCAGTGTCTGCGATGACGGCTGGGACGACCAAGATGCGCAGGTTGCTTGCCGCAACATGGGCTTCAGCTACGGAACCGCGCTGAACGGCGCGTCCACGGACAACGGGCCCACGGGCATGCGGGTGTGGCTCTCACAAGTCAACTGCACGTAAGTGTTGCACACAAACACACGTTCCGACTCGCCGCCAGTTTTCTTATCACACGTTGCTACCCGCGGCTAGTTCTCCGAGCACACGTGCGGCATGCCACGGCGCGCCTGTGCAACATCACCTGCGCATCCGCAGCATCCGCTGGGTACTGGCCTGTCTATGTAACGAATTGGTTTAATTGCGAGGAAAATCGCTCTCGGTCAACCCATCTTTCGGTGTCATTGGATCTTTCCCCATGCCGCCGCAGGGGAAGCGAGGTAGATCTGTCGGAATGTACGACCGACAGCCCCGTAGGAGCAACCCAGTGCACCCATGCAATGGACGCGGGCGTTTCTTGCTCCAACGATGCCCTGACTCCAGCTATCCCGTATGCTGCTCCCACTTGTAAGTACATTATCGTCTTTGGAACGCCCTATAGACACGTATGGAACTATGGATTCGTATCGCTGGTGCATGCCTTAAATGCCAGCCTTACTGACCCATGGGTCATCCCAACCTCGGTTGCACCCACCGTTGCGCCGTGTCACAGGCGACGAGGCGGGCGCTGTGCGTCTGGTGCCTGCTGAGGATGTGGCGGCGCCCGGCGGTGCGGCCGTCTCGGGGCGTGTCGAGATGTGCTTCAAACGCCGCTGGGGCGCAGTCTGTGCGGACAGCTACTGGGACGCGACGGATGCCCTTGTGGTGTGCAGGTGCGCGCGGGGCGGAGGGCAGATGGAGAAGCTGGAGGGAGAGCCTCATGGGAGGGCGGCTGTGGAAGCGTGGGAGATATCAGGCGTAGATGTGCGGAAGAGGACACCCTGTAAATTAACTTGGCACGTCGGCGAGCATCTGCTCTTTGCTGTTTTACGTTTCTTTTCCGCACTCCCTGGTGGCCCCATGTGCAGGTCTCTTGGCTACCGGTACTCGTACGTTGCCAGCACCACCAGCACGAGCGGTGAGCCCGTGTGGGCTCAGTGGGTGCAGTGCAGCGGCACCGAGAACGACCTGACTCGCTGCCTGGTCTGGGGCTGGCAGGACGTCGGCAGCTGTCCTGGCGGCGCGAGGGCGGCGGTGGCGTGCTCCAACTCCTCCATGGCGGTGCCGCCGCCGCCAGCTAGCCCCTTTGCTTGTGAGTTCAACAGACAGTACTGCAGTAGTTACACGGTCCAGTAGCCTAGGAAAACCCTCTACTGGTATGCTCAAGCACGCCTTTTCTTCTCTTTCCCCACACGTCCTCAAAGCATAATGTTTATGCCGGTAGTTGGCTTCCTCGCAGCTTTTGCACCCAATCCAACTCGTTATTGTTAATGTAACTCTTGGTGGTTGCGGCTGTTTCCAGGTACAACTGCCGGTGCCATTCGACTCGTGGGCGAGCAGTCGTACAACGACACGGCTGCGGGTACGGCAGGTGGCCGCGTGGAGTACTGCTACAATGGCCAGTGGGGCACCATGTGCCAGGTGCGGCCGCATGCAAGAGTCGCATGTGGCATGATAAGAAGCACGCTAGGGCAAATGAAAAGGACCTTGGTTCATACGGGTTCGCGATTGCATGCTGCCCCAGTGCCCATGACCACCGTACCAACACTGCGATGGCTTTACCGCTAGCTTAAATCTTGCCGTTAGCTTAGTTCAGTCTATGTCACGCTTTCCTCTTACCGTTACTTACTTTCCTCCGACGTGTTGCGCTCCTCAGGACTCCTGGTCTGCCCCAGAGGCCCGTGTCGTGTGCCGGTCCCTGGGTTACTCGTACGGCGGTACGGCCGGGAACGGCACCTTTGGGGCCGCTCCGCGCAACCAGCCGGTTTGGTTGTCGTACCTGGACTGCTACGGCAATGAAACTTCCCTGCGCGATTGCTACAAGTTCAACCTGCTTAGCAGCAGCAATGTGGAGGTGTCGGGCTACGTGGGCTTTCCGCAAGGCACACAGTACGGCAACATGGCTGGCTACTGCCCCCAACACGCAGCTGATTTGACTGTGAGGTAGGTACGACAAACCGAGGCCTCGCAGCGCCTGCTTGAAGCTTGATCTCTCCTTGCATGCTGCTAGTGCCTTTTTTTACCTGCTAAGGACAGTTATAGGAAGCGCCAGACGGACTGCCTTCTTTGCGACGTTCCAGTGCTTTGCATGCATTATATTTTGAGCAAAGATAAGTTCTGGCTAAATGCTTATTGTTATTCGTCCCGCTTCCGCAGGTGCTCCAAGCAATTCATTCCGCCGCCACCGCCTCCGTCTCCTCCATCGCCGCCGTCGCCACCTCCCCGGTCGCCCCGGCAGCCGCCCTCTGAAGACGGATGTAAGTTCCCATGCGAGATGCGATGCTCTGCTTGTACGATAATAGAAGGCCCTCTATCGAAGTCTTTCCCATCCAGCTGCCTGCCTTGCTATTGTACCGGTAGCTAGGTGTTGAGGACTTGCCTAACCTGCGCCAAGTAAATACATATTACGCGCCAGCTATTCGTTAACTTCGGATGAAAACAGCTTAAGAGGAATGAACTCTCCCGCCTACGTAATCCGCAGCATCCGTACCGTCGCCGCCGTCCCCGCCGCCGCCCTCGCCGCCCTCGCCCCCTCCACCCTACTGGAGCTCCCCGGGTTGCCCTGAGCCGGGGGCACTGCGGCTGATGGACGGTCCCAGCCCGCTTGCAGGCCGTCTCGAGGTCTGCTACAACGGTGCGTGCGCGATTGCCTGCTAGCTTTGCAATTAGATGCCAGTTCGCTGCGCGCCTTATCGGTTACCCGGTATGCACAAACACGATGCCTTCCCCATGCTCCTCTCCTCCAGGCATGTGGGGCACGGTGTGTCAGCCCAACTGGGACGACACGCTGACCAACATGGTTTGCCGCCAGCTGCTGGGGGGCAGCTCGTCCGCCTACGGCGTCACCGTCACCACCGGCTTCGCAGGCATTACCTCCGGAACCTTCCCGCGCTTCCAAACCGCCAACGCCACGGTTCCTAAGTGGCTGGACCCCGCCTACTTCCGTGGCTTGTGTTACGGGACAGAGCGACGTCTCGCGGATTGCGTCCCGCCCGAGGCATGGGGCAGGGTTAACAGCTCCTGCACGCACAATTGGGACGTGGGTGTAGCGTGCTGGCCGTCAAAGGCGGCCGTTGTGGCCACGCCTGTGCTGACTGCTCCGCCGTACGGCTGTAGCAATGAGATGGAAGTACGGCTTGTGAACGGCAGCACTCCCGGAATGGGCAGGGTTGAGGTAAGGTTGTTAACGGCTGGAGTTGACCGTTTACATCTTGAATCCTCATTTTCTTTCTGCCCAGTTCAGCTCAGCTGTTGGTTCAGCTCAGCGGTAGTTGTACGCATGCGGTAGCCGAGAACCAAGCAGTGCACGTAACTAGAGCTTCGTCCTTTTTCTCATGCCGTCATGCCCGCTGTCTGCAGGTCTGCAAGAACGGTCAGTGGGGTGTCATGTGCGGCGGCGGCCTCAACAACACAGTGGCGGCCGCCGTCTGCCGCGGCCTGGGCTACGCCGGCGGCGGCTACGTGAATAACATCCTCAGCGGCAGGCTGGGCGTCATGTGCGGAGACGCGGTCAACTGCAGGCCACTCATGTACGGAGGCCCAGCGCCGGGTCAGCCCGTGTGGGTTTGGAGCACCTCCTGTCCCCCGGGGGCTCGCTCCCTGTGGGACTGCACCCTCACCACCACGCGCCCGGCATCCGGCTTTTACGTCAACAGCACCGGCCAATGTACGGCGCCTGCACGTGTCGTCTGCATACACACAGACTTCCTGCCGCCTCCGCCCCTGCCGCCGCCGCCTCCGTCGCCTCCGTCAGTGCCTAGCAGCCCCGCGCCTCCGAGCCCCGCCCCGCCCCGCCCCTCACCTTCGCCGCCCTCACTGCCGCTCAGCCCTGAGCCTCCGTCACCAGAGCCTCCCAGTCCTGAGCCCCCTTCGCTGCCGCCGCCGCCACCACCTACTCAACCTACCAGCCCTGGCGTGCCGCCACCTCCACCACCTCCTGAGCCGCACGCATGGCCTACAGTGCCCATGTCGCCGCCGCCGCTGGCGCCCTCATATCCCACCACCCCCGCCTCACCCCCGCCACCCCCGCCGCCCTTGGCACCTTCGTATCCCACCAACCCCGCCTCGCCATCATCGCCCCCACCGCCTCCGTACTCCTCCCACCAGCCGGCATCCATGCCGCCGCCCCCCGCCCCAGACCGCAACACAGCTGACACGCCGCCGCCTGCGGACAGTGCCCCATCTGGCGCCTACCCGCCCGGCCAGCCTGCACCCACCTACGCAACTCCGCCGCCGCCCTACTATGACTCGTCCGCTACGCTAGGGCGAAAGGCATCAAACCACAGACGGTTCTAGTCACCTGCTGCTGGATCCGCACGTCGTCGATACACTGCCGTCGGGCGGTGAGTAATTGCGTGCGCCGTTTGATTGTTGGACGAGCGTCCCTCGGGTGCCATGCGTTGGTTAAGGTGCTGGGAGCCTCTGTTGTGCCCTGTACCGCGCTAGGACGTATGTTGCGGTGCCAATGCAACATTATGTTGCCTCTTATTCGCATTCTTTGATTAGGAGATTTCCACTTGACGCGTGCTCACTGAGTGACTCGTGCTATTCGGGTGGTGTGTTTCCTGATGCTGTGTGACATCTGCGGAATTTTGCGCTTGACGTGACGCTGGATGATATACGGATGATTGAACTGCGTGTGACCATGGGTTAAAAGTCACCCCTACTATCTTCAACTTAACGACATGCTTAGTGCTCATTTTAGCGAGGGCTGAGATTGATTGATACAGCCCCTGTCCGTCGGAAACCCCTGTACGAGTTTCCTCCCTTAGCCTTCGCCTAGCAGATGTCGTACGTGCCAAAACCTTGCATGGTGTCACCTGCCGTACCGGACTTACTTTGCTTGTGCGTGCACTACAGTAACACTCAGTAATGTTATTTGCACTACAGATTCATGATTTGTTGCGATTTAGCAATGGTTGATTAATGCCGGAGGAGGAGGGCATCATAGGGCCGTTGATCCTTGCTGGTCCTGCTGCTGGCGGGTTTGTACGGTTGATAGTCGCCCCCAGTGTTTGAAGTTGTTGATTTGCCCCTCATAGCCACATGCTCAAATCCAAGCCGTACCGGTATGTCACGACTTCGGATCCGTCGAGATGTAATCAACAAGCTTGTGTCTGAGAGTCTGACAGGATCTGACAGTGACTCGGGCAGCCTCGTTACGTGCCATGCCGCCCATGATCGTCCACTTAACATGCTGGACCTCCCGGAAACTAAGCTGTGAGCATTAGGCTGCTTGCATTAAGTACGGTGTCAAAGGTTTTCCCGCATACAGGGTGCATGCCGGCTTGTTCCACATGCACTACCAGTTACCGCTGACGCCAAACCGTGCCATCACTACGATAACACCATCAGGCCATTATGCACTTCAACGCTGCTGGTTGCGTCCACTCCGTACAGAATTACAGCCCTTTCAGTGGCAGCATACGGCATTTCTGCAAAAACAGCAACGTAATTCAAGGGAAGGCGCTTGCCATGGGTGGGGCCTTGCATGGTTGCAGGCGGGTTAGGTTACGGGCGAGGGGCTGAGGGCCATTTGAGGCCATTTACTCCGCCCAGAAGAGGACGAGAGCACTCAAGTGTAAACGAGAGCAATTGCTGGTACCCCACGTGCAGGATTCGGTGAGGCACGGTCATGGTCGTTGCAGTACGGATTTGTACGACAGTTCGTTGGCTGCTTCCGGTTTGGTTTCTCGTCTATGATCAAGAGCGTTAGTCTATACGCCTCAGAAGTACACGCAAAGCTTGCCTGGCCGCTCCAGACCAAGATGTGGTAGTCGCTCCAGACCAAGATGTCTTAAAAGACAATGCTCCTTCAGTCTGCCCACTGCCTGCGTAAAGCTTAGACAGTAAAAGCGATGATATTTACAATCCGTACGTTTTTGCTGGCGCTGTCAGCGCTGGCTTTAGCCCATGAAGCTGCGGCTATGTTTGAGGACCAAGCAGGGACATATGACTGGTACAAACAGCATGTAGGGTTTACAGCTAGCGCATCGTTTCACCCAAGCAAGCCCAGGGTCTGCATTTCCACAGCGCAAGCTGTGGTCGGCTGCCTTAATTTACGCGATGGCAGCATCGCGTGGCGTAAGCTGCTAGGAAGCGGCAACGGGGATCTTCCTTCTTCAATGCTACTTCTACCACAGACACAATTACTCATCACAGCCGTGGATGGTTACCTCCGCGCCTTTGATCTGGAGGGACATCTCAAGTGGCAGCGCAGATTACCGAGCAGCACCAATGTAGCACAGCTTGTGGAGATACCCGAGTCAGCGGATGGAGCAAGCAAAGTTCTTGTTCTGCAGAACGGGGGCTCGCAGGTAGGGCCTGGCCAAATTAGCATGCTTGCGTTCTATACCTTACGATTGCCGTAGGGCAAATTGCTGAAACAGCGAGTATGTGGATACGTTTTAGCAAAAGGACCTTCGCGTAGTGCGTTGACTCGTTACGGGTTGTGACTCCCCCAGGTGCTGGACGCTTTAGTCCGGGTATCCCCTCAATGTGGATGTTTGACCTCATTAGTTATTACGTCAGCAAACGTTTGCTTGCATCGAGCAGTCCTTTGCAACAACGACGAGCGCATGTGTTTCATCAGTTGGTCCTGGACCCGTGGGCCAGCCTGTGCAGCGCGCATGAACACACACCGCACCCAAGCTACTACCGCATCGCCCCGGCTGCCCTGCAGGTGTTCGACGCTGCTGAGGGCACCGAGCTAGCGAAGCACGGCGCACTGCCGCAGCTCGACAGGAGCAACGTGGCAGCGGTGGTCGTTGGGAAGACCGCAGCAGTTCTGGCGCACGATGCAGGGTGAGTCCATGCAACGGCACATCACACATTGTAACACGCAAAAGCAAGCCGCGCATACGCATACGACGCTTGCTGCCACCATACGCCGTACACCATGGCTAGTCGCCCGCTAGATCACGATAGGGACCATGCGACTCACCCTTCCAGCCGCTGTTCGCTGTCCCTTTCGTTCGCAGGTCCTCTGAAGCCTCTCTCGCTGTCCTGGACGATTACATTAAGGGAACTGCAAAGGTGGAGACGCTAGTGCTGCCCGCGGGCCTGTCATCGGAGGTCGCTGCCTCCTCCAGCAGCTTCGCGGCGCTTACTGCGGATGGCGCAGCCCTGTGCGTGACCTCCCTGGAAGGTAAGCGCACGGCGCCTCACATTGTGGAAGTGAAGTGCAGTCTGCATCTAAAGGTCATAAACCCCTCTGTTCGTCTCTATTCCTGCAATTGCCCGCGTTGATGTAATTGTGCAACACCGATAACTCAATCTGTCTGCCGCCTGGTGACACCCCAGGTGAGCCCCTGGCCCCGACCCCGGTGAGGTGCAAGCCGCTGTCAGAGCTAGCACCGGAGCTGCCCGCATCGCAGTCACGCAAGCTGTCCGCCACCTCCTCCGGCTTCGTAGTCGTGAATGCTGACCCCGGTACGTCCGTGATCCTCTTCTATTTGTTCCAAGGCAGCCTGGGTGGGGTGCTGGTGTTGCATGACGACACCAGCTCTGCCTCGTTGTCCCTGCTTGCCCAGCATCCGGCTTCTCACCTTTGTTTTTGTTCCTGCAACCCGCCCGTCGCGTCCGTTTTATGCGCAGCTGCCCCTGGCGCCGCCCTGCTCAAGGTGGAGGCCGGCGGCGACGTCAGCCTGCTGAGGCACTTCCCGAAGGCCGTTGGGGTGTCTCCGGAGGCGCGTGCGGAGGAGGAGCGGGTTGTGGGGCTGCTTGAGGTGTCCGGCGACGGTGAGTGCTGGACTGAGGTTGTTTCGAGGGCTATGCGGCCGGAAATTGGTTGTGGAAAGCCGGCGTGTGGAGCTTGGAGGTGTGGAGTAGCCGAGTTGTATTAGGAAAGGTGGTATGCCGAAGTGGTTGCTTGGTCTTTCCCTCTTTCACCCCCCCACCCCACCACACACAGGCCGCATGGTGCTGGTCGTGGCTTCCACCGCCACCGGCAAGACGCTGCAGGAGGAGTCCTACCCGGCTGCTCCCTCGCACGAGCGCCATGTGGGGCAGGCGCCGCAGCTGCTGCCCTCGGGCGTGCAGCTGGGCACTTTCCGGAAGAAGGACAGGAGCACCGGCTTCAGGTGGGTGGGTGGGCTGCTTGCCCGCGGGGAAAAGGGCTGGAGAGTAAAGAGGCCGGAGACTTTCTCTTTGCTTGCAACGAAAGAGTCTGTTGTCGTGAGTGCATCTTGAAAACGCTTTCTTGTGTGTGTCATGAAGTTTGTTGCTTGTTCTGGAGCTTACATTGGCGTTCCGTTGGCGCACCGTGCAGGGCGCTTGTTTCCTTCAACACCGGCGTCACGCTGTTTGTCCAGCAAGGCGTGGTGGTGTGGTCGCGGGACGAGAGCCTGTCCGCCGTCAAGGAGACGCTGTTTGTGGACCTGCCGGCGCGGGGAGTCAACGGCACAGCCCTGGAGGGCACCTCGGGTACCCAGGTTGACCTCAACACGCGCTTCCGGTGCGTGGACCTTGCGGTTAGCCCAAGATGGAAGCACATGATGAGGTTGACTTTGCGTAATGGTCATCACGGTCGTAGCGTCAGGGACGTTTCCTTGGGCACTGCTGCCAGTACGGCCTGCGCTATAGCGCACATCGTTGTGTACGACACGCGGCTCCCATCATGTACGACACACCTCCGCACCCCGCAGGTATCAGCTGCTGGGTGCCAAGATCCAGCTGAAGCTCAACACGCCCGCGGAGGCTGCTGAGTTCACGCAGCTGCGGGGCGCGCTGTCAGACAAGAACCTGCCGGTCCGCGATGTGAACGGATTCCGCAAGCTGCTGCTGGCCCTGACATCCACCGGTGAGAGCACCGCACGGCTGGGGGCATGAGGCATGAGGCGTTGCGTTCCCTCGGTCTGGGCAGGGCTGGATGTGCTGCTGCATGCGTAAATACGTACACAGTGCGGACCCTTTCTACGGACCCGATTGGAGCCTCTCTGCCCTCGTGTTCCTCTCGTTCCTATCCCTCATCGCCCCCCTACACCAACATGCACCATGTACCGAAACCACAGGCAAGCTCTCCGCCCTGCACAACGGCGACGGCCGGGTGCTCTGGTCGCGCTTCTTCTCCCCCGACTCCACGCCCACCCGGCTGCTTCCCTGGCGCTCCTACCACGACATTCAGCACCCGCCCCAGGTGCTGCTGCTGCGGGAGACCCAGCCGGGAGCCTACGCGGCCGTGCTGAACGCGCACACGGGCGAGGAGCTCTGGCGCACCCCGCTGTCGTACGGTGTGGCCAAGGTGGTGCCCCTGCACACGCCCCTGCATGAGGGCTCCGCGGAGCAGAGCTTGTACCTCCTTGTGGAGCAGCAGCAGCAGCAGGACGTCAGCAGCGTCCCGGTCGTGCACTTGTTGCCGGACACCGCGGCCAGTCGTTCGCATGTTGCGTCGTTGCGGCGCTCGCTGTTCTTCTTCATGCAGGGGCCGGAGCGGGGTGCGCTGCAGGGGTTCAGCCTGGCGGCAGGAGCGGAGCAGGACGGGTCGGGGGCGTTGGCGGTGGTGCGGGTGTGGGAGCTGGCGCTGCCGGACAGCATCCTGGCGACCGCTGCTCGGGACCCCACGGAGCCGGTGCAGTCGTCGGTCAAGGTGGGGAATGGGCTGCTAGGGTGCATGTATGGCACAACAACAGCACTGTTGTCGGTTGTTAGCATGGATGGGGACATGAAGAAAAAAGCCATGCGCGTCATCATGAGTACGTTCTTGGGTACGTCCTTGTCCCACGTCCTCCATCGCGTCCCATCCACTAACAGTATCTAGCCACTTCTCATTTAGAATCCGCCTTTCCTTCCCTTCCCCTCCCTCGTTGTTTCACTTATTTATTTTTCCCCCTCCCTTCCCCTCCCCTCCCTTCCCTGCACAGGTGCTGTCGGACCGCACCATCAAGTACAAGTACCTCAACCCCAACCTGCTTGTCGTGGCAACCGGCCCAGCCAACGGCGCACCTGCAGTGGATCCCGAATCCGGCGACGCGGGTGACGTGCTGAGTGCCGAGGTGACCGTGCACCTTGTCGACACGGTGACGGGCCGGGTGCTGCACCGGCAGTCGCATGCGGGGGCGCGCGGCCCGGTGACAGCCGTGATGACGGAGAACGCGGTGGTCTACTTCTACCGGGATCTGGATTCGGGCAGGTGCGAGGGCGGCGCTTTGTGCATGGTGGTCTGGGTGTTAGGTGTTGGAATGCGTCTCATGCGCGGCTTAACCTGTCCTTGCATGGCGTTCGTTCATCATAGCTCTCGAGGTAGCTAGCATGCTCCATGAGACTGGTATCTTGGGTCAATTTCAGACGTGCTCGTGTAGCAGGATGTACTCTCTCAGCCATCAGGTCCTCTTGTTGCTCATAGCGCACCTGTCCCCTCGTTTTTCCCCAGGCATGTCGCAACCTCCATGGAGCTGTACGACGCTACCAACCGCCAGTTCAGCGTACTAGATTACCTGTTCAACCCCAACAGCACGCAGCCCGTGTCCTCCTTTGCGACCACGCCGGTGGAGGTCATCAGCCAGTCCTTCTTCTCGCGTGTGGTACCCACCGCAGCCGCCGTGACACGCACGGAGCAGGGCATCACGGCGAAGCAACTGCTGCTGGTCACCAACACCGACCAGGTGCGTTATCGATCCTTAACTACCGTATCTACTTTTCTTGCTACCGCAGTGCGATAAGCAAGCACAGTATGGAGTTCTCTGCGTTCAGAGCTGTTCGGATTGAGCCGCCCTGGGGTGTTGAACACCCACACACTCTTCTTACTTCCTTCCTCGACCGTTTCTGGCCCTCCCTCCCTCCCGACTCGATTGCACCCCAGGTGTACGCACTAGGCCGGCGGTGGGTGGACCCTCGGCGCCCCAAGAAGCAGAAGCTGACGCAGGACGAGATGGAGGAGGGCCTGCTGCTGTACCAGGTGGGCATGAGTGCCAGGCGTTTGCTGACTTGTCCCCACTTCCCTCCTCATACCTGCATCGCCGTACGGCGAACCGGCCAGAACTCCCAACCCCATGACCGTTCAGCAAACCAGCCACGGGCGCGCCACACATGCACAATCATGGATCCCGCTTCGTCTCCCTTCCGCCTCTCCTCCCTCTGCTGCTGCTGCTGCTGCCAACTGGCTGCTCCATACGCACACCCTTCCACACGCAATTGCTTCACTCCAGCCCTGCGCGGTTTGTCGACCTCCTCGACACCCATCACCCTCCTTTCTCCTTGACACGCTCTGACCCGCCTGCTGTTCCCCTTCACTGTATCCAACACCCTCCTGCTGTTCCCCCGCAGGACACGCTGCCTCTCTCGCCCCTGAGCTTCGCCACCCTGGACAAGCAGGTGCTGGGTGTGCGCGGAACCCGGGTGGAGCCCACTCGGCTGGAGTCCACCTGCCTGCTGTTCGTACATGGCGTCGACGTGTTCTTCACGCGGCTGGCCCCCGCCAAGGGGTTCGACTCGCTGGAAGACGATTTCAACTACGCGCTCCTGGTGACGCTGTTGGCGGGGTTGACGGTGGGGGCGGTGCTGATGCACCATATGTCGAAGCGGACGGCACTAGCGCAGAAATGGAAGTGAGGGGGAAAATAGGGAGGTAGGAGGATTGCAGAACTCTCAAGACAGTGGGTGTATAGCCCGTTTGGAGGGTGTTGTGGTGTTTCGGGTCGGGGTCTGCGTTGGAAGTTCGATGGTAGCAGTGCTAATGCGTGCGCGGCATTGGGATGGATGGAACTACTGGAAACTTTGGGTTGAGTTTGGTGAGTGGCACTGCAGGATGTGGTGAATGCCAAGGCGTTGTGTTCCCTGTGTTTCAGTCCTCTTGCTGCAACTATTGAGGAGACAGGATGTGGCTGACAAGTTTTGGTGCTCGCCAAGTCGTCTGCCTGCTTTCATCTGTGCCATGGCTGACCCAACTACTTCCATGTGAATTAAAGTGAAGTGAATGGGTGGGTTGGAATCTGCTCGGGTTTACAGCCCCTTCCTCCTTCAGGGGCTATGTGGCCGCCAGGTATGTGATGCGGTTCCTTGGCACTGTCGGTCTAGGAACGAGACATATGCTGCAGGCAATCCGACGACGCCGGTGGAATGTAAGGGCGGCCTCTGTCTCCTTACAAGCCCCATGTTAGGACCGTCATTGAAGGGAAGCACCTGGGGCAGCAAGGTCCAAGTCAAGTCCTACCACAGAACAGCCCGAACTAGCCCTATAACGGCACTTAACGGTACACCGCTTAGCGCGTAGATGCCCTTCGCTCACGTCTGCCTTGCCAGCTCACACTCCCAGTATAACTTCTCACATTAGCCTGCTCCTCGAATCAGGATTGCCGTACAACATGTACCTAGTTTGAGCAATCACATGCTGACACATCCAGCACTTCACAGGGCAGTACTACCCCCTCTCCTCTGCTCGCTTCACTCATCATCCCTGCAGCACAACACTCGAATGCCGCCAACGGCTGACAGCCACTCATCCTCCTTGCCGTCTCCTATCCCCATTGCTTTGCCCTAACCTGTGGTTTCCTATGGGATGGTATGGTCTTTGACCCTCCGCGCTCGTCGCACCTACTGCTGTCCGAACACCGCCTGGTCGCCCAGCTCTTGCCCCTTGAGCCCCTCGCGGATGGCGCGCCTGTGACAGATAGGGAGAGAAAAGGGTGACGGGTCATCCAACCAGTCAACACATGCAACGTAAGGCAGCTGTGTCATTAACACGCTCCCCATGCGACGCTCCCTTTCCTACAACTAGCCACAACCGCGTCCCTACGCCCTCCTCCCATGGCCATTCCCCAGTAATGGCTGCGCCAATTCCATTCCCTCGCAAGAGTCGCAACGCAATCCCAGACACGGACACACATGCCCCCACACGGACACCAGTACTACCAGCGTTGTTGCCGCTACTCACGTGAAGAACTCCTCCAGCGTCTCCTTGCCGTACCCGGGCGTCTCCTCCTCTAGGTAAACCCCGCGCTGCTCGTCCCACAGCAGCATGGACTCGGTGGCGTAGTACTTGCCGATGCGCGCGAACTCCGCCGTGTCCTGACGGGCAGGCAGACGCAGGCAGGCAGTGGGGGTGTGGCGCGGTGAAGAGGAGAGTCCAAAGTCATTGAAGCGAATCGCTGCAGCGGCGTACTCTCTCGCCAGCACCCTCAGCAGCTTTGGTTCCTCCTGCTCATCGGTAATACCCAGCTCCAGCCTTCGCCCCCTGCGACCTCTGCACCACCCCGCATGCAGCATATAGCCGTTCCAGCCCTGTGCACGGATTACCCCATCATTCCCATGTTCCCTTCCCATCTCAACCCACCCACCCACCCACCTCCAGGCCTGGGAAGATGCTCGCCAGGAAGTCGAACAGCGCGATCATTCCGTCCATCAGCGCCACCGGCACCGGGAAGTACTTGGGCGGCAGACCCGTGATCTGGAACAGCAGGTCCGCCTGCTGCTTAGCTGTGTAGGCGCGACCCGGGCCGCCGATGGGAAGCACCTGCGCAGAGTGCAGCGGGACGCGGTTGCGGTGTTTGGTTGTTGGTGGTGTTAAGGAGACGTGTGTAGTTGAGCGGAAACAAGAGCAAGCAGTTGGGATAGGTTCGCATGTGAACCGCAAATACAAGCAAAACAGAGGTAAAACAGAGGTAACCAAACCTGAAACAGAACGCAATAACTGCTTAAATAGCTGGTGCTGGATGTAAGAAGAGTGGCGGGTTGACGACGCATGTCGGTGATGCTGATGGTGTCGGAAAAAGCTAATTACTACCGAGTACCTAGCCCGCTGACCAACTCGACGCCGGGAGCCCCCGCTCTGGTCACGCAGACGAGACACCACAATGCTGTGCATGCGTGCACAATGCTGTGCATACGTGTGTGTTGACGGCGACGGAGTTGGGGCTACCGTAACCGCTGCATGCCGCAACGCTGGTTGGGCACCGACCGGTTTGGGTTTACAGGGGATAGGCTGGTACGTATGCAGCGGTGCGGTATTGCACTTACTGCAAGCGGTGGCAGGCACACGGGCGAACCCCAGATCCCCCCTACGTAGTCTCGTGCGGGACCTAGCTCCCGGGTAAGTGACTACCGGTAAGTGACTAGCACCAGGTCACTGCGGTACCCTGCACACCCGCAGCTTGAGCAGCACCCACAGCTGCGAGCGCACCCGCACCTCTTTCATCTTCCCGCAATCACATTACGTTCCTACTCGCGGCGAGCCTTCCTAACACGCACCTTGTTGACCTTGTCCTGCTCCACAACGCAATCCACGATGTAGGACGCCAGGTCGCCCTCGCTGATGGGCTTGCATGCAGCCAGGTTGCCGTCACCGAACATCACGTAGGGGTTGCCCTTCTTCACGATCTCCACCTGGACGGTGACAATCCGACAGCGGACGGGCGGGCGGGCGGGGGAAACAGGTGAGAGGGGACCCATTGGGGAACTCGCGGTGATGAGCACTGGACCCTCGCAGTTTAGGGACTTCACTGAAGACGTTCACAGTGTGCTGTTTTTTTACAGCCCCGACGTCTTTGCGTTGGCAGTGGCAAAAGCATAATGGTCTGAGCCCCGGGCTTGCTGGTTGCCATCTGTGGTGTGCACGACGCAGCAGGGTGCCGCCGCGCAACCCCAGCAGTGTCCTGTCACCTGTCCGGCAATGCTCTTGAAGAATGCGGTGGGTCGGACGATGGAGTAGGTGATGTCGCCAGCAGCCTGCAGCAGCGGGGCGCGGGCGCGGGGGCAGGCAGCCAAGGAAGGTTGGAAGGCCAGCGGCGGCGGTTGGTGCTAAGCCTTGCTGACATCGTGGATCGCAGGGTTCGCAGGGCTACCCAAGCGAGGATCGATGCGGTCGCATAATCGTCTGCCTCACACGTCTATCTGACAACCTAGTCCTGGACTTCACCTTTGGGCATTGCACACGTAACAATACAACTATACAAGACTGTAATATATAGCTGCAGCTGCAGCCCCTCACCTGCAGGTCCGCCTCGAACTGCAGCTTGGCTCGTTGGAACTCCAGCAGCGGCTTCTGCACGCAGATGGCGGACAGCAGCACAAAGTGCTTGGCGCCGCACTGCCGCGCCGCGTCCAGGCAGTGCTTGGTGGCGGTGTAGTCGATGAGCCAGGAGTCCTTCTTGCCGCCTGGTGGTGGTGGGGAGCAGGAGGAGGAAGAGGAGACAGAGGCAGAGCGGAGGGTGTCACGCAGGTATGATTTTGCACGCCGATTCGCGTGTTATCTAGGCTGTATGCAGCTGTAGTCACTACCATTATCCGCCGTTAGCTATAGCCGCTCCCTGTCAGGCGGGTTCCGCGCCCTGTCTGCCGACCTTGGCATGTACCACCCGCGCGAACCGCCCTGCATGCGCGGTCCAGGTGGTTGCAGCTGCCCTTGCCCCTCACCCCATGCATCTTCCACACATGCACCATGCTTTTCATGCATCCGCGCCGCCGCTGGCATCCCATGCTCTAAAAACCCCGCGCCCCCAAGTACCGTAAACCGCCCTGTTCAGAAAACACGGCACCCCTCTTTTACCGTAATCTCCTCCGTTCACCCCCCGCCCTGCCATCCGCCCCGCCCCTCCAAGCCCCTTCAAGTCAGCCCCGCACCCGTGCGGCTGGCCAGGCAGCTGACCACCACGTCCACCGGCTCCCGGAAGGCCACCTGACGCAGCGAGGCGGGGTCCAGCACGCTGCCGAACCGCACCTCGGCACCCGGGAACTCCTGGAGCGGGGGGATTAAAGACCATACCAGAACATAGGAAACCACAGGTTAGGGCAAAGCAAAGGGGCGGAGGAAGGGAGGGTGGGTCAAAGACCATACCATACCATAGGAGACCACAGGTTAGGGCAGAGCAAAGGGGATAGGAGACGGCAGGATAGGATTTGATAAGGCGGGCGGGGGAAAGGAGAGGAAGGAGTAGCCAGGTGGCAGCATGGACTCCCCCATGGGCCGGGAAGGGGGCGGTGCATGAGGGAAGGGTAAAGAGGAAACAACTAACTGACTGAGGGATAAGGCGTCAACATGGGTTGCAACATGAGGGAAGGGGGTCGGGCTGGGGCCAGCAGGGCATGCGCAGGGCGCGTCGTGCGATGTAGTGGTGGACTATACCAAGGGGTATTGCGAGGGTCGGGGCCCATGTGTTGGGCTGTCATGACTGGGGCAGGATAGCGGCTCCCGTTTACCTTGAGGGTATCCTCCTTCTTCATCTTCCCCTTGATGCCCGCCTCCTCACGTGCAAATGCGACCACGTTGTAGCCGCGCTTCACCAGCTCTTTCACCACATACTTGCCGATGTAGCCCGTGGGGCCCACCACAAGCACGCGGACATCCTTGGGCGCGCGCTGTCGGAAGTCCTCAGATGGTGCAGCGCTTGCAACAACGCGGCATTGAACGCGACTGCTGCTGCCGATGCTTCTGCGAGCGCTGTGTGCAGCGGCAGGTGTAACCTACGAGGTGGGATGGCATGCAGCTTAGGATAGGTAGTGCGTCTGCGTCGCGCATGTCCAGAGCGATGCGTCGCTGGCGACAAGGAGTCGTCCAGCAAGGATTTTGGCCATATACTAAAAGAGGTAAGCCTATGTATTCCAGCAACATGGACTACACCATCTTCTTATAGCAAACACTGTGCAAGTATGAGTGTAGAGGACCGCACGGAATGGCTCCAATTGACCCGCACCCACCCTGATGTTGATTCCCTTAAAAGGACTCGCGCTATAGGCGCCCCGTTCTACAAGTCTAGAAATCACATGTGGCGTGTCCTGTAGACAACTGCTTGTGGCCTTGCCCGCAGTCTGTCGAGTGTTAATCTTGTTGGCCAGCATCGTGAGCAAGATAACTGTAAACAGGTGCAGACGGCAAAGGCAGGTTAATGTGGGCAACAGCCGAGAGAAAAATCGGCGAGCGCGTACGGCAGCGGATCAGGCAAATGCATTCAGTGTTTTGTGCCAGTGATTCTATGTGCTTCTCATAGACGCGTTTCAGTGAAAATGATTGCCTTCATACGCTTATCGAATAGAGCCATGCCGGCGGACCTCAGCTGGGGATGCTGTCATTTGTCGCTGCGTACTGTTCCAGAACGCGTGTTGGGAAAGCAATCGGGGCACAACGGGGCAAGCACGTGATCTTGCCATACCCGCAAGTTACATCATGGCAGGTAATGGCAACGTGACATTAAAGCATGGGGTGAGTTTACTGAGTTAGGCTTTCCTTCTCGGCAACCCCAAGCCCTGCGGGGTCGGTAGCAACACACCCGGAAAGTTCGCTGCTAAGCAAATGGCGTCTACTCAACACCAAACGGCACCACCCAGACAAGCTTCTTTGCAACAAGGCAAGCAATATTACTCAACCTGCCAACATCACAACTACAAGCTTACCGGTACTCAACTCACCCGCGACATCAAACACCGCAACCAGCCCTAGCGCCACGGTTTCCCACACCCGCAATCCGTGGGGTGCACTGCAACCGCATGAATAAGGGCGAAACAGGGGCACATGCCGCTCATGCGGCTCCAGGTTGTCTGCAACTCCCGTTGTCCCAACCTCCAACTACGGTATGCAACCCCTGCGGTGCACACGACACTTAGCAAGACGAGGGTGCGGTGTCCAGTTACAGGCCCTACAAAAAAGGGCACATCACAACATATCAAGAAGAAGAAAAAGAAGAAGTACCGATAGTCAACCACAATAGCCACAAGAGCCTGCATCATCATGCACACAAGACGTACTGCCGTACATACTGTTGTACGTCCCAACAAACAGCCTCACATCCTGCTCCTGTGCACACCCGGTATCGCTCTCCCCCTCTCTCGCTCTCCCGGCACAACTCCTGCACAACATGCTCCTGCACAGCCAACCCTCCCAAGCACACCCGCCCGACCTCTACACTCCTTACATACAACCCCACCTACGCCGCGTCCATGCAGTCTCTACCCCTCCCTCCCCATCCACCTATCCAGCCACCCATCCACCCACCCATCATTTTTTGGTAAATCCAATACACGTACTGGCTCAACTAATTCGGGCTGGGCGGGTCGGGCTGGCTCACATGTTGCAACCCATGTTGACGCCTTATCCCTCGGTCAGTTAGTTGTTTCCTGTTTATCCACCCATTCGCCCATCCTCAGCCGCTTGCCTTGACCAGCCGTCCCACGATGGGGTACTTTGCGTTGAAGCGCGCGGTCCAGTCGCGCAGGTTCTCCATCTCCACGTAGCTCAGCCCCTGAAGGTTGTCGGTGCACTCCGCCAGGTCGGTGGAGAAGAGCGCGAAGGCGCGAGCCACCTCCTTGCCGGCAAAGGGGTACATGCCTGGGAGGGGGGGCGGTGCGGGGGGGGGAGGCAAGCGGTGGAGAGAGAGGCGCGGGCAAGGGGGAAGGCAGGGAGAAAGCTGTCCGTGAGGGCGGGCACACGTGCGTATGCCAACAGGAAGAGGGAGAGGGTACCCCAGCCGGACCCAGCCATGCAGAGGCGCCCACCCCGAATGCACCCGCATGCACCCCACATCCCGAGCTGCTACCGCTACCCGCCCGCCTCTCCCAGCCCCCCCAGCCCCTCCGTCCCACCATCGGGTCCGTAGTAGTCCTTGCCCTTTGTGATGTCGTACACCACCCCCCGGATGGACAGGTACAGCGGCAGCGACTTGTCGGAGCCGTCGTGGGACGCCAGCTGCTCGGGAGTGAAGTCGCGTAGCGGTACGACCTGCGCGGTGGGGGGGAGGTTGGGGGCGGGGGGGGGGGGGGAAGGGGCGAGTCGGACAGGGGGGGTGATGTACTGGTGTTGGCTGGAGGGTGCAGGCAGCATGGCAGCAGGGCAGGGCTGTGGAGGGAGAGATTCTGGCGGTGGAAGAAACCGCGTAAGAGCCGCAGGGTGACGCCAGCCGTGGTGCCGCTGTTTGGCACCCTTCAGCAGCCACTTGGTCTTCATCTTCATCATCTCCTTCTTCCATTCACCCCACCTGCCCCACTAGGTCGTGTGTCTGCTCGAATTCCCGCTCCGCCGCCTCCAGCCGCGCCAGCTGCTCGGCGGTGAGGCCGCTCAGGTCAGCAGTGAAGTCCGCCTCATCCGGGGGCGAGGAAGAGGAGGGGTCGGAGCCCAACGCCAGAGCGCGAGCTACCTCACGGCCCGCGAAGGCGTTCTGGGGTTTGCCTGGGAATGAGGCGGGGCGGTTTCGGAGGTGGTTGGGAGGCGGTTGCGGGGTTGCGCTAGCGGGGGCTAGTACAGATGCCAGGGCCTTCCATGGCGTAGAGGATGCTCGCGGGCGGCAGGGAGGTACAAGAAAGGTGATAAGCAGAAGGCTGGGAGCATGTGGATTGGGCGCATGTGGTAAGCAGTGAGTAGGGCAGTGCCACTAATGGCGGGTGGTGGGTGGGTGGTAGGAGAGGGTTGCATGGGGCTGCGGAGAAGCCTCCATGAGCACGCGAAGCCAAGGAAGCTGCAAGCAGCGACTAAGACCAAGGGCTTACTTTGCTGGGCGTTACACCGGTCGCATGAAATGCGCGCCAACCGCACCGATCATGACAATCGCGGCATTCAACGTGTTTCATCCGCTCACCTGGTCCGTAAAGCTCATATTTGTTCGAGACATCGTAAACCTTGCCTCTCACAGCTACCAGCGGCGGCTTGCTCCAGTCGTATCCCGAGTAGAATCGCAGCGACTCGAGGGTGATATCGCCTAGATGGTACTTTACAGGTGGCAGAGGTGGAGGTCTCCTCAGCCTCAGCGCGAAGAATACTACCGCCAAAAAGAAAACAACTATAGCTAGCAACGTAAGAGGCTCCATATCTGTGCGCTAGGTTGGTGCTTAGCACGGTTTGCGAGTGCTTGAAGACGCCTTAGTATCGCGTCATGATAGCCTTTCACCGCTTGCAGTGGTTGCTTTGTACGGAGAGGACGAAGTTGAATAGACGCGCTGGACGCACGCACTTTGTGGTAGTGCACCTGTTATACATACTGTTATGCCCAAAGTCCTGCAGCTGCGTTTATGAAGCCAGGCTCAATATAACCTCATAGCGCTGATTTGTCACTGACGCACTACTGTTTAACAAGCTCGCTGAATCTTATAAAATTGGTCAGGCGCTCATTTAGGTTAGTGTCACCTTAAAGGGTCGAGGATGTCGGGCAAGGGCAAGGATGGGCTGCGCGTTGCGGGCGGCGTGCAAAAGAAGACTAGCCGAAAAGGCCCAAACACGGGTGTTTCTGGTAAGCTTGTCTTTTGTCCTTGTTACATACTGGCCTGGAGCCAATGCGGCGCTGCCGACCTTGCTCATTGTCTCCATTTACGGCTTATCTATACGCAGGCCTCGAGTTCCACAAAAGCAAGGGTCAGCACATTCTAAGGAACCCGCTGGTGGTTCAAGCCATTGTCGATAAAGCGGGCGTCAAAAGCACAGATGTGGTTTTAGAAATCGGCCCCGGTACGGGTAACCTTACGGTGAAGCTGCTGGAGAAAGCGAAGAAGGTCATCGCCATCGAGCTTGACCCGCGCATGGTGGGTCACGTGCGCCGTCTTGGGCCCCGCTGGGCTGGTGGGTTGAGGGTTTGCCGTCGCTCAGCTCCATGGCGCCCCCGTGCCGGTGTGGGTCAGCCGCAGTTACCATAGCCAAGGTTAGGGGCCTTGGGAGACGGGAAGAGCTGGGAAAGGCTTTGCTATAGGCCGCGGCTTCCTTGCCATGGGTTTGTGTGTGTTCTGTGTGTGTTCAATCTGCCCGGTGTCTCCCTCGTCCTCAGGTTCTCGAGCTGCAACGGCGAGTGCAGGGCACCCCCTACGCAAACAACCTGCAGGTGGGGGCTGGTGCTGCCGTAGCTGCTGCAGCCTGCGGGGAGAAGGCTCTGACCTAGGGTTGGAGGAGGATGCAGTGCACAGGGCAACGCCGTTGACCGCAACCCCCGCCGTACCTGCCGCTGCCTGCGGGGAAGAGGCCTACGCTGGGGGTGGCAGGGGGTTACAGTGCACAGGGCAACGCCGTTGACCGCAACCCCGCTGCTGACTGATGTCGCGGCCAGTTATTTTAACACACCTCGCCTCACCCCCTCTTCCTTACACCCCTTCCCTCACCCCTACCCTCACCCCTTCAGATCATACACGGCGACTTCATGCGTGTGGATCTGCCGTACTTTGATCTCTGCGTGGCCAACATCCCGTACAACATCTCCTCGCCGCTCACCTTCAAGCTGCTTGCGCACCGCCCCGCCTTCCGCGCCGCGGTCATCATGTACCAGCACGAGTTCGCCATGCGGCTGGTCGCCAAGCCGGGCGAGCAGCTGTACAGCCGCCTGGCGGTGAACACGCAGCTGCTGGCTCGGGTCAGCCACCTGCTCAAGGTGAGATTGGGGGTGCAGGATGCGGATTGTGTGGATTGCGGAGTCGCCTTATGGGGATGTGGCACTGGGAGGAGCAACATGGGAAGAGCATGCGGGTGATGGCCTAGCCTGTGTGTTTAGCTGGTAAGGTGGTAAGCGGTGCGTCGGTTGAAGTATGGGCTCCTACCCGTGGCCTCTGGATGAAGCCTGCTGGCCTCCAAGCCTTGTCGCGCCCAAACTGCATGCGTGTTCATGCACGGTTATCGCCCCCATTGCTTTGCCCTAACCTGTGGTTTCCTATGGTTCGGTATGGTCTTTGACCCCCCCGGGCCGCAGGTGGGCAAGAACAACTTCCGGCCGCCACCCAAGGTGGATTCCTCCGTGGTGCGCATCGAGCCGCGCCACCCGCCGCCTCCCGTCAACTTCCTGGAGTGGGACGGGCTGGTGCGGCTGTGCTTCAGCCGCAAGAACAAAACACTGGGTGAGGCTGCGAGGATGAGGATGATGCTCTGGGGCTGGGGCAGCAGCAGCAGCAGCAGCAAGCAACGCCCCTGGGGGAGGTCGCGGCGGCTGTGTCTGTTTCTTACCCACCGGTACTCAGGCGAGGGCTGGGGCATGCCGTGTACTGTAACCTGACAACCCTTTCCGCTGTACCTGCACACCGCAACCCTGGACAACCCTGTGCAGGCGCCATCTTCCGTCAGGCCAACACCCTGCAAGCCCTGGAGGCCAACTACCGCACCTACCAGGCGCTGCAAGGAGCAGCAGCCGGCGGGGCGGCAGCAGCAGCAGCAGCAGGTGGTGCAGGCGGGGGCGCGGGTGCGGCCTCGGGCATCCAGTCGCTGGGGACAGCGGGGGAACAAGACGCCATGGACCAAGACGAGGCGATGGAGGAGGATGCCATGGATGATGATGATGACGATGCGGCGACGGTGGTGGGAGCGCCCTCGGGGTCCCGTGGCGGCCGGAGAGGCGGCGGCCGTGTGAGTGCGGAGTTCAAGGAGCTGGTGATGAAGGTGGGTGGGGGCGGTACATGGGAGGCCGGGTGCGGGAGGGAGGGAGGGAGGAGGGTGTTTGGGGGGCGGTTGCATTCGGCGGGGAGGCAAGGGAAGGAGGCGAGGAGGAGGAGGGAAGGGAGTTGTGCGGTTGCTTGGGGTCAGCCGGGTCGCCCCGCGTCATTGCTTGAGGTTGTGCATGTGCGGCCTGCATGTCGGCATGGGATGTTGGCATTTCAACGACACCGCGAGCAGCAGGATCCACCTGATGGGTAGTAGCTTGCATCCCGGTGTACTTGCCACCACCCAATTGCTCAGTGCGTTTCCCGTACCCCTGAACACCCGCCCACCCCCGCACCTCTCAACGCTCCCCAGGTGTTGACCGACAACGGGCTTGACTGCAACCGCAGCAGCAAGATGAGCCAGGAGGAGTTCTTGCAGCTGCTGGCGCTCTTCAACGCAGCTGGGATACACTTTGCTTAAGAGGGCGGCAGCAGCAGCAGCTGCGGCTCCGGATGTGGCATTCTTTGCTTCGCTTGGTTTCACGGGTGCAGGCACAACATGGGGATGTTTACGGGTTGAATGGGAGGGTACGGAGGAAGGAACACGTTGCGAGCTTGACGATAGAGGACATAACGAGGAAGGTTTGTGCCTGTTCCCTGCTGTATACATATCGTAGATGTTGGATAGATGGGCGCCGTTCAGGTGTCAGGTGATGCGGTTTGTGTGGGAGGATTGGAGGTGCCTGTGATGCGCCTCGGGAGGCGGGTTTACTGTTGGAAAGACGCCGCGGCTGGCGTTCTGTGGGTGTAGACGCGTCCTGGGTGGAACTGTAGACGCGCATGACTAACTACTAGTGGTATTTCAGATGGGTGTGGGACCTTTCACCGTGGGAAGAGCTTTAGTAACTGAACGAGCGAGCGAGCGAGCTGTTGTGAATGGTATAACGTACGAGAGGTGCATGCGTGGTGTCTAAAGTGTTTGATTAAGTTATACTGCACTCTGGCATGTGCAGGTGTCTGCTGGTGGTGCCTTGCGTTGGAGTTAGGCACTGTGAGGCTGAGTAAAAGAATGGATAGGTGTTTTGGTACTACACAATAGAGTGGGGCTTCGCGGCCCCTGTTGAGGGTTCCAGGTGAACCGTTTCAGGGGTATCTGCCCACAGCAAACAGAGAAATGGGCCCTCTTGGCAGTGCGCCAGTGGCCAATGCCTGTGCGGGAAACCCTAGCACAGGGTGCGAATGCATTGAGACTATCGCTTACAACTTGTTAACGTTTTGAGTATCCTCAACATACGAGCCTCCTCGCCTTACTACGGTAGCTCCCCCTGCGGCTCCCTTGCCAATGCAAAAGCTTTTCACCAGATGAACCGCGCGACGCTGCCGTCAGCGAAGGTGTAGGGCCGGTACAAAAACAAGTACATGGTTGCGGCGTTAACAACGCCGTACAATGCTAGCATGGCGAGCGCTTGCAGTCTTGTAGGCGGCTCCAGTTGCAGAGCAATCAAATAGAAACCGGGAGTGAAGTACCTGCACCGCAGCAGCATCCATGTGGGATGACGGGGGCCTGTCACCTTGGGTGATGTTGTGAAGTACCCTCAGTAAAGCTAACGACACCTCACAACCCTCGTGCAGACAGGGCACGACGGATCAATCAGGGTACCGTCTGCGGTTGAGGACCGCACACGAGTGCTTACAAGCATGTCGTGCGAGCTACAGCACTAGAAGCTGCCGTCATGCCTCGCAACAATGCCACTTCTCTCAAGTCCCTCTAACAACCCACCAGCACAGCACTACAGCACCCCTGCAGCACCTCTGCAGCGTGTGCGATTTCCGCCCACCTGAGCTCCAGCAGCCATGCCGGCAGCAGCTGGGCCACCAGGCACACCGTGAAGCCCAACACCCACAACCGAGACACGCGCCGCAGCAGTGCTGCAACCAGCAGGGCCCAGGCCAGGGCGTAGGTGGGGGCCAGGGCGTACTTGACGAGGGCATGGCGGTCCAGCACTCGCCGCCATAGATAGAAGACGTAGTGCCTGCGCACGGTGTTTAATGGGCGGGGGAACGAGTGGGTTGTGGCGGGGGAATGAGCGAGGTAGGGGCGGCATGCGGGTGGCGGGAATGGAGTGCTGGTGGCATGCGCGGCGGTGTGGCTTGAAGGGCGCACGATGCGCGCACAGCATGCGCTTTACCTGTGCTGTTGTACACGTGTAGAGAGCACATTTTCGGACATTCTGTGGCCGGAACAAAATTGTGAGAATGCGCACCTGTTATCTGCTAGCATGTAGGGGTGGACCATCGTAGATACATGCGCCACCGCCGCCGCCGCCACCACCGCAACCACCGACACGACAGCTGCCGCCAGGGGCCGCCGCCTTGCACCCCTCGCCAGCCCGCCAACCGCCGCCGGCAGCAGCTGCGGCCCCAGCATTGCCGCCGTCCACCCGGCAAAGTACAGCAGCTGAGCCCCGTGCCGTACCGGCCGATGCGCCTCCTTGTCCCCCAGCACCACCGAACCGCCGTTCGCCAGCAAGAAGCACACAAAGCCCGCCGGCGGCAGCAGCAGCGGCCACAACGTCCGGGCCAGCGCGCCGCGATGCGTCCAAGCCCTGACCAAGGCAAGCTGAAGCTCTGACACCAACCCGTCCGTTAATCCCTCCTCCGCTGCCGCTGGCCCCCTGCAGCTGCCCTCGCTCACACTATCCGCCCCGGCAGCGGCAGCGCCCCCCCGCTCCTCCCGACCTTCCGCACGTGTGCAGTACGGTGTCGTTCGGCTCCCTCGCTCCTCCAATTGGGCTGCAGCAGCCCTCCCCAGCGGCCGCAACAGACCTAGCTCTGCCAGCGCCGCCTCCCCGAGCACGAAAGCGGTCCACACCGCGTTGGTCTGGCGGCATAGCACTGCCGCTGCGCCGGCGAGGGCGGCGGTGCGGTAGCGGCGGCGTGAGGCCTGGGCCCGGACGAGAGGGAGGGGAGGAGAGGTGGGGGCATGGGTGGGTCGGGGGACAGCGAGGGTGCGATGGGAAGCAAGGAAGCCAGGCGGCCGTCAGGAGCCCACCCCTACACGCCAGCCTAGGGCCCAGGGCCTGCAAACCGCTCACAGCAAGCAACGCAGTGCTCCCCAAGCAGCCTCTCTGAGGCACCAACACCGAGACAACCTTGCTCACACCCGTGGCGTTTTGGTGGGGACATCAACTTCAGCATCAATCCAGCATACGTTCCGCCTCGCGGCCAGTTGTCTAATACAAACACACACACACAAACGCCTGCCTCCCGCCGCCCCACCTGCAGCTGGCACAGCAGCAGGAACAGCAGCGACGCCACGTCCGTGTAGAAGAGGAAGGAGAAGAACCAGTGCAGCGGGTACAGCGCAAGCAGCGTCGCATGCAGCGCTGGGGGGCAGGCCGCAGACGCAGCCACCGCCGCGGGCCCACGCCGCCGCTGCTGCTGAAGGATTGCGTGCAGCGTGGCTAAGCAGGCGATGGAGAGCACAACGTTCAAGGAGCGCAGGAAGGGCGTGGTGCAGGCTGCGTCCTGCGGGGAAGCAGGGCGGGGTACGGACGGGTGTGCGATGATGCCGCCTAAGCGTTCAGGACATGTGGGTGACTCGGGAAAGAAAACGCAGAAATTAGCAATCAGAGGGATCTAGGCAGATACATGTTCGAGTGGGGTAAGCTTGGGGACAAACGTAGGGATTTGCTGCGGTCCCTTCCTCACCGGGCCCACGGGACTTATGAAGAACTGTACAGCACGTCGCGCCCAGCCATACAACGTCCCCAAGTAGTAAATGCCAGGAAACGTGGTAATCTTCGGGTGCCAAGCTGTAAAGGCGCCTCGACAATATTCCCTAGCTTGCGGCCCATGGAACACCTCATCCTGCACGTCCCGGCGACAGCCATGCCGACAGGCTTACGTAAAGACAGGGGTACTGGAGTATACTGCGTACTGTGTACTGAAAATGGCAATGAAGCACACGGGAGAATCCCCAAGCATGGCAGTTCGGGTCCGCACCATGTAATCATCTTTGACTATCGTGTTTACAAGCGACAGGATGATTGCTTGAAGGCCAGCAAAAACAGCTAGTAACCCGGCCATCTGTCAAGGGTTGGACGACAACCATAACACGCGCATGAATGAGTGAATTGAGCAGGTAGATCTATTCCAACAAATGACATTAATACTAGGAAGGAACTGCTAGTGACAGTGTGCACATGACCTCTTCCTAGAAGAAATTGTCTTTACCAACCTTACGCCGTTAGTACAACCGAACACCGGGAACCTGCGACACCAGCCTACGCAGCACTACTGAGACCTAGTGCTGCCTTTCTGTGGCCTTCCCGTGTTTGCAGTGCTTCGGCCCGTGGTACATCCAACACATTGAGCCTGGCAAACCCACTGCCTTGGCATTGGCATTACCATGTCAGCGATGGAGGAAGCATCTAAAGCGACATATGCTGTTGAAGCGCCTCAAAGTGACGCCGGCGCAACCGGGCGAGGGCCCGCCCTAGCTGCAGACGCGGGGCCCGGGCCTAGCAGCAGTCGTGGTGCAGCGGCGGGCAGAGCAAGGGGAGCCGCTGGTGCCGCTGGCCCTAGCGGCGCTAGTGGCGGGAGGGGCGCTCGTGGAGGCGCAGCTGCAGCAGCAACCGGCGGAGAGGAGGACGACGATGACACCTCTTCAACTGGCAGCGACCAGCAGCAAGAGCCAGACCCATTCTACGACGAAGCGGCAGGTAAGCCAGCCCAGCTGCTGCTTTCATGTGCCTGCCTGTGCTGGTGGCTGGCCCCGTGGTGTCGCTGGTGCCTAGAAGCCCTCAATCGCCGCTTACATATTGAGCTAGTTGCCGGTATTGCTGTCAAGCCCGGCATCATCCGGAACTACCATCATGAGCGCATGGCCGCTACTTCTTCACTCTCCCGTCTTGTCCCGGCCCCGTCCCGCCGCAGACGATGCGGATGAAGCTTGGGCCAATCGCCAGCGGGGCGGCCGGGTATCCGACGCCGTACTCTCCTGCCCTGGCTGCTTCACCACCCTCTGCATCGACTGTCAGCGCCATGAGAAGTTCCACCAGCAATACCGAGCCATGTTTGTAATGAACTGTCAAGTGGAAGAGGAGGGGGAGGAGGACGGCGGCGCGGGTTTTAACCCGGCGTCACCAGAGGGAGGCGCTGGCGGCGGCGGCGGTGGAGGGCGCGGCGGCCGGCGGCCTAAACGTGCCAAGACGTCGTCGCAATATCGCAGAGTGCGCTGCGGCGTGTGTGCTACGGAGGTTGGCGCGTATGAGGCGGCGGAGGAGCTGTATCACTTCTACCACGTGTTTCCCAGCAATGCGTAGTGGAAGGGCGAGCCCCGTGCATGGGGCTGTGGGGCTGGTGCCTGTTGTCGGTTGCGGTCCTGTTGAGGCTACCATGCAGGTGCGGTTATTACCATGCAATTGAGGCATTGGGACGGCTCGCAGTGGTGTTGCTGGGACGGCGCATGGCCCCCCGCGTACATGTGTGTACGTTACTTCAATGCAAGTGCTTCCGCACGTCCTGCTGCCTTATCATCATCCACTCGCCAGACCTGCGCAAACAGCAATGTGTCGCATGGAGGGACCGTCCCCCACCGCTACCAGGCAAGCCGCGTCCACTTTGGCCCCACTTAGCCACCCTTACTAATGTTTAAACATCGTCTTAAGCCCAGCCCGTATTCGGGATGATTAGTCGTAAATATCATTTAGTATCCGCAACCTTCCTTATTGGAAACCAACGCAAACAACCTTGGGATGTTGCCTAGCTCACACATGTCGTAAGGAGGGTAGTGAACTCATGCAGAGCCGCAGATACCACATATCTGTACATGAAACTTATTTAAGTTAATACGGATTAGATTGGATCGGATGAACATGCCGCTGGTCAGAAGAAAAGTGGGACCCTAGCTGGGTAGGTAGGGCTAGGCAGACTTAACTAAAGCACGCACCTCAGCGCCGTGCGTAATGAATGAATGACCGTTACAATGGTGCCCTAAAAGGGAACACGGGTGATGAACCCAACCCTACATTGCAAAAGAAACGGAGCAAACCGTAGAGACAGCACCACAACGGGCCAACAAGATGGGAGACATAGCCCTAAAAGAAACCTCAGGAGGGAAACAAGAGGGTAGAAGCCACAAAAGGCCCCTCAGCAAACCTCGACAAACCTCATCTAGGGCATATGACAACCCAAACCGGAAGCCACGAACACACCACCCCAAAGACAACAGGGCCAAAAACAGGACGCTCAACGGCCCACAGAAAACCGCCCGCCAACAATACGTAAGAAAGGATGAGAAGGGCCAACCCCAGCCCATCCCCGACGGGGAACACCCAAACAAGCAAAACCCCGAAGCTGACCCCAGAACCAGGAAACAGCAGACAGGGCCACCACATCAGCAAGCCCAGGCACAACACCCGCAGAACCGGACTCACGTACACGAGCCCGTAACAACCGCCGACCCTCCTCCATAGCGGACAAAGCAGCCAAAACAACAACATCCCAAACGCACTGCTGCACGCCCGAAGGAGGCAACGCCAACCACAAGGCAGCCCGAGGAACCGCAACACCCAGCGTGACCTCAAGCTGCTCAACCACAGCACGAGCAACAGGACAAGCCCAGAAAAAATGCAACCGCGGAGACACCCCCAAGACAACGGACCCACAACCACAACATTCCGGACGAGCCCTAGACATATGAGAACTCCCCAGCAAGGGAACCCCATCAATAGAAAGACGCCAAAACGCTTCCTTGAAACCATTCTCCCAACGAATCGACCAAAGACGCTGGAAAGAATCACGAAGGCCATCCAAGACACCCTCAGGAAGCTGCTGGGTAGCAGGTAACCCCAGGGCCTCCCGAATAAAAGCCGCATGCAACCCAGCACGTTCCTCAAACACACCCCCAAGCTGAAGAACGGTAGCCATCCGAACCGACAGATGCCTCAAAGGAACGGCGCCAACATGAGGCAACTGCCACCCCAAACGTGGAACCAAAACCTGCCAAGCATCAACCTCAGAAGCCGGCGGAGGTTGGGGCGGCAAGGCATCAACAAGAAAAGTCTCAGCAGCCTCCACCCAAGCCACAGGCACCGCACCCAACAACGACGCAAGAGACGTCAAAAGATCACGACACCTAGGCAACGAACAAAGAGCACAGGCATCCGGGGACGCCGGGTCCAAAAACCGACGTACAAGAGCGGACCAGCACCTCGCCATCACCCTGCCCTCAGCAACCCCCGACACACCGTTCAACAACGCAGAATCCCACGTGTCCTCAAAACAACGAAGTTGAGCCAGGGCAGCCACACACATACCCAATGAACGCAGGGCATGGCAATGAACGAGCACCGGATAGTGGTGTTCCAAACCCAACACACCAGGTTGGCCCGGCAGCCCAACCGGCAAGAAAGGGTTACCCCACAACGGAACACCCCAACACCAGCTACCCGGTACCAAAGGCTCCGACCCAATGTCAGTAACTGGCGGTAAAATTGCCATAGAAGTCACAACCCGACGAATATCCTCAGGCAAACCATCCACACCCAACCAAGGCCCCCTCCTGGACGCTGTCAACAATGATAGGGGACCAAAAGCCGGATGCAACCGCCGAAGGTACAGAAGCAAAGCACGCTGCCAGGGATGTAAGGAATCCCTTGGCATCACGGCGGAACAAACTAAACGGGCACCCCAACAAGCAAAACGGGCCCGAATATGCTCAATCAAAGGCAAGGCACCAAACCCCCCTGCCCTGGGGTGACCTGCTAACAGCCTACCCGGAACACCCGTGGCACGACGCTCCCTATCCTGCGGACCCTGGTGCCGATCAATAAACTTAGCCACCAACCTCCCCAGGTTGTCCAACTGATCACCCGGAGGCAAACCGGAATGCTCCATGTGCCAAGTTACCGTATGCAAAGCATAAGCAGCTGCGCCGGTAGCCCTACCAAAAATGGAAAGTGGAAGGCGAGCCAACTTCTGTAAGCGGTTCTCCGCTTCCTGAAACCGTTTGCTCCAGTCAAGACCCGGAACCGTGTCCGAGTTAGTAAAAGGCACATTAAGCGCCACTGCCGTACGAGCTACCGACACTCCATGAATAACCTGCTGCCCCTCAGTACCCGTCTGAACCCCTATTGGCAAGAGCTCTACCTTGTCCAAATTCAAGCGTTGACCCGACGCCTTCGCAAACGTCTCCATGTGCTGGAGGAAATCCCCCACCGCATCAGGCCCTCGCAACACCACTTCAGTGTCATCAGCAAACTGAACAGCTGTGGTAAGGGAGGAATCCAACGGATCAAGCGCCACACCAACCTGGCAGTGCTGTAACCAACACAAAAGGGCTTGCGCAGCAAACAAGTACAGCAAAGGCGCCAAAGGACACCCTTGTCGTACACCTGCTTCCATACACACCCGTTGCGACCTGTTGCCGTTAACAACCGCAACAGCACACGTAATGTAACGCGTAATGTCGTGCCGCTAGGTCGCTACTGGAGACAATTATTGTAGGACTGATTACCCAACTTGTCGTGGAATAGGGTTCCTGCGGCGTCCCTTTCGGTCGCAGACTCCCGGATCCTTGCTCTGTGCGCATGCCGGGACTTTAACAACCACCATCGGTAAACGCACATGCCACCTCCAGACAGTCCTAAACCGCTCACAACTTTGTAAAATGCCCCTCACTGCACGCACACCCTTCCAGCGATCCTTCCTTCCTCCTTCCTGCATTCTACCCGGCCTTAGGAAGCCCCTCAGCTGCTTCCAATCCGCCATGCTGTGTCCAAACGCCGTCGCCTTCCCTACCTACTGCATCCAGACGCCAGCACCAGCAGCACATGACCCCTCTTCCACTCCCCGGCCACGCTTTCGTGCACCTCCGCCCAGGTCGTCTCCTTCACGCTCGGCCCCGCAAGCAGCCCCCGGCTGCGACGCCGCCTGCTGCCTCCATGCGCACCCCCCCGCCACACACAGCACACCATCACACGCCACCACCACCACCACCATCACACGCCACCACCACCACCACCATCACACCTCTTGACACGATCACCGCTGCTCCACCACTGCTGTAATACACCCACGCAAGCTGCCTTGGCTCCCGCATTCTAGCTGTGTCCAAACTCCCAAGCCTTCCTCCTCTTGCCCGTCCGCCTACCTGCTTCTCCCTTCCTCGCCGTCCCCCAGCCTATGGCCCTCCTATAGCCCTCCTACGGCCACGGTCAGTGCTTCTCCGCAATTCCTCATTTGACTTACCACCCCCCGTAAAAGTCTTGCTGGTAGCGCTGTGGCGCTGTCATCCGAGGCAGCAGCAACCCGAACGCCGCCGCGCCCGCCGCCGTCACCAACAGCAGCATGGGCGCCCGCGGGTGGGCTGCCATGTCGGCAAGCGGCGGGAAACCCACCCAGTTGCAGAAGGCATGGGCTGCTAGCGGCGCCGCCAGGTGCCCTGTGCGCAGGAAGAGGAAGGTGGCGAGCCAACCGAACACGGTTGTGTAGGCCATCTGGAAGCAGACCTGGGGGTTATGATGGGAGGCAGGGGGGTGAAAAAGGAGCTTGCAGGGCGGCGGGTTGGTAGGGCAGTGGTGGAAGTGCCAAGGGGAGAGGTGCGGATGGTGCGTGGGCGGGTGCACATGCGGCAAACACGGTGCGCTGCGGCACCTCGAGGAAGAGAGGCAGGGAGGCGGGTACGGTACGGTACGGTGCCGCATCGACCAACCCACCCTAACCCACCCACCATGGCCGCAGCCCGCCTCCTCTCTACCCAATGCTTTACTCCCACGTGTGGTCGCCTTTCGGAGATTAGGACGGGTTGCTTTGCGCCCCCACTCGTACCCACCATGGCTGCAGCCCGCCCCCAGCTCAGCCGCTGGTGCCGTACCAGCTCCCCCGCGTGGTGCAGGTGCGCCGCTCCGAAGAAGAGCGGCGTCAGCAGCACCACTCGCGTGTTGCTCAGGCCCTGCACACGGCGGGAATCCAAGGCGTTCTGAGTCCGCAGGTCGTCTCCCTCCCTCCTCTCCAGTTGCTTCACGTTTCTTTAGTTTTTTCCTGCCCTTTCCGCCCCGGCTCCCTCCTCTCCGCCCCCCACCTCCCCTCTCGGGCCCCGCCCTCACCTCCATCCTGAGCAGCGGGACCATGCAGGCGCGGAACACGAACTCCTCCGTCAGCGGAGCCGCCACAAGGTTGCGCCACAGCCGCAGGTCACTGGCGGCGCCGCCGGCCCATGACGACAACAACCAGGATACCGCTCCGCCGCCGCCACCTCCGCCACCGGTGCTACTGTTACCGCCGCTGCCGCCTCCAACCTCAGCACCAGCGCAGCGACCGTCGTCGACTTCCGCTGCCGCCGCCACCGCTGTATCGCCGCCCTGGCGTTGCCGCCATCTGAGCTCCCCGGAGGCAGCAGCAACGTCAAATTCATGGCCGCCGTACGCCCGCACCGGTACTGCTGCTGCTGCCGCGTCTGCCTCACGGGTTGCGGCAGCAGCAGCAGCAGCCCGCGTGTGCCGTGGCGGCGGTGGCGGTGGCGATGGTGGTGGCGGCTGAGGGCCCTCCAAGCTGTGCAGGTAGAAGAGCAGCGGCCCGGCAAAGAGGGTGGCGCACAGGTAGAGCGAATCGATGATGGCGCGGGGCAGGCCGGGCAGACGGAGGCCCAGAAGGCTCAGTACGGGCGTGGAGACCTGATACCGGTATCAGGGCGGTGCAGGGAATGGATAGGTGGATGGGCGGACGAGTGGCTTGGGGGTGGCTGGGGGTACATTGGAAGCGGATCGTTGGTTGGAGGGAGTGTGCCTGGCAGTTTTACCTCATGGTTGTGCGACGCCCAATAATAGGTTGGCAACCAGCAAACGGCGCATGCTATGCCGGTGCTCAGCAGTCTTCGCTTTATCGTCGTCGGATGGTCCCGTGGGAGGCTTCCGCGCCATATGTACAGCAATCCGACGTATATGCATGCATTGGTTAAGCAAGCTAGAACCGCTAGCAGCATGCCGAATGGCATGTTGGCAATCCTGGGTAACGGATGCTGCGGGGCTTCACGACTAAAAAATGTTCGCAGTTTCTCAGAGTTTATGCCATTTGTATAACACGTATATAACACTTTTGAAGTAACAGGCACTAACTTGCATGGTCACAAACTCACGTCCTGAATCTGAATGGGCTAGCTGTACAGAAGGAGTGGATACTACGCGATCCACAGCTGACATAGTGTCACAACATACATAGGTACATCAATTAACTAACAAGTTCGTGTAGAATGGCGACTGCTTTGTGCCAGGGGCCGTCGGCTCGTATGATCAGGCGTCCAGGTTAGTTGATAGTCGGGTGCATTCTGTGGTAGTTTCTCGTACTCCAAGCTATCTGATAATGCCTAAGCGTTAGAGTATAACTTAATTTGTTGCGTTGCCTAAAGCCTCCGCTTCTACCATGGGCCCATCGTTATGCAAGCATAGCCGCAGTTACCCCGTTGCGGCGACGCAAGGCCAGCATGGATAGCTTAGACCAATCTAAACTAATTCCCTTGGAATTGCCTCGCAGCTTTTGGGGCGCTGGCCGTCCAACCTCTACCCTCCATCCTACCTCGCGCCTCACGCGCCACGGTGCGCACCCAGGCAGCGAACACTGATGCCGGTGCAGCAGGAGTAGCGGCTATTGCCGTTGGGCTTCCGGCCAACGTCATCATGCTCTGGTGAGACTGGATGCGCTGTGCTCTGCGGAAGCTTTAGTAACGACGAATTCTCTGAATGTCTGCTGCACACTTTCCCGTCTTTCAAGAAGGGTATAGTCGCGTCCAGGAAAGCCACCAAGCCGCTAACGAGCATGACACACCCCATCCGCTGCTCCGCGCAGGTCTGAGTGGACGCTCAAGACCACGGGCAGCGGCCTGCCTCCAGGCCCTGGTGGCGCGCTGGGCGCTGCAGGTGGGAACCATTCGCAGATTTTTTCCCCGCAGGCTTCCGCTCCTCCTGGACGAAAAGGCCTGTCTGTCCAAACCCCATGTCGCCATGGGTGGCACACAACACGTCCTCCAACCCATGCCTATACCTGCGAACACCGCCTCTGCGAACGGAAGCAGTCTCTTAGACCTCCTTCATCCAGAGCCACGGTGCCTGACGGTACGGAACCCTTCCCCGCCTCTCCTTGCCTCCTACGTCTACCGCTGCCCCGCTCAGAGGGTGTGAGCTACCTCGCGGTGCTCGCCATCGTGGCCTGGAGCGCCTACACCAAGGCCACCACGGGCAGCGGACTGCCGGCCGGACCCGCGGGTCTGCTGGGCGCGGTGGAGGGCTGCTCCTACCTGGCCGTGCTGGCAGGTGGGCGACCGGGCACCGGGGATGGTACTGGTAGCCGCGGGCCGGTGCAGCTGCAGGGACCAAGGATTAGGGAGGGAGGCTGCAGGACTGGCATCTTGCGGTTTGCTGCCCCGCCGTGCGGTATTGCCCGCATTGTGAAGACTGTAACGTTCACCCAAAGGTTGCGTTTGGGTGGACGTTTCCTTCAACGGCAGACCCCGGTGTGGCCCGGTCCAGTGCCGCTGCAGTCCCTACTCACCGCTTGCTTTATCCAGTCTGCCGTTGTCACTCAACACACACTAGGTATTTTTCTTTCCTTTACCCCAATTGCAGGTGTCGTGGTGTTTGCACTCAAATACCTGTCGTGATGAGCGAGCCCCCGGGTGGACTGGTGCGGCTTCATCGTCCCTGCATCGTACGACGTTTGGGCTTGCAGCATGCAGCTGCACAGCTTTCGCTGCGGCTCAAGACGGCTGCTTGGTGTCAGTGTGTGCCATAAACCCCATATTGTGGGGCCGCAACAGGATTACAATAACCACATGAACGGGCAGCCGTGTTGCATCAGCAGTAGCAAAGTCTTTAGCGCATCCGCCATGCTGCCAGGAATTGACCAGGGCAGCCAGGGGCAGCGAGCAGCTAGCAGTCCTATGCATGTACACCACTAGGAGGGATTACAGCCGAGGAGAGCGGCAGATCCACAACCTACCACCACTCCGCTGCGCGCGATCCCCTCCAGGGACGCGACCCCGATCCCGCCCTGTGGGCGGGGTACCCCCGATGTAACGCCAACAACAACTGCCCACCACCCCCCGAGCAGATGGCTGCTCAGCATCACAAGTTCACAACCCATACCCCAGGCGTGGCAACGGAAACAGCAAACAAAAACACCAAGGCAGCATGGAACATGGATATAGTTCCGGATACCGGCTTATCGTCCACATGACGCAAAAGCACTGCCACACAAGCTACAACACAACGAGCATGGATGAACCAGACACCATGCTGCCATCCCTTGGCGCAGGCAACCACCCGAGTGTGCATGGACGACGGTACGCATGCAAAAACACATGTACGGAGAGCACATTTATGAAGAAGCTGGGGGCCCCCAGTGCCACACATGGTGTGACATAAACTGTTAATACATGTTTTGTCAGTTGACACGGGACACAACTGCGTTGTTAAACGCCCTCTGGGAGGGCGGGCTACCCAATGAGCGCAGCCCACGCCTCCCACCCATGGACATCCAACAACTATAACGGTCCCCAAGACGCCGACGCCAAAGCACAATGTACACGATGTACACAGATTGCAACGGGTGGGAATTCTCCAGCTTCGCTGCAAATCCTAAAGTGCCCCTGCCTTAACTCTCTCTGCTGCTCTCTTCCTACGAACTGCTCCAACAGCCACAGCCAACACGTAACCTTGCCAGGCAAACATGAAAAACATTGTCAGAACGTGCTTTTGTAACTACGTACCACGGCAAAAACTTGCACAGCAGAGGCGGTGCATGTTTGTACCCCATGCTCATCTGCCGGCATTGTGCCCGTGCCCCGTGCTATGCCGTACCAACAGAGGCCGATCTTGAGCTCGCTCACCATCATCGAGTCAACTGACACATGCGGAATACACTGCACCACCAAACCTATATATCAGGGTTGTGGTGAGCTGAAACCGGGTGAACCACACAGCAAGGGAGCGCCTGCACATCAACCTTGGCGCAATGTGCACACAAGGCGATGACAGCATAGGATATGTAATGTAACCAGAATCGTAACCACAGCGCACAGTCAACGGCGCATAGATAGACTGACCGAAGGCACGTCATCGGGGCTTGTGACATGGAAACCCCCCTAGACACCCACCATAATGCGCCCGTCCTCGTGCCTTGCCACCATAACAGTTACGTGACAATGTTCACAGTGATAACATCAGCAGGCAGTACGCAAGCCCACACCCCAGATAAACTTAACATACAGTTACCATGGTCAGCCCACGGTTAGAGCCGATTTCGCGATGCTGCACAATAGGTCAACTTCGCTCGCTATGGCGGCTGCACTCGGCACAGCGGGTGCTCTCGGCACAGCCAGCTTTGGTACCGGCAAAGCCTACACATGCCTATAGCCCCCCATACACACGTGACACGTCTTGGGAGTAACTTCCACATGCCGTCATGTTATACCGTACAGCATCCCAACAGCATCCCAAACACAATGTCGTAAACGTTGGTAATGCTACTACAAGGAAACAAACAGTTCTGCATGCGCAACGGAAACCCCCAGCACACCCACTACGACATGCAGGAAAACAGCCCCCAAGGTGCGGGCGCTTCTTGCTCCCATCCTCAGCACTTGGGCTGCACTTACTAAACACGAGGGAAGCGGACCAAATAAGCGGCCACGGCCTGCCCCTCCCAGGCATCGCGATGCCCGGACTACGTGTGTCATCGCACATATGGGGCCCAGGGCTGCCAAAGCAGCTGAAAACAGTCGATCTAGCCACACGCGCTACCGCCTACACCCCCTAACCCACCATCCCCGGATGGCGAGACAGCATAGCCCTGTATCTTCTGTCTTAGCTCCATATGCTTGGCATGTGCCTCAGCATAACGCTGCTGAGCAGCCGCGAGCTGTGATGCTAAGCTGTCCCGCTCCTCATCCACACGGCGGGCATGCTCATTAAGGTCGCGTTCCGCCTGTTTGCGTTTGAGTTTGCTCCGCTTTGCCGACTCGCGATTGGCCTGTTTGCGCTTGAGAAGGCGCTGCTCGCGTTCGCGCTGCAAGGATGCTGCATCTTCATCCTCCTGTAATTGATCCTGCAGAGGCTGCTCGGGATGCTGGTCTTCAGCACTTCCAGAGGTGCAGCCGCTGAATGCGCCGGCTGCGTAGTAACTGGGCCACATGGTAAGCATTGGCTGGGAATTGGCCGGCGCTCCACCACGCTGCTGACCTGAGGCCAGCGCCGGCTGCCCATTCATTATATCTTACGTAAACTGGTGTTGTCACTTGTTGTTCATAGTGGTCAAGCGAAGCGGACCGTCCGGAAGTAGAGAGAAGACAGAGCCAGTGGAAACGAAACCTTTACGTGGATGCCGATAGTGGTGTCGAGCTACGGGATAACAGTAGGTCCCAGTAGGGTGCGCTGTTTTGCAAGCCCTGTTTCTATCTCGAATCCTGTACGACGGTTTCTCCAAGGTATCTTCTCCCAGGATTGTGCAGTGCAACGCCTAATTGGCTACAGAATCACAAAGATGGCAACCCTTCAAGCCCCAACTGCGTCTTTTGCAAAAACATGCACAGACGGTGCCAGACGCGGCGTCGCCGCTCGGATCACTTTTCGGGGCACGCCGATTTCTCATAGCGCACCAATCTCAGCGCCTGCATCTCAAAACTCACTGCGTGTAGCTTCTCGCAACCGCAGCTCTCCGCAGGTGGCAGCGAGCTCGACCCCCGGGCCGTCGCCGCAGTCGACACAGGCGCCAGAGGGCCCCCAAACACGTTGGTGGGTTGACACCACTAAACACTTTGCCGACACCCTTAGTGCGGTACCAACGCACATGAGACATGACAAAAAACAGCGCACACCTGCCCTTCGCTTACCATGTCGCCAACCGAACCCGAAATTGACTACCGTAAAACCCTCCCGTGCATGCCTTCTTCCTCCCTCTCTTCTTCTATCAAAGACCCGCCTGAGGTGTCGCTCCTCTAACCCATCAGTCTCCATTCTCCGCTCGGGACGCCACATTCCTTGCTTGTCCTGCTTCCTTGCTCTCATCCAACTGCCTCCTCTACTAACCACCAGCTCCCTCCCCTCTTTGCACCATCCACTCTCGCACCCGGGCCCCACCCTCACCGGCCCCGGCTCCTAACCAGGCTCCAGAAGACTGTCGTACTGCCGCCGTACCCTCGCGGTTGCCACGTCATCACCCGCCGGATCTATGAGATGGTTCCGGAGCTTGCGGCGTTTGAAGTGGGTCTGGCGCACATCTTCAGTTGAGCGGGGGAATACACACACACACACATGGGAGCGGTGTTGACGGGTAGAGAGCGGTCGGGGAGGGTGCGTCCTTCACGTGTAACCTGCTTAGTACCTTGGCTGGCTTGGAGGCTTGGCCGCCCTTATTGGTTTGGTTCATGGTCTGGCTGATTGGTGCGTGGCCCCAACCCCATCCTGCTCATATCCCCCATCCCCCGGCTCGTGCCCCCGCCCCCCGCCCCCCCTGCCCCGCAGTCCAGCACACGAGCGCCTCCCTCACCGTCAACGAGAACGCCTCCCCCGAGGTGCCCCTGGACCTCAATGTGAGGGGGGCAGGGTGGGGGCATGTAGGGGGGCATGAAGGGGGCCAGGGTGGAGGCATGCAGGGCATGTAGGGGGGCAGGGTGGGGGCATGTAGGGGGGCAGGGCGGGGGCATGCAGGGCGTATGACTGGTGCAGCATCCAGCTAGGGTGGTGAACTGTTTCGGTCGTAAGGAGGCCAGGTGGAGTGGTGTTGGGTCATCCGGTGGGTGGGGAGTTGGTGTTCCTTTGGAGCTGGCCTTATGAGACACTACGCACCTCGCCGCTGCTCGTGTTTTCCCCTACCCCTACCCTCTACCAACCCATAGGACGCCCTAGACCGCCTAGCACCGGAGGGGAACTACTACCGGCATGACGACGAGGGCTCCGATGACATGCCGGCGCATGTGGTGAGGAAGACCCATGGGTCGGTCGGCAGGCAGGCAGGGAGGGACACCACCTCACCGGTGTGCCGGTGAAGCTACCTGACCCGTCCTGTCCCCCGGGAACTTTAAACACTTCTCCCTCCCGCCCCCCCCTCCCGCCTCGTCCCGCCCCGCAGAAGAGCAGCCTCATGGGTGTCTCGCTGCTGCTGCCCATCAGCCGGGGGCGACTGGCACTGGGCACTTGGCAGGGGGTGTACCTCAACGAACACAGGTGGGCGGATGGGGGCAGGGTGGGGGCGGGGTGGGGTGGGGTGCCCTGATCGGTGCTGTGTTGCCTCTCTTTTCCGCTTGCTTCCACCTTCCATACACGTGCCCAAAAATACGCTGGTGTTGCTAGCCCTCCTGCCTGCCTTCCCCACCGCCTTCCCCACCGCTTGCCCCACCACCGCCACTATCCTGCCGCCTGCCCGCCCACCCGCCTGCCGGCCGCACACACCCCAGGAACAGCGGCGGCCCCAGGACGCTGCTGGTGACGCTGCAGGGGCAGGTGCGCGGCGACGGACGCAAGTACGCACCCGCTGGGAGCGCCGTGTGAGCGTCGCTTCCGCAGTTGTGCTGCCGCCGCCGCCGCAGCAGCCGCTGCAGCAGCAGCAGCAGCTGGGCACTGCAGGGTGCGGCAGTGTACCATCGGTGCCATCTGGTACCATTAACAGCAGAGTGCCCTGCAATGATAAGGCGGCCTGGAGGCCCTGACTGCGTTGTGTGAGGCCGTTCGAGGTGGTATGAGAGGCGCGGCGGCAAGATCTCTGCATTGGGGAGCAAAGATCTGGTTAAGATCCAGATCTTGGATTGGGCGCCGCATGAAGAGCTGGGAGGCGTGGAAGGCGGCCGGTGGGAGATGGCAGGAGCTTATGTTGCAGGGAGGGTATGGTGTGGGTGGATGAAGACGAAGAAGCGTGTTACGGAGCGATGGGGTGTTGGTTACCTCTTTATGACTGCTCTTTGACACTGGCCTTGGAGACTCCACTTGGACATGCGGTGGGCATCAGGCATCTCCCAACAGTGGACTTGGCGCTGACACCCAGCTCCCATCACGCACATCAATGCCATCACAAAATGAGGGTGTTGCAGTGTAGCGTGCAGGTGGAATATGAGTGAAGTTGACCAGTTTGGAAGTACCGGTACTAGGATGGCAGGGCTGCAACTCCAAAAGCTGCAGCGACTGGTGAGTGTTAAGGCTAGATGTTTGACAGCAGTTATGGCGGTTTGAGTGCCGGCAATGAAGGCTGTTTAGGGTGAAACTTGTATGCAACTTGCCGACGTCGTGACATAAGTCGCCTTGCGCACGCGGGACCTGGACGCGATCGCGTGCGCAGCAGTATGTAACATAGTAGTATCCAATAATTTGCGCAGCGACCTGGCGTTGACGCCATAGCATCTCCGTCGCATGGGGCGCTTTCCACGTCGGATCTAGCAAGGAAATCCGGTGCCTGCAACCGTCTTTCGAGCAAATCCAAACACAGCCCGCAGGCTTGCAAATCCATAGAAGCTAAGAGTGTTGCAGCATCTTTTATAACCGGGGCAGTATATTTGGTATCAAGCGAGTACACGCTGGCCTGTGCTGCAGTAACGCATTGACCAATCTCGTGCTTTACGCGACTCCTGCATACAACTTGTGCCAGAATTTTTGGGGCCTGCGGGCCTTTGTTACCTCTTGCAATTTACCATGTTATCGCGCCAGCCGGGTGCCCATAGAACAATTCATCGTAGGGATCATTCTAGAAGGCTATGCGCATCTTTACGGCCGCATTTAAACGTTGCACGGACACGAGCATCGGAGCAACAGTATGGACCGCGACAAGTGGTTGCTCGGCCTGACGGGCCTGAACAGCGAGGAGGCCAGTCAGGTTCTGAGCGTGACTCGGACTCTGATACCGAGTCGCTTCCTCTCCTAGTAGCGGAGGCTAAGGGCGATGACACATCCAAAGCTGGCACTCTCGCGGGATTAGGCTCCATCGGAGGCATCGTGCTGTTGCTCGCTTCCGGCATGCTGCTGAAGGACACCATCAAAGACTTCCTGGTAAGTAAATCCCGCCTACCTCTGATGGCAGCAGACGCCTCCGCTCTTCCACACTCCCCGTCCCAATCCATCCATCCATCGACTCCCATCTCATTGCCTCCTAACACCCCACCTTTCTTCCCTCTCCCGTCCGCTCCCTCCCAGGAGTTCTTCATCTCCGCTGTAGACAGCTGGGGCCCTCTGGGCTATGTAGCTTACGCGGCCGTATACACGGGTCTGGAGGTTCTCGCAGTGCCCGCCATTCCCCTCACCATGACTGCCGGGGTCATCTTCGGGCCCATCCCCGGCACCATCGTCACCTCGCTCAGCGGTACGGCCGCAGCCACGATCGCCTTCCTCATCGCGCGGTACGCGGCGCGGGATCGAGTGATGCGGTGGGCTCGGAGGAACAGCAAGTTCGCTGCGATTGACCGCGCGATTGCAAAGAATGGGTTCAAGGTGGGTGAGATCTCACACGATACTGAAATGATGGCAGGAAGTGTGAGAAGGGGAAAGTGAGGCGGCAAGTTGGCGATCCGCTCTGACCAGGGTTGCCACACAGCACGCCCCGCTGCAAACAGCCCTCCCGTCCCCTCGTTCCTGAGCCACATCTCTCTAAACCCCTCTTCCTACCTAGAGCAACCAACCCCATCAACCCCACCTCCTCCACCACCACCCTACTCTTCAAACAACCTTTCGCAGTTCGTAACGCTGCTGCGGTTAAGTCCGCTCTTTCCGTTGGCGGTTTCCAACTACCTGTACGGTCTCACCAGCGTGGATCTTGGATCCTACGTGGCAGGATCCTGGCTGGGTATGCTGCCAGGCACCTACGCCTATGTGTGTTCGGGGCACCTGGGGCGAGCTGCGCTGCTGCACGGGGAGGGGAGTGTGGGCGTGGAGGCGTGGCAGGTGGGGTTGGGGCTGGGGGTAACGTCGTTGGCGGTGGGGTGGGTGGGGCAACTTGCGAAGAACGCGATTGAGGAGGCGGAGGCGCAGTCGGATGTTGAGGAGGAGGACGGGTTGGAGGGGCAGGGGCAGGCGGGGCAGGGGACGAAGGGAGCGGGTAGTGAGGAGGGGCGGCGGTGAGGAGGGGGCGTGAGTGGGTGAAGAGGGCGGCAGGAGGAGGGTACTTGGAGGATAAGGGTGTACTCGAGCGTGACACACGGCAAGGCGGGAGAGAGACTGCTGGCAAGAAGCACGCACAGAAGCGCATGAGGGGAGAGCTGGGGGCCGGCGTGGCTGTGCGCATGCTAAGCAGGTGGCATTCCAACCTGCTTGTTGGCAGCCTTTGGTTGGACGGCTTAGGAGGAGGAGAGAGAGAGTGAGAAGAGAAGAGAAGAGTGATGAAAAGGACACGAGAAGAAATTGATTCGCTGTTAGTAGCTGTGTTGCAGTTGGGTTGATGGCTGGGTTAGTTGGCTGCTATGCTATGCTTTTTCGGTGTTGAATGTGTACTGCTGTCTCAATCGCCACGGCGGGTGGGAGGAAGAGCGCATGCTGCCATGCGCGCGCACAGCTGGAGAATTATGAATATACTTGGATGTGCTCGGAAGAGTTAAAGCGGTCAAGGTGTGGTTAGTCTTGGTGGTGGTGGCGGTAGGTGTCGTGTATTCCTGTCACATTCCTGTTCCCTCTGTGGCTGGCGTCGAGGATGTCCCATGGACCCATGGGTCGGTTTTGCAGCAATGAGAGTGAAGGGATTGCAGCAAATCTACATGCTGTGTTGCATGTGGATGGAGCTTTTGACGTTCAAGGAGGGCCATGTGGCATCGTGCGCGAGTCGACGTGAGCAGGGCGGCAGTGGCCGGAATGCCCTCAATAACACCTGACCCCTCAATGTGGTGCGGATGATGGGTAGTGGTTATACTTAACAGTCGGTAGGTAAACAGGTGCAACAACAGGCTCAAAGCTCCCTCGTATTCCTGGAGTAAATGAGCAGATGGGGGGTCCAATTGCAAGTGTGTTGGCCCCTTTTTTGATACTAACCCCTGAGCTGCACCGTTGGGTACTGATACCGTATCGTGACTTGACATGGGCCCACATGGCATGGGTGGTGTGGACGATTGAAGGTGATAATGCGCAGCTGCAACGAGTCGGGTGCAGTAGTCTGGTGCACTGCACACGGTGGAATGGCTGGTTCTCACAGGCACGGTGTGTGTACGGTTCTCTAGCACACGCCTGTGCTAGAGGGGGTGCCGAGGGGTGTGTGTGCAATGGGTTGCAGTGCTGGGGGCTGCCGCAGAGGCTTGCAAGGTGGAGAGGGAGTGCTGTGGTCGCGCATGCATTCCGAGCTGCAAAGCAACGACATGAGGATACCGGTACCGATATGAGGGGGGACTGCCTTGGGCCCCGGGGGTTAGGTAGATTCGTGGTAGTAAAGGAGTGAAGCGGCAAGATAGAGCTTGTAGGCTGAGGTTGCTGGGGTTTGGTTGAGACAAAACATGAAACCTGCGGTGGTGGTGGTGAATATTTTACTTTGCGAGAGGAGGGAGCTGCGTGCTGCTTGTTACATTCAGATGCGTCATTTGGTTGTGTGTATCCGAAGCGGGATGGCTTTTGTATTCAAGTTATACTGCAGTACTGCATGGATGTCATGTGTACGAGGGTGCGCACGTGTGGCATCCCAGACGTTTGTGGCCGATACTCGAAGTCCGTGGACAAAAAGAATTATGCGGCGGCGGAGACAGGGGCAATAACGAACCAGGCATGTGGCTTGAATTGGACATGTGTCAATCTCCTGATGAACTGGACGATTTCTAAACATTCGCATTGTGCTAAAGGGATTGACGAGCCACTGCGCCGTACAAACGACGCACTCCGTTGCCCAATCGCTAACCGCGCACTCCGTCCCCGCCACTTGACAAACAACGCAGGGCTACCCAAAGGAGGCGGCAGCCCCATTCGTTGGGGATTCGGGTGTATTTCAGAAGACTCATTTCCTTCTGCACAACAGCCGCCACCTTAGTAGGAGAGCTCAGACGGGGAGACAAGCCAGCCAGCTAGCCGGCCCTGGCCAGCCGAAGTGACACGAACACACACGCACATGCACACCCGCGGCATCCGAGCAAGCAACAACCCGGTAAACAAACAAACAGCACACACCGTAAGTAAGGAAACAGCGCGGCATACAGTAAGGAACGACGTGAGGGATGGTGCCTTTGACCTAGTCCAAACCACAACAGGCCACACATAGTCAAACACCGTAACAACCCACAAGCACCCCATGCACACCCGGGCCACCAGCAGAGAGGTCATCAGCATCAGCAGCATTACCATCCCGCCACACCTGCACTCCCCCTTCATCACCTCCCTCCTCACCTCCCTTCCCGCACACCTCCTCATCTCCCTCCCCTCCCACCTGCTCCCCTCCCTTCCCTCTCTCCTTATCACCGGATGGGGTGGGATGGGTCGTACCCAACGTAGCAACCCATGGTAAAGCCCCCTCGCCACACACAGCTCCCCTCACTTTCCTTATCCTTTCCCTCCCTCCTCATCATCGTGGCACCTCAAACTCCGGCAGCGGCTGCTTCTGGAAACTGTTCCGCAGCTGCCCACACGCAGCCGCCGCCTCCAGCCCGCGCGTCTCCCGCACCGTCACGCCCAGCCCCCCCGCCTCCACCGCCCGCTTGAACGCAAACACGCGGTTGCGACTGGGGCGGCTGTAGGGGCTGTCGTCCACGGGGTTCCAGGGTATGATGTTGACATGCGACAAGGCCAGATCGAAGCGGCGCAGCAGGGCCACCAGCTCCGCGGCGTGTGAGTCGCTGTCGTTGACACCAGCCAGCAGGGTGTACTCGAAGGTGATGCGGCGGCCGGTGCGCCTGGGGTGTGGGAGGTGGGGTGGGGTGGGGTGTGGGAGGTGGGAGGTGGAAGGTGGGGTGGAAGGTACAGGGTGCAGGGAAGGCAGGGGTAATGAGGAATGGATGGGGATGTGTGACCCCGTGTACGCTGCCTGGCGGCAACGGCCGGGTAGCAACACGGAGGCAGGCGGGCAGGCAACTCCACTCCACCCCCCACCCCCACCCCCACCACCCCACCTGTAGAATCCCGCGCAGTCCGCCATGAGCGCCTCCAGCGGGTATGCGCGCGCGGAGGGGATGATAGCGGCCCGCAGCTCCTGGTTGGGCGCGTGCAGCGACACCGCCAGCGTGGCCTTGCAGGGGGCTTTAGCCAGGCGGGCGATGGCGTTGGGGACACCTGGGGTGAGGCGGAGCAGAAGGGGGGCAGGAAGGGAAGTCGGCAAGACGTGAACTGCACTCTCCCATGCCACCGGCTGGCTGCCGCTCCCGCCCGTTCACCCGTTCCCCCGTTCCCCGCGCCACGCCAATTGCCTCGGCGCTGCCAACTGCCCCCCATCCAGTCGGGATATGGGCTTACTGGGACTCCGTTGCTTGTTCACTTTCCATTTGTTTCTTGCGCCCCATAACCCAACACCCCCAACCCAACACCCCAACCCCCCCCCCTGTCCGCACTCACCCACTGTGGAGATGGTGATGAATGGCCCCCCTATTCCCAGTTGCTGGTTGAGCAGGTGGTAGGCGGACAGCACGGAGGGCAGGTTCAGCAGCGGCTCGCCCATACCCATGAACACTGGGGGGGGGAGAGGGGGGGAGAGGGAGGGTGTTTTCAACGGCCATACCGTACCGTAGGTGACCACAGGTTAGGGGGGGGCAAAGACCATACCGTACCATAGGAAACAACAGGTTAGAGGGGTTCAGAAAAGATCAGGGGAGAAATCCACTCACCCACGTTGCCCCCCCCCACTCACCCACTTACCCCCCCCCCACGCCCCCCCCCCCCCCCCCCCCCCCCCACTCACCCACCCCGCCCGCCCCCCCCCCCACTCAACCCCTCCCCCACCCCCCTTACTCACCCACGTTGCTGACCCTGCGCCCGTACGCCTCCTGCACGCTCATCACCTGGTCCGCGATCTCGTGAGGGGCCAGGTGGCGCGCGAAGCCGCCCTTGCCGGTGGCGCAGAAGGTACAGCGCATGGGGCAGCCAACCTGCGGAAGGGGGGGGGTCGGGTGGAGGGGGGGTGTCGGGTGGAGCAGTGGGAGGGAGGTAACAGTCATCCAGTTCGTCAGTTTCCCTTATTTTTACCCCACCCCCCCCCCACACACACACACCTGCGACGACACGCACACCGTGAGGCGCCCCTCCGCGGGAATGCCCACCGTCTCCACGATGCGGCCGTCGTGAAGCTGAGGGGGGGGTGCGGGGGGGGAGGGGGGAAGGGAGGTGAGGAGCAGGAGAGGGAGGAAAGGGTTCAGTCATGCAGGGCGGCACGGCCACCCACAGCACAGCAGGGCGCTACCACCTACCCACCCACCCCACCTACCCACCCACCCCACCCACCCACCTACCCCACCCACCCACCCACCTAACCAATGTAGCAACCCATGGTGAAGCAGCGTCATAGAACTCGTCCGTTTCCTCTTTTCACCCTTCAAACCCCCCACCCCCCCCACCCTACCTGCAGCAGGAACTTGCGTGTGCCGTCCGGGTCCCCCGCGCTGTGGTGCAGCAGCGACCGGCCCGTGCGCACCCCGGCAGCAGCCAGCTGGGAGCGCCAGGACTGGGGGATCTGGGGGGAGAGAGGGAGGGGAGGGAAGGGGAGGGAGATGGGGTGTGGGATTAGATAAACTGAGTCGCCGCAAGGAAACACAATGGGGAGGTGCGGGAGGTGCGGGACACGGGGTGAGGAGGTGCGGTAGGAGCAGGTGGAGGAGGAGGCATCAGCGCATCACTAGAGGAGCAAGCATGCATGCAGGCAGGCAGGCAGGCAAGGACAGACAGGCAAACACGGTGTAGCAAAGCCGCAGAAAAGCACTCTGGTGAGGGGGCTGGGGTCGCACGCCCCTCCCTCCCTCCCTTCCCCCCCCCAGCCCAGCCCCCACCGTGGTGATCTCCTCCACGCTCCGCGCCCCCCGCAGCACCGCCTCCTGCAGCTGCCGGCCCCGGAAGCGCGGCTGCCCGAACCGCTCCGCCAGCGCCTCCAACACCGGCAGCTCACTGCCCAGCAGCACCAGACCTGGAAGGGAAGAGGAGGGGGCAGGGAGGAGGTGGAGGAAGGGAGGAGGAGGGGGCAGGGAGGAGGTGGAGGAAGGGAGCAGCAGGGAGGTGGAGGGGGCAGGGAGGAGGAGGGGGCAGGGAGGAGGTGGAGGAAGGGAGGAGGTGGAGGAAGGGAGGAGGAGGGGGCAGGGAGGAGGTGGAGGAAGGGAGCAGCAGGGAGGTGGAGGGGGCAGGGAGGAGGAGGGGGCAGGGAGGAGGAGGGGGCAGGGAGGAGGAGGGGGCAGGGAGGAGGTGGAGGAAGGGAGCAGCAGGGAGGTGGGAGGGCAGGGAGGGGTGGGGGCAGGGGGCAAACATCAAGTGAGAAGGCAAGCAACTGGAGTCCCCATCCCAGGGAGGACATGGGGCAGCAGGGGTGGGACAGGGGGCGAATGGAATAACCGCCTGCACGGCGCAACGCACATGCTGACATGCATCTTCACTAACTTCCACCAAACCCCTGCCTCTATCCTTCTGCTGCCGTACCTTTCAAATCATCCAGCTGCTGCTGCGGCTGCTGCGGTTGTTGCTGTTGCTGGTGGTTACGTGCGCTCCGAGCACCCGCCGCACTCCGCCCCGCTGCCGCCGCTCCACCACCCGCCCCCGCCTTCCCCACCTCCCCCGCCCCCACCGCCACCGCCTCCGCGTCCCGCTGCGCCTGCCGTACAACCTGCCTGTCCGCCTCGCTCCACTCGCCATCGCTAATACCCGGGTTGCGAGGCACAAAGGTGGGGTACACGGGTCCCTCAGGCAGGGATGCCAGGGAGGGGGATGGGGCAGCAGCAGCAGCAGCGGGTGCAGCGGCGGATGAAGCTGCAGCAGCCGAAGCTGCAGCGGCGGCGGCGACGGTAGCGGCGGCGGCGGTGCGAGTAGTACGAGCGCTGGGTGTAGAGTGCTGCGAGGAGGTGGATGGTGGGGAGGAGGAGGAGGAGGAGGAGGAGGAGGAGGGGGGTGCTGACGAGGGTTGGCGATGTGGTTCAGTGGCTGACCTGTCACGGCTATCAGCCCACAGCTGCTGCCTAGGTCTCTGCTCAGCGTGCACCTCATTCAACCTCCTCCCCTGCTGTTGCCGCCGCTGCTGCGATTCCCTCTTCTCCTCCTCCCCGCCATCAATGTCACGCGGCCGGGCACGCCTCCCCTGCTGCTGCTGCTGCTGCCCCTGCCGCGGCTCCCTTTCCATCTGCCGCCCTGAGCCCGCCGGGACTCCTCCTGTGGTACCCCGGCGGCGCTGTGAGGATGACGTGGCTCCCGACGCCTCCCATTCCTCCTCGCTGACGTCAGCAATGTCGCCGTACCATTCGTCGTACTGCTGAAGCGCCCGGCCGCGCGGACGGGAAGCGCGAGCGCCCTCGCCGTCACTCTGACGACCGCTGAAGCGCCAGCTGCTGCTGCTGCTGCTGGTGTTGTTCGCCTCTGGGCGTTGCTCGTCGGGGGACGCGACAGCTGCGGAGCGAGATCCCCTGAGCCCCTCCCTTGCCCGCTCCGATTCCCTGCCGGTGGAGATGCTGCGACTGCTGGGCGCTGTGGCGGAGGCTGCGCTTCTGGTGGTGGTCAGCATGCGCATCCCGGTAGAAGCCATGGCGCAGCTAGGCAGCGTCGAGGTAAGCCGATTGGTGGGTGGAGAGGTAAAGGGGTCCGAGGAGGGCATCAAGGTGGCAATCCCCCAGGCCTTATGGAGCAGTGGCTCCAGTGTGCGGACAGGAGCCGCGGCCGCCACAATCCGAACGTCATGGCTGGAATGTGACGACCGGCGCTGAATTCCAAGGGCTGCTGGCTGTGCCGTAAACGATTTCGGAGTTACTTGAATTGAGCAAAAGCGGCAAGCTCGTAGTGGCTGCGCGACAACTGGGGCAATTGCGAGAGGGGTATGGCCACCGGCTAGAAGGCGACGCCCGCAGGTTACCATCATGGCCGTAAGCACGCAGCGTTAACGGAATATAGCCCGAAAAATTCGCCTATGCGACTTCAACCCGTCTGTTCCGGCCCGAAAAGTGTTGCATAAGCGCTCGGTTAACCGACAGCTGCACCTATGCTTAGTGTCAATGATCCACAATGCGTACCAACTTGTCACAGCAAGTTTGAGGACCGAAAAGCCAATATCAGGGATGCCAATACGGCGATTCTGCTATCGGGGCTTGCTCGGCCTTTCAGAGCATTGTGACGCCTTTGCCATCCTCCACAGCAGTTTTCATACCCGTCGATTAGCAGCCATACTAGAAGGAATAGTACACAGAAACGTCCATACACAGCGGTGTACTAATTCCATATCCACGTCGGCTTTTTCTTTAGGACTGTACGCTGGAGCTAAGAGATTCTGTTCCGGTCCTTAAAAATAATGTGTAATCTACGTGCTGAGTACTTTATATCACCTGCGGTCATCCAATGGTGGGAGGAGCGCGGGCGCCTGTGGGGTCCCATTGCCTCTGGCGCCCTATTCGGAGCTGGCTGGTGGTTCTGGGTTGACGCAGTCAGTATCAGCCACCATAAGGTTCCTTTCGACCAGGTAGCTACGCCGCTGGCCTTGCCGCACCACCCTCCCCGGCTGCAAGACTTCAATTGTCGCCCAACCGACGTCCCCTTGCCCTATCAGCCAACATAAGCCCCGGCCCTGGAGTATAATCAATATACGAGTCTCTGTAACACCCCTGCTGTTAATAACTGCTGTTAAATTCCTCGCTGACTTGTCGCCCATCCCCCAGTACATCCCCGGCATCATCGCCACCCTGGCCCTCATCATGATCAACTGCATCCGGCGAGACGACATGGACGACTACGACCCCTTTGATGATGCGCAGTTCTGCAGGTGGAACCAGTTAAAGTGATACGGCCCCATGCATTGCTGGGTTAGGGTCAGGGGTTCCAGGTCGTGGGCTTGAGGGTGTTGCATGCTGCAGTAAGGTGTGTGAACGCATCCCTTACCCCAGCCCTCGGCCCTTAACTCCCAACCTGCCCCGCCCCTCCTCCCTCCTCCTCCTCCCTCCCGCTCCTGCGTGTCAGGTCGCGGTTGTGGTTGTTCCTGTCGTACGTGGTTTCCTTCGCGTCCATCCTGGCGGCCGTGTGGGTGATGCTGGCCCACTACGGTAGGGAGGGGAGGGCGGGCAGGGGGAGAGGAGGCGGCACCCTGGAGGGGAGGGCGGGCAGGGGGAGAGGAGGCGGCACCCTGGAGGGAAAGTTAAATGAAGGGTGAAGCAACGGAGTCCCAATCCCATATCCCGACTCATGAAGTGAGCGCACTCGGAGGGGAGGGAAGGGGAGGGCAGGGGAGAGGAGGCGGCACCCTATGTGGAGGGATAGGGAGAAAGAGAGGGAGGAGGACGCTACTAAGCCAGAGCTGCATGGGCTCTTTCGGCCATGCTGACAGCTTCACAGCTCTCCTGCATGATCTGCAGCGTGCAGCCTCTAGTCTCCTACCTGCTTCTTGTACCTGGTTCTTGTACGGCACGTGTAGTCGTACATGTAGCATGGGCTATCAACATGGGGTGTGCCGACCGGGCGCGGATGGCTGCTGTTTTTCTCTCTCCTCATTTTTGTCAGGGTTAACCGGTAGGATCCCCCGCTGGCTGGAAGAGCCACTGAAGCCCGGCTCCCTTGCTGACCCACACCCCCTCATGCCCTCCCGCCCTCGCTGCTGGCCTCCTAACACTGCTGTTACCCCCTCTGCTTGCCCTCTTGCAGCTCACAATCCGGACTTGTCAGCCAGCGAAAAGTGGCCTGGAGCGGTGCGTCGTGTGCCGCCTCCCTCGTGTGGGATTGCTGGGGCTCGAAGGACCAGGAAGGACTAGGGAGGTTACAGAAGCGGGTTGGCGTGATGTGGAGGGATGGGAGGGTGGCTCTTGAGTGTTAGCGGTAGTAGCGGGAACACAGGTTTGGAGGGAGTAAGGGGCTGTGGGGATTGCGATTTTACCCCTACCCCTACCACAACCGCCACAAGTACCAAGCAAAGCAGTACTACCAACTAACTCAACCACCGAACTCACCCCGTGACATCTCCCCCTCCTCCCCAACCACCACCATCCCCAGGCCGGTATCTTCCAAGTGACGTTCATCCTAGGCAGCGGGCTGCTCTTCTTCGTGTCCAGAACACCCGCGGATAGCGGCGGTTACGCAGCATTCTGATGATGACCCATGGGTCAGCAGGCGGGCGGCGGTCCAACATGTCCGCCGAGTACTAACCATATCGTAATGATAAGCTACTATTACGGAGTGCTTGCAAGCGCAGCGCTAGCGCCGGGTTATCATGGTGACACTCCTCGCATGACTGACTTGACACAAACGGACCCACAGCAGCACAGCTCGCACTTTGCCAAAGGCAAGAGGTCGACATGGGGTGCTGAAGTGCTCTGCTGGGGCCGTGCTGCGTCGCCTCTTTTTGCAGGGTGGTTACCTCGCGTGGGGTTACGGGCGCTGTGTGTTAGGGAGCCATCCAACAGGTTGACTTCGCAGGTTGGCATTGCAGGGTCGAGGTGCATGGGAAGGCGCACTGGCAGGTGTGGTAAGAACATTGACTGCGAGTTTGGTTTGCAAGGGAGGGTACCGGTAGGCAGGAGGCGCTCTCTTACCGTTGCAGGTGTGTTACAGATGTGCTTCTTGAACTCAATTTACAATCGGACACGAATGCATGAAGTGTGCGGAGGGGTGGTGTGAGAGAGGCACAGGCTGGACGATTGAGTGAAGATGTGGTGAAAGAGAGATATGAAGGCGAGAGACAAGGCATGGACCTGCTAGGCCTGAATCGATCATCAAGCCTTGAAAAAGGCAGTGACAGAACTCGACATGGGAACGCAGAACGCGCCCAATTGAGTCAGGCCACACAGTATCCAAGCGTGCATCAACATGCCCCCCTAAAACAACCTGACCTGATCTAACCTGTGGTTTCCTATGGTATGGTGTGGTCTTTGGCCCCTTATAACATGTTACATTCATTACGATCCAAACTGTCTTGGCGTACCGTAATCACTCCACAAGACCACAAACCCCACATAGGACAGCGCCTAACAGCTGGCCAGCAAACCATGTGCCTAGTAAGGTGGAACGGGGTCACCTGAATACCCATGACTGATATGTGCAGGGAGAGAGAGGTGGTGTTGGAGGGTTAGTTGCCATGGCTCCATTGCAATGCATGAAGGCATCCTGTGTATTGCACTTGCAATGGAATAGCATGTGAGTAAGCTAGCCAAGGACTCGGATCCTGCCTGGAAGGTTTACCGTGGGACTTCAGCACTGGGCTCACGGCGACACTGAAGTTGCAAGTAATGCATTGGCAGGGAAGCAGAGACCTCGTTACATGATGACGGGCAGGGAACTAGGGAGACGGTCATGCAGTTGTTACAGGGGTGTCTTCAGCGTCACCCCTGTAACAACTGCATGACCGTCTCCCTAGTTCCCTGCCCGCCATAACATAACGAGGTATCTGCTTCCTGCCAACGCATGCTGCGTGTGTAGGAGCCCTGCAACCAACCGACAATCTAACAGCCACCGCTGCCAGCACAGTCATATACCTGGTGCTGCACTGATACCTACATCTGCACCCGCTCGCACCTGCCATCATCAATCAATGTGCCGTCACAAACCTGCATTACTGCAGTTACCTGGCACGCTTGTTCAGTTGACAACATGCAGTGTCAACTGAGCGAGCGGAACTCCAGCATACGTACCGATTCACCACACACACACAGACACTCACGTCCTGTTTCCTTCTGTGCGATACTCTGCCCGCCCGCCCTATCTATCATACACAAACAATCACACCCACGACCACCCAGACTCCCATCGCTCTGGCTGTGTAAGCGTGTTCTGCATGTCTCCCTCACTCGCAACAACATTGGCCCTAGCAACAACATTGACGGTGCTTCTGGCGTCCCAATAATGTGCTTTGACATGAGGACACGTGTGTTTTAATGCCTGCCATACTGCAAACAGGCGGCATCCACCAAACCACCACGCTACCTCCGTCGCCGTGGGCCCAACACCAATACCTAACAACTGTAGTAGCCGCGCCTGCAGCAGAGGATGCAGCCATCTACCCACGGCAGGCACCCACTGCATGCATCTAGGCCTTAGCGCCCTCAGGCCTCACCAGCTCCCAGCAGCGGTCCAGCAGCTCGCAGAGCGTCCCCGCGGGGATGAAGACTCCTGCTTGCCCCTTGTACGGCACGTTATCAAGGAGGCGCTGCACCTCCACGTCGCGAGCCGCCTGCTGCATGGCGGCCGATCCGCTGTTCTTCCGTGTTTTGCCACCGCAGCTTCGGCCGCTTGTGACCGGTCCCTTCTCCCACCACTTCTCCGTTTCCATCACATCCGAGCCGGGCGCTGCTGGCGTGTAGCTGCTGGCACTTGCGTGCAGGTCCCCGGCTGCTGCAATGTCCTGCGGGTTGCGCCCCTCCTCGTGCGAAATCATTCCCACGTGCAAGCCGGCCAGGTGCAGGAAGGGCGGGCCACCGGATACAGCACTGCCGCCGCTGATGCCGGGATGGGCTTCTGTATGGGCAGTCATGAACGGGGAGCACGCGGACATGTGAGGGAGCGTGTTGGTGCAGTGGAGGCTTAGTGGACGTGCAAGCGTGGTAGGGTGGACGAGTATTTGAGGGTCCAGCTTAAGTTTTTGGTCATGCACCAAGAGAAGCCCGGATGTGTCAACATATATTAACCGTGCACATCTGTACAGGCCACGGCCTAGGTCCGCAGACAGACTCCACATGTCTACATCCTTCCCTGTTCGACACGTGTTCCTGCTTTGCCGCCTAGCCTGTCATTACCAAAGCCAAGCCCGGCACCTGCCTGAGTAGCTGCCGACTGCCTCATCAAAAAGGTCTGCGATCCAGCTCACGTGACCCCAGGCGGTCAGGGGGTCGTCGGAGTGCTCGACACCCTCCACGGACTCGTGCGGCGGAAAGCCGACCAGCATGATCTCCATGCCTCGCGCCAGTCCGATACTGCCGGTCAGCCTGCGGCAGGCAGCAAAGGAGGTAGTGGGTAGGACCTGAGCATGTACCGTACACATGCGTGTGCGTGTGCATCTTGTACAGGAAAATTCACCATGAAAGCCGAACTCACTGCAAACCCCGTAAAAGGAAAAGCCCCGAGCCACACACACGCTGTTGTGTACCGGTATACGGTATACCGGCATACGGAATGCTTCTACGGTGGTGTGTTATGGCTCGCCAGTATGCACAAACGGCACACGGACTCACTCGAAGGAGAAACACCGCCGCAGCTCCTCGGGAAGGGGCACGCTGCTCTCCAGCTGCAGCACCGTAACGTCATTGGCCGGGAAGCTGGCGACGTGCCTGCGTGTGTCGCGCGCAGGACCACAGTAACAGCAAGCAAAGAGAAGTGAGGGGCTGAGGATCAGACGTGCCATGGGCTCCTGCTGCTGCTGCTGCTATTGACGTGGTTGGAATCCTCATCTCGCTTGCCTGAGCGGGTGCCCGAGTACCGTGAAGCCCTCCACGGTAATGACTTCGCCAGGCTGGGGGTCCATGCAGTGGCGGGCGGTGAGAAGAAACCGCCGGCCCCTGCGCTTGACGAGGCACGCGGAGCCCACGGTTTTGCCTCCCTTCTTCAGGCGCAGCACGCTCTGGCAGGTGCTCCACGTGTTGAGGTATTCCGCAATTGCTGACAGGCAACATCAGGGCAGCAATAGCAGCAGCCGATAGTAGTTAGTCGGTCTCTAGAGGGTGCTATGGCATGAGTACTGGCGCATGGCCAAACAAGCATTCACTTCAGGTATGGCGGTGATGAACTTAAGCCTGCAGACAACCGAGTGCACCATCGATCACTCTGGTCAGGCCGGGGGCGCACTGTGAAAGCACAGCAGCACAGTGTCTCCCCGGCATCGGCTACAAATTGACGCACCAGCAGCAGCAGCAGCAGCAGCAGCAGCAGCAGCAGCAGATACCGTGCTCCGGACCAGGCCCGCAGCTGCTGCACCTGTGCAACAAAGGCCATAAGTTGAGCACATGTTCAACGCGAAAGTATAGCTTGGGTAGGTCCAAGCCAGGGCTTCAAAGTGTATGCGGGCACCCCGGTCGTACCAAGCTTCCCCTCCAGTGCCGCACGCTGAGCATAGTTAATACGTATACGTTTGACCGTTATGCTGCGCTCCTGCTGAAGCAGCTTCAGCAGCACCTCATCAGTCAGGCCCTCTGCCAAGATTCTGGCATCAACTGTATCTAGCTTTGTTGTTAGTGCTTTGTGTTCTCGATTATAAACCTGAAGCCGCCACTGATCAATGGCCATGATAAGCCAAAATTGCAGAGGTGTGGTGAAGTGACGCGGCTGAGCTACGGTTCTAGGGTTCAGGGTGTTTGGGTATTGACCGGAAGTGCTGTGAAATCACAATTGGACGATTAGGAGGCTACTCAATGACAGGCGAAACTTGCTGTAGTTGTTTAGTTATATACGTGTAGGCATATGTATAGAGTACCTGTACTCGTTATTGCCATCGGGTTCCTGAATCAGGCAAGACGGGCACAGCGCTCCTCTGAGGTCATCCAGGGCCCATAATGCGTGCTGTGCTTTCAAGCCCGGCTGTCAGAGCCATGGATCCAGGGCCATGCTGAGCTCATACGACACTGGTTGCAAAGCTCGCCGTACCTCCGAATCGCAAAGAGCCTGACTTGCAAACTTTGAGACTTGGGTATTAGGGGTGTTTCTATGGACTTCAGGAACCACAGTGAAACCAGCCTTATGTTAACACCATAATCATTTATCCTTACAGGATAGGGTAATCACTGTTTATGAAGCCAACACGTTTGGAAGAAATAAAGGGGCGCTCGCGAGAAGATGATGCAGCGGTGGATTTCCGTTTGCGGCCCTGATGGTTAGGAAAGGGTATAATTTACATTACCTCGGGCAACAGAACAACCCATAGCACGTGAACGGGGACAACAGGACATGTTGCGTGACAGCCATGTGGGGATGCATGTAGAAACTAGGAAGCACATGGACGGGAAAGCCTAGGTTCTGCCATAAGATACCTTCGCAGAGAATGGATGACCCCTGCAAGGGCCTGGGTTGCCAGTGGACAAAGCTGCTGCTGTCAGGGGCCCGTGGGACCTTACAATTTAAGGAAGCGCAAGGCACAAATCGCTTGTGAGGACCACGCTAGGGGTGTGGTGGAAGATAACCATAGGTTAGATGACCCTCGACCGGCTCTGTTACAAGGGGTGATAGTGGAGCTGGCTAATTGGAGATTCCTCTCCGTGAGATAAGGCACCCGTAACAAGACACGCAAGTGTGCCATACATGTGGCAACTGACGGGAGGTACGGTGCTTGCTTTCGGGTAAATGTAGCCTCTATGAAAGGAATGAAGGATTCTTCACGCAATTTCAAGTTGACAATTGAGGAGTTGATTTTGCTTTCTTGGGCATTTTAACATCAAAAACAAGGTCTGAAAAATGCCGACTATACAACCTTGCCATCTGGCTTAGTATCCCTGACTGTTTGTCTGTATGCGAAGGTCTGCAGGCTCAATGAGTAGGGCCCGCTGGCTCCACTCGCTCCACTCGCTCCAGCCTAAGCCGGTGCTAAGTTGCTGCTAAGTGGCTAAGCGGGGTCACCCCACTTAGCAACTTAGCAGCAACTTAGCTAAGTATTGGTGGGACGAGCATGGGACGAGATTCCCTTAGGTTGGCTTAGGATCGGTCCGAAACCAAACCTAAGCCCATAGAAACACCCCTAATGCCTTGCCTTGATTGAAACTTACATTGTTAATTAATCACATTGTTGTGCTGTTTGTTATGTTAAATAATCATATTAAGTGCGTCTTTGTTAGTGTTCTTTAGGCTGTAGATAGAACATCGCCATTTGAATAGGACAGACATGGCTGCAGCAGCAGCGACAGAGGAGGCGATAACTAGAGAAATAATGAAACAGGTTCTAGCCGACATGGCTTTAGGGATATGGCTGTGCGCACTCTTGCAGCATCTGCGCGGGTCATCGAACACCTGCGTGGAGGTCGACGGAGGTCAAGACGGTGGGAGTGGAATGGTCGTGTGCTAACCCATGAAAGGTTGGATAACATCTCTGCTGCCACCAGTTGCTCGGGAATTCCTTGCTGACAATCATCAGGAAGCTCATGGAAAAGGCAGTGACTAACTCGACATGGGAACGCAGAATGCTGCCATTTGAGCCGGGCCACGTAGTATCCAAGCATGTATCAACATGCCTCCCCTAAAACAACCTGACCTGACATAACCTAACCTGTGTTTTCCTATGGTATGGCTGGTCTTTGACCCCCCTAATTGTATACGTACAGTACAATCCCTAAGACCACAACCCCTAAATACGACAGCGGCTTAACAGCTGCCCAGCCAACCATGTGGCCTCATCAGCTGCCGATCCGTCCACTTTGCACCCCGGCTGCTACAGGCATTCCTACACCGCTTACTTCACTGTAAGCAACCTCCATGTCATGCCAAATGCACACGCCAGCCTGCTTGCTCTTCACAATCCCGCCGTGACTAGGCCACGTCATCGTACGGCACCCCACCAACACTGTGTACGGCACTCCCCCGGAGGCTCATCTTTCCAAAGCCGATTCTCACCCCAGCAGACGACCCTGCCGCACCTCCTGCTATCCACACTGCTGTGCTAATACCAACCACCGCAACGACAACAACAGCACGTCCATAGCTCCCTCCCTCTCGCAAATACCACCCAGCCCCGCCTCCAGCGCTGCCACCGCATCCTCCTTCCACCTCCACTCACCTCCCCTCACCTCCGCGACCCCTCCCGCGACCCCTTACACTAGGCCGCCGCCTCCGCCACATCCTCCTCTCCTCAACTCTTCTGTGGACAACGCCTAGCACCGCCAGCAACGGCCTCACGACCTGCCCGGTCGCAGTACACGCCTCCCCACCGCCCCCTTCTTGCTTCCTACCGCCCGCCCCGCCCCGGCCACCGCCCCCGCTACATCCGCCGCCCCTGCTTCCGCCGTCCCTGCAGGGCTCCGCTGCTGCTGTTCCGGTGCACCCCACGAGTGCGACCCATGCACGCGCTGCCGTACCTCCTCCCGTGCTGCCACACCACCCGCACCAGCACGTCCAACACCGAAAGCTTTACTACCACCAGTTGCAGTACCACGAGCAGCAGCAGCGCCAGCAACAGCAGCACCACCAGCAGCACCACCACCACCAGCAGCAGCACCACCAGCGCTGCTGTTGCTGTTGGCACTACACGGTGTTGTACAGGACGAGGCAGGGGGCGAGGGAAAGCACAGGGCTGCATCCGAGGGCGCAAAGGAAGACCCAATGGAGGATGAGGTGAATGAGGAGGGCGAGTAGGCCGAGCAAGGAGACCAGGAGTGGTTCCTCTTCCCGCCTGCGGCACCTCCACCGCCGCCTCCGCTGCTGCCGCTGCAAGGGGTTCGGGATGAGCCCAGGCTGGAAGCAATGCTAGCAGCAGACTCAGAAGCAGCACCGGAGGAGACAGCAGCTGCCCCAGCAGCAAAAACAGAAGCGGAGCTCGCAGCAACAGCACTACCGCTGAGTGTCACGGCAGTAGCACCGGCAGTAGCACCAGCGACAGCGGCAGCAGTGGTGGCACCAATCACGACCGGAGGGCGGTATCCTGGTGGCTGCAGCTGCTGTTGCCGTGGAGCCATGCAGGGCGCGGTTGCTGTCGTCACTGGGAGGTGTGACGGCGGGGCAACGGTGGTAGTTGCAGCCGCCAGCAGCTGTGCGGCAATGTCCGCAGCCAGCCGCAGGTAGTGCCGGTGAACCTCCACCCCCAGGTGATGCGACGCCGCCGCCGCCTCCGCCGCCTCAGCTGCCGCCTCCGCCAGACCCATCGCCGCCGCCAGCTGCCGCTGCGCCGACTCCAGAGAGGACTGAAGCGCGGCGGCGGTGGCGACGGCGGTGGCCGCGGCGGCTCGTTCCGCTGCCAGTTCAGAAAGCAACGCCACCACCTAGGTTACGACATGTGAGGGTGTGAGGGTGTTACCACCAGCAGCGGACGTGAGGGAATGACGGCATGGAGACATGCAGGCACGGAGGAGATCGATCATTGAATGGATTGTAACTCGCAATACGGATTAGGGAGATACGGAGAGAGGCTGAGGAAAGGTTTCCTGGGACGAGGCATGAGTCCCCGCCCGCCCGCCACCCTGCCCTACCTCACACCGAAGCTCGCCAGCAGCTGCGGAGGGCGCCTCGACAGAGAAGGCCCCCTGCTCGGTCCCACTCTGCCAGGCTTCTTCTACCCGGCCCTCCTCCGCGAGCTCCTCCTCCTCTTCCTGCTCTCCCTCCGCCCACTCAGCCAAGAGTGCATGGGATCGGACCCCTGCTGACTCCACAGCCACCTGGTCCTCCACCTCCTCCCCCTCCTCCACCCCCTCCTCTCCCGCCGCCAGCGCTGCCGCCTCCTCTAGGCCGCCCCTTACCTCCGCCAGAAGCCCCCGAGCTGCCCCCAGACACCCCAGCAACCGCACCGCGACACCCTCCTCCGCCTCCTCCTCCTCCTCCTCTTCCTCATCATGTTGTCCGGGCCCGCTGTCACCCATTGCCGCCTCTGCTGGAACCCCCACCACCGCCGCTGCTGTCTCCCCTCCCGCTGCTGTCTCCCCTCCCGCTGCTGTCTCCCCTCCCGCTGCTGTCTCCCATCCCGCTATTCCCGCAGCCGCTGACGCTGCCGCTGCCCTCCTCTCCACAAGCAGGAACTCCCGGTCCTGATGCCGCCTGGCCGCCTCCTGTGCCAGTACGACAGCTCCCGCCTGGGCTGCAACCAGCTGTGGAAAGAGGGGTGGGAAGAGAAAAGAACACTCAATGAGAGGTGGGAGAGGGGGGTGATGAGGGGCGGGTAGGGGCGAGGTGGGGCAGGGCAGAGCTGAGGAAGGGGGAGCAGCGTCATGACGCAGCATGACCACAGAGCACCTGAGGACCCGAGCAGCAGCAGCACAGCAGCAGCAGCATAGCAGCAGCAGCTGTACGTTAAGCAGATCCCACGCTTTTGCTTTTGCTCCACCAACCCGTCCCAACCTCTCACCTCCCGCTCTAGCAGCCCGAGCGCCTCTAAAGCCGTCTGCACTCGCCACCTGGCCTCGGCTGCCCTTGCTGCCACCGCACAGTGCGCCTGCAGCTGGCTTGATTGCTGCTGCTGTCCCTGTTGCTGAGAATGCAACCGCTGCAGCTGCTGCTGCTCGTGCGGATGCCTCATTTGAAGCACGCGCTGCGGTTGGTGCCGCTGCTGGCCTCGCTGCAGGGAGGACACGGCTGCCGCTCCTAGGCGCCTGCTGCTGCCGGTGGTGCAGCTGATAGCGATACCGGTCACACCTCGGAGCTTCCGCTTCACTTGGAGCTTTGAGCCACTGCCGTTGTATTGGGCCTTGATGTTGGCCTGCAATGCGGCTAGGCTGCGACGGAGGAGGCGGAGTTGGGCCAGGGCAGCAGCGCGGGTGGGCAGGAGGGTCCGGGAGCGGGCGTTGCTGCAGACGGCGGCAGGACGCATCCGGAAAAAGCGAGTAGCGAGTGGCTGTTGCGAGGGAGGATTAAAGGGAGGGAGGAGCGGGAATGGTGATAAGGAAAGAAGCAGGATGAGGATTGTGTGGTGTGGGAGAAGCGGGTGGGACTGTACAGGTGTGGAGAGTGATGTGCGGGAGGTTACTGTAGTGGCCATAATCCCTTACAGGAGGAACTGATGAGCTTACCCGACTGCTGCTGATGAAGGCCTTCGGAGCTGCTTCCCGATCCTCAGCGGCTTCATCACCGATCTGCGACCTGCGGCCACAGTGTTTGTGGTGAGGTGGGAGGTGGCACAAACACTTCAGGGTCATGACAGGCCATGAGCGACGACGCTTCTTCGGGTGAAGATAGAGTTGCCGCCCAAAGTGGATTTCCTCTAACGATGCAAACACTGGAGCACTGTAACTTTTCTAACCATTATTGCCAACGAAGTTTAGTTGTGATAGCAGTAAACCAGGATTCAATCACAACGCGCGCAGCAAAAGCGCCAGTGACATACTATTCGGCAAGCGCGCGCGTTAAAAACGAAGGTTTAAACCGACAGGGTGATCCCTTTTTACCTGCTAAACGCCAGGATAGACGGCGTAGAGCAGCGATCAGGTGGGATTTTCACCATTGAGGGTGCTGACGACGTCGACATTTACAGATGGATTTGTCTGGGTGCGCGACACGAGCCCAGAGTCTTGCATACAAGAGACTTGGAGTGTTTGCAAATAAGCACAAGGTTTGATTGTCCAGTGAAGAGCCTGTTGATGATTAGATTGCCACCCTAGAAAGTGCCGTCAGGCCGTTGTGGTTGGCGCCAAAAGTTCGTCCGGCAACCACCTGCCTGCAGCGCCAAGGCCAGTCACCTTCATTTATGAAAACGCACTAAACCGTAGGCATGCAATTCGTTAACCCGCCCTATTGTTAAGCATCTTGGCTAGTAGCACGGCCAGCTGCAAGGGCTGACCTGACACATGTCGACATGCACACCTACCACGCACGCCCCTACGCGCTAGCGAAGTCGATTGCGCTCGCCAATTGCAAACCACGCATTTTGACGTACTTGCATAATACCATTATTCTTGCCTGTAGGTTTCGTAGGAGGGGTGACTCGAAACGTCCATTGTCATGGCAGTCAGACGTCAGCGTCGCCAAACTTCATACTCCCGCTGCCCAACGACACAAACAGCGCGAGATACCTGTACGAATATGCCATTATACCATGTGTAAGCGCAAGGTGTAAGGATGCATGGTTAGGTGCAAGGCTAGGTAAACGAGCACACAGCAAGTTCTCAAACAACACCCCCAGCACCTTCACGCTTCCTCACCTGAAAGCTGCAAACCACCGTCTCCTTTCCACACGCAGACGCAGCGGCTTTTCCCAGCTCTTGCCCTCGTTCTTTTTGCTGCTGCTGCTGCTGCGATGCCGGCTGTGATGGCGGTGGTGGTGGTGGTGGGGATGGGGAGGACGTTCCCCGCAGCCGCTGCAAAGCCGCGTCTATCCTGCTACGCTGGTCGCCGGCCAGCCAGCCAACCGACACATGCGGCAGGGGCTCCTGCGTATACCGGTAGGTGTTGAGGGGGTCAGTGGCCATGCAGGGAACTTCAAGCGGAGCCGGCTTCGCCCACGACGACAGCCATTACCTGTAAGCAGCATGTCAATGTGAGAGCAGGAGGAGCCAGCAACACAGCGGCCAAGTCACACCATGATAAGCACCATCAAGGAGGTGCCGGTCATGCGCGTACCTCGTAGAATGGGGGTAACCCGTGCTGCTTGAAGGCCGTGTCCACCCGACGTATCAGGTCGCAGACCTGTCAAGACAGTGGGTTTGCGGGCGCACAGGTAGGGTGTAGGATAAGGTACGAACCAACCAGCAGGAGGCAAGGTGCGAACTGAACTGCAGCAGTGAGTCACTACCCTTAACGAAGACGGCATGTCTGCCAGCTGCCCTTCCTGCTGGCCTCTTCCCACATCCGTACCAGGTGCCGTACGGTATAGCCTAAGGTCCGCCTCATCCTCTGCCTTTAGTAGACTCTAGCCGTCAGTAGAACGTAACAAGCATATTAGCAAGAACGTGTGGTAGCAGTTTAGGGACATCAAATACACATACACCCATATCAGCGGCTCCCCCTTACCTGCGCGGACCCATGGGTCACCATGAGCGACACGAAGGACCGAGTGCCCTCATCATTTGCGAACGACCGACAGCCCTCCAGGGTCACGCTGAAGGACCTGATCAGATCGCCACAGCGGAGGGGAGCAGCGGGGGTAAGAAGAACAGGTAATAAGCACCAAGGCTTGCCAAGGCTGTGAGAAACCCCGAAAGACGCATCAAAGCGAGGCTCCACTTGATATGGCTACCAGTGCACACCTCACACGTCGCCTTCCCTCAGCAACTCCCCCGTTATCCCGAGGTTCCCAACGCGCACACCGAGATGTCTCAGCAGTCAGCAGCCACCGCCAGCACCACTAGCAAGCGCATCCCAGCTCACCCGCAAGCATCCCGCAGGCTCTCACTCAGCTGTGACGTCAGCGGCGTGATCTGCGGATGCCGTATGGGCACGGTACGGCTGAGGCTGATGTGGTATCCGCGCTGGGATTGCTGCTGCGGCGGCGGCGGCGGCACTGGGGCGGCAACGCCTCCTGCAACGCCCCTACTGCCGTTGCCCAGGCTGCTGAGGTGACCTCCCCGGGGTGCCCGGCGAAGGCTGCCTGGCGCATGTGCTGACGCCGCTGCTGCTGCAGCAGCAGCTGCCGGGTCGGGATCCTGGCTCATGGGTTCCAGGTCCGGTAGCACTCGCCGCAGCTGTTTGGGGGGAAAAAGATGAGTGCAGCAAAATCCCCCAAGTGTAGTGGGGAACAGGGGGATGAGGCGCGGTATACGTCAGGGCTCCATGACGTGTGTGGAGTTATGTGTATACCGGTAGTACAGCAGCGTGTGCATGTGTCGGGGGGCGGTTACATGGTATGCGGTCTACAGGTTGGGTAAGCGCTTACGAAAGGCGGGAAAGAAGAGGAATGGGACCGTAGGCTCATGCGTCTCATGTGCCCCTCGCACCTTGCGATACACTGCGTCTAGCGCCTCCTCGCGCCCCACCACTGCAGCAGCAGACGACAGAAACAACATACAACACAACAACACCAATAAGTAGCACGGTCAGCATTAGTACGGTCAGTAGCACCAGCAGGAGCCTCCAGTCGGGTCATGGGATTGGAAGTACAGTGCCTCATTCCATTGCTGCCTCACCCGCACCACCCGCACCCGCACCACCCGCACAACCCGCACAACCCGCACCCACACCCGTACCCGCACCCACGCCACCTCACCGGGCAGCAGTACGACGGTGGGGAAGTTGCCCACCACGTGGGGGAAGCTGCGCACGCGGGCGGTGGAGGGGCCGCGGAGGGGCGGCTGCAGCGGCAGCAGCGCCCCCGGGGCCACGGAGGCGGAGGCGGCCGCTGACAGCAGAAGGCTCTGCCGCTCTGCCAATGCATGTGTCGATGCGTGGGCAGCATTACAGACCAGAGCAGCACATCAGGAGGTACGACAGTGCCATCCGGTTGCATGGCAGCATAAGGCGTGTAGCATGACAGGGGGCATGGGGGGAGGCGTGTCTTTATACCGGAGAAGGGCGCCGTGCATACTGAGAGCTCACCCTCATTGCTGGAAGCCTCAAGCAGGGCTAACGGGTTGGGCAGGAGGGGGGTGCGGCTGCCGTTGTTGGCGGTTTGAAGCAGCCTGCGGGAGGGAAGGAGGTTATGTGCGCTGCGTCACTCTTAAGCGTAAGTAAAGGGCGGATGTCAAAGGTCGTTGTAACAAGGGGAATATGCTGTCTGCAATCACGACGCACCTGTCATGAAGTTGAGTAGTATCAAGCTTTTGGCGTTTGTTTGGGTTGTCGTGCTCCGCCCTTTCCGCGTTGCTTGGATGATGGCCATCCGCACTCGCCGTAACGGCAGCAATCGTTTGCTCGGCGACATTAGGAGCATTGGAATGATCTAAAGCTGTAGCAGTGTCCTGTTCGTTATCCTGAAAGTCGTCCTCTTCCGACGAGCCATATCCCAAGAGCAGTTGGTCCATCTCTTACTGAAACAGCGACAAGTTTCTGTTTATTCGCCTTGTGGCGCTAATTATATAGCAAAGTTAATGCAACGATCAGCACAGTTCCGCTTCAATCAGTATGGTTGCGGAAGAACGCGGGAGGAAACGACTTTCAGTAAATAACAACTGGAGCACAGCTGTCAATTTTGTTTGGTAATCTATAGAGGTATATTAACCGCCAACACCAATTAAGTAAGATCAACAACATCGATGTTTGCAACCCAACAGGACAAGCACGCTGCCGTACTGCTGCTGCGAGCGCGTACCCCCGAGGCATCTACTCGTTACACATTTTATATATTTCAAATTTTAGAGTTCTTCTTCTCCTTTGAGCTGCTCCATTCACGTCCATTTTCCTTTGCATTCGCCTACACGCCACACCCTCCAAGCTGCCAGGGACCCAGGCCGAAGCGGCCTTGCATCACGATGGGGCCACTGCTCACCCCCGTGGCACGCCGGGGCGGTATGAGTTGGGGGTTGCTGCAGGCCGGGAGGAGCCTGGGCGGCCGCAATCCGACATAAAATGCAGCCGCATGCAGCAGCAGCCGCTCAAAACCCTCGCTCCTGCCGCCCACCATGTCACTTTGTGGGAATCGGGGGGGGGTCAGGTTGCAGGGTTCCATCGACCCACTCTCGCTGCGGGCCGCCTACCCGATTGGTGGCGGCAGCGGGGGAGGCGATGGCTACATTGTGGCGGGTGAGGAGGACTGGCAAGTGACCCACGGGTCGGGAAACCATGGCCACGACCAGGGCAATACGGTAGCTGGGGCATGAAACGAATGGGAGTGTCCAACCCCAGAGTTCCGCTGTTCAGTTGTGTCGATAGGGTAGGTCCGTCTCGGCAATCTCATCTACAGTAGATAGGTAAGCGAAGTAGATAAATAGCTGCTTTATCGTCATTGGGTACCGGTACATGCACAATAACATCAACGCATCAACATTCTGTGCCGCCCAAACCTTCTAGACATAGCTAGGGCAGCAATCGTGCTCCTAAAAGCATTCCGCTAGAGACAAACTTACAGAAAAAGTGCCCAACCCTCTGGCCGCATCACTTCCAAAAAATTAGAGGTACCAAGTATATCGATCATACCCCACCCTTTTCCACATGCCATAGCAGTAACCCCAAGCAAGGATTTCATTGCCGCTTTCACACCTCGTTACCAGAGTTTGACTGATGTTTCTCGTGTAGCAGGGAATAAGCCCCCCTTAAAGAGTGGGGTATGATTAAACTCACGTATGCGCACACGCATGTTCCCGCACATAAGCATGGGCCCTCGTTAGGGCAGAAAATCCACAGCATTCAGTAATTTGACTGATTGGTAATTGGTAATTCAGATTGGTAATTTCTCTACCAATCCTTAACCTTTTGACGCAGGAAAATAAGCAGCGGCCTCTCCTAGACGCCTAAATTACGGGGGCACACTCTAGACGGGAATCATACCCAACTCTTTAAGGGGGGCTTATTCCCTGCTAGACCCTCCCTGCTATGCATGCCATGCGGAAAAGGGCCCGCCCAGCAAGGCTTGGCAGCCTATCATCATCCTCTATCTTGCCGCTGCAGCCGAGTGGTTCCCCTCCAGGCGCCTCCCTACCTACTGTACAGCTACAACCATACACACAAAGTAATGTCGTAATCACAGTATGTTCCGGCTCGCGGCAGTTTTCCTAGCTACAACCATACATGGTAAGCAGCAGCTTAGGCTGTTACACACACATACACACAACAACCCAACCATCAGCATCACCGACATGCGTCGTCACTCGTCACCCGCCACTCTTCTTACATCCAGCAACAGCTATTTAAGCAGTGTTTGGATTACGGTTCAGGTTTGGTCACCTCTGTTTTTGCCTGTACTCGCGGTTCACATGCGAACCTCTCCCAATTGCTTGCTCTTGTCCTACTCAACTACACACAACAACCCAAGGCTGTGGGTGCAGACCAGGTGATCCTGCCGATGGCACAGTTCACATTGTGTGGAGTGGAAGCCAGTATGTTTCAGGCACAGGATACTCCGCAACCGTGGAGGGCCAAAAGTAGGGCGGACTAAACACACGGCATTTGGGCATACCGCTGAGCTTGATGCGAATGCGCATGCACTACAGCGGTTCCTGGTCATACAGTGTAAACACGGCCAACACGCACTGCATAACTCCCTATTGTGCAACCTATCGGGACGCCACTAAATGTACAGCCACTTTAACCACGCCAACTCGACACTCTGCCCAACCTACTGTTGCAACTCCACCCAGTGGTTTTCATTCAGCATCCTGTACCGCAGCCAGCTCATGAAAGTGGCTGCTGCTTGCATGGTCGGAAGACCTGACAGCTAATAAGACTGGCTTGTGCGTTGGTGGGTTGGACTGGTCCTGTAGACGCAGCACGACCCGCTTGGTGCTGCTACCATATTCCTGTTCACTGACGCGTCCAGGTCAACAGCGACCTGAAGTGCAGCCGTCCACCTACTAGAACAAACGTCTTCTTTTCCAACAGCAGTCCTTGGTGGACAAAGGAGATCGTGACAGTGTCCGTCTGGTCTGCCATATATAGCGAGGAGTCCTCGGAAGCTACTTGCAGAAGTGCTTATGGTTACCGAATGAGTAGAATTATGGGCCCAAACCTATGCCGGCCAGGGCGTTGCTACTGTGAGTCTTGTACGAGACCCCTCATGACCGCGGGATTAGCTGAATTTTGCGCAGAATTCAGCTGATCCCGCGGTTATGGGGCCTGTGGTTATACCGAGGTGTAAAAACTAACAGCAATTGCGCCAAGGGGGCAAGGGCAGCACGTATACAATGTGACAAGGTGGCTTTGGAACTGCTTTCCTGCAGACGTAAAATATGTAACCTTTGCATTCGAATACATGGGTGGATGTACGAAAAAGGTTTCGACTTTACACGGCAGTTAGGGTGTTAGCTTTGGTTATACAGCTGTCAATTGTCTAGGCCCAGCACTCGAGGCTCCTGGTCTCGAAACGAGCACACGGTGCCTACAGGCTGCCCTGTTACCTTCCCTTAGCTGAACGGTGAACACCACACACAATGGCCTACCACACATGGCAAAGACACGCGTGGTCTGACAAAGCTGACAAAGGCAACGAGCAAGGCAATGGAGGACCCAGGGGAACACCACCTATATCGCACCGACTTGCATACCTATACTTGTATCAAAAGCACGCGCATGGCCTGCATGCGAACATTACCACCCGCAGCGCCAACTCCACCACCCCTCCCTCGAGAAGCTAAACACGCAGGTCCCAGTTTCGCGATCTCAGCATATCACAGTCAGCACACGCGGATGAGCTCACACGGAGGGGCTCTCACGGCTCCCCGCGTACGGCACACAAGGCATCACATCGACATACACCGGGTGCAGGGGACAGCATACATACAGCAGCTGTGCTCGCGGGGGCGCGTAAGCGCATACCTTGCAAAGCAATTGCAAATCACAGAGCACACATGCAAGAGGGGCGCCGGGACTGGCTAGCTCCTGCAGAATGGCCTGCCCCGCCTCTTCAAACACCGCAGGACCAGCATGGCGTGTGTTTTGCTCCATGCTGCCCTACACGCTGCCGCTACGGTACGGTAAACACACGGGTGAATATCCTGGAATTACGATGTTAGGAAGAAGACCGTGGCGCCCGGTACGGCACTCTCGAGCTACGATGATACCACCAATATGTACGGCACACACATCTCCCGTAAGCCTAGAGTACAGATCACCGCCAGGTTCGCCAAGTTTTACCACCATGCGACCATAACTAAAGCACAAGAACCTTACCAATCCGTTCCGCAGTCCTCGATCCAGGCCTTCTCCAAAGCACAGTACGATTACCTACCCGGCACGCCTCCCCAGTACAGCCGGAATCGCAAGCACATATCGGTACGCCTCACGCCACCACAATAAACCACTCCCTCACACCGCCACAGCCACCCCCTCACTCGCCACCTCCCCTGCTCCCTCCGCCTCCGCTGCCCCCTTCTCCGCCTGCTTCTCCGCCTCCTCCTTCTTCCCCGCCCGCTGCAGCACCCAGTCCCGGATGTCCCCCCGCACCTGCTCCTTTTCCGGCCCATGCAGCAGCTCATGGTAGCCCCCGGCCACCTCCCGCAGGGTCACGTCGGGGCTGGGGAGTGCGGCCAGGTGGGTGCGGAGAGCCTGAGGAGAACCATACAAGAGGGGAGGAGAGGCCGGGGGTCACATTGGAGAACCATGCAAGAGCCATGGTTATAACATTACAGCAGCATGGGGTTGTACGTGTTTAACTCTGAGAGGCCGGGGGTAACATGGATGGGGCCAGACGGGGGGTATGGGAGGAGGTGCGGTAGCAAGGGGGTGTGCGGGGAAGGGGCTACCCGGGGACCGGAGGGTAACGGAGCGGCCAAGAGAAAGAAACATCGTCGCTGTGGGTCAAGAGTCGGAGACCCCGCCCCTTCCCAGAGCAGGCAGCAGGCCCCTCTGGCTCCTTCCTCCTCCCCTCCCTTAGCTGCCTCCCCACCCGCCTCACCGGCAGGCTGGTGCAGCGGTCCGAGGTGCCGTGGACCGCAAAGATGGGAAGTCGCAGCGCCGGTCGCAACGCGACCAGACCGCGGAATCCCTGGTGTGGGTGTGCAGGCAGGGGGCGCCGGTTAAGGCAACAAGCGTGTCGGTGTGGGTAAAGAGGAAACAGGTAACTGAACGTGTGGTAAGGCGTCATCATGGTTTGGTGTGAGGGCGCAGGCAAGGAGTACCCGTAAGAAGACAACCGTGTGGCTGCCGGTGTGGCTGCCGGTGCTGACACGGCTTCACTTCACAGAGGGGGGCAGGAGGCGGAGGCAACACCGGAAGGAATGAATGAATGCATGGGCGGCGCAGGAGGCGCGGTAAATTGCAGTCGAGTATCTCCTCCTCCTCCAATCCTTCCTCCTCTGCCATCCTCCCATCCCTGCTCCCTCCCTCCCACCCCATCCCGCTCGTCGGCTTGTTTGCCAGCCTCATTCAACACATTGGGTATCCTTCTTTCCCACCCCAACCCACCCCATCCCACCCCACGCCAGCCACCTTGAGTATCTCATTCCCCGTCAGCGCCTTCACGTTGCCCTGGTAGATGAGCGGGTCGGCCAGGTACTCCGCAACGACCCGTGGGTCTTGGCTCATGTCCTCGGGCCGCACCGCGGGGACCAGCTTGGCGCGGGGGAGCAGTGCGGCCAACAGGTTGCCCAGCATGGCTTGGAAGCTGCGGGAGAAGGGAGGAGGGGGGGGGAAGAATATCCGATGTGTTGAGAAGGGAGAGGACGGGAGGAGGCGAGGAACGGGGGAGGAGGATGTGGCAAGGGGAATGGGGCGAGGAGGCAGCAGAGCAGAGCAGAGCAGTGGAGGGAGAGACCTGACAGGCGTGTTTGACAATATCACTGGGGGTGGTTTTCATTCACACCCTGCTGGCAAGGGCCCCGGAAGCATGAGGGCCCGGGAAGCACTCACCGCAGCACCGGGGTCCACTCCACATCGATGGCTGCGGAGGGAGGAGGAGCACAGGAGGGACACGAGGTGAGGGACAGCGGTAGCATGGGGACTGAGTGGGATGGGGCGCCATTCGAGAGGAGCATGCTGGCACGAGCGGTGTGTTACCTCCTGCCCCTGGTGGGTTGGCTTCCTCTGCTGTCCTAAACCCCGCCCTCCTGGTTACCAACCCACTCCATTGCAGCAGCTCAGCTGCATGACAAGGCCTGCTACCTCCTGCCAACTCCTACCCCCATTGCTTTGCCCTAACTTGTGGTCTCCTATGGTCTGGTATGGTCTTTGACCCCCCACCTGGCGACTGCATGACCAGGCCCGCCACCTGCTCCCCCTGCCGAGCGGCCACGTAGGACGCCACCAGGCCCCCCAGCGAGTTGCCCGCCAGGAACAGGGGCACGGCCGCCAGGCCCTTGGACGCAAGCGAGGGGCGGAGCACCTGGGGAGGGATTGATGTGGAGGACGAGGGGAAAGCATGGTAGAGGTGAGGCAGTGGAGGTGAGGCAATAAAAGGAGAGCGGCGGTACAAGGTTAACAGGTGGAGGCACCAGCAGGGAGAGGCTGGAGAGGTGTCGCTCAACAGTTTTCCTTGCACACATGAGGCGCGACGGCTATAAGCAACGGGAGGCGCTTACTGAAATACATGCCAATTACACACCCTTGTACTCCCTTGAACCCCTCCCTGACACCCACCTTGCTCAGGAACTCCTCCGCGTCCGCCACCAGGTGCTCGAAGCGCGCCACCAGACCCCGAGCCGCCTTCTGCAGCGGCTCGCTGCGACCCATGCCGGCAGCGTCGTAGCCGTACACCGCGATGCCGGCAGAGGACCAAACCTCCGCGCCTGGTTTGGAAGCGGTTTGAGAGGGCATGGAATTTCTGAAAATGCGAAGCCGCAGGGAGTGTTTGAAAATGCGAAGCCTGATTAGTAAGACTTTCCGAAGTCATACAACCGTTGATGGTGCCGGAAAAGCAAGAAAACAAGATCTTTAGAACGATAGTGTGCCCTAGTGCTTAGCTGGCTTGGTCGACTTACTGGCGTCAAAGCGGTCCATGTACTCTGCGGGGAAAAGAGTCGGGTATTGTCAGCGCTCCGGTAGCGCATGGAGTGGTTGTTGCTTTAACTTGCAGTTTCTTACCTCCAAAACCGTGATGCCAGAACATCACAGCCTTCACCTCGCCTTCTTCGGGCGTCCATTCAACGGTGTAAAGCTTCTGGCCGCGGCCGTTTGTGAAACTTCCAGTAGTCTTTCCCATTTTGGTGACAGTATATGGTTTTGCTGCCTAGTCGCGATCCTATGCAAAATACTTAAAGGAGGCCTCGCCTATACCGCGCGGTGACTGGCATAAGGCCTCAAACGAATCTTTGCAAAGCCTGGCTTCTACACTGTTACTTTTATACATTTTAATAGATTTACTACAAAGAAGAGCTTTAGGGCTTTTCAACAACAATGAAACAAGCAAACAACCAACTCTCATGTCGTGACGTACAGTGTGTACGAAGGCCCGAGAATGTATTCACCGCGGCATGCTGATCCGCAATTATTAGCGATTCCAACTTCATTCTCTCGAGTTGCAGAGAACGATCCGAATTGCAATGTGCCTTGGGAGGAGGTGGGGGCTTGGTGATTGGCCCCTGTGTCGCACAAACGAAATTGTTGTTGAAAGCCCTAAAGCACTTCCTTTTAGTAAATCTATTAAAATGTATAAAAGTAACAGTGTAGAAGCCGGGCTTTGCAAAGATTCTATGGAGGGTGGAAGGGCCTTATGCCAGTCACCGCGCGGTATAGGCGACGCCCTTAAAGGAAACCTTCGTGTGTACCGTACTCGTGTGCTGGTGCAAGCCGTTACATAAGTTGCGAAGCGTGTCGCAAACTTATAGCTTTCTGACGATGGTTTTTGCATGGGTTAGTTCGTAATTGAATTTGCTCATATCAACTGCCAACCGCTCATACGGAAGTCCCAAGATGCGCGCTGAAACACGCCCATTGCTCTCGATCGCTTACTTGTGTGGATTACTTTCAATGCGTATTTACTCTAGGCATCCAAGCGGCAGCAATACCAGCAAGCAAGCCGGCAACCCAACTTGCAATGCTGCAAGGCCGTACCCCGTCATGCTCAGCGGTACCACCTCAGCTATCGCAAGGGGCCCCCCGCTTGCGAGAGAAGGGGTGCCACAGCAGACTTTGCGAGTCATGGGAGGGCCCACCACTGTAAGCGACAACGTGAAGGAGGGGTTGTTTTGAGCGGTCAGTGGAGGGAGTGTGAGGTTTAGGCACTGAGCCCTGGGTTTGGTGCTACTGCATCTCACATCTAGGTTTTATAGGGTTGCCCGGTCTCTGCTTTGGGATCGTTCTCTGCTGCGGTTAATGGCCAGGACATCATACTGGGTCTTGTCCAAGGGCCAGCAGCAGCAGCCGATGAGCGGTCGCTCCAAAGTACTCCTCATGCCCTCAACCGTGTCACAGGCTTAGTGTGTCGTGTCCATAACCACTTAATGCTTGATACACAACAACCTCTGAGTCCTTTACCACCTGCAGGTGCTAAGGTCCGGCCTAACGCATGCATGTAGTACAGGTCAACAACCAACCGGCAAACGGTATTTGGTCACCATCCCTAAACCCTTCAGCGTTTTCGTTCAAGTAGGTATTGAAATGCACAGCTGCTACATCAGTTGCCCAGTCGGTGAATCGATATCTCTGAATTAGCGACACAATCATCTACCTGCTGCTGCAGAGACTACAGTATTTATCGAACACCCAACTTATATTAATTGAAAGGTTAAAACAAAGCTAGCTTCCGTTTTATTGGTTTGGAGCGTTTGCGATATCCTTGCAGGGTCGTCGGTGACGGCCCCGCTGACCGCGAGCATAATGTCGTCGTCACCTCAGCAAGAGGGCGTGCGGGTCGCTGTGCTTCAAGTCTCAGCTTTCGTTGATCATGTTTCTACCGTGGAACGTTCCACTCTGGAGCGACTTGTCGGGAATGAGGTGCGCTCAGACGCCAACACTTTACACCGCTTAACCCAGATGCAGCAACCGCATTTATGTATTGCTAGCATAAGTATATGTACGTCTAGGTAGCTGGCTTGCCCAGTGTCGGCACCTTATCTAATGCTGACGTGGTCGTCATCATGCATTTGCTGCTGCAGGTCGCAGGCAGCAGACGCTGCACCCTGAAGGAACTTCAAGACATCCTCGCAGCAGTCGGCGAGTTCCATTCGAAAGCGGGCGGCTCTCCCTCGAACGTCGGCCGCGCTTTGGCCATGGGTTTTGGAACATCGGTGCAAGTGGTAAGCAAAACTCCCAAATTCCGAACCAACTCAATTGCCCGTGAACTTACCTTCCGCACGAGTTCACCGCCGTTCCCTCCTCGCCGACCCTCCCTTTCAAAGGTTGGCGCCCGGGGTGCGGACGAATGGGGCGGCCTGTACGTCAGCTCCATGCGCCGTGCAGGGGTGGACACGGAGCGCATGCGGGTGCAGCAGGAGGGCTCCACGGGTGGGTCGTGGGTTGGGTGGGCGAGTGGGTTGTGGGTGGGTGACAGGGGTGTAGCAGCAGGAGGGGGGTACTGCTGGAAAGCTCATGCGGGGGAGGGCAGTGCTGGGGCGACTGGCCGGGGTGTGTTGACTTACCGTATATGCGGCAGGGTGTGTTTCGTCGCGTGTCTGTGTCCCAGTCGCCACCTCCGCCTCACTTCCCCCTTCCCGCCTGCGTTTCCCTCTTCCCCCGCTCCCCCCCTTTACTCACCTCCTCCCGCCCGCCAGGCCGTGCCGCCATCCTGACGTGCGAGGGCGAGCGCACCATGCGGACCTTCATGGACCCCAGGGTGGGAAGGAAGGGTGGTAAAGAGGAAACAACTAACTGACTGAGGGATAAGGCGTCGGGGGGGGGAGCCGTTGGGGAGGGGGTAAAGACCATACCGAACCAAAGGAAACAACAGGTTGGGGCAAGGCAATGGGGATAGAAGCGGCAGGTAGCCTCTGGGATATGGGCGGTGTGAACAGGGCGGGAGGAGTGAGGGATTGATTGCTTGCTTGCCGTCCTCATTAAGACATTCGGTATTCTCCTTTCCACCCCCCTCCCCTCCCCCCTGCATGCAGGTGACGACCCTGCCCGAGGACCTGTCCCCGGATGACTTCCGCGGCTGCCGCTGGGTGTTCCTGTCCGCCTACTCGCTATACACGGAGGGGCTGCTGGGGCGGGCGGTGGGGCTGGCGGGGGAGGTGAGGGGCAGGGGGGGGGGGCTGGCGGGGGAGGTGAGGGGCAGGGGGGTGCAGCTGGCGGGGGAGGTGAGGGGCAGGGGGGGGGGGCTGGCGGGGGAGGTGATGGGCAGGGGGGGGGGGCTGGCGGGGGAGGTGATGGGCAGGGGGGGGGGGCTGGCGGGGGAGGTGAGGGGCAGGGGGGGGGGCTGGCGGGGGAGGTGAGGGGCAGGGGGGTGCAGCTGGCGGGGGAGGTGAGGGGCAGGGGGGTTGGGCTGGCGGGGGAGGTGAGGGGCAGGGGGGTGGGGCTGGCGGGGGAGGTGAGGGGCAGGGGGGTTGGGCTGGCGGGGGAGGTGAGGGGCAGGGGGGTTGGGCTGGCGGGGGAGGTGAGGGGCAGGGGGGTTGGGCTGGCGGGGGAGGTGAGGGGCAGGGGGGTGGGGCTGGCGGGGGAGGTGAGGGGCAGGGGGGTGGGGGGGGCGGGGGAAGTGAGGGGCAGGGGGGTTGGGCTGGCGGGGGAGGTGAGGGGCAGGGGGGTGGGGCTGGCGGGGAAGGTGAGGGGCAGGGGGGGATGTGTGAGAAGTGCAGCAACTGGAGTCCCAGTCCCATATCCCGACCCATGCAGCGAGCGCATAAGGAAACATTAGTATAGAAAAACGCATTACAGATGACTGGTGCAATGGGTATGGGCTCTGGGGTAGGACGGCAGAGGGCTGGAAAGATGCGGCTCTCTTGAACTACGTAACACTGCTCCTGCTCCTCCTCCTCCTCCCCAAACCTCCCCTATCATGCGGCTCTCTTGAACTACGTAACACTGCTCCTACTCCTCCTCCCCAAACCTCCCCTATCATCAGGCTGGCGCTCGGGTGGTTTTGGATCTCGCGTCGTACGAGGTGGTGGAGGCATACCACCGGGAGCTAAAGGTAGGGGAGGGTGAGGGGGGACGAGGAGTTTAGCGACCCATGGGTCTTCTGGGAGTAAGGAAGTGATGAGCTGATGACCCATGGGTCGGCTTCTGTCCAATAGAGCAACTGCCTTACGTGTCTGATTCCCGGGTAATAGTCTACCGGGTCACGGGTGCTGTGTCCTTTGCTGAAAGCTCGGAGGCGCGCTGTTTCTGGTCCCCTGCACTCCCCACTCATCCCCACAACCCCCTTCCAGGCGGTATTGGAGAGCGGCGGCGTGCACTTCTGCGTGTGTAATGAGGTAAGGGAGGGCAGGTGTGGTGGCCAGGCCAGGCAGGAGTGGGGCGTGCTAGGTCTGGGGGGGGGCTCCCATACCGCCACCCCTTGCACCCGCACCTTGCACCCCTTGCTCCCCGTCGCCTCCTATATAAAAAGGAGGCCCCGTTACTGCCTCGTCCGAACTAGCGGCTACTTTTGGTTCCGCTTCTCTTCAACCCCCCTCCCCGCCTCCCCTCGCAGGACGAGGCCCAGATGTTAGTTCGCTGCCTCGGCGACTCCTCCTCCTCGTCCTCCTCGTCCTCCGCTGCCCCCTCCTCCTCCTCCACCACCCCCACCACCCCCATCGACGCAACCGACGCAACCGCGGCAGCCGGCTATCCTCCCGACAGCCGCCTTCCCTCCACCGCGCTCTCCCTGTTGCTGCGGTATTGCGAGGGCGCGGTGGTAACACGCGGCGTGCTGGGTTGCGTTGCGGCATGCAGGGAGGGGCCCGCATGCGGCTGTGCGGCTGCTACGGGTGCTGCTGCAGGAGAAGAGGAGGTGGAGAAGGGGGTGGGGAAGGAGAAGGCGGTGGAGGAGGTGGGGGCGGTGGAGGTGGAGGTGGATGCTTGCGGGGGAGGAGGCGCCCGGGTGCGGGGGAGGGTGGTGGCGGTGGCGGCGGTGCCGGGGGTGGCGGTGGTGGATACCACGGGAGCGGGAGACCACTTCACGGCAGGGTGAGTTGAGGAGGAGGGGGAGGGAAGAGGTGTGGCGGAAAGGAGGGAGAGAAGGGAGGGAGGAGGGGGAATACGTGGGCTTAGGTTGTTGGGCGGATCGGGGCAGGTGGGGAGCCCTCCGCGGGGCTCAAGTGGGGCGTCACGGAAGGGAGGGAGGGCGACTCTCTATCCGGGCGGCGGCGGTGGTGGTGTGAGTGCAGGGCCACTACCGGTATGCCACTGCTCGTGTTCCAAGCTTCCAACGTCGCCTCCTTCTCATGCCACCTTACCCCCCCCCCCACTGCATGCGTCGGATTTGGGATTGGGACTCCGTTGCTGCACTTATCTTACTTTCCCCCACTCCGTTGCTTCACATTTCGTGTTATTCCACCCCTTCAACCCACCCCCAGTTTCATGTACGGCCTGATGTCGGGATTCCCCCTGGAGCGGTGCTGCGAGGTGGGCTGCCTGGCGGGTGCTGCGGCGGTGCGGGGGGTGGGTGCGGAGCTGGGGCCGCAGGACTGGCAGTGGTTCCACGCTCGGCTGAATGGTGAGGCGGGCTGGGGTGGGAGGTGGGGAGGGATGGGGGGGGGATCGGAGAGGAAGGGAAATGGCGATGGAAGCGAAAGAGAGGGGTGCGGCATGTCGGGTACGGTTGACACCCCGCGTGACGAAAGCGCTCCGCGTGCTCTGTCCCCGCATGTCCATGCAGTGCTGGTTTCCTGCTTCTTGCTTGCGTTGCAGCCTCCCTCACCCCAACCCCAAACCCCAAACACAGCACTCACAACCCCCCTCGGCCACTCATACACCTCCCAGGTGATCTGGCGGGAGATGTGGTGCAGGACAGCAGTGCTGCGGAGGTGGCGCAGGTGGGGGGGGGCGGGGGGGCATGGAGGGGCGCAGGTGGAGGGGCATGGTGGGGCCATGGCGGGGCGGGGCATGATGGCCCCCATGCTGGGGCGATACTCTGCCCTTGGAACTGTCGGCCTCCCCTCTCACCTCCTCTCACCTTTCCAGCCTCACCTCCGATCCGTGTTTCCTTGCAGCTCAGTTTACTGAGCCTAATCCCTCCCCCCTTCTTGCGGAACATCCACCCCCCCTTCCATCCCCCCCAGGAGCTGTTGGGCTGTTACGCGCTGATCGGGCGGCTGGGTCGCGGAGCTGTGTACTTTGGCAGTGCGCGGCTGGCCCAGGGGTCGCCCTTCTGGGGCCGGGCAGTGAGGCTGGCGGAGAGGGTGAGGCAGGAGTGAGGGAGGGGGAGGGGCTGGGGTGCAGGTGGAAGCGAGAGAAGCGAGGGTGTGAGGCAGGATGAGCGTGAGCGTGAGAGGGAGAGGGAGGAGAGCGCAGGATGAGTGGAGGGAAGCTTGGTAGGGGAAGCGACTAGTGCTATAAGAGGAAGAGGAAAGATGGGAGCAGCGTGATTCTTTGTAGTTGAGCTTTGTTGTTGTCTTTTTGCAGCAAGCATAGCATGATTTCGTCTCATTTCCGTCATTTTGAGGAGGTCGCATGTTTTGTTTGGGGTTTGCAAGTTGCTGCTCGCTGCGAACCGCGGGTCTCCATGCCATTTGCTTCTCCGCAATAATAACACAATAGCAACATGGAATTAAAACGTGCACGGAAAGGCTTGTCACCACAGATGTTTGCGTTAAAGCATCCTGCCCGTTACCTTTCCACATTAGGATAAAAGAAGATAAATGGTCAAAAGAGCGCTGCTGAGCTCCTGCTTGCAATCGCGGCTCGGCTCTGAATTACCTCAAGCATCATCCTAGAGCCGAATCGGTTTCCATTTCGGCTTCTCTTTCCTGCCATCTGTTGCACTGCTCTCGCTGTTTCTTTTATTGCCTAGCCAACCTATCTCCCCCTCCCCCTTACCAAAGGCTCTTGTATTCTTAACCTCTTTACTTGCTATCCTCTGTTCAGTTACATCATTATTGGGTCTTTCAACGTCATGTTAGTGAGTCGCTTCCGCTCACCCGCCCTTTCCCTCCTCTTACCTTGCCTCCTCTTACCTCCCCCCAGGTTGCCCGGCTGCTGGGCTCTCCCGTGTGGACTGGCGGTGGTCCCGGCATGATGCGAGCCGCCAGCGAGGGCGGGCTGCGGGCGGGGGTGCCGGTGGGGGGCATCCGAATCAGCCGGGAGGCGGGGACCAACGTGCTCACCATGGAGGTGAGGGGGGGACGGGGTCTGGGGGGTAAAAATAAGGAAACTGACGCACTCTATGACGAGGCTTCACCATGGGTTGCTAATTGTACCGGGCCCGTCCAACCCCAACCCCTGCCTTCACCTCCCTCACTCCCCTCCCCCCCCCCTTCAGGACTATTTGCCCGCGGGAGCCGCCTTCACATGCAAGTACCTGCCCGCTCGCAAGGTGAGCACACAACGGGAGGGGGGTCAAAGACCAGTGGGGAGGGGGGGGCGACCTGCACACCGGTACCTCTCGCCCGCATTTTACCGCCTCAGCCCCCAGCCATTACTAACGGTGTTACTCACCCCTCCGTATTCCCTCCCTCCCCCCACCCCCCATTCCTTCAGGTCGCCCTCACCGACGCGGGAGCGCGACAGGTCCCCGACCAACGTACCGCCTACCTCTTCCTGCCCGGCGGCCTAGGCACCATGGACGAGCTCTTCAGTGTGCTCACACTGCTGCAGCTGGGCAAGCTGGGCTCGCGGCTGCCGGTGCCGCTGCTGGTGCTGAACTGGGACGGGTTTTACGACGGGCTGATGTCGCTGCTTCGGGCGTTTGACCAGAGCGGGGCGTTGCGGGCTTCGGAAGTGCGGGAGGTAAGGGGTGAGGAGTGAGGGGGGGGGGTGTTTGTTTGCGGGGTTGGGTGATTAGATAAACTGAGCCGCGGAAACACTGACCGGGGTTGGGTCGTGGGGTGTGTGGCACGGGAGATGCTTGGAGATGCTTTGGATTGCTGTGCATGTGAAAGAGAGGGCGTCTTTCTTTCTTTTGTCTTACGTTGTTTTCTCGTGTTGGGGGAAGGCTGTAATGCTACTTGCCCCTTCCTTCTCATCTCGCCTCTCCCTTGTCTCTCCCTCCCCACATGCTCCCTCTTCCCTCTTCCGCCACCCACTTCCTCTTCTTCCTCCTGTGTTCTACAGGTCATGGTAGCCACCAGCAACGACGAAGTGCTGGAGTACCTAGCAAAGTTCTACGACCTGCCCATTCCCGAGTCGGAACCCGACGAGTGCATTGACCTGGATGCTCGGGAGCCGCTGGCCGGGGGTTGCTGCGGTGCGGTTTTAGGCGGGGAGGAGGAGGAGGACGGCGCGGGTGCTGAAAACGGCGGGGTCTGCAGCGCGGGTAAGCGTGCAGGCAGCGGGAGCTGTAGCGGCGAGGATGCGGCGGCTGCTGCGGAAGCGGAGGCGGAGGAGAAGGAGGAGCTACAGACGCGGCTGAGGCGGCTGGCTGCTGCTTCGGATGAGGAGGTGGAGGAAGCAGGTGCGGGTGCGAGTGCTGTGGTCTCCTCGGCCTCGGCCCCAGCCTCCGCGCCTGCCTCGGTTCCGGTCAGCTCGCCTGCTACTGCTTGCGGAACGCCGCATGGTGCGGGGGCGGCGTGCAGCCGCAGGCGCGCGGCGTCGCATTGTGGGGGAGGCGGCGGTGCGGGGGGGCATGCGGGGGCGGGTGCGGGGGCGCAGCATGCTGTTAGTGCGGAGGATGTGCTGTTGAACGGGGCGCCGGGGACGCCACGCAAGGTGTGAGGGTTGTATATTGTAGTGGTCAGGAAGAAGGAGGACGACTGGGAAGGAGGAAAGGAGGTGAGGTTGGGGTTAGGGTTTAAAGCCGCGGCGGTTGCGTGGTGGTACAGGGGTTTGACGTGGGCTGCGTGCGGAGGGGTTGTAGCGGGCGAGACGGGGAGCAAGAGCGAGAGCGAGGCTTGCTGCTGCTGCTGTTTTGTTCCACCAGGGACTAAAGCGTGCGGCTGCCCGTCGCTCTCTCCGGCTGCTGCATGTGTTGCGTGTGAGGGGCACATTGCCCTTCGCGTGCGGGGCATGCGGCGCGTGAACGTGCGAATGACATGTGGGGCTGAGTAATAAAGCCCCCAGGTGTTCAATGCGTGATCCGTGGGTTACATCTGTAGACCCTTCCAGTATACTCCCCTGTAGTCCCCCGTGTACCTCCTCATGGGGTGTGCGCGAGCTATTAATCCGGACCGTTTTAACGTTATCAATGTGTGAACAGAATCCGTATTGAGAATCCGTCTATTGCGCCGGCGTGGTCCGCTGCGTGTACTGGCATATCTTAACAGGCTGCCTGCCTTCCGTTATCTCTCATGTGGGTATCTTCTTGTATGGGTACGGAGACGGGGCGGTGGTGTGATGGCGTGACTGTGGGTATACGGCGCGTGCGTTAGTCCTGGTTACGGAATATGTGTTGTTACCTATTGACCTGTGTGACCCGTGGGTCTCCTGCGTGAGATATTGAATTGCTGCTGAGTATACATCAATGGCAGGGGACCCCAGGGGCTTTGGGGCCGTCGTTTTGTTTGCAAGCCGTGTGAGGCGTGCGTTAAGGAAACTGGCCTCTTGTGCATTGTAGTACATCAGGTAATACGCATCAGGGAATGCACTCCGAATGCTCAATGCTTAAATGCAAGGTATTCCACTATCCACCCCTGTCCGCTAGCTAACCCTACGTTGCTACATATATGTACTGCTTATCATTATCCACCACTCATCCTACGCTGTACACTCTCGGAAAAGAGAAGACCCGCACACACATGCAATGCACCGGCCTTGGTCAGACGTCGTCAAGAAACACAAGCCTTACGTCCCACTACTACGCACTACTCAGCACCCCACTACCGCATACAGGTGCCTGTCGTAACAAGAACCTAAACACTCTTCTAGCAACTCCTGGCAAGCAAGTCCACCACTACTCACTGAATCGTCCTGCGAGGACCGGTAAAGCTTAGAATGAATGGAGCGCACACGAAAAGCAAAGGCGCGTGCACATGCGTGCAATCCCCGCTCCTCTCACGCAAAAGCCCCAGAGGACTCAAGAAGCATGAATCATGCATGGATGTAACGTGCTAGGCGTGGAAAAGGGTTCGGGAACACAGGTCCCCCGCTTTGCCCCCGATAAGAGCTGCTGGCAGCCCGGTAAAACAACCGAAGCGGGCCGAAACGAGCGGCAAAAGAATGCGCATGTACGGTTGGATCCGGATTCGATCAGTCCGAGAAATCTGAATGCGGATAAGATGAGTGAACCATAGTACGTGTCCCAAGGAAGTGGGCCACCTCACATCCGTAAAGCGCTAAGCCTAAAGCGCTAAGCCTACATGCGAGGAAGAGTCCCAACCCGGTGTCGTCGTTGCAAGGAACGTGCACGGGCGCAGAGGACGAGCAATAAGAGCTCTGCGTCGTCTCTTTCACCACCACCATGGGAACAAACCCTGAGCCAAACAGGGAACCAAACCCAGCTGCGCTCCCTCTGCCCGCCTGCCCACCATAACTACCATTGGAGAAAAGAAGGCGAGCGCTTCAAACATGCGTCTCCGCAGCGTTAGAGGCCGCATGGGGCCCGCCCTACCTGCCCACTGCGCGCCTAGGACTCACCGCACGTCTGCTCCCCTACAGCCCACATGCCCCGGCCCTTCCCGAGCCCCCTCCGCTCGCCTCCACCGCTGCGCATGCAACCCGCTTCCGCCGCACATTTCTAGCCACTCATTGGAAGTCTAGTTTTCTCAATTCCTTCACCTCTCCTCTCACTCTCCTCTTGCGCTCCTCCTTTCCTCCTCCCTCACACCCCACCCGCCCGCACCAGCCGCCGGTACCTCCTCACACTCATGCCGTACAGCTCCCGGGTCCCCACCAGTGCCAGCAGGTTCAGCCCTCCCAGCACACACCACGTCTCAAAGTAGCAGTCGGAGCCGGTGCAAAACAGCGACTCGCCGTGCCGCCGAGCAGCGCGGTCGTACAGCTTGCCGGTGAGGACGGTGGCGAGGAGGTAGCCGCCGGCAGCGGGGCCCAGCTGGGGAGTGGGAGGTGGGGTGGTGGGGCGGAGCGGAGGAGAGGTGGTTCAATTGGATTGGGGTCCAGGAGGGAAAGGGTGGTGACCTAACGAAGGGATGCATACAGAAGGATTCACACATGAAGTGGCGGCGGGGGGAATCCGCGCATCCAGTCCTGCGCATGACGTCCCCTAGTCTGCTGCTCTAGCGCGCTCTACCTCACACACGCAAGCCCCAACCACCAACCAACCACCCCACCAACCACCAACCACCAACCAGCCCCCCGCTTACCTGAAGGCCGGTGTAGTTGCTTCCAAAGTGCGTCAACCCAAACAAATCCGACGTAATCGCAGGAATAAGCCCCCAATGCGCGCCAAACGCCAGCCCCGCCACCAACGCCACGCCGTACAAGTCCTGCAGCTCCGAAACCGCTGCGCCGCCAACTCCCACCAACGTCAGACAGCTAACCGCCAGAAGTACAAGTGTACGGGGCGTGCCGTACCGCCGTAGCAGGTGTTCCGACAGCACGCCGCCCATGAGGCGTCCGGTGGCGTTGGCGACGCTGAAGAGGGACACGAAGACGACCTGACCCCCGGGTCGGCCGCCCAGTGCGACCACGATGGAGCCCAGATTGTTCAGGAAGGAGAGGCCGGTGCCTAGGCCCACACTGAACTGCGGAGGGAAGAAAGGAAGAGGGCTAAATGTGTTGAATGATTAGGGGTAAGGGGTTGTGGGGTATAACATCCGGGGGGGTGCGATGAGGTATGACTCATGTGGGTACCGTACGGCATGTGGCCAGGCAGGCCGCTGTACCCATCTCTGCCCCCGAAAACCCCATTTCCCAACCTTCCTTAACAAACCCGCCCCCCGCCCCGCCCCCACCTGCAGCAGCAGCAACCAGAACATGGGCGACCTCACAGCCGCCCCCAGCGGCAGGTCGCTGAGCGCCGGCACCTCCTCCAGCGCCTCCAGCTGCGCCTCCAGGTCGGGCAGCAGGCCGGCGGGCGGACCAGCAGGGGGAGCAGCCGTGGCAGCAGCGGGGGAGGCGGGCGGGGAAAAGGGGGAGGCTGCATCCTCCGCTCCTCCTTCTCCTCCTGAGGTTGCGGAAGTTGCGGCGGGTGCGTCTGTGGGCGCAGCGGCCGTGCTGGAGGGAGCTGCTGAAGCTGCATGGGCCGGTGCGGCCACCGCCAGTACCTCCGTCGCTGCCGCCTCCATCGCCTGCATCCCCCTCACCCGCTCGTCTCCATGCACGACCACATGCGCATGCCGCACCCGCACCACCGCCGCCCCCTCCTCCGCACCCTCCTCCCCTACACCCGGACCCCTCACGTCCCCCGCCGCCTCCGCCAGAAACGGTTCCGGCGGCGGCAGCAACGGCTCTCTCAACCCCTGCTCCTGCTCCTCCTCCCTTCCCCGCCTGCCCCGCTGCTGCCGCTCCCTTCCCCCCTCCCCCTGCTGCTGCTGCTGCTGCCCGGTCCAAGAGGCCCGCCTCCTGAAATGCGCCCCAGCCGCCCCCACGGCCCCCACCGCCGCCGCCGCCGCACCTCCCGCCAGCCTCCTCAGCAAGCTCCTACGCACCCTCTCAACCGCTTCGGGTCGGGGCTTGCGGTGCACACAGTCCCCGGAGCTGAGCGGCAGCAGCAGCAGAGTGGCCAGCAGCAGCAGCAGGCCGGCTAGGGCGGCACGACGGGGGCCGGGACCGGGCTGCTGGGCTCCTTCCCAGAGCGCAGCAGCGGTTTGGTAGACGGCCAGGAGCGCCACGAGGCAGTAGGCGAAGGTAAAGCGGGCTTGGGCGGTGAAGCGGGGGGCGGCTGGGGCGGCGGTGGTGGTGGTGGTGGTGGTGGTGGTAGAGGGTGGAGGAGGCATGGAGGAGGAGGAGGGTGGCGGGTAGGGAGAGTGAGGTGAGGTGGGGTGGGAGAAGGAAAGGGAGGAGGAAGGGTGGGAGAAGGAGGAAGAGGCGGAGGCAGAGCTTGGGATTATTGCCTGTTGCTGCGATTGCTGAGGCTGCTGCTGCTGGTGGTGGTGGTGGTGGCCGTCATGATGATGCCTGTGGTGGTGGTGTTGATGATGATGGTGGTGGTGATGTTTTCCCTCTTTCTGCTGCTGCTGCTCCTTCTTCCGCTTCTCCTCCTCCTCAGCCTGCTGCTGCTGCTGCTGCTGCGGGGGTTGCGGCTCATGGTACGCCTCCGGAACCAAGTTGATTGCGGCGGTCAGGCCGGCCGTCAGCAGCGGCGGCACGCACCCCAGGAAGGCCAGGAAGCGCACCGCGCCCTGCGGCCCCGCGGGTGCGAAGGCGGCTGCGTAGACGGCGGAGAAGATGGAGGCGGAGAGGCCCACGAAGGCCTTGAGGATGCCCACCACGGTGCCTCGGTCGCGCGGGAAGTTGCGGACATTGGTGACGATACAGGTGGTGTCGAACCAGGTGCTGGAGTTGCCTGGGTGGGATGGGTGGGATGAGGGATGAAGGAGGTTGAAGAGGGATGTAGGGTTTCAGGGAAGGGTTATATATTCCGCACTAGGCTCGAGGATAGTTGGGTTAGCGCCCAACCCTTGTCATTCAGACCCCGTCCCGTGTCCCGCCAGCCCCCTGCGTGCCTCCTCACTCCCCACCGCCCACCTGCCAGCACGGCGAAGCAGCACACCAGCCCAAACGCGGGAGTGAGGCCCCCGCTGGCGGCGCTGTAGAGCCCCAAGTAGCCGGCGGCCAGCAGCAGCGAGCCGATCAGGGGCACGAACCTGAAGACGGGGCCGGGGCGGGGGTGTGTGGGGGAGGGGCGTGAGGCAACTCGCAGCCGTACCGAGCTGTAAACCACGGACCGTAGGAGCAGAGCAGGGGAGGACTGACACGGGATAACTGGTACTCTGCACCCCACCCCAGCCCCATGCAACTCGCCCTCGCTCCCGCCTTCCCAAGGGGGAAAAGAAATTCCAATGTGTGTGTATGTGGGGGGGGGTGCCTCCGGCTACCTGGGTCCGAAGCGCTTGTGACGCTCCAGCCTGTCGTACAGCGCCCCTGAGGGAATGGCCAGGTAGCCGCCGATGTTGAAGCAGGAGCCAACCGCCGCGATCTGGGTTTCGTGGTAACCCCACAGCGCCTTGAGTGCGGGGGCGTAGATGGAGAAACTGTACGACAGGCCGGCGGAGGCCTGCGGGCGGGAGGGGCGGGGAGGCGGGGAGGAGGTGCATGGCTGCAACACCCTGGCGCGGACTTGCCGCGTGCGTTCCGGCCTGATTGTGGCTGCTTTGTATGCAACGTCGCTGCTACGCAAGTGATATGGGAATTGAGACGTGGAGCGAGGAGCTGCCGGGAGATGGCATGCCAGCAATTCTGAGGCTAAGCAGCTGAGGACCCCCAGATCTCCCCCAGGGCTGCTTTTTGACAGCGGATTGGCGAAATAGCGCTACCATGTGACCCAAAGCAGCTGCCATCGCTATGTCTGCCTGGGAAATGCGGCCAGGACGGAGCTCATGCCGTACGTCGAGGCAACGAGCCCGCTCTTTCAACCGGCATAGCGCCTGGTCAGCTGCTCACCTGCATGAGGCATGACGCCACGAACGTCAGCCATCGATTTAGGTAGAGACGCGTCCGCATTGTCGATGATCGCTGGTTTGGGCAGAACCGTTGGTTAATGCCTCATCCGCCTGGACAACAACACGCCAACTTCTTAGCTAGACTTTGTATAGTTGAAACCAAGTACAACGTGTTTCGCTTATTGGATGGACTGATGCGTGAAGGCAGCACTTCCTGAAAGATGCCCTCCCTCGACTTTGTACGGTTGCTTTGGTTCTTCAACCATTCTGCACTCTCCGGGAACCCTCTTTCCCGTGCTAACGGTGTGCGCAAGGTGCGTTAGGGAACATCTTGTAGGGAGTTATCTTCGCTTTCTTAATTTCAGTCAGGCGCTGGACATTGCCGGCAGCTGGGACTAATAACTTCAGAAATTCACCTCACATCCCTGCTGGAATTGCAGGAGCAAAAATGAAGTTCAACCGCAACGTTAGCTCCTCCCGGCGCAAGAGCCGCAAGGTACATCACCGGCGGCGACGGCTGGCTAAGCATATAGGGGATGCCCGCTGGCTTGCTTGTCCAGGCGCAGTCTATGACAATGTCTATACTTGATCAGCGATGGGACTGGCGACTATGTGCAGCAGTGCACCGCTTTCTCAGTTCAGCGGCGCTACGCTTTTGGACGCCAGCTGCGTGCATTCTAGCTATAACTAGCAGACTATTAAATCCAGTTTATTCGTTGCACGGGTTCATGTTCGGCGTGCTAAGGCGGCTTTCTTGGTTCCATGCACAGGCTCACTTCTCCGCGCCGTCGAGCGTGCGCCGGAAGCTGATGACTGCTCCTCTGTCGCATGAGCTGAGGAACAAGTACGGGGTAAGCAGCCTGTCAGCTGAGCGGTGTCTACTTCACATAACAATGGGATGGCTACTTACCGGCATTTCCGGCCTTTTGTGCGCAGGTGCGCGCTGTGCCTATTCGCAAGGACGATGAGGTGCAGGTCACCCGCGGTGCCTTCAAGGTAGGCTATCGGGATATCACTTTCCACTCCATTAAGCCGCCAACAGCTAAATACTGAATACCTGGGTTGGCTTTTGTAGGCTCGCGAGGGCAAGGTTGTCGAGGTGTACCGCAAGAAGTGGGTCATCCACATCGAGCGCGTCTCCAAGGACAAGAAGAACGGTGAGCGCGACACCAGGGGGGGTTCGCACACAAACCCAAAGACTGTAGAAAGCCAGTAGCCGCAGCTATTTGAGGGAGGGCCTGGGCAGGCCGGGGGTACATCTCACAATCACCTGTTGCCGCAAGGTCTCAAATAACGAGCAACTGACTCGTCACCTGCATGTCGTACAGGCGCCGTCGTGAACGTGGGCATTGACCCCAGCAAGGTTATCATCACCAAGCTCAAGGTACGCGAATTAGAAAGGGGGGGTGAGGCAATGTCGTTGGGGTGAGGCAATCAACGGGGGTGGTGAAATGAAACGGGGCTGGCGCTGGGAAAGGGAAAACAGCTTCTTAACATTTTTCATCCTCCCCTCGTTCCTGCATTGCGCAGCTGGACAAGGACCGCAAGGCCCTGCTGGAGCGCAAGAAGGTCGCTCGCGCCGCGGAGAAGGGCAAGGGCAAGGTACGTCGTAGCAAGGGAGAAGGCGACATGGAGCAGCATGTGACAATGCTCTAGCATCAAAACGTCACGATGGTCACAGCATTGTCATGTCTAAGCTACTAGGAAGCGCCGCATCCCTTACAGCAACTGCTTACATGGTTTGGTGCACGTGTGCAAAGGGAAAGTCACAGCCAACAACAACCTTCCTGTTCTTTTGCAATGCTTCCTGCAGTTCACGGAGCAGGACGTTGCCATGGCCAACGTGGACTAAGCTAGCGGCCCCTGTGGCCAGCTGGCAGAGGCCTCTCGCAGCCCGCTCGGTCTCCTCCGAGCTGGCGGCGTTGGGTCGCAGACCAGTCCTGCAACCACCGGCAGCAGTGGCGGCTCTCCTCCAGCTAGGTGGCCCGCAGCAAAACCATATGTCTCTGCAGTCGTGCATTATAGATTATACGCGGAGCGACAGAGAGCGCCTTTGCTGCAAGGCGCGTGGGCTTGCAGCGGCGTTCTTTGGGAGAGAGGCGTCATGTGGGTCGCTTGCTCAGCTGCAAGGGGGAGCGTATGACATTGCGCAACTCCGGCTGCAGAGCGGCGGCTTGCTGTTGTGTGGGTGGTGGTGATGATGTTGAAGTCCGCCCCGAGCGGTGGGGGGCGGCCAGGCGTGAGCAGCCGAGCGCAATGCTGACAGCTTCAGCGGGGGCCGGCAGTGGGCTGGGCTGGGCTGGGATCGCCTGCCAGGGTGTGTGCGGAAGGAGCAGCCAGGTTGCGAGCAAGAAGGTTCTTGGCTCGGTGCATGCTTTCGGCAGCGCTACTTCGGTGCAGCCGGATACTGGGCTAACGTACATGGGAGCCTGTTTGTAAGCAACTGACGTGCTGGTCTACTCTCTCTTGGTTGCTGGGGCGGACAAGTAATGGGCTTGGGTTAAAAGCACAACATGATGAAGGATAGTCCCTGGGTTACACAGCTAGTGGCATGCAGCAGGAGCCAAACTGCGCCGTTGAAACCCACGAGCGTGCAGAAGAGTCAGTCCGCAAAAGCATCCAGGCGATACGGGTGTGTGGGCAAGTTACCTATTCACAGTAACGCCCTTAAGGGCGGTTAGAATCTTGACTGTACAAGTGCTACCAAACTTATGAGGTCTCTCAGCCCATTGGAGAGCCATGGACCTTGGGAACCAAAACATACAAACCCACACCGCATTCGTTTATACACCCCGCAAATAACACGCAAATAATACCGTACTTAAGACTGTTAAATATCAGAACATGCAAGCCAGCCAGCCCCGGCCTGCTCTCCTACGTTACCGGTAAATCGGTATTACCGACAACGCTTTTGACCCAGCAAGACCCATCCCAACATCTAACAGCCAAGACACACCTCTCTTCCAGCCTTCAGTCCATGTCAGCACGCCTCCTTCCGGTTCTCCCTCGCCCTCCCCTGCTCCAAACCACACCGCCTCTCCCTCATCCATCCAAACACAGCCACCCGCCCTTCCCCGCCCCGCCTCCCCCGCCCCTCAATCCCCCTCGTCCTCCTCCCTTCCTCCCCTCAATCCTCCTTTTCAATCCTCCTCCTCCCCGTCCGCCCCCTTGTCCTCCTCCAGCTTCCTGAACAGCAGCCCCAGCGGCCGCACCAGCGCCGGCAGCCCGGGCAGGTCCGCCAGGTTCACCCGCATCAGGTCCATGGCCACCGCCACTCGGGGGTGCGGCCGCAGGTCCAGCTCCGGCAGGGTGGGGTAGCGGGTGCTGAAGTGGGTCAGCAGGATACGGTAGGCGCCGGCCTGGGGCGGGGGACGGGTGGGGGAGGGTCAAGACAGGCTAAGCAGCTTCCCTCTCCCTCGTACGTATGCTCTCTCCGACTGCATTTTCCGTTCCAGCACCTTCAAAAAGCACCACCCTCTCCGCGCCTCCCCCGCTCACCTTCTCGCCCACCGCCACCGCCTCAGCAGTGGTGCTGTGTCGCTTGGCTCGCGCCTCCCCCGCCATGCTCTCCTCAAAGGTCGCCTCATGCACCAGCAACGTGGCGCCGCGGGCAGCTGCCACCGTCTGTGAGGGCAGGGGGAGGAGGGCCGCAGGGGGTGTAACGTGGGGAAGAAAGAAATTCCAATGTGTGTTGTGTAACGTGGGGGCGGGGTGCATGAGGGGGGGTGTGGCGGTGGCGCAGCGTAAGGCCGCAGAAAGTCTGGATCGATGGGGGAAGCAGCATGCACCTTAACCCCTATTTTTTACCTCACACCGTTTGCCGCGCTTTCTGTTCCTTTCATCCACCCTGTCATTCCACCGTATAAAACCCCTGTACCCCTCAGGCCACCTCCACCACCATCAACCACCAGTTACCGGTAATTTCTCCCCCTCCAACCCTTTCTCTCCCCCCCTCTCCCCCACCCACCTGCGTGCACGGCCGCGTGTCCCCCGAAAACACAACCGACCAGCCCGCGCGCCCCTCCAGCCGCAGCCCGTACGAATCCGCGATGTGCTCCACGGGGAACGGTGCAACCGCCGCCAACCCCAGCCTCTCCTGCGCCCCATGCAGCGCCTCCGCCACCTGCCATGGCAGCGGCCGACAGCACTCCGGCCGGGCCAGAGCCGCATTCGACACGAACACAAACTGCATGGGTACGACAGCGCTGTACCGCAGTAACACGTCGAATAGCTTGTACGGCCCGATAACCACCAACGGTGGCGCTCCGCGCCTCGCCCGCCACTCCAACAGCCGGTACAAGCCACCGTGATGGTCGGCATGCATGTGGCTGATCCACACCAATTCCACCGCAAGCAGTCGCGACTCCGCGTCTTCCGGCCCGAAGCGACGTTTCATCTGCCCCATGGCGTCCTCTCCGCAGTCTACGAGCAGCCCGCCGCGGTCAAACAGATCGACGTAGCAGCCGGAGACGTTGCGGAATTTGGAGGGCTGAGAGGAGGCGGTGCCTAGGAAGGTCAGCTCGGCTAGACGTCTGGCAGAGCGGGAGGAGGTGGGGCGCGGAAAGGAGGGAGGGAAAGGAAAGGAGGTTAGAAGAGCGCGCTCGGATCGCGGGAGGTGCAAGCTGAAAGGAGGAGGAGGTAGGGGTATGCAGGAGGGTAAACACACACAGGTTGGCTATTGTCCCATAGCGTCTTCGCCCCACCTGTCGCCACCCGCCAAGACCGCCGGGACCTCCTGCTCCCGCGCCGCTGCAGACACCTCCACAACAGCAGCAGCAGCAGCTGGGCGCTCTGGACTCGCTTCCGCCGCCGCCGCAGGTGCCGTCCCCGCCGGTGCCGCCGCCGGCGACAGTGCTGCTTCCGCCGCCGTCGTCACCCTTGCAGCCGCATCCACCACCTCGTCCGTCCCCGGTGCCTCCGCTCGCGTTTTTACCTCCGCCACTGCCGCCATGTCCCCTTCATGCGCCTTCGCCTCCGCTGCCGCCTCCACTGCCTGTGCAACAGCCTCCTCACCCGCCGCCGCCCCCGATTCATCAACCATCTCCACATCCTCTGGAGACGCCCTGACCTCCGACGCCGCGGCAGCCCCATCGTCGCAACCACAACCTGACGTCACCGTCGCCGTCAGCGGCAACGTCGCCGCCTCCGCTGCCGCCGCCAGGATCTCCGCATAGGCTGGATCCGACCGCATATCTTCCAGCACCTTGGACGAGCTGTCGTACTGGAACACGTCGCCGTACTCCAGGCCTTGTTTCGCTGGCGGCATGAGGTTTAGCCGTACGGCACTCAACAACGGCGTGACGCCGCCGGCCGCCAGCGGCAACACCGGTTGCTGCTGGATAATAACCAGCGGCGGCGTCGACGTTGTTGACGGCGCCTTGGGACTTACGGCGGTCGCTGCGCTTCCGCTAATAGCTTTTGCGGCATCATCTTTTTTCCCGGCGCCGTTGACGTCAGCGGCCTTCGGAGCCTTGTCAGCTCCATTCACCGGTGCCTTCCCCGCCGTCACCGTCGAGCCGCCTTTCCCCCTCGCCGCCGCCGTCCCGCTCTCCCCCGCCGCCGCCCTCCTCGCCGCCGCCGCCGCCCTGGCCGCCGCAGCCGCCGCCGCCTTCTGCGCCGCCGCCTCCGCCGCCGCAGCTGCCTCCGCCATCGCCGCCGCCGCGGCCTCCGGTAGCTGAGGCGGAGCCGCTGAGTTGTCTAGCGCGAAGAGCGGGAAGGCGCTGGGGTGCAGCGCATGCAGCTTCGCTTGGAAGACGGTCGCTCGGCGCACGGGACTGGGCTGCTGCTGGCCGCAGGTGACCATCACGTGGCGCCAGGAGGGGCCAAGAAGGCAGCGCAGGGGCTCCATGGCGGCGGCGTCCGAGGCGACGGCGGCGGGCGCCAAGTGTACGGCGATGCACAGCGCATCCGGGCCGCTGCCGCCGGTGGCATCGCCACTACTCCCGCCGGTAGAAGAGCCCTCCGCCTGCGATGTGCATGCACGAGGCAGGGTGCAGGAGAACCATGAGGCAAGGTTAGCCTTGTTGTTGACTATAGGTGCTTGCTAAAGACCCGACACAGCGGAGGCATCGCAGCATCCCCTTGACCATCCTCCGCAGCCTTGCAGCCTTCCCACCATCTTCCTTCCTCCTTCACTTGCCTCCTCCCTAGCCTCCCTCCCCACCCCCGGACCCGCTCATGCAGGCCCAATGCCCCACGTGCACTCACCAGCGCTCTCCTCACTCGCTCGTCCGCCGCCACCGCTCGCAGGCTGGCCACGCAGGGTGTGTCCAGCAGCAGCACACGCGGCCCCGGCACCGCGGGCTCCATCACCTCATGCGGCTGCACCACCCGCCCCGCCTCCGTGGTGACTGCGTGGCCCCGCTGCAGCTCGCCGAACACCTGGGTGAGCGGGGTGAGGTGGCGGGGAGGTAATGGGCAGGTGGGGAGGAGGCATACATCATATGCGGTGAGGGGGATGCATACAACCTGCGCTTTCTAAGTGACCCATAAGCGGCATGACATCCACGCCGAACACCTGGGTGAGCGGGGAGAGGTGGCGGCGGCACACAGGGGGCGGGCAGGTGGGGAGGAGCAGTGCAGGTGGGAAGGTCAGGGAGAAACCAAACCAGATGACGCCGCAAAACTCCAGCCCCGGTCAACGTTGTCTACAACTCTGTCCCACAAACGTGCAACTTGTGCAACCTAACTTATTTACCTTTGCAGTGTGTCGCATGCATGGCATCATTTGCATAGCATCATGCGTCAGTCAGGCACAGAGCCGCATCACACCCACCGGTCCCGGTCGAACGCCCAGCTCCGCCGCCTTCTGCGCATTGAAGCGCCCCGGCCGACCCGCCAGCTGCACCACATACACCACCACATCCGGCTGAGACAGACCCGCGGGTCGCTCGCGGCCCTCCAGCTCCTCCTCCTGCGCCACATACTGCCGCTGCTGCTGCTGCTGCCGTTGCAGCTGCTGTAGGCTGCTGTAGTTGATGTTGCTGATGCCATTGGCCTGAGGAGCGGCGGTGGCAGCTGTCCCGCAGCCATCATCCGTGCGTTGTCGTTTACATGCGGGGCTGAGGCTGCCTCCCTCCGGGCTGTCTCCGCTGCTACTGCCCTTCACCGCCTCCTCCTGCGCAGCAGCCACCGCCTCCCCCTGTTGCTGCTGCTGGGTCTCAGCCTGCCGGGACGGCGAGGAGCTCAACTGCCGCTGCTTGCTGCCGCCACACCTCTGAGGCAACCCCGGTGCAGTTGCCGCTGCTGCTGTTGCTGCCTGCAGCCCCCCTTCCTCCTTCTCCTCCCCGGCCGCACTGCTGGCGCCCACACGCACCACAATGGGTGTGATGCTGACCACATCGGTCTTCAGGATGGGGTCAGAGCAGGCGGGGTCGATCTCCTCCACCGCCACCGTTGCCTCGTTGTTGATGTAGCCCCGGAACGCCTGGGCGTAGGCCGCTAGGCCGCGAGGGCCTGTGGCACAGCGCCCCCAGCAAGCAGCCGGCATTAGGGCTCCACATGTGTTCAAGCATGTGGACGTTCATGTGTGCGGCCGTATACCGGTATGTCTAGCGCCAACATATCGCCTTCAGTTTCTTATGGGTCGGCATGCCCAACGGCAATATCCGTTGTTTCGTTCATTCTTAAATCCTTATGGGTCTGTACGAATCGAGTTAGCACATTGTCAACGTATTGCGTCGCGCCGTGTCGTATTCTTTTCCATGAGGTCTGGGTCAGAGGCTGCCATGCATCGAAGGGTGGTGCTGAGAAACGCTCAGTACCGGTACGAGCATGCGTGGGGGATTGAACCCACGACCGGCCATAAGAACCGCATGCCCCAAAATCCGATGGCAGAGGAGGCTTCTGGCCACAGACCGGTTCAACAGGGCGAACAAGGCGCACGCGCCTTCTTTGAGGTTGACGTTGCAGCCTGGTTTTATCAAGGCAAGGCATTGGGCAGAGGCCGGTTACCAGCATCGTCACCAGCTCGGAGAGCGGTACCGAGCCTTACTGGCCTCATCTTCGGCTGTGTGGGGCGCGATTCCCTTGCTTCCAAGCCTTCAACCCAAATCAACTGGGGATCTGGTCGCCCGTATGTTGGGGGCTTTGGGGTTAAGCTTCTGCCCTCTCGGGGGACCCAGCCCGTACGTGGGAGGGGCCGGTATATCTGGGTTATCTGGGTCTGGCCCCGTACAGATCACCAGAGGGGCATGCCAGCTTGGCATGTACCTTCTGGTCAGCGTTATGCGCTGCCGTTCCAGGGTGATAAGAGTGGTTGGATTGGAAAGACCACCACATACACATATGTTCATCCGCAGGGTGGTCTTAAAGAGCCATGTGTTAGCGGGGATAGCCGCAGGCAGCCAGCAATGCATGAAGGATGTGTCACAGGGGCCAGGCAACAAACCCAACGCAGCGGCAAAGGTACAAGCAGCAGCAGCAGGAGTGAGCAGCAGCAGGAGTGAGCAGCAGCAGGAGGACTATTGGTAGAGCCTTACTAGACATTCGCGTAGCAACAACTAACTGGGTTAACGCCTACCTTTCACGGTACATGCCGCCTGCCTGTCGGTTAGAAGACCGGCTCCATCCATGGGGGTCACGGACAAAGCCATGCCTGCAATGGAAGGAAGGGTGTTGCAGGATGATGGGCGAAACAATAAACTTGCAGTCGGGACTTGAATCAAGTATACAGCTGCGCATGGTGCTAGAGCAGGGTAAGTATGCGGTCTGGAGGCAAGGTAACGCGTCCAGCGGTAAAGAGCCCTGGTGGCCGACGTTGATGCTGGTCTTATCAGGTATGGGTACAAAGTCGTTTAAAGGTTTCGTAACAATCCTTACGCACCAGGAAGTCCACCTAGTGTCTCCGTGCTGACGCGGGTGACAAAGTATGAGGTCACCTGCGGCAGGCAAGCCATTTTAGTGCTCATGTGTGGGTGATGGTGGTTGCTGGCAGCTTCTCAGACCTGCTTAATTTTCAGCTTATGCTCTCGGAACAAACGCTGAATTCCCTCCCCAGCGTTGAAGAGATATCGCTCCTTGTCGAAGAAGAGCAAGACAGATGGACTTGTGTGGTCGATGTCCAGAGCCAGAACCTGCCGCAGCCAAGAACGTTTATAAGTATCAGTATAACTATAGACGTTTCTACCGTGACAAACTGCTTATAACACCTGCCTGCAGAAACGACGAATAGTGTTGCATGCCGCCGGTTGGCTTCTCATAGCGCTGCTGAGGCTGCTGAGGCTGCCTTTGCTTCTGCCTGCCATCCTGCTTGGCCTGTGCATGAGCGTCCGCACTTGGCTGCTTCCGTCCCATAACTCTGCTGGCGGCAAGCCGCACTGCAACTTGCAGTGAAAGACGACCGTCTCGTGGCAGAAAGCAATGCCGTCCAAGCATATGTCGCTTGCATTCCTATGTGTGCGTTCGTGTCTTACGGTGCCACTGCAGGGCTCAACGCACTAGTAGATTTTAACGGCCGCACGGCAATTCCAACTAACGGACCCGGCTCCACCTGCGCTCTTGTATCCTTGGCCCGCCTTAGCATTTCTAGACCTAGCAGCAGGAGTAGTCGACGCCTGCATGGTTGCGCAGGCGTTTCCGCTACACGTTGACCGCTAGCTATTGTTGTAGCTTCTGCTAAGGGCTACACGAGCAATGTGCCCTTTATGGCGGAGGGAGGCGTCCTAGACGCCTAGTTTTGAGGCATTTTGAGCATCCCGCGCAGACAGCCCGAATCATGGAGCCTGTTACAACATCCAACCGCTTTATCCAACGGTGTCCTTCATGGTGCTGCAACATGAGCGAACGTCTCTCGGACGCTTACAAACAGCCTGTATTACGTATCATCCTGTAGCAGTGGCTACATCTCTGCTGCCACTCCTCCTCTGCCCGTTTCGCTCTACCCAGCCTTGCATCGCACGACATTTGCTGCCACTCCTCCTCTGCCCGTTTCGCTCTACCCAGCCTTGCATCGCACGACATTTCTCGTCGCCTTCGCCACATCCCCAGACACCGTCCCATCTCCCTACAACATCCTCTTTACTGTACACATCGGCCCCGCACCAGCATCCGGGCCCAAACCCAGCCCCCACCTCACCATTCTATACTACACCTGCCCATTCTACACCGCAACACCCGCCCCCTGTCGATTGGGATTCCGTTGACGCACTTATCTATATTTTCCCCCATCTCGCCGCTCACCGCTACTGCCTCCACTGCCTCTCCCCCTGCTGCCCCCTGTGCACCCCCCCTACTCCCCCCTCAGCCCCCGGCGTGCCGTGTATGTGCACATGCACGTAGCGCCTGAGACTCGCCTCATTCAGGCCCAGCTGCCCCACCTCTGCTAGCGCGAGCAGCACATCCGTACACGTGATCTCCGGCTCATGCTGCTGCTGCTGCTGCTCGGCCCCGCTAGCCCCAGCGGCTCCCCTGCCGGCTGAGGTGCTCCTACCGGCGGACACCGCCCGACCCGTCAGAGGGCTGCTGGTGCCGCCGCCTCGGATGCCGGTCGCTGCCCCGCTGCTGCTGCCCATGCGCGGTGGCAGCGGACTAGCTCCCCGTTCCCCGGGTAGTGGCGTTGTTGACTCCGCTGCTGCCGCTGAGGAGGGTCCTGCCGCCGCTGCTGCTGCCAGCAGCCCGCCACGCCCCGGGCTAGGCCCCACTGCCGCCCCACGAGCCGGACTAGGACCCGTGGAGGAGGAGGAGGGGGACGGTGCCGCCGCGGTAGCTCCCAGCCGGAATGGGCTCGGGCTGGGACTGGCGCCGCCGGGGCTCGCGCCCGCCACAGCAGCGGACCGCGGACGCTGGGTTGCCGAGCCCGGCGTGCGCGCCCCCCCGGGCGAGGATCCCACGCCATCTGCTGCTCCCCCTGCTGTTGCTCCCATGGTGGTGCCGGTGTTGGGGGTGCTGCTGCTGCTCAGCGGCTTGTTCCTGCGGTACACCGCCACGGCCTGCTCGCCGGTGTGCGGGAGGCTGCGCGAGGCGGACAGCAGGCCGTGGAAGTCCGCGAGGCCGTGGGCCAGCAGGCGCGCGAAGGGGTCCTCCAGGGGCAGCAGCAGCTGGGCGCCGGGGGCAGCCTGGAGGAGAAGGGGAGAGGGCAGGGAGAGAGGGCAGAGGATGTGACGAAGAGTTCGTTCATGGGTTACCGGGTGCGGGCTTACCGCTGCAATGCAACTGTATTTAAGGTGCCCTAGAAATCCAGGAGGAGGGCTGCGCGTGTTTGCCTTCCCTTCCCTCCTACCTTTCATCGCCCCTCGCCCCACTCATGCCCCGCCCCTACCCTTGCACCCTCCCCCCCATTGCTTCATTTTCCCTTTCTCCCCCCCCCCCCACCTGTTCAAAGAAGTCCAGCATCTGCAGCTCCATCTGCATCACACTGGCGGGGTTGGCGCGCTTGAGAGCGGCCCGCGCGCGCCGCCCCACCCCCGCCCACCGCTGCAGCGCCAGTGCGGCCTGGGTGGGCCCCCGCTGCTGGCGCTGCCGGGGGGGTGCGGACTCGCGCTGGTGGGCAGCCCATTTCTGTGGGGGCGGGGGGTGGCGGTGAGGGGGCGGTGTAGGTGAGGGGGGCAGCAGGCAGGGGTGGGCGAGCAGGGGAGAGGTGAGGTGGTAGGGTTAAAGGAGGTTCCCTTCCTTCCTTTCTTAACTCATTCGCACTCCTACGCAGCACGCAAACGCATACACCCTTCCCCAGCCCACCCACCTCGCCACCCCGGCCCCCGTCACCATCCCGCCCCTGCAGCACCTCACACCTGCAGCACACGCGCCTCCTTCTCGGGGTCGATGCTTCTGAAGTTATCCCACAGGGCCGCATGCGCGGGGGTCAGGGCTTGGGCCAGCGGGGAGGGCACGTGGCCGCCGCCGAAGGGCGCCGGCTTGAACTGGGCCTCCATGTCGGCGGCGGAGAGGGGGCCAGCCAGGTCTCGGAGCGTTTTGTCGTTGAGCCAACGGCGGCGCCGTCGTACACCTGGAAGGAGCGAGGGGAAGAAAGGAGAGGGGGGTTAAGGGGGGAGGAGATGAGTGGGGGGAAAGGGGGGTTTGAAGAGGGTAAGGATGGGGTGGGAAGCGGTGCTGTAGTGGGATGAGACTTTTCTTGGAGCTGACGAAAGACGTATTTAAGGCTTATCTAGGATGCAAGGGGTTCAGTGTTGCAGTCGCAATGGAAGCCAGGAAGGGAGCGTGCGTTGAAGGCATTTGGCATTTGGGGCAACTCCCTCACGTGCGTTAGGCGGGCAAAGCAGGCCATGCCGGCGCGAAAGTGCACGGTAGCCGTCGTCCAAGTAAGCAAGTAAGTGCCAGGTGATTAGTATGATAGATAGTTAACCACATAGCGTCCTCCTTGGACCAGCACTCCGTAAGGGAACGGAGCGAGCCGATGAGGTTGCGACTGGCAGCCGCGACTGCAGAGCTTCGCCATACGGCCCCGCCCACCTGCAGCTTCCATCGCTTTCAGCTCGGCTAATTCCATCTCGGATGTACTGGCACCACGTTGGCGGAGCAGCTGTGCGAACTGTAGGTCTTTACCGCGCAGCTCTGCTTTCCGGCGCCTTAGCTGCTCACGCTCTCGTTCTTGTGCAAGGTAATGGGTCAGACTGCGCCCATCCGGCATAATGTAAGGGGCGTGGGCAGCCATCGTGGCTAGTTAGCGCGAAGTGTCTGAAAGGGTGGACGCCACAAGTGGCGGCAAACCTAAAAGGGCGAAGCTCGAAAGAACGAAGATGAAGCGGCGTACCGGTAGACGCTTCGCATTCGCGCGGATATTGGACTGGATGTACGACATATGCATGCCCAACCGCATTTTCCGTAAAAGGTGCGCCACGTTGTGCTACCGCTGATCCGTTGGCAACTACAATGCACTAACTGGAGGTCGTACTTCAATGCACAAACTCCCCGGAGTCACCGCGCTGCGCTCTTGCTGCAGCGTCCCTGTTTCACCTTTAAGCCCCCTCCGTTCGGCTGAAACGTGCCCTAGGCTTGCGTCAACAGGTATTTATAAAGAATGAGCCGAAGATCTAGGAACAACTGTCATAGGCTGTTGTCATGGTAATGCAATAGGCTCTGATAGCTTAAAGGTGGAACGCAGCACCTGGGTATTTGATCCTCAGGCGATAGATAGGTCCTTGGAACTTATAACTTCGTCTCGCGCTTTTTGCTCCTCGGAGAATGCAACACCGATGTGATCCCCGCATGTTGCTTGCAGGGAGAACGAACCCTGGCAAGCCGATTGCCAGAAGGCACAGACCCAGCGTACTAACTCCCAGCCGCCACTCTTCCCCAGAGCTTGCAACCGCAGCGCCCCGTTCCTCAGAGTCCGCATCAGCAACCATCACCACTTCCGCTCCTAGACCTTCCCCAGACCTACCGCCCATCTCCTCCTCCTCACCCTCCACAGCCCGTCTCCCAGCTCCACCTCCTGCACTACCTTCTGCCAGCGCGCACCCAGCCCCAACCTCACCTCCCTCATCGTCCTCCTCAGCCACCATCCGCATGAGCACCTCTGCAGCCCACCCACCACCGCCCCCCAACAGCTGCTGTGGCCAGGATGCCCCCACCAACACCCTACAACCCCCTGCTCCAACTTCTCCAACTGCTGCTGCTGCTGCTGCTCCGTATCTAGAAAGTGAACCAGCAGCAGCAGTAGCAATACCACCACCCGCAGCAATAGCAATAGCACAACCCCTCGAAACAGCACCAGCAGCTGCAAGACCAGACGCCACTGCTGCTACTGCTGTTGCCCCTGCAGCTGCTAGCGCCTACCATCTGGGTCCGCCGTACGGCCAGGTGATCCGCTCCGACTTCCTGGGCGCCGCTCCGCTCACGGGCGGGCGTCGGCTGTACCTCGTGGTGCTCAACTACTGCTTGCCGGCGGGGCTGGCGCACGTCTGGCAGCTGGGTGGGTGGGGAATGGGTACCGAATGGATGGGGAATTGAAGCGGGGACGTGGACCGTGGATTTACGGAAGGGGTGTTTGATGCGGGTGTGGATGTGGGGCCTGGGCACGACGGTCCAGGTAACTACCGGTGCGGAGGAGAGCTAAGGTAAGGATTTTTGGGAGTACAGAGTAGCGCGCCGTAGCAAAGCCAATGCAGGCTTTGGGTACCACTTACCGTCCCTCTCCGCATCCTCCGTTTTCCTCCCCCTCCTGCCGTACTCCGCAGCTTGTTTCCGTATCTGCGCTGACGGCGGTTGCAACCGGCTGCATGATGAGTTGCCGGTGCTGGTGCCGCCGCCGCCGCAGCGGCTGGCGTGGGAGCTTGCAGAGGCGCAACATGAGGCCGAGCAGGAAGAGGAGGATGAGGAGCAGGGGAGGCAGAAAGAGGGGAAGGAGAACAAGACCAAAGTGGGTGAGGGCAAGGAGCAGGAGCAGGACGCCACTGGTGGTGCTGGTGCTGGTGGTTGCGATGGCACCGCTTCGGCCCATCAGCAGCAACACCAGGGAGGGCAGCAGGCAGGGCGGCATGCGGCAGAGCAACAGCAGCAGCAGCAGCAACATCCACAGCAGCAGTGCTCTCATCCAGCCGACGGGGTGAACGGTACGACGCATGCGGGCAGCAACGGTAACGGTAGCCGCAATGCCGACTCCAACGACTCCAACGACCCACATGGGTTACATCACATGCGGCACCCGTCAACATCCCCGGTTCACGCCCCATCAGCAGCAACAGCAACAGCCGCGACCCAGATCCCAGATCCCATCACCGCCCTCCGTTTGGCCCACTTGCCTGATCTAGTCCTCGGAGACTTGGACTCCCTGCGGCCCGATATACGACGATTTTACCTGCAGTACGGCGTGCCGTTCATGGATATGTCGTACGATCAGGAAACGACAGATCTGACCAAGGCTGTGAAGTTGATCGAGGAGCGCTTTATCGCAGCCGACCCAGATCCGCAACCTGGGCGACACCAGATCTTGGTGCTAGGTGAGATAACCCAGATCGAGATATGGCGATACGGGTGAAGTAGGGGATACTGGCGTGCTGAGGGGGTTTGCTGGTTTGGGTTTGAGAGGATGTGCGTGGCATGATGCATGCGTAAGGTGTGCAGGCATAAACGGTCCCTAGAACTTCCAGCTCCCAACCCAACACCATGTTTCTCCTCCATTGAAAATATTCCTCTTTTCCCCTGTATGCAGGCGCCCTGGGCGGCCGTCTGGATCACACCCTCTCCAACCTCAACACCCTTCACCTCTTCCCGCACCTTGACATCGCGCTGTGGGGCGACGGCAACCTGGTACGGCTAGTTCGGCCGGGCAGCGCACTGGTGCTGCCCGACCCACGGGTCGAAGGGCCCACCTGCGGCCTCATTCCGCTGGCCGGGCCGGCTAGGGCCTCCTCTTGTGGGTTGCGCTGGGAGCTGCAGGAAACCGGGATGCGGGTGGGAGGGTTGGTGTCGTCTTCTAATTCGTTGGCGGGCAAGGAGGTACGAGTGGCCTGTGATGGGCCGCTGTTGTGGACCACAGAGGTGCGTGAGGAGCCGAGGCCGGAGCTGGGTGCGTTTTGGGAGCGTGTGCGTCGGGAGGCTGAGGCGGTGGTGGCGAGGAAGGGGGAGGAGGAGGGGGGGGAGGGAGGGTGAGGAGGTGGCAGGGCGGGAGCAGGGGTAACTCGGTGGCAGTGTGTGGCCTGCTGCCTCTCGTGGAAGGCACAACGGGTGGCAGCGAGCGGGGGCAGAGCCGCACAGGCAGTGTAGACAGCGTTGGCGGACGAGGCAGGATGTGCAGAATGGGCATAGAGGAGGAGGGGCGATACCAGCAGGAGGTTCCGACAGGGAAGGTAGGTTTAGTGGGTTGTGGATGAGCGGCGGGGCGTAAGTGGGGCGTAATAGTTTGTGTAAACATCGCTGCGGAAGGGGGGGGGGGAATTATAAATAAATGCAACAACGCAATCCCAATCCCGAATCCCGGAAGGGGGGGGAGGTATATTTCGGCAGCAGGGCAGTCAGCAGCGAGCTATGGATGTGGAATGAGGAGCCTGCCGGCAAGTACATGGTGTGAGGGTTTCCGGCGTGTCGAGGTGTTCCATTATTGCTGTTCAGCAGCTGAAGGGCTAGTGCTTATGGCGGGTTTAGCTTGTATCCCGAGCAGGCACTGTCGTAATGATGCTTAGGCATGCGAGGAGCCTTCAATAGGTGTAGGACGAGTCAAACCCTAGATTAACTCATCTTGACTGGCTAGATTCCATGGTAAATGATGCTGTGATGCATTCCTTAAATGGCAGTGGCGGTGACGAGAAAATACAAACTAATACATGACAACAGATGTAATGCTGGCGGCGAACCGATAAGGCTTGTTGCCATGCATGTGTAGGAGGGGCGGGTCGCCCATGCCGGTCACAGGTTAACGACGTCAACGGGTCAACGACGACATGTGGTGTGTTGCTTCCGACTGAACTGCAGAACTGATACCGGTGCTGGCCGTAGATTTGATACTGAGTTTTCTGACACTTGAGGGGTGTGTCACAGCTCTCGGTGAAAGGGCTCTTCCTTTCTAGGCGTTATGGGCGTCTGACTAACTGGCGGGGATCTGCGGGCATCCGTGACCCGGCTGTGCTAGCTGGTGTTCGTACACAGGTGCACATCACATGGTTTCGTACTCATGATATGTGTGTACATGGAAGGAGTACGGCAAGGCTTCCGTTTTTGTGCTTGTGCAAGGAACAAGGAGGCCTACAGTAGGAAGGCCATGCATACCTCACAATGCCGTCTTGAGCGTCCCAAAAGAAGGAGAGAAATGCAGTTTAGAAGTCTTCCAGCTTTCGAGCAGTACAAAGGCGAAGGTACGATGCGGTGTAAAGGCAGGTATAGGCAGGTAAACAAACGCGGCAAACAATTCTCCCAGCGCCAACAATACTACCGCAGATAGAGGGCTACCTAATCAGGCAATGCAAACACCACTAACTAGGAGGAACGAAAGTGATCGCAGCCCTACGCAATACCGCTCCCTGACCTGACCTGATCTAGGCACCTGACCGTATGAATCACGTCTCAACACTGCCCCCCTTGCCTGCACCCGCGTAGCTCATAGCTCACGGTCCCGCCCGCCTGTCCTCCCATCTACCTGTCCTACCGCTTAGCTCTCTGAAACCAGGTGTCGCAACTACGCATGTACAAAATGCGACATAAAAGCAGTGCCGTTCTCATGCTGAAGTCCCGCTAATCACCGCCGCCCCACACCAGTCCTATCCCCACAGCCACGCTCGCACGCTGCATCACCTGTAGCGATCCCCACTTGTACTCTACACTTTCTGCCATTCCGTACACTCTCTCACCAACCTCGCCGTACTTACTGTTGCTGTCAGACCCCTCGCCAGTTGTCCCGCTTAGAACCGAACCACGCAAGCACAAGCTTGGTGGTAGGGCGGCTGCACGCCTCTCCCGCTGGGGCCTGCAGCGCCCAGTAGCGGCCCTGACCTCCCATCCGTGCCCGTGCCTCCACACGACTTGGAATGCCACAGTGCTTCACTCCGTGTTCATTACCCCTTGCGTCCCGTGTAGCCGGAGCCGTACGGTTTATAGTTCTCGATAATTAGCGACTTGTCTAGCGAGCGAGTGGGGGCGGGGTCCTGGTGGGGGATGGGTGGGAGCAGGGCAGGGGGACGGGGGCGGGGCGGGCGGAGGAAGTCGTCGTGAGCTGGTTTGGGAATGCACGGGTCTTGTGGCCATCCGCCCCTGTCCAAGTGGTAGTGTCACGTCCGTACGCAACTAGGCGGGCGACCAGGCGGTGCATGCGAGCGCTGTCAGACACATGCAAGGACTGCCAGACCCATGCGGGGGCGCTCACCGCTGCTGATGCCGACTTGGGTATGTAGCCGCAGTACCCGGGCATGTGAGGGCTCTGCTTGGTGGTGCCGAGCTGCGGGGCAGGCGGGGCGGGGCGGGGCGGGACAGGGCGGGGGCGGGTGAGGAATAGCAACCACAATGACGTGTAAAAGTGGGCGGCAGGGAGGGCGGGGGGCCGCAGGGGACAAGGAGCGGCGACGCAGGAGGAGTCAGTGGCGCAGGAGGGAGGCGGTAGCCAAGGAAAGGGTATGGTGGCTGGCAAAGGTGCCAAGAGGCGAGGACTGCTTGAACCCTACTGCCTCTTCCGCCTCCTCCTCACCAGCAGCGTTGTCGGCGGTTCAACCTTTGGCCCGGCTGCTGATGTGGCCGCGCCGAACCCTAGCGGCGCCGGGTGAGACCCTGGAGGCGTGATGATGCGCTTTCCGGTCCACTTTTTCTGTTCTAGTGTCAACCCCGCCTGCATGGCTTGGTAAGAGCTCATCATGGGCTCGCCGGCAGCTGCTGCATCTACGGAGGCGCCCTGAGGCTCTTGCGGTTCAGCAGAGTCGTGTGCGGCTCGGGAGCGCGCGATGGCCACGGGGAGCTTGACCTCATCGAGCGGTGCAAGTCCAGGACCTAGTTGACCCTATGCAAATAGAAATGGAGGGATGGATGACAGTGTAAGCATGATGGGTATAGATGAGGCTGCAGACCGCGATAGGCAGAACGGAAAGGAGGACGCAAGGAAACGGGCAGCGCATGGACAGACGGGACTTAGGAAAGGCAGGTTGTACACAAGGTACAGCGACAAGCAGGCATATGGGTCCATACTTATATTGAGTTCCTGTTAGTATGACGTGCTGCCCAGGATTGGCGAACATGCACGCGAGCGGACCCCGCATGCGACAGGTGTTGCCACCCTCATAACAATTAGACGCACCTGTCTAGCTGCATCGAAATGTCGTCTATTTGAGGGGGGAAAGTCCTCAAACTGTGCCAGGCTTTGCTTTTCTGCTGCCATGAGTGTCACCGTTCAGCCTGGAGTGAAAGGAACGGTAGCTACCGGACAATTGCAAGTATCTTTTTAAGAATAAGAGCAGTAATACATCAGTAATGATTAAGAAACAGGCAGCTCCAAGCGAGAGGTCGGTGCTAATGTTCTGGACGAGCGCCGGACAGGTTTCAAAGCGATCCTTCGGTTGGCCATCGGAAGTAAGGCAGTGTACTGATACGGGCTTCAGTTAATGCACCGCTGTATAATTGCGCCCTATGGGCCGGCTGCAACCAAGACAATTTTACTGCCGTCCTGCGATCGCGGGTAGCACACTGTACTTGGTTTCGCAAGGCCAGCGCTCCCCTAGTGCTAGCTGACTAGTGCGTATGTATCGTGGAGGTGGTGGCGGAGGTGGAGGAGGAGGTAGCGGTGGGCGTCCATGGCACGCACATCGACGCGGCGGTGGCGGAGGCGGTGGCCGAGGCGGCCCTTATGGCGGCCGGGGCGGGAGCGGCGGCGGTGATGGTGGTGGGGGATGGGGTGGGAGGTACGGCGGCGGCCGAGGGGGTCCCGGCTTTGGTGGAGCTCCTGCTGACGAAGGCGGTGATACGGTAAGTCGCGGTTTCATCCCATCCAACTTCGTCAAGATGGATGATTGGATGAAAGCTCTTGTATTCCAACACCAGCCTGATGTGGGTCGGAGTTCCCACATTCCATCCCGCCCCGCCCTGGGCTGCCATACCTCACAGCTGTGTGCTCCCTTCATTCGCCCCATCACCCCCAGCAGCCGTACGGCGGCTCCTCGGGCCCCCCCGGCGGCCCCAGCTCGGCGGTCTCCCTGGACTTCTCGCCGCCTCCCGCCGCCGCCGCCCTGCCTCCCGAGCTGCGTCGAGCAGTAGACGCCTACGTCGCCAAGTGGGTGCCACTAACCCCGCTAACCGCTCGCTTGTTGTCGCATGCCGTACCATGCCGTATATTAGCGCATGGTACGGCATGCTGTCGTACGCCCACCCTGCCCCCACCCTCCATACCCCCGCTCCTCCCTCCCCCCATCACCAGGTTCTCCCCGCTGGTCCAGATGGAGCTACAAGAGGAGCGGCGGCAGGTGGAAGAGCGGCTGCGCGGGTGGCCGCTGGCTCGGTTGCGTGGCGAGGGGTTGGTGCTGCTTGAGCTGCGGGCTGCACGGCGGGGCAGCTACCTGGGCAAGGTGCTGGTGCGGCTGACGGCGGCGGACGGGGGGGAGCTGCCCTTCCACCGCTTCACGTGAGCTGCGGGCGGGGGGGGCAAAAAGAGGACACTGAGGGGTGGGGTGGCGGGGCGGGACGGGAGGGGCTGTGTTTTGTGGTGTTGTTGCAGCCCCGGGGAAGTGCCGTACAGTCGAAACCCAAGGAAGAGTCCCTGGATGAACAGCCCACCCACCCCCAACATGGTAAACTACCCTCCCCTTCGCCCAACCTCCCCCCCTTCCCCCCCCCATGGTGAAGCTCGTCATACAGCTCGTTCGTTTCCTCTTTTAACCCGCCCTCCCCCCACACATTGGAATTTCTTTTCCCCGCCCACAGGAGCGGCACGCTGGTTACGCTGTGTCGGCGCCACCCGCTCAGCGAGCGCACCTGGGAGGGTGCCGTACTGGACCGGGGGCGGGGGGAGGTGCGGATGCTGGCGGAACGGCTGCCCGGGGACCTGGGGGAGGGGCTGTGGAGGTGAGGTGGGCCGAGGCGAGGCGACGGGTGAAGGGGGCAGCTTGACCCGGGCCATGCAGTCTGAGCACACCGCCCTGGTAACCATGTCGCCCCCTGCTGACCGGGCATGCGCATGAGGGTACCACTCACCACCTCCTCCTCTCCCGCTGCTGCTGCTCCTCCCACGTCCCACGTCGCCCCTCAGGCTTGACAAGGGAGCCAACATCACCACCTACCAGCGGATGGCGCAGGCCATGCAGGCCCTGTACAAGCAACCAGGGCTGGCGGGGGCAGCAGCAGGGGCAGCAGCGGGGGTGGCCGATGGGGACCTCGAGGGAGAAGATGATGAGGATGGGGAGGAGGAGGTGGATGCGGAAAGCGGAAGCATGTACGGAGGCGGAACCGGGTCGTCGTACGGGTATCAAGGGTACGGCCGTGGCGGCGGCGGCGGCGGGCGGGGTAGAGGTCGCGGCGGCGGCAGGGGCCGCGGCGGCGGCGGCGGGTACAAGCGGCGGCGACGCCAGGGGGGTGCTGATGACGAGGAGGAGGACACGTTGCCCCCCGGGACCTACCTAACGGATGTGTTGCTGGCGGCGAGCGGGCCCGCGGCGGCGGCGGCGGCGGAGCGACCGGCGCCGCTGGTACCTGCTGCAGGGTTGCAGTGGGCTGCCGCGAGATGGGGCGGCGAGGGGGAGGGCGCTGGCGGCGCTGAAGGCAGCAGCGGGGCGGGAGGTGGAGGAGGTGGAGGAGGTGGAGTGGATCTGCGGCAAGAGGATCGGGAGCTGGGGCTGAACCAGTCCCAGGTGGGTGGAAGGGAGGCAGCCCCGGCCCCTGCCCCCTCCTTCTCCGGCCCCCTCCTGCCTCTGGCCCCCTGCTGCCTCCTTTCCCTCCTGCCCGCTGCCTCCTAACCCCTATCCCCTGCCTCCCCCCATACTACCGGTAACCAACACTTTGTCTTGTGGCACCCTGCCGCCTCCTACCCCCATTGCTTTGCCCTAACCTGTGGTCTCCTATGGTTTGGTATGGTCTTTGACCCCCCCATGCTCCCCACAGCTAGTTTACCACTGTCACACCACACATTAAAATTTGTCCCCCCCACCTCCATGCAGGTTCGCGCGCTGGCACTGGCCCTGCGACACCGCGTGGTGCTGCTGCAGGGCCCGCCGGGCACCGGCAAGACCACCACCATCGTACGGTTCATCCGCTTCCTCAAACACACGCTGCGGTAAGACAGGCAGGCGGGCAGGCAGGCGCGTAAGACCGCCGTGTAAGGAGGAGCCATTTCATGGCTCATGGAAGAGAGGGCTGCAGAGGAGGAGGGAGGCGAGGGAAAGCAGAGGAGGGGACAGGCTTGCTGCCACAAGAAACATCCATGCTGCAATGGGACATCGTAAGGAACGAGAGGGGAATGACGAGGCACATCCACACCCACCGCTTCCTCCCTACACACGGTTTTCATTACCCCCCCACCCGCCCCCCCTTCCTTTGCATGCAGCTACCCCCACCCGGTGCTCGCCTGCGCCCAGTCCAACGTGGCGGTCGACAACCTGCTGGAGGGGCTGGTGGAGCTGGGGGTGGGGGCGGTGCGGGTGGGGCAGCCGGTCAAGGTGAGGGGGGGGGGCAGGGGGGGAGCCAAACCAGTGGATACCGCAGCTCAGGGCAAGGCACCGGTACTGGGGATGGGAGGCGGCGGGGGTAGCCACAAAACACCTGGGGGGTTAGCAGCCAGTCAAGGTGAGGTACGGTAGGCGGCTAGCTGCGGGCGTAGCTAGCTAGCTCTGGATACTGAATGACGATTCGCTGACGTGGAGGTGCATGGAAGAACATGGAGGGACATGGACCCATGGGTCACCTCACACCTGCTGCATGATGTCTTATTGCCATGCCATCATGCCCCTGCCCCTGCCGTCACGCACACAGGTTCGCGAGTCGCTGCGTGACGCCACGCTAGACGCGCGCATCCTGGCACATCCCGCCCGAGCGGAGATAGAGGAGGAGCAGGTGCGTGCGTGCTTCTGTGTTACATCAACCCCCACGTGTTTGGTGTTGCTTCCTTCGGCCCACGTAACCCCCATGTCGCCATGTGCAGGCTCCATGCAGGCCCAATGTACCGGTGCTCCTTCATCCCACCCACCCACCCGCACCCCCACACCCCACCGTTCCCCCTCTAGGAGCGGCTCCGGGACCTATACCGGCGACTGCCCTCGCTGCGAGGTCGCGACCGGGGCCTGGGACACCGCGACGCATCTCTGGGCGCCCGGCGGCTTCGCGAGCTGCGGGGAGCCATGATGGCCGACATACTGCGGGGGGCGGATGTGATCTGCTCCACTTGTGTGGGGGCGGGTGAGGGCGGGGGTGTGGGTTAGGGGGCGGGGGGGTGCGTGGATGCATGCATGAGTTGGTCCGAATGCGGGTGGGGTGTGTGAGGGATGGAGCGGGGGGTTTACTAGGGGTGAGGGCAGGGCCCATGGGGCAGCACCGTGTCAAATAATTGACCTCAACTTCTGCCTGCCTGCTGCTCTCCCTCCCTCCTCTCTCCCGTCTCCTCTCTCCCCCCCCAGGTGGCGACCAGCTGCAGGACCTGTCATTCGGGCTGGTGGTGCTGGATGAGGGTAGCCAGTGCTGCGAGCCGGAGGCGCTCATTCCGCTGGTCAAGGTGCGGGAGAGGTTGGGGGAAGTGAGAGGGTTGTGCGGGTAGCAAGTGACTTGCCCTGGGGCCGCCCCCCCTCCCCATTGTCTTGCCCAAACCTGTGGTTTCTTATGGTTCGGTGTATGGCCTTTGAACCCTTCCCCCCCTCCCCCCACTGCATGAGTCGGGATTCGGGATTGGGACTACGTTGATGCATTTAACTATATTTTTCCCCTCCCGCTCCCCCCTAGGGCTGCCGTCACGCGGTGCTGGTGGGCGACCACTGCCAGCTGCCGCCCGTGTGCCAGAGCGAGAGGGCGGCGGCGGGCGGGCTGGCCACCTCCCTGTTCGAGCGGCTCATGGAGGCGGGGGTGCCGGCGAGCATGCTGCAGGTGGGTGTGCGTGCGTGCATGACAATACACAGACACGTATGTGCCGCCCGCCTTCCTCCCGTGCTTCCTCCCTCCTCAAGCCCATACCGTAGCTGTGGCACTGTAAACGGTGCTTGTCCTCCTCCGCCTCCTCCGGTTCCTCTTTACTCCCCCCCTCTCACGTCCTGCAGGTGCAGTATCGCATGCACCCCGCGCTGGCCGCCTTCCCCGCCGCACGCTTCTACGGCGGGAGGCTGCTGGACGGGGTGGGAGCGGAGCAGCGTCCGCCGCCGCCAGGACTGCCGCTGCCGCCGCTGCTGCTGGTGGGAGGTGGCGGTGGCGGGGGAGGTGTGAGCCCGGTGATGTTTGTGGATGTGGCGGAGGGGCGCGAGGAGGTGTCACAGGTAGGGACGAGGCAGGGAGGCACGGAGAGAAGGAATGGCAGCCGCTGCAACCACCCATGGAACCGCCACTGCTGCTGAGACGCCATCCCACACCGGTACCGGCTCATACACACCCCTGCTCCCTGCGTGCCAAGTATCTCCCCACCCCTATGCGCTCGCCCGCCCATGCACCTCCACCCCGCCCCCCCCCCCGCTCCTGCTCCCCGCCCCGCCGCCCAGGGTGGCAGCAAGTCCAACCGCGCTGAGGCCCGAGTGGTGGCGGGGCTGGTACGGCACATGCTGGGGGCGGGGGTGTCGCCAGGGGACATAGGGGTGGTCACACCCTACGTGGCGCAGGTGCGGGGGCGGGGGGGGGGGGGGGCTTGCACCCGCGAGAATGTGTGTTTTTAGGATGTGTACGGCGTCTTCTGCACACCGTTGTTGACACGTCGTGTATACCACGTATTACCACTCAAAGCATTGCCCTTTTTTGCTTTTCTCCCCTCCCGTGCCACATACACAATACACAATACACACCACCCCCTCCCCCTCAGTCAGTTAGTTGTTTCCTCTTTACCCCCTCCCCCCCTCCCCCCGCAGGTGCAGCTGCTGTCCTCGCTGCTGCAGCCGCTGGTGCCGCCCGGGGGGCCGCAGCTGGAGGTGGCGAGTGTGGACGGATACCAGGGCAGGGAGAAGGAGGTGAGGAGGGGGGGACTGCTGGTGTGAGTGGGCAGCTGGGCAGGTTGCAACCGGCACCGTACGGCTGCTTTCCATGCAGCAAGATCCGGGAGCCCTGATACCGTGCTCTTGGTGATCCCGTTCCCGCTGTTGGTCTAACGTTCCAGCTTTGTTCAGCAGCACGTGCGTGCGGCCTTGTGGATTGCCAGGTGCCAGGTAAAGCAACGACTACCTTTCCCCCTCGCTGTCCCACATCCCCTACCCCTCCCCTGTCGTATCCCCCACCCCTCCCCTGTCGGTAGTTGCCTCGTCAGTGTCTCAATATTCTCTCTACTCTCCCCCTACCCTGTCGTACGACAGATCATGGTGTTTAGCACGGTACGTGCCAACCCAGCCGCCTCCATCGGTTTCCTGGAGGACTGGCGCCGGCTCAACGTAGCCATCACACGGCCTCGCAGAGCGCTGCTGATCGTGGGAAACGCAGCTACCCTCGGCAGGGGAGGCGGGGTGGATAGCGGTAAGGCAGGTGCTGCGGGGCCGGCAGCAGCAGCAGCTGCAGGGTCGGGAGGGGCGGTGTCGGGTCCTGCGCGCGGGTCGGTGGGTCACTGGGTGGCCTACATGGCTTGGTTGCGGGGACTGCCGGGGCGGGTGGTGGTGGAGGGGGAGGCGGGGCTGGCGAGACTGGGGTGGCGCGGGATGTGAGGAGGGGTGACGTTGCGGGGCTGGCGGCTGGCTCACCCCGGCATTCTTGGGCTGCTTGTCGGCGATGCTGATGTCGTACCACAATAAAATGGTGGCGATCTTGTTGACGGTCTCGTCCTTGAAGCGGTTGGAGCGGCTGTCTGTCGTGGATCCAGCCCATGATGCTGTAACGTGCGCTCAACAGCTGATGCTCTACCGGTATTCGTGCGCTCAACAGCGGCCCCGTGGGGCAGGATGTCCATGATCGTCGTAAGGGCGAGAGCTCGGCGAGCTTGCTGGCCGCCGGCTCAGACAGGAGCGCGTGCTACCACAGGCGCAGCACGTCGTCGTAGGTGGGAGCGGTGATGGGCTGGTTGAAGGGGTCCTGGCGAACCCTGTGGGCGGTAATCTGCGCAGCAAGCTTTGTGGTGCTGTCCGCTCCGTGGCCCCGCCGCCGACAGATGGACATGCCCTTACATATGGAGGGCGGGAGAATGTAGATAAGAGGGATCATCAAGAGGGGGTGGGAGAATGTAGAGGGATCAACACACGGGCTGACTTGATAACTAGATAAATTCCGGATAGGAAAGGTGCAAGATGGCAACTAGGGAAACGTTAGCATCAAGTCAACGTGCTTACCAGCTGTACCGGGGGCTGCAGGGATGCTTCCTGATCCAGCAGCGCGCGGTAGCGGGGGTCCAGGAACAGTGATAGGCGGCACCGGGTCCAGTCCACCTCCCGCACGCGGAGGTTGAAGGCACTGGACAGCTGCAGGGCGACGTCTGCAGCAGTAGTGACAAGAGACAGTAACAAAAGGACGATAGAACCCTAGGTAAACCCAGCGCGTACCATGGCTGAACTTGGGCAAGATGGCCATTAGCTCACGCCGTAGGTAGGCCCAGTAGCATGTGACGTCGCCCAACGATGGGCCACCTCGATGATGGCGTGCTCCAGCCGCAGGACTGATTCCCGCGCTGCAGCTCAGTCTGGAGCTGGTGAGTGCGCCCTCGTACGAGCGGGATGCCATAGACAGAGGGCTGGCTACGTGTGCGCCGGTGCATGCTCTCATGCATACAAATGTAGGATACCTGAAACACCGTCTTACGCGAAGTCAACAACGTATGTTGACCCGTACGCTGGAGCAGACGGTACCAGCCCGTTTGGAATGACACAAACCTACTCTGCATAGGGCTGGGCGAAGGCTACGAGCCTGCTGTTGTGCTCCCTTACCGCTCGCCTATGTGCACTAAGCGGCGCCTTTGCCTTAGGTCCTACTATCCTGCTTAGGTACAGCCTGCTATCCTGCTTAGCTACAGCCTACTATCCTGCTTAGCTGCAGCCTAGCTACAATGTCTTTGCACCGGCCTGCCTCCGCCTGCCTCGGACGACCGTGTTGGCAAGGCAGTTGATGTGCGATGTGGACCTTTGGGAGCAAACAGGGTAGGAGAGCGCAAGCGGGACGAATACAGTGAGAACCATTTGTCATGCCTTACAGCAGTACCAGCGGCAAATGAACTGTCAACTGCCAACCGTCTCCTGTTCAATGCTTCCTACCCGCCTTCCCTTCCTCATTTCTCCTTGTCACCGCAGTTTCCCCAACCCCTTAAGGCATGCGGCCATCCCAAGATAGTCGTTAGGACCCCTATTCCTACCCGTATCCCCCTGCTGAGAGTCTTGCGCTGACCCCCCTTGCAAAGTACCATAATACAACAAGGCCCTTGAACTTTCATTGCCCAAATTGGCGATTATTTCCTAAACGCCCACAGTTGTAGACGCCACACATGTTGTGACCTCTGCAGCGGTCCTGGTCAAGGTTAGTCGGACACGCTGCACTTTATTCACGTAAAAATGGGGGATGACAAGGCGATGTCGGGCCGCGTGTATGTGCCCGACGAGCCTGCTACCCAATGAGGCATGGGGCCTGAAGCGCATCAGGATAAAAAAGTACAGGTACAGTGTATGACGTACCATAATTTTTGAGTGCCGGTAGAGTGCACATGCAGCTAACCGGGCGCGACAAGTGGACGTGCAGCCGTACGGTTCGTCCCATGTATCAGGTACAGTGTGTAATTTGTTAAGAACTAAGCCAGTAAGCAGCCAACAGGCACTGTGTGCAACACCCGAACATCCATGCATCTTGAAACTGTTAGCACTATCAGAGCGCTGCGGCCAACAAAGAACCCCCTCCTTTCCTTGTACGCAACCCTCCCCCCCCCCTCCCCCCCTTGTGCCCTACCTGCTCCACACCTCCGTCTCCACATGCATGCAGGAGCCCCATCCATCAACCAGCCCACATCCTCCTCCTTCCAGAGTCGCACCTCATCCTCTTTGTGCCCCCTAGCCCTCTCTCCTCCTGCCCCCACCCCACCTCTTCCTTCCCTCCTTCCTGTTGGTCTCCATTCTTCATGGTTTGGTCTACTTGACCCCCCTCCTGCTGCTACAGCTGCACCAGGCTATGCTATCATGAAATCCATCTGGCTGGCAGGCAGGTTGAGCGGCGAGCTGAGCACTTGCTCCCAAGGCACGAACACACACGGAGCCATGCCGCGTTTATGCGCCCGGGCCGACTCGGGCAGCGGCGCATCGGGTTCACCGTCGTCATCACCACCTGCGGGGACAACAACAACAACAACAACAGTGGGCGCAAACCCACGCACATTAGCATGCGCGTGTCTAAGCGCGTGCCACACCACACCACGTGTCACAGCACGTGCCATAGCAGGTAGGTAGGTAGGTATCCTTCCCCGTGCAGTGGTCAGTGGTTGTGTACTGCAAGGTCTGCTCCAGCAGTGCTTTTGCAATACACGCACCCCCACCCCCCCCCTCACACGTACTGGCTTGGCTAATTCGGGCTGGGCGGGTCGGGCTGGCTCACATGTTGCAAACCATGATGATGCCTTATCACACGGTCAGTCCGATGTTTCCTCTTAACCCCCTCCCCCCCCCCCCCACTCACCCCGCTGCTGCCCCCCCAGCACCCCCAGCTCTCTGTCATACGTGGCAATGGCCTCAATGTCCAACCGGTCGTGCGCCCCCGGCCGCGAGCAGCGCAGCGCCAGGCGGCAGCGCAGCTCCGTGCCGCCGCTGTTTGGATAGCGCAGCGCGCAGTGCACTTGGGAGCCCTGGGGGGGTTTAAGGAAGAGGAGGAAGGGAAGAATACTCAATGGGGGGGTAGGGACATACCATTGACGAAGGGGCTCATCCGCAGCTCGGCAGTCAGTACGCGGCACCTGGTATGCTGCGGCTCGGTCACTAACTACCGCATACCCAGAAGACAGCATCGCCAACGAGTAAAACCCCACACAGCCTCCTCCCCCCGCAGCACTCCTTCACCTTGACAATGTAACGCCCGCAAAGTACGGCACCTCGCTCGCTTGCTGCCGCCGCCGCTCCTGCCGGACCAGCCACCCCTCGCGGCAGGCGGGGGGCGGCCCAATAGGCTGCTGCTGAGCCCCCGGGCCCCCCGCCTGCCGAACCTTCGGAGCCCCCACCCGCTGCTGCTGCTGCCTCTGCTCCCGAACCTCCCGCGGCGCCGCCCCCGCCTGCTGCTGCTGCTGCCCCTGCTCCCGAGGCACCGCTTGCTGCTGCTACTCCCGCTGGTATTGCCATGGACCTGGCAACCTTGCTGATCACCAGCGGACTCGTGCGGTAGAGGAAGGTGCCGTTGGGCAAGAATCTGGTGCATGGCGAAGGGCGGGTGGGGCGATGTGGACGGGACGGGAAGAGAGGAGGGGAAGGGAGGAACGTGGTACTCCAAACAGGTCTCGGCAAAGCAGCCCGGCGGCGCACCTGTAGTATCGGAAGTAGGTGACCAGGTGCACGGGCCGGTGGTTGGTGAACTCCACAACACCCGTGCGCACGTAGGTGTTCCGGGCTAGGGAGGGGGGAAAGCGGGACAGCATGTTGGGGGAACATAATAAATGACAAGTTCAGCAACTGAAGTCCCAATCCCGTATCCCGACACATGCAGTGAGCGCACATGGGTTGGGGGAGGTCGTCGTGAGGGACGGCGGGGGGTGGGAAAGGCATGAGGGGTACAATATGTGTCGGGGTGGGAGTGGGAAGACGGTGGGAGTGGGAAGACGAGGCACGAGGCAGGAGACTGTCGGGGCGGCCAACTGCCGTACAGTCCTGGTGCCAGGTGCAACATGAGGCAACATGTCAACGTGCTTAAGCTGTGGAGCCAGACACATGCTGCTGCACTCACATGCGTAGAGCCCATCGAAGCGAAGGTGCGGGTGGTGTACGAACATGCGCTTCCAGGAGAACCTGGGGGGGAGCCGCGGGGTGATGGGTTGCAAGAGGAAGTAGTAAGTAGGATGGATACGAAGGAATGAATGTTAAACATAGTATTACGGAAAAAGGAATGGTGCTGAGCAAGCGGTGGTGGATGGTACCCTGTCCTAATGCCGCATCACAACTAGGGTTTGCGGGGACTCAAAATGTTGCCACGTAGGGGACATGCTTCCGCGGCGCACCTGTATTGCGTGACCATAAGCTTGTGCAGGGCTGCCTTTTCGGGTATCGCCAGGTGGAAAGCGTCGTGGCACGCCCGCTCCCACAAACGTGGATGCTGCGGACAACATGAACCCGGCCTTCACAACGAGGGTATTCGCAAGGGCACGTTGAGAGTTACTAACCTCGTGTAAGATTCTCCATTGACGGCAGACCTGAGCAGAGAAACGAGGTGCCTTCAGTGAACCAAACTAACGTACCCTGTGCAATTACGTGAACCTACCACGGCAGCCTTGCCAAGAGAGTAGGGATCAAGATAGCTGAACACAATTGCCATAAGCTCGTTTGGGATAGCTTGCTGGATTGGCGCCAGCTCGAGAGTCTGTGAACAATAAGCGTCGACAACGTCAGCACACAAGGAAAGTCTGGTGTTCGCCACAGTTCTTCCAGTGGAAACAAACAAAATGCCAACCTCATGAGGCACTGTTGAAGGAACTGGCAAGCGAGTCCCATACAGTGAAAGCCATGGACGATGCTGACAAGGGCGACAATCCGTGTGTTCCATCATCAGGGTCATTTTTTTGCGACAAAGGGCTTCCGCCTAGTTCCGTAATCTTGTAGGTTAGGATTTAAGTGTAAACCTTAACGCCATTGAGGGCGAAGTAGAGTACGGCCTTAGGTTTCGGAGCCACGGAGTGAGCCATCCAGTCTTCCAGTGCCACTGTCATCATTCGCTCGGTTAAGTGAAACATGTGTGCATTAACCATAAATATGATCATCGTTATTATAGGCGTCAATGGGACTGCCAAAGGCACGTCCACATAGGCATGCACCGTTTCGACACAGTATTCCATGCGCCACCGATCCTTGTAGAGCGTTTATGTGCTGCTGACTAACGCAGTCATCACATGTGATAACAGGAGCCAAGACGACGGTTCCAACCGTTGCATGATCTTCACCGGACAAACGATGGCCGTACATGCGGTTTGCAGGTGTTAAACGCGACACATCTATTGGAAGCACATATCGTTTGACACATTCCTATGGTGATATATCATGCTAGCAAGCAGTACACGGTTCTGCCTGTTTGGGCACGCTCCAGCTGTGTGCGCCCCCTTAACTCGTCCACGAGTTGCTAAGCAGGCACTAATTTGCAAGGCGGCTCGTGATAGGGACGGCCATCAACGAAATGACGGTGCAACTGCACTTCCATACGTTCTTGCAACACTAGAGCTTTCCAAATGCTCCGATATCTTTGAGCTCGAGAGCACTTACAACAGCAACGAACTGTTTATAGATGCCATAAGCTTAGCAGCGGCATGGGTGAAGCTCGGAAAGCTATACAACGCCAAGGTCGACGCATGCAAGTATAAACAGGTTACTCGTAACCTTCTTAGCAAGGCGCTAAAGCTCGTTGAAGAAATGGACCTCCGCCAGATCTCAAACGTTCTGTGGGCCATGGGTAAGACTATAGTGGGTTGGCCTTTCCTGAGTTGCACCGATGCTTATCAATAGCTTCCTGCACCCGCCGACCCTGACAGGGAAGATGCGTCTAGACCTTGCTGCTGAGCCCCTAGGGCCCTATCTGGTGGAGCAAATGGAGGGCCGTTTGCTTGTCGTGCTTGAGGAGGAGGGTCTGTCCGACCCTCGAAGTGCTGAGCAGCTGTGGTTCGGCCTTGCCCTGTGCAAATACGACTGGAGCGGTGAGGTGCTGCGAGCCCTGCTGCACCAGACCCTGGAAGCGATAAGGCAGTGGGAGAACTGCAAGGCTGTGTCGCAAGTATGTCAGCAACTGAGCACCACCCTCAGGCAGCGTGTCACGCTAGATGATCAGCAGCGGGCGCTCTTGGCAGGTGCCATTGCATCAGCCATCCACGCCGACGACAAGGACCCACAGATCAAAATAGGGCTGGCAAAGGCTGTCGGCTCATTCTTGCTAGCCGCAGACTTGCTGCAGCTGCCGGTGACCCTTCACGACGTTCAGCGGATGAATGACATTACCGTTAACATGCCGCCGGGGCTAGTGGCATCAGAGGGCGGTCTGCTTGCTGCATACAAGCTTCTCCGCTGCACTCGGCTAGGCTTCCAGCCATCCCAGGCCGATGCCCAGCGCTGGTACCTGCTGCTGACGGAGGGGGCGCGGGCTCCATGGGACGCCTACACTGTTTCATGGATTGCCGCATCCCTGGCGTCCTGCCGCAACTTCAAGCCGCCACCTGAGCTGGTGCAGCATATTGGCGCGGTGGTACGCTCGCCGCCACGCGGCGTTGAGGAAGGGGACTTGTCACGCCTCGTTACGGCATGCAAGGCATGGGGCGTGAAGGTACCAGACACAGTGGCTTCGAGGCTTTCGAGCCGGAGCCGCCCAGCCCCGCAATGAGCACTACCTGCCAAGTGGACGCCACTCACATGGGCATCACCTTCTGTCCTGTCAGATGTCCTCCTCTGCTCGTACTAGAGGTGTTGGGGGGTACTTTGGGTCTTGGGTACTAGGTACTTTGGGTACTAGGGTCCATTGTGAGGGTACTGGTGTTGTTACGCGGTGCTGGCGGGTAAGCCACGGCTCTACGCTTAGGCTGCAAGATTGCAAGGTGGAGCAGGGGCGGCATTTCGGGCTTTGCTGTATAACTATTACCGGTACACTTGGCATTGTGGGGCGGTGCTGGGCATGCAGCGTGCTTCCTTGGGCATGGCTGACGATATACCGTACATACGTACATACCGGTATCAGAATGGGTGGCATGATGGACCAGCAGGCCCGTGGACAATAGTTTAGCTAATGCCCAGGAGGCCAGGTCAAGCAGCAGGAGTGAATCGGGGTGCCAAGCCCCTGTTGTAGCCTAACTGTACGATAGCAGGTTAGAGGTGGCTGGCGGCCTCCTACACCCACCACCACGTGTTTGATGAGCGCATGTATAGTAGTATGCTAAGCGTGTATGTTGTACGGTATACGGGGAGTTGCTGGTTCAGCATTTACCAGGATCCCCAAGCAATGGCTTCCACAAGAGATTGGGGTGGTTGGGTGCGTATAGATACAAATCTGTTGGAGGTAGCTGCATTGGGTTAATGCGGACTTACGAGGACCCGGGTGCGGCCCGTTCGGCCGTTGGTTACGGTAGAGCGGCATGCACCAGCTCGTCCCCCAGTCGACATCCGGCACTGTGATATTGTGCTTCCGAGGCTATTGGGTGCCCCTAAGTTGTGTATGCGATGGGTTACAAACAGGAACGAAGCGATGCGCGCCAATGCATGCATGGCCTTCCCTACTGCGCGCCCGACCTCAGAAGCTCGTCCAAATCACGTGCTGCCGAACACCGGCAATTTTCTTGAAACATACTCCTTTAAGCTATGTTTTCTCTTAATGCGTTATTATCCTGATCATTAATAGGCTAAGCGGTTTACCGGTGTCACCTGCACTTGTTCAGGGCTCCAACCGAAAAAGCTTCTTAATACCTTTTGCAGGAGAGCGGAACTATAGTTCTGTACCTCATGCCCTCCCTTGCCCGAGATACCCGGGGGGTAATAAAATTCATCAAATTGTGCCCCTTGAACGATTTTTGGGCCCGGTCCCTGCAACCAATTTGCCTAAAAGCCGAAGTGAGAATAGAAGGTACCAATAGTATACGCGAAGATGTAATCCTTACAACACTTACGTCAAGGAAAGAAGAAGGTAAGAAGAAGATTGCCGGTGTTTGGTAGCACGTGATTTGGACGAGCTTCTGAGGTCGGGCGCGCAGTACGGAAGGCCTGCATGTTTCCGTTTGTTGCGGTTAATTCTGTTTCAGTCTTTGCTTGCAGTTTGATCCACAATACTTGGGTTCCTATCTATTTTCAGTCAATTCGTTGCTTTTCTAGCTGTGTACTCTGTTCCGGCCATGCGGTGCAACCTGCACCACAGATGGCCCTTGCAAGGGCGACCGCCAAGCCTAGCTTTCACGCACCTAGTTAAACGCCGGCTTCTATTCACATGCACGCATAGGAGTTGTAATTCAGGCAGCGGGAACAATCGCAATAGGTTTGCCCCTAGCGCGTACACCGCAACAGATGGCGTATCCAACTGGACAACCGGCGAGGAAATTGGACCGGCGTTTAAGGCAACGCTTGATATGCTGGAATGGCCAAAGCTCTGCGAACACGTTGCGCGCTTTGCCAGCACACATGCTGGCAAGCGTGCATGCCGAACGCTGTCAGTTCCCGACGACGCAGCGGAAACACTGCACCTCTTAGAACAGACACGGTAAATCCTTCTTACTCATGCAGCAAAAACATGTATCGCCGGGCTGGTGCAGGCTCAAGTCATGCTTTCGATGTGCCGCATGGCTGCTGTAACCAAGCGGTTCAAGACCGCACACATGGCCCCTGCCTCCTTCCCTCGGCCTTTTACTCGCAACCCAAATCTCAAACCCTAAACCCTGACCCTCGCAGTGCCATGACGCTCCTGGAGTACGAATGGGCCACCCCGCTGGACTACGGCGGCATTCAGAGCGGCGAGGCGGAGGCGGGGCTGGCGCGGGCGGCCAAGGGAGCCCTGATGAGCTCCCAGCAGCTGAGGGCCGTGGTCAGCCTGGTGGCCGGTGGGCTGTGGGAGGCGGGTGGCGGGACGGAGGGGGTCGTTAGTCGGGACGTTGGGAGCGGAGGAGTGGGTAGAGGAGGGTGAAGGAGAGTGCCGGTGTGTAGCGGAGTGGCTCACGTGAGGTGGTTGCGGTTGCCCCGATGTGGGTCATCTGGGTCGAGCCGGTGAAGTGCTGAGGCCGTCCGCCACTGTTCACTGCCCGCGGTCTATACCTGCACTTCCTCGCCATCCTGCATCCAACTGGAGGTACCGTATCCTATCCATTGCTTCTCCACCTCTGCCACCTCTGCCACCCCTGTGCCTCCGCCCGCCCGCAACCGCCCGCCTCCCGCCTGCCGTCCGCAGGTGGCGAGCGGCTGCGGCGGCAGCTGATTGCAGCGGCCCGCGAGCACGATGCGCTGCGTGCCGAGGGGCCGCTGCGGCCGCTGCTGGCGGCTGCGGGGCGGCTGGTGGCTCAGCCGCAGCTGGTGCGAGCGGTGGCGGCGGCGGTGGACGAGGACAGCAACGTGCAGGTGGGGGAGAGCCGGGGAAGGAGTGAGTCGTCCGTTGGTATGGACAACAATGGGTGTGAAGAAAGGGAAAGGAGAGGGCTGCGTGCAATGCGTTGGCTACCAGAACGACCCTCGCAGTTTCAAATCAGTTTCCCTTGCTGTTCAGTCCCGTTCCGGTCCGGTTACCGTAATAGCTACGCAACCAACTGCAACCACCTGCAACAACCGCCCAACGAACCTCGCAGGATTCCGCCTCCGAGCCGCTGCGTCAGGCCCGCGCGCGTGTCAAGGCGCTGCGATCACGACTGGAGGGGCTGCTGAAGGGTCACGGCGGGGAGGTCTCGGAGCGGGGCGGCCGGGTGTGCGTAGCTGTGCCGGCGGGTGGGTGCCGATACCGGCTGCGTTGGGTGCTCTCCTGTGTTGGGTGCTGGGCTGTGTTGGTGCTGTTGCTGTATTGGGTGCTGTGCTGCGTTACCATGTGGTCTCCGCTGTGCTGTGCTGAGTGCTGCGCTGCGTCGCGTTGAGGACGCTAGGGTCTCCACCTCGGGTTCCCGCTTCTGCTGCTTTGTTTCTGCCCTCTGCCTTGTGCCTAGAAACGTTCCACGTACGGCACGCCACACTGCAATGTCGCTTCCCACCGAAGCCAACAAGGGCAACAACCTCTGGCCCCTGGCTCACAGTAGCCATGTGAAAGAAGGCTTCCCTCCTCCCGCATTGCACCTCATCACTTTCTCCACCCACCCCCCTTCGCACCCTCATCCCCGCACCCCCTCCGCACCACCCAGGCACCAAGCCCCCAGGCGGCGGTGTGGTCCTGGGCTCCGCCCCGGGCGGCTCCCTCACCTACATCGAACCGCCGGCCGCGGTGGGACTGAATAATGAGCTAGCGGCGGCGCGGGGCGAGGCGGCGGCGGCGGAGGAGGCGGTGCTGTGGGGCCTGACGGCGCGTGTGGTGGAGGTGCTGCATGAGCTGCAGGATACCTTCCGGGTGTGTGGGGGTGGGGTGCTGGGTGGTGGGGGTGTGGGCATCTCATTCTGCCATCTTCTGCATCTTACCGCACGCTCCCCCCGACGTGTCCTCTCACCCCTTCCCGACGCCGTGCTGTCACATGCAGACGGTGGTATGGCTGGACGAGCTATCGGCCCGTTCCCGGTACGGCATCTGGATCCAAGGAACCCTGCCGGAGATCGTCCCATGGGACGCTGTCTTCCATGCTAGGGGTGCAGCCTCCATGCGACGCAAACAGAAGGCTCAAGGGGCCGAGGGAGCTGATGCGGAGGGCGAGCAGGCAGACAGCGGGTTGTACGGAGGTGATGGAGATCCAGATGAGCGTTACGCCGTACGGCTCCGAGGCTTACGTCATCCCCTGCTGTACGGCGAGTACCTAACGCGTAAGGAAACCCTGGAGCGTGCCGTACGTATGGATGGCGGAGACAGTGGCGGTGGTGGTGGTGGCGGATCCTCCCTTCGCTCGCCGCGTCGCATGCTGAGCAATCGGAAGGAGGTCATGCTACAACAAGCCGGCCTGTCCACCTCCTCCTCCTTCTCCTCCTCCTTCTCCTCCTCAACAGACGAATCTGATGCTGACGACGATGAAACATCCGCTGACAGCTCCCCTCGTGCGCAGCTGGCCGCACTTCGTCCGCCGCGTCCCCTCGACTGGACGGTACGCCCGGACACCTCAGCCGTGGTCATCACGGGACCAAACACCGGCGGCAAGACCGCGGCCATCAAGGCCCTGGGCCTGGCTGCATGCATGGCACGATGCGGGTTGGCGCTGCCAGCAGCGGCCCCCGCGCGGCTGCCGGCGTTCAGTCGGGTGCTAGCGGATATCGGGGATGAGCAATCGCTGAGCGCCAACCTGTCTACCTTTAGCGGTCACCTGCGGAGAATACAGGTGCGGGTGTGTGTGTTCAGGAAACTGGCCGCGAGTCGGAACGTACTGTGATTGCCGGAATGGGTGCACGGGAAGTTCGGAAGCCCCCAATGTATGCTTCTGAAGCCCCGAATTCAATCTCTTGCACCTCCTCCTCCTCCCTCCGTCCTAACATTGGGTACACTTCTATTCCCTCCTCCCTCCCTCCTCCTCCCGCTCCCTGCCACCAGGCCCTGCGCTGCGAGGCCGACGGGCGGTCGCTGCTGCTGCTAGACGAGCTGGGCACGGGCACGGACCCGCTGGAGGGGGCGGCGCTGGGGCTGGCGCTGCTAAAGCGGCTGGTGTCGGGTGAGGCGGGCTGGGCAGGGCGCTGCGTGTGCACTGCACTGCAGGGGCGCAGGGGTGGCTGCACTGGGGTGGCTGCAGGGGCGCAGGGGTGGCTGCACTGGGGTGGGGGTGGCTGTGGGGTATTGTAAATGGAAGGGAATGTGGGGTTAGGAGGAAAGCATAAGGCAGGAGATACATGGTCGGGGTGCGCCTGAGGCTTTCCGCAGGACCCAAGGAGGAGGAGTTCTTAGGCATCTTCTTCTGAGCACACAGGGGCGTGTAGCGCATGAGGGCCCATGCTTGTCCATACACATCACCCCCCACATGCTAGATCCCACATCATTCCCTCCTCCATCACAAGGTTCAGAATTGCTGGCACCACCCACCACCCACACTGCTACCACCCACCACCACCACCACTGCTACCCGCCCCCCCCCACACACACACCATTGCTGCCCACGCATCGCAACATCACAGGCGGTGTGGGTTGCGGCGCGCTGACGGTCGCCACCACGCACCACAGCGTGATGACGGGGCTCAAGTTCGAAGACCCACGGGTCGAAAACGCGAGTGTGGAGTTCGACGAGTCGGCGCTAGCGCCCACCTACCGCCTGCTGTGGGGCATTCCGGGGCGCAGCAACGCGCTCAACATTGCTGCCCGGTGGGTGGGTGGGTGGGGCTGTTGGGTTGGTGTGGCGGGGTTTTGACAGATACATGTAAGGATTGTTAATTAAACAACAGTTAATATTCGGTTGCTTTTTACGAATCCCGTAATGCGGTTCCATTCGATTTTTCCCCGACTTTCGCCAGCTCACTCCAATGCCTTTCTTGTCCCTTGTCCCATGTCCCTTGGTATCTGTTCCCCATCTGTCCTCCTCCTCCTCCTCCTCAGGCTGGGATTGGACGCACGGGTCGTTTCAGCCGCGCGCAGCCGCCTCGACAGCGGCGTCGCCGACGTCAACAGCGCCATTGAGCAGCTGGAGGAGCTGCGGGGGCAGCTGGAGCGGCAGGAGCGGGCGCGGGAGGTGCTGGATCAGGACATTGGGTGAGGGAGAGGGTGTCCTTTCGCGCGCCGTTTTTGGGGGGGTGTAAAAATAAGGAGACTGACCACCGTTTGGCAGGGCCTGGGGACTGGGGGCTACATTGGGTTGTGGGGGATTGCAAGCTGGGCCAAACAGGGCTCCTGGAACGACCTCAAGAAGGAGCGTAATGCTGCGAGTGTGGGTGCAGCCTGCCGCGCGTAAGCTCACCCCTCCCCCTCTCGTGCCTCTTCTTCTCGCCCTCCCACCCTCCTACCCTCCCGCCCCCCCACCCCCAGCGTGCTCACTCGCAAGCTGCAGTCCATGAGTGCCCGGGTGCAGCGGCTGCACGACTCCCTGTCGCGGGCGAGGACGGAGGCGCTGCTGCAGGTGAGGCTTTAGGTGTGCTCGTTGGGTGGTCGCGCTTACTACCGGTAACGTGGCCATGGAAGAGAAGAAGTAGAAGAGGAAGAGGAAGCGGCGAGGTGCTAAAGGGGGGTTAACGGTAACCTGGCCGGGAAGGGACCAGGCCCGCGGCATATGCTTGTATATCGTGTGGGTGCGGATAGGGTTGTGTGAAGGCGCTGCCGCTGCCGCTGCCGCTAAACGTATCCTGCGCTTACCATTACCGGTACGTGCACCTGCTGTAACCTACGCTAACCGCACCACCCTGCAGGTGTATACCTTGGCAAGGGAGCGCATCCGTGCCATTAAGAAGGAGAAGAAGCGGCTGGGGCGCACCGCCAGCCCGCCCAAACCCCTCCTCGCGCAGCAACCCGAGCCCCAGCAGCAGGCAGGGGCGCAGCAGGCGGCGGAGGGGAAGGACGAGGTTGATGGCAGTGTCGAGTGGCCTAGTGAGGAGGAGGTGTGGGCAGCATGGGAGGCAGCGACCGCAGCTAGGACTGTAGCTAGCAGCAGCAGCGGAGGCGGGTTGTCAGCGGCAGATTTGGGCGCGCCAGCGCCCAAGGCCGCTGCAAGCGGCCGCCGCGGCGCCGCCGCCGCGCCAGCGGCGGCGGCGCCGAAGGCGCCACCTTCACCTGCCTCCTCCCCCTCTTCCTCTTCCGGCGCAGGAGGTTCCTCACTGCCTCCTCCGCCTCCGCCGCTGCTGCTTGTGTCGGGCGGTGCTTCGGACCCGCTGGCCCCGCTGCTGGATCTGGCGGGGGGCGGGTCGGGGGGCGCGGGGGGCCTGGAGGCGCTGGTGGACAGCCTGGGGGCTAAGAGCGAGGTGGCGGCGGCGGGCAGGGCGCTCCTGAAGCAGGGGGTGAGTGCTTTTTCCTGCATGGCATGGCCTGGCATGCTGATGTGATGTCCGGGTTGGAGTGCTTTCCTTTGTGCCGTCCTGCCTCCTGTGGTTGAGGAGCGGGATGTGGGAAGGTAAAGAGGAAACATCTAACTGACCGTGTGATAAGGCATCATCATGGTTTGCAACATGGGGTGTGGGAGGGTGTGTCGAATGTGCATGTTGGGATTACTTTGTGAGCCAAAGGGCGGAACAGAGAGCACGGGTGTTTTGAATGCTTATATGGACGCCCAGTTTGTTGCGTTTGGAGGTGCCTGTCAACAGTGCTTGTTGTTGCTATCTGCGCTAGCCCACATGTTTACTTTCATGTGATCCGCCTTCACAGGAGAAAGAGCTGTATGATGCCGCGCTTTCAGCTGTGGAGGGTATCCTGGATTCCGCGGCGGCACGTCAACAACAACAACAACAACAGCAGCAGCAGGGGCGCAGCAACAAGAAGAGAGGCACCGGCACTCGTGGCAAGCAGCGTTCGGGTGAGTACGACAGCAGTCAAGAGGAAGAGGATGCGGATCTCGCGGAGTTGATGAGGATTGTGAACGAGGGGGAGGCGGCCCTGAATGCACGTCTGCAGCAGCTTTCCGCTGAGGAGACACAGCAGCAGCAGCAAGGGCAGCAGCGAGGGCAGCAGCAGCAGGGAGGGGAGAGCGGGCAGTGGGGCCGCAGCGTGAGCGGCGGCGGAGGAGGAGAGGGCGATGGTGAGGAGGACGATGACGGAATGGGTGACTTGGACGCGTTGCTTGAGTCGAGTCTAATGGCCCTAACGTCCAACAGCGTGCACTATCAACAGCAGCAGCAGCAACAACAGAAACAACAACAACAATCGCCAAAACAACAGCAACGGTTAGCACCCGGCCATCAAGGCAAACAGCAGCAGCAAAAGCAGCAGCAGCAGCAACAACGGACCCATGGGTCGAAGCCGGCGCAAGTTGGTACACCCAAAGGGGCTTCTGCTAGGACTACAGCAGCTGCTGCTGCAGGTGCTGCTGCTGCGGGCGAGGCTGACTACTTGGATGTCGAGCTAGAGGAGCTGGAAGCTCGCTTGTTGATGTACGGCAGCGGCAGCAGCAGCGGAACAAGTGGCAGCGGCAACGGCAGCAGCAGCAGCAGCGGTAACGCGTCGCCTGGGGGCGGTGGAGGTGCGCGACAGCAGGGTAGTACGAATGGTCCTGCTTCTGCGGCTGTGGCGAAGGCGGGTAGCGCAAAGGCGGGTGTTGGTGGAAGTGGGAAAGGGGGCCGCCGTCGAAGATGAACCGTAGCACCCGGCACCGTCGCGGGGTTTGGGAGCCTGTGGGGGCAATCGGCGAGGAGGAGAGGCGGCTGACCTGGTTTGCATCAATGCATGTCCGGGGGCCCTGTTGGTCGTGGGCCCTTCCCCGGTGTGGGGGGCACCCTCCTCTGCACCTGCTCTCGCCTGGTGAACGCTACCGCCCCGCTGGCCAGCTGAGGGAGCCTTAGGCGCCGGGCGGGAAGGGGCCTTGCGTCTAGAAGTTAGTTAGTTTTGCACATGATTGGATTCATGTGTTATTGTGTGCGTGTGAGCGATGGGTGTCATTGAGCGTTCCAGTGCTCTTGGAGGGTACGGCGTTGTAAGGGACGTGAGTTGGAGGGTACTGCACTATAAGAATGGGGGTTGGAGGACAGTTGTAGTAAAGAGAAAGGCCCGTTGTGTATAGAGTCAGATCGAGTGAGGAGTGCAGGTGTTCAGTTGATGACGTGAACACGTAACATAGCTGGTGGCCCAATCAGCTGGCAGGAGGATACCGTAGCCTATGGCCCTGGGATAGATGTGAAGGGCTGTGAAGCTTTGCTTGGAGGAGCGTGATGTCTAGAGAAGTGGCATTGAGCCATCGTCCAATCCTCTAATGAGTTCTGTCGCCCTGGTAGAGTGCACTCTGCCGTACGGTGGAGGCATGCGCTTAGTAAGACTCTTGGTGATCTATGGCTTCTGGCTTGTTGGGCTGCCGGTTTGCACGATTATCGAACTTTTCTATTCTGTGCGTGACCGCATCAGATAGTTCTGTGCCCTTCGTCACAGTCCACGGTCACTGTTTAGTTGTGTCATAAAGTATGGGCAAAGAAAAGCATAAGAAACATAAGGATAAAAGTAAGACTAAGAAGGAAAAGAAGGATAAGAAACATAAAAAGCATAGGCGGCGTTCAAGCTCAGACAGCTCGGAGAGCGATGGTGGGACGCCTTCCAATTAGAAACGTCGACGCTTGGCGGGAGCAGAAAGCAGATAAAACCCTTAGATTGATTTGCAGACAGCTTTGAGGGAGCGGATCAGCAGCTGCAGCGCGAACGGGCTGCCGTCACTACGCTGCGGGACATCCTGTCTGGCTATCCCGCTGTCCGCAAGGAGCTGCGCGAGGCGAGTCCGACTTTTGCTGTTTGCAGCAGGTGTTGCCGGTCCAACTGTTGCCTCGCAATACCTCGGCTCGCCTGTCATCCGCCCCGCAGATGTTGTGGCGCGTGGACCAAGGCGAGGCTGCGGATATTTCTGGCGTTCCGGATCCGGACCTCAAGGCGCAATTGGCGCAGTTCCTAAACCTCTTGCGGCTGCGGCGCAACGACAAGGTTCGGGCGCTCCCGGGTTTCTGGCACTAGTCAACGGGAGGCGAAGAGGCGCCGGACTCTCATCCCTCTGCGGTCTGCGGTCACCGCAAAGCCCAGCCCAGCTGCACCCTGGCACCTTCCCACCCCGTCCTTACTTCCCGCTGCCGCAGTCGCATCTACTGAGACCGCCCCTGGCCCTGTTCACTCCTCGTCCCGTTCCTACCCTACCCTGCACCCGCCAGGGCGTGTACGGCCTAGCTGACCGAGCGGAGCGCATCCTTCCCATAGTCGCCTTTGTTTTCGATGAGCCCCCGCGGCCCCGTCCGCAGCAGCCTCAGGTGGCGCCCTCCGCCGCCGCAGCCGCTGCAGGGCCCGCACCGGCTGCTGCAACCACAGGCGCTCCTCCAGCACCCGCTCAGCCTTCGCAGCAGCAACAGCAGGAGGTGAAGGAGGAGGAAGAAGGCGACGGGACGGCAGGGGCGGCAGGGCCCGGTGTGGGTCCTGCCATTGGACCCATAGGGCCTACGGCGGCCCCTTACGCGGGACCAAGCGCCAAAGATCAGCAGCCGCCAGACGGCGACGACGACGACGGCGGCCCTGGCAGAGCAGCTGATGGCACCCAGGAGGGCGAGGCTGCTGCTGCAGCTGGGACGGCGGCAGCAGCAGCAGCAGCGGCTCCAGCCCGCCGTGTTGCGGGTCCCGCCATGCCGCCACGGGAGCTGCTAGAAGCGGCCGCGGCGGCTGCGGAGGCGCTGCAGGCGGCGGGGACCTCTGATGACGATGATGACGATGACGGGGGGTTGCTGGTGGGTCCGCCGCCGCCGGAGCTGGTGGAGGAGTTGGAGGCGGCACCGCAGGACGAGCGGGAGGCTGAGGTGGTGCGGATCGTCAAGGTGGGTGCGTTGCTGTGGGAGGCCTGGGAGCTCGCAGCCTGCCCTGAGGGTGGGTGCTGTTGTAGTGGATGCCTTGTTGGGGGGGACAGCAGCGCTCGCCCACACCTATCGCTTCCAATAATCCCTTCGCCGGCGTCCTTCTTCCCCCCATCCGATCAGGTCCTCCGGGAACATGCCGCCGCCGGCCCTGCTCCCGGGCCCGCTGCCGCCCCCGCCGCCGCCGGCGCCGGCAGCTCCCCCGACGCCTACCAGGTCCTGGGCGTGTCGCCCTCTGCCCCCGGCGGTGAGGTGAAGAAGCGCTACATGCGGCTGTCGCTGCTGATCCACCCCGACAAGTGCGCGCACCCGCTTGCACACGAGGTAAGCGCACGGCGAGAGGGTGGCGTCTGATGTGATCTGGGTCATCTACTACGCCCGCGAGAGGGTGATGTCCGCCTGATGTGCTGTTGTGATCTGGGTCGTCACTCATCAGCTGGGCACGAGCGCGATGTGCTTCGCTTCAGTCGCGGCAGGACGCTCTCTTCCATGTGACTCCTTTGTTCCCCTGCACGACGTGTGCTCTTATCCCGCATGCACCGACCTTTAGGATGGTCTTTCCCCGCATACGCGTGTCCTTGCCAGTCGCTTGACATGCCAATCCCGTCCACTAGCTTCCCTTTCCTGCCCACCTCCCGCCCCTGCCTCCCTGCTAGGCCTTCCAAGCCGTGGCAACAGCTGCCAAGGTGCTTCAGGACTCGGGGCTGCGTACGGCATTGGACGAGCGCCGGGCAGATGCGGAGCTCCGGCGGGCCGCAGAGGCGGCGGCGGCACAGCAGGAGCGCGAGCGAGCTTGGCGGATAGCGCGAGGCGAGGAGGTGGCCGCTGCAGGTGGGGGCGTGCCTGCTTGTTGTTATTCGGTTGCGTGAGGAGCTGGGAGTACGGCAGTGCATGGCTGGAGTGTTGCGAACCACCACGGTTGTGTGCACACGTGCAGTTGCTTTGCAACACTAATGGATACCGGTACCATGCCATGGATACCGTCCGCCCCCCTGCAGGTCCCGGCGGTTGGCCTGGCGCCTCCGCCGGCTCCCAGCGGGAGACCTGGATGACGGATCTCCCCCCGGAGCGCTCCGCTGCCGCCGGCATCGGCGCCGTCAGTCAGACCAGCGTGCGTGCCTTCAGCCAGCGGGGCAAAACCGGCCGAGGTGACACGTCAGCATGGACGGACAACCCCGAGCAGCGCAAGGCCCGGGAGGCGCAGGCGCTGCTTGCGGCCGCATCGGAGGCGTACGTGCGGGCACTGCCGGCAGCGGGAGGAGCGGCAGGCGGTGGAGGAGCAGGACCGGGGGGTGCGGGAGGGACGGCGGCGGCGGCAGCGCTGGACACGTTCAATGAGGCGTCACGGAAGAAGAGCCTGTTTGAGGTGCATGCGGAGTTGCAGGTGTGTTATTTCAGCTTGTATTTGTACGGCAGTATGGGTTGAGAGAGGGTTGGCATGGGAGAGGCCATGGTGCATGGTGCTGGTGTGCCTACCCAACTCAGCTGGGTTCCCAACGCAGTTCAGTTGGAAGACTATTTGCTCCTGCCTTGCTCCTGCTGGCCCTTACATGCACGGCTGTAGTGCAGGTTTCACCGCTTTCGTACACGCACCGGTATCAATTGTCTATCAACTCCTCACACCTGCCATTTTCATCCATGCCAGGAGAAGGCCAAGCAGGAGGCCAAGGCGGCTCGGAAGGCGGCCAAAAAGCAAAAGACGGCTGAGGGCGGCGCCGCCGCTGCGGGTGCGGCTGCAGATGGGCAGGACTGGCCTTGGCGGCCCTTTGATCGCGAGCGGGACTTGGACCTCAAGCCCAAGGCCAAATCGGGCGCTGACCTGCTTAAGAGCGCTGCGGCACTGGGGTCGAAATTTTCAGGAGGGAACACTCAGCGCCACTTTTTGTGAGGAGGATGCCGCTCGTTTGTACCCTTCCTTGGTGCTGTTGCCGGGTGCTGGAGTCCAAGGCATGTGCTCTTTTGCCACGACCCACATATGCAATGTTAGGACGACGCTTTTTGGATTTCTGCCGTGCGCTAGTTGGCGTAAAGGCGCGGGAGGGAATGCGTGTGCGGTCTTTTCTTGCATCACAGTGGCTGGAATGGGAGGAGTCGGTTGGGCTGGGGTTGGACCGTCGTGGGGCGTATGAAATGGGTTTTGCAACATGTGCATGTGTTTTAGCAGGGGTTATTCCAACACCGTGCCATGCTTCCATGTCGCTTCATAGCAGTTGAAAAACGTAGCAAAAGAGGCTACACAGCAGCGCCACGCTTGATACGCTCAGCAGCAGTCCAACGCGAAAACGGAAGGCCAAGATGTAATCCTCCTTACCTCTTTTCAATTGGTTCAGCTGACTGTGTCGAACAAAGAAAAGAGATGCGACGGAGTACGCTAGTACGGCATTAAGCGAAGTGCAATGTTCAAAGCAGACAACGGACTTTCCCTTTTGCCCCTGTTTCCAAAGTCTTTTTCATAATATTGGGCTAATGTGTTGCTGCTTCTTAGTTGCCACCAACACAGAAAAGAACAACCTTGAGAGGCGCCACTCGGAAGCACGCCTTGCATCTGGACAATTGCTTTACCACCTAAATTGTACTAGAACGAGCCTAGCTGCTCGCCTCGCTGCCAGGCGGGTGTAAGAGGCCCAACGAGGCAGCCGGCAATAACAGCATGACTCTTGCGATATCCAGAAGTGTGTAGCGTTTATCGCTCACCTTGAATTGAAACCAAGATGGCGGCTTTGGTGGATGCCGGGGAGCTTCAACCAGCGGAGACGTATTCTACAAGCACTACCACATACTCGCGGGTGAGCACGGCTCGTGCGTTAGCGTTCTACATCTGCGGTATTCTCTTCGTACTGCGAAAGGGCTGGGCAACGCCTCCTGTCTCGTGATAGGCATAGCCCTCATGGTGTCCCCTCCTCCCTTGTTCTGCGCGTAGTATGACGTGGTACTGGGCCGCGGTGCGTTCAAGACGGTCTTCCGCGCTTTCGATGAAGGTAATTGTTGGACTCCTTGGGCCTGTTTCGGGAGCGTTGGTGTGGGGAGGCATGGCACATTACGCATCGTGCTCCGAGGAGCCTATGTCTCGCCCGGGGTTTTGTCTTTCCCTTTGCACAATGAGTCCTGTTACGTTCTGTAAGGTGGGATTCGGTTACTGCAGTTTGACAGCACAGGTTTATAGATATTTCTCATTGCATCTCTGAGAACCTCCTCCGGTTGCTGTTGCAGAGGAGGCAATTGAAGTTGCATGGAACCAGATTAAAGTAAATGATCTAGCATCCTCGCCGGCCGAGCGGGAGCGACTCTGGGCTGAAATTCGCGTGCTGAAGCAGCTGAAGCACAAGAACGTAAGCTTTAGGGAGCTTTTATTGTTTTGATACAACCCAGTTGTTGAAACCTGCCTCATGCCTGGCTTGTAGATTATGACCTTTTATGACTCCTGGCTGGACAACAAGAACAACACGGTGAACTTTATCACGGAGCTGTTTACCTCCGGAACGCTGCGACAGTAAGTACGTAGTTAGTTGTTCGGGCTTTGCGAATCTGCGGACGTTGAAGATGCTAATGGCTGCGCCGCCGGCTGTTGCTTTCCTCCCCTTGGCTGAGCTTCCCTGTAGGTACCGGAAGAAGCACAAGCACATCGACGAGCAGGTGCTCAAGCGCTGGGCATGGCAGATCTTGCAGGGCCTGGTGTACCTGCACGGACACAACCCCCCTATTATCCACCGCGACCTGAAGTGTGATAACATCTTCGTAAATGGAACCTCGGGGGTAATCAAAATTGGTGACCTGGGCCTCGTCACCCTTTGCCGCGGCTTCACGGCGCCACAGAGCGTGCTGGGTACGCCCGAGTTCATGGCGCCGGTGAGTACCCCGCCGTTGTTCCCATGCAGTCCAGTGCATTTTGCTTACACTCGTATCTCCCCTCCTTAGGAGCTGTATGAGGAGAAGTATGACGAGAAGGTGGACGTGTACAGCTTCGGGTGGGTATCTTGGCGAAGCATGTCAGCATTTTACTTGTGGCTGTTACCCTTCATGACAGAGTAAGGCATACATTGAAAACGGTGCATGGTTGCGTTGTCACAGGATGTGCTTGCTGGAGCTAGCCACGATGGAGTACCCCTACTCGGAGTGCAAAAACGCGGCGCAGATCTACAAGAAGGTCACGCAGGTTGGTATCCCAATAGCCCAAAGTACACCTGCGCCGAAGTTGCAGCTGTTGCGGCGTTGCAACCCTGGGGTTCATGGGCGCTCCAATAGCACTCCGAGAGGAACAGCGCAGCAGTAACCTCCCTTACCCTACCCGCAGGGCATCCACCCTGGCGGCCTCACTAAGGTGCAGAACGCGGAGCTCCGTGAGTTCATCGAGCTGTGCATTCAGCACGACCCCAACCAGCGACCGGAGGCGCGACAGCTGCTGAAGCACCCGTTCTTCGAGTCCATCCGGGCTCAGCTGAGCTGCGGTGGCATTGACCGGGTAGCACCGGACCGGCCCACGGCGGAGGAGCCCACGACCGCAGGACACAACACGCCGGAGGTGTTCTCGGACGAGGAGCCAGCGCCGCCAGCAGCAGCGGCCGCCGCCGCTAACGGACCCGGCAGCAAGCCCACATACGCAGATGCAGTAGCCATGCAACTGCCTGCGGCAGCGGAAAACATGTCGCCGCCGCAGCAGCAGCAGCCCGGTCCGGTAGACGCCCCCATGCGCGCGGCGTCTCCCGGGCTCCAGCCGCCGGTGAGGGCTGCCTCGCCAGCGCCAGCCCCGCGGGTATCGTCGCCGGGGCTGCCACCGGCGGCGCCGGCGCCTCGCGCATCCTCCCCAGGGCTGCCGCCCGTTGCGCAGGCTCCTCGTGCGGCGTCGCCGGGGCTGCCACCAGCAGAGCTGCAGCCACCCCAGAATAACCTCGTGGCTGACCTGCAGCTGCAGCAGGGGCTCCAGGGTGTACGGCATTCTGGGTCGCACCAGGATCTGCAGTCGCCTGTCCTGCAGGAGCTTTCGATGAGCGCCTTAAAGCAGCAGTCACAGCAGTCGCAGCAGCAGCAGGGAGGGGAGCCGGGGGCTGCATTCGGCGGTAGTGCGGGTGGTGTACTGCCCCAGCCGGACGGAGAGGCGGCTGCGGCGCCTGGAGCGGCTGCTGGTGAGGGCGAGGGCGATAACTGGGCCCGGGAGATCAACCTGCACTGCAAGCAGGTGGAGGAGTCCAAGCTCAGCTTCCAGCTGCGGTTCTCGGAGCCTGCAGGTGAGGCACTTAGGCGTATCGACGGCAGTCTCGAGCTGTGCGTCTCCCTGTGTTGGTTTATGAGCTAAAGTGTCCTCTAGCCCTGTGCATCTGTGCCGGCAGAAGACAGACGTGAGCAGATCGCGGTTGCCAGGAGGTGCGGCAGACAAACTGCGTTCGATCCTTTGGAGGATCCACATTCCCCTCTTGCTTACCCCTGATGCCCTGCCCCAACCTGATGCCAGGCCACTGCAAGACGATTGAGTTCGCCTTTGACATGGCTGAGGACACGGCGGAGTGCATTGCCAACGAGATGATGGAGGACTTGTCGTTGTCTGCTGGGGAGGCCCAGGAGATTGCCGCCAAGATCCGCGAGGAGATCCAGCGCACTCGTGTGGTGCAGACCGCGACGCAAGCCGTGGAAGCGACTGCAGTGCCGCCTCCGCTGCCGGTTGCGCCCATGCCCTCCGCTGCGTCTGGCCCCCTGCAGTCGTTGGGGATCGAGCGTACGCCCAGCCCCCCGCCAATGCCTCCTGCAGCCGCTCCCTCGCTGGCAACCTCTGGCATGCCGCAGCCCAGAATCTCCGAGCCCAATGCAAGGCCGCCACTGCCCTCCCCTGCCGCGCAGCAGCAGCCTCAGCAGCAGCAGCAACCGGGATCGCAGCCGACGGACGGCAGACGGGCCTCGGGCAATGGTCTGGCAAACGGCCGCACCCCGGGCCACCACACGCCCTCTCAGGACGATGCCACCGGCGGCTCGCTGAGGGGCCTGTCCATACATGAACTGATTGCCGCCATGAAGGCCGCGCAGGAGGAGGTGGCGCTGGAGGAGCAGCAGCCCCACGCCATTTCGCGACAGCCGTCCTCCATACCGCCCGTAGCAGCGCAGCACAACGGCTTGCATTAGTATGTCTCCTTGTTACGTGTAGTTACTCGATAGTTACGCGCGGACACTGGCGCGATAGCTCGGATGCATCAGCAACACACAAGAACGAACTAGGGTGGGCTGTGCGGGGCATGTGTGCGCGTGTGTGTGTCGGCGGATGATGATGATGATGATGATGACAGATTAGATGCCGTGCATTGCGTGGGCCGCAGGGAAGCAGCGGGTGTACCGTTAGCAATGAGTAGGGTCCTCGCTTTAGCGCTTGGCGCGGCTGCCTTGCTGTGGCAGGCCTGGGGCGGGCGGCCGCCGCCACCGTTTGTGCATACGTCGTTGAGCAGGCCCTGTTGCGTTCTGCGCCCTCTTCTTAACTGAGTTAACGGTATGTTTCCCAAGTCAAGCTCTGCTGGTAAACAATGGAAGCTTGGTATGTGTGTTGAATTGCGCTGTGCAATAGCAACGCCAACTGGGTCTTGGAGGTCGGCGTTACGTTACGTTACGTATGGTGCTTGCCGCTTTTCGTCGTGTACACGCTATGCTGTGTTGGTTTTTCAGCTTTTACGCTTGGGTGTTGCTTTTCAGTGGCATTGTAGTAGGCGAAACCGCTTGCTTGTCATGCATATGGCCCAACGGCAAGAGTGAAAGTTAGCCTCAGCGTTCAATTGGGGCGGCAAGTGCTTCCTATGGTAGGTGGTGCTGGTGCTTCCTATGGTGGTTGGGAGTACTTTCTGCATATCGGTGTGCAAGCTGCGGCGTATGCTGGTTACGTACTAGGGACAACGGGGACGCCGGGTCTACGTCAGCGGAATGCTGGTCCGGTGCTGGCTACTGGATTGGCCCAATCGTCTCCCCAGGCTTTCTCGAGAGTGAAGGGGAACTTCACCCTTATGATGGCGGGATCCTACCTTTCCCTGACCTCAAGCCCGCTATGACTGCCACCGTTTGAAGCGTTTAGGGCTGCCTCTTATGTACAATGGTGAGAGGTGGGTGGGGTAAACCACGACACGGTTGCCCTCTGGACGTTTTTTGGATGCATCGAGGCACGGAGCCACGTGTAAGTGTGTACAAAGCGGATGTCTCCGGGTCTGCGCGGTCGTGCACTTTATGTGGGTACTATGTGCAACCGCTTCCCATTGCAGTATCCTGTGACGCAGCTTTTCATGGGTCAGCTTTCATCGATTGCTCAGCACACGCTGATCTGGGCCCCTTGCTGCCGCGAACGGGTGTCACGAGCATATGCGGCAATCGTAACGCACCGTCATCAAAGAAGTGCCCGAGCTGCGGGTGTTTTGGATGGATGCTGGCTGCGATGATACCAAAGGTGCCTCATTACCGTTTACGCTTGACCGAGCCCCTTCACATAGCCGGGGCATCACACTGTGTACTGGTCAGGTAGGCCGCAACGGCAGGAGCTTTCTGGGGCTTCTGTGGTTGCAGCGGTGCCTTACCCAGAAGCAGCTTGTGTGCATGCGCCACTCTGCTTTCGGTCTGGGATGCGGCGTCAACCGTGCGTGTAGGTCAACCATGCTAGGGGCTGCGCTTCCAACGGAAAATGCAGTGCGATAAATCGGTGCCACACCCTGGTATTCGGAAACGCAGAATTAAGCAATTAACATCGCTAACGTGAGTACGTTCCTTGCGCTAGACTCGCGCCACCACGGTGGCAGTCGCCTTGATATGGCTTTGCAAGCTCAACACCACATTATAGAGTTTTGGGAGGTAAAAGCCTTCACAGTCCTCGTCTGAACCCCTCAAGCATTTCGTCTGAACTTCTCAAACAATGAAGGGTTACTGTACAGGAGCCGTCGCGCCACCAAGCCGATGCTTGGCGGCTCTAAGCAGGTCTACGGCCCAACTTCAGATTCACGAACTGCAAATGAACGCCATGTAGTTATGCATAACATGTGCTTTCCAGCGACGAAACCCTAGATGGACTAGGAGGCATTGGGGCCATCTGCTTCTCAGTTGCAAGTGCCGAAGTCAACTCGCTACGATGACTGAGCGTGCACCTCGATCAGCTTTCAAGTGGGCTGCAGTTTGGTGCTTTGGTCGGCACGTTTCCAACATGCCGTACGGTCCAAAAGCTGATCAGAGTTGGAAACAGCATTTTGCAAAACAGTCTGCACCATATTAGTCTCCTTTCTACAGGATGAAGCTTACCTTGTATCGTCTCCCTAATCAGGCCCCTTAGCCTACCTGACATTACCCGACTCGACCCAGTTCTTACACTTTGGCCACCGTGGTTAACCTATAGAATAATTAATACATAGGACGCTGCGAGCTGGGAAGGATGGCGGTGGCAGCGACGGCGGCGAGGCCGGCGATGCTCCCCTCTGGGGTTTTAGCAGGAGTGGACAGGACTGGTGTTGAAAGCCGTGACCCTACAAAACGTTACACGAAGGTCAGTCTGTGCGGGACTAGGTGGCCCACTTCCCGCGCGGCTGCGTCTTTGGGCACGCACGTGCGCAGCGGGTCGCGGAGCGAACGCGGCAGATACACAAGAAACGCGCACGGGCTTATATTCTTCTTGACCTTACTTTCCGCACACCAGATTACTTTCTATATTTGTGACGCTGCCTGTTTGTAGGCATGCTTACTTCTAGATCGCATCCTGCCCATGTTGCCTCACCATACGGTCTTGCATGGAGCTTTCCATTCTTCCAGCCTGAAGGAATTGATCTTAATACGAAGCCGCACTAAAACTATGCCATGCTTCGTGTCTACCTCAAGCAGCGGGCGCACATTGGTGTTGCAGAAGGCTTTCCATGAGCACAGAACCCACCCCTTGCACGCCGGCGGTGTGTGCTCACATCCTAACACGAGTATTCGCAGTCTCACGCAAAGGCCTCACCGATATGAGGCCGTATGTTGCACAGGTTTTGGCGGCTGGCGTTACGGCTGTTTTCCCTGGTTACAGTCTATTGCTACCATGCCCATTACACGCTCAGCTCCAGTGTAATCCGGAAACCAACCTACGCCACCTTTTGCGTTTGTTGTATAGCTTCCTTAGCCCCCTCTTCTCCCACCTGATTCCCGTCACAGTACGAGCTGATTGGTCAAGGGGCGCAGAAGAAGGTTTACCGCGCGTTCGATGAGGAAAGGGGCATTGAGGTAAGCCCCTTCACCCTCGTTTGGGCATCCTAGTCATCAACCCCGCGCTTTCCATGCACTTTGGCCTCCGGGCAACATGTCCCCAGCCCCCCCACCTGTCCTGTCCTGTCCTGCCTCGTCATACAGCTGGTCAGTTTCCTCCTTTTGCCCATCTGTCCTGTCAGCTCATCCTGCCAACCCACCAGTCACGTCACCCGTATTATCAGCCCTTTCTCCTGCTTCCATTGCAGGCTAGAACGCCTCCTCCCCTACCGGTACCCAGCGACGTTACAGCCCTTCCTTACCGAACCCCGCCGACCCAACCCGACCCGACCCAAATCACAGGTTGCATGGAATGAAGTGGCGGTAGGCGAGCTCGCTAACTTCAGGGAGAAGGACCAGCAACGTGTTTTTGCGGAGATCCGGGTGCTGAAGCAGCTCAAGCATAAGAACATCATGACCCTGCATGACTACTGGTTTGACGAGCGACGACTGACGCTGAACTTCATAACGGAGATATTTCCTGACGGCACCCTACGGCAGTGAGTACGGCAAAGGGCGTGTGGAAAGCGGGAGCGGAATGGATCTAGCATATCGGGTTGATTCCGATTAAACCTAGGGCTGGACTAAGATCCAAAGATCCAGATCCTTGGAGATTATGAAAACCATGACGTGTTCGTTCGCGACCTTCGTTCCAGACCCGACCCACATCCGCTCTGCCGCTCCTAAATCTCCTAAGTGCCACTCCTAAACCTACACCAGGTACCGCCGGCGTCACAAGCTGGCTGACCTCCCCGCGATCAAGCGGTGGGCGTGGCAGATCCTGCAGGTACGATAACACCGGACTCTTGGCGGGGCGGGTAGGGCGCGTCCGCTGCCCAGTTTTAAGATCTTGGGTTTGGAGGCGGAGGCGGGGATAGCCCCGGATAGGGCTAGGTGGGGGAAGGACGAGAGAGCGTCAGCAGGGAGGGCCGCACGTGCGCATGTGTGCACTCCTCGCCTTATGCCTCGTGTTTCCGCCACCTTCCGCGTTCCTCGTCGTTCCTCGTGTATTATTTCATGTGAACCCCCTCCCCTCGCTTCATGCTTGCAGGGCCTGGTGTACCTGCATGGCCACAACCCGCCCATCATCCACCGTGACCTGAAGTGTGATAACATATTTGTGAACGGGACGTCCGGCATGGTCAAGATTGGCGATCTGGGTCTAGTAACGTTGTGCAAGGACTTCTCGGCGCCTCAGAGCGTGTTGGGAACGCCCGAGTTTATGGCACCGGTAAGCCTGGAACTGTTGCCGCCCAAAGACTTCACGCCCATAGCCCACAATAGCACTAGCACACCAGATGGGACGTACCTAGTCTGTTTCCAGGCCCGCTTTCTCTTTTTGCTCTGCTATGCCATCTTCCATGATTCTGTCTTCTCCTCAACGTCTGGTTTGACCGATATTGCTTGCTTGCAAACGCTAACCAAATCTCGTCACTAGGATTTGGAATTTACACGAGAAACACCCGCACGGTCCCTCCTCAGGAATTGTACGAAGAAAAGTACGACGAGAAGGTTGATGTGTACGCATTTGGCATGTGCTTGCTGGAGCTAGCCACGATGGAGTACCCCTACTCGGAGTGTCATAACGCGGCGCAGATCTACAAGAAGGTCATGCAGGTCGGTGTCTCAATAGCCCGAAGGTCACGCAGGTGAAGAGGAAAGGAGAGGAGGGGGAAAGCGAATGGGTGAAAATTGAAAAGCGAGCATGACCCAAATCGCAAATCGCTCCTTTCATTCGACCCAAATCACAACACATCACTCCCAAACAATGCCGCCCAACTCACCTGGTCACTACCGCTAAGCAGCCTTCTACCTCACTCGCGCCCTCCCCCCTATTCCACATCGGGTATTCTTCTTTCCCCCCCATCGCTCGCTCCCGTACGACAGGGCATCCCGCCAGCTTCCGTTGAAAAGCTGCCCTCCGGCGAGCTCCGCGACTTCATCCGGCTGTGTCTCGAACACAACCCAGAGCTACGGCCGGAGGCTCGGCAGCTGCTGAAACATAGCTTCTTTGAGCCCATTCGCGCGTCTGCATGTGCTGCGGTGGCCGCAGCCCATGCAGCATCTTCTTGCAGCGGCTGTTCGACTCCCAAGGTGACGATGAGCCCGTCCGTGTCAATGGGCCCAGCGGAGGCGTCGCTAGCGGCGGCAGCGGCGGCGGCAGCGGCAGCGGGATCGCTCAGTCGTGTAGGGAGTTTCCTCGCCGGCAGCGTCGACAATGGTGGACTTGCATGTGCCTGTCGAGACGGCAGCAACAGCTGCAGCAGTAGCAGCAACGCATTGGCGGCGGCGGCGGAGGGCGGGGCGGCGTTCGGCAGCATCGCTGCTGCGGCGAGCGGTGGCGGCGGCGGCGGAGGCGCCACGCTGCTCAGTTGCATTGCGGCGGCGACGGGGGGCAATGCAATGGCAGCGACGGCTCCCGGCAGTGCACTGAGCCCTAGCTCCAGCGCATCCGGATTGGCCGCCGCGGTCAACGGCGGCGGTTACCACTCGCCTCAGTCGCCGCTGTCGCCTGTACCGCCGTCAGCGCAACAGCCGTACCAATTGGGGGCCATTGCGTCGGCACTCGCACAGCAGCTGCAACAGCAGAATCTGGATCCGCAAAGGATCTCCCTTACTAATGGCAGCATTGCCGCCGCCATCGGCGGCGGCGACGCCAGCGCTTCGGTCGCTTCACGATTGGCGTCGTCTTCATCGCTGACGGCGGCGCCGACGGGTTGCACGGTAGGATTGGGAGCGACGGGCGGCATTGCGGCGGCGCTCCGCAATGCTGCTTCTGACGCCACCGCCGCTGCCGTACCCATTAGCATGTACGGCAATGGCGGCGGCGGCGCTTGTGGGCCACTCGGCTGCGGTGCCGCTGGTAACTGTGGCGGCTGTGCCGGGAGCATTGCTTCGTCGCTGTCCCCCGGAACGGCATCCAGTCTGCATTATGCCGCGGCGATTGCAGGTCTAGGTGGTGGCGGCGGCGGCGCGTTAAGTAACGCCAACGGTGTGTTCGGACCCACGGGTCAGATACCGGGTAGCGGTGACAGTTCGTACCAGTTAGTGTGCGGCGGTGCCGGGCTGGGCGGCGGGGAGGGTGTTGGCGGCACCGGCGGTAGCAGCGGCGCTGATGGATGTGGCGGCGGCGGTGCCGTCGTTTGTTGTTCTCCCGCCTCGCCTCTGACGGCGTCCCTGGCGCAGCAGCAGCACCTGCAGCGGCAACAGCAGCTGCAGCAGCAACTGTTGTACCACCAGCAACAGCAGCAACAGCTGCAGCAGCAGTTGCTATATCACCAACATCACCAGCAACAACAACAACAACAACAGGTACCACCCGGAGAATTCTCCGGCGTGGATTTTCTGGACGGTGTGTCTCAGAGCGACGGGGCGGAGGCAGCAACGGCGGCTGCGGGCGCCTCATCATCTGCAACGATGGTCACCAGCATCGCCGCCTCTGCCACGCAAAATGGGTAAGTCACGTCCATCAGCTGGCATGCCTTTTGCATGTCGTACTCCCGCCTCACCTGGTCACCTCCTGCATGGTCGTCTTCGTTACCACAACAGGGCTTTCCGCTGATCTGGTTTACGCTGCTACGTGCTACCCATCTCCGCCTCCCTCACTTTCTTGCTGTCGCGGTTGCTCCCGATTGACCCCCAGGACGTACCCGTCAGCGGCAACAGCAGCGTCAGGTTCCTTCTCTTCCTCCGCAGCCGCCATCGCCGCAGCGGCCGTCAGCGCCGCCGCCGCCGCTGTTGCCGCCGGAGCCGCTTCACCTCTGCATGGCACGAGCGGTGTGTTGCCCTCCATCCATGAGGACCATGAGCTGAATGAGGACGTCATGTTTGAGCACGACGAGCAAGGTACGTGTTTTCTCAGTCAACTGGCCGTTGGCGTGTGTTACGAGAACGGCTGCGAGTAGGAAGGTACTGGATTGCCGGAAGAAGATGTGCCCACCAAAACGTCACGGGAGGGTGCTTGCAGTGGTTGGGACCCCACTGGGTAGCCTGCAGTGGATGGTGTTGGTCGGTGATAAGGAGCACGGAGAACTGGTAGCTCAGAGAAGCAGGGCAGGGCCATGCTCCCACGCAGGCTTTATGGGACGCGAGGGTCCCGTTCGCACGATCCGAGGCCTGTGGTGGCTTGGCCGCGTGACGTCACCTGTGGTGGCCTAGCCGCGTGATTGCGCGTCCAGAGGTTGGGGTCCCCGTCTCCTCACGTCTTTTCCCATTTGTCCCACCTCAGGCGGTCGCCTTGGGCTGGCATTGACGGTCGAGGACGACGACTCGGACGTCGACGACGAATGCGAGTGTGAGTGTGAGTGCGGCAGTGGTACGGAACACGGTACGACAGCGAATGGAGCTGCTACAGCCGGCGGCGGCGGCGGCGGGGTGTTTGCGGGTGGCCCGACGGGGCCCGGATGCCGAAGTCAACCGGTGAGCCTGCAGGTCCGCTCCTCGGGTCAGGCGGCGGTCGCAAACATGGCGCTCAGCTTTGCTATGTCTTTCACCAACAACAGAGGTGGGTGACGCCTGGTGTGGCATTAAGGGTGTTATGTGTGCCGTGAAGAACAGGGTATTGCGGCAGTTGTGTTGAGCTGGCGGGTTGGGCGAGGGTGTGGGTGGCGCGGCCAGGAAAGGTGCATGGGAAGACCGCAACGGGTGGTGCTTGGTGTTGTGTTTTGTGCCAGGATGCGTGCAGAACGGTTCCCTGATCCTTCCCTTTCTCCGGCCTGTTGACTACTTGTTTATGTGCGCAGGTGTACGGAAGAAGGTTGGGTTTCAGTACGACCTTTTGCACGACACCGCGGGCGCCATCGCCGTGGAGATGGTGGAGAACCTGTCCCTCAACACGGCCGAAGCTGAAGCCATAGCTGCTATGATCCAGCACGAGGTTTCACGATTCAGCCGACAGCAGCAGCAGCAGGAGCAGGATCCAGCACAGACCTAGAAGCGCCGTACGACTGTAGCAGTACTGCAGTTGCAATAGTAGTAAAACTGCAAAACTTGCAACGCAACCAGCATAAAGAGAGGTGCATTGGACAGGAATGTCTGGGACTGACCAAACCGGCAAGAGTGTAGAGTGCATGTCAGCAGTCCGCAGATGCAACAGCTACCTGACATGGGTCCTGTGGCGGTACCAACGGTACGTCGTTGCTGGGATGAGAGCATGAGACTGAGCCGAGCGTGCATTGTGAACTGGCTAGAGAGATCAGGTTTAAGTGGGTTCAGTGTTGTTTTTCAGGGCTTATCAGATGCTGGTGGGTGGTATTGTTGCAACCAAAAGGCGTACAAGCGCTAAAAGCGGAGCCTCAAGCGGAGCAGGGAGTAGGGGAAACGCATGGGGGTCAACCATGCGGGGGGAAGGTGCACTCAGAGAATGTCCAACGTGTCGAAGCATCGCGCCATGTTGAATAAAGACACGCATGGGACACGCGTCTGTCTCTGCAAGCAGAGGTCGTCGTACTTGTGGCTAGCAGAGGTGTGTACCTTCCGGCTTCTTGCATGTGTGCTTTTGGTGTGCCCAATGGCAGGGAATAGCAGGCAAGGGCAGTGTGTGTGTGTGTGTGTGTGTTGGCTGGCAGTGATCGTCAGCACAGCAGTAATCGGGTACGGTAGTTAAGGCCCCACGTAAGTTGGTTTGGTCATGGGCTGCAGCTCTCGGTGTCCCATGGGTCGTTACCGATGGTCCGTTGTCCGGGCGGCGACGCCTTTTCGGCGTTGTGTTTACCGCCAGAACGGGTTTTGCGAGTACCGGCCCTCAGCTGTGCGATGTAGCCGAGAAGATCTAGCGCACGCGTGTGTGTTACGTACGTGCGGTGGTGGCACAAGCCTTCCCTTTCACTGCGAGAATGCCCCACTTGGGAAGGTGACGGTGTTGTTGCTGACGAGAGGAAGAAGGTCGCCATTCTTGGGGCTCAGTGGCTATTTCTGTGGGGTTTCCGTGTCAATGCAGGGCAGCTTCAGACAAACGCCCCGGATCAACGATGTTAGCCTGTTAGGAGGCTTAGAGTGCCTGCATGTTGGGTGAGCTTGGTCCTGGATCGAGCCGGATACCTGTGCTACGGTAGCTGCTGGGCAAGACAGTAGGGTTTTGGCAGTAATATAGGTTCTAGGCAGCATGCCCCAATGCTTTCCTGATCTGCCCGCTGTCACAACGACATTGGGACATGAGCAATGCAATGTGCCGCGCGTTGTAAGCTGGGGATGCGGTACGTAAAGGGAAAACGCTTAAGCACGGTTTTCTTTGTCTGGCGGTTGGTTTTGTAATGCTGATTGGTTGGATGTTTTGCTGTGTGTGCGATGCCTGCCCAGGCGTTTGAGCGAGCAGCGAGGCTCCGCTTTTGTCCGTTCAGAGCCCTTACCTGCCCGTATCTTTTGGGTGTTTTGAGAGTTTGAATTCTGCTGTTTTGGCGTTGATTGGTGCTCCTTATGTGGTCGAAAACACTGTTCAAGTACGTTAGTATGGTCAAGGGGTGGTTAGGCGCTTATTTGGTCTTTGTTTTGGGCCCCGAATGCACGTCGCGTTAACTTTGCTGCCTGGCAGGTGACGGACTGTCGCTGTATGTGTAATGCTTGGATGTAAGGATAAGAGATCCAGATCCAAGTGCTGATCTGGCGTTTAGCGGTAAGGTCAACAAGCATGCTGGAGCATGCATGTGAACTTGGGTTTCGTGGTAATGCAGATCGCTCTGGTAACGATCGCAGCGAGGAGGAGGCGAAGCCGTGGATTGCCACCCCCACCGGTTTCAGCATACGAACGGCAAAAATGGTTCGTACACCTAGGTCCGGAGCCGTATTCCCTCAACAGGCCAACCTCCCATGGCAGGGCTTGCAACCCTTTTCGCCTAGGTACAAATGTACCATACCTTGGAAAAGCACAAGGCAGGTAAAGAGGTCCTTTCCGGTAAGAGGTCTGGACCGGAAAACCCCCTCGCGAGACCCGTGACACGGCTGCACCTCCTCCGGTCACCGGGCCTCTTCTGCAATCAACAGTCAAACGAGAAGTCAGGCTCCGACAACTACTACACTCCTTGCTGCTCTTTAACCCTTTCCAATCCACTCATTCCGCATTCATCTTTCCATTCATCATCCAAGGGGGAGACAACGCCAAGGAGAGTCGCCTGTGCCAACCGCACCGCACCGCAATGTTATATGTATGTCTTTTAATATCACAAGTTCTTCCTATTAAGGAAATAGCACCTCACCGGACCGCATGGTCGACCTCAGCGGCATCCCACACGAGCTGGTGACGAGCACTGTTCGTCATTTTACATAGCTATCCTGACATGTTGCACGTAACCGACAAGTTAAACAACCATGACTGAACATAACACAACAGAAAGCCATAAACGGCTAAAGCAACAAACTTTGTAAGGCGTTAAAGGCAACGTAGGGCAAAGGGCGGCAACCCAACCATATTTTTCCCTGAAGGCGTGCACGTCCCCATACATGGCAATTGTACCCCATGTAGTCAACCCGGATGCAACCCAAACCTGCTGCTTCCTAACACCAAACCAGGCAAGGAAGCAACCGCACACCCTGCGCCCACCCACCGTTTTCAAGTGGAGGTGTCGGGCAACGGCACGTGGCCCATTTTAGCAATCTTACACCAGCAGATGCTATGCCATCGTAAAACCCGCTTTGTACCCCTTGCACCCCTCCGCCATCCACAAAACCGTGCGTTATTGCACCAAACCAGCCAGCATTGAGCGCCCTGCCCTTGCTTCATCCCATTCATCTCATGTGTTGACGATACCGGTAAAGCCGCCCTCCCTGTAACTTCCGACACAACATAGGTCAAGCATACGCAACAAACAATTCACACAACCCAAACACCAAAGCCATTCGGACGAGCTGCTCTGTCTACACGCCCGTACACCTTCCACGCCCGTACACCTTCCACGCCCGTACACCTTCCACGCCCGTACACCTTCCACGCCCGTACACCTTCCACACACCAACACACCTCCATACTCATCAAGCTGTAACCGTTTAAATCCCACCGTGAGACCCCAAAACGACAGCAGTGACAGCCGCTGCCGTCACCACCAACAACGCTGTCACACATACCCCCCTCGCTTGTCAACCAAGTTCTCCTCCTCCGTGTTTGCTGCGGGGCAGACCGCAGCTGCCGACCCGCCCCCAGCCAACGCTGACAGAATCACGGCCACAGAAATCACCGAATAGCATGATCTCGAGGCGGCGCCGCGGAATCAATACACACACGCGCGAAATCAGCATGGGGAGCTGACATCCGCGCATGCATGGGCGACCCAGGGGTCACTGCTGTTCGGGGCATTGGCCGGCTTCCAGTACATACCCCCGTGCTCGGACCCCGGCATGTTTTGCAGCAGTGGCACCGCCCGCACACATCCCGCACTGCTGCTGCTGCTGCTCCTGCTGCCGCTGCTGCCATGATTGATCTCCCAGCAGCCTCCAAGGACGCACCCCGCCTGAGACGGGCGCCCCTCTCCGCCACTGGTTGCTGCCGTGTACACACTTAGCAGCCCCGCTGCTGCTGCTGCCACAACAACCATCACGCGATACCCGCAGCGATACAGTGCAGCAGCCCCCGCGGCGTTAGCGCACCCCACCACCAGCACCATCAGCACCATCAGCAGCAGCAACTGCTTGGCTTCCATGTGCTCGCCAGCCTAGCAAGGGTAACAACCCAGGGAGGGCCCCGGCTGCTGGCCACATGCACAGCCGCTTCTCCGGCCGCATCTTCTCTCCCGGCTCATCACCGGGCCATGCCAGCTAGCAGCTGCTTGCGCTGTTGCTCCAAACCCATGAAGATGTCCAGCTTGTTTTTGAGCTGCGGAAGAATGCAGAAGACAGAACGGGGTGGTGGTTGCAATGTTGCGGGAAGGCGGATGCGCTAAGGATAGGAAAGGGAGGAGGAGGACGGAGCAAGTAGTGAGCAAAGAGCCGTCAGTGGCAGCACAGGCAGTCACATGGCATGCACGGCAAATGGGTGGCGAAAGGGAGATGAGTAGCGGGTAGGTGAGGAAGGGGGGCGGCGCTGTGGAGGTGCGGGTGCGACAAAGGGGCTGGACGTTGGTGTAGACTTTTCCATGCGACGAGAGGCGTCTTGGCATCGCGTTTCACAGGAGGCGATGCACGCCCATGCTAGGGTGCCGGAGCGAGCTCACCAGACAGTAAGCGTCTCGTAGCTGGCCAAGCAACGCCAGACACATTTGCTGGTTTTGCGTCTGGCAACCTTCCCGCAACTTGATGCAGAGCTGCGCGATGGTCGCGGCGCCGAGACTCGCGCTGCTGCCCTTGAACTGATGCACCAGTTGGTCGAGCTCCTTGAAATCCGGTGGCGCGCTGCTAAGCATCGCCCCCATGCGTTCTATTTTTTGTACCGAGTCCTCAAAGTATAGCTGCACAACCTCCGCAACAAAATCGGGGTTGCTGTCATCTTGCAGTTGCAAGAGCTGCTGAAACTGCTCGTCTAATACGCCCTCGTTCTCTAGCTGCTGCAGAAGTGAGTCGATTGCTTGGTTAACGTTCGCAACCTGAGCCTCCATCCGCTTTTCCCGCCCGCTGTCGCCACCCGAGCGAGGAGCCTATCTTCCGAAGCTTCCGCGACCGAGCGTAACGTGCTGGGTTGTATCGGGTCCGCGTCTATAGAAGCGTTGTAATGTCTGGTAAATCTGGTGGCGTAGTATTAATGCGTTTTGTGCGACGAGCGCGTGAAAGGCCGCTTGGTGCCTTTAAAGGCTTGATGTTAATCGATATGACAATACGCAACGAATATTAACAATTCCTAGACACCGTACAATGAGCAAGCCGCGAGGGAATTGTTGAGTTGTATACGCAATCTCCGTACGAGATTGCAGTCCCGCCAATCCAACAGCGCGACCGCCCTATGGCGCCCCGATTGACTTGCACGGCAACCGTGATCACTATTTGTAACACTTATGTCGAGATTAACGCACATAAGACCGTAATTCATAACATATCCTTGTCGCCGCCTTGTCAGCTTCCCGATTCCTATCACGGCTCCCCACTGACACAACCACTTAGGGGGAACCTACATTCCTTTTGTAAACGCCTTGGCTACATTCATTTGCCATATTCCTCACCTTGTCCTCCTTCCCGCAAGTTCAATGGCATGGGCCCTACAGCTTTACACGCTGAATTGCACCAAACGGTGCACCTTCTTATCAGACTCATAAAATTTCAAGGCTCAAGCGAACCCACATTAACAACGCCGGCATTTCCAAGCACCAAGGCTCCGACCCACATGCCCTCCCCACGCCTCCTCCTCTCTCGTTCCGCGTCTTAAGGTCACCGAGGGGAAAGGATCCCGTCTACCCCTTCCCCCTTCGCCCCCTTCCCCCCATCTCTGGAATGGCGCAAAGCAACTGACATACGGCAGCAACGCCGCCGGCCGGCAGCCCCTTCCTCCAAACAAGATCCATATCCAAATAGGGTACTGCCCGCTCCCCCCACAAGTCAGCCACATGTCGCACAAGCACACTCCCGCGCCGTACACATCCCACCATGCCGTAAGCGCACGGGACGCTGCTGGATGGGCAGAGAGATGCTTGAACCCTCGGTTGCGAACCCCGGTGGCCCAACCAGGGTACCTTGATGGCCCCGGGTATTGCAAGGCAGGCTGGACCTCTCACATGTGCTGTAGTGAGAGGCGGTACCCCGGGGTCCCAAAGCCTATAAGTTGGAAACCCCGGTTTAGTTGAGCCCTGGGCAGGAGGTTTCCAGGGGTTGCTCTATGCTCTTCCCGCTGGTTTGGTTTTGTTTCTCCTCTTCCTGTCTTATGTGGTATGTCTGTAACAGCCCATATTGGAAGAAAGTTTGGCGACCCGCCCTACCGGTACTGCACCCCCACTCCTGGCAAGCGTGGGTCGGTAACCAGGTTCACGCGACATCTTGCGCGTGCCGACGGGGTGTTTATGCATGTCGAGGTGTATACGTGCAATGAACCACTTAACAGCAAGCCAGCGGAACCTTAGACACAGCCTCAACGGCATGCTGTCTAGGGCTTAAGTGCACCGGTCGCTGCTAGCAACTTTAGGGTGCGTAATGTGGAGAGACATATAACAGCAGCGTACGGTATGCGTGGCGGTTGCGCCTTTATGTCGCATCCTGTGGCAGTTGGTGGGAGCCTCACAGCTGCACAGCGTGAAGGTAGCTTGCAAGGAAAAGCCTTTACGCTTGCTACAGACACGCCTACCTTCGACAAAACATGTATATGTATCTTAGCACTTGAACAGTCATGCATGAATTTAGGTATGTGAAGCGGCGGATTGCAGCTCCAGGGTTGCTGATGCTTGATGTCCCTTCCTTGTTTGCCACAGCAATCCTAAGTGCTCCAATTCATCCATAGTATACTTTTTACTTTTGACGCTTGCTCAAGGACCGCCACTCATCTGCCATATACACGTCCCTTGTCCGCGATGCCCCGGGTCCCCACTGTGTCCAAGCCCTCTGTTGCTCCCGTCACGCTGGTGCGCTAAACTAGAAGGATCACATTCTGAGTATCATGTAATGAAGACGACATAGTCTTACAGCGGGGGTGTGCCTGCAGGTGCGGGGAGCTGGGAAGAATGGAACAAAGGCACCCCCACCGACACGGCCCATGGTCCAAGAGCAGCCACGAACTGACGATGACAAGGTATTATGCTCAGCTTGCTATCCATGGTGTTTTCTGGGACGACGCGGCCCGTTCCACTAAAATCCGATGATGCTCAAACGCAGGAGGTCTGCCCGCTGTGCGTTGAGGATCTGGACGAGACTGATATGTCCTTCCAACCTTGCCCCTGCGGGTGGGTAGCCTGGCGAGGTCGTGTCTAGGATTCTCGGATGTTCCTGGCTTGTTTGCGCGCGAGGTTGGCGCGAGCAGTAATTTTATGCCCGACCCTATTGTCCTACAGGTATCGCGTGTGCTTATTCTGTTTTGAAAAGCTCAAGTTGCACTGCAACAGCGCGTGCCCTAATTGCCGAAGAGGCTATGGGAGCGACGAGGCCATGGAGTACGCCAAGCAGCTGGAGGCCGAGCGAGCGCAGGAAGCTCTTAGGCCTAAAGCCCCATCAGCTCCTGCTCCTGCTGTCTCGACCTCGGCAGCAATTGCGTCTGCAAGCAGAGCTCCCCCGAAGCCAGCACCGACGCAGACGAGCGCGCGGCGGGATGCCGCGCCCATCCCGGCAGCTAAACGAAGCAGCGGGGCTTTAGACGAAAGCGTTGGTCATGCTGCCTCTTCTGGGCTCCCCAGCGGGGTGACGTGGGCAACCCCTTCGCCAAGCAGCTTGTCACGCAACCAGTCGGTGGAGATAGAGCGGCCCACGCTCAGCATGGACGAATCCTCCTGGCCCTCCCTCGGGGCGCCTGCAGCCCAGCAGCCACACACGCACCAACCACGTCACCACGGGAGCACAGGCTCGCAGCACCACCAGCACTCCCACCATCACCACCACCACCCGCACGCGTCGCAACAGCAGCAGGCTCAAGGGTCCTCCTCCACCCATGTCTCCTCCAGCGGCACCGCACCCATTACGCACGCATCCCAGCAGCAGCAACAACAGCATCGACACAGTCCTTCAGCCGCCAGCGAGGGACTCAATAGCTATGACATGTCGGGCGCAGGCACGCGGCGCAGCAGCTCCGTGGCGTCTTCCATGGACCGGGCCGCCAGCAGCTCCTCCCTGGAGCTCATGTCGCAGGACCCCCCGGTGACCCCCGAGCAGCTCCTGCAACTGCAGCACCAGCACCAACAGTACCAGGCACAACACGCGGGTGTGGCCGCGTCGCTGTCCTCCTCCTCCTCCGCCTTCCCGCCCATGCCGCCGCCGGGTTTCGAGGCCTCCTCGTCCTACTTTGGTGCCCAAGTTGTGACCACTGTCAACGGGTTGCGCCGTACCGTGAACGTGCCGTTGTCGCTGGGGCAGAGCAACGTGGAGCCGTATCCTGAGGCGCCCGCGCTGCTTGCCTCCATGCAGCAGGGTGTAGCGCAGGGGACACTGTCCAGTAAAGAGGGCGCCTCCCAGCTCTTCTCCTTCATGCGGCAGAAGGACCATGAAGGACAAGTGGCGCGGCCTCGATCGGTGCTGGCGGCAACTAAACCACCGCCGGGTTTCGGAGCGCCATCTGTGCCGCCGCCTGCGGTGTCACAGCCGTCTGTTCCAGCACAGCCGGCGTCTGCGCCAGCGATGTCGGTGTCAGCAGCCCAGTCCCTTGGCGCGCGTCCGCCCCCGCCGCCACCGGGCTTCGCCCATCTGCAGGGCAGCGTGGTGCAGGCTCCACCCGTTGTACGGGCGCCCATCCAGCCGCCACTGCAGCAGAGCGCCGAGGGCAGCTTCGGTGGCTCCTCGGGCCCAATTGGGTTGAACGCCAACGGGACCCCGCGCACGTACTCCATGTGGTCGGGTCTGCCGGGCATGGATCTAGCAGCCTCCACCGGCCTGTCTTCCCTCTGGCAGAACCTGAACGCCTCTGCACTGTCGCTAGGCGGGCAGCTGGGGGGTGGTGCCACGCAGCCGTACAACCCGCTCGGCCTTATGGATCATCAGTCCATGCCGTACGCATCACGTCCGCCTGTGCCAGGAACGGCTCCCAAGGCGCCGCCGCCGGGCTTCGGTCCTTCCCCGTACGCTCCCTCGCAGGCAGGTGCAGGCGCGCAGCAGCAGCAACAGCTAGGGAGCGGGGATGCGGTGCTAGGGGGCAGCTTTCGTTCGCAGCTGCCCTACCAACCAGTAGGCGGCGCGCGATACAACCCGTTGAACCAGCCGCCTGTGCTGCCCGGGGCTTACCGCCCGCCACAGCTGGGAGTGGGGCTTGGAGCGTGAGAACGTGGACGCATGGGCAGCGCGGTGGGGCTGTGTGCGAGGGGCTTGTGTGGGGATTTGCTGGGAAGGCACGACATGCATGGTGGTGGTAGGAGGTGCCCCTGCCTTAGGGTGGCAACCGCGTGGCGATATGTTGTCTTCGTCACGCGCTGTGTGCTCTAGGGTGGGCACCAGGAGGGGGCGAGATGGGCAGCGCTTTAAGCCAGGCACAGGGGCGTTGAGGGGCTTGTGTGAGTCGGCAGGCTTTGATGGTTTGTGTAGAGCGTTAGGAGAGCAGCTGTCGGCTTTAGGTGGCATGTTGCATTCTGCAAACTCGCCATGTCTGCGAGTCAGTTTTGCGAATGTAGGAAGTCGTTGGTTGAAGATAGCTTTTGCCCTAGGGACCAGGGCTTGCGCTCAGGCTTACGAAGAGGGCAGTCGAGGAAACCCAGACAGGAAAACGTTGGCAGGGCTTGGCCAGGACACCTTACATGGCTTTTGGCTTGATATTAAGCTGGACGAAGTGTTGGGGGGGCTGCGCCTCGAAGTTTGCGAATAGAAAGGCGTCTTGGAAAAACCTGACGGGTTCCGAGAGGTGAAACGTTTGCTGCGTTTGGCTTGGAGATGGCGGAGGCGATGGGAGGCGAAGGTGGACTGCTGTCGTTGCTGCGCGTGCTGCCGCGTTTGCATGACAAACAGTGTAAAGCTATCATCGGCTTCTTTCTCACCACATTGCGCTATTGGATTCTCTAACTCGGCAGCCACACAATAGGTCATCCAGCGCAATCCCTACGCTGAAGACACACCAGCACCTAAGCCACTCTACGTATACCTTCCCATGGCAACACCCGCTCATTCGCTGTGTTGACCCACATCGACTGCCGTCCAACACCGCATCCGCCATCCAGATGGTCGCCCCACTCACTTCCCTCCCAGCTTATTCCCCCTGCCCTGGAAGGCGTTAAAGCCGCCGCCGCCGCCCACATCGCCGCCTCGGCCAGCGGAGGATGGCGCACCCCCATACGCCGGCTCTGCTCCCCCGCCAGCCCCTTCTCCCTGGCGTTCCGCTCCTTGCTGTGAGCGCGGCTTGGGCCCGTCAAAGTAGCGCTGCAGGAAGGCCGCTGGGTTGATGCCCCCGCCGCCTGAAGCGCCCCCCGCCTGCTGCTGCTGCTGCCCCGGTGCGGGAGCGCCAGCTGGCCGGCGGCCGGCTGGGTGCTGCTGGGGGGGTTGCCCTTGGACGCCTTGGTTCATGAGGTAGACGACGTCTGTGTGTGCGGGAGGAGGGGAGCGGGCGGGGTGGGCAAAGGCGCAGGAGGTTGCAGGAAATCGCAAGGCAGCAGCGTCCGATATGCAAAAGGATGCCTAGGAGTAAGGCTAGTGGTGGTGAGCAGTTAGAGGAGGACAGGAGGCATGGTAGACCGGTGTTTTGCCCCAAGCAGCAGGTACCCGTAGATCCCTGCAGGCGCCCGGCCATGCAAGCCGCCATGCATGCCAGGGCTTGCATGGCGGACCACCTGGGCAGCCCCCCCCCCATGACCCTGACCACCTACACAGCACGGCAGCCACCAGCGCCATGCGCCTGCACGCGGGGGAGCGGGGAAAGGGGGAGAAGGTCATGGGGCGTCCCTTGTCCGAGCGCACAGCGAGGTACGACACTAGCGTACGGTGCCCCTTAGCGCCTCAGGAGAGAGCCGTACAAGTGGTACAACACAAGTATACGGTACACAGCCCCTGTGGACTGAAGCCATTTCCACCACTTCCGCCCGCACCCACCAGCCCGCGAATATGAACAGCGCCAGCCCCGCCATCCCCGCCTGCGGTGTCACTCGCAGCCCAAACACCTCCGCGTCCGGCAGCCCCAGGAAGGGCTGCACTCCAGGGGCGGGGGGCAGTGTCCTGGGGAGCAGGAGGAGGGGAAGGAGGAGGAGGAGCAAGTAATAGTTCTGCATGGAAAGGTGTTTTCATCGAGTGGGGTGTTTGGATCTCGAAGTCTAACGCCCTCATACAGAACTCCATCACAGTGCTACGTGCATTGGTAAGGGCAGGCAAGCCAGGTTTCAAACGCCACGCAAAAAAATGGCTCGCAGTACGCCCGTGCGTCTGTGTGACGTGTCCCGGCACCAATGGCTCGCGATACGCCTGTGCGTGCATGGACGGTTCCCAGCACCTGAATGGAGGAGCGTTCAGGTCGAAGGCACTGCCCGCTGCACCGCCTCTACCAGGCCCAGCAGCGGCAGCAGGAGGGCCCCCACCCATGCGCCCCCCAGAGGCCCCTGGAGCATTAAATCCATAGCCGGTACTGCTGTAGGCACCAGCTGCTGCCGGTCTGGGGGCATGGTTAGGGGGGCGGAGTGAAGGGAAGCGGGAGTGGCAGGTTCAGTCACAGTCTATACGCGTGTAGGCTGTTGTCGTGAATACCGGAAGGTGGAGCTGGTGGTTGCTTGGGGGGCGACTGTGACGGTTGACGTTTGCTCGGGGCTTGCAAGAAACCTTAGCCAATTGCTTGGATAAAAACAGGGAACCGAAGCCCTGCCTCTGAGCGTCCTAAATTGAGCGTCTTAATTTGGGGCGTGTTGCATAACCGGTGCAGTGCTCCCTAACGCGACGTATGGGTTAGGAACTTCAGGCGTGAATACATACCCAGATGCTGATTGGTGTTGTTGTTTCAACCTGGGATCATCGTCTGCGTTGTGCGAAGAACAACCATAACGATGGAGATGGGAACTTGAGGAGACGTGGCTAGGCTAGGGCTATTAGCAAAATAGCAACCTCAAACCATAACGGCCTCACCTGCTACGATCTCTCCATTGATAATTTTCACCATGGTTCACGCAGGTGCTATGGCGTGGGCGGTTGGATAATGTTGCAAGGGTAGAGTACGCAGCTTTACAAAGTTATACACCTTTGCAGGCGTAGGCGCGATAAACAATCCAGATCGCGTGTTGGGGTTTCGTTCTATTTCTTGTAACGTACTGGGTACCCTACACGCGGGAGGTACGACAACTTATAGCAGTTTTTGGTGGACAGGGCGACAGATGCAGCAAGATGGTTGTCCGCATAGACTATGTGCTGTTTCAAAGACAATGAGATATTAGCCTAAAAATGGCTCAGAATTAGCAAGTGCGTGTTTTCCAACTTTGCTTCGATAGCCATATGCGCTGTTAATTGTTACATGCTTGGACTAGAGATTATCCTGACGCATAGGTGCATAAGCAATAGCTTACTTAGAGCCAGGACCCGCTGGCATGCGCATTGCCCACTATGAGCGAAGCGTGTCGACGCTCCTATTGGTAGGACGTACTCTGGCAGACTTACGGCAGTCTCCATGCCGACCTCGATCATGCCATCAACGCTGCCAGCGATAGTCTCTCCTAAAGTTGGCACTGACCTCGGGAACAGCTACACAGATGACCGCGGATTTGCTCTTTCTGGTAAGACGGGTCCTTGGAAATATAACGCAGCCTGCAGAATGTCCGGGCATGCAGCAGCTTGGAAACCTGTGCACTGCCGCTGACAATGCATGGTCGTTGCGCACCTTGCTCCCGATTCCTGCTTCCTATGTTCATCACACACGCGCCCCTCTACTTAATTCCTTTCACACCACCTACCTGACCCCTCCTTAAACGTCTATCGCCCACCCAGCGCCCACACTTCCATCCTCACAACCTCAATTCCCCTGCCCATCCCCACAGGCCTCACCGCAGCCTCAGCCGCCCTCCGCGGCGCCCTTTTCGATTCCGCCTCCGTCCGCAACACCGCAGCAGCCCTGGCGCCACCCAACGGCCCCACCTCCTCCCGTCCCCTCAGCGCTGCAAGCATCGCGCTGTTACTCAGTCAAGCCGCGGGACCCGGCCAGCCGCTGCTCCCAGGCTCCGGCTCCGCACGTGGACCCGGAGCCACATCCGTAACCGGCCCGGGATCGATCCTGGGATTCCTCGGCCCTGGCGTGGGAAGTACAGGCAGCATGAGCCTCAGCGGCGGGATCGCCGGCGTCGCTGCGTCCGGACCAGGCGGCAGTGGGGCCGCGGGGGGTTCCGGAGCATCGTTGAGTGGCGGTATGGTGGGAGGTGGCGGGGGCGGTGGTGGCAGCGGCGGCGGTGCGGCGCCCGCTGCGGATGTGGCGGCGGTGCAGTCCGCTGCGGCGCTGCGGGCGGCGGCGGAGGCGCTGGTTGGTGTGCTGGAGGCGGCGGTGCGCGCCAGGGAGGCGCAGAACCGAGCCATGCTCGCGTGAGTCGCTGCTGGGGTCCCCGTAGAGCCAAGAGGGGCTCCAGCCGCCTCAGCATGGCTTGTATGGTTCAACCGAAGCCAACCCATATGCCGACCCGTGACGCCCTCCCCACATAACGCAACCCACCCTCACACCCTGCACCCCTCCGCTCCCCCCACCCTCTCACAGTGCCACGCGAGAGAGTCTCCCTCCATCCGCCACCACCGCAGCCACCACCACCTCCTCCACCAGCCGACCTGCCTCCGCCCGCGCCCTAGACCGCGCCCTCTACGCCTCCCGCTCCCTCCTCTCCGGCGGAGGCGCCGGCCCCGGCGGCTCCGTAGCCGACGAGCGCCTCGCATGGGTACGGCAACTTGTACGGCAAACGGAGGGCGGTCAGTCGTACGCGGTGGCGGCGGAAGAGCGCGAACGCGAACGAATCGCAGCTGCTACCGAAGCCGCTGCCGCCGCCGCTGGCGGCAGCAGCAGCAGTACGGCGGCCGAAGCAGCCTCGGGACTTGCCGTACGGCGCGGCCCGCTGCCCTCCCTGCAGCGTCCCAGTCGTCGTGAGGACGTGTTACTGCTTCAGTCCTGGCTGGCGGATACGCTGCAGCGGGTGCTGGGGGCGGCGGCGGCAAAGCAGGCAGCAGCTGGGGGGAGTGGAGCCACGGGTGATGGCGCTCTGGGCATGGCAGCCTTCGGCGGCTTTGGTGGCGGTGGAGGTGCAGGCGGCGGCAGCAGGATCAGCGGGAATGGGATGTTGGGAACGGGAGCGGGGGCCGGGGCGGGGAGCAGCAGTGGCTTGGGACGGAGCATCAGCGGAGGCTTGGGGCTGGGAGGTCTGGCAGCAGGTGGTGACGCCCCCCAGCAGCTGCAGCAGGCGGGTGCAGCAGCAACTAGCGGGGCGGGTGTTGTGGGCGAGGCGGGCGGTCAGTCGCAGCATGCGGCCGACCTGGCGGATGCTGCGCTGTACGTGCTGGGGGTGGCGATGGAGGAGCTGCGGAGGCAGGTAGCGGCGGAGTGCAAGGTGGGGTGGGGTGTGCATGATAGGGGGGTGGAGTGGGGAAGGGCGGGGGCCGTAGAGGGAGGAGGAGGAAGAGGAGAATGGTTGGGGGTCGGGCGCATGTGTGCCTGCAGTTGCTCTCGCACGTACACAATCCGGTCACAGTGCGTTCATTGATTGGTGGCCAGTGTGCTAACACACACGCCCTGAACCCAACTTCCCCTCCCCTCCTTACCGCACCTCCTCCCTCCCTCTTTCCCCCCCTCCCTCACTCCCTCATTGTCATTCAACACATTGGGTATTCCTCTTCCTCCCCCCCCCCAGGAGCGCGGCGAGCTGCTGTCGCTGCTGTCCGAGCAGCAGGCGGACCTCCTGGCGCTGCGGGGGGCGCTGGCGGGGGAGGGGCGGGCGGCGGAGGTGGCGGGGCAGTGGGCGGCGCTGCTGGCGGAGAGGGAGCGGGCGCTGGGGACGGGCACGGGGACGGGGGCCACCGCACCCGCCTCATCCGGCGCAGCAGCCCCGGCTGCCTCCTCACTACAAGAGGAACCGCAGTCGCAGCAGCAGCAGCAGCAAGAGGGTTCAGCAGCAGCGGCAGCAGCAGCGGGGGGTGTGCATGCGGGCAGCAGCCAGCTGGCGAGTCAGCTGGTGCTGGCGCAGCAGGCGGCTGCTGCGGCGGAGCGGCGGTTCGGGCTGGCGGATGCGGCGCTGGCGGGGGAGGTGGCGAGGAGGGCGGCGGCGGAGCAGCAGCTGGAGGTGTCCAGGGAGCTGCTGAGGAGGTAGGGAGGGAAGGGGGGGGGAGGGGGAGGGAGGGGGGTGTGTCAAAGACCATACCATACCTTAGGAAGCCAGAGGAGGAAGTGGGGGAAAGGGAGCGGGAGGAGGGACGTGCTGTCCCCTGGGAGGATGTGTGTCATGGGGCACATGTCCGTCGCTCCGGGGCTAAGCCATCACCCGGTTCCGCCTTTTCCTCCTCCACAGCGGCTCAGAGTTGGGTTACACCCCACCCACCCCCACCCACCCACCTCCCTTCCACCCCCCTCAGGCAGGAGAACGAGTGGCTGCACCATCGCTCTGCCAACCAGCGGCTGGAGGCGGAGGTGACCAGCCTGCGGGACCAGCTGGAGGCGGCGAGGAGGGCGGCGGCGGTGGCGGAGGCGGCGGTGGAGGCGGCACGGGAGCAGAACCGCAATGGGCGGGATGATGTGAGGCATGCGGGAGGGAGGAAGGGAAGGGGGGAGGGAGGGAAGGAGGGTGCCTAGCATGAGTGCTGCGGTGCTGCTGCCCTTTCGTCGCCCTGCATCTCCCATGCATCCATGCTAAACGACGGGCCGCCCCTAAGCACCCATGCATGCTCCCCCCCACACCCCCACACCCCCTCTCCGCATGCAGGTCTCCCAGCTGGAGGCGGCGCTGTTCCGCATGCGTCAGCAGTACGAGGGCAACGAGATCCTGGTGGTGGCGCAGCGGCAGCAGGTCCGCGAGCTGGAGGCGGCGCTGGCGGCGCTGAGGGAGCAGCACCGGGAGCAGGCGCTGGCGCTGGGGAAGGTGAGGGAGGGGGAGGGAAAGGAGGGATACACATTCCGCATTAGGCTGGACGGGTGGGGGCGGGCAAAGAGGAAACAGAGGGGAACTGTGTATGACGATGGGGGTTCATCATGGGTTGCTACATTGGTCTCGGCGCGTCCCACCCCACCAGAATCAGTCAAGCCGGCTGCGCATGACCACCTCATTCTCCCTCCCTTTCCTCTTCCTCCCCCCACCCCCACCCCCCCACCCCGCCAGGTCGGCCAAGTCACGGAGCAGTACGAGGAGGCGGCCGCCAACCTGCGCGCCGACCTCGCAGCCGAGCAAACCCGCTCCAACGAACTAGAAACGCAACTCATCGCCCGCACCAGCCGTCTCAGCGAGGTGGAAACCAGCCTAGCAGCAAGCGACAAGGCACTGGCCGCCGTACGGGAAGTCCTGGCGAGTACGGAAGCCCTAGCCAACAAACAGGCTTCCGAAGCAGATGCCGCGGCACGTCGCATGAAGCACGAACTAGCGGACGCGGTGGCGGCTCGGCGGCAGGAGGAGACGCGGCGAGAGGAGCTGGAGAAGGAGAGTGTGGCGTTGGTGGAGCAGGTTAAGATGCTGGGCCGGACGTTGGCGTTACAGGGGCTGGAGGGGGTGCCGGGGGTGCATGACAAGTCGTGGGATTCGGGGGGGCCGCTGGGGGCGGCACAGCGGGTGTTGGCGCTGACGTCGCAGCAGCTGGGCAATCTGCATGCGCACGGGGAGGAGCTGGCGAGGCAGGGACGCAACCTGCAGAACAAGCTGAAGGAGGAGAAGGAGACCAACACGAAGCTGCAGGTGGGGCGTGGAGGGGGGGGGTAATGAGGGTGGGGGGCTGGGTGGAGTGGGGTGGGGTATTGGGGTGAGGTCGGGCAGCAGCAGGAGGAGGAGGGAGGGAAGGTGGGAGCGCTGTCAGCGCAGTCCTGAGGAGTCCCGCGCGTAGGGGAGCCAGTTTTGTTAACTCTCGCGCCACCTCGTCTCACAGCTGGTTTATCTTCCAAACCCCCTCATCCCTCCTCTCGTCACTTCCCCTCCCTCCCCCTCCTCCCCCTAGCGCGACCTGTACGAGGCTCGCACCATCGAAGCCCGCATGCTTCGTGAGAAGGAGATCAGCGACATGCGGGTTGCCACCCTGGAGCACGACCTGCGAGCGGCGCAGAGCGATGTGCTCAAGAGCCGGGCCAGCGCGGTGGACAGCGAGGCGAGGATCAAGGTGCAGCATGAGACCATTGTGGCGCTGCAGGCGCAGGTGAGGGTTGGGTGGGTGGGTGGGAGGGGGAGGGGGAGTGGGCAGTGGGGGGAGTGGAGTGGGTCAGGGAGGAAGGCCCCCTGACAAAGGCCGCCTCCTATCCCCATAGCTTTACCCTAACCTGTGGCTTCCTAAGGTTTGGTACTTGGTCTTTGACCCCCCGCCTCCTTCCCCCTGCCCCCCTCCCCCCCCCCCCTCCCCATGCAGGCTCGCGAGCTGACCCCGCTCAAGAAGCGCGTGGAGGCGCTGACCACCGACCTGGAGCAGACGCGGCGCATGGAGGAGGAGGCGCGGGCGACACTGGAGGCCACCCGGGTCAACCTGGAGCAGGTGGGTGTGTTGGGTGTTAAGAAGACTGGCCGCGAAAACTGGCTGTGTGTGTGTTGGGGAGGGGAAATGAGGGCGGCAAGTTGTGGCGTCCAGCTACGGCGTGTTGCCGGTACCGTACCCTCACGGCAGTGACCCGTCCTACCCCTCCCCTGCCCCCCCTGCCCTCCCTTTTCTCCTCCCCTCCCTCCCCTCCCTTCCCCCCTACACAGTCCGTGGAGCAGAGTCGCTTCTACCAGCGCGAGATCCAGAAGCTGCTGGGCGAGCTGGAGGCCGCGCAGGCGGAGATGCGCGGGCTGCGCGTGCAGGCGGCCAAGCTGGCGGAGCAGGAGGCGGCAAACAAGGAGCTGGAGGAGAGGGTGGGATGGGGATGCGGGGGCGCTGCGGGGGGGGGAGGGAGCGTGGTCTTGGGTTTGTTCTGTGTGCTTGTGGCAGTTTTTTCGTACAGTTGCTTCCGTACCGCTAAAACGCCCGGGCCCCCTAAGCCGGCCGCTAAGCCTCTCCTGTACTGTGGCACCTTGAGGCCGCCTCTGTTCCCCACTGCTTTGCCCCCTTAAAATGGTTTCCTATGATCAGGTATGGTTTTGACCCCCCTACCCCTCCCCCCTCCATCGCTTCACTTCTCATTTATCCCCCTACCCCCATCCCATGCAGATCGAGGCGCTGCAGCACCAGCTGGACCTCACTGCGGAGAGCCACACCGAGACCCTCAAGCAGCTGGAGCTGGCGAAGTTCTTCCTGCAGGTGGGGGGAGAGGGAGAGGGAGAGGGGGGCAGAGGGAAACCAACCTAAATTGAGACAGGGGAGGGAGGGAGAGCGCGCTCCGTCCCCACTTTGCTCCCTTTTCCGCTCTCCACCTCCACCTCCTTCTCTACCTCAGTCAACCTCCAACTCCCACCTTCCCACCTCCCCCCCCCGCCCGCAGGGACTGGACCACGGAGCCAGCCCCAACTCCCCCGCCCGCTCCTCCCTCTCCACCCCCTCCCGCGAACGCATCGCGCAGCTCATGTCCCCCGGCCACACCCAGCGCTCACCCCATCGCGGCACCCGCACCCTCTCCCAGTCCGGACGCTTCGGCTCCCCCCAAGCCCGGAGCTTCCGAACCACCGGAATCGCCTCCGGACACCTAGACGACGCCTCCTCACTCGTCAGCGGTAGCATGCCGACGCTAGACGGGGTAGGGGAGGACGCCGCAGCGCGTCCTTTCTCAGCAATTGGACGAGCGGGTGTGGCGCCGCCGGCTCGGGGGCGACCCAATTGGGGCGGCGGACCCGGGGGTCGGTCATTCGCGACTCGGCCGAGTAGCGCTGCGGCGCTAGGCAGCAGCAGCAGGGAGGGGCTGTCGCCGGTTGGGTCGCCGTCGCCGGTTGCGAGTCGTCCGGTGTCGGGTGTGATTGGGAGCCCGGGGGTGGAGGATGAGGACTCGATGTACCGCACGGAGGTGCCGAATGAGGTGAGGGGGGAGGACGAGATGGGAGGCGGGTAAGGAGGAAAGGCCAACCGTGCGACAGGAGAGGCGAGGGGGAGGAGAGGAGAGGAAGGGTGAAATACCTGTAGAGCAAAATACCCCTTACCCCGGTTCCAGTGGTCCATTTCTTTCTCACCAATCACCAACCTCCCCCCCCCCAGGTCATGGAGATAATCGAGTCGCGCGGTCTGGCCAACCGGCTCACCAAGAGCAACGTCAAGTGGGCCAACGTCAAGATCGGCATCATGGCCTGGTTCTCCAACAAGCTGAGGGCCAAGCTGCAGACCGTCACGGAGCAGCTGGCCGCGAAGGACCTGGAGATAGCGCAGCTGCACTTCAAGTGAGGGGGGGGGAGGGGTAAAAATAAGGAAACTGACGAACTGAAAGACGAGGCTTCACCATGGGTTGCTGATTGGACCCGGGGTAAAAAATAACAATGAAAGGAGGTGCAGGAGGGCGGGGTGGGATGGGGCCATGTGTGATGGGAGGCATTCGGCGGTCCCTCACCCGTTCTGCTCAGGTGTTCGCATGCGTCTACGACCCTGCCTGCGGGTGTGATATGACCCATATGAGGCTGCGTACTGCTGTGGCGTGCGCCTCTGTCCTGTCGCGCTACTCCACGGAGGGGTCAGCTGAGCTCAGCTGTTGGGCGGCGCCCCGCCCCTCTCAGCTGATGTCACTCCCCCGCCTCCCTCCCTTACCCTCCCTTACCCTGCCCCCCCACCTTCCCCCTCCCCTCCCCCCCCCAGCTACCTTACCGAGATGCGGCTGCGCGAGGAGTTCCTGTGCCAGGACGTGCTGCCCACCCTCATGCCGCCCGTGCAGGCGGCGCTGGAGGAGGCGGTGCGGGAGGTGAGGGGGGGGGTGGGAGGAGGCGGGAGGGAGGGGGAGCGGGGGGGAGAAATTGGTAGAGAGTAGAAGAGTAGAAGCACTGGAGCAGCGCTGTTGTGCCTGTATTGTCAGGGGGCTTACCGCTGCCGCCAACGAACCAACCCAAACCGCTGCCGTCGTTCATGACGCGCGTGTGTACATGATCCATGGCAGCAGTATTGCGTTGTTATAGTTGTAGTACAAACCTGTCGTACAACCCGTACCTTACCTGTGCCGTACAACCACCCTGACCCCTAACCCTAACCCTAACCCTACCTGCCTGCAACCAGGTGAAGGAGGTTCGCTCCCAGCTGCCCGGCACTCGGAGGGACATGGACGCGCTGGCGGGCAGCTGTGCGGTGATGGCGTTCAGTCTCAAGGGGTTCAGGGAGAGGTGGGAGGAGGAGTTGGGAGGGGGGGGGAAGGGAGGGTGGTACGGGATCGTGTGTTTGATGGGACGACGGGGTGACAGCACACGGCCTCGCGTGGGCTGCATGGGATCTGCCCCCACCTTCCGCCCATGCTGCCCCCTCCTCCCCCACCCCCGCTGCTTCACATTACGTTCCGACTCGCGGCCAGGTTTCTTAACACATGCTGCCCTCCCCCTCCCCCTCCTCCCCCCCCTCCCCATCGCTCCAGGGAGGCCCATGCGGTGTGTCGCGGCATGCAGACGGAGAGCGAGGCGCCTGAGGAGTGGAGTCGCTACTTGGTGTCACTGCCGCCGCTGCCGCCGCGGTTGGTGCTGTCGCTGGGCAGTCTGGCGGACGCGATCGTGCGGATCTATCTGCGGGCAGCGGGGACGGTGGAGGTGAGGGTGGTGGGAGGAGGGGGAGGGGGAGGTCAGAGTGGAGGGGCTGCGGCCTGAATCGTAAGAAACGGTGAGGCAGTGGCGCTGTAGGCGTGAAAGAGGAGGCCGGCTGCTGCTGCTGCGTCCCCTTCCGCCCCCCCCCCAAGCTCACCCTTCAACATCCCCCTATGCCCCGCCAGCTTGTCGTTTGGTTTGCCGTACTCTCACTCGACACATTGGGTATTTCTCTTCCCTCCCTCCCCTCCTCCTCCACGGTCAGGGACAGTGTTTCCGCGGCTCAATATATCTAATCCCTCCCTTCCCCCCCTCCCCCCCAGTCCCTGCCCACCTGGGGTCCCCCCCGCCACGACACCATCCACGACGCCATCATGGACCACTACACCTCCCAACGCGCCCCGGGCAGCTACAACGCCGACCTGCTGTCCGACCCGCACAGCCCCGTGGCGCGACTGCTGGGCTCGGCGCTGCAGCAGGCGCGGAACACCAAGGTGGGGTGGGGTGGGGGCGGGTGGGGGAGGGAGAAAGAAAGAAAGGCAGTTGGGGCAGTTGGGGCAGTTGGAGCTACGGTACCTGGGTAGGGTCTTGGCCTGATGCATGCATCCATATGGTTACGATAGGTGACACAGCTCTCGCCACTCTCATCACACAGACGGCAGCAGCACCCCCTCCCTACTCCCTACCTCCCTACCTCACCCCCTTCTCCCGCCCCCCCCCCCGCAGGTCGCCATCTTCCTCTACTTCCTGAACATGTCGCCCGAGGGGGTGCACTGGCCCTCCCCCGCCTGGCACTTCTTCCTGCAGGTGCTCCACTGCCTGCGGGTGCTGCTGAGCGGCACCTGGAGGGTGGTGGCGAGGAGGTGGGCGGCGCCGGAGGGGGTGCAGGTGAGGGGGTGGGGGGGGAGGTGGGGGGAGGGGGTAGAACATTACCGGTGCCTCTGCTTCTACCTGCCTACGTCCTGCTTGACCCTCCGCACCCAACTCACCCCCTGTGGAATATGTGTCCCTATCAATCCCCCCTTCTCCCCCCACTCCCCCCCAGATCCCCATGCCTGCCGTACTGGACCTAGTGGGCAACATCTTCAACGTGCAGGTCCCAGCGGAGCTAGACGGGGCGGTGTCTGTGCGGCTGGCCGCCATAGTGACCCCTGGGTCGGCGGGGCCCGCGGTGGACCTGGATGCACTGCTGCTGATGCTGGTGCGCGAGTACAACGCAGGTGGGAGGGAGGGAGGGTGGGTGGTTGGGTGGGTGACACGAGGGTTATTGCTGCTGCGTTGCCGCTATTCTGCGGCACTCTTTTGTTGCTCCGGAGCCGGTTGGGTTGCGTTAGCAGAGCCCGGATGCTGCCGGTACGCGGGGTGGCGATGCGATGCGATGCACGAAGGGGACATGTATAGTAAAGCTGGCCTAAGCGCAAGTATCGCCCACATAACTACTCATTCCTCCTTCCGCGCTCTCCTCCTCTCAGTCAACTTCACCGCCCTCTCCCTCCTTCCCTGTCTCCCCCCCCACCCCTCCAGGCAACTGCCCCCGCGCCGCCCTGCTCTACCCGCGCCGCCTCACCGACGGACAGCTCTTCAACATCTTCAACTCCGCGGGCCACAACGAGTACGTGGACACCCTCAAAACACATGAGGCGGAGAAGTACATAGGGCCCACCGCGCCCGCCAGCCCCACCGCCGGCCTCAAACGCATGCCGCTGCCCCCGCAGCTGCAGCAGCTGCAGTTTAACGGAATCGGCAGCCCAGTGGGTGGAGGAGGAGGAGGAGGAGGTGGGTTGCGGGTCGCACTGCAGCAGCAGCAGCAGCCCGGGAGTCGGCCGTTGAGTCCCGGGACGCTAGTGGATGTACTTCACCCGTACGGGGACATGGGGGGTGAGGGCGGCGGCGTGCCCTCCATATTCAGCAACCTACCTGACTTGAGCCCGCCTAGACAGCAGCAGCAGCAGCAGCAGTCGTCGGCCCAACAACAAGGGCTGCAAGGGCAAGGGCAGCAGCAGCAGCCCCCACAGCAGCTGCAGCAGCAGTCCCCTTCACCGCTCCTCCAGCAGCTGCAACCTCCAGGGGGTGGTGGCGGTGGTGGCGGTGGTGGTGGCGCGGCGGGTAGCGGTCCCGACGGCTCCCTTACAATCAGTTTCGAGATCAGTCACGAGACGCACATGTCGGCTGTGACGGGGACGCCGCCGCCGGCGGTAGCTGCTGGAGGCGGGGGGAGGCTGACAGCGCTGCCGCCGCCGCCAGGGCGACCCAGGAAGTAGCGCGGCTGGTGGTTTTTGTGATTTTGCTGTGTGCGTGTGTGGTCAAAGCAAGTGTGTTTTTAAAGCAACTGTGTGGTAACACGTCTGTGCTAGCAACTGTGTGTGTGTGTGTGTGTTTTTCTCGAGGCTGCGGACGCATGCATGTGAGCTTGTGCGTGGGCAGCAATGTGGGGCGGGGAGCCCCTCTCGAGTCGTGACGCACCGTTCGTAACGCGGTATGCGTGTGACACTTGTGCGTGTGGCGTGACGAGGAGAGCTGTACGGCATGGGACCTGCCGCAGCAGAGATGACGTTATATCCGCGTTCCGACGTTGTTTGATGCGCGCGGTGTGACACCCGCTGGGGGGGGGTGTGGCGCCTTGCTGCTGTGTGTCTGCATGTGGATCAGGCGCACATGGAGGTCTAGCTGCTGGGGGCGATGTGTTAGGGTGGTGTGGTGGTGGGTGGTGTGATGGGGGGGGGTGGATGGAGGGGGTGGCGGTTGTGATGTGTGCAGATGACACCTTGCAAGACCCATGGACGGTGAATGTGTGTTCTAGGGCGTGTATGGAAGTTGGGATCTTCGCGTTGCAGGCTGATAGGTGTGTAGGTGCGCAGCACGTGTGCGCAACGGGTTAGCATTAGAGCTTGAATGAAGGGCGATGTGCGGCGAACTCAGTGGGCGACTCAGGCTAGGGGTTCCTGGACGTTAGGGGGGCCAGCAAGGTGTGGTTAGGGAGGTACCGGCAGCGCACATGGGGCCGCAAACCGGACGAACGGACTATTCGTTTGCACTCACACGGATGTACATGGACGACGGGGTGGCTAGCGGGGTGGCTCACATCTGGTCACATGCAGCCAAAGGCTGTGAAGCACCCCGGCTCTCTGTCTTGATGCTTTCCAAACGGCTATTGCCATGCTTGGGGCTGCAAATCCAACCTATGCTGGGGGCCGCCCCTTTCGGGGATAAACTTTATCATTACAGCTCTCTTTTGCATACATTTCAAGACCTGCCGGACACATAGGGCAGCATCTTGCATGCAACCCGAGCTGAGGCCGCCCTCACAGTTAGCTAATAGCCTATGCCGCGCCATAAATCCCCCTTCCGAAGTTTTCGCCCCTTCAAACCTTACCAACGAAACCCCAACGAAACCAACTACAACGTCTTGAAAGCAGTCCCCATGCATGCAGATCACAAATCTACAGCGCCAAGACAAGCCTCGAAAGGGCCTCTCCCGAATGTCTCCCATGGGTGCTTAAGCAGTGTGCATGTGCAAATAGTTCTGTAGGGTATCGCTAGACGCATGAACATTCGCGGTAGCGGCCGGGGGTCTCAAGTCATCAGAAACGCCCGGATGGCGTTAGGTGGTTATCGGTGTCGCTCATGAGCCGCTACGAACGAAAATGAGGGTGGTGTGGGATTGAGAATTTCAAAGCACGGCGCCAGCTGGCTGATATACACATAACACATGCCATAGCCCTATCACAACCATGCGCTACGAAAAGACATGAAAGCCGGCATTGCCGCGGGCGTCCATTTAGACGTACGGTAACGGTCCAGAACCACAACTACGAAAACCCCATTTCACAGGGCTCTCTTAGGTCACGATAGCCGCCAGCAAGGAATCAGCGAATGCGCTTGCACAAGCAAGCAAAGAGCATGTCAACCGCAGCATGCTAGCTACCATGCTACCCAGCAATGGCCAGACAAAAGGTCCAACAACGCCCAGACAGATACCGTATACGCAAGGTGGGTTGGGTTACCCGCAACTAACCGTCCCAACGTGTGCCGGCCAAATCATTCCAACAATCTGATTGAAGACCGCTGCACAAGACACATGCGCGGTAATTGTAGAAGACCACAAGACCCACAAATGTACGACACTGTAGTGTAAGACGTACGTCAATCATGGATTCAGCGATGCCACATCTCTCTAGTTCCGGCCTCTATGACTTGTTGCCGTACTTGCGATAGCGCCATCGTACGGACGTCGCTACACCGCCAGACGGAGAACGAGGCACAAGCGGTCCGGGAAACAGGCAGCCGCTCCTCGAACCCCAACCAACATAACTGTCAACTGCTGCACCCAGCATGCCTAGCTCGCCCGCAAGACACCCTCCTCTCCTTCCTTCCCTTGGAAGGACCCAACCACCAAATACATTCACAAGGCACCCGCGATCATGAATGCAAGAATGCGCCGCCTAACACAGCCTTGAGCGCAGGTTGCAATACCAGTATCGGCAATCATGTACATTGCTGACATGCATGAATGCACGGTCGTTCAAGATCCTCCAACACCCGTGTAAGGAAGCGACAGCCTCCCATCCGTTTCACATGTTAATAGCTGTTCACAATGGGGCAGAATGGGGGAACACTATTTACGTCCCCCGTGGTTCCAATAGTAACGACAACACACACAGCCTCAAATACACGCGCGCCTTCCCAAGCATTGTCCTCATCAAACAACGCTTCCTCCTCCTCCTCGCAACACGGCAAATGCCGCATGCCACACCGCCCCACACAGCCCCGCAGCAAGCCTTCCAAGCCCTAACCCACCACTACTGCTCCAGGACTGCACCCGTGCGCGGCCCCGCTGCTCTGTTAGCACTCGACCTGCCGCCGCCCCCAGCATCCCCCCCGCCACCAGCACTGCTGCCGCCACTCCGCCGCTCCCCACCACTGCTGCTGCCCTCACTGCCGCGACTCCCCGCACGACCACCACTAACACCACTAACACCGCCACCAGAAGCACTGGCTGCTTCCTGGGTTTCGCTGCCGGTTAGGATGGGCGAGCCGGGCAGGGCTCCTGGCGGCCCTAGCAGGTCGGAAGGGGATGTGGCGCTGGCAGAGGAGCTAGAGGAAGTGGAAGAGCCGCGACCGCCGCCGCTGTTGCGGCCGCCCTTGACGTCACCGTTGCTGCCGCCACCGCCACCACCATTTCCGACAAGTTGCGCATCTAGGGTATCAGTGACGGCTGCCAGGCCGCCCCCTCCGCTGGCCTTCTTAGGGCTGAACGACGGGAGGAGAACAGCCGGAGCCGCCGCCGCCACCGCCGACGGCGACGGCGGCGCCGTCACTGACTCGACGACTGGCAGGCTGCTCATGACCACGACCGGGGTAGCCGCAGCCCCCGCTCCGGATGACGACGTCACGCCTACCACGCCCGACCCCGGGGCTGCTGCTGCTGCCGCCGTCTCAACAGTCTTAGACGACCGGAGCGGCCGTGGCGGCGGCGGCACAAGCGCCGTCCCCCCTCCTCCTCCTGCCGCTGACCTCCCTGGCCTACCCACCACCACCAACTCACAACCCTTGGCCGCCTGCGACTTGCTCGCCCACTCCCCATCCTTCCCATCTTCACCCCCATCCTTCCCACCATCTCCATCTCCTTCTCCACCTCCTCCACCTCCACTACCCTTCCCCCGCCCCTTAGCCGCCACCCAGCCCACGAGCCCGGCCAGGGGGCCTCCCAGCTTCTCCCGCAGCCACGCGCGCACCTCCGCCTGCGTCACCTTGCCGTCGCCGTCCGTGTCCAGCACTCGAACCGTGTAGCTCCACGCCTCTATCGCCACGCAGTAGCAGAACCAGCCCAGCATGCCCACGTTGATGAGCACGATGATGACGCTCAGGCCCTGAGGGCGCGTGAGGGGGGGGAGGGGAAGGGCACCGCATGGGGATGGTGACTCCGCTGAGGGGTTAGAGAGAAACCAAACGGTGAGAAACCAAACCAGAAGTGAGGGCAAGACAACAGGGTGGTGGGGATGAGGTTGAGGTGACTGGTTGTGAGGTGAGGTGCAAAGAGCAAGAGAGGCTTCAGCAGCGGCCCCCCCTCCCCTTTCACCCTCCTCCTCCCTCTCCACCCCCTGCCCTGCCCGCCCCCGTCCCCGCCATCCGCCCATTCCCACCTCCTTTGCCCTGTCCGGCAAGTCGACCAGGAAGAAGCAGCTGAGATAGAGGATGAGCGCGGTTGCGCCCAGGGACAACGACTCCAGGCGGTTGAACCGCGGGGTTTCGAAGGGACGACACACGGCGTGCAGCGCGCCGGCGAACACCACCACTCCCAGCACACTGAGCACCTGCGGGGCGGGGCGGGGGAGGCAAGGGGAGCTAAGAAGAGGAGGGAGAGGAGGGCGGGTTAGGTAAGGGGGAAAAAGGCGAGGCGGACACCTTCCTGCAACCATGCCCAGGCACACCCCATACCAAACCCTACCACACACACACAACCCAACATCCCAGTACGTTCCTACTCGCGGCCAGTTTTCTTAGCACACAACCCACCCCCCTCCCCCTCCCCCCCCCAGTACCTGCACGATGTCGTCCTCCGAGTTGGTCACGATGAGCAGCCCCACCACCAACAACTTGCGCAGCATGATCACACTCTCCCAAAAGTAGTACTGACGGGAGTAGTCTGGGGACGGGGACGGGGCAGTGGCAGGCGGGTGAATGGAGGTGGGTAAGCGAAGAGGTGGGAGCGACCCATGGGTCAGCGGAAGAACGCGGAAGAACAAGCACACACCTGCGTACCTCCACAACTAAAGGCAGGCAACGAAGAGCGCAGGACCACAGTGCCCCAAACCACAGTGGCAGCTCCTCTAGCTCTCTGCCTACCACCATGCATCCAACTCCCCACCCGGTCCGCAGCTCCGCACACACGAACACACCCACCTGCTTGCCCAACTGCTTGCTCTTGTTCTACTCAACTACACACGAACACACACCTACGGACTTTACTTCACTTGTGGCGGCTCTGTGGGAACTTCATCTTCCGGCGAAATCACAGTACGTTCCGACTCGCGGCCCGTTTTCCCAACACACACCCACACGCCTCGCGGCCAGTTATTTTACCCCATGCCTACCTTCGTACAGGAAGCCGTATCGGTCGCTGAAGTCCCGGTCGTTCAGCCGTCCCCTACGTGCGCTGTGCCGCAGCCAGGCCGCCGAGGCCGCCGGCACCCCCAGGCAAAACAGCACCAGCCCCGGGAAGCCCACCGCCGCCGCCAGCACCAGGTGCTGCGAGCGGTAGCAGTGCAGGCCGTAGTCCATCTCCCAGAAGGACCCTGTGCATGGGAGGGGAGGGGAGGCGAGGGGAGGGGGTGGAGGGTGGGGGTGGGGGGGGGGGAGGGGAGGTGGGGGTGGAGGGTGGGTAACGAGAGGGTGACGGTAGGGGACGTGGAGTGGGGAGAGGGCTTGGCATGGGAGTATGCATGACAGGTCGGCGGTTGGCAGCATGTGTTGGGTTGGATGCGGGTGTCTGGGAGACCTATCGGGCAACGGCGAGAGGCCCTCCCAGTCCTAGAAGTCACCCCCCCCAGGCTGCTTGCTTCCAAGTTCCAACACCTGGAACCCCTTTCCCCCCTTTCCCAACCGCCACCCCAAGTATGGTACTGAACCCCCCCCCATCCCCCCCCAAGCTGCCCCTGCTGCCCGCCCCCCCGCCCCACCTTTGGCCTGCGCGTACTGTCCGTACGCCTCCTGGTCCGTGTCCAGCTGCTCGCACTGCAGGATGGACAGGATGGAGTCCGTGACCTGCCGGCAGCAGGGAGGAGGCGGGTGGGGTGGGGTGGTGGTGGGTGGGTGGGTTAGTGGCTGGGTGGGTGGGTGGGTGGCTGGTGGGTGTAAAGAGGAAACAACTGACTCCCGGGTAGGGCGGGTGGGATGGGGTGGCAGTTGGGTTGGGGGTGGAAAGTAAGAAAGATGGGTAAGGTGAGACAGAAGCACAAGTGAAGAACTGGCGATAGAGTGGGTGGCGTGGGTGGGCGCCCGATTCCTATCCCTCAACCCCAAACCGCCCACAACCAACCCAACACAGAAGGGCACCCACCAAGGGCACTCATCAGGCACCTCACCCCTACTACCACGTAACACCCATCTTGCTCGCCCTTCCTCCTTCCTTCACACCCAACCCAACCCCACCAAACCCAACTCACCGAGGGGTAGAAGTAGAATATAACCGCGATGCATGTGACCACCATACGGAGACCCAGATAGCCCCGGAGGGACAGCGGAGCTCCTCCTCCTGCTCCGCCTCCCGCCTCCCCTGCTCCTCCTGCTTCCAACTCACCACCACCACTTCCCTTGAAGCTCACCCGGCCTGCCACCCGCACAACCCCCTCCTGCCTCCGCCCCGGAGACCCCGCACCGTCACTGCCACCACCACTGCCACCACCCTGCTGCTGCCCCTCCTCCTCCTCCGTGCCGCCGCCACCACCACCGCCGCCACCGCGGATGATGTAGGCCTTGCGTCCCTCCGGAGTGGACAAGTCCAAGGTGCCGGAAGCAGCAGCAACCCCCGCGGAGGCAGCAGCACTCGCGGCACCACTAGTTGGAGGTGGAGGTGGCGGAGGTGGGGGGGAACCGGGATCGGGGAGCTTCAAGCCGCTATCTCCCGGTGGCAAGGCGGGTCCGGGTTCCGGCACCGCTCGCCTCTGGCTGCGTGCTCGGAGCAGGTAGGTGGTGAGCCAGACGGGGAGTGCAAGCAGAGCGAAGATGCCGGGCAGGGCGACGGTTATGATGGTGCGTTGGATGGCCTTGGAGAGGCCGTTGGAGGGGAGGGAGCAGTCCAGGGAGACGAAGGTGGAGACGGCACTGGAGGCCTGGGGGAGAGGGGAGTGGGAAGTGGGGGAGTGGGAGGGACAGGGAGTGGGAAAGGGGAGTGGGGTTAGAGAAGATGGAATTGAAGGGGGTGGGGGAGACGGAGTTGGACAGAGCTCTGGAACGGAAGTTGGGAGAGGGAGGAGGTTGGGTGTGCTGCTAGCCCTTGCGACCAGCAAGAGTGGCCTCCACACAACTCACTTCGCGGGTACCCGCCGGAACGCAGCCGGCACGTACCGGAACATAACGACATGTAAGATCATAAACAGCCGTGCGTCAACGTTACTGAACCGTACTGCGTCCACCGTTTCACCAGACCTGTTACCACCGCGATACCGGTAATACCAACACCGGCAGTCGTGACCCACCCACCTGCAGGCCGATGTTGAAGAGCTTGTTCACAAAGGCCGGGTACTCCAGGTCCAGGGAGCGGGCTACCGATGTGACTTGCAGGTAGCTCACCATGATCTGTGCAGTGAGTGTACGGAGGTACGGAAGCACGTAAGTACCAGATTTAGATTGTACGACGATTTGCCATCATCATCGTAGGGAATCATGAGTTTGCGCATGCGAGATTGTATGTGTACGAAAATGAGAAGGATGAATGATGATGAAGGAAAGAAGCGGGTTCGGGGAACATTAAGGCTGCAGCGGCGGTGACGGTGGGCCGGTGTCCACAGTTCTTCGCAACAACGGCCATCTGCCATCTCATCTCCTGTCGCTTCACTTGCCTCCTTGCCCTCCTGCCTACCTTGATAACAATGGTATGCGGCGGCTTCTCCTCACGTTCCTCCTCGTCCTCCTTCAGCTGCGCTCGCAGTTCCTCACGCTCCCTAACGGAGGCGGTCAGCGCATCCAACACCGACCTACCGCCGCCGCCCCCGCTGCTGCTGCTGCTATTCAGCAGCTTCCCGCCATTGCTGCCGCCGCCGGCGCCCGCTTGACGTCCACTGGCGCCGCCGCCGCCGCCGCGACTGTCAACCCTCTGCCAACCGCCGCCGTCGGCGGCGGCGGCGGCGGCGTCACCGCCGGCGGCTGCATTCGCTTCAGCCTGATGCCTCCGATGCCGCATTCCAGACCACCAACCGCCGCCGCCGTCGGTGCCGCCGCCGCCGCCAGACTCCACGACCCCTTCCGCCACCGGCTCTGGACGTGAGCTCGTAACGCCGTCGTCAGCGCCGTCTGCGGCGGCGGCGGCGGACGGCGCCGTCACTGACGGCTTGGACATGCGCGCTAGACGATGTCGCATTGACGTCGCGCCGACGTCATCGCCGCCGCCGCCGGCATTGCCGTCGGAAGTGCCGTCGGACGATGTACTGCCGCCGCCGCCGCCGCCGCCGGGGCCGGTACTACGACCGAGTCGGCTTTCCCTCGCCAACACTGACCTTGGCACCCGCCTGTTGCCGCCGCCGCCACCGCCGGGAAGTACGGCAGGTACCAACGGAACGGACGAGGGCTCCCGTACGGCAATGCCGTACCCAGCGACGCCACCATTGCCATCATCATCCCGATCAGCGCCGTTGCCTCTTTCCTCGGCCTCAGCGGCGGCAGCCTCCGCCTCCAGCTGTGCCATCGCCGCTGCAGCTGCCATCTGCAGTATGCCAGCTTCATGCCTGCTGCTGCCGCCTCCAACCCCATACCCCCCACTCAACCCACCAGCTCCCCTCCCACCAACACCCACCATGCCAGTCCCGCTCAACCTGCTGTTGGCCTCCCCGATACCCCTACTACTCCCACCTCCTCCCTCTCCTCCTCCCCCTCCCGCACCACCATCCCTCTCCTTCCTGCCGCTACTGCTACTTCCAGCCAGCCTCCTCTCCCCTCCTGCCTCCTTCCCGCTCCTACCACCACCACCCGCCGCTGCCGCCGCCGCCTTTTCCGCCCGCGCCGCCGCTCGCGCCGCATCCAGTGACCTCCCAAGCGAGGAGCGAATGGTGATGATGAGGAGGGCGATGGTAAGCAGGTAGGAGAGGCAGTAGAAGGCGGTGTTGAGGCCGGTGGAGGGGCAGCTGGAGCAGGCACCGGAGGAGCGCCAGCCGTAGCCGGGGGCGCACTGGGCGCACAGGGGGCCTGAGTAGCCTGTCTTGCACTGTGGTTGCAGCAGGCGGGAGGGAAGGAAGGAAGCGGAAGGGGGGGATGTGTGCATGGGGGTATTGTTGGGTAACGGCCTAACCGAAACGGGAACACCTCTTTCACGCCTCTCTTTGCCCTCTACGGTACCACAAGCAAGATCGGCGGGTGTCCTGCCGATCTGCAACACACCTTGCTACCAGTAGCGGTCAACAACAACGCACTCAACACACACACACGCACGCACTCCTCGGCTCCTGCGGCGGTTCTGTGGGAACTTCATCTTCCGACAATCACAGTACGTTCCTACTCGCGGCCAGTTTTTTAAACACACACGCTCGCGGCCAGTTTCCTTGACACCTGCAGTGTGGGTGTCAGGTGTCGCTGTCACAGCTACAACTACCCAATTCAGACGAGCAGTTTACCCCGCACCTGCAGCGACCAGTAGTCCTCCACGTGCAGCAGCACGCTGTTGGGGGGGGTGGGCATGTTGGTGTCCGCGGCACTCAGGTTGGCCAGCTGGAAGGCACCCAGCAGGGTTGAGCGGTCGGTGTAGGTGCAGGCGGCCGTGACGGGGCACTTGTGGATCTGGGGGGAGAGGGGGTGAAGGGGGGTGGGGGGGGAGTGAGAAGGGGCGAGAAGGGGCGATAAAGGCAGCAGGGTGAAGGAGGGGGTTTTAGATGTAACAAAAATTGGATAAGTAATAGTACAAGTGAAAGTGAAGCATTATGGGTGGAGGGTAAGAGGAAAGGCCACCGGAAGCACCTGACTTTGTGACCATGGGAGAGGGGTTAAAGTGGGGGATTAGAAAGCCTGGCAATATGAAATGGAACCGACTAAGCAGGTCGGGGTCATTTTCCACCCCAACGCCACCCCCTTCACCCCAAGCCCATCCCGTGCATACCCACCTGTACCGAAAAGGGCGAGGAGTGCCAGTAGCCATCCTCCGGAACCAAATAACCGCCTCCCGCCAGTGTCCCCGTCGTATTGCTGCTGCTGCTACTTGAATTGGAGGTGGTGGTGGTGGTGGTGGTAGTACCGTCCGTGCTGTTATTATCATCGGAATACGTGTACGAATACGTCACATTATCATTACCCGTGTACGACACCGTGGTCACGGTGGTGGAGGAGGCCACGTAATCGCAGATGGCGTAGTCAGGACAGGCATCACATGTGGTGTTGAGGGGGTTAAAGGAGAAGTCGGAGGGACCTATGCAGAAAGAGCACATGTCCACATCCTCCTCCGACACCTCCCCCAGCCAGCAGGTGCGGACCTGCACCAGGATGGTGACCTGCTTGTAGTCGGCGGAGGAGGTGCTGCCTGCATGCAGGTGGCACGGTGGCACACGAAACACACGAAACAAGGGAGGGGGATTAGATAAACTGAGCCAGAGGATAAGGATAAGGGAGGGGGGAAGGGACCACGGTGATAACATACCGGTACCGTAGATTAGAGCTGTTCAACTAGCCAGGGTATGGAGGGTAAACAGGGGTAACGCGATGGGAGCGTGTACCAAGGGTGGTGGGATGAGGGGCGTGATGACGCTACCGTTACGGAGGCGTGACAGTGTTCCCGTCCCCATCCTAGGTGCTTCTCAACCCCACTCCATGTCCATGAAGACCCTCTACCCTCCCCCCGTTACGTCCCCTCGCTCGCAACGTCCTCCCACAACCTTTCCAGGCGGCTGCGATCAACCCTGTACACATCAACCTTACCCCCCATCCACTATCCCCCACCTGCCCATTACCGGTATGGTTGGTTTCCTTCTCACCCCGTCCCCCACACCTGCCGGAATGCCGTAGAAAGGCAGCGTGTAGTTGCCCGGCGGCGCAGTCAGCTTGAGGCTGTTAAACGCAGCCTCCCCACCAACCGTCGTGTTACTGTAACTGCCGCCCACGTAGTTCGCCAGCTTCGCACCGTCACTGCCGGTAAAGTCAACCGCCACCGTTGTTGAATCCACCTCGTACGACCCAGCTGTCATTGTGGATCCAAGATAATCGTACAATTCAAATGCCAACGGAATCACGGAGTTGCTGCTAAAGTTGGCGACAACGAGCTGCTGTCCGCCGCTGTTGCTGAACCCCTTGATCCGCACGCCATTCATGCCTGTAGCCAGACCGCCTCCGTAGCCCCCGTCCGTGTAACTGTTGCGGCTCCAGGTACCCGGACAGCCCGTGGTAAGGTAGGGCCAGAAGGCGAGCTCCTTACCAGACCAATAATACACCGTCACTCCATTACTGTTAACGGTGCGGTTAACAGTGCTACTAATAGTACTGCTGGTGTTGCTGCTGCTGGTGTTGCTGGCCGCGCAATACACAGTTAGGGCGGAGACGTTGAGGGTGTATACAGCACCTCCCGCGCCCCCAACTGCCGTATTCCCGACCAGGTAGTTGTCCTCGTACAGCGCCACGCTGGCTGTGTCGCATGTGCCCTCGTCCGCCAGCACGTCGCACTTGCGGGACACGTACATCTGACGTGTTGCATGGGTGGGCGGGTGGGTGGGTGGGTGGGCGGGTGGGAGGCAAGGTACCGGTAAGCAGGTGGTGATGGAGGCAAGGGAAGGGGGGTGTAGAGGGAAGGGGGGGGGGTGCAAGATATGAGGAGGCGCACGCAACTACCGCTAATCAGCAGGAGACTTCTCCTTCCCTCCCTTCCCTCCCTCGCCTCCCTCTTCCTCCCCAGCCCTCCCCCTCCCCGACCTGCCACCGCGGCCCCCCCCGGTCGCTGTTTCATCGCCACCCCGGACACGGTATCGGTAGGGACCGCTAACCCATACTTGTTTTTACGTGGCACCCTGCCGCCTCCTATCCCCATTGTCTTTTGCCCCAACCTGTGGCTTCCTATGGTTCGGTGTATGGTCTTTGACCCCCCCCCAGCCTCACCGCTCCGCCACTGGTCGCGCGGTTGCTCGTGAAGTTGTTGCCCCGCAGCTGCAGCGACGCCTGGATGGCGGCACACAGCGCGCCGCCCTGACCCGTGCCGTCGCGAAAACAGTCCTGCGGGCGGCAGCGAGGCAGGTGTGGGAGGGGTAAAGAGGAAACAACTAACTGACTGAGGGATAAGGCGTCCACATGGCAGGGGGGGCGTGGAGGGGAGGCGCGCGAGGGAGCGGGCGGGTTCGAGGCGGTAGTCACTAGGGGGGCTCTCGTGACCACCGGTACCGGTACGCTCCGTCCCGCACCCCCAGTCCGAGTTCTGCTACCTCATGTAACAGGTCAACCATACCCGACGATAACAGGGGCTTTTGCCCGAGGGAGGACCACGCACACGCCGCGCGCGCGCCGAGACGGGGCACTCCTTCTCTTTCCCCTCCACCTCCTTTCCTCCCCTTCCCCCATACATATGGTGGATGAGCCTTGCAACATGCTTAGCCTCTCCAACCCAACCCAACCCCCACCCTCCCCTCCTGCCACACCGCACCTTGGTGTTGACGGAGCTGTTGGTGGCTGCTGTGTTGCCGGTGAAGGTGTTGTAGGCGAGGGTGGCGGCGGTGGTGACGCCGTACAGCGCCACCGCACCCGCGGAACCGCTGGCGGCGTTGCGGGAGAAGGTGCAGCTGCGGAGTGGGGGGGCAAAGATCATACCAAACCATAGGAGACCACAAGTTAGGGCAAAGCAATGGGGGGAGGGAAGAAGAATCCCAAGGTGTTTAACGGGGGGGAAGGGGGGAGGGGGGAGGGGAGGTTAGCAGGAGGAAGTGGCAGGGGGTGCCGTAAGCAGGGGGAGGAGGAGGTCCCGGTAGACGGTATGAGACAAACCGAGCCGCGAGAAGTACTGACCTTAACCGTAGACGGGATGACAGAGGGAGAGGAGAGGGGTCAGGGGGTCGCGTCGGGGTTGTATGCCGGATCGGGATCGGCATGCTGAGCTCTGGGTTCGTAAACCCGCTCCTCGTACGGTACTGCGGAATGAGCCCCGTGCGGCTCCCGCTGCCCGCCCCCACCCCCCCAGCTCCCCACCCACCTGTTCACGCTGAATGCTGTGCAGGTCCAGCACTCTATCGCTGCGGCGAAGGTGGCGCTGTTGGCGGTGAAGAGGCAGGAGGCGGCCTCCAGCTCGGCACCCTGCGTGGCACTGCAGGGGGGGGGGGAGAGGGGGGAGGGGGGGGGGAGGATGGCAGGAAGAGGGGAAGAGGGGAGGTAAGGCGTGATAGAAGTGAAGCACTGGAGGAGGGGAGGTAGGGTTGGAGTCAGGGAGAGGTAGCAGTGTCGCAAGACCCAGCCATCACCATGTCCCCCCTCCCTCCCCAAAATCCCATGTTGACGCCTTATCCCTCCGTCAGTTAGTTGTTTCCTCTTTACCTCCCCAAAATCCCAACCCGCCCCTCTACCCTTTTGTGGCACCCTGCAGCCTCCTATCCCAACTGCTTTGCCCCCCTACCTCGTGGTTTCCTATCTTGAGGTTTCCTATGGTTTGGTGCATGGGTCTACCTTTTACCCCCACCACAACCCCCCACCCCCACCCCCAAGCCCCCAGTCCCCCACCGCAACCCCACCTGATGGCCCCCCCAAACTTCTCCGCCGTGTTGGAAGTGAAGTTGGAGGATTGCAGCGTGAGGCTGGCGGAGGTGGAGGCGGAGAGGGCACCGCCCTGGGGGGGAGGAGGGAGGAGGCGGGGGGGGGGGTTGCAACGGTGCATGGAGGGGAGAGGACAGAGAGGAGAGGAGAGGGTTCGGGAGGAGAGAGGAGCGAGGCCCCTCCTCTTCCCCAAATCAGGCAGGGCGGAAGGAACCATGTTTGCACCCCCATGGTAAAGCCCACATGCCGTACAGCCCTCCCGTCTCCTCATTTTACCCCCCCTCCCACCTGCTTACCCCCATTGTCTTGCCCCAAACTCTGGTTTCCTATGGTTCGACATGGTCTTTCGCTATTTCCCCTCCCTCCCACCTGCTTCGCCGAGTTGTTCCAGAAGCCGCTCCCCTGCGTCACCAGGTCCGACCCCGTGTCCGCCCACACCGCCCCGCCGTACAGCCCAGCCCGGTTGCCGTACAGCTCGCAGCTGGTGAGGGTCACCGGCAAACCCGTGCCGTACAGGGCCAGGGCGCCTCCCTGCCGGGCAGCCTGGGGGAGGGGGGGAGGGAGGGGGAATAAATAGGTAAAAAGTGAAGCAACGGAGTCCCTATCCCAGATGCTCCCGACTCATGCAGTGAGCGCATACGGGAGGGAGCGCAGAGGTGCATGGTGAGGAGACAGGAGGGGGGAAAATATATATATAAGTGAAACAACGAGTCCCAATCCCATATCCCGACTCATGCAGTGAGCGCATTGAGGGGTGGGAGTGGGAGCTATGGAGCCGGCTAGCGGAAGGACGAGGACGAGTGAGCAGCCCAACACTGGACTTTTACAGCACCTCGTCCCTCGCACCTCAGCGTTCCGGCCCCAAGCTAGCTCCCCAGCAACAAGATGCAGCGCCCCTCACACCTCCCATGCCCCTCCTAACACCCACGCCCCCGCCTCACCAACTCCCAACTATCCAGCCAATGCTGCGGAGCTGTGTATCCCTCCCCTTCCCCTCCCCCTTCTCCCCCCCTCCTCACCCAGTTGTTGATGAACCTGCAGCTGGTGAAGTTGAGGTAGACGTTGCCCAGGTACGCGAACACCGCACCCCCCGAGCGGCCCGTCATGGCGTCGGCTGCCGAGGAGGAGAAGGCGGAGGTGGAGGAGGTGGAGAGGTTGGCGGAGTTGGCCTCAAAGGTAACCTGGAGGGTGAGGGGTGGGGGGAGGGAAATAAAAGATAAATGCAGCAACGGGGGGCAGAGGTGGTGGAAGCGGTAGGGGGAGGCGGAGGCAGCGGTGGGGAATCACAAGCAAGCAAGGGCAGCGCTAGCATGGGTTTACTCCAGCATTTGCTCGCAGCAAGGGTTGGGGCACCGGTTCTGGGAGCGGCAGGCCCTAACCCCGTTAATCGGCCCTTCCCCCTTCCCTCCTCCCATGCTGCAACTCCTGGTACGGCCCCCCCCCCACATAGCCTCATTAACCCCTTCACTCCCCCCCTCCCCTCTCTTCCTTACATTCCTCAGCTGCGCCAGCGCATCCGCCCCCTTGGCCGACCTCACGCCGTACAGCACCATCGCACTGCCCCCCGAGTGCCCGCTGAACACGCAGCTGCTGACGTTCTGCAGCACCCCGCCCGCCACATACAACGCACCCTGCCCCGCATTGCCGCTGAAGCTGCACCCTGACAACGTCAGCCCGCCGTCTCCGCTGGCCCCCGCGGTGCTGTAGATGGCGGCTCCCAGCGAGGCATCGTTGGCCGTGAAGATGCAGTTGGTGAGGGTGGCTGAGATTGCGCCCAAGAGGACCAGGGAGGCACCCTCGTAGGTGTCTGAGTCTGAGTCTGAGGAGGAGGTGGTGGAGGAGGTGGCGTTGTTGGATTCGAAGCGGCAGTCGGTGAGGGTGGCGGGCGCGGCGACGGAGGTGGCGGTGCTGGCGGCGGTGACGGAGAGGACGAGGGGCGGCGAGGCGCAGTTGCGGAAGGTGGCGTTGCGCAGGGAGAAGCTGGTGAAGTTGCTGTGGGGGGGGTGAAGGGGGGGGGCGAGGAGAAGGGGTTAGGCAGGAGGGGGGAAGGGGCAATCAGAAGGAGGGTGCAGGGGTGGTAGTGGCGGTAAAGTGGTGCTGACGAGGCTGAGCTAGGGCGGGCCGGAAGGTGCCACGGAGGAGGAGGAGGAGGCAGCTCCTGGGCTACCGGGGTGTTTGGCCGCTGGGCTGCCCCCCCCCCCGGCCCCAGCTGGGCTACCGGGCTGGCCGCGTGCTGCTGTCCGTGCTGGTGCACACGTGCTTCTGCCCATTTGGGTCACTCCCGCGGAGGGCAGCTTCGAGGGAGGCTGATTGGGAGGAGTCAGGGGAGGGGCCCACGCCGCTGCCCATTTGGGTTACTGCCATGGAGGGCAGCAACCGCTCCCGAGGTGGGTCTATCCCCCGGGACTCCTCCCAATCAGCCTCCCTCGTCCCCTGATTGCAGCAGCGGTGGCAGCGCCTGTGTCGGCAGCAGCCGGCGGCCCGCCCTGCGGTGCCGGTGCCCCTTAGGGCAGCTCTGCACACCAATTGCCGTGCACTGCCACTCTGCCACATCCCCCAGCACACGCCTCAGGAGCAGCTGCTGCTGCTGCCTCCGCTCCCGCCCTTGTGCCTCTGCATGGCTGCCCCAAGAAGGGAAGGAGGGCACCGGCCCCCCTCCCCCTGCGTGGATCGCTGGCATGGCGGAGGATAAGCTTGGGAGGAGGCCCGTGTGGGGCGGCTCCCAGGCGTGCTGCCGATACTGCTGCTGCTAGCTGGAGAAGACTGCTGGGGAAGCCAGCGGCTGGGCTGGGAGCGGAGGTAGGATGGGAGGGACTTGCTAGCCACCCGGGGCAGCGGCAGCAGGCCAGTCAAACGTGCTTCACGTGACTTAGATCATGCTCCGGGCTTTGCACCGGAAGTACTCGCGTGGGCGTTTATTATAGGTGTGGGGAGCTAGTACCGGTAGGAAACGCGGGGTGCGATGGATGGGGTGCCAGGGAACGCTCGCACCCCACACAGGTACAAGCAGCAGGCGCAGCTATGGGTCCTGGTCGATTGGCAGCAGCTAAGTAGCGCACGTTAGTCCCCGGATAATAGCTACACGACTAACAGCGACACGACTTCCCCACAAAAAGGACAATGCACACCTAAATGCCTTAGATACGCGACAATTTCTGGACTGTTCTGCTTGCGTGCTTACCTAATAACGAACAAGGACTCAGCTATGCCCAGCTGCTTGCAGTCATAGACAGAGTCGTCCCTTAGCACCAGCTGCGAAGCGGAGGAGGATGGAGGTAAGGACGAAAGAGGCCCCGACGATGGAGACGGTGGAGGTCCGGACGAAGAAGGCCCAGAACTAGAAGAACCCGGCAACGGAGGCCCAGACGAAGGTGGCGCGGAAGTAAGAATTCCAGGCGCAGGAGGGCCAGACGAAGCAGACCCAGGCGCAGGAGGACCCAGAGAAGGAGGTCCGAATTGTGGAGGCCCAGACGCAGGAGGCACAGCCCCGCTTAATACGCTGCTAGCAAGTAATACAGCTACCACGACCCGCCAAGCCAGGGGACCTTGTCGATGCGTCATCTAAAGTATTTATGCATTTACATGTCAGCACTGGCGTGTAAGGGGCGCCTAAGCGTTCCCCAATCCATCCTCGAAGGTACAGCGCAGCGTCCGTCAACAGTTGACCTACTTGCAAATTGTGTTATGCTTAATCGCTTCCGTTCCATATGCTGGCGCCTGTGGGGACAGCGCTCCCGGTTGACCATACCGGCTGATTGTCACGGCATCAAGCGTACCGTACTAACAGTTAGCTAGGATACCCTCAGGCCGCAGCAACCTTTGTTCTGTTTCCAGCAAATACAGTAATAACCCACAGTAGATGCAAATTGCTTCGCTGCAAAAGAATTATTCCATTTATCCGATGGACAGGTCTAAACAGGAAAACGAGGAGCCGCGGACATGGCAAGGATTTGGCCAAGCAGTCTTAGGAAACCTCCATAGAGGTATGTGACCTGTTGCAAGCGGTTCTATGCTCCTGGTCTGTTAGCTCTGGAGTTGTACTCCAATCCAGGGTGGATGTGCTTTGACAAGTGGGCTGGCTGGTTGATTGGCCTCGACAACTCGAAATACCAATGGGCGGTCGCTGAGTATCATTTACAAAAGCAAGAGGTGCGTCCAAGCAGCTGTCTAGCGACTCTTTGGACACTATTGTCCGTCGGGTGTAGGCTTTGCTTACCCTGCTGGCTATGATATCCTTTATTCCTCCGTTCGTAGGAGGAACGCGAAGTCGCGAGGCACCTGCGTGCGGAGGTACGTGGGCCCCAGGCATCTAAGCGTAGCTGCACAGCCAACTGCCACACAGTCAGCATGCCTTCCACGCCCAATCCCTCCTTTCCTACCTTCCCCTCCGCACCCGCACCAACATGTACTAACCCGTACTTTTTCGCAATTTGCTCGCATTCCTTACCACACATCGCCAACCCACATCAGGACCATGTACGTCAAAACATGGAGGAGGGTTTGCAGCCAGGCGCTGCTGCGGAAGGGCCTCAAGAGAACTCAAGCAGCGGTCGAAGCCCCTCTGGTGTGCAGGTCCAAATGGAAATGTCGCGGCCTCCCAGCAAGGCTATCGCCCGGTAGCACAGCAAGGCTGCTGCGGGCTAGCAGCAGTAGGCCTCCTGGGGACGTCTGCCTGCTACGCGACGCGGTGGAGTGTACCGGAGTGTACGTGTGTGTAGTTTATGTAGTACACTTGGTGCGCAGGGGTGGGAGGATGTGGGCAGGGAGGTGGTATGATTCGTACGGCACGTCGTGCGGCGTCCGATGTGGGCTGTGTGGCCTTTGTACTGTTGAGGGGGAACTCAAACACTGTGACTGGCTGTGTAGACCTGGTAGCGTTTAGGTAACAAAGCAAAGACATACGAGGTATGATGGCCGTTAGTTAGTTAGTTAGTATGTGGCGAAATGGATAAGGGGAAGGAGGCGTACATATGCGTAGATCCCCGCGCACATATTCCGGTCACTGATCAGGGGATGATTTTTGCTTCCACAGGACGCGATGTGGGTTATAAGGTGTAGGGTGTAAGGTGCCGTACATCCAACCCACATCGCCATCTTAGGCTGGTGTGGTGGCTGGGTAGTGGAGAGAGTCCCAGTAGTGGTTGGGAGGGGCGGCGAGGAGCGGGCAGGACTGAAGCAGCGTGCGGCACCGAGAGCCACCGGCATGGTGTATCCCTGCCTAATTTGCTGGGGTGGGAGGGATGAGAGGACGCAGGCAGGTGCTGATCTAAAGGGTGGAAGGTTTTACGTCACCAGAGTTATAGATCTTATGATCATTTTACCGTGATTGATTAACATGAATGGACGAATAACCGTTACAATGGTTTGCAACGCGCTCAGGAAAATGATGGGGCCATGCACTTGGAAATGTTTTCGTATTGGAGACGTTATGGCGACCTGACACGCCATGCACAGAGGTGCTCTGCTTGCGCATGTCTATTCACCGGTATGTTGCATGCTTGGGCCGCCATCCCTTTCTTCCAACGAAAGCGCCCTAGCGAATGATCACGCACCCAACATCGGGCATCACCCCCCGGCAACACCATACATACGAATGATGCTCTCACCCCATGGTTTGTACCCCATGGTGTGAAGCCTTTACATACAGCTCGTCAGCTTCCTCGACTTTATCCCCCTCTTCTTCCCCCTATCTAGGCCTTCTGCATCAGCGGCGGCGGGGGTGTGCCCTGCAGCAGCGGGTGCAACGCAAACCGGGACCGCAGCGCGATTAAACCCGACGGCTCCGAAACCACCTCCTCCTCCTGCCCGCCCACCTCCACCTCAACCTCGCCCTCCTTGCCGCCCTCCTTACCCTCAGCAGCTGCCGCCGGCGCCGTGATAGCAGCGTCCACCACCATGTCCCCCTCCTTACCCTCCTCACCCGCACCCGCACCCTCCTCGCCTACCTCCTCACCCGCAGCCTTCTTCCTGCCCATGGGCTTGTGCGGCCGTACCTGAATCGACAGCTTCCTCCGCTCACTCCTCCTCGCCGGCCCCCCGGCACGCCCCCCTTCCTCCTCCTCACCCCCCTGCTTCCCCACCGCCGATGGGGGCGCGAGGTACCGTACAAACGTGTCATACACATCCGCCACACTCACCCCGCCCAGCGCCGCCACCTCCTGCTCCCGGCTCAGGAAGTCGTAGCGGGTGCTGGAGATGTGCTCCCACTGCCGCCCCGCCTCCTCCACCAAGCTGCGGTCGCGTTGCAGCTTGGAGGCGGTGAGGGCGGCGACGTGGGTGGCGAGCTCGGCGGGTGTGAGGCCGGCGAGGCGGGGAGCCATGGAAGCAAGGAAGGACTCCACACAGCGGTCCAGGTACTCGGGGGGGTGGCTGGCGGGAGGTGGCGGATGGGGGTGTGGAAAAGTGAAGGGGTGGGGGAAGGGGTGAGGGAGAGGTGCGGAGTAGGGAGTGAGAGGCGAGGTAGGAGGGTGGCTGTGTCAAAGCCACTCCTTCTACTTCCTCCCCGTGCCATACGGCTTGTCAGTTTCCTCTTTACCCTTCCCACACACGCTACTTCCCCGGCCATCAGCCCAAGCCAGTCCCCCCCAACCCCACCCAGCCCCGCCCACCCCCCCACTCACCGCGCCGACACCACCTGAATGCAGAAGCCGCTCACGCCGCTGGTCAGCCGAGTGCCGCTGTACACGCTGTATCCCAGCTGCTGCTTGGTGCGCAGGGTGTCGTAGCAGGGCTCGTACAGGATCTGGTCGATGAGGTCCAGCAGGGCACGGTCCCGTGGGTCGGTGGCGGGCCCCAGCTGGTAGTACACCTCCAGCTGCAGGGGCAGGGGCAGGTGAGGGTGGGTGGGTGACGGATTAGAGAGAAACAGTAATGAGTTCGCAAGCAACTGCTAGCCCACTCCGGACCTTTCACTTCCTGCCCTCCCTCCGACTCCTTCCCCTCCGGTACTCCGGGCAGTTAGTTGTTTCCTCTTTACCCTCCGGCCCCTCTCCCCTCCCCTCCCCTCCCACCCACCCCCCGGGTCCTGCCCCTCACCGCCGCATTCTCCTCCTCGGGGTTCTTCGCCAGCAGTCGCACCACCGTACCCCCCTCCCCCTCCGCCAGCACCACCTCCTCCGCAACCCCACCGCCTTCCCCCTCCTTGTTCTCCTTCTTCTCTCCGCCCTGCCGCGCCGCCCTCGCCCCCGCCTCCTCCACCACCGGAACCACCACACAGCGGTCCCTCACGCGCTCCTCCGCCCCCATGCAACACCCCTCGCCCAGCGCTCCCGTCACCGCCGCCGCCAGCTGCCGCGCCCCTGCTGCCGTGACGTTGCCGTGCACGAAGGCCTCCACGTGGCAGCGCGACAGCAGCGAGGAGACGAAGGGGGGGATGTCCTGTGCACGGCAGGGGGGATGTACGGCAGGGGTGACGGGGTGAGAGGCATGCATGCATGCATGTACCGGTATGTAGGGAAAGCAGGAGCAGGGGCCTATGGCATGGAGCGAACTCGGACGACTCCTCTCATCCGCACATGCGGAGCCCGCACATGCGCCCCTGCACCTGCATTCCCACCCCCACCCGCAACCCCCACTTACCCCACTCCCGCACCCCCATCTCCCCTCCCGCCCTACCTCGGGTGTGAGGCTCTCCATGTGGGTCAGGATGTCGTCGCAGTGCAACGCGCGGGAGCACAGCACGAACAGCCGCGAGTAGCTGGCGTGCTTGCCAACCTGGGGGGGGGGAGGTGGGGTGGGAAGAGGAGATAAGGGGAGGAGACAATGTTAACAGGGGGGCTACACGGATGGAGCAGCAGCCCTCCTTCCTTCACTGCACCACCTAGCACACGCCACGACACGTCACTGGACAGGCATCTCTTCATGGTAGAGGGCCCCTCCCCCCCATCTCCAGGTTTCTCAGTTTCCTCTTCCCTCCCCCCCTCCTCCCCCCCCCGCCCCCACCTCCATGTTCATGTTGCGGTACTTGCGCACCAGCGCCTCCCGCACCGCACCGAACTGGCCCGCCAGCCACTCGCCGCTGATCACCAGCTGGTCACCTCCGGGGGCGACCGCCACTGCACCGACTGCACCCTCCTGCTGCCCCTGCCCCTGCTGCTGCTGTCCCTGCTCCTGCCCCTGCTTTCCCCCCAGCTCCACCCGCCCCAGTGCCGTCAGCGCCCCCGCCAGCCGGCCCACCAGCACCCCCAGCTTGTCACTGAAACCGTCCACTCGGAACTCCATGCCTGGCAGCAGGAGCACGAGGTGGAGGAGGAAGAGGTTGAAGGGGGTGGGGGTGGAGGTGGGGAAGTGGCCCGCAGCAGCAGCAGCAGCATGAGTGTTCGGAGGAGCAGCAATCGATGCAAGCAAGCGCTCCCCATGCCGTACTGAGGCTATCGACACTTGCCGTACAACCCCCAATCCCAATAATGCCGTACCCGCCAGTCCCTCGGGGCTGGTCGCGTAGTGCAGTCCCGCCACGTCAGCCAGGTAGGCGTCCTCCCGCAGCGCCTCCTCGAGCAGCTTGAGGGTGAGGTGGGAGGCGGCGGCGACCCGTGGGTCGGTGTGACCCGCGGGGGAGAACAGCCGCCAGTGTACGGCAGCGCGAGGCGTACGGAAGGTGGTGTCCAGCTTGTGCCACAGGCGCAGACCTGAGAGGTGGGGGGAGGGGGATCATGAGGTGCGTCTAGCAGCTATGTACGGGAACTGGGTTTTGGTTAACTGGGGTAGTAGACCCGGTAGTAGGTGTCCTTATACCCCCCCCATTCACTCTTATTGGTTATCCTTCTCTTACCCCATGCACTCCTAGCTCACCGGGTATGTCTAGCAGCAGTTGTGGCGGGGAGGCCAGCAGTGCGGGCAGGCCGGGGGGCGGCGGGGGCGGGGCGGGGGCCGGCTGCTGCTGCTCCGGGTCCTCACACCTGTGCACCATCATGCAGGGAAGGGAAGGAGCGGATGAGGTGGGAGGCGCGTGTCAGGGGCTTTAAGCTGAACATGGAAGTGCATGCGCGGCAAACAGATGCACAAAATGAAGACCCCAGCCACTGAACCCCTTCCCAGCAGTTCTCTGCACACACTCCTCCCTCCGCTTCCCCCCGCTCCCCCCATCCCCGCACCCCACCCTCCACCCTTCATTTATTTTCCACCCCACCTCAGGCTAAAGTCCTGCGGCAGGTAGGGATTGCGAGGCGGCAGTGCCAGCTCAGGTAGCGGCGGCTGCTGCGCCCACCCGCGCACCAGGTCGGGCGGCAGCTCCAGGGAGGTCACCTCCAGCCCGAACCAGGGCTCCTGTTCCTGCCGTACGGAGGCACCGGACTGGGCGGCGAGAGACAGCAGGGAGGCCTTGACCTGGGGGAGGGAGGCAGGAGGAGAGGGGTAGAAGGGATTGGGGGCTGAGTTCGAGCTTGGAAGGAGGTGTCAGGACCTCTGCTGCCAAGAGCGCGACGCAATCGCAGCAAAAGGTCGAAAAAAAGGTCTTGCGAAGAAGGCTGGATTCAGGGATGGGGTGGGCGGGTGGTTGGAAAGGAGCGACTGAGCGCATATCTCTACACATTGCCCCCTCACCTCCTCGTATCTCCGGGTCATCAGGTCGATCCGGAAGGCCGGCGGCTCTCCCCCCTCCTCCCCCTCCCCAGCTGCTGTCGGTGCTGCCATCATGCAGTCCAGCAGCTGCCCCACCAGCTGCGGCTGCCAGGCCTCATGCAGGTAGTCCGCTGCCAGGGTGTGGGCGGGGGACACCACGTGCATGGCGCCTGGGGGGGGGGGTAGGAGTGGGGGGGGAGCGGGGAGGGAGGAGGGTAGGAGCGGGGGAAGGGAGGTGGAGTTAGCAAGAGCACGGTTCCGACCAGAGATCTTTTACCCTTTCTGACGCCCAGCAACCGCCATACCGCAACACAACAACGACCCTCCCTCCCTCTGGCCCCTCCCCTACCTGACAAGTACCGGTATGACTAAACACAATCCTATAATCCAGCCAAATGCGGAACATGTTTCCCTGTATGTTACCTACCCGCCAGCTTGCTGACCCCGTCCAGCGGGTCCCCCTCCTCCAGGAAGCGCCAGCGCTGCTCCGCCACCGCCCGCATCTCCTGCCACACCCACTCCTGGGGTCCTGGGGGGGGGGGGGGGGGGAGAGAAAGGGTAACCCATGTGTCGAGATAAATGGCAAGCAAACCCTCTCCCCTCTTTCCTGCAGCACCTCTTCCCACCCCGCCCCCTTCCCGCCTCCCTCCCCTTCCCGCCCCTTCCCCCCACCCTCTCTCAGCTCGTTAGGTACCTCATCCGTTTCCTCATTCTTACACCACCACCCCCGCCCCCCCCCTCTGCTCACCCTCCCTCCTCATCATGTCCAGGTATGCCGCCACCAGCGCCACCACCCCCAGCCCCGCCCCCGCCGGACTCCCCGCCGCCAGCCCCGCCTCCGTGAGGCTGATGTCCAGTCCGAACAGCGAGCAGCAAGTGTTGGAGGAGTAGCCGTCCTCGTCCACGCCAGCCAGGATCTCAGTGGCCCAGCCGCGGGACTGATCGGGGGGAGAGGAGGGGGGGAGGGGGGAAAGAAGAATACCCAATGTGTGGGTGGGGTAAGGGAATGGACGGAGGTGGAGAGGAGGGAGGGTGGGGCACACGACTGTTCCAGCTACCCGTGAGTAACGCCGAAACCCCGTCGCGCGCGTGCCACCCCGGTCGCGGATACGCATAGGTACGCATTGTGCATGTACGGCAGTCCGCATGGGAATACACATGCGCCGTTCCTGCCGTACACACACATCCATTGCCGTACACACACCCACCTTCAGCGCCGACAGCAGCGACCCCCGCCCCTCGTGTCCCAACAGGTGGCTCAGGTAGGAGTCGGCCTTGCTGCCGTACAGCCGTTGCAGGGGCGGCAGCTGGAAGGTGAGGCGCAGCTCGTGGTTGTCGCGAACCGCGGGAATCACATGCAGGAAACGACCCTTGGGTCGGTCGGGTCAAGTCGGGCGGGCAAGAGCGCATAGCATCTGGTTAGTCCCGCGCTCGTTTAGGATCGAGTGTAGGCGGAATCCAGCTGCTAGTTATGAGTTAACCACCCCCCCAACAATGCTCCTTACCCCCATACCTTGCTATCTGCTTCACCCCTTCAACCCCAATCCCCTCCTCCCCTCCCATTCCCAACCTCACCTCACATCACCATAACCCCCTGCTCCTCACCCCTCCTCTCATTCCCACCCCCCACCTGGAATGGCGGCCCCAGCTGCTTGAAGCTCGGCGCCGGCCCCCTGCCACCCGGCATGTCCGCGAAGCACCGCGCCACCAGCTGCGCCAGCTGCTCCAGCGGCTCTCCGCCCAGCACCACCAGGCAGGAGCGGTCGGCACCGTAGTGCTGCCTGGGGGGCGGGGGGGGGGCGGGGGGTCATCGGGATGTATATTCCGCATTAGGCTTGGGGGGGGGGAGAAGGAAGGAACGGACGAGAGGAAGGAACGGACGAGCCGTATGGGAGGGAGGGGGCGAAAAGAAGCCAAAGGGTACAGATTGAAAGAGCATGAAGCGCCATGGCAAGGCAAGCCAATGGGAGGAGCGGGTGGGGGACATGTACGACAAGATCAGCTCGCTCGCTCACTTGTAGTACTCCAGAAGCCGTTGTCGTACATCTATTCCCGCCTGTCGCGGCTGCTCCCACAGACTGGCCTTGTTGCCCCAACTGAACTTGCGGTAGATGTGGCCGGGACGAGCCTGGGGGGCGGGGGAAGGGGGGTAAAAAATAGATAATGAGACACTGACGAAGCAACTGAAGGGGGGAAGGGGGGGAGGGGGGAGAGCGTGCGGGTATTGTCAAACTGAGTAAGGAGGAAACAGCCAACTACCGGTACCCGTGGGATAAGGCGTCATCATGCTTTGCAACATGTAAGCCAGTCGTGAGGGTGGGTGGGTTGGATAGAGCTGAAGGAAGGAGCTGAAGGAAGGAGCAAACGGCAGGGTGGAGGTGTATGTGGGATTCCGAGGTGTGGCGGTTGGGTGTGACCAGCCCCTCATTGCCCCTCCATGCAGCCATCCCACGCCCCCATCAGCTGGCTATACGCCCCCCCCCCACTGCCGTCCTCCCTCCCTTCCTTCCTGCCTCCCCCCTTCCCCCTCTCCCTCTTCCCCCCCTCCCCGCTCTCACCGTGTGGCACATCACCTGCGAAAGCCGGCAGTGGTCGTCCTGCCGTACCTGCACGCATGCGAGGGGGGCGGGAAGGAGGTTGGGCAGGAGAGGGGAGGGCGGGGTAACGCTCATAGGGCTACGGGGGAGGAGCGGGTAGTAGAGGACACGTAGCAGGGGCTGCATGGCTCACAGGTCGCTGGCACCCCATAACCAAATGTCGCTGCGACACACATGCCCCCCCCCTAAACCATGCGCTCACGGCATGAGTCGGGATACGGGATTGGGATTCGCTGCTTGCTTCACTTTTCATTTATTTCCCCTTGCCCTCCCCCCCCCCCCACCCTGTCTCTATCCCCCCCCCCCACCTGCGCGAACTCGCTGTCCACCGCCAGCACCTCCCGCTCCAGACTGCCCTCGGCGCACAGCGGGCTGATGAAGAACTGCGCGAAGCGGTCCAGCGCGCCCGCCAGATGGGGCGGGGACACCTCGAAGTGGTAGTTGGTGACCTCCTGAGGTGACGGGGAGGGGGGGGGGAGGTAAAGGGGGGAGGGGAGGTGGCGGGGGAGGTGGGGAAGGGGGTAAGAGGAGGCACATGCGCCACCCGCAACCGCCACAAGCTCCCCGTAGCTTCAGGCGTCAGGCCCCCAACGGTCACCTCACTCGCGGCCAATTTCCTAAACACATCCTCCCCTCTTCCGCCCCTCTCGCCTGTTTCCCACCCCAGCCCGGGATGGTGAAGCCTCATCATACAGCTCTTCGGTTTCCCATCTTTACACCCGGCCCCCTAAAGTCCCCCGCCCACTCCAGCCCCCCCCACCCCCGCACCCCCGTCCCACCAGGTCCGTGAAGGCGTTCGCTGCGCCGCCGTGTCGCGTGAGGAAGTCGTCGTACTCGTTCTCGGAGGGGTACTTGGCGCTGCCCATGAACAGCATGTGCTCCAGGTAGTGGGACAGACCCTTGGGTCGGGCGGGAGGGTGGCGGGCAGGGAGGGCGGGTGGTGGGCAGGCAGGGTAAAGAGGAAACAATCGACTGACTATGTGATGAGGCGTCATCATGGTTTGCAACATGGGTAGGTAGGGTTGGTGGGAGGGTGGGTGGTGGTAGGGCATGAGGTGAAGCGGGGAGGGATAAGTGGTGGGTGGAGAGCTGTGGGTATGCGCTATGCAGGGTGCTCTGCATGCGGCCCCCACCTGGTCCCCTGCCACCCCGCTTCTGCCCTCCCCCTAGAGGGAGGGTCGTGCCCCGTTGTTGGCTGTTGTGTGCTACATGGTAGGGTTGGTACCCCGCCTGTCCGCCCCGTCCTCTCCCTCCTATTCCTTCCCTCTCCATCCACCCGCCGCCCTCGCGCCTTTCCTCCCCGTTCCAGCAACCTCCCATTCCAGCAATTCCCCGGCCCTCACCCACCTGCAAGTCGTCAGGGTCGCTGAAGCTGCCCACACCCACAGCCATAGCCGCAGCAGCCTTCTTCACGGGTGCTGCATCCGCGCCGCCCCCTGACCCGCCACCGCCACCACCCTTCCGCCGCCGCCCGCCACGCCCGCCAGCCTCTTCTTCCTCGCCCTCCTCCTCCTCCTCTTCCTCGCCCTCGTCGCTTGCTGACGCCATCTCATCTCCACTTTCCTCCTCGCCTTCTCCCTCGCTGCCGCTCTCCCCCTCCTCGTCCTCCTCCTCCTCGTCTTCGTCCTCATCTCCGTCTGACTGCAGGTCCCCGCTAGACTCTTCGCCGTCCGACCCAGCTCCCGCTGTCGTACCGCTGCCACCAGAGCGACGGCGCTTGCCGCGTCTGCTGACTCCGCCATCGATGGGCCCGGGATGCTTCTTGGCAGCCGCAGCTGTCGCCACGTGTTCCTTTGTGGTGCAGGTGGCGGCGCTAGGATGGGAGGCGGGAGCGGCGGACGTGTTCTCCACCTCCATTGCGTCGGCGTCAGCCTGTCAAGCGATGTACATGGGGGAGGATGACGGGTGGACATTGGAAGACAGGGTAGGTGGGAGGAGCTGTTCACAAGGGTTGTAATGTATGTAAGCATAATAGTAAGGCTTGCACGTGGCATGGCTTTGGAACAGTTACAAGCGTTCTGCTATAAATTTCTATACTAGGGCGGTAACATGCAAATTGCCCAGCACCGATATAGAGGGCCCTTACGTGGCTAAATAGCAAGTTCGTGGGAAAACCTAGACGTATGTCATGATACGCCTGATACACCATATTGACCCAAACTATACCGCACCTGAGCACTGTTATCCGCCGCCGGTGTCGACTGCATTTCCGGGTCGCTGATCAGCAAGACGCGAAGCCCATTCTCCAAAACCATGTAGCGGTACAGCTTCTTGTCATTCGGGGACTTAAGGACCTCAACATCGGAGCCACGGCCGTTAGGCAGGCTAGCAGCCGGCATGGCTGCGCGTTTCGCTGCTACCTCACGCCTACGCCCGCTCGCACGCGAAACCCTTCTAGAGTAACTGGCAAGTCGCGGCTGGACAAGCTTGACGGTTGGAAGGTTCCGTCTGTGGTTTACCCCGATAGCTAACAAGGGCGTGTTGCGTCCTACGAGCATAGCTATGAACACATCTTTAGTTCTGCAACTGTCCCACGCGATCAATTTCGAGCGCCGTACAAAGTCGTTACCGGTTCATGGTTGCTCTTTTCCTGTTTCCTCTTGCAAGCGTTCTGGCTGTCGCGCACGATTCCAATTGCCGCTACGTGCTCATAGTCCTCGTATGTCTTACAAATTCACATAAAGGTCCAAGTGTCATGGCACCGGCTAATCCTAGCGTGCATACAGTACGTGGTCATGCGACGCTTCGCCCCAAACCCCGCCCAGGCCAAGAGAAAGTACAGCCCAACACCAAACATCTCACCTAACGCCAAATGCAGGCATGCACCTGATCACCCACACCCCAGCAGTAACCTAACCTGGATACGCCGTGCAGAGCAGCATGACCCGCTGCATTCCGTAACTCAGTTAGGCAGGCGGCTGTGACCATGCTTTCCCGAATGCCGGCGCTGAAACGGCTACTAGATAGCAGGCTGGTGTACTAACTAGGTGCTACACGATAGGGCTGGCCAAGCCGGCTATTGCGGCGCAGCGGTGATGGCGCTATGCATAACGATACTCAATGCTCAGTACATGCTTAATAGGCTTTGTGGAACTCTGCGGCGATTACATGGTTGTAATCCCACCATGCGGTAAAGCATCATGGAGGCCACGAAAAGCGCCGACCAGGCGCAATCCGAAGGCAAAGACTGCGGCACAAGATCTGTCGCTCCAGGGAAGCAACAACGAACAGATACACGAACGCGGCAACTCAACCACTGGTATCACTCAACCGCTGGTATAAAAAGAAACATAAAGATAACTGCAAGTGCCTACGAGTTGGACATGCTTGGGCGATGCAAGCAACCAACCGACCTGCTCTGAAACCACGGACCATGATTTCGCATACGCATGGTTAGGACACGACAGCTGTCAAGCCCCAGGACTGAAATGAGCAAAACAATGGCATGGGGTATGACACTCCCCCCCACGCCCGAGGGAAGAAGTCACAAGGGCGGAACACAAAAAAGGAGTACCCCAGATCACACTGATGACCGGCAAGGTCAAACAGGCAACGGCATGAGAGTACGGTCAACGGAACATTAACGTAGGTACGAGCAAGCAATACGCTATCCGCTAGTACGGCAGAAACTGAGCACGCACCGACCCGTGGGCCAGCAGGCAAGCACTAGCCATGGCAACACCAATCCGGCAAGGGAAAGGCACGCGGCTACAAACCAAGAACACAGACCAGCTGATGCACAACTAAGCAGACATGGCAAGATGCTCTGTCCTAAGTGCAGATCCCCTCATCACCACATCCTAGACTGTAACTGCAAACTGACTTCTCCTCGCGCCAGTCAGGAGAAGCAAGCACGCTGACCAACGTCAATCCTATCCTGAACAAACATGACGGCCACGCGGCGCGGCGTGCCTTTTCCGACCTCAAGCGACCTACAACCAATCTACCCTGAACGACTCAAGACCACGCGGCTTGGCATGGCTTTCAGCATACACTAGTCACAAAGAAGCCCCTACAGGCAAGCATACAAGCACCATGAACAGGTCACTGCTGCGGCAAGGCAGTCTGTGAGCAGCTGTATGGCATGAACATTCACCGTCGGTGACGGCCCAGCAAGGCTTAATGTACAAGGCAGCAGCCCTCCTGTCCTACATGTAAGCGCAGTACGCCCCCCCAGACGGAGAGCATGAACTGAGGTATGTACGCAACCCCTCTCGCACGACACTATAACCAGCACACAGTCCGCAGCTAGTACCCCAAAGCGCCAGTACCAACATCCTAACGACTGCATCTACGACAAACCAGGGTTCAGAAGGCCTCGGAGGTCGTGGTGTCTCAATCGCCAAGCAGCTCCATCGACAGAACCGTAATGCCCAGGCAGGCCACCGCCACAAGAGCAGCACCCGCAATGCTGCGCCAAAGTGCAACGGTGTGACCGGCTGGTGGGTAAAACCGTGGTGCACTCGACGACCGTACAGCATAGAGGTCGTGGCTATGGCGGCTTGCGGGTTGGCCAGGACCCTTGGGTGCTGCAGGACTGAACGCTGCCGGTTGTAGAAGATGTAGAATCAGGCAATGATCAACGACGGGCTGGGCTTCGAACGAAGCTGGCTGTGCGGACGGGCTGATTGGAACTCGGATTGGGACAAGGAAGGGGACTGCAGAGGAGAAGGCAGCGCTGGGACACCAAGAGATGCCAAGAAGCCAGGACGCCCCCAACCTGCCGGGCTGCCTAATCGGCTGCGCTGTATGCAGACGCGACCAGGCATGTAGACGCGTCAACTCAGCAATAAAGCACATGGCGCCCAGGAAGAGCAGGGCTGCCAAGCGCCCCCCCCAGATAGCCGCCATGAAGCTGGAACAAGTGAAACAGTCAACACAGTCGGCGAAGGACCATATTGCAGCTCCAACTGAAGTAAACCCAATCAATGCACCCATGGCAGGCAAGCCGAAGCGTCCCGACAAAGCTTGTCGCTGACGATGTCGCTCGCCATCCCAGCAAGAAGCCGCACAGGACGAGAGCGGGGCTTTTCGTGGCAATACGGGCTTACCAATACGGGCTTACCACTCGACAACCCGATGCGAAGGTTGAGGAGTGGCCGGTGCTGGCATGAGCACCAGGGATTAGTCGGCTGCCTGAGAATGAGGACTTATGCCGACGCGGAATGTGGCCAGATGACACTCCGCACCAGGTTGTGGTAGCCAAAGGCGCCGCCCGGTAACCCCTATAAACGCTGGCGATTCCATAAGCGATACGACGCGCCGCGACGTCGCAGAGGCCCGGCTAGGCAGGCGGCTGTGACCATGCTTTCCCGAATGCCGGCGCTGAAACGGCTACTAGATAGCAGGCTGGTGTACTAACTAGGTGCTACACGATAGGGCTGGCCAAGCCGGCTATTGCGGTGCAGCGGTGATGGCGCTAGTCAGCTTATCAATCTCAGTCCCTGCTGCATCACACCTGCTAGATCACAGCTGCTGCTTGCGCACCAGCCTACCACCCTATACATCCTAATAGCCCTGCCAGGCCCTGTGCCCTGCCAGGCCCTGTACGGAATATAACCAACCCATTGACGCTATATCCCCCATATCACCACCCGGCAATGGCACTCATCGCCAACCTGCAGGTGTGTTCTTAAGTGCAGTCCGGGTGTACGTACCGGTATACGACAAGCGTCGAACTCCCTTCAGTAGCATAGCATACCTCGTTCCTTTTGACACGCATGCATACATAGCTACCCGGTAACCTAGTTGGGCTAACTGATTCGCTCTTCGGCTGGCCTAGCGGGCCCCTCCTGCACACCGGTACCCGGCATCTCCTCCCTCCTCTTGCGCGCACTTCGCTTCCGCATTAACTGCCTTTTCGTGGTACCCTCCTCACCCTGCACTCTCTCCTCTCCTCCTCTCACCCGTCTCTCACCCTCCCCTCAGCCAGCCCTCACCCTCCTCTCACACTTATCTGTGCGATGCATGTAACGCTCTGCTATACCATGCCCCGTCTCGCCTAGCTTGCCTAAGCCCCCTTCCACCCCGCTTTGCTGACCCCTTCCCGTACGGCCTCACTTGTACGGCTCCGTGCATACCGTACACCCTGCAAACCGCCATCCGGACCTCGCCCTGGCCCTGAATTTAACTGCTGCTGCTGCTTCCGCCCAAAGCAGCGTCGTAACTGAAGCCTTGCAGCCGAGGTGACCGTGGACCAGGTAAACTGGCTCGCAAGGAAACACTGACCATGACCATAAGAAGACGGCGAGGGAGGTGATGGTCTCACACAGCCTCGCTGGTCCGGCTGAGCTCCGTGTAGCCCGCAGGTCGGCTGATGCGCACCAGACCCCTGCCCTCACCATCTGCCTGCCCCTGCCCCTGGCCCTGGCTGCTGCTGCTGTTGCCGCCTACAGCAGCTGCGTCGCTGGAAGCCTTAGCGGTGGTGGTGGTGGCGGAGGTGGAGGCTACGACGGGCAGTGTGAAGCTGTTGGGGTTGTACTTCTCGAAGAGGTGCTGTGGGAGGGAGGAGGGCAGGGGAAGGAGGAAGATGGGTAAAAAGAGGAAACTAACGACGAGGCTTCACCATGGGTTGGAGGCGTTGCGGAGGAAGCTAGGTGGGAGGCCGATGAAGCAGATATTGGAGGTGTGGGCTATGGGGAAAGCGGGAGGCGGTGCAAGAAGCCAGGCAACGAACGGAAAGAGAGCCGCCCCAGCTGCGTACCAAAGCGAGGCGTGAGCAAGGGTGAGGGGCAACCGGCTGCGAAACCCAAATCCCTCCCGACCCAAATCCCTGCGAAACCCACATTAACCAGCGCCAGTCTCCTACACTCACCCTATACCCACTGCACCCCAACCCAGCCCCACCCATGCATCCCCCCTCCCCACCTGCGCCTCCTCTTCCTGCTTCTTTTTCCGCATGACCCGCCACACCACCACAATCGCCACCGCCCCAAGCAGCGTCACCAGCAGGATAGCCGCCACCGCTCCACCCACATTGCGGCGGTGGTGGTCGGGGGTCGCGTTGTCGTCGTTAGAGGAATCCGCAGCAGAGGCGGCAGCGGAGCGGACGCAGGTGGGGTTGTAGGGCCTGTGCGTGAGGAGAGCAGCAGAGCGGCGAGAGCAGCAGCAGCAGCGGCAGCGGCAGCGGCGGGCAGCGAATGAGGGCGTTAATCGATGACGCATGGGGGACAGGTCAACTGATCCGGAGGTGTTGTGAGCCAAGGTGAATGAATAACTGTTAAAAGGGTTCCCTAGGGTTTAAGGGACCAAGGTGGTCGGCAGGCCCCAGGCGCGGCTTGGGGTGTTGGGTTTGGGGTGTTGGGCTGGGCCCATGGGGTCATGGGGTTTGGAGTGAATGCATGCACGCATGCGATGACGTGGCATTACGTACGGAGCTGTACGGAACTACCGTCGCCGCCAGGAAGGGTACCGCGCTCGACTTCCGACAATAAGTGGCATAGCTGTGTAGTACAGCCCTACAGCCGTACAGGGCAAGTACGGTGAGGGAGTACGGCGGCCTCAGAGCGCCTCCCACCTGTACGACACATTGCTGGGCAGCGGCACCAGCTCCCCGGCCTGTGAGGGGAGATGCGAGGGGGGGAGGGGCAGGGAAGGATAGGCATGGAGGAAGGGGCATAGAGAGGCAGGAATAGGCGCAAGAAGGGGATGGGGTGAGAGAACGAAGGCAGGCACGTGCAGGGCAGCAGGTCCACAAAAGCAGCATCCACATGCCATAGAAACCGCGCTAAATTAACACCACCGGAAAGGGAGCAAAGGGAGCACGGCCCTGCATTCCTACCTGCATGCCGATCTCAACGTCACTTTTGGTCTGCATGCCGAAGAGCTTTTCTCCTGTCGTACATGTCGCCACATCGTACTTGGAACTTGCGATGCAGTTGGTTACGGAGGCGTTGTACGGATAGTAGGTCAGGAAGTTGAAGCACTGCAGCAGCATGCAAGGAGGGAGGGGCGGCAATGACGGTGTTAGGGTAGGGGGAGGGTCGACAAAAGGGGTGCCGAGCAGGAACGTAATCAATTGCTCCCAGACAGTTCTGAGGAGGGCTAGCATGCCTGCCAAGCCCATGCATGGGGTCTTCCCTGTTCGTTGCCATTGCTAACCGCAACCGCTTCCCCCCGCACCATTTCCTGCTCCGAGCCCAGTCCCAACTTGATTGTGTTGGCCCGCCCCTCCCCGCTGTAGGTGCAGCTGGTGAGCAGCACGTCCCCGGGGAGCAGCTGACGGCTCCCGGGGGGCAGCGACACGGGCGCCTGGGGAGGGGAGGGAGACCGGGGCAGGGGGGGCCGTACATGCAGGGGAGTGATGAGTGAGTGGGTCACGCGCTGCCAGAAGACATGGCAGGTGCGGAAGGGCATGCACGCACTGGGGTTCGAGCCACAGCCTGCCACCGGCGCTGCACTACCCAGTGTGTACGGCATACACTGCCGTACACTCAGGGGCATACACTGCCGTACACTCAGGGGCATACACTGCCGTACACTCCCACCACCCCTACCTGGTAGTTAAAATCGAAGTACTGTCGGGAGCCCAGCGGCGGCAGCTCCACCCCGTTGCGCACGTGGCGGGTTACGGCACGGCGACCCAGCTTGTGCATGTGGTAAAACGACTCAACCAGGGTCATGGAGGCAGGCACTGCCGTACTGCTGCCGTTCTTGCTGCTGCTTGCCGTACGGCCTGCCATCATCTGTGCCGTACACGCCCCCGGGCAGATGTTGGTGGGCGTGGTCCAGCTCGCCGCGCCGGGCGGTACGGCAATGTCGTACGACCCGAGTGTCAGCACGCCCATGTCGTACGGCTTGAGTACGGAGCTGTACAGCAATCTGAAGCCGGAAGAGTCGACCTGTGGGGTGGACAGGACGGCGGCAGTGACACAGCAACAAGCGATTGGCTTGCGGGGTATGCCGTCAGGCATGACAGGGAATGCCGGCGAAAAAACAAGACATGAGCAGCATGGTGACGTGTAACGCCTGCTAACCCAGATACCATAATACCGGTATCGAGTTCCTCTTGACCCAAATGCATCCAGATGCAAAGGACAGCCGTAGGGGGATCAAGTGCATGGTGTGGTCAAGCTGCATGGGCCGGGCTGCGTGCGCTAAGCTGTCTAACGCCCCCAGGCCCCCAGGCCGCCACTACAGCTGGTGAAGCCCCGAAACCCGCACAGGCACACCAACCCAGCCCCAGCCTTACCTCTCCCTGCAACCCCTCCGGGTTGTTGTAGTGGATCTGTGCAGTACGGGAGGAAACAGATGAGGGAGCGAGGGCAAGGCAGGGGAAGGCGGGCGAAAAAAGGCAATCAGGAGGACCAGAGAAGGCGGGCGAAAGGACAGCGGTGGAGCTACGAACGGGGAAACGACCCACGGGTCATCTGCGCCAAAACACACGCACTTTCATACCAGAAACCCCGAACCCACCACCAACTATCCCTAGCGTCCCGTCGTACTATTGCCTACCTTGCCTTACCAATGTCGTACCAGCCTATCGTACCTGCAAAGCCACATACAGCAGGTCATTCCCATCTCCGCCTCTGCTGCCCGGTCCAAACGCCAGCGCCGCCTCTGCCGGCGCATCCACCGCGCCCACTCCCGGCGCCCAGCCCATCCAGAATTCCTCACACTGCATGTTCTCCCCGGTGCAATCGTACGGCAGCCCCAGCTGCGAGGCGGGCGGTTGGTTGCCGGGGCAGGCGTAGGCCACGAAGTGGTGTACCAGGGGGGCGTTGCGGATGAGCGGCTCGGAGCGGTAGACGTGGAACTTGGAGGAGGAGGGCAGAGCCAGGTTCACACACTGGGAGTGGGGACGGGGGGTTGGGAAGGGTGGTAATGGGGGTCAGAGGGTACGGTGCTCGTGAACTTGCCCAGAAGCCAGGCAGCGAGTGCTGGCAGTCCTAGAAGGTCGCAACAAGCCGCTTGCGTCGACCGACAGACCCACCGACCCACGAGGACCCACCATGTACGACGTCTCGTTGGGCGGAACGGTGATGTTGGGCATGTGCAGGTCTAGCGTCTGAGGGAAGGGAAAGGAGGAAGGCCGAGGAAAGGGAAGAGTGTGTTGGTTGCAAGAAGGCGTCGATGCGAGAAGAGGCCAGGCTAGACACTCAGACACTAAGGCAGCTAGAGCAAACTCGACGATGCTATTTGGGAGCGACCCACATGGGTGCATCGCTTTAGCCCTCTCTCTACCTCATCCTCTTGCCATTATTTATTTATTTTATCCACCGTTTCAGCTCACCTGTAGTTCTACACTAGCACTAGAAGCCGACCCAGTTGCAGCACTGGTGTTGGGCATCAGAACCAGCTCATACTGCCCACGGTTAGTTGTTCCATGGTAACCCAACTCTCCGCTGCCGTACGCGAATACGACAATCTGCCGGGTGTCGTACAGTACGGCTCGATCCATTCCGTCCTGATCGCAGCTCTCCAACGGTCGCCGCATGGCAACCAGGGTGTTTCCTTTGGATCCTGCGCCGTACGATTGTCGTTCTACGGAAACCAGCGTCACATCTTGTTGGTTGTCCAGTTGCGGGGCGTTAAAGCCCTGCGTCCAGTAGTCCTTAGCCGCCCACTGTCCCGCTTGCGAGTCGTGTGTTGCGATGGCCAGGTCGGCTCCCAGCATGCCGCCCTCGGAGAGGCCAACTCCAACCCAGTCCCAGGCTGGGGAAGGGTGAGGGTTGCGAGAAAGCAAGGGGGGGATGGATGGAGGGGTGGGAAGAGGAAGGGGAGGAATTAGCAGTCAGCCAAGAAGGTAAACGCCGCGACGCGACCTGGGTCGGAACCGTGAGAACTAGCGGACCAGAAAGGTAACTATATTTGCCAGGTGCTTGGGCTATGCGGCATGCAGCTCTTTCCTGGGTACCGTACCTCCATCGACATCCAGGGCCCATGTGATGGAGCCATCCTGGACTATCCAGTGTAGGGAGACGTTCGGAGAGGCTTGGACGCAGAAAGGATACTTTGTTGGGCTGAAGTTTGAGAAACATTGGGATGCTTCTATTAACGGGGACGAAAGCAACGCTGCAAGGAGAATCCAACCAAAGCAAAGACGTGCAGGAGGCATTTGGATTTTCACCCTAGATGAAAATTAGATAAGCTGTATGTCCTAAGGCACCGTCGCTTAGCAGAATCTGAAGCTTCGCATAGGTGTGGGTAGGATAGTGGCGCAATACACACCGGATCAGACACTGGTAGCCATACAGGTTTCATCCATACTCCTGCGGCAGGTGCTTATCCAGGTGCCTTGCGGAGCCCACCTTCCCGAACCAACCGCCCGGTTGAGCCGTACAATCGGTCTTCATGCTGCGGCCTGACTTTCTAGCGGCGAAGCCTATCCCTGCACCAAATGCCGCTTACAGGTAAATGAGAGAGTGCCTAGCCCCTCCTGTGCTTGCGTTATTTAGAGGGTGTCGACGACCCACGCTCTGCAACTTGTCCACACAACGGAATGCGCTTACATAGCTGTTGCACAGTGTGGGAAAACAGTATCTTTCGATACAGATAGGCTTCCTACACGGCTATCTTCGTGCACTTAGGTAACTAACAATCGAGACATGAATACCTGTAACAAAACATGGATCATATCAAGCACATATATCTGTTGTTTACACTGTATGCCTTAGTCGTTGGATCTAATGCAAGCTCGAAGCCGCATTATGGATCGCGTGCGACAGCTGAAGCCAAAGCAGCGCTCCTCCAGTCCTGCTACAATAAACATTACAATGGAACTCCCAGCACTTTCGAGGACTTCTTACGAGGGTTCAACACCAGGTAAATCTTCTTCATCGCACACCATCTCAAACTCGTCCAAACTTAGAGCACACATCCATCTGTCCGTACCCATTCCCACAGCCTCTATCTCCACCAAGTTTTCTGGAGCAAAAAGCAGTCGCAGCTTCCCCTCACCATCTTTGTCGGGGCAACGCTAGAGCGGTTGGGCATGCTTGAGGCGCAATGTCGCAGCTACCCGGGCCCATTGTCCGCAGCCATCTACGTGCCGCTGCTGCAGCAGACGCCCGGTCCTCAGCTGACCCCTGCCAACCAGGAACTCCTACAGCAAGCCACCGCCAGCGTCAAACAGCTCTTTGACAGGTAAGGACGGGTGCGGAGCGACTCTCCCACTAAGTCCCTGCCAGGCTGCAATGACGGTGACTGCCAGCCATGACGCTGCTATTCAGCGCAATCCACACCTCTCATCCTGCTCACCACCGCCTTTCCTCTCCCTCCTACGGTTCCCCTTCCCCCCCCACCAGCCTGGAGTCCAACCCGCAGCCCCCCAGCTGCTCCCTCACCGCGCTGCTGCTGTTCGAGCTCTCCTCCGACCCCGCGCTGCTGACACTGCTGCCCATCAACTCGCTGCGCAACGCGGCGCTGCTGGCGGCGGGAGGCAGCGGCGGTGATGATGATGTCGATGATGATGGCGCCTCTGAGGCGGCTGCCAGTACGGCAGCAGGCGGAGCCAGGGCCGGGGTCGAGGGCGGGGTCAGCGGAGCGGAGGGGGCCAGCAATGCGGGTAGCTCTGGTGGGGAGGGCGGGGCCAGTCGGTGGTCCAGTCCGCTGGTGGCGCTGGTGGATGTGGACCTGGCGCCCTCTGCCAGCCTGGGGGAGTGGGTGCTGCGGGGCGGGCGGGAGGGGGAGCAGGCGGCAGGCAGGTGGGAGGGGAGATGGGGAGGAGGTGGGTGAGGGAGGGGGTGGGTGCTGCGGCGGGGGCGGGAGGGGCAGGAGGGGGCAGGCAGGTGAGGGGAGGCGGGAGTGAGGGGTAAGTTGGATGGGTAGGCGGTAGCGGAGCCTCTTAGGGCTGCATGGGCCGCTCACACCGTCTCAGCCTATCCGCAAGCAACCCGTCCCTCTGTCCCTCCGCAACCCCTCCTCTCCTCCCCACATCCCTCTTAACCCCTCGCTGCCGCTGCTGACCTAATGCCTTGCCCTTCCTGCCCTGCCCCCTTCCCTGCATGCCCGCTGCCCCCTTCGCGGCCGCCCCGCCGGTATGCACGCTGTGCCCCACCCGCACCCGCACCCAGCCTGCCCGACCTGCTGCGCAGCTGCGAGGCCGGCCGGGCGGTGTGGGTGCTACCCGCTTGGGAGACACACAAGCGACTGGGGCTGGAGGAGGGAAGACGGGTGGCGGACAGGGCGATACGGGGTAGGTGGGGTGAAGCCATTGTCAAGAGGCTTCTCTCCTCGCCCTGCCTCGCCTTGTCACACCTGTGCACACCGCTTTCCCCTTTTTCTTCTCCCACCTTTCCTTGCTCCCCCAGGTGACAAGGCCACGCTACGACAGCTGGAATCCGAGTCAGCACTGCACTTCTTCGCCAAGACCGCCTACGCGCGCGGCCACTCCGCCACCAACTTCACTCGCTGGCTGCAGGCAGATCTGCCGTACGATGTGGCGTACGAGATCAACTACGAACCCTGGTTCATAATGAGCAGGTGGGGAGAAGACGGGGCGGGAGATGACGGTTGCCAGGAAAGAGGGGGGGGAGGTCGCGGACGGGCGAGTACGGAGGCTCATCTCCCCCTATTGCTTGTTTCTCCATATTTTGCCTTGGCTTCTCCCTGACCGCCAGGCGCCTCATCCCGCCGTACGACGTGCGGTTCCGCGGGTACGGCTGGAACAAGGTGCAGCAGGTTGCCTCCGTGGCTCTGCAGTACAACTTCACCTTCCGGGTGCACCCGCATGTGTGGCTGGTGCACCGGCCGCATGAGGCGTCGGCGGGGCAGAAGATGTACGGCGGAAGTGGCGGAGGAGGAGGGGCGGAGAAGGAGCAGCCCCATGGGCAGGGGCAGTTAGATGAGGTAGGTGTGGGCGCATGACACGTGCGCGCACATGCACGCATGCAAATGTTCCCTTCGGCAATAGTGGTGGTGTTGGTGGTGGTTCGCTCCATCATTCTTATCCTCGCCCCCATCCTTCGCACCCCTGCCTCGTCCTCCTTCCCTTCTCCACACAAAATCTCTCTTTTTATTCGCTCCTTCGCACGCCAACCTCCTCTGCCCCTCCTTTCTTTTACCCGCCCGCTCCCTGATCAGATCCGTGAGTGGCGCGGCTCTCGCGCCCCCGTGTCGCGCCTCTTCCACCGCCGGGTGTCCGCGCTGCGCCACACAGCCATCCGCGACATGCGGCGGGGCAGCTACCGAGCCGCGGAGGACCCGCAGAGCGAGCATTGCAGGCAGGTGCTGCCTTGGTGGGGGCCGGGGTAGAGGAGGGTTGAGGAGGGGTGGGGTGGTGGGAGTGAGGGAGTGAGGGGAGGGAAGGGGGTGCTGCCGTAATGGGATGAGAGGGTAGAGGGGTGGAGAGGAATGGAGAGGGGCATGCGTGGAGTGTAGGGTTTATGAGAGGTGGTGGGCGTTCCGCGGACGGTAAGTAGGTTGAGGAGGAGGCAAGCGAAACGTGACGTCCCTGCGAGTGGGAAGCACTCGGGCGATAAGCGGTGTTGGTTGCGGGGGGCACGCATGTGGGGACGCAAGGCCCAGGAGGCAGTGAGGTGGTGTGATGGAAGGGAGGGATGTACTGGGTGGCGGCGGTAAAAGGAGCAGAGGAGCGCGGCGAGGGAATACAGCTGCCGAAGATCTTGCTGGAATTATACATCTTTTTATGTGGTATAACGTGTATGAAGGGCAAACGGATATCGGCACACTGCTTGGGCACTGATGGATAAACTACCGTACAACCCGCCCGCTTTACAACTCAAAGTACAGTGCCGCGACCCGTGCTCACGTCTTTTCGGCTCGCAGATATAGAGCAGAAGGATTGGCCCTTGCCGATGGCTCCTTCAACCAGTCCTTACTGCAATACCAATTGGTGCCCCATACGGCCAACCAGCTAGAAGGAAGCACACGCTGCAAAGGCCAAGCAGTCAACCAGCATGCTCTTTCCCAACTCAGTTTGCGCACACGCGCTTCACAACAAACATGTGTTTTATGTACAAGGCTTGGGCGGGGGGCCCCCACAGCCTCCAAGCCAGACGATGTCCCCCCCTTTGAACTCAATACCATAAGCCCCCGCCGACGGCTCGCATGCAAAGGCTTCCTTCCCCACACCACAGCCCCATCCTTCATGTGCTTCCCCCCCTTCTCCTTTCCTCCTCAGCCAGCTTTCCGCTCCTATTCGCCCCGAGCTGACAGCTACCGCGGCCGCCCATCAGAACGCGGCACCCCCGCCCCAAGCAACACCGCCACCTCACCTCCTCCTCCGCCTCCTCCTGCCGTACTACCGACAGCACCCCCTCCTAGCCCCCCTGCCCCTCCCGCTGCTGCTGCTGCGGACCCCGACCCCGCGCCACCCTCCCGCGCATGCGCCCCTCCCACGGCCGTCATCTCGACCATGTCCATCGCACCCATGCTTCGCCCATGCCCATGCGAGTGACTCCGACCCAGCCCCCCGCTTTGTCGAGCTTGGTGCCCCCCGGCCGCTGCAGTATAGGCTGCTGGATGGCGATGGTGGGGTGGTCGTGCTAGTGAGGGCTCCACATCCCCACTGCTGATGCTTACCACCCCATTTCCTGCGCCGCCTCGGTCTCCTCCCCCTCCTCCCATGCCGCCGCCTAACTGGCCGCTGAAGGCAGCGTGAACACCGCTCGGAGCTATCCCAACACCTCCGGATCCTACCAGACCGACAGCGGAGGAGGAGGAGGACCGCGGTACAGCGGTGCCCAAAGCAGGTGCATCTCTACTAGAGGATGCCAGGGAGGAGAAGAGTGGCGGTGAGGCGGGTCCGCCGGTCTCCGAGGTACGTGCGGAGGAGCGTGAGGAGGCGGAGGCGGGTGAGGCGAGCATGAGGGATTGCTGCAGGGAGGTGGAGGGGCGACCCAGATAGGAGGCGTCACCCTGGGGATGAAGGTGGCGGGAAGGGAGGAGGCGAAGGGAGGGAAAGAGGGGGGGAGTACAAGTAAGAGCAGGGCAATAGGGAGAGGAGGCGGCGGGCGGTGCCAATAGGGGTAAGGTGGAAGAGGGTCAAGGAAACGAACAGAAGGCGTGGTAAGGAAACAAACCAAGAGGCACCAACCTGTCATGATGTGCAGAGGGAGGCAGAAGGGACGCATGCACGTCGTGATGGGAGCGAAGCAGGGGCATGCAAACACCACCCACGCACGGCACACACACTCGCTCCTGTGGCGTTTATGTGAGGACTTCACCTATCTCCCGGCAATCACAGTGCGTTCCACCTCGCCGCCAGTGTTTCTCAACACGCACACACGCACCTGCGACCTGTGCATTCCGTACGACAGGTACACGCACGTGCCCAGCGTGAACCACACCACCCAGCGCACGTAGGCGGGCCAGCCCAGCGAGCCGATGAGGTGCAAGGTGGCCAGCATGCCCAGGGAGGGCAGGAAGGGGCTGAGGGGGCAGCGGAACACCTGGGAGGGCAGGCGGGGTGGAAGGGGGAGGTAGAGAAGGAGGGGTGAGTAGGGATGAGATTGTTAGAACGCAGCTGGCCTTCAATGTGGCAGGCATGGCTCACCCACACAGCCGTACCCGGCGCCCCGCTGTGCACCCTTCCTCCCACCTCCCAAGGACCCTCACCCACCCCCACCTGCGGCACGTAGCGCACGGGCAGCCGCAGGAAGGAGCAGGTCACCGCGAACCAGGCGACTGCGGAGGGGAGGGGGGCAGGTGCGACAGAGGGATGGGAGTTGGAAGGAGTTAGGGAGGGGACGGGTCGTGGGGAGGACGTGAGGAGGGCAGGGAAGCAAGGCTTATGGGCCTGTCAAGTCCAAGGCCCTCCCACCGTCCCAATCTACTCCTTCGCCTAGCCCACTAGTCCCCACACCACCACCTTCCCACCTACACTCCCCCTCCCTCCCTCCCTCTTCCTCGTCCGTTTCCTCTCTTTACCTCCCTCTCCCTCCCTCCCCCCCTCACCCTCCCCCCAGCCTCCCGGTCCGCCTGCTCACCCAGGAACACCAGCGGCACCCCCACCGGCGCCCCCTCCGTGTAGCTCACACTGAACCCCACCGCCGCCACCACCACCCCACCCAGCCGCCCCAGCACCGGCCCCGCCGCCTCCCCGGCCCCATGCACATGGTAGCGGCGGAAGATGACGCCAGCGCACACGCTGCAAAACACCACCAGCGTGCCAATGGACACCAGCTCCGCCAGCAGCTCGATGTCGATGAAGAGCGCCAGGAAGCCGGCGGTGCACATGGTGACGAGGGTGGCGTTGCGGGGGGTGCCGCGGGCGGGGTCGATGCGGGCCTTGGGGGGGGAGGGAGGGGAGGGGGGTGAGGAGAGAGAGGGCGGTCAGGATGGGACCCGGGTTGGGTTGGGGAAGTCAGGAAGCAAGGGAACGAGAGAGAAAGCACGGTATACAGGATGGCTCGCATGCCGAACAACACCCAAACCACGCACGCCATGCACCACCTCCTCCCTACCTACCTACCTCTCTCACCCTTCCAGCCTCAAGCCAAACCCCACCCCACCGACCCAGTCCCCCTGCTTTTTTCTTTTTTGTTTTTTCTATGGTTTTAATTGGTCCAAAAATTGACCCCCCGTCCCACCAGCCAAGCGGGCGCCAGCGCCTGCCTGCCCAGCGTGACGTAAATCCTCGCCTGCCCCAGCAGCGCCCCCAGCAGCGAAGTGACGATGCCGGACAGCGCGCCCGCCGCCACCAGCCGCTGCGCCCAGCCCAGACCCACTCGGTCGAAGGCGACTGCGAAGGGCGCGTTGAGGTCGATCACCTGGTAGCTGCGGGGAGGGGGGGACATGAGGAGAGTTATGGGTACATACATGGAGGAGAGGAGGGAAGGGGAAGGGGAGGGGAGGAGGAGGGATGGAGGGGGATGCAGCGGTCGGGTGCGGGGTAGGGAGTGAGGACGCTGGGTGTGGAGTGCTGCTCCCAGGGGGGTTGCGTTGGGAGCCCCTGCATGGTTTCCCCCTCCTTCCTTACCCCCCCCCCCCTCCACCCGGGTTTATTTAGCAACCCCATGGTGACGCCGCGTCATGCAGCTCCTCAGTTGGCGTCGTCAGTTTCCGCATTCTCCCCGTCAATTTCCTTATTTTTACCCCCACCTCTGCATGCCTGTGATGGCCAGGCACATGAGCACGTACAGCACCGTGCAGATGGCCAGTGAGCCCACGATGCCGATGGGCAGGTCGCGGCCCGGGTTGGTCACCTCCTCCGCCGCGGTAGCCACCGTGTCAAACCCAATGAAGGAGAAGAACACGACGGAGGCGCCTGGGGAGAGGGGGGGCGTGAGGGTGAGAGGTGAGGGGAGAGCGGAGAGGGGGCGCGGCACCCCAGGAGGCGTGATAACCAGGGGGTGAGGGGGAGAGGGGAGAGCGGTGGGAGAGAGAGAAAGAGAGGGAGGACGAGGACGTGTGGGAGATTGACAAGAGGGCAGAAAGACGACAACAGATGGTTGGGAGCTGGAAGCTGGTAGTTCCCTGTTTCGTGCACCCCAGCCCAGCCCAGCCCAGCCCAACCCAGCCCAGCCCAGCCCCCCCCCACCCGTGAAGATGCCTCGCGTGCCGAATGGCGCAAAGGGCGTGTAGTTCTCCGCGTCCACATGCGGGAAGCCTGCTGCCAGCACGAATATGATGAGCGCGAGGTTCAGCCCGGTGACCGCGATGTTGAGGGCGGAGGAGTCGGCGGTGGAGCGCATGAGAACGAGAGACATGGCGGCCACAGAGCCGGCGGCGGGCAGGTCTAGGGTGAAGAGGGAGGCCTGAAGAGGGCAGGGAGGGAGGGGGGGGGGGTCAAATTAGACCAAACCATAAGAAACCAGGGCAAGAAGAGACGGAAAACATTAGATGAATGAATAGTGCAGCATCTGGAGCCCAACTGGAGGGCATGAAGGGAGGGGAGGGGAGGGAGGGGAAAGGAAGGAAGTAACCATGGCAAGGCTGCACGTTGGGTAACGAGGCTGCACCATGGTCGGGTTAGATGGTGGGATTGATGGTGAATGGTGATGACATTCACAGCCACACGGTCACAGTACTTTCCGCCTCGCGGCCAGTCTTCTTCTCAACACATATACAAACCCACGCCCCGCCCCCCACCTGCAGCCGGAGGTAGCTGACGTCAATGCCCAGCAGCGCTGCCGAGTAGGCGGTGAAGCCCTTGGCCACCGCCGCGGCGGAGAGGGTGTACTCCAGCACTAGGTCGCATGCAGTGACCCTTGGGTCGGGGACGAGAGGGAGGAGGACACAGAGGGAAGCGAAGGGAGGGCAGAAGGGACGAGGGAGGCGTGATGCCGAGTTGCACTCCATCATGTGCTCTTTACCCTTGCGTGTTGTGTCTGTGCTTGTTTAGAGGACCACCCGAACTCTGATTGACGTCGAGCACAACTGCTGAGAGTCCTCTTGCGACCCAGATCGAGCTGAGGAATTTGCGGTACGACCCAGATCGCGGCGAGCCCGAATCCCCAAGCCCGACCCGCTACCTCCTTACCACGCCGCAAACTCTCCAAACGTCATGCTCACGTAGTTGAAGGCGCCCCCGGCCACTGGGAGCTCTGCTGCGTACTCGGCGTAGCAGAAGGCGGTGAGCATGGCTGTGAGGGCTGACAGTGCGTACGACACGACGACACCAGGACTGCGGGTTTGGGTACAGGAGCGGAGAAGGAGAGGAGCGAGGCGCGGGGGTTCGGATCTGTGTGCCATCAGGGCAATCCTGGCAGATATGGTCGGAGGATATGCAGAATGTAATTGACGTGCCATGTCTCCGACCCTGACCAGGGTGGACATAACCCAGGACGCGATGCATACAGGTTGCGGGTGTGTTACATAACCTACCCAGCGTATTTGCGAGCTGCCACGCCTGTGAGGACAAACACTCCGGCGCCGATGATACAGCCAATGCCGAGCATGATAAGGCTGAAAGGCCCTAGAACTTTGTGCATTTCGAAACCGCTTGCTGATTTGTCCTTCTGCTCCTCCATGGACCTGCAAGGCAGTTCCTCGTGGGCGACCAGTTGCTGGGAACTCACACCTGACGAGCAAGCATGCAACATAACTTTGGACGTGTCTCACCTGACAACAAATGCTTTCGCTCTAAACTTTGCATAGGTTGAGCGAAGCCGAGTTTTCATTCTTTCTAATCTTCCCATGTTGGCAAAGCTTCCTGTCTGGGGGCTCGACGTGCGTGCCCGCGGGGCTTTCCAGGGCACCGCGTCTTGACTCTAATAGGCAAGTCAGTCCCCAGTTAAAGTATATAAGGGTTTTGATACCGTTTGCCAGTTGCGTCGAACAGGAGGTTTAAGGCGACAACATCAAGATGGAGGTTGCACTGATCACCTATTCCGGTTGGAACTCAGATATGCAACTTTAATTTTATTCCTTCCTTACAATAGATCCATGGAGTACACCTACTGAACAGCAAGAGCTCCAACTTGCATGGCTGCATATACGACAATGTGTCTGGCAACATACGCCCATACGAGTAAACATTGCTGTGAAGCCACACAACGCGTTGATCAATACGCCATAGCATTGTAGTTGAAGGCTTTCGGCCTTTTCTGACTTAGCCTAAGAAGGGTTCCAGCTTACCTGTGCAAATGGCTGACGATGATCGCGATGAGAATGAGCAGGAGCAGGAGGAGCTTGCTAGCAAGGATCGGCAAGGCCGAGAGCAGGCGGCGGCCCTTAAATCGATGACCGACAAGGCAAGCCCCGCGAATCACTTAGACCATGGTTTCTGTTAACAATATATGCGTGTGCACACGGCTTTTAACATTGGCGAGCAATCGCGGTTAGCAACTGCAATGCCTCCGCGCCGCCCATCCCTGTGTCGCAGGGGCCAGAGGAGCGACAAATGGATGAAAGCAAAGTGGCTCAGGTACGAAGACATTTATTTCCCGGAGGTTGGGCTGGTCATAACCAGGCATCGCCCGCGGTGCCAGGGGCGGTAAACACACGGTCACACCCAACTTTCCTACCTGGAATCCCATGCATACTGCCTTCATACGAGGACGACGGAATACACAGACTGCTTAGGGTGTTGCTGGCCCGTACCAATCCCAGCTGCCCAACCGTGTTAATCCATCTGGTACCATTTGAATGGGGGGGCCTGGGAGACCACGTACTATCCTCAGTAGGAGGCAGCAGTTGGCTCCTACTCGGCTTCTGGCCCAATGTCATAAAGGGGTACTGTAACAACGATGAGCATTATGTTCTTTTGCACCCAAATCACTGAGACAAGGTCGTTCAAAGGTACCAAGGCTGACCCACGGGTCAGCCCCTACGGACTCTGAACCCGGATCAGTCCCAGCTACACAAGCACGAAGCCTGCGGCCACATCCCGGACCACACCCCCTACAGCACTGCATCACCCCTCCTCACTTAGATCCCCTCATTTAGACCCCTTTTGGCACATGTCAAGTCCCCTTCTTTACCATTTGTATCGCTTTCTGGCTTGACCTGCAGGCCATGCAAACACTGCTAGCTGCTCAGCGGGCCAGCAAGGACGCGGAGCGCCAGAGGTGGGTGTGCCTCCAACACACCCCCGCCCTCTTTAGCTGCTGCTGTTGCTGCTGCTTCTGATGCTGCGGTATCGGTGTCCGTCTCACACGCGCGCCACTTCGTATCCTGCCCGCCTGCCCCACCCGTTTCCCTACCTTCCTTCCCTCCCTTCCCTACCTCCCCGCCCCGCCCCGCCCCTCCCCCCACAGGGAGCGCGAGCTGGCCGCCGTCAAGGTGTCGCGCCCCGACATCGAGCTGCTGGCGGCTGAGCTGGAGATCCGCGACCTGAAGGCGGCGGAGCGGGCGCTGCGGCTGGCGGGGGGCGACCTGCGCCGGGCGCTAGAGCAGTACCTGGGCATGCAGGCGGGAGGGGCGGCGTGAGGAGGGAGGAGGGCGGGGGAGGCGGGATGAGGGCGGGGTTGCTGCTGGGAGGAAGGGTAGTAGAGCATGTGAGAAGGGGTGCTGAAAGAGCGGGATGCGTGCAGGTTGTTGGTGTTTGGCTGTAGATAGCTGCGAGGGTGTGAAGGAAGATGTGGCAAGAGGGTTGTATGGGTGGGAGAGTAGTGGAGGCTAGGCGAGGCAGAAGGGCGTTGTGACCGCCGATGGGGGGTGGGATGGGAACCGTCGGGAGCGATGGGCTTGTAACTGTGTAGGCCACGCAACAACAGTGTGTCTGTCTTTCTAATTGCCTTCTCTTATTGGCAGAGATAAGAACACAAACGTAAAGCGATGTGCAAGGTGGATGTTTAGCGCCTGTATGCCGTTAACGCCATAGGTCGCAGGGATGTGAGAAACGCGGGATGCGGCGTTTGGTGCTGGGCTGTGAGTCTTGCCTGCCTTGTCGCGTTGCAGTGTTGATGCGTCTATGTCTTATGGCAGGTGACCGAGAGTAGAGTCGGGAAAGGGTGCCGATGTCGGTGACTCTCTCGCTTATTAGTTACATGTGCAGTAGCCACAAAGCATGTGTAGCCGCGGGGAGTGTGTAAAGTGGAGCTTAACACACGACAACATGTCTTCTGCACAGCAGTTTGCGCAAATGTGCGGCACTCCTGCAATTACGCTGCCCAGGCAATTCGCACGGACACTTTAGCAGTCGGCCCTTTCCTAACAAATTAATTCACAGCGCAAGTATTCTTACCAACAATAATATATACCAGCAACAAAAAGGCCCTGATAACACCCTTACCAAGGGTGCGGGATGGATCGCTTCGGGCCGTCATCAACCACGGAGCCTCCTGCGCAACGCCGCCGCCTTCAAATGCAGCTTACTGGGTCAGGATCTTCATCAGCTGCTGCTCAGATGAGGGCTGCAGCCCTGGCCCCGGCAGGACCTGCGGAGGCAGCAACCGCCGCCCGCGACCGAATTGAGTCGGCGGAGGCTGAGGCCTCGGTTCCAGGGGATAGAAGACAACAGCAGGCTCAGCAGCATCGGCAAGACCCACAAAATGAAGAAGAAATTGACAAGGATATGCTAAAAGGACAAGATCAGCACCAACAGCAGCCGCAAAAGGAGGAGGATGAAGAGGCTGAAATCCCGCCCTGCGAATCCTGCCCGCTCTGCATGCACATCCTTCACGACCCAGTCACCACACCCTGCCGACATACCTTTTGCGGCCGCTGCTTCCGGCGCTGGGCTGACGTCAACAACCGCGGCCGCAACGGTCTGCGCCGGGTTGCCAACAACCCAGGAGCCGCAGCCGCGGTTGCTGCCCCCGCGGGAGCAGCGGGATCCGGGAGCGCTCTGGCGCTGCGACCCATGGGTCAGCCGGCGGAGCTGGGCGCTGGCGGCGGCGGCGGTGCTGGTGGCGGCGGTGGTACGACAATGATGGTGACGTGTCCGCTGTGTCGCGCGATGGCACCTGGGGAGCTAGCTGTGGATGAGCAGCGGGTGAGTGGGGCGAAGGTGGGGGAGCAGGGCTGGAGAGATGCTTAGTGCACCCAGACATACCAGCAACGTTAGGCTAGATGTTTATGGTATAGGGGGAGCAAATGGTCATCGAACGCAGCTTGACGAACCATGTATACGGGTTGAGCGCCTAGCTGCAGGCCGTGCACGTGAGCCGCCACCATGGCGGGGAAAGAAGTGCAGGTGACCCATGGGTCACTTGGACCCCAAGCCCTCTGTACCCCTCCCTCTGTGCCCTTTCCCTCACCCGCTTCCTCCCCCCCTCCCCCCGCTTTCCCAAGGCTACCGCGGTGCGTTCCCGCCACCCCTCTGCCTGGGCCCGGCGCGGCTCCGAGATAGCTGCTGAGGAGGCGGAACTGGCTCAGCGGCGGATGCTGACTCGGCACCTGTATGTTGGCAACCTGCACAGCCTGCTGGAGGAGCAGGTGGGGGCGGGGGGAGGGCCGAGGGCGGGGCAGGGGAGAGCGGGACAGGGAGGGAAGCCAACCATCCGACATACCGGCGGTATGGGCTCATCCATGGGTTCCCTCTTGACGCCCGACCTTCCCCCCGGACGCCCATTCCTCCCCTCTTGACGCCCGTCCCTCCCCCTCTCCACACCCACCCACCCCCCAGGGCCGGCGCCGCTCTGCCAGCCTGAGCAACGTGCACTGCTGGACGTTCTTCATCCGCATGGACTCGGAGCAGGACGAGCGGGACTTCATCGAGCGGGTGGTGGTGCACCTGCACCCCACGTTCAAGTAAGAAGGACGCAGAAGCAGAAGCAGCGGGGGGGCACCGGTAGTCAAGAGAATATGAACGAGTGCCGTTCCGATGATCTTAAACCGGAAGGCAAGGGGAGGCGTGAACGTTCTGATGACGAGGACGGTGGCAACCTGGAGAAGAGCGAGGGGAGGGAGGGAGCCATGCAGCCGCCATACAGACCTGCCTGCAACCGCCATCGCGCTATCCCTTCTCTCCCTCCCATGGCCCCCGCTCAATCCTGCTCTGCCCCCACCCGCCCCTCCGCTGTCCCTCCACCAGTCCCTCCGTGGTGGAGCTGCACCAGCCGCCCTTCGCGGTGCGACGGGTGGGCTGGGGCGTGTTCGTTATCCGGGCCGAGGTGCACTTCCGACCTGCATGGGGCCACCCGCCGGTGTGGTGCAGGTGGGGGCGGGGGCGGGGGGCGGCTTTGGGGCGGGAAAGTGGGTGGAAGGGGGCCGGAGAGCCGGTGGGAGACTGCGGCTTTACGAATGTTGTGCAACAGCATTCCGAATGTCGTACAACATGACGTCGTACTGCCTACGTCGTACTGTCCCTGTACGGCAGGTGGCTCCTGGATTTCGATGCGGGGGACATGGTGGAGGCGGAGCTAGAGTTCACGGAGCAGCTGCCGTCGCAACCGCCGCCGCCGGCTGCTGATGCTGCTGTACGACAACAGCCTGCCGTACAAACAGGCTCCGCCGCCGCCGGCGGCGCTTCCGCAGGTCCGAGCGGCGGAGGGAGCCGTGCAGGGGAGGGAAGCGCGGTCGCTCAACCGAACCCGCCGCCGCCGCCCACGCCTGCAGCTAGGCCGCCTCGAGGTGACGGCGGCGGCGCCGGGCCGTCGGGATCGGTTGTCGCGGGGACCGGCGGCGGCGGTGGTTCGGGTAGCGGCGGCGGCTGCTCCCGGCCGAGTGGTGACGGCGGCGGCGAGCGCGGTGAGGGCGGCGCGGGGGCTGCGTCAGACCGTGGCGGCGGCAGCGGCGGCGGCGGCGGCGGCGGGACTGCCGTGGCTCGGCCGGTGTGGATGTCACCCACGCTGCGGAGCCTGCTGGACGCCGCGACGGCGAGGGCGACCGGGGGCGGCCGTGTTAGCGACGGCGGTGCCGAGGCTGGCGGCACAGGAGGCGGGAGGCGTTCCGCCGGGGAGAGTCTTGACGGAGACGGCGACGGCGGCGGCAACGCTGCTGGCGCAAGCGGATCAGCGGCGGCGGCGGCGGCAGAAGGAGGGGGTCCTTGGACCGCGGCTCTGCCGCCGCCAATGCATGAAGATGCAGCGGCGGCGTCGGCGCCGCCACCACCTGGCCAACCGCTGGCGGCGGCACCAGCTGCGGCGGCGGCAGCGGAGCAGCCGCGACGCAGTAGCCTTCAGCTGGTGGGTCCACCGAGCGGTCAGATGGGCCTCATGCGGGACTCCTCGGCGGCGGGCGTCATTGACCGGCTGATGGAGGGGTACAACTCGGAGGATGATGACGAGGACTGGGTGTACGACAACGCGAACAGCAGCGGCAGCAGCAGCGACAGCGAGGGCGACGACTATGGCGAGGGCGGGGGTGCAGCGGGGGAGGGAGGCGAGGGCGAGGAGAGCGGGGAGGAGGGACGGCCTCGGGGGGCGCGGTTGTACGATAGTAGTGATGATTGGACGTGGGAGGAGTGAAGGGATGTGGTGGATTGGGGCTGTGATGCGGGTCTTCGGACGGTTGAAGGGTTGAAGGGGGCGCTGTACAACGATGTACAACGATGTCACGTGGATGTCAGTGGGTGGGGGTAGAGAGCATGCCTGACAAGGGGTTGCTTGGCTTTGCTAGCTTGCTGGATTTGAAGCAGTGGGATTGGGGAGTTGACGCGGGTTGAATACGAGGAGCCGGTCCCGTTGACGGCGTTTTGTGGCGAGGACGCAGGACGTACGTAAAAAAGAAGGGAAAACACCTGCGCTGAATTGAAATGTGTCCCCCTGGTTGGCGTGCGCTTGTTGTCGGTGGGGTTTCCTGGGGTAGCACTGGAAACGGTTCTGCGGGCGACTTTGTTGTTACTGAAGGACGGTTGGCAGCTTTGGGCAGCCTGAGAGGTAGCAGCTTTTGAGCCGTTGCTGCTGTCATGTACTGCCAGATACTTAATCCCTCCTTGCCCCGACCTCTTGTACATCGCCGGGAGTGTTGAGGAGTTGCTGTAACGCATGTAACGCTTCTGTATGATAGATGGGTGGACAAAAGAAGGCAATGGTGGTAACCTCCGGTATTCACAGTACGATAACTGCGTTGCAGAAGGGTGCTTGCAAAAGGCCTCTCGTAGAAAGGTAACCAATAAAAGCAACCAGGCGTAAAGACGTATGCCCTAACAGTCGTAACAGACCACCACCACTGATGTCCTCCCTCCCCTTGTTCTTTTAGGGTGCTCACAAGCTCCCAAAGCCCTCTCATTCGTCACATCCACCTCCTTGCATTAAAGTCCCACTGTGCACCAGCACAAGAAGCAAATAATAAAAACACCACCACTGGTTACTCCCTTCCTCCAGGCAACTCATCGTCTCCGGCCAATCTTTACGCCCCCCTTGGCCGAGGCCCCCCGCCGGGCCCGCGCCGCCGCCGCCTCCGCCGTACAGCGGCTGCAGCGGCACACGAACCCATAGTCCGCTAGCTGCGCTTGGCGCTGCTTGTACGGCAAGGAGACGTCGATGTACGACAAGGTGATTTCCTCGCCTGCGGGGATGTCCCGCTGAGCCAGCACGGTGACGGTGCGGTCGCCGGTGTCGCAGGCGGCGGTGCAGTTGGGGTCGCACGAGTGGTTGATGCAGCTCTGTTTGGGGGGGGGCGGGGAAAGGAATGCGAGGGAAGGGGTGCGGAGGGCTGTCAGTACCCAAGCTCTCAGGGCGCTGCGAGGTACAAGTCCCCGAGAAGCCATGAAAGGGAGGACACGTAGGAGACCGTAGGAGAGGGGGCATGAAGAGCTTGCCGTGCAAAAGCTCCTGCCAACAAGCGGGACCCCCAGGAATAGGCAGAGTCCCAAATCCGAGTCCCCATGCATGCTAGCATGCCGCACCAGCACCTGCAGCACCAGGGCCGCCCGCACACACCTGTATCGCCAGGAATGCAGTGGCCTCGCAGGGGGTAGCGTAGTCCGAGTCCAGCGCGTCTAGCAGCGGCTGAGTCACCTGTGGCAGGCGCCATGACGTGCGTGATGCGCCAGCACGGATGCTATGGTCAGTCATGTTACGGGGCTCAGTTAACACAGCATAGATGCACAGTCCTGACTAGTGTTTGGTACGCATGAAACAATGGCGGGCAAGACGGAGAAAAAGAGCAATAGGGGGCGGTAACCAAGCTGCAGCTGGGTTGTGTGCTCAGACAAGCCCCCTCCCTTCCGCTCCATGTGTCTCACCCGCACCACCGCCTCCTTCTCCGCGCCCTCCTCCATCTCGTCCACCGCCAGGAAGAAGTCCTCCACCGGGGAGGACACCGACAGACCCAGGTTGTTCAGCTCAAACATGCCCACGATGCTGCCGTACACCTGGTGTCGTACAGCGGATAGGGGAGGGGGTAGCGGAGGGCGGGATCAGGGTTATGATTGGACCAGAGGGCAAGAAGAAAGGAAGGGAGGGTCTGTGGGTTCGATGGGGCATGACCGGGCAGAGCTCGATGGGATGGGTTCAGGAGAAGTTGTTTAGGAGAGCGCGGGACGGTGTAAATGCGGAAGGAAAGGGAGGCCGACGGGGATGCCTGAATGGGAGGCGGGGAGTCCTGCCTTGCGGCTGCTGTAACGCACCTGCAGGTTGAGGAGGTCAGGGCCGAATCGTGGGTCGCTGATGGCGGCTGAGAGCAGCTCCAGCGAGTCGGACGCGAGCTCCCTGTGGTTCAGACAGGCACAATAGATAGTGGGTTAGGTAGTGAGTAATAGATACTCTCAACATGGGTTGAGAGTATGGGTTAAGACAGTCCATATCACTGATATCAGTACGTACAAATGCAGGGACCTGGGCATAGATAGAACGGTTCTACAAAAGGTTCATCGGTGCCAGACTATGGTGGCACCTGAGACGCAACCTGAGACCAGCGAAGACTCCTCAATCCATCATCCCGTAGTCCCACATCACAAACACCCCCATCCCCCCTCATCCTCCCCACCTCAGCTGACCCCTGAACTCCTCCTCGTCCTCCACGTCATCCGGCACCGCCACCGCCTCCCACCAGCAGCGCTTCCAGGCGAACTGGTACGGCCGCCAGGCTGCCGACAACGCCGCCGCCTCCGCTGTCGCCCCCTCCTTAGCAACACCCGACGATGAGCACGTCGCTACCGCAGCCGCTGCCGATGAGCCTTCGCTCGGGGCGTTCGCACATGAAGATGTTGCAGCTGCAGCCGCTGCTGAGTCCTGTGCTGGCGCAGAAGGAGCCGTCATGGAGCCGGTGTGCTGCAGGGCCTTGGCAGCTCGCAGCAGCGTGGCAGCCACCACCTGCGCCGCTAAGAGGAAGATCTCGTTGGTTTCGCGAGCGTGCTGCGCGAATGCGGCCATGGCACGGCGGTCCACGCGAATGCCGTACAACTCTTCAACAGGCCCCGCCTTGCCTCCTGCTGATGTCGTTTCAGCAGCAGCAGCAGCAGCTGCGGAGGAGGAGGAGGAGGAAGAGCACGAGGCCTCCTCTGCTTCCCTAGCTGTTGTGGATGAGGAAGGACCTGCCGAACCCGACCCACATCCCGATGAGCTCCCTGCCCCTGCATCTGCATCCACCGCGGAAGCTGCCGCCGGCTCTTCCAGTGATGGGTCAGCAAGCGATGCTGTTACTGTGGAAGGCCCGGCCGCGGCGGGGTCGGATGAGCAGCCGGCAGCGGCGGACGGTTGGGTGGTTGCGGGAGGCGCCGCGGTGCACAGCAGGCAGTGGGAGTGCTGCCAGGACTCCTCCTCACAGGCGGAACTGCAGTACAGATCACCGCAGCCGCGCCGGCAGGGGACCTGCGGAGGGGGGCAAACCCAAAAAGAGGCAGCAGCATGGGCGTTTGGCGGTGCGTTAATGCCCAACGGCTGTCATTACTGGATACCGGTACCAAACAACACCAGCGAAGCCGATGCCAGAATCCCCAAAAAAACACCCAGCCCGCAGCACGGCAGCACCCAAGCGGTTCCTTTCGCGCGTGCGGCTTGCTCACCGGATGCGGCAGCTGGAAGTCCTCTGTCAGAGGCAGGCGCTCGGCTCCGGAGCTGAGGTCCTGGATGCGCTCGCGGCTCACGTAGGAGTAGAGCTGACACGCGGGAGGGAGAATGGGAGGGGAGAAGGGAAAGGGGGGGAGGCCAGGGAGGGAAGCGGTGGATGAGGGCATGTGGGTATGCTGGGAAGAGGACAACTTCCTGGTAGCCAGGGTAACTCAGGGAAATGTGGATATGCGGAGAGGAGGTCAAGGTAGGGAGTGCGGCGCGCGCTGGCATGCAGCATGCACGGTGGTGCGGACTGCGGAGGATGGGAGCGTCCCGGCTGAGGATCAGTTCGGCCTTTTTGATAAGTCATGTAGCGCGACCCCGACCCCCACCCCGGGGTAACCAGCGTGCCGCCACCCACCCGCGCTTTCGCGCAGGTACCTCCCCACGCCACCCATCACCGCCTATGTCGCTGTGCGGTTTCGCTGCTAACGCTGCCGCCAGCTGTGACTTCCGCTGGCGGCATTTAGGCAGTGAGACCAGTGTTAGGGGTGGTTTGTACTTGCCCTTGCGACAGTGGCCGCGGGAGTCTAAGCGCGAAAGCCGCTGGGGTTAGGCAAGCGGGGCGGGGGGCGAGTGGGGAGGCAGCGGGCAGCGGCATTATCTGGGCCCACGGGGTGAGAGTCGGAGCGGCCTCAGACCTTTTACTTTTCCTCGCATCATGTCCTCAGCCGGGGTTGCCATGGCCATCGGATTGCACGTTTATCGGTGACGGTGAGGAGCCCGGTAATGAGCGTCATGTGAGGTCCTAGCTTACGGCTTGCACACCCTCCTAGCGCGGTGACTCTGTCGTCAAATTTCGCATTCAACAGGATGCAGTAGCTGGTGACAGCGATCACTCTCGCGCATGCCGCCTTCGGTCTCTGTTCAACCCATAGCCCGTAACCCGACACCCTGCCCTGCGGCACCTGCTCCAAACGCTCGCCCGCCTCCAGGGCGCCTTCCAGATCCACCTCGTTGTCATCATCGCTGTCGCCATCCCCAGCAACACGTGTTGCATCATTCTCAGGAGCAGCCTGACGATAAGCAGCTTTGCAGTCGTCCACCAGGCAGCTTAACTTGTGCCCAATTTGGCGCTCAACGGTGCCTGTGCATTGAAACGATCTGTTTACAACGACTGCACCAAGCTGCGCGGTGATCAGGGGAACTGCGCAAAGCAGCAGCTGCACCTACCGATGAAGCGTAAGCAGAGATGGCAGACAAGCTGAGCTTTGTTCTCGGTGTGCTGAAGGCTGACCTGTGAGCCCACCAAACAGGCATGGAAGATACCATACACTATGCTTAAATACTATGCTTATATAACGTCAGGCTCACCATTCGTACTTTTTTTAAGCATGTGCCTTACCAGGGGGCGCTCCGTGAACACGGTCTCCCCCTCGCTTATATCGCGTGTTGCAACAAGGCCTTTCCCCTTTCCATCGACGTCAAGTTGCACTTCGATAGGCGGAGCTCCAAGACTTTTGAGGACCTGCGCCGCCGAACCAACTACCCTTGAAGTGCGGTCGCATGAAGTCTAGAAAGTTATCACCTCACCTCAGCATAGTGTGCAAGAGTTGAGTCATTATTTGAGGTCTCTAAGCCCTGCAGCCGCGATGACATGGCCCCTCCCTTTATTACAGTACAGTTGCTCGCTTTGCTGCTTGTCGCTAACGTGTCACAACATATAAACGTGGGTAACATGCAACGCAGTCCTTTCAAGGATTTATTGATGTACCAGGATGGAGCTCAGCCAGGAGGACCAGGGTACTGGGCGCATTTGAAAGATGGGCGGCGAAAGGCGAATAATCACAGGCGAAATAGGCGAAGAAGGCGAGCAAGGCGAGCTGTACGGCAATGCTATTTTGGTTTGTTAGCGCTCGGCTAAGCCCTTTCCGTGTTGCAATTCACCGTATCTAACGCTTTCCTTGCCCTTCTGTTTATTGCATCACCAGTTTATGTTCCAGTCCGGTTTCAAGGTGTCCATCTGACCATCACGACCGACAACTTGACAGTAATAGCTCGACAAATCGCTTCATTCATTCTTGTTCGTAGTAAGTTCATTGTAGCTCACACGTAGTTCATTGTAGGTTCAAGCACGCCCGAGCAGCCTGCGTGCCAACCCCTAAAGGTCATACATACCCAACCACAAACTTGCGCATGCAGCGCCTATCAACACGCGCTTGCTACGATTCTAGCCAAATTCAGGTTCCTGAACGCCTGGCCGAGCCCACGGGGAGGCAGAGAAGCCCTGGGAACGGGCTCTAAGGGGCAAATGTTCAGCAAGTTTCAGTACGGCAAGGCTGCCGTACGGGTAATTCGCCTTTCCGCCAACTTGGAAGGGCCCGGCAGGCGAATAGGCAAATTGCGGCGAAATCGTACTCGGCGAATAACTTGCCTTTCGCCCAGTACCCTGAGGAGGACTACACCACTTTACCGTTAACGTACCGTACATCACGTCTGCTGGGCCCGCATATCCTAGCATCACCACGATTAGAGCCCCTCCTCACCACTTGCAGAAAACGCATCTGTCCATTCAAACTAAGGATTACCTTCTAACAAGCATTCATTGGCAATCTCGTACGCCAGTGTAGTGTCCGGTGCTGGCTTCCACCGTCCGGGTTCCTGACCCTCTAAAGCCGCAGTTAACACCCCAAGGGGAGAAGGGCGACCCGCATACGGCATACCCCACCCAAATCGCTCCGCATGCAAAGCCAGCGCGGCCCGCAACGCAGATGCTACTGCCCCACGATCCTGCAAACCGCGCATCATGTTTCGCCATCGTAAATGTCGTCCTTAGGTATGCAAGCACGCGTCAATTAAACGCAAGAGTCAGCGTAAACGCCACGAACGCCCAACCGTCATGCCCCATGCTACTTTGTCGCCCTGCATAGCATCTCCACAGCTACATACCGAGACTTATGTGCAAGTGCACGCACGCTACAAAGAAAGAGCCTATCTACCTCATTTGGGTTTTAATGCGAAGATCTAACGTCCACGCACGTTCCTTGGGTGATTGGGGTTTCGAGACCTACCCAATGTCGCATCGCAAGCAACAAAAGGTAGAAAACACAGCCACCCCTCCCCACTTCTAGAAAGTATCCATAAGCCTCGTCACTTTCAGCGAGTCCTATGAACAGGTGTACAGTACAAAAGGCGCAAAATTCCATGCAGGCAAGAGCCATCCGCGCTACAGCACGCTATGCTGATGCAGGACCCACCTCGTCCCTCTCTAATCCCCCCATCCCCCCACTCCCAGCCCACCGTACGAACAGTCAAGACGGCCCTCTAATAGGCACGGCGGTCGCTAGCCCCCGAGCCACTGAGAGGCGTCCCGAGGAGTCCCGGAACGCAGCAGGGCATGCACAGTTGCTCTCTCAGCAGCAGCAGCAGCAGCAGCCACATCCATGTGGACAAGACACGGGACGCATGAGCCGCTTGCCGGGCACTTCAGCTTCACCTCCCGTCCAATCATCCATGGTCATCCCGGAGAGCTCAGGCTGCTTGCACAAGGCTGGTGAGTCGCCTTGGACCCATCCTCCAACCAGGTCAAGAGTGGTCATCGGCAAAGGTCGCCTTATCCCACGGCCTTACATGCCGCAGGACCAGGCACTTCGAGCCCCCCCCACCCTACACGCCTTCCCTCCACTCCTGGAACACCCTTACGCCCGCACCCACCACCCCGCTCCCAAAGTCGCAAGCCCCACCCCACTCTCGCCGGACTGCCTACACCAGATGTCTTTGCAGCGCTGCAGCCTGCGTCGCTGCTGCTGCCGCCGCCACCGCTGCCGTACCCGACGACCCAGATGACATCGATCCTGCGGAGCCCAACCTCGGATGGTCTTCCCCTAGGGAGTCACCGGTGCCCGCCCGCACCAGGCCGGATGCCCCGCCGCTGCTGGATGCCAGCATGCGGCGACCTTGATGCGAGTGGAACGAGCCCACAGCGGAACGAAGCCCCCCGGCGGAGCCATTGCTGGCCAGCACGTCCCCCCACAGCAGCTGCACCACCTGAGGTGGGTGATGGAGGGTGGGGGAAGGAGCACGATAAGAGGAGCAGCAGGGGGACCAGCCTACGCTCGAATGCAAACATGGCTTGTGAGGACCTTTTCTGGGGGTACGCATGCGACACGTGAAGGTTCCCTTTACGAAATTTGTGCGTACCAAATGCGGGAGGGAGGTTACGACCCGCCCTGGTCACAGCAGCCACCTCTCCAGACACATGCTCCGACCCAGTTCGCCCCGACCCACATCACCCCGCCCACCACCACCCACAATGATGGATATGTTGTCCGCTGCTAGGCGCTCCTCCCACTCCAGAAGTGCCGCCTCCAACACCGCCTGACATGCCGCCTCCGGCTCCCCCGCGTCCCCCACCAGCTGGGCCACCGTGTCGTTGCTGAGCACGTCCCACACGCCGTCCGAAGCCATCACCAGGTACTGATCTGCGGGCATGCAAGGGTGAAGCAGAGGCATGCCGACAAGGTGGGTGAAGCAGAGGCTTGACGACATGGCGGGTGAAGCAGAGGCATGACGGCATGGCGGGTGAAGCAGAGGCATGACGGCATGGCGGGTGCGACTGCGGGTGCAAGCAGGAGCATGGCAGAAGCCTGTAGAAGGTTACAGGAGCTGGCGTGTAGCTCATCCTACCGTAGCCCACAGCTACATGCTGTGCCCGGCATCTCATCAGTGCCGCGACCCTTCCTCCTCCTACCATGCCTCCTCCCAGCCTCCCAGCCCTACACAGCTATTGCCGCAGAGCGGCAACCCCCAGCCTGGACTGCCCCGTCTGCCTGGCTGCTCGTGTCCCACCTAGGAAGGGCCTGAGGGCCATGAAGGTGATCTCCGGCCGTGCCGTACAGCCCACTGACGTGGCCATGTCATCCCCAATGGACCGAGACAGCAACAGCCCGGGGCTGGGCAGGTGTGCCAGCCACAGCCGCGGCTCGCCTACCGTCTTGCCGCTAGGCAAGCGCTTCGGCTCTACCCGCCCGCCCGCAGCTTCCACCCTGCGAGCCCGGGGGTCAAGGGAAGACGACTGGATGAGGCAGGTAACCGGGCTTCACATGGGTCGCTGGCGGTAGGCAGCAGTAAGCTTCACTGCTTGCTATTAAGAGCCCCTTCCGGTGCATGTCTGCATGTTTTGCCGACGATGTGCACGCTGGGCGCAGAGGAAAGCACCCATGTCCGCCCCCAAAACGTCAGCGCTTGACCCAGCAGTAAGCGCTGCCCTGGCGCACCTGTACTTTTCAGTCCTCCGCGACGGCCGGTGGTCCAGTGTCAGCGGCTGCACCTTCCACTGACTGTCCACATGCGCCAGGCACAGCACACGGGAGTCCCCCGCGGCTGCCACCCACACGCTGGAGCGGTTCTGGAACACCACGCTTGCCGTGGTGCCGCTGCTCGACACGTTGATGCCCGCCTGCAGGTTGGGGGTTGAGGGGTGCTTAGGCATGTCAGCGACCGCCAGCGGTTTGTAACCGGGGGGTGCAGCGCCGCCTGCAGTTGACGTTTGTGATACCGGGGGCAGCTTAGGAAGCGAGTATTACACTGGAGGACCAACCAGTAAGGAGTCCGTACTGGCCAGTCGTTAGGCATGTCAGCGACCGCCAGCGTTTTGTAACCAGGGTGCAGCGCCGCTTACAGTTGGCGTTTGTGAAGGCCGGTAGCCTGTGTCATGCGCGCTGCATACACACCGTACCTGGTGTAAGCGCCGCTCCGTTTCCACGAAAGCATCGCTAATGATGGGCTCTATGAGCTCCTTGGCGTTGGGGTCTTTGATACCCTCCGCCTGCAACGGGGGGGGGGGTTGATGCGGTTGGGTGAGTTGGGCCGTGTGACAGTGCGCGGGGGCGGTGACGGGTTGATGTTGGGTGGGATATACTGGTACTCACCGCGGCTTTGCTGTAGTGCTTCCGAAGCTCCTGGTCAAACCAAACCGGCAGCTCTTGTCTGCAAAACTGCGCTGCATCACGCCCGTAGTTGCCGTGACCTGGAAGCACAGCACTCAGCACTCAGTATAAGACAAGGCAAGCAAGGGCCGGTTTGTTTGTGTCGAGGCAAGTAGCCACGGCGCCTCACCGTCAAATATGCAGTAGCAGCAACCGTCCTTTTGCCCACCGAAGCCCCCAACTTGGCAGAAATACTCGTCCTGATTTTCCTTTTTGAGTGGACCGAACCCTATGTGTTTCAAGCCGGACGCCTGTGGGGGTGTGGCAATAAAACCTGGTCAGGTTTCCAGTTCGACGTCAGCCATCCATGACCGCGACAGGTACCTACCCGAGTTTCAAGTTCGACGTTGGACGCTGGGATCTGTGGAAGGGACTTTTGAAGCAGAAAATGACTGTGTTCCTCCGCTGGAGGAGGCGGCACTTCGAACGACTGCACTTCAACGCCCCCAAACTGCACCCCGCGACTGGAAGGCCGTTGCTGCGCTGTATCCGATGACGACGACACCGACCCATGAACTGAAGATGGCAAGTTTCCTACAGAATCCCGGGCTTCCTGCATTTCCTCCAGCTCCACGGCTGTGGCGTCAGCCGCATTTGTGGACTCTGCCGGCTTGGCCTGTAAAGTCCCGGTCGCTGGCGATGATTCCCAAGCTGGCACTGGTGCATTCACGTTACTCGCGGTGGCTTGATCACCGCTAGCAGGACAATCCTGAAGGATGATGTACCCGTCGATGTGTGTGACAGCACGTTCCATTTCGCCCCTGGCCCTCAACAATATATGTTATGTAATTGATCGCACCTTACTTTGCAGGCAACCCATGTGCACGGGTGCCTTCTCCGCTCCCCGCTAAGCGCAGTCTGGCTTTAATGATACCATCTTAAGGCATGACAAAGGGCGTAGTGATACTCCTAACTGTAGAAAAAGAAAATCTTGGCGTCGTGTGTATGGTGTTATCTTGCTCGCTGCAAAAGTGTTTCCCTTTTGCACAAAGTATTTGCTGCAGTGGAGCTCTACGTGACAGCAACTCATGACGCAGTTAGCATCCCCTTTTGCACGCAGAACACGCTTGGGTGACCATATTGTAAGTACGGCGTTGCGTCGTGCGACTCCCACTGGGAACGTAGCCCAAACAGAAAGGGAATTCCTGTGACTATTGTTATTTAATAATATGCGATGATCAGCGGTCTTTGGGCCAAACACGAATCTATACAGCCTTGGTTGGTATTACTTCGGTCATAGGGCGGCAAAATATGTTGTTTATGCTTAGAAGTTTACTGCAAGATAACACCAACTCTTGTGCAAATTGATGGAGCCGTAACCTGCCGCTGGCGTGGTGTGAACCAAGCCGCAGCAGTTGCACAGCAGCAGCCAAACAAAAGGCTGCAGGCCATAGCCTAAAGGGCTACAACGGATGGCATTTGGGGGTATGGACCTCGAGGTAAGTAAAGCTTACTCCGCGGCCCGCGGCCTTCGTATCCTTGCGCGTCTGGCACATGCCTACCTTGTGGCCTGGGCCTGGAACGATCACGGTTCCTGGCCGCATGTTTTACGGCTTATCATCCTTCTGCATAAACCAAATGTTGTATCCCTAGTACCGTCTTCCCGCGGCCTCACCTCTTCCCTCTCCAACTGCTAGCCGAACTCCGTTAGGTACCTTGTCCTCCGCGGTCCTTGACTGTCCTCAAACCTGTGCCATATCCGCGCCGCACAAAGGCCTCCCCACAACTCAATCCTCCCATCGCACGCAGGCTCTAAGGGCAGAGCTGACAGCTGCCCGGCAGGAGCGTGCGGCGCTGCTGCAGCAAGTGGTGGACATGGAGCCCCTCGCCATGCAGACGGGGGCGCCAGATGCGACAGATCCCAGCGCTGGGACGCAACAGGAGGACGGTGGGTGATAACGCTGGGCTAGGATCGCGTGCAAGGCAGACTTACCCGGGCAACGTGGCTACTCCCTGCCGTCTTCCCTGCTGTCTCCGCTTCCCAACCTGTGCTCTTTCCGCTCACGCAGGCTTCCAGGGCTTTCCTCCCGGGTCGCTGGGTCAGGGCTGGGGCGGGGCTCCGGTGGTTGAGGCGCAAACCAGGGCGGTACGGAAGCTGAGCTGGGGCACCCCGCGGGGAACCACAAGTAAGGCATCCGGTCGAGAAAATTAGAAAGGGAAGAGGGGTGTTGCTTGCGGTCACAGCATACACGGTGGTGTTGCCTGTGCGTGATGGTCTTGATAGAGGGCAGGAGCATGGCATAGTTGTTAGGGGGCCAATGGTAGGAGATCAGTGCCTGTTGTACGAGGGCTTGCGTACCGGTAAGCAGAGGTATGTAGACTGTCAGCTTGCATACATGCTCTGGTCTCATTCCCATGTCCTCTATCGGCCCCCCTCACCACCTCCTCCCTTCCACCACAGGCCTTTCCGCCAGCACTTCCATCTTCACACCCCTCTCAGCAACAGCTGCGTCGCCCATCCCTTTCGAAGGCGCCCCTGTTGGCGCGGGAGGAGCCTGGCAGCCAGCTGGGGGCTGGCACGTGACGGGCCCCTCGTCGCGCCCTGGGAGCGACCCGCCCGCCCCAAGCGATGCCATGGCCGACATGGGCATCGCAGCCGCCGCCAGCCCTCCGCGACGTGCTTCCAGCGCTAACGCGGCGGGGGCAGCGCCGTCGTTCTTTGGTACGGCAACGGCGTCGACGGGGATAGCAGCAGCGGCAGCGGCGGCGGCAGCAGCAGCAGGGGGGCCGGGGCCGGCGGATGGTATGGATAGTGCAAGAACCGGCGGTGTGACGGTGTCAGATGTCGTCGCAGCAGGGGCGGGGTCGCCGTCTAGGGAGGCCGGCGGCTCAAATCCCCATCCGACGCCACCACTTCCTCCCCAGCCGCCCTCCTCGGCATCCCAGCTGCAAGCCGCGGTGTCGTCTCCCCGTCCGCAGTCCGCTTCGGTGGTCGCATGGACCTCCAATCCTGGCGGCATTGGCTCCATGGCACCCTCCGCTACTGCTGTCGCTGCAGCAGCGGCCGCCGCAGCAGCAGCAGCCGGGTGCCGTGCTAACCCCAGCCTAAACACAAACATGGGCGGCCTGGGAGGCCTCGTTGGCGGCGGCATGAGCAGCTCTGTCAGCGGAGCCGTTGCGGGTGGCAGCGGCAGCGGCGTTGCCAGCCCTGGCGGTGCTATGGGCGCCATGGGTTTCCCAGCCGTGAAGCTGAGCGCTAGTCCCGGACGCGCCGCCGTCGCGGCGGCAGCAGCACGTGCGGCGGCCGCTGCAGCGGCGACGGCGACGACGGGACAGCCCAGCGTGCCCTGGGCGGCGCACCACGGCGCCAACCCCGCGGGTGCCGGGATTGACTTGGAGGCACATCGTCGAGCGGTGCTCAAGGTAAGCACTGGAGAATAGGGTGCGGCTAGCTGCAATATTGCAATAAATCCCCAATAAGCGTTAATACTGAATACTTTGTTGTCCGTACATTATTCTCGTACAATAGGAGGTCTTGGCCGCCGTACTGGGCGAGCCCGTGGGTTCTGCAAAGCTGGAGCACTTGCGGCTGGACGTGGAGACGGTTGCCGCCTACGTGAAGCAGCGTACGGCAGAGGCAGCTGCCGCGGCTGCGTCGGAGGCGGAGGAGCGGGTGCGGGCGGGGCAGGCGGAGCGGCACGCGAAGGCTGTGCGGGCGGCGGAAGAGGCGCTGAAACGTGACATGGAGGAGGCCCGGAAGAACATGGAGGAGGAGAAGCGGCGGGTGATTGTGAAGGTATGGTTTGGGGCCTGGAAAGGGAGGGCGTCAGTGGAGAGTTGGGGCTATAATGGATGGTGGCCAGCATGGAGGGAGGGCGGTTGTACTCTTGTGGGGTGTGTGAGGAGTGTCCGGTAGACACGGCTTTGTGGTATTGTCAAAAGCGAAAGCTGCTCGCCCTGTTACCCATGTGCGTGCATTCGTACCCCTCGCACGCCTCCGCAAACGAGCGCCACTCCCCCAATGCCGCCGTGTTGATGAAGAGTCCCATGCCTGCCCCATGCACCTCTGCTGCCTACCTGCTGCTGCCCTGTGCTCCCCTTCCCAGTGTGGTGACGGCTTATCACACGGTCAATTAGTTGTTTCTTCCTTACCTCCCCCGTGCTCGCCTCACAGCTCGACAAGCTGCGAGGTCAGCTGGCGGACGCGGAACGAGACCGCAAGTCGCTGACGGGCAAGTCGGGGCAGCAGGCGCGCGAGCTGCGGGAGGCCAAGGAGGCCCTACAGGTGTGTGTGGGGGGAAAAAAAGAAATTCCAAAGTGTGGTATGAAATTCCAAAGTGTGTGTGGGGGGGTGCGAGGGTGCGGATAAAGCGCCGGCAATAAGTACCGGTACCATCCGCGGAAAGCAAGGCTGGTGGTGATGGTGGTGGTGGTGGTGATGTGTTTTTCGGCTGGGACCTTCAACCTGGACGGGGCACATCGCCGCATGCATGCGAGGCGGACACAGCCCTCGGGCGTGTTACGGTCGCTCACGCCTGCTTTTCCGCATTCCGCATTTACCAACCTGTCGGGCCCTCCTGCCTCTGCAGCTCTCCAAGCACCTGATGAGCACCGCCCAGACGACAGCCGACCAGAAGGCCAAGGCGCTGGCACGCGTCCAGGCGGAGCTGGAGAAGGTACGGACGGAGGCGGCAGCGGCGGCGGAGGCGGCGGAGATGCATCTGGCGGCGGCGCGTGAGGAAACGGCGGCGGCTCGACGGGTAAGAAAAGACTACTGTGTTGTATCCTTGCCGCACTCATCTAGCTGAGCTTCTTGTCAGCTGCGTGTGCTGTAAGCTTAGTGTCTTGCGGGTTTTGGTGAAGGGCGTGCCGGTGGCTGAGGGGTCTTCCTGTCTCTCTGCATGCAGGACGCGGTGGAACAAGTGGAGGCGGCCGAGGTACGTGCCGAGGCGGAGGCGGAGGCGCATGCCATGGCGGCGGCACATGAGGCAGCGCTGGCGGCGGTACGAGCGGAGGCGGCGGCGGCGGTGGGGGCGGCGGAGGCGGCGTGGCAGGCGATGGCGCAGGCGGTTGAGGAAGTGGTGGCGGAGGCAGGCCGGGTGACTGGCGACGTTAGTACGGAACTAGCAGAGGTGCAAGCAGAGCTAGCGGTGTTGAAGGTAGGTGACGTGGCTAAACGTGCGTTCAGCACCCGTGTGCCAAGACAACCAAGCCGTACATCTGCACTAGTGTGTGTAGAGCCGAGCTGTACGTTTGCAGCCGGCAGCACTTCACCTGTGGCCAGCTGAAGTACGGGTCTGGAAGGGGTTTCCACTTCCTTTCTTTCACCATACCTCCCTCCATTTCTTGCGCTGTGCTGCTTTCCTTGCCCCGCCCACTTTCCCACGTTCCCACATTCCGCACCTCCCTCCATCTCGCAAACCCCCGCAACCCCGCCAACCTGCTGCCTGGACACGCCCAGACCGACCTTACCTCCATGCGCGCCGCTTTCCGAGAGGAGCTCCGAGCCATGCGTGACGCCGCCTACGCCGCCATCGGCGGCTTCCACGCCGCCTGCCGTACCGCTGCCCGCGCGCATGCCGAGCGTACGGCACAACTGCTTGGCTTGGACGAGACGCTGAAGCGGCTGGGGCCGGGCGGCGTGGCGCAGCTAGTGGCGGAGGTCGAGTCGCTGAAGGGGCAGCTGGCGGAGGCGAAAGCGGCGACGGAGCGCGCGGCGGCGGAGGCAGCAGCGGGGTCGGCGGCGTACCGCCGCGCGGCGGCGAATGCGGAGCTCAAGGCGCGGGAGCTTCAGATGATGGCGGCCTCGCATGGCGACCTAACAACGGAGCTGGCGGCTGTGCGGGCGCAGGCTGCGGCTGCGCAGGAGGAGTGCACGGAGCTGCGGAAAGCGAGCGAGACGCTACGTTCGGAACTCCAGCAGGCCAGGGATGAGGCAGCGCAGAACAACGCGGCCTTGCGGGCGGGGCGCCGCGAGCTCGAGGCCGCCATGGGGGCCTTACAGCGGTCGGAAGCGGCGGCGGCGGCAGCGCGGGTGGAGGCGGAGCAGTGGAAGTCGTCAGCCGCGGATCACTTGGCGGCGGGGCGGCAGGAGGCGACGGCGGTGGCGGCGACGCTGCTGGCGGAACTCCGCGACCGTTACTTTCAGACGCTGCCGCTACCCGCCGGTACGACAGGAGGTACGGCGGCGGCGGCGGCGCGTGGGAGTCCCTCGCGGCCCCCTCCTGGCGGCGGCGGCGGTACAGTGCCAGAGGCGGAAGGCAGTGCTGCCGCCGGCGGCGGCGGCGGCGCCAAGGACGCGGCTGACGGCGGCAGCAGTAGCGTTGGCGGAGGCGTTTCTGAGCTGGAGGCAGCCGTTGGTGTACGGCTGTACGACGTAACGCATGATCGCGTGATGGCGGCGTTTGAAACGTACCTGTCGCGTCAGGCGTTATTGGCGGGAGCGCCGGGCGATGTGGCGGCGGCGGCAGCTGAGGGCAGTGGCGAGCGAGACGTCAGCCCGCTGGTGCGGCGGAGGTCGTCCTGTCAATGCATGTACCATTGTCGTGCCTCATGCCTTTCTCAAACTTACGTAGCTGTTCATGGGCTCACGCTGTTTTCTCCAGGATATGGTGTCTCCTCCTAACTCCCTCCTGCTGTCCTTTTCCCTCTTGCTTTGCTCCTCCTTCCTCCCTTATCCCAGCGCTCCCGGCTGCCGGAAGCTCCTGCCGCTGCCTTCGGGGCCGCTGCCGGCTCGCTTTCCCCTGTGCCGGGTGCTCCCATGCCTGGGGTGCTTCTGCGACCCATGGACCCAGCGCAGCAGCAGCAACAAGCCCATGTCGCAGCCGCCGTGGCTGCTGCGGCCGCGGGCGGTTGGCAGCGGCCGTTGGTTTCGGAGGTGGTTTGGTTGGAGGGCTGCTTGCTGGTAGCTCTGCTGGACCTGCGGCTCAACGGCGGACGCAGCAACGGAGCGGGAAGCGGCAGTGTGGGCGGGAGCGGGAGCAGCGGGGGCGGAGCCAACCGAGAGGGCGGTCGGGAGGTAGGTCTTATAGGACGTGACGCTGCATGCCTCATCGTCACAACCGCTACGCTGCTTTCGTGTACGTTATGTTGGACGTCCATTTGCCTCGCATGGCTTAGCTCCCAACGCTTTTTGCTTGTTCCGTCCTCTCCCTCCAACCCAGGCCTCGAGCTCCTCCCGCCCCAACTCCTCCTCCACCTCCGGGGCGAGCACATCAGCCCAGCAGCAGCAGGCGGTGCGTGGCCTCGTCGCCCAGCTCGTTCGTACGATGGCTTCGGAGCGCCGTCAGCTCATGCAACGTGTACGGCAGCTGCAGGCCGGCGGCGGCGGCGGCTCGGGGCTGCTGCCGCCGTCGCATCCGTCGCCGGTATCCTTCCTGTCGTACGCTGGCGCGGGCCGACGGACACTGGCGCTGACGTCACCATCAATGGCGGCGGGGCCGGGTCGAGGCAGCGGCGGCGTCGGTGTACGAACGGCGTCGCTGACGGCGACGTTGGCGGCGATCCCTGGAGCCGGGCCCAGCCCTTCCGCCTTGACGTCGGAGCTATCACGGTACAGCACAGGTCCGTACGGCAGCACCGCCTCCGCCGCCGCTGCGGGCTTGTTGGATGTGGAGATGTCGACGACGTCGCAACGCCGAGGTGGCGGCGGGCGCGGCGGCGGCGGCGGCGGTGGCAACGGCCGCGCCGGCGGCGGCGGCGCCGGCGCCCTGCTCTCCACCAGCTCCACATCACCCGTACGCAGCAGCGTGCGTCGCAGCACAGACACCGACGCTGTCCTTCCGGCACCCCTCGCAAACCTCTACAAGTCCGAAAGCGGCGGCATGGCCCTTCCTGCTACGACCTCCATGCCGGCCGTGCCGCTGCAAGCTACCAACTCCGAGTGCCTGCTGCCGCCGCTGCCCGGCAATCACTACCACCCCACGCAGCATGCCGGCCACAGTCCCGGCCACAGCCCAGGTCCTGCACAAGGCCCCTGCTCCCATGCTACCGGCGGGGGCCCTGGAGCCCCGTTGCAAGCACCCGACATGGATGAATTGATGGATGTGTTGCAGGTGGGTGAGCCGCTGGCTGGTACGGACGTGGCTTTTGGTAGGCAGGGGGCGGGGTGTGTGTGACGGGGTGGGTGCTAGTGTTAGTGCGGCCATGGAGGGAGTTGGGCTAGGGGCAGGGCAGGGCAGCTGTCAAGGACGAGTGGCCGTGATGACACACAACGCGGCAATTGGAATTGGGTGTCGGGTGGAGAAGGGGGGGGCTTCCTGCAGCGGCCGAGAAGGCGCTCGGCGGGCAGCACATGCAGGTAGGACGGCTGGCCGGGCGGGCGAGCGGACGCGCGCCAAACACTTCTGTCCCGTGCAGCAGCAGCAGCAGCAGCAACAGTTCTTGAACAGCGGCTGCAGAGGGAGCACCAGCTAAGCAGCTCCAGCAATGGCGTGGACTGTGGCGATCTAGGCGTCCCTGCACGGCGGATGCGTCCCGCAGGTACCCTTGCCCCCATGTCCTGCGCCTTTGGTGTGCGGCCGTGATGTGTGACTAGGGCGAACCCTGGGCCTGACTGCACACTGTCCATCCGCTGTCTTGAGACCCTTCCCCGCTGCACCTGCCTTCCCCTCCAAAGAGTAGACCTGCTCCCTGCAACTTACCCGCAGGCTGTTCCTGCTTTCCCGCAGTCCTCCCATTTACTACACAACATTGTATATGTACCGTACCCCACAACACCCTCGCCTCCCTTCCTTCCCACAGCCCCCAAACCCTCTTCCCTTCGCCCGACGTCCTCCTTTCCACCCACCCCTGCCTTGCCCCTCCCTTCCCGGCCAGTACCCCTACTCGGGCCGCCCGGACCGTCCTCGAGCCCGAAAGGCCCCTCGGGTCCACATCGAAGACCGACCGGACCCCAGCCGCCCCCTCAGGGCCGACGCACGGAGTACCGGCAGAAAACAGGCGATCGCCTATAGATCTAAAGCCAGTCCTGCTCGCGCCCCTGCACCCAAATAACGCACGTATCGCGCCAGCCCTGGCGGCCCCACACCCTCCTCCCAGACATCGAGACCATCGAGGGCTGAGGCTGCTAGGTAGCACCCAACCCATTACCCCACCTCTGACTTTGGCTGTATTACTAACCTCCTAGGAGTCATCCCCCCCTGTGACGCTGCCCCTGTGACGTGAGATGACCTGAGTTGGGAATGTCTTTATGCATCTTTCTTCATGCGTACCCTTCCCACACCTGTATTTGAAGTGTCTGACAAAGCCTGCTGCTCCCATCAATCCATGCTACCCTCACGCCCGTCGAACTGTTGAGGGCGCTGAGAGCGCTGGGCATCCTCACGCCTCCCTGACTGATAGGCTTGAATCCTTGTACTGCACAGCCTCGCACCGCCCTGCAACCTCCAGTGCATCCGAATCCTGCCGCCTGATCCTCCCCTGGTTGGCGAGAAAAGCAACTCAAGTCGTCTCCTCCCTGCACTCCCTACAACTACACACGACATGGTGCCTCCCATGTTTCCCGTTTCCCTCCATCCAGGCGTTGGACGCGTCCCAGTTCCGTCGAAGCCGAACATGGAACGGCCCCTCAGGGCGTCAGTCGGCCTGGGCTGGCTTGGAGGCCCCTGCACCAGGCGCGCCGGGACAACCAGCCGGCGGCGAAGGAGGCGAGGAAACCGACCCACGGGACGGCGGCTCGGCCGCTCGCCCAAGGCAGAACCCCTTTGCCACGCCGCCGCGGCCTCCGCATGGCAGCAGCAGGCCGCCGCTGGGACCTCTGGCCGGCGGTGCTGCGGCTGCTGCTGTTGCTGCTGCCGGCGGGTCAGACGCGGGTGAGGTCGTTGGTTCGGGACCCATGGGTCGCACCCCAGGCCGAACCGTAAGCTGGAGTTCCCCTGGAGTGAGCCCCATGGGAGGTATCGCAGCCGGGGCAGCAGCAGCAGCAGGGGGTGGTGGCAGCGGAGGCAGCGGCGTTGGTAGCGGCAGCCTAGCGGGTAGGGGCCGGGGGCCGGGTGGGAGGTTACACTCGGCAGAGGGAAGTGCCCATGCCACACCTACCAAGGTCAGTCCGTATTTGTTACCTCCTGGGGCGCCGAGGGGAGCCGGCGGAGCAGGAAGGTAGTGGGAGGTAGCGAGCGCATGCGGTTGGTTGCACCGTGGAAAGGCAGTACGTATGTGATACATAACTATGTAGCATTATAAATTGGCTGTTGCCGACGTTTGTGTGAGACCAGGGAGGGATATATAGCATTATTATGAGTGGTGTTTGAATGCTGATTAGTACTGATTAGTAGGGCCATGGGTTTTATGAGAAGTTTCGGAAGAAGGTGTTTCAACATTCAGTGAGATAGGGCGGAGGAACGGGTCGAGTCGAATACAAAGCGTCGTGCGCCATAGCCGCCGATTCGAAGAAACCCTTGGACTGGTATTGGCTGTTAGCAAGGTGAGGCACGTAGCAGACTGTACTAGTTTACGTTCATGACCAACAAGGATACCCATGACTGGTTAGTACTGGTTTGTTTGATTCTACGACCGTTACAAAGGCTGTGTCCTCAACCGTTAGGGGTTTCGGAGAATCCAATGTACCTGACATCCATGCTGCGTGTTTCCTCTCCATTAGTCCATCGTTGTGACGTACGTTTGTGAGCCTCAGCGGTTGCTCTGAAGCAACTTCTGGATGCGTGCATGTACATCCAACCGTTGCATGCCTGCCGCACGGTTAGGAAGGGCAAGCCGTGTTTACGTGCGCACGGGCATGTGCGGTTGGGGCACGCAGATAGCCGAAGTTGCGTTCTCATTTCCCTTCTTTTGGAGAGGATGTCCATAACCAAGGCGGCTGTACTGCCTTCATGAACACTGGAATGTCGTGTTTGAAAGGGGAGTTCGCTTCTCCTGGAGTCCTTCTGAGTTTGCGTTGTGTGTCCTTGATGACTACATTGAAGAGAGATTCTAGAAACTTCTTGAGCAATATCACTTTTGACATGGAAACTCCACCATATCTGGAGGCATGTGGATAACCATCACTAGGCATGTCGTATGAACGAATTGGTACGGCAGCGAATTGCGTGCCGTAGAGCCATATCGTGTGCTGGTGTGGCTGAGCTAGACGATGAGTAGTTGCATACTGCAGGTACATTTTGGCACTGCTGCGATCAAGATGCGCAAACTAGGAATGGTGATTAGCGGGTTTGGACGAGAGTTTGGATAAGGGTTACATACATAAGTACGATGGTTTGGGTTTGTTCAATGGAAGGGCCGAAAGCATGCATGATGAGAGCATGGGATAGCCCTGCAAACAACTTGACAGCGTTTGGCACCTTATGGATAAGGAGTGAAGTCGGTATTATGATGTGCATGGGTGTATGATATGGTAACGGCGAGGTGGAGAGGAAGTGTAGCTGCGGGCACATGTGAGGGGGGTCAAAGACCATACCTAACCTTAGGGGGGGGCTAGCCGGTTGCATTCTTGCGAAATCACATTAAGGTATACGCATTATCACGTGTTTTGCGCGGCGACCATTTGGATTGTCAGGTGACACGCCACATCTTGGATGCACGGCGGTAGACCCATAACTCCTCCACTGATTAATGGACACGGTAGCTCAAGGCCTTGGGACGGTTGGGAATAACTTTAAAGGTATTCGTTTGCCATCATCTTGACATTAGTACTTGCATGTGCACGCATGCATGCAAGGTTCGGATGCATCCTTGCAGCTGCCACCGTTGTGGGAGGAACAAAGCAACCTACGCCTGTTTCTGCCTGATAGCATCACCAGATAGCACCTAGGGCCTCCAAGAACTGGCGAAGAAAGGCCGAGGCGGCTTTTGACATGCCACGTTTGGTGCCAGGTGCGTGTGTCGGGTTGCAAGGGGGATGAGCGATGGCTTTGATTGGGTTCGTGGCTTGTCGTACGTCCTGGGTGCGTGGCACCCTTACTGCCAATATGTGACAAGGCAAAGTGTATTTTCGTTTGCTTTTTGCGCTAATAGTATAAGGCTATACTTAGTTTGATCTGCTCTCGCTCACCTTGGTACCGGTAAACGAAGAATGTTGGGGTTATTGGTTGTAACCCTGTTGACGCTTTCAACAAGCGTAAAAGCGCAGGATAAGACATGTGATGAACTAGGGTAAGATTGCGCAAAAATAGCTTATAAAGCCAAGCGTGACCATTGCGCGAGGCATCGATGCAGGACTGCAAGCATAGGTGTTACATCTTCAATATGAACTTTTTGTGTTCTGCTGACAGGTTTACACCAGAGCTGGTGTGCAGCGATTGCGACGTTCTGGCTGAGTATGTCAAAGATGCTGAGCTGGCAGAAGACTGCAGAAAATGCTGCACTAAAGACCCCGTTAGCAAGAGATACAGCAAAGCAGAGCTGATCGTCGATCAGTGGCGCGCCAAGTAAGTGCCTGGCGATACTGGGAGCGTGCACGGCTTGGATGGGTTGATCGGAACCCAAAGGGCCTCAAAGCTACACGGGCTGGGATGCACATCGCAAAGCATACTTTACCGTTTTAAGCAGAGCGACAGCGAAGTGCAGGGTGGTGCCGTTTCCTCCATCCGGGTGTCCTGGGCGTGCCTCAAGGGGTCCGGGGGTACCTGACGTTTTGGGTTTAAAGTGGCACTGTGCAGGGCTGTGGCCCCGTGGCTCAACGACCATTCCATGATGTTCCTTTACGTTCCATTCTCCACCCCTTTCACCCCACAGCGCGCTGCCCCAAATCAAGGACTTCATTGACAAGAAGGCCAAGGTGTACGGCAAGCAGCTCAAGGTGTCGTACAGCCCTGGGGCCGCTCCCAGGCTTCGGTTGAAGGGATCTGCGGGCTCCGAAACCGTTCGAATTGACAACTGGAAGGCGACCCACATCGCTGAGTTTCTAAATGAGCGGTTGGAGGCAGTAGCGGACAGCGATGGGGGTGTAGCAGCTGCTACAGCTTGAATGCATGCGGGAGATTGCGGGCGCAGCCAGAGCATTTGACGGTGTGGCCTCTGCTTTCGCAGCTGTATCCTAAGCTGGCTTATGGGTCAGGGAAGGCGTGACGAGTAGCCTGAGGTGGAGCGCAGGAGTCGGGCCTTGTGTATGTTAAGTGCAGAAATCCGCACGCCTTGTTGTGTGCCATGTAATCCCTATAAGGTCTGTTAGTTGCTTTTGTCTTCACCATCATTTGGGAGGTATCATGATACCGTTAGCATGGTAAGATATTGGAGCATACAGGTACACGCAGACGCCGCATGCAGACATAGAAGAAGACCCTCGTACATGTAACATGCGCTTTGGCACCCGACCGTACTGGGGCGTGCATCAGGCGGAGGTGTCTGGCAGACACGTTACAGGACAGACCAGAACCGCTCACTCGCAGCAATTATGCTCAATACTATCAGAGCGTTGCACAAATACACTTGTATTGTTAGGTTATAAAAACGACATACATACTATGTCGTAAACGAACTTTTGCGACTTTTGGTCAAACCGCACAGCATTTTTAGCCAATTACGACATACACAGTAACGTGCCACGCATGTTCATGCCTTCCTAACGACCCCCCTCAGATATCCACTCTTAATACGTATACAGGTGGCCTGGCAGGGCTAACTGGCCATCACCGCTGATCTAGCAGTTTTTTCAGCAGGGAGAAAGTACCATACTTAAGCATCACAACAAGCAAACCAAGCAACATTGACGGAAGAACCACCAGGAATAATGCAGACACGATAATAGCACAAAGGGACCCTGGAATGACTCGAGACCCTGCAAAAAGAAAGACCAGAGTAAAAGAAACGACTGCATCTATCTATCTGTTCACGCATTGTCCTGCGTCACCCAAAGCCTTATGGACACAACCAACGGGCCCAGAGGTGTTCCTCCTGCTACTGCGCCCATGCGGTCGACCCGCACCGTTGCCCTACTGTACAGCCGTAAGCAGCAACAGGTCAAATAGCAAATAATCCTTCAACGAGGTCAGCAGCCGGGAGACCCACACACCCACGACTAACTAGGCTAGCCCTGGTAGGTTGCAGCAGGCGCAGAACGCCCTGTGAAGGGCTGGTACCGCGTTTTCATGCAATGACGTAGTGCCATCCTCTATTCGCACACTTGTTTCACCAGACGCTGGGTGCGAAAAGGCCGCATGTCTTGAGCTAACCAGGGTAGAGCGGAGTCGCCAAGGAAATGGTGAGCCTGAAGAAGACGCCATGGGCAGGGGACAATGCGGGTGGAATGATAAACAGCAATTGGCTTATGGCATAGGCATGCACTGGTCAACATAGCTACGTAGCTAGATAGGCTCTGATGGCACTAACCCCCCAGCCCCCCAGGTACGTGCCTGCTAGACAGCAAACGCCAACGAGGCACAGTTAATTTGAGTATCCAACTATATTACCACGCTTGCGGCGGTCTCGAGGCCAAATGTGCACTTACCATTCCTACGGTGTTAGGCCCGCTTTGTAGGTCCACATGCTTCAGTCACGATGTTAAAGGCGGTCTCGCAGCAGCTAGATAGCGTCGCTGCGATGTAACTTCCAAACCACTCGAAGGATAGCGAACTCGTTGTAAGCGTTATGAGCTCATCAGGCTGGAATATTTGATTTGTAAAGCCGTCGTTTGAGCACGTCAGACGCGTTTTCTCGTTACCACGCACGAGGTAAATGCTATAAGCACTTAACCAATATCGCAGCACACCTATGTGCATTCGTCCATTAACCAGATTGACGTTTATTTTACCCAAACACCTTCCTCCAAAGACAAAGATGACCGTGACAAACTTATTCATGTCCTCCATGGACGACTGCGAGCTCCTCAGCACGTCTACCAAGTTGTATACTAGGCAATGCTGGCTGCAGCCTACGTTGAGCACTGTCACTGACCGTAGATGTCCAAAATCTTGTTACGGATACAAGGGACCAAGTCAATATTGTGTGCGTCCGAATTAGCACAGAAACAGAAAACGAGAGTGAAAGCAGACTAAGTCGGCCTCCAGTGATCGAGTGTACGAGCCTATATACCACATAAGGCCCGACGACTTCGAAAAACTTCTTTCACAATAACTGCATCAATTACTCTCTTGTTCGTGATACGAATTCCTAGCTAAGCCGCTGCCACTGCTTCCGCTCTTGAAAGCTCCCACCCGGACTCCCCGGCTAGCAACATTTACTAGGCAAGTACACACCTCAATGCCTGCGCACTAAGGAGGTTCTGCTTTGTTGCTTAGGTTAGATAGGAAGCCTTATTGCCTAGGACGTTTGCTAGCCCTAGAGAGGCGCACGCGTGGTGTGCGGTTGGCCTCCTTGCCTGTCTCTTTCCACCTGTCCCGGTGCAGCGCCTGAGCTCCCCTGCCCCTCACGTGCAGCGCCTGCCTCCCTTGCCGCTTCCCTGTGCGGGTGTGGCCCTCCCCACGCGTGACTCCTGCTTCCTGTGCCCTGCTCCGTGCAGTGCGACGTGCGGGGTCCTGCGCCCCGACAGGACCCCTTTGCCCCTCCCCGTGCGGTATCTGGGTCCTTATGCCCATCCCCCACACTACCTGTCTTGCTCGCATGCGGTGCCTGCCTCCCCTTGCTGCTGCCATGCCTCGGGCGCCTCGGCCCCTCTTGGGGGGATACCAAATTAGACCAAACCATATGAAGGGAGGCGGGAGAGGAGATGGAGGAGCTCGTTGGCTTGAGCTCGTGACATCGCGTGCTTCAGTCCATGCAGTCCCCGCACCAGCCCATTAACCGGTGGACCTGCGAGCAGGCATGCCCTCTGGATCTGCGGCGGATGCCTCGAGCCCCATGTGCCCGGCACTGATGGAAATTGGCACCCATGGGCGTAAGCATCACCACCTTCCCCAAGCACCTGCAACCAGGCATCCCCGTCGAACCCACCCATGCATCAACGCCGATGCGTGAGTGCATGCCGCCCCGGCAATACCCTCCCGGCCCATAAATCGGCACTGATACATGCATACATACCCGCCATGCCCAACTATCAGCGGCCATGCGGGCATGTACCATACCAACGGTTAAATCCGGCCTACGGATAAACTTAATACGCACACCCACCGTGCCCACTAACCGCTGTGATGTACGCATGCATTCCTGCCTGCCCAAGTACCGACGCCACCTGCGTGCATGAACCGAGTGCAAGGGCGCTGCACCGAGAAGGGCTCAAAGAGGCAGCCGAGGGCATGGGAGGCACGCACGGCAGACGGAGGCACATGAAGCAGCTCTGTTGGCGGTACGAGAGGAGGCGGCGGCGGCGGTGGCGATGGCGGAGGAGGTAGAGGAGATGGTAACGGAAGCTAGCGGTGTTGAAGGTAGGTGATGTTGGTAAACCCACGTTCAGCATCAGCGTGTGCCAAACTGCAACCAAACCAAACCGCACAACTGCACTAGCGTGTGTAGGGCCGAGCTGTACACCTGAAGCTGGCAACACTTCACCTGTGGCCAGGCTGAAGGATGGGTCTGCACTTCCTCTCTTTCACCATACCCCCTCCATTTCTTGCGCCACCCGGATTCCCACGTTCATTCCGCACCTCCCTCCATCTCGCAAACCCCCGGCAACCCCCGCCCTTCTCCTTCCTGGACATGCCCAGACCGACCTTACCTCCATGCGCGCCGCTTTCCGAGAGGAGTTCCGAGCCATGCGCGACGCCGCCTACGCCGCCATCAGCGGCTTCCACGCCGCCTGCCGTACCGCTGCCCGCGCGCATGCCGAACGTACGGCACAGCTGCTTGGCTTGGACGAGACGCTGAAGCGGCTGGGGCCGGGCGGCGTGGCGCAGCTAGTGGCGGAGGTCGAGTCGCTAAAGGGACAGCTGGCGGAGGCGAAAGCGGCGACGGAGCGTGCGGCGGCCGAGGCAGCGGCGGGGTCGGCGGCATACCGCCGTGCGGCGGCGAATGCGGAGCTCAAGGCGCGGGAGCTTCAGATGATGGCGGCCTCGCATGGCGACTTGACGACAGAGCTGGCGGCGGTGCGGGCGCAGGCGGCGGCTGCGCAGGAGGAGTGCACGGAGTTGCGGAAAGCGAGCGAGACACTTCGTTCTGAACTCCAGCAAGCCAGGGATGAGGCGGCGCAGAACAACGCGGCCTTGCGGGCGGGGCGCCGCGAGCTCGAGGCCGCCATGGGGGCCTTACAGCGGTCCGAAGCTGCGGCGGCGGCAGCGCGGGTTGAGGCGGAGCAGTGGAAGTCGTCAGCCGCGGATCACTTGGCGGCGGGGCGGCAGGAGGCGACGGCGGTGGCGGCGACGCTGCTGGCTGAACTCCGCGACCGTTACTTTCAGACGCTGCCGCTACCCGCCGGTACGACAGGAGGTACGGCGGCGGCGGCGGCGCGTGGGAGTCCCTCGCGGCCCCCTCCTGGCGGCGGCGGCGGCGGTACGGCGGCCGAGGCGGAAGGCAGTGGCGCCGGCGGCGGCGGCGGCGCCGCCGCCACCAAGGACGCGGCTGACGGCGGCGGCAGCAATAGCGTTGGCGGAGGCGTTTCTGAGCGGAGGCTGCCGTTGGTGTACGGCTGTACGACGTGACACATGATCGCGTGATGGCGGCGTTTGAGACGTACCTGTCGCGTCAGGCGATGTTGGCGGGAGCGCCGGCCGATGCAGCGGCGGCGGCAGCTGAGGGCAGCGGCGAGCGAGACGTCAGCCCGCTGGTGCGGCAGAGATCCTCCTGTCAATGCATGTTCCACTGCCTGATGCCTCATGCCCTTTTAATCTTTCACGTAGCTGTTCGTGGGCTCACGCTGTTTTCTCCAGGATATGGTGTCTCCTCCTAACTCCCTCCTGCTGTCCTTTTTTTTCCTCTTGCTTTGCTCCTCCGTCCTCCCTTATCCCAGCGCTCCCGGCTTCCGGAAGCTCCTGCCGCTGCCTTCGGTGCCGCTGCCGGCTCGCTCTCCCCTGTGCCTGGTGCTCCCATGCCTGGGGTGCTTCTGCGACCCATGGACCCCGCGCAGCAGCAGCAACAAGCCCATGTCGCAGCCGCCGTGGCCGCTGCGGCCGCGGGCGGTTGGCAGCGGCCGTTGGTTTCGGAGGTGGTTTGGTTGGAGGGCTGCTTGCTGGTAGCTCTGCTGGACCTGCGGCTCAACGGCGGACGCAGCAGCGGGGCGGGAAGCAGCAGCGTGGGCGGGAGCGGGAGCAGCGGGGGCGGAGCCAACCGAGAGGGCGGTCGGGAGGTAGGCCTCATGGCGTCATAGGACGTGACGCTGCATGCCGGACCTTCATAACCGCTACACTGCTTTCAGGGACGCCACGCTTGACGTCCACCTAACTCGCTTGACTTAGCTGTTAGATCCCAACGCCTTTTTCGTTTTTGCTTGTTCCGTCCTCTCCTTCCAACCCAGGCCTCGAGCTCCTCCCGCCCCAACTCCTCCACCACCTCCGGGGCGAGCACATCAGCCCAGCAGCAGCAGGCGGTGCGTGGCCTCGTCGCCCAGCTCGTTCGTACGATGGCTTCGGAGCGCCGTCAGCTCATGCAACGTGTACGGCAACTGCAGGCCAGCGGCGGCGGTGGCTCGGGGCTGCTGCCGCCGTCGCATCCGTCGCCGGTATCCTTCCTGTCGTACGCGGGCGCGGGCCGACGGACACAGGCGCTGACGTCACCACTAATGGTGGCGGCACCGGGTCGAGGTAGCGGCGGCGTCGGTGTACGAACGGCGTCGCTGACGGCGACGTTGGCGGCGATCCCTGGAGCCGGGCCCAGCCCTTCCGCCCTGAGGTCGGAACTATCACGATACAGCACAGGTCCGTACGGCAGCACCGCCTCCGCCGCCGCTGCGGGCTTGTTGGATGTGGAGATGTCGACGACGTCGCAACGCCGAGGTGGCGGCGGGCGTGGCGGCGGCGGCGGTGGCAACGGCCGCACCGGCGGCGGCGGCGGCGGCGCCCTGCTCTCCACCAGCTCCACATCACCCGTACGCAGCAGCGTGCGTCGCAGCACAGACACCGACGCTGTCCTTCCGGCGCCCCTCGCAAACCTCTACAAGTCCGAAAGCGGCGGCATGGCCCTTCCTGCCGCGACCTCCATGCCGGCCGTGCCGCTGCAAGCGACCAACTCCGAGTGTCTGCTGCCGCCGCTGCCCGGCAATCACTACCACCCCACGCAGCATGCTGGCCACAGTCCCGGCCACAGCCCAGGTCCTGCACAAGGCCCCTGCTCCCATGCTGCCGGCGGGGGCCCTGGAGCCCCGTTGCAAGCACCCGACATGGATGAGTTGATGGATGTGTTGCAGGTGGGTGAGCCGCTGGCTGGTACGGACGTGGCTTTTGGTAGGCAGGGGGCGGGGTGTGTGACGGGGTGGGTGCTAGTGTTAGTGCGGCCATGGAGGGAGTTGGGCTAGGGGCAGGGCAGGGCAGGGCAGCTGTCAAGGACGAGTGGCCGTGATGACACACAACGCGGCAATTGGAATTGGGTGTCGGGTGGAGAAGGGGGGGGCTTCCTGCAGCGGCCGAGAAGGCGCTCGGCGGGCAGCACATGCAGGTAGGACGGCTGGCCGGGCGGGCGAGCGGACGCGCGCCAAACACTTCTGTCCCGTGCAGCAGCAGCAGCAGCAACAACAGTTCTTGAACAGCGGCTGCAGAGGGAGCACCAGCTAAGCAGCTCCAGCAATGGCGTGGACTGTGGCGATCTAGGCGTCCCTGCACGGCGGATGCGTCCCGCAGGTACCCTTCCCCCCATGTCCTGCGCCTTTGGTGTGCGGCCGTGATGTGTGACTAGGGCGAACCCTGGGCCTGACTGCACACTGTCCATCCGCTGTCTTGAGACCCTTCCCCGCTGCACCTGCCTTCCCCTCCAAAGAGTAGACCTGCTCTCTACAACTTACCCGCAGGCGGTTCCTGCTTTCCCGCAGTCCTCCCGCAGTCCTTTACTACACAACGTTGTATATGTACCGTACCCCACAACACGCTCGCCTCCCTTCCTTCCCACAGCCCCCAAACCCTCTTCCCTTCGCCCGACGTCCTCCTTTCCACCCACCCCTGCCTTGCCCCTCCCTTCCCGGCCAGTACCCCTACTCGGGCCGCCCGGACCGTCCTCGAGCCCGAAAGGCCCTCGGGTCCACATCGAAGACCGACCGGACCCCAGCCGCCCCCTCAGGGCCGACGCACGGAGTACCGGCAGAAAACAGGCGATCGCCTATAGATCTAAAGCCAGTCCTGCTCGCGCCCCTGCACCCAAATAACGCACGTATCGCGCCAGCCCTGGCGGCCCCACACCCTCCTCCCAGACATCGAGACCATCGAGGGCAGAGGCTGCTAGGTAGCACCCAACCCATTACCCCACCTCTGACTTTGGCTGTAGTACTAACCTCCTAGGAGTCATCCCCCCTTGTGACGCAGCCCCTGTGACGTGAGATGGCCTGAGTTGGGAATGTCTTTTTTATGCATCTTTCTTCATGCGTACCCTTCCCACACCTGTATTTGAAGTGTCTGACAAAGCCTGCTGCTCCCATCAATCCATGCTACCCTCACGCCCGTCGATCTCTTGAGGGAGCTGAGAGCGCTGGGCATCCTCACGCCTCCCGGACTGATAGGCTTGAATCCTTGTACTGCACAGCCTCGCACCGCCCTGCAACCTCCAGTGCATCCGAATCCTGCCGCCTGATCCTCCCCTGGTTGGCGAGAAAAGCAACTCAAGTCGTCTCCTCCCTGCACTCCCTACAACTACACACGACATGGTGCCTCCCATGTCTCCCGTTTCCCTCCATCCAGGCGTTGGACGCCTCCCAGTTCCGTCGAAGCCGAACATGGAACGGCCCCTCAGGGCGTCAGTCGGCCTGGGCTGGCTTGGAGGCCCCTGCACCAGGCGCGCCGGGACAACCAGCCGGCGGCGAAGGAGGCGAGGAAACCGACCCACGGGACGGCGGCTCGGCCGCTCGCGCAAGGCAGAACCCCTTTGCCACGCCGCCGCGGCCGCCGCATGGCAGCAGCAGGCCGCCGCTGGGACCTCTGGCCGGCGGTGCTGCGGCTGCTGCTGTTGCTGCTGCCGGCGGGTCAGACGCGGGTGAGGTCGTTGATTCGGGACCCATGGGTCGCACCCCGGGCCGAACCGTAAGCTGGAGTTCCCCTGGAGTGAGCCCCATGGGAGGTATCGCAGCCGGGGCAGCAGCAGCAGCAGGGGGTGGTGGCAGCGGAGGCAGCGGCGTTGGTAGCGGCAGCCTAGCGGGTAGGGGCCGGGGGCCGGGTGGGAGGTTACACTCGGCAGAGGGAAGTGCCCATGCCACACCTACCAAGGTCAGTCCGTATTTGTTACCTCCTGGGGCGCCGAGGGGAGCCGGCGGAGCAGGAAGGTAGTGGGAGGTAGCGAGCGCATGCGGTTGGTTGCACCGTGGAAAGGCAGTACGTATGTGATACATAACTATGTAGCATTATAAATTGGCTGTTGCCGACGTTTGTGTGAGACCAGGGAGGGATATATAGCTTGATTATGAGTAGTGTTTGAATGCTGATTAGTACTGATTAGTAGGGCCATGGGTTCTATAAGAAGTTTCGGAAGAAGGTGTTTCAACATTCAGTGAGATAGGGCGGAGGAACGGGTCGAGTCGAATACAAAGTGTCGAGCGCCATAGCCGCCGATTCGAAGAAACCCTCGGACTGGTATGGCTGTTAGCAAGGTGAGGCACGTAGCAGACTGTACTAGTTTACGTTCATGACCAACAAGGATACCCATGACTGGTTAGTACTGGTTTGTCTAATCCTTCGACCGTTACAAAGGCTGTGCCCTCAACCGTTAGGGGTTTCGGAGAATCCAATGTACCTGACATCCATGCTGCGTGTTTCGTCTCCAATACTCCATCGTTGTGACGTACGTTTGTGAGCCTGGATGCGTGCATGTATATCCAACCGTTGCATGCCTGCCGCACGGTTAGGAAGGGCAAGCCGTGTTTACGTGCGCACGGGCATGTGCGGTTGGGGCACGCAGATAGCCGAAATTGCGTTCTCATTTCCCTTCTTTTGGAGAGGATGTCCATAACCAAGGCGGCTGTACTGCCTTCATGAACACTGGAATGTCGTGTTTGAAAGGGGAGTTCGCTTCTACTGGAGTCCTTCTGAGTTTGTGTTGTGTGTCCTTGATGACTACATTGAAGAGAGATTCTAGAAACTTCTTGAGCAATATCACTTTTGACATGGAAACTCCACCATATCTGGAGGCATGTGGATAACCATCACTAGGCATGTCGTATGAACGAATTGGTACGGCAGCGAATTGCGTGCCGTAGAGCCATATCGTGTGCTGGTGTGGCTGAGCTAGACGATGAGTAGTTGCATACTGCAGATACATTTTGGCACTGCTGCGATCAAGATGCGCAAACTAGGAATGGTGATTAGCGGGTTTGGATGAGGGTTACATACATAAGTACGATAGTACGATGGTTTGGGTTTGTTCGATGGAAGGGCCGAATGCATGCATGATGAGAGCATGGGATAGCCCTGCAAACAACTTGACAGCGTTTGGCACCTTATGGATAAGGAGTGAAGTCGGTATTATGATGTGCATGGGTGTATGATATGGTGATGGCGAGGTGGAGAGGAAGTGTAGCTGCGAGCAGATGTGAGGGGGGTCAAAGACCATACCTAACCATAGGGGGGGCTAGCCGGTTGCATTCTTGCGAAATGACAGGATGGTATACGCATTATCACCTGTTTTGTGCGGCGACCTTTGGAATGACAAGTGACACGCCACATCTTGGATGCACGGCGGTAGATCCATAACTCCTCCATTGATTGGATGGACACGGTAGCTCAAGGCCTTGGGACGGTTGGGAATAACTTTAAAGGTATTCGTTTGCCATCATCTTGACATTAGTACTTGCATGTGCACGCATGCATGCAAGGTTCGGATGCATCCTTGCAGCTGCCACCGTTGTGGGAGGAACAAAGCAACCTACGCCTGTTTCTGCCTGATAGCATCACCAGATAGCACCTAGGGCCTCCAAGAACTGGCGAAGAAAGGCCGAGGCGGCTTTTGACATGCCACGTTTGGTGCCAGGTGCGTGCGTCGGGTTGCAAGGGGGATGAGCGATGGCTTTGATTGGGTTCGTGGCTTGTCGTACGTCCTGGGTGCGTGGCACCCTTACTGCCAATATGTGACAAGGCAAAGTGTATTTTCGTTTGCTTTTTGCGCTAATAGTATAAGGCTATACTTAGTTTGATCTGCTCTCGCTCACCTTGGTACCGGTAAACGAAGAATGTTGGGGTTATTGGTTGTAACCCTGTTGACGCTTTTAACAAGCGTAAAAGCGCAGGATAAGACATGTGATGAACTAGGGTAAGATTGCGCAAAAATAGCTTATAAAGCCAAGCGTGACCATTGCGCGAGGCATCGATGCAGGACTGCAAGCATAGGTGTTACATCTTCAATATGAATTTTTTGTGTTCTGCTGACAGGTTTACACCAGAGCTGGTGTGCAGCGATTGCGACGTTCTGGCTGAGTATGTCAAAGATGCTGAGCTGGCAGAAGACTGCAGAAAATGCTGCACTAAAGACCCCGTTAGCAAGAGATACAGCAAAGCAGAGCTGATCGTCGATCAGTGGCGCGCCAAGTAAGTGCCTGGCGATACTGGGAGCGTGCACGGCTTGGATGGGTTGATCGGACCCCAAAGGGCCTCAAAGCTACACGGGCTGGGATGCACATCGCAAAGCATACTTTACCGTTTTAAGCAGAGCGACAGCGAAGTGCAGGGTGGTGCCGTTTCCTCCATCCGGGTGTCCTGGGCGTGCCTCAAGGGGTCCGGGGGTACCTGACGTTTTGGGTTTAAAGTGGCACTGTGCAGGGCTGTGGCCCCGTGGCTCAACGACCATTCCATGATGTTCCTTTACGTTCCATTCTCCACCCCTTTCACCCCACAGCGCGCTGCCCCAAATCAAGGACTTCATTAGGGGTGTTTCTATGGGCTTAGGTTTGGTTTCAGACCGATCCTAAGCCAACCTAAGGGAATCTCGTCCCATGCTCGTCCCACCAATACTTCGCTAAGTTGCTGCTAAGTTGCGAAGTGGGGTGACCCCGCTTAGCAACTTAGCAGCAACTTAGCACCGGCTTAGGCTGGAGCGAGTGGAGCGAGTGGAGCCAGCGGGCCCTACTCATTGAGCCTGCAGACCTTCGCATACAGACAAACAGTAAGGGATACTAAACAAGATGGCAAGGTTGTATAGTCGGCATTTTTCGGACCTTGTTTTTGATGGTAAAATGCCCAAGAAAGCAAAATCAACTCCTCAAATGTCAACTTGAAAATGCGTGAAGAATCCTTCATTCCTTTCATAGAGGCTACATTTACCCGAAAGCAAGCACCGTACCTCCCGTCAGTTGCCACATGTATGGCACATTTGCGTGTCTTGTTACGGGTGCCTTATCTCACGGAGAGGAATCTCCAATTAGCCAGCTCCACTATCACCCCTTGTAACAGAGCCGGTCGAGGGTCATCTAACCTATGGTTATCTTCCACCACACCCCTAGCGTGGTCCTCACAAGCGATATGTGCCTTGCGCTTCCTTAAATTGTAAGGTCCCACGGGCCCCTGACAGCAGCAGCTTTGTCCACTGGCAACCCAGGCCCTTGCAGGGTCATCCATTCTCTGCGAAGGTATCTTATGGCAGAACCTAGGCTTTCCTGTCCATGTGCTTCCTAGTTCCTACATGCATCCCCACATGGCTGTCACGCAACATGTCCTGTTGTCCCCGTTCACGTGCTATGGGTTGTTCTGTTGCCCAAGGTAATGTAAATTATACCCTTTCCTAACCATCAGGGCCGCAAACGGAAATCCACCGCTGCATCATCTTCTCGCGAGCGCCCCTTTTCTTCCAAACGTGTTGGCTTAATAAACAGTGATTACCCTATCCTGTAAGGATAAATGATTATGGTGATAACATAAGGCTGGTTTCGCCGTGGTTCCTGAAGTCCATAGAAACAGGTCACTTAGGAACACTTAGGAGCGCGTAGCGTACGACTTAGGTTGGCTTAGGTTGGCCTAGGTTTGGTTTCGGACCGCGCCCATAGAAACACCCCTATTGACAAGAAGGCCAAGGTGTACGGCAAGCAGCTCAAGGTGTCGTACAGCCCTGGGGCCGCTCCCAGGCTTCGGTTGAAGGGATCTGCGGGCTCCGAAACCGTACGAATTGACAACTGGAAGGCAACCCACATCGCTGAGTTTCTGGATGAGCGGTTGGAGGCAGTAGTGGACAGCGATGGTGGTGTAGCAGCTGTGACAGCTTGATTGCATGCGCAGCCAGAGCATTTGATGGTGTGGCCTCTGCTTTTCGCAGCTGTACCCTGAGCTGGCTTATGGGTCAGGGAAGGCGTGACGAGTAGCCTGAGGTGGAGCGCAGGAGTCAGGCCTTGTGTATGTTAAGTGCAGAAATCCGCACGCCTTGTTGTGTGCCATGTAATCCCTTTAAGGTCTGTTAGTTGCTTTTGTCTTCACCATCATTTGGGAGGTATCATGATACCGTTAGCATGGTAAGATATTGGAGCATACAGGTACACGCAGACGCCGCATGCAGACATAGAAGAAGACCCTCGTACATGTAACATGCGCTTTGGCACCCGACCGTACCTGGGCGTGCATCAGGCGGAGGTGTCTGGCAGACACGTTACAGGACAGACCAAAACCGCTCACTCGCAGCAAGTATGCTCAATACTATCAGAGCGTTACACAAATACACTGGGACATGTATTGTTAGGTTATAGATACATACTGTGTATGTCGTAATTGGCCATAAATGCTGTACCAGTATGACCAAAAGTCACAAAAGTCACAAAACTTCGATTGCGACTACGATTACAAACCGTACAGCATTTATGGCAAATTACGACATACACAGCAACGTGCCATGCATGTTCATGCCTTCCTAACGATCCCCCTCAGATACCCACTCTTAATACATATACAGGTGGCCTGGTAGGGCTAGTTGGCCACCACCGCTGACCTAGCGGTTTTTCCAGCAGGGAGAAAGTACCATTCTTTTAACATGACCACAAGCAAACCAAGCAACATTGATGGAAGAACTGCCAAAAATAAGGCAGACACGATTATACCACAAAGGGAACCTGAAATGACTGAGACCGTGCAAAAAGAAAGACCAGAATAAAAGAAACGACTGCATCAATCTATTCGTTCACGCATTGTCCTGCGTCACCCAAAGCCTTAAGGACACAACCAACGGGCCCAGAGGTGTTCCTCCTGCTACTGCAACCAAGTGGTCGACCCGCACCGTTGCCCTACTGAACAGCCGTAAGCAGCAACAGGTCAATAGCTAATAACAATCCCGCAACGACGTCAAAGACCTACGGGGGGTGGGCGGTGGGTGTACACTGTGTGGCCTTACTGATGGCGTTATTCACAAAGTGTGCTGCCAATGATGCGCTGCATAATTGAAAACACAGTCAGCTCGCAACCATGCACAACCAGAGGTGAGTGGGGTTTAGGTCTATACACCTAAACCCCACTCACCTAAACCTCACTCACTGCTCACTGTAGAGGCTCCTCGTCAAAAATACATCATAGCCACAGCCACAACAAGGCTGCATGTCTTAAAATGTTGAGCCTGAAGGAGACACCATGGGCAGGGGACAATGCCGGTGAAATGATCATCAGCAAATTGGCCTATGACATAGGCATGCACTGGTCAGCATACCTACGTAGCTAGGTAGGCTCTGATGGCACTAAACCCCCAGCAGGTACGTGCCCGCTAAACAGCAAACACCAACGAGGCACAGTCATTTGAGTATCCAACTCCATTACCACGCTTGCGGCGGCTTCGAGGCCAACTGTGCACTTACCGTTCCTACGGTGTTAGGCCCGCTTTGCAAGTCCGCATGCTTCAGTCACGATGTTAAAGGCGGTCTCGCAGCAGCCAGATAACGTCGCTGCGATATATATCCCAGACCACTCAAAGGGTAGCGAACTCGTTGTAATGGTTACGACTTCATCAGGCTGGAATACTTGTTCTATAAAGCCGTCGTCGTATGAGCACGTCAGACGCGTTTTCTTGTTATCACGCACGAGGTAAATGCTATAAGCACATACCCAATCCATCAGCACAGCGAAACGTATTCGTCCAACAACCAGATTGACTTTATTTTTACCCAAACGCCTTCCTCCAAAGACAAAGATGACCGTGACAAACTTATTCATGTCCTCCATGGACGATTGCGAGCTCCTCAGCACGTCTACCAGGTTGTATACTAGGCAATGCTGGCTGCAGCCTACGTTGAGCACTGTCACTGACCGTAGATGTCAAAATCTTGTTACGGATAGCTACAAGGGACCAAGTCAATATTGTGTGCGTCCGATTTAGCACAGAAACAGAAAACGATAGTGAAAGCACGGCCTCCAGTGATCGTGCCTATGTACCACATAAGGCCCGACGACTTCGAAAAATTTCGTTCTCAATAACTGCATCAATTACTCTCCTGTTTGTGATACGAATTCCTAGTTGCCTATTTAAGCCGCTGCCATTGCTTCCGCTCCTGAAAGCTCCCACCCGGACTGCTCGGCTAGCAACATCTACTAGGCGTGTATCACACCTCAATGCCTGCGCACTAAGGAGCTTCTGCTTTGTTGCTTAAGTTAGATAGGAAGCCTTATTGCCTAGGACGTTTGCTAGCCCTAGAGAGGCGCACGCGCGGTGTGCGGTCGGCCTCCTTGCCTGTCTCTTTCCACCTGTCCCGGTGCAGCGCCTGAGTTCCCCTGCCCCTCAACTGCAACGCCTGCCTCGCTTGCCGCTTCCCTGTGCGGTCGCCCTTTCATGTGCAGCACCTGGCCCTCCCTGCCGTTCCCTGTGCGGTGCTCGCATCCCCACGGGTGGGTGTGGCCCTCCCCACGTGAGACTTCTGCTTCCTGTGCCCTGCTCCGTGCAGCGCGACGTACGGGGTCCTGCGCCCCGACAGTACCCCTTTGCCCTTCCCCGTGCGGTGTCTGGGTCCTTATGCCCATCCCCCACACTACCTGTCTTGCCCGCATGCGGTGCCTGCCTCCCCTTGCTGCTGCCATGCCCCGGGCGCCTCGGCCCCTCTTGGGGGGATACCAAATTAGACCAAACCATATGAAGGGAGGCGGGAGAGGAGATGGAGGAGCTCGTTGGCTTGAGCTCGTGACATCGCGTGCTTCAGTCCATGCAGTCCCCGCACCGGCCCATAACCGGTGGACATGCGAGCAGGCATGCCCTCTGGATGTGCGGCGGATGCCTCAAGCCCCATGTGCCAGGTACTGATGGAAATTGGCACCCATGGGCGTAAGCATCACCACCTTCCCCAAGCACCTGCAACCAGGCATCCCCGTCGAAACCACCCATGCATCAACGCCGATGCATGAGTGCATGCCGCCCTGGCAATACCCTCCCGGCTCATAAACCAGCACTGATACATGCATACATACCCGCCATGCCCAACTACCAGCGGCCATGCGGGCATGTACCCTACCAACGGGTAAATCCGGCCTACGGATCAACTTAATACGCCCACCCACCGTGCCCACTAACCGCTGTGATGTACGCATGCATTCCTGCCTGCCCAAGTACCGACGCCAATGCCTGCGTGCATGAACCGAGTGCAAGGGCGCTGCACCGAGAAGGGCACAAAGAGGCAGCCGAGGGCATGGGAGCCACGCACGGCGGGGTACAATGCTGGGAGGGTCAGCCGGCACTGGGATGAACTTAAGAACTTGCTGGACCGCAATGTAACGCACGAGATTGCCGAAGTCCTCGAGGCGCTCTGCTACACTGGCTGCTGCCCTATCTCTGTCTGAAGGCCCAACGAGGAAGACTGGAGCGCTCCGGCTGTGCAATGGCAACCCTAAAAAAACCTGCGTTCGCAGGTACGCAAGCTACTTATCACAGTGCCAAACACTCGTATCCTAGAGGCCATTGTGGGCGTCGTAGAAGTCCTGGCTAGCGTAAAAAGCATACGTTGGCATCCATTTCGCACGCAATATGCATTGGGTTGGGACTTCTTATGGCCTTCCCTGTATAAAGCAGTTTCATACGCATGCATGGGAAAGGACCTCATCTCGCGCTTCGGCTGACCTGCCGTACGGTACACTACACGCATCAGACGGAGGTGTCTCACCGACTTGTTGGAAGCCCATACCAGAGCCGCGGACACACGCGCGCAGCGAGGCTTAAGCGTGCATGCTTCATACCCTCACATCATGCAACGTAACTTTTGCACCATAAGAATTCAGGGTGCTGGTATTTAGGTACGTGCTATCCTACCACGTGCCCCTTCGTACTCGATATCCCCCCCTCAATAAATTGCGACTTTGGATCAAACCGTAAAGGATTGTCAATTGTAAAATGCTTGAGTTCAGCGAACCACGCATCGTCAGGCCTTCCTGCCAAGGCTCTGCCCCACACACCCACCCTTCCATCCATCCCAAACAGCAAAACACATCCTGCAATTCTCTTACTATATACCGGCATCTTCCTCATCTCGCTCTCTCTGGCCCTCCTCCTCCCCTATTTCTCAGCTAGTTTACCACTATCACACCACACATTGCATATTCTTCTTTTCCCCTCCTAAGGCTCCAATGTCTCCTCCTTTCTCCCATCTCCCTCAAAGCTCAAGCCCCGTAAAGAATCCCGGGTACTGCGCCTCCAACTCCTGCTGCTGCAGCTGCAGCCCCTGCCCAGACGCAACCACCTCGGCCATCGTGTCTTGCGCCTCTCGCAGCGCACTGGCGGCGGCGTGCTTGATGTCCGCAATGCGGTCCCGCAACATGGGGTTGTCCAGACGTACCAGCCGGTTGCTTACGAGTGCGGTTTGCACCCGAATGTCCATCACCTGCTCGCGCATGGTCTGCGCCTCCAGGACCATCTACGGCAGATGGGTGGGTAAAGAGGAAACAACTAACGGACTCTGTGATAAGGCGTCATCATGGTGGGTGGAGGGAAAGACAGGATGGGAGTGGATGGAGAGTGACCCATGGGTGGGTAACAATGGTAAGGGGGAAGGGTTGCGTGGATGGGTTATAGGGGGTGCAAAGAGGGCTTGGGAAAAAGGAACTGAGGAAGCGGAACGAAGGGGAACAGCAAGGAAGGGAAGGCGATTTAGGGTATGTGAGGACTGCAGTGGGTATATGCCATTGCTCTCATGGGAAACATGGACACCACAAGGTATTTTGGGAGCAACACCCCTTCTGGTGCTTGGCTTGCATGTACGACAACGGCTCGTCCAACGAAACCCAGAAAGTCAGAACCCATCCCCCTCACTCACCAACTCTAGCTCTTTAATCGGATCCGCAAGCACCGCCGCCAGACTTGTGTTTGGCGGCAGCTCGGGTATGTTCGCAGTGGAAACAGGAGCAGCAACAACATTGGGAGCAGCAGCATTGCTGCCGCCACCGCCTGCGGCGACGGCGGCCGACGGTACGGCAGACATGATGCTGCCAGTGCTGACGCCGCCAGCGGCGGCGGCGGCGGCGCCGTGCGGCCCCGCCCAATGAGGCCTCGGCCCTGCCGGCGTCGCCATGTGGGTTGGCGGCGTTGTGCCGAACGGTACGGCATTAGTCACGGCGGGCTTAGGCGGGGCCTCGACGGCGGCGGTGGCGGCTGCTGCGGCGGAGGGCAGCGGCGGTGTTGTGAGGACTCCCGGTAGGGAGGGAGGCGGCGTCTGCATCTGGCTGGTAGCAGCGGCGGCGGCGGCGGCGGCGGCTGACCGGCCGAGCTGCGCGTGATGCGTAAGGACGTCGGTTGTTGGAGTTGTTGCGATGGCGGGTGCTGCAGGCAGCAGCGCTGCGGGGGTTGCGGCTGCCGGTGCTGAGTTAGGCCCGGTCCGGGGCTGCTGCATGGGTGTTGCCAGTTGGACGGTTGTGGACGGTCCAACCGCCGGCGGGCTGACAGTTGGCGCAGCAGCTGGCGCAGCGGGGGGCGGTGGCGGCAGCCTTGTGGGAAGCGAGGGCTGCTGCTGCGCAAGCGCCTGAGTCGCCGTCGCTGGCAGCGGTGGCGGTGGTACGGCAGCTTGCGGGTTGGGCTGTAGCACGGCGGCCGGTGCTGTCGTACAATGGACAGCAGCGGCAGCGGCAGCGGCAGCGGGGCCTGCACTGGATGCTACCAACGGACCTCCCGCGACCGCGGGCGCTCGAGAGCCCAGTAGACCAGGAGGAGCTTGTCCTGGTAGCGCCGGGCGTCGTACAGTCGTTTGCAATTGTACGGCACCCGTGCCGCTGGCGGTTGGTGAAACGGTTGACGGGGCAGTTGGAGGGGTTGCTGTTGGCGGTTGAGATGCAGTCCCGGTTGCGGGAGTAACGGGCATCGCTGCTGCCATCTCAGTTGGGCGAGGCTGGAATACCGGTTGCTGCGGCGGCGGCGGCGGCGGCGCCGCCGCCGCTGCTGAGGGATTCAAGCCTCCCAAACGGCCGAGCGGTGGCATCGAAACCGACCCAGATGCAGCCGGCGCTTGCTGCTGCGGCTGTGGTGGTTGCTGTGGCCGGGCTTGCATCGGCAGCTGAGATTGTAGGTTACCGATAGGCGGCGCGGTCGGGGGGTTTCCTTGACGAGACACGGCGGCGCCGAGATTACCACCCCCGAGGCGCCGCTGCCCGGGCGGCGCAAGCGGCGTTTGCCGACTGACGCCGCCGGCGGCGGCGGCGGCGGGCAGCCCAGCGGCGGCGCTGCCTGACGTGGCCGCTGGCGCCGTTGGCGGAGCGGCGGCAGCGGCGGCGCCTCCGCCAGGCCGTCCAGCAATGCCGGAACCTGCGGCCTGCTGCAGCTGATGCTGCTGTTGTAACTGCATAGGCTGTAGCGGCATGCGTGATAGCAGCGACGGCGCATTAGCAGTAGGTGCGGCTGCAGCAGCCGTGCTGGGAGGCACAAGTGTCGTACGGGAGACGGGCGCTGGAAGAGCGACCTTGGAAGGTTGGGGCAGTTGTTGCTGCTGCTGGCCCAGCTGCGGCTGCCTCTGCTGCGGCAGTAGTTGCTGCTGTTGCAGCGGCGGTGGCTGTCGCGGTTGGCTTTCGGTTGGCGGTTGCAGTTGCTGCTGCTGCCGTACGGCAGAAATTACGGCGGATTCAGACGCGGCGGCGGCCGGTGGCAGCTTCGCCGCTTGCAGCTGCACCATCGGAGCAGCAGCAACCGCAACGGGAGCCGCGGCTGCGGTCGGAGCAGCAGCGGTCGCCGCGGCGATAGCAACAGCAGGCATGGGCATAACGTTTGCTGGCTGCCGTCCCTCCGCCGGCGACGGTGATGTCACTGAGACAGGAGCTGCAGCGGCGGTGGGAGCGGCAGGCCGGAGCAGTGCCTGGGCCGGCGGCGGCTGTGGTTGGGCTGGTGGCTGGGTGGTGAGTGCCGAGGGGTGAAGCTGCGGCGGAGGCGGAGCGGGCATGGCGGGTGGCGGCGCTGGGGTGGCCGTCGGTGCGATAGCGGGCGGCGGCATTGCCTGCGAGCAGAGGGCGAAGGTAGGAGCAACGCAGGGATTTAGTCAGGAAAAAAGGTATCAGGCCATCAACGTGTTTGGGATCGTGCACAGGGCCATACGGAGAAGATGTGCCGCCCGACGGGCGTTCGCTGACGCCATCTACCTGGTCGTTTATGACGCTGCTGGGACCTCGCCCTGCCGCTTGCAGTGCCGCCGCCGGAGACCCCTCGGCCGCCGCCACCTCTGACGGTGCAGCAGCAGCAGCAGCAACAGTGGCGGTAGGCGTCACTGTCGTTGCGGCTATGGGGGCAGCAGCTTCTCTGAAGGAAAGAACACCGCAAGACAACGATCGCATGCTGGTTAGCAAGGTCCAACATCGCAATAACCATGTCAAACTCGACCTAGACAGGAAGCTCGCATGTTGCCGGCCGACCCAAATCAGAATTTGCGGGTATACGTCGGATGGCATCCATTACCGACCCTTCGGCAGGCGCCGCTCTCACCCTGGGCTAGCTAATGGCAGGCCTGCCGGAGTTGTCTCGTGTTGCGGGGCGGTGGGGACGGCGTCGGTAATGCCGGCGATGGGTCCCGACCCATGGGTCGGCGTCTCGACCGGCACCGCCGGATCGCCACATTGCACCATCACAGCGTCCGTGAGCAGGTCTGCAGCAGGAGCCACAAAAGCAGGAGCTGCGTCATCCACTGCGGCCACCATGTCCGCAGCCTTCGTGGTGCCTTGAGCCATGTCGTACGGGCCCACGTCATCAGACGGCCCATCAGCGGCGGCTGGCGCAGCGAAAGCGGCACCCAAGTCGGCTCCCGGCGCAGGCAACACCAGCCCCAGCTCCGAAACGCCGCCGTTGACGGAACCGTTGTCGTCCATTGGCACGTTCTTTTGAGCAGCGGCAGCGGCGGTGGCCTCGACCTCAACGGGTTGCGGTAGTAGCGGAGCCGGCACTTCCACCATGTTTTGACCTTTCGTATCTTGCGGAGGGACCTGACCCAGATTACCCTCTTCTCGTCCTTGCTCGTGCTGCTCCTCCCGGATGTGAGGGTGCGGCGGGTCTTGCAGGTGCGGCGGCGGATGCGGGTTGTCCAACTCTGGCGGCTGTTGCCGTTGTTCTTGATGCTCTTCCTGCTGCTGATCTTGTTGCTGTCCTTGTTGTTGCTGCTGCTCTTGAAGGTGCTGTTCGTCCGCGATGGCGGCGGCGGCGGCGGTGGAGGCCTGATCGAGCGCTACCGCCTCCTCCTGTCCATGCCCCACAACAGGTACGGCGGTTGCGGCAGCGGTGTCGCCTGCGTCATCGTCCTGGAAGAGCATGCCATTATCATCTGCGGATCAGGGGCGTGGGTACCGGCAAGAGGTCTATTGATGGGCGTGACCAAGTACCGTATCCAAGGTGTTTGGGGTGTCGTCTGCACCGGATCTAGCAGTTGAGAAGAGGGATTAGAGGTTCCCTGGGCTACATTCCTAATCCCTTTGACCTGCATGCATCCCGCAAAGCCCAGATCCCCAAATCCTTACCATCCATGAGGGCTGCCTCATCGTCGAGACCATCACCGTCCGCCCCAACACCTGCCCTTGCGGCAGCTGAGGAGGGCCCAGGGTCGGTTGCGGCCGAGGGTGCAGCAGCAGCGACGTTCTCAGCGACTGCAACAGGTGCCGGTGCCGGCTCCGGCGCAGGTGCCGCGTCGAGGTCCGTAACGCTAAAATCCTTGAAGAAGTCATCATCGTCGTCATCCATCATAAATTTTGCAGGCTTCTTGGCCGCTGGCTTGGGCGCGGGCCTGCGTGGAAGCACAATGGAACGCTTGTTGCGGTTATGTGCGGTTCTGTCTTTTAGGCAGCGCTCTTGGATTTATGCTTTGCTATATAATACTCCACGGTGTCGCTGCTTGTGGTATCCTTATTTAGAAAGCCCAATAAGCAGTCAACCATGGGGAGAACTTACTTGCTTGCCGCAGGTCCCCCTCCACCAGCGCCGCCCTTGAAGATGTTATCATCGTCTGAAAAGGTGTAGGAAAAGCCGAAAGGTGAGAAACATGGCAACAGTAGCTTTGTCGGAACAGGAATCCTGCGAGAGGTGCCTCACCGTCGTCAAAGAACCCCATCGTCAAGTTGGGCTATCAGCGCTGTAAGCCCCGTTTAAGCTAGGTTTTGCGTTTACTAAAGGAAAACAATGGCCTTGGAATCCTATGCCAAGTAGGAAAAGGCGCGATGGTTGTAGTACAGCGAAATTCTTCCTGCATGACCCATGGGCGCTCGGCCCAGCAGGAGGAATGCATTACGTTCCATGGCCCACAACTTCAGCCAACGTTCCTCAACCAACATGAATCAGTAGAATAATACGCGTATGCGCTGTCTGCGTCTGGCATCTGCCGTCCACGCCTGAACTTGCGAGACGCGCGCCCAAGTTTGAACGCCTTCCAGCTCTTCTTCCAAGCTACCTGACCATCTGAAGCCCTGCAGAAGGGCTGGTTCTGTCCAGACCTTCATGATCTGTGGCTCCTGCGCTTGGGCCTGACCGGCTTCCATGTTTACCTAAGAAGCGAGCAGGTACGCCCTTCACTTTACGCCATTTCGTGTCCTTTGCGGCCCTTTCCCAGCCATATTCGTAAACTAGCTAGCAAGCAAAGCACCCTGCTGATAAGGCAAGGGCAGCTCAAAGCAAAGCACCTTGGCGTATACTTCCCTCCTTCTTCGTATGCTTTTGGACATTTCAGGGGGAGCTTTCGGCGCGCTGACGCAAGCGCAACGCCGCGCTTTTGTCGGAGCAGACCATGCAACAACAACTTGGCCCAAGCTTTCAAGCCTTTGGTCAAGACGGCAACACCGGGCACCCCGCTGCTCATCCCCAAAGTTTCCAACCTTACCACCACCATCACCACCAGGAAGCATCCTCGGCGGCGCCATGTCAACATCACCCAACAACCCAACATCCCAGCTCCGACCCAAATCCAAAACCAAATCCACAGCTGTACGGCGTTCCGTACGGAGGATATCTCGGCGGTACCGATCTGGGTCAGCCCCAGCCCCATCCGCATCCCGCCTTACCACCCAGCACCGCACTCTATTCGGGCGCCGACAACAACCTCTACAGTCGTTACTTCGCCGCTCTGGCACCTGCAGCCGCCTATGCCGCCCCGGCGCTTCCAGCACCTCTAGGGCTACCCATCAATGTCGGCCAGCAATGGCAAACACCGCGTGACACTAGCCGCGGCGGCACCGGCGGTGACGGAAGCGGCGGCGGCAACAGCACCGCGCATTGCTGCAGTACAACAGTACAACCCTGGCACCCTCTTCCACCTTCCCTGCCCCTTCCTCTTCCTCATCCGCCACACCAGCAACACGCCAGCTCAGCCGTCAACAGCGGTCCTAACGCCGCCGTTGCTGCCGTTGACGCGGGCCTTACGCCTCGATACATGGTGCCGCTGCAGCTGCCGCCGCCGCCGCCGCTGCAGCCGTACGACAGCTCCGGTCCTCACGGGACCTCCAGCGACCCTCCCGGCGGCAAACCCAGCGCCTCTAGCGGCCAGGGCGTCGTCTCAACAAACGTCTCAAACGCCGGCAACCGATCGACACTCGCCACACCGTTTCCTACCCCTGCACCTGCACCTGCTCCTTCTTCATCCGGCGGCGGCGGAGCTTTAGCCGACGCCTCGTGCCCTCTAGCGGGTTTACTTAACCTGCGTAGCCCCGTACCGGCTCCTGCGAACCCCGGCAGCAACCGCAACGCCCGCACTCCCTACTCGTACTCCTTCTTGCCGTTTGGCAGCGCCGGGCCGCCTACCACCGCCGCAGTCTCAATCACAGTACCCGCCGGCACCGTCCTTCCGATTCCTGTCAACGCGTCGTCCGGATTCTTCGCCGCGGCGGGCCCTGGGAGAGCTGCATGTGCTACGCATGCCCTGCAACGTCAGCCGCAACGACAACAGCAAGCCCAAGCCCGATTAGGAGCCACCACCCCAGTTCCGACGCCTGGTAGTTGGTCCGGTGTTCCTGAGCTTCCCTTTGGCTACCCGCTTACCTGCCAGCAGCAGCCGCAACCGCCACAACAGCAACCGCAGCAGCAGCAACCGCAACGCCCGCTCCAGCCACAGCCCCAACCACAGCTGCAACAGCAGCAGCTGCTGCTACAGCGGCGACCAACCCCGCAGCCGCAGCCGCAGCCGGGGCCCCCACCACCGCCTCAACGAGAGCCACCGCAGCCGCCGCTGCCGCCGCTGCCACAACTGGGACAAGCGCCTGACCAAGCACCCTATCAGTGCGCACCTCAACACCAGAGCCAGCAGCAACAGCAGCAGCAGCAACCACAACAGCGGCCAGTAGCGCATGCCTACGCTGCCCCACCAGCCGCCGCAGCCGTCCCTGGGTTGCCCATTGCACTGCAGACGGCCGCGTACCCGCGCCAACCGGCCGTTAACCCACACCACCATCACCTCGACCAACAACAGCAGCAACAGCAGGAGGTGCGTCCTTATTACCACCAGGAGCATCAGCTGCAACAGCCACAGCAGCTGAGACCCCAGATGCAGCACCAACAGCAGCACCCGCACCAGCACCCGCAGGCCAACTACCCCCACCACCCCCACCACAACCCAGGCGGCACGGCCCCGTCATGCGAAACCCACCATCCCCCGGGACCTCAGCCGCCGCAACCAGGCTTTGAAAGCGGCCCCGGCCCCGTACAGCACCAGCAGCCGGCATTGCAGCAGCAGCATCAGCAGCATCAGCAGCGACAGCAACAACAGCTACAGCCACGCTGGAGCTACTTTGCTGATGTGGCAGATGCAGCCGCAGCCGCAGAATCGGTCCCGACTTCCGCTACCGCCGCTCCTAACACTGCTGCCGCGGACAACGCCGCTGCCACTTTCAACCCAGAAGCCGCCGCAACTACAGGGACTGGAAACCCCGCAACGGCCGGGCGCACCGCGTCCCTAGCCTTGCCGTACTTTGCACCTGCTTTCAGCACACCATCCGCCGCCACCGCCGCCGCTGCCACCGCCGCCGCCGCTGCTGCTCCTGCTCCTGACGAGCACCTAAGCGGTTCATTCGCGCTTGGCCTCGTACCCCTCATCCTCGGTACGCAGCCCTCCATGCCCTCTCCATCTCGGTCGCCCATCCTGCGCCACGGCTCTATCGCCGCCACCGCCGCCGGGCTACTCTTCGGCGAGGGCGGTGAGTACGGCACCAGCGGCGGCGGCGGCGGCGGCGGCGGCGGCGAGATCAGTCCTTTCACTGCCAACGCGGGGCTCACAGCCAACATTGGCTCGCCCGCAGGCTTCGGGCTCGGCGGCGTTGGCGGCGGCGGCGGTGCCTCTCCGTTGGCGCTGAGTCCGCTGCTACGGTTGCAACGGGACGATACGACCGGCCTGGCAGGGTGGTTTGCGTCGCCGCCTCGGGCACTGAACCGGCAGGGTGCGGGAAGGACGGGAGGAGCTAGCGGAGCCACCGGTGGGTACGCCGGGGGTACGGCAGGTACGACAGCGGGGGAGGCAGCTTGTACGGCAACCGCGGCGACGCCGAAGAAGCTAACGGCTGCCGTTGCTGCTGGAGGAGAGGGTCAACAGCATAACTTTGCGACCATGTTTACTTCGCCTGGAGAGGCCCTCCCGCCTATCGGCAGCCCAACACCATCAGAGGCTATGCGGTCGTTGCAGCTGCATCCTGACCCATGGGTCGGTTGCGGCTCGCCCGGCACTCTGCCGGGACTTGGCTCGCTGATGATGACTGCCTGGGGCTCCAATATCATGTTGATGGGGCATGCGCCTTCTGGGTTTAACTCGGCAATCCTAGGAAGCCCTGCGGCTGCAAGGACGGCGGCTACTGCTGCTGCTGCTACCACTACTGCTGCTGTTGCTGCTGTTCCTGCGGCTGTTGCTGCCACGGGCGATGCTACAGCTGAAGGCGCCGCTGCTACTGAGGCGACTCATGAGGCGGAGGGGGAGACATGCCAAAATTGTCAGCATGGTGAGGACGCGGTCCTCCTTGCACTACCGAAGCTTGAAGAACCGCCGCAACCACCGCTGCTGCTGGCGCTGCCGCAGTCTGTGCACGAGAATAACTTAAGCGCGCCGCCGCAGCCGCAGCCGCAGCCGCAGCCGCAGCAGCAGCAGCAGCAAGAGCAGGAACCCCCGCAGGTCCAGCTGCTTCCGCACCTTCACCAGCAGCAACAACAACAGCCAAACCAATACGCGTCAGAGCTGCAGCCCCAACCTGAATCCCAGCCTCAACCCGAGCCTGAGCCGCTGCTCGCCTTCGCTCCCAAGCGTCGAAGGACCCGACGCAGGAGCTCCACAAGCTCTACTGTTGCGGGGTCTGCGCCGATCCTCTCTCCTCCCAAAGGCGGCGAAGGCGAGGGTGCCGGCACGACAGGAACTGCTGAGGTTGGCAGGGTAGGGAAAAGGACAGGGGCTGGCCGCAGCAGCCTGAACAGCCGTCAGGCGCCGCCCACAGCTGAACAGAGTGTACGGCAACCCAACGACCCCAACGGCCTGAGCCCGGCAGCTAGGGGAGGTGCGGTAGTTGTTGCTGGGGCCGCTGACGATGCTGTTCGCCACCCAGCAGACGCTCAGCCATGCGGAGGAGAGGCCGAAGAAGGAGAAGGCGGCCAGGCCACAGGCCTTCCCCGCCTGCCATGGAACCAGCCGCCTCACCACATGGGTTCACCTCCCGCCGCCACTCCCAGCGCCGGACACACGTCCATCCCCGCCACCGCCACCGTCAACAAGCCGCCTCGGCACGGCTCAGCAGCGACTCCCCGCCATGCCGCGGGCTTAGGCAGGACCGCTCCTCCGCCGCTGCTGCTGCCCAGTTTCGACAGCCCCGGCCTCATCCATACCAACGCAGCGACCCCGGGAACAGGCGGCCCCTCCTCCCAGGAGCCCCAGGCCTTCCTCATCGGCGTGCATGAGCAGCGTGCTGCGCCGGCCGCTGGCTTGGCGGGCTTAGAGGCGTTATTCCAAGGGGCAGCAAAGGCCTGGGATGCGGACGTAGGTCTCAGCCACAGGCATGGCGGTGACGGCTTGGCGGGACCGCGCAGCCATGGCGGTGTTGCCGTACCCAGCCAACCGCAGATGCCTAGGAGCGGCAGCGGTGGTGCCGTGGCGGAGGCGACGGCGGCGGCGGCGGCGGCGGCGGCGGCTGCTGGTGTGGAGTTGGGTGTTACCGGCGGCAGCGATGAGGCAAGCATGTGTGATGATGTGGACAACGGCACAGCCGCAGCAGCGAAGGCGGCGAGGGGGGATGCCTTTGCGGCGGGGGCTGCTGAACCGCTTGCGGGGGACCTTGCGGGGCAACTCGAGTATGGGCCGGCGTCACCCAAGGGTGAGGTGGTGGCGACGGGCACCAATGGCGGCATGCAGGACGTCGGGTCGCCTAGGCATGATCGCAAAGAGGCGGTGGAGGTGGAGGCGGCGCCTGTTGCGGCCGGAGCTGGAGCTGAGCCTGCCGCGGCCTCGCCAGGAGCAGCGGCTTCAGCTGGTGAGGGAGAGCCCGGGGCTCGGTCCACAGGTGCTGCATGCGCGCCCCGAGGGCCGGAAGGAGCGCAGGAAGCCGGCGAGACGTCTCCGGTGCAGCCGCCAGCGGTCGGACCTGCCGCAGCTCCACCCCCGCCTGTGCCGGTAGCCGAGGCACATGCGCCGCCAATGGCTGCCCAAACTGGGGATGACAGCAGCGCTGCTGCTGTCCAGGCTGCGGCATTAGAGCCGGCCGCCCCCGCTGCCTCTGCTGGGCCTCAGCCGCCTGTCCGCATGGACACTGCCAGTCCCGAGTCGGTGATGCTGGCTACCGGTACCGGTGCCGCCCGTGCGGCCAGTGCTGCCGAGAAGCCCTCAAACGACGTTGACCCTGGTGACGGTGCCGCGCCTGCAGCAGCAGGTGCCGCGGCGACCGAGGTAGCGGCGGCAGGCACGGAAGCGGCCGCGCCACGCACGGGCTTGGAGGCGGTCGTTGTGGATACCATGAAGCCTGAGTCCGGCTTTGTTGCCGACGGCGCTAACATGGTCTCAGCCAGTGCAGCTGCCTGCCCGGAAGCCCAAGCCCGACCCTCAAGGCCCAACACCCGAAGCACGGTCAAGTCGCCCGCGGCTCCAGTGGAGGCACCCGCGTCTCGACGGAGGTGGCCCTCTGCAGGGAGCCGGAAGCCGCCTCCGCCGGACGCCAACGCCGTTGGTGCCAACGCGCCTGCCGAGATGGACGTCGTCGAATCCTCCAATGTAACGGCCATTGAAGACCCTACGGCCAGCCCCGCAGGCCCTGCGGTTGGGCCCATTGTACGTCAGGGGGCTGTTGCTGATGTTGAACCCGCTAGTCTTGCAGCGTCGGTTGCGCAACAACCCCCAGAGCCGTCATCGCAGCAGCAGCAGCAGCCCCCACCGGCCGTGGCGGCTACTCCTTCCCCTCATCAACCTGAGGCTGCGAAGGCTCTTGCCGGGGATGCTGTAAATGCGCTTGCTTCTGCTCCGCCGCCACCTCAGTCCCCGTCCCAGCCTGCCCTTGACGGCGGCATTGGATCCCAGCCTGTCGTACTGTCAGCACAGCACCTCCCAGCCTCTGAGGTTGCGCCACGTGCGCCCGCGACCAGGCAACAACGGTCCCAGGCAAAGGAGAAAAAGGAGGAGAAAAAGAAGGAGGAAAAGGAGGAGAAAAAGGAGGAGGAAAAGGAGGAGAAAAAGGAGGAGAAAAAGGAGGAACGGCCGGAGCCGCCAACGTACATGCCGCAGCAGCAACGGCAGCAGCAGCAACGGCAGCAGCAGCAGCAACCACAGCAGCAGCCACACCAGGAACCCAGGCTACCCCACAAGAAGCGCCTTCAAGCTAGGAACCCTCCCAACGCAGCTGATAAGGCCTCCGCAGCAGCAGCAGGGGTATCGGAGTCGGCCGGCACAGGCCGCGCCCTGCCGCCTCGGCCCCCTCGGCCTCAGCAGACCCCAGTTGCCGCCAAGCCGCCGGAGCCAGGTGTCGCCGGGAAGCTGCCTGCAACGTCCACGACCGGCAAGCCTGCCGAGGAGGTCGCTGCAAGCGCTGCGCCGGTGCAGGCCGATCCCGCGGATGACGGGGGCAAGACCGCGGGTACGGCGTCAACTGCTGCGCCCCGGCGGCGGGGGCGGGGGCGGGGGCGGGAGCAGCAGCCGGATGAGGCCGCGGAAGCGAAGCTGCCGCTCCTAGCTGATGCTGCACAAGCGGCCGTAGTTGCCGAAAGCCCCGGGGACCGCGTGAATGACGCAAAGGGTACCAGTACGGCAGCAGCTGGCAGCCAGGACAACGATGTACGGCAGGATGCTCCGGCGGCCGCCAGGGCTGCGGAGGCCCCTGGCGCTGATGCAGGTGCCGGCCGCGGCAGCAGCTCACAGCAAGCCAAGCGCCGTCGCAACCAACTTTCCGATGGTCCTGCGTCGCTCATTGTGGTGCCGCGCGCGGCTGCCATACGAGCTGCCGCGGCCATTTCCGCCACCAAAGTGACCCGTGGGTCATCCGCTAGCGGCGGTGACGCCGGCGGCGGTGGGCGCACTGCTAGCGCTGTAAGCAACAGGGCGAAAGGCGTGAAGCGGCGCCTGGAGGGATCAGCAGCGGCGGCGGAGGCGGCGGGGGCGAAGGACGAGGAGGATACGGCGACGGCAGCCGCAGCTGACGCCAGCGGAAATGGTAACGGCAGCAAACGCCGCCGGCAGCAAGCTTCGCAAGTGAGCGAGCAAGCAACCGCTTCCGCGTGCGCCACGGAGTCCGGAACCAAGGGCAAGCCGGCTCGGAAGCGCCGGACTAGCCAGGAGGGGGCCAGCGGCAGCAGGGGCGGCAGTCTTGGCTCCGTTGCCGGGAAGGACGATGCCGACGCTTCTCAGCTGCCTGCATCTCCCACCACTGCTGCCGCGGCAGCAGCTCTTCGGCTACTGGGCGACGGGCGTGCGCCAAGCGGTACGGGCAGCAAGCGGCAGGCGGAAGAGCACGAGGAGGCGGGTGTGGGACGGGAGCGCAAGCAGCCACGACGCCAGGGGCGAGGAGAACAGGTGAGGGGTCGGGGAAAAACGATGAGGGTTTGCTGATGGGTGGTTTGCTGATGCATGGTGGTGCTCATTCCGCCCTTCGTGCGCAGCTGGGCCGGAAGGTCCTTGGTTGGGCCGGCCCACGTGCCTTCAATTCGGAGCCCCGCTGTTCGGATACAACGTTTCCACGCCAATGTTGTTGACGTTTTCCCCTCCCCAAAATCCCTCAGGCGCCTCCACTGCCACCGTCGAGTAAGCAACAAGCCGGGCCACGAGGGAAGCCGCCGCTGCCGCCGAAACCGCCAAAGCCGCCAGCTGTAACCGCAACCACAATCGCAACAACGGCCGCTGCCGCTACTACTCGACCTGGCCGTCAGGGGCAGGGCGCCGCCAGAAGCGGGCGCGAGGCTGCTGCTGCTGCCCAGGCGGCTTCAAACACGACTAGCCGGACTCAGGCAGGCGCTAGCGCTGCCGTACGAACGACCTCGGCGGCGGCGACGACAGCGGCGGCGGCGACGACCTCGGCGGCGGCGACGACAGCGGCGGCGGCAACGACAGCGGCGGCGGCGACGACAGCGGCGGCGGCGACGACAGCGGCGGCGGCAACGACAGCGGCGGTGGCGGCCGGCTCTGCAGGAGCACCTGCGGCGTCTGGAAGTACGGGCACGGCACAGCGGGGCCCTGCTGCCAAGAAGAAACCTGGCATCCGTCTACCTAGCCAGGTACCTATGTAACCCCGTGCGGCACCTGAAGACTTGATGTCTGTCGCCTTTGCTCTTGTCTATCTTGTGCTCTTTGCTGCCCTACCAAACTGCGCAGTAGTCGCGGGCCACGGCTTCGGAGGGCATCCTTGCTATAACGCACTGCCTCCACCATCTACTACCTCTGAGCTGCCCAACAAGCTTTCCTTTACGCCACCCTTTCTGCCACCCTTCTTGGCAGATTCCCAACGTCGTGTCGGCAGCCTCCAAGATCCTGCTTGCCATGCCGGCCGGCATCAAAATGTTCGAGAAGACCTTCCGGCAGGAACTGGGCAACACCCCTGACGTCAGCAAGGCGCTCCGACTGTGAGTACGGCACAAGCAGGGTTGCCGTACACCGCATGCAATGCCGTACACCGCATGCAATGCCGTACACCGCATGCAATGCCGTACACCGCATGCAATGCCGTACACCGCATGCAATGCCGTACACCGCATGCAATGCCGTACACCGCATGCAATGCCGTACACCGCATGCAATGCCGTACACCGCATCATATCGGACATCATGCATTCATACTGTTGGACATCGCATGTGAGTGATGTGGTGGCTCTTCGCAGGCTGTGGGAGCGAGGTCACGTGGAGCGAAGCGGGCGGGGCTTCCGCTGTGACCCCTTCGGCTACACAGTCACGCAGGCGGGTCTGGAGGCGGCGGAGGAGCAGCGGCAGGCGGCGCAGCAGGCGGGCGGGCAGCCGCAGGGGGGGCAGCCGCGGTCGCAGTCGCAGCCGCGGTCGCAGTCGCAGCCGCGGTCGCAGTAGCAGTCGCAGCCGCGGTCGCAGTAGCAGTCGCAGTAGCAGGTGTAGGAGCAGTCGCAGTAGCAGGTGTAGGAGCAGCAGGAGCAACGAGCTTAGATCTTGCGTTGTAGCTCACGCGTGCGGGGACCAATGAAGCTTATACGTCAAATGGAGAGCGGGAAGAAATGTTATTGGGAAAGAGGTTTATTGGGAAGGGTTGCTATTGGGGAAGAAATGTATGTTTAACTATCAGCACGGACGCGTGATGCGGGGATTTTTGTACGGTATATGCTTGAAGGGAGGAATGAAGGGGGCTTGTGAAGTATGCGTGCGGTAAGAGGAGGGTTATGAGGATTGGCTCTCAGAAGTAGGTGCAGGAGCAAGATGACGTTGGCGTGCGGCCAGGAGATTGCTAGGGGGGAGCGGTATGGAACTGACGGAAGAGTATTTGCTGTGAGGGCGAGGCCTTTCGCCAGTAATGCGGTGGGCTCGCTCGTGCGTGCGAGGGAGTTAGGATGCTAGGTAGCGGTAGATGGGCATAGCAGGATGCGCGGGTCGCACTAGGATAGGACTGTTTATTAGCCGCATTTTGTAGGTGTTGCGTAGGGCACACACAGAAGATGTGATCGCGCGCCAATGACTGCGTACGTCCTAGGTAGCTGCAGGGGAGCTGTAGTGCTCTCTGTTTTACGTACGGCTGTCGTGCGACACATATTATTGCCGCAATGCTGAGCCAGGATCAGGATAGCGGAATGATGCGAAGGTGGGAGCAATTCCGTTAGGACAGAGAGGGGCACAGGTTTCATAGGTTTACGTCTTACACACGTTGTAAGGTAGTCTGCCGTGTGCAATGAAACACTGTTGGGCTTTCTAAGGGCTTTCTAACGCCCCATGTACTACCATGCAACCACCGAGACGTGAAGACCACACGCACCAGCATGTGCAACCTAGCTCCAAGCATGCAAACTGGTTGTTCGCTAAATCGCTAGGCATTGGGCCCTCGCGTGTGCGACTAGTCTAGTATAGCCTTCACAACATCTAAACGTCAACTCCAGTCTAACTTCTTCTCTGTTCTCTCTCTGCAGCTTGCCGAACCCCTCCCGCGATTCTACTCATATGCCTTCAAGCTAAATACGCCTCTCATTCTGATTACCCTCGCTTCCGTGCTGCCTGCGTGCCTGCATGTTGCTGCTTCAGCCACCTGACAGTGGAGCACACCACCGGGCACCGGCCCATGGGTCGGCTACACCTCTCACTCTAATTACGCTCCTGTACAAGCATACACATACCCGCATCCCTCCATAAAGACTCCTGCTGCCTCTCACCCGCTCAATACTCGGTGGCCGGTGCCTCCAGCGCCAGGCAACCCCCCTATCGGACCTGCTGGTCAGCTGCCTCCGCAATGAACGGGATGCGGGCATACTGCCCCAAGAAGCTGTTGGCAATGCCGTACACCACCCACATGGCGGTAAAGACCCAGATGAAGCTTTGGGATTGCGCGTACAGCTGGGCGCCCCAGCCGGATGCGGGAGGCGTCAGCACTGACTCCACCAGTCGGGGCAGCGCCAGCAGGATGTCGAGGAGGATTGCTTGCGCAGCGTTGAAGCGAACAAATCGGCTTAATTGCCGGTTGTTGACCAGCCCAATGTAGAGGCCGAAGAAAACGATGAAGGAGCCAAAGGGCAGTGAGTAGTACAGCCCAATGAGGGGCACAAACGGTCGAATTAGTGCTTTAGCGGCTGGGTACAGCTGGAATAAGTATCGCCCATATACCACTGCATCGATGTAGGGGAGGACGTACGGAAGCGCAGCAAGCACACGGTCGATTGGTCCTGGGGTGCCACCAAGCCTCCACCCACCGCCGGACGACGAGTATCGCGCCTCGATCTGCACTGATGCCTTGCGCGATGACTTCAAGAGGCCCGGGAGCTTACGAACCCTGCTGTGCAGCCTTCCAACGCCTGGAACGCCTCCTTGCAGCTGCGGGCAAGTCAAACTCTGCATCTGTGTTACGTACTATGTGTTAACGGTTCTTCAATATAACTGAGCGTGTGATGATCGCCCAGTATGCCATTACTACCTGTTTTGGATTTACCCTGTACGAGCTCTATAAACAACAAACTGACGAATTGCGGAAGCCCCGCGCCTAGAAGGATTGCTTAAAACAGCAACTTACAGGAGTTGAATATTAAGACCATGGCAGAAACAACGCTAAAGGTGGCAGTCGTAGGGCCTTGTAGGACAGGAAAGACTCTGTTATGCCGAGCATTAGCAGAGCAGCCAATACTGCTTGGCGAGATGGCATACCAGCCGACGGCCGCTGTCAGGTCAGCGGGACGCATGTCAAGAGCATGTATCTGCACTTAGGCGCGGCACGCGCTAACCTGCGTACACATAACCACCACAGGATACAAGAAGTTAGCCGTGTGCTAGGAGTTGATAGAGTCAAGGTACAGTTCTGGGACTGCTCGGGGAGCGCGCAGTACCAATCCTACTGGCCAGTCCTAGCCAAGGTGAGCATTAGCAAGTAACGTATACACCCAGCCGTCGTCGTTTTCAGGGATTGTCGCTAAATCACAACGCCTGTACGGGTGCAGGAGCTGGACGGCCTCCTTCTGCTCGTCGACCCGTCGCGACCGGAGCAGGACAAGCAGGAGAGGGAGCTGGAGACCTTCTACCGCAACTTCGCAGAGCCGAACAACTTGTACACGCGGCAGTGCATGGTCATGGCGGTCCAAGTGCAGAAAGATGGAGGGGGTCTGGGTGGCTGGCAGGGTAAGCACGGGTTGCGGGTTTGGAGGCCCATGGATACTCGTCCTGCATACTGCACGGCCGTTCTTTGCACGCACTGCTTGGGTTTCGTACACCTCCTACACAGACGTAACTACATCCTAAAGTGCTCATGCCGTGCTATGCCCTCTGGCAGGACTGCAAGGCGGCTTGAAGAAGCTCACGCAGTGCTATGTGGCCATCAACCCAAACAGCCCAGCGGCCGGTGTACAGGTGAGCAGTGCCGTACTTGAGCTATGAAACCTGTGGGCACGATTACCCCGGGGATTAGCCATGCTGATTGCTGCTGCAATGCGAGCGCACAACCCTATGTCGTTCGGGACATGCACCATTTATTCCTAAGCGTGGTGCGTTGCAGCCATTCAGTTTGCCCCACAACCCGCATGGTATGAAAGACCCAATGCCTTAGTGCCCCCATCCATATCATTGTCCTCCCCATGCCGAGCATGGACATTGCCTAAGCATTGGCGAGGTTGATAATGCTACGAATCCTATCTGTGGCGCAGGAGGCGTATTCGCACTTGGACGTGCTTTTCCAGGGGGCGCTCCAAAGCAAGAAGGAGGCCCTGGAGAGCTCTTACATGAACCAGGAGGACTCCTAAATTTAGCGGACCAGCAGGATGTGTGTTCGTGCTGCCACTTGTACATAACTAGAGGATTAGCCTATAACTGCGAAGTATCGTGCTATGGGGTATCAATTGGTGAAACCCCGTGGAAGGGCAAGGGGTTAGCGGATATTATTGTGATTGGCAAGCTTAGAGTAAGTAATTAAGCAACAACTTGTTTGCAAACCATGGATAAGAGGTCTAGTGTAGAGAAGTACTCGGCGCTTTGGGTTGGGGTCGCCATGCATGTGATATGGGCAAGGTATGCAGGTGTATTTCCTAGCAGCCTTCTGCCCATCAGGCTCTCCTTTGTGTTACAGCACATGGCTGTGTTATGAGGCGCTTGCGACAACGTTGTCTCGCTTCGACATGTCGCGAGGAGAAAATATGCAAGTGTTCGTCTCTGGAGGATTTCTCGGGCTCCAACTGTAAGCAATCCTAATGTGTATGAATTCAGTTTCCAATCTGGCAAATCAGTTGGACATTGAGGAGGGCATTCTAGTGCTCCAGGGTGACACTTGGCTCTACCATTAGGGGCCGAACTCACTTGCTTTCTTTCTCTTTCGCTTACGCGACGCCACTAATTACACAGGTACATTTGTTATAATAGCAACATTACACCTTAGCCGCCGTCGCGCCGCTGCTTACAACTTTGTGCGTTCCCTTTAACTTCAGAAACATGGCTGATCGCGGTGGTGAGCGTGGCAGCTTCGGCCGTGGCTTTGGTGGGCGTGGCGACCGCGGCCGCGGCCGCGGTGCTCGCCGGGCTCGCGGCAAGAAGGAGGATGAGGAGAAGTGGGTGCCCTGCACCAAGCTGGGCCGCCTTGTCCAGCAGGTCAGCAGCAGCATATTTATGGCAGTCTTGTAATGCTTATTTGCTGGTTGTATGGCAGAGCTTTCGACAGGCGCCGCATTTCATGCCGCCGCCGCGACCTATCGGACAGCCTAGCAAAAGGCGATGCCAGTTTCCGCCGGGGAATAGCGAAATAAACAATAATATATACTAAAGAATCATTTTTGCCATGCAGGGCAAGATCAAGTCGCTGGAGCAGATCTACCTGTTCTCCATGCCTGTGAAGGAGTACCAGATTGTGGAGTACTTCCTGGGCTCTGCCCTGAAGGACGAGGTGATGAAGATCATGCCCGTGCAGAAGCAGACCCGCGCCGGTCAGCGCACCCGCTTCAAGGTATGAGGGGTTTGCGTATTCCTCCCACCCTCAACACATGCTTTCGTGTTCGGCATCGCCAACCCGTCGCCGTCCTTTATCCCCACTCCCTCTGCGGCTGTTGCATGTAGGCCTTCGTCGTTGTCGGCGACCACAACGGCCACATCGGTCTGGGTGTCAAGTGCGCTAAGGAGGTGCGCTTCGATCCTGGGTGTGGGGTTGGCAGGAGCATGCCCGGCTGCTGGGCAGCCGGGGGTTCATGGGTGGCAGCAGAGTAACGTGTTCACTAAGCAGCCGTTCATCAACACAGCTGGAATGCTTTGCAAGCCTTCGTTCGGGTCGGCTAAATACGTCCACCACTCTTTGCCATTCTCAGTCCGATTGCAAGCCATTCCCCCAGTCTTACTCACCACCACCACGCCATCACCCCCTCTTCCCATGCAGGTGGCCACCGCCATCCGCGGTGCCATCATCCAGGCCAAGATGTCGTGCGTGCCCGTGCGCCGTGGCTACTGGGGTAACAAGATCGGCAAGGTGCACACCGTGCCGACCAAGGTGACGGGCAAGTGCGGCTCGGTCACCATTCGCCTGACCCCCGCTCCCCGTGGTGCCGGTATCGTGGCTGCCCGCACCCCCAAGAAGGTGCTGCAGATGGCCGGCATTGAGGACTGCTACACCTGCTCTCGCGGCTCGACCAAGACCCTGGGCAACTTCGTGCGCGCCACCTTCAACGCCCTGTCGAAGACCTACGGCTTCCTGACCCCCGAGCTGTGGCGGGAGAGCAAGTACACCAAGGCGCCGTTCCAGGAGTTCACTGACTTCCTGGCCAAGCCCACCCTGGGCGAGGCCAAGGCTGAGGCCTATGCCTACTAAGCGAACACCCTAGTAACGACCCCATCAGACGACGGCACCTGCTGCCGTGTGCCCCATCCATCGTCACCCTAGAAGAGAACATGCCTTGGTTGCGGTGTGCAAGGAAGGCTACATGCTTTTGGGCTTCGGCCATGTCCCTGTAACGACCCGCCTGGCATTTTGTCGAGTCTCCTTGTCGGCTCCGCATGCATGCACGTATCATACGAACCAGCTGGGATGCGCAAGAGGATACCATGAAGATGCAAACGTAGCGCCTGCTGTGTAGGATAATACGCCCTGCTAGTCTGCTAAGCTTAACATGAGTGCAGCCTAACACGGCAGCGCAACTCTTGCGTCGCAGCTCAAGCTGCACTTCAAAATGCTGTCGTGCATGCTAGTGTTAGGTTTCAGCAACCATTCCAAAGAAGCTCGATTTGCATGGCCACCTAGAACGAGTCCACAAGGGTTAATGGACTGGTAGTACTCGTAGGACGCTTGCGTGCAGCTTTCCTGACAACTGCACTGTGGGGCCGTGGAAATGCGTGCGATGCCATTAAGTCTACCCGCCGCAAACGTCAAAGTCAAGCTGTACGCTTTTGGGGTCCGGAGCGGCATTGCATGTTAGCTGTCGCCCATGGGACACAGGTACGCTCATTCATTTCCGTCGCCAACTAAGGCCGTTCATGTAACACAGGTATGATAGCGGTATAGTTCTAATGGAATGCATAATCGTGTGCGAAGGGCTTCCTAGTTAAGGGAAGGGAGAAGCCAAGTCCCTAGCAACTGCTTCAAATCATTTGCGTTATGCCTTACTTACAGTTGTGGATGTCAAGCTTGCTTGCGTGAGGAATTCTTACTACCCTGGAGTGTCTCCGTACAGGTTGTACAACTTCTGACCCGAGCAAAGTTGCTGGAAATCTCCTGGGTATCCCCTTTCACACAGGCGGCAGCCTCTATCACTACTCTGTGGCAGGTCCCTCATGGTGTCTTGCTGAGAGGGCCTGAGCCTTTCATTCTACATATAAAAAAACCGGGCAACCGGCAAAAAAAACAGCAAAAGCCTCTAGTAGGCACAAAAGACATATTCTAGCCTCCTTTCCCACCACATTTTTGCGTCGCCGCCAACTGGCCGTGCGTCCTAAGTGAAAAATGGCAACGACTGAAGCCGGCGCTCCGGCCGCCCAGACTACCTCCACCCCGCTGGCGAACTCGTCGCTGTACGTGGGAGACCTGGAGAAGGATGTCACCGAGGCCCAGCTGTTCGAGATGTTTTCCTCGGTAAGGTGCTGCTCGGCGGCGGACATCTACACCCGGCCTACCTCAAACCTTGGCACCCGCTAAAATTATCCTACAGGTTGGCCCTGTGGCCAGCATCCGTGTGTGCCGCGATGCTGTGACCCGTCGCTCCCTGGGCTACGCCTACGTGAACTACAACAGCGCTCTGGACCCCCAGGCTGGTACGCATGAGGCCTGCAGGCTTAAGCTACTAGCAATTCATATCACTTTACACATGTATATGTATTTTAAAGCAAACTCCAATTATAGCGATTGGGTCCTATGTGGCGAGGGACGCATTGCATAGCAATCCGCGCGAGAAGCTGTGGAAGCAGAGGTACTGACGGTTTGATTTTACTGCCCTGCATACAGCTGATCGCGCCATGGAGAACCTGAACTACGCTGTCCTGAACGGCAAGCCGATGCGCATCATGTGGTCGCACCGCGACCCCTCGGCCCGCAAGTCGGGTGTCGGCAACATCTTCATCAAGGTGCGGCACCGCTTCATGCAGTGCAAGGGTGTGGGGTGGTTTAAAATTCGGATGCAGGGGTGCGCTGAGGAGGGGATGGGCGGCGGCAAGCCAGGCTGCAAGGTGGAGGCCGGGAAGCGGTGCATTAAGCGGAGGAGGCAGCTGGTCCGGAATCCTGCATGGCAGCAGCAGTGGCGTGGATAGCAGCTTGAGAGCAGCTGCCGGCGCACGCATGAGCAGGCGATACCGGCGCATGGCAGCGCGGCCATCCGGCGAGGAGCAGAGCGGATGCGGGGGAGGCTGGGCCCCCTGCTGTGAGCTCTAGCAGGCTGTTTCCCTCGGCGGCAGCATGAGTTGACGTCCTGGCAACTCCAGCCATGCAGCAGCGGGTGAACAGCAGTCGATGGCAGGGCTCCAGCTGGCAGGGTCGAACAGTGCAGGGTTGCAGTTCGTGTTCGTGTAGTAGTCCGTGAGGGAAAGGCCTCAGGATTGGCGGGGAAGGGTTGCTGTCCGAGAAGTGCCATCCGGTCATGTTGAAGGCCCCAGGCGCGTATAGCATCACCACACCTTAGTTGTTGCACTGAGGGACCGGTGCAATGTCCTGCAGAACCTGGACAAGACCATCGATGCCAAGGCCCTGCACGACACTTTCTCTGCCTTTGGCAAGATTCTGTCTTGCAAGGTGGCCACCGATGCCAACGGTGTGTCGAAGGGCTACGGTTTCGTGCACTTCGAGGACCAGGCCGCTGCCGATCGCGCCATCCAGACGGTTAACCAGAAGGAGATTGAGGGCAAGATCGTGTACGTGGGCCCCTTCCAGAAGCGCGCTGACAGGCCCCAGGTAAGCCTCCTTCCAAGGTTCCAGCTAACGGTGCACTACAGGGGAATGCGGTGCGCATGGGCATGGTTAACGGGTTATAGTTGCTTCCCATGGCTTCCCTGGCAGCGACTAATTCGCATGGCACGGTTTGGCGGTCGCAGGGCAAGGACGTGTACACCAACGTGTTCATCAAGAACATGCCGGCCGACCTGGGCGATGACGAGCTGATGAAGATGGCCTCTGAGTTTGGCGACGTCACCAGCGCGGTGGTCATGAAGGTAGGTGGCGGTGGGGGATGGGGGGCTCTGGTGAACAGCGGATGGGACAGAATCAGAAGGCAGCAACACTGGGGACCTGTCAGCATTGCTGTTGGCAGTCAAGTGGCATTGTTGTAGACAGGAACGGGTATCTAAAGCAAGATTTAGGAGTCTCTTTGGCACACAACATGCAGCACGCTAGACGAACACGTGGGTATGCCGCAGCGGACAGCGGCCTTGCCCAGGTGTAAAGTGCCGCGCCCCCAGGAGCAGCCGAGCTAGCGCAGCAGGCGCAGCAGCACGCGAACGTTTAGGTTGGTCAGCGACGGTGCAGCTGCTCGGAGGGCCTTTTACCAGAACGACGCAGGACAGCGCTCTCCACGTCTCCAGCGCAGGGTTTGGCAAGCGTTTTCTGTCACCTCAGAGCTGGTCCCAACATCGACGCCGGGGGTAGCAATCTGAGTCGCATAGCCGGCCTTACCAGCATGAAAACTGCCGCATGGAGACTAGCCGGCCCCGAACAGCGCGGCATTAGCAGCAAGTTGGCCTAGGCTGGCAGCTTTTGAACCGTTGGGACCAACTTTGCCCCTTTCCCTCTCCTGCCCACTCCGCACCCCCCAGGACGACAAGGGCGGCAGCAAGGGCTTCGGCTTCATCAACTTCAAGGACGCTGAGAGCGCGGCCAAGTGCGTGGAGAGCCTGAACGAGAAGGAGCTGAACGGCAAGGTGCTGTATGCCGGCCGGGCCCAGAAGAAGACTGAGCGCGAGGCGATGCTGCGCCAGAAGTAAGTATGGTTAGGAGAATCTGTTAGGGGGCCCTACGAACAGGCGCAGTAGGGCGGTAGGCCCCGTTTGGGCCCCATTTGGAATGTCGTTTGGCATCATCGCATTGTTACTACTTAGCGCAGTTGCCAGACGTGCATAAGGATGCTGCTTGACAGCCGAGTTCCAAGCTAAACGCGGCATGCGTCATTGCTCTTCAGGGCCGAGGAGAGCAAGCAGGAGCGCTACATGAAGTACCAGGGCATGAACCTGTACGTCAAGAACCTGTCCGACGAGGTGGACGACGACTCCCTGCGTGAGCTCTTTGCCAACCTGGGCACCATCTCCTCGTGCAAGGTGAGCTGCGAAACGTGGGCAAAAAAGTGCAATGCGGGCGTCACGGCGGATTTGCACCTTTGGAGCGAGTTCTCTTGCTGCAGCGTCCAGCACCCTGCAGGTACCAACACGTACATGCAATGGGTCACATACTTCACCAGTGCCTTTGCCGATGACGAACTCTGCCTTGGCGTCCATGCACATGACGCCTCCCCAGGTGATGAAGGACGGCACCGGCAAGTCCAAGGGCTTCGGCTTCGTGTGCTTCACCAGCCACGATGAGGCCACCCGCGCCGTGACGGAGATGAACGGCAAGATGGTGAAGGGCAAGCCCCTGTATGTGTCCCTGGCTCAGCGCAAGGACGTGCGCCGCGCGCAGCTGGAGGCCAACATGCAGGCCCGCATGGGCATGGGCGCCATGAGCCGCCCCCCGAACCCGATGGCCGGTGCGTATCGCGGTTGTGTGCAAAGCGCACCTGAGTTGATTCACAGCTGGGTCATGGAAGCACGCATGAGGGTTCTCGTCCAATTTCGCGCAATCATTGGATAGTTACCCCCATAGAGGACCCTCCCCGGATGATGTTTGGACTTACGTGCGGTGCGATTGCTGCCGCCCTCTTGCTTTTGCTTCCTCAGGCATGGGCCCCTACGGTCCGGGCGCTATGCCGTTCTTCGCCGCCGGCCCCGGCGGCATGCCTGCTGGTCCCCGCGCCCCCGGCATGATGTACCCGGGCCCCATGATGCCGCCGCGCGGCATGCCTGGTCCGGGCCGTGGCCCCCGTGGCCCCATGATGCCGCCCCAGGCCGCCGCCTACGGCCCCATGATGCCCCCGATGGGCCCCGCTCGCGGCCGTGGTGGCCGCGGCCGTGGCCCCATGATGACCATGGGCCCGTACCCCGGCCCCAGCCCGGCGGAGTTCCAGCAGGGCGGCTTCCAGGGTCGCGGCCGTGGCCGTGGCGCTCAGGGCCGCGGCCAGGGTGCTGGCCGTGGCCAGGGCCGCAACAACGCCAACCAGCAGGCCGCTGCCAAGACCGCTGAGGCCCCGGCCGCTGCTGCCGCCGCTGCCCCGGCCCCTGCTGCCGCTGCGCCCGCTGCCGCCGCTCCTGCCCCCGCCCCGGAGCCGGAGGTGCCCGCTGCCCAGCAGCCGCTGACCGCCGCCGCTCTGGCCGCCGCCGCGCCCGAGCAGCAGAAGATGATGATTGGCGAGCGCCTGTACCCGCAGGTGTCTGAGCTGCAGCCCGACCTGGCCGGCAAGATCACTGGTATGCTTCTGGAGATGGACAACGCCGAGCTGCTGATGCTTCTGGAGTCCCACGAGGCGCTGCTGTCGAAGGTGGATGAGGCTATTGCTGTGCTGAAGCAGCACAACGTCATTCCCGAGGGCGCGCAGCAGGCCTAAAGCGCTCATTGCGATCGCTGACTGTGGGTCTGCGCAGCCGCCCAGCTTTGGTGTCCTTATCAACGGGAGGCTTTAGGTTTGGCAGCTGGCAGCGCGGGCAGTACAGCAGCGGTGGTAACAGGCGCGGCGGTCGACGGCGATCATCGGGGTGACGTGAAGGCGTTTTAATGTGCAGCGACGCGGCGTTGGCAGCGGCGGCCCTTGCGTCAGGTTGCGCTGGCGACACGCTACTGAACGGATTTCAACTGCAGGGGCGATGGTGTCAGCGCAGCGTGGTCGTGGTGGCTGCACGTGTAACAGCGTGGCGGGTGCTCTGCAAGGGGCGTTCCCGCGCGCTGCCGGTGCAATGCGGAGAAGCATGTTTGGGCTGCTTTCCTGTCTCGTAACGTCTTACCTAGCGGCGAGACAGTGTTGTTGCGCAGCACCTTTTGGTGCCGGCTACGCTTTGGATTGGTGGTGGAGGGTGCTGCACGTGATGATAGGGGAAAAAATCTACCGAGAGTTGCGGCAGGCTATCCTTGCAATCGTTTGTGGAAGGTGTGAACGGTTATCCGCAGGACAAGATGGTTGAACCCATCATGCCTTGGCGGTAACGCTGACGCAGTTGCGGCTGGTTAATTCTGAACGTTGAGAGCCGTTCCTTTACACTTGCGCTAGGCATTCTAGCCTGTAAGCCCCAAGCCCTTTACGGCAATTATATCTTCTCCGGCATGGTTACCATACTAGGCAACATTCAGCTGTTGACACCACAGCATATGTGTTTCACTTTGCTATCCCCCCAACGACTACTAGAAATGGCTCGTTGCCACAAGAGCACCAGATAAGGGAGCGTAGGCACTGTCAAGTTGTCAACATTTAATCAGCTTAAGCTGCAAGAACGCTATCCTCCTTTCCCCCGACACCCCCCTTTAATCCTCCAAACAGTCACTGCACACCCCTTCCTTCCCCAGTCCTCCAACTTCCACTGCACCATTTCCTAAGCCAAAGCGCTAACATTAGAGCCGTTCACCTTTCTCTCCCCCTAGCACTCAACTTGAAGTCCGCATACAGCTTGCCTCAACGACGTCAGTGAACAGTACCAAACTAGCTCATTCTGCATGGCACCCAGACGGCCCTAAAGCAGTAACAAAACGTCCGACCTGCATCCTGCAGCCCACCATGCGGCTGCGCACACGGAAGGCCCTCCGTCCATTACAAGTACTAGGCAAGCCCACACAAACCCTAGCAAAGCAGCGACACACTCAACGCCACACTCCCAACCTACTTCACGAATCCACTACCACACGTCACGCTGGTAGCGGCCTGCGTCCGTGAGCTCCTTAATGACCGCCTCCGCCTGAGTGCCGGTGCAGCCCTTGCATGCCTGCACCATCGCAAGAAACGCCTTGTGCACGTCCTTGGCCATGTGCTTGGCGTCACCGCACACGTAGAGGTGCGCGCCGTCAGACACCAGCGGCCACAGCGTCGCAGCCTGCTTCTCTACGTGGTGCTGCACGTAGTCCTTTACAGCCTGGTCACGCGAGAAGGCGATGTGCAGGTTGGACAGCACCCCCGAGGCGGCAAAGGACTCCAGCTCCTGCTGGTAGATGTAGTCGTGGTGGCGAGAGCGGCAGCCAAAGAACAGGTGCGCCGGCCCAAGCTCCGCGCCTGCATGCAGCAAGTCGGGGTTCAGGGGGTCAGGGTTTTCGAGCTCTGCCTCTGGTTCATAGCAAGTGCCAAGACCAGTCGACTGGATGCTGCTGATAGGACAGTTACACATCGGCAATAACGGATCGCCAGTAGTACCTAACGCGCCATGCCGTGCCGGAATCCAGACATCCCAGCACTTACCCGAAGCTGCCAACGCTGCCCGCTCCTGCAGGAAGCCCCGGAAGGGCGCAAGGCCAGTGCCGGGGCCCACCATGATGATGGGCGTGGACGGCGACTTGGGCAGCTTGAATTGGGAGCGGCGCACAAACACAGGCACCGCCGCACCGTTGCCGTGCCGCTGCAGCCATGTGGAGCAGATGCCCTCGTGCACACGGCCCGTGGGCATCACATCGCGCACCACCGAGCAGGTGACATGGATGGTGGAGGGGTGCTGCTTAGGCGAGGACGAGATCGAGTAGAAGCGCGGCTGCAAGCGGGGAGCGATGCCGCCAAAGAAGGCGCCGATGCTGGGCTTGGCAGACGGGAACGCCTGTAGCACTTCCAGCAGGCTGCGGCGCGACTTGCCGATAAAGTCAGTGTACTCCTGCTTGCCCTGCGAAGAGCCCAGCAGCGCCAGTCGAGCGGCCTCCTCACGGTCGGCGGCAAAGGTGGACAGCGCCAGCAGGGCGTCACGATGGGGGCTGGACAGCACGTCCGCAAAGAACGACAACGCTGTACGAACGCTGATGGGGCCTGGGAGCGGCGGCGGCAGGTTGCCAGCGCCGGTGCTGCCTTCCTTGGGCAGCGACAGCCTGATGACGGCATCCAGGTCGAAGCCCAGCAGGTCAGCCACCTGCTTCACAACCGCCTCGCCGTTCTGCGCGTACAGCGCCACGTGGTCGCCCGCCTCGTACGTGATGTCCGAGCCGGCCACATCAATCTCCACATGCACGCAGCTGCGGTCGGACTGGCTGGTGTGCAGCTCACGGACGGTGGTGATCTTCGCCCAGAAGGGGCTGTGCACGTCCTTGCCTGTGCCGCTGGGGAACGGAGACACCTCCTCCGCACCACGCAGGACCTCCACCTCGTAGGAGGCCACGCTAACCGGCAACGCGGCCGCACCGTTCTGGTCGGTGCGCTTGCCGACCAGGTCCGAGTTATCAAGGGCCTCCACCAGCTCAGCACACCACTTCTCGAAGTCATCGTCGATGACTCCATCGTCGTCGCCATCTCCGCGCCGAACAACCGGGGTCGCCCCCAGGGTCTTCATGGACTTGAAGACCTTCTTACCCACAGCGTTAAAGTGTTCATACTGCTTGTTGCCCAGACCGAAGACGGCGAAAGATACGCCCTGTTTGCAATACCGGTAGTGATCAGGCGCGCGGATGCAAGGTCGTCAAGATATAAGCATAACAATACTTAGCACGAAGGCCCATATATATTTCTTTACAGGTCTAAAGGAAGGGGTCTTTTGAAAGCCGCCACACCTTTTCCTTCGCTAAGATCCGACAGGATTTGCTTGCACTGCGAGTCTCCCGCCCTCCAAGCGGCACAACAAGGATGAAGACAACAATGATATCATGGAGATGTGCAGTGTTATGCTATTCGAAATGAGAATTACCCGGCGAAGCGTTACAGCCAGCTACCCACGGGTCCACCCCACCTGCAGGTAAGGCTCCTTCTCGCCGCCCTCGACAGCCTCGGCCTCCTTCAGAAGCCACGTATAGAAGATCGCTGCGTTATCGGTTGGTTCGCCATCGCCATACGTAGCCATGCATAAGACGACAAGTTTCTCGCTGGCCAGACGCTCCTCTGCTTTGTAGTTCTCCACGTCGCGAACGTCGATCGTCGTGCCGTCGCCATAGCGACTACGTAACTCGTTTCCGAGCTGCTTGGAGAAGCGCTCGGCTGTGCCCGTCTGCGTGCCATAGAGTATGCGCACGGCGGGCTTGCCGGGTTCATCAACCTGGGACGGCCGCCGGTCGACCGCGCTGTCTATGCTGGTGATAGGGGCTTGTTGCTTAGCGGTTCTACTGCGAAGTGATAGAAGTGCTAGAGCAGCTATAACGACCCCCAGACAAAGCACGAGCAGGATGATTGGTTCCATTGTTAACAACGCATAATAAGAACTAGTTTCTAACTTCGTCCTATTGTATATCTAAGAAAGTTTACAATTTAACATAACACTCAATAATCCCGTCTTGGCAAAACCCATAAGAAATTGAATTGCACGGCAATTATTAGCGTAATTAGAATTGGTTCCTTCGCCCACGACAGGTAATTCACTTCATAGCTTAAGATACTGACAAAGACGTTATTACTGTTTTCCAAAGTCTGTGCCCCGCGGCCCTAACCTGCAGACATAGCTTTCAAAGGCCGGCAGAGTGCCAGCGCTGCGCTGATATGTAGCATACTTATAGCTCTCCATACAATTTAATGCTAAAATTGGATGCGATCTATCGGCGCAAAGAGGTGGCCCAGAGCTGATCGTCACTCTTGACTGGCAGAAGACCTAAAGCCTTTAGTCGACAAATGGCTGGAAAGGAGAAACGCCGTTACATCAATTACAGGGTGTGGCAAATCACTTGGGATGTTAATCGGGGGATGGTGTTGGCGCGCGGACGCCGACCCCTTTGCAATGCCGATTATCAGGATACCATCCATGTGCTAAACGTGGATGCGAAGAATACCTATATCCGGTCTACATTTGCAGGTCGACGCGTATTTGCGCGATCGTTTCCTTCAATCCGGTCGAAAGCACAAGCCCCGGGAGATATGTGGCGGCGGAGAGACCTTCATGCGATGCTTCAACCATGTCAAGTTCTGCGTAGTATGTTGCGCATCCCTGTCCCAGGCTGTGGTGAGGTTGCCGTAGCGAATCGTCGCGCAGCTGGCTACCTCCGCTGGCCCCACAGAGTCTCACAGGGTTTGCTGCGTGCAACTACCGCAGGCGCCATGGATGCTGAGCGCCATGGAGGTCCTGGCTGTGCTGCTCATTTACTTTTTGGCGACGTCGAGGTCGCTGGTCATCCACCACCACCGCTTCTCGTTCACCCGCAGCTTGGAGGATGTTGTGGGAATCACGTGCACCCGCGCTGCCATTCTCAGCCTAGCATACGCTATCGGCCAACGCTCCGTGCATAGGTATGCATTGGGGAGCACGGCTTTGGCCTTGACGTCCCATGGGGCGTCCCTCGTATCACGGGGGTAATCTGCGCCTTACCTTTCAAGCCTTTCCTTAAGCCTTACATTATTTTTAACGGTACGCGCTACTGTACCGTCCACGTAGGCCTTACCTATATGCTGCCTATCTGCTGGCAGCCGCCTGCCTACCCTACATAGTAGTGAAGACGATTCTCTTCCGCTATGGGCCGGATGGCGTGGCAGCAGCTGCCATCTTGGGGCTGGCCGGCGTGTGCAGCGTTGGCCACGTCCTGGCTGCCAGGTAAGGTTGTATCTTTCCTGCCTAGTCCGTCGGTCAGTCAGGCCTGGAAAGCCCAAGACATCCCATTGTTTGACCCCTTCTGACACCCGTCGGCATACCCGCCTGCCACCTACACATTTTTATGCTGCGATTCACATTCCCGTTCACCCAGGCGCACTGTTGAATGGGCGCGCCGGCGCTACCAAATGGGCCTTGGTGGCTTTGGCATGCCCTGGGAAGAGGGCGAGGACGCCTGGCACGTCCTGCGGCGCCCGGACTTGGAGGACTTGACCAAGACCAGCGACGGCGGCGGTCCAGACCCTGGGGAGGATGTACCTGCGGAAATGCTAGCAGATGACGATTCGAAATTTGTGGAACTGGCGCCCGGGCTTAAGATCCACTACAAAGAGGTTGCCCCTCCAGCCACGTCCTCGTCCGCAGGCTCCACGGCGCTAGGCGGACCTGACAGCGCTTCAACGGGCATCGTGCTCGTCCATGGCTTTGGCGGGGGCGTCTTTGCTTGGCGGCATGTCATGGAGACGCTCGCTATGCAATGCCACTGCCGGGTTGTTGCCTTCGACCGCCCGGGGTTTGGTGAGTGCCGGGCTCCAGGGACATTCACCTCAGCGGTGACTTCCTCACTGTACCCCAAGAGGCCAGCCACTTCTAGGATACAAACACCTCAGGAAAGCATGCCTCCCGCAGGTGCCAAAACCTGCCGTTCCTTGCCTCCCTAGTTTGGACAATTGACCGTATGTTGCCCTATATGTCCACCAGGCCTTACGTCCCGTCCCAAAGCAAACGAGCTCAGCAACCCCTACACGGTGGCGTCGCAGTCGCAGCTGCTGCTCCAGCTCTGCGGCGCGCTGGGGCTGCGGCAGGTGGTGCTGGTGGCCCATGCAGACGGATGCCTGGTCACACTTCGGGCAGCAGCCACGTCAGCCAGGTAACCCCCTTGACGCATTGAAGGCTCTGAACGCTAGTAGACTGGGAGGCATTCAACAGGCCGAGCAAAGCGCGGTGCGGCGATAGGACACATCCGCTATGCTCACGGACGCCTTGCACACGGCTCGTATGGCATCCTCTGTACTTCTGATTGCTCCCCGGCCGTCCCATTTAACAACCTTTCTGTTTGTGGTTTCACCATCCATCCACAGTTGCCACCAGCGGCGGAGCCGGTACCTGCACCCGCAGCCCATCTCCTCGGCCCTACAGCCCCAGCTGCAGCTGCAGCCGTACTCCTCCCGGGCTCCTGAGCATGCCCGCAGCGCGCCAGTGTCGGCGGATGCTTCCCCAAAGTTCACATCGGGGTCGCCCTCATCCCCGGCCTTGGAACAGTACCTCCCCCAAACCGCTCAACAGCAGCACCAGCAGCAGCAAGCGCCAGTGCAGCAGGGACTAGTGCGCCAGGGGTCGGCGAGCTGCGGCGGCGCGCTGTCAGCAGCTGCCTTTGCGGCAGCAGCGGGCGAGCCAGGCGCCTCCTCGCAGGGCCTGTCACATCAGCTCTGTCCGGCGACGGGTGGCGCTGCGCTGCCTCCGGATTGGGAGAGCGGCAGGGGCGTTGTTTTGGCGGATGAAGTGGCGCGCCTCGGCACCAGCAGCTACCATGGCTCAACGTCAGGTGCGGTGCGTAAGGCGGTGGTTGTCCCCTGGTGGGACTGGGAGCCTGCCAGCACGCTGAACCGTAGCCCACTGTCCATGCTACGTTTCGAAGTACCGGTAGCTTCTCCTCATGCGTGCAACTCGTCTCACGGTAGTCTTGTTCGTGTCCGTGCGAGGGAACTGCCGTCTCTCTCTGTCTTCCGTCTGTTCTCTGCAGGTCCCTCGGGCCCTCCCGCTCCCAGCGAGGCACTTCCCCCGCGGCACCCTTGGGTGTGCGGTGCTCGCGGCCCACATCGCCACCATTCCCGCCACTTGTCCATGATTGGCTGCGGCCGCAAACCCTCAGGTTGCGCAGTGATGGGCAGCTCGGGCGATGTGGAGGTCGGGTCGCTGCGTGGGGAGGCGCTGGAGGTAGACCGCGCCTCCTCCACAAGCACCTCCGTCACGGTTGCGCTGTCCTCTCAGGCGCATCATCGCCGCGCGCAGTCCGTACCGGGACCTGTCGGCGCCGGACACTGGTAAGGCGGTGATACGAATTGCTGTGCCTTCACAAGTGTTGATCCTTAGAGCGTTGGTTTACTAGGCTGTTGTGGACTGCTGCTGTACCCGCAACTTAGCATGGTCACCTGCGCTGCAGTTGCTCTGCTCACTTTTCGGATGGCTGGGAGACGGGGAGCTGCGGCAGCGGTCACATCCATTCGCAAGCGGTGCCGTGCGTCTTGGGCCTGGTGCTGCTCCACCCGAACCTCAGTGGCAACATTTGCTCGGCGTTCTCGCGCATCCTGGCTCGGTCCAACTTTGGCCGGGCCATCTTGCGACCACTGCTGCGAACAGAGGTTGGCGAGATCGCCAATCGCCGTGCCTGGCATAACGCTGACAAGCTTACGAGCGAGGTACGGCGTTTGACTTGAGTGGCTGGTTGATACTGTACGGTACCGTTACTGGATGACATCGCTGCATGCATACAAAGCCCTGTAAAGAAGTACCCTTGCATGGAAACCGCATTGCACTGCCTTTTACCACACAGATGCGGGTTGATCACTGTTTGCCTTGCCATATGTCTGCATGCAGGTGCTTGAGATGTACAAGACCCCACTTCGCGTGGAGGGCTGGGACACGGCACTGGTGGAGACCATGAAGCAGCGGAAGGAGGCGTGCCAGGGGGACCTGCACGGATACTGCGACAGCGTGCAGCCGATTCCCACCCTCTTGGCGACAGGTGCGTCGGCCGTGTGTAAGGTTGGCCATCGGCCCTAAAGCGATCTGGCACACGTTGCCGTTACCCGTTTAACTACTCACCCTCAAGCAATGCTAATGCCCCGGGGGCTGCATACACGGGTTGCATTGCTGAACAGGCTCTTCCTCCCTTTACGCAGGCGAGCACGACCGCATTGTCCCTCCATGCAAGTCGGAGACCCTAGGAGCAGACCTGCCGCATGCACGTCTAGCGCTGCTGAAGGACTGCGGACACCTGTCTCACGAGGAGGCTCCCAGTGCGCTGCTGGAACAGCTAGTGCCCTTTTGTGGAGAGGTGCTAAGTCGAGCAGCCTTGCGGTGAAAGCCAAGGGGGGGTTGGCGCAGGCCAGTAGTTGTTAGCTGTTGCATGCGTCTTTGCATTGCGCTCTTTACGGACGGACGGACTAACTCTGTACTAGGGTTTTGCGCCTCTTAAAGGATACCCCACGCCATGTGATTGTGGGGCCCTGCGCCCAGCCTGGTTGCCGAGTGAGGCAGGCAGCGCGCGGGCGCGGGTATGGCGGACAAGGCTCGAGGCCGCATCATGACATTTTGACAACTTACTTTAGCGTGTAGCGTGTGCTCCCATTACGTTAGATATGTAGGAAAGTTTAGCTTTTATTTCATTGGTAGTGACCGTTTGATGTGGGCGCAGACAATGACTGAAAGGGTGCTCACCGATTGGTGTGGCGGATGACAACAATCCCTGTGGACAGAACTTAGAGCAACGCATGTGTACGACCCTGACAGACAATTGCACGACATGAGCTCCTCCACGTGCCCCAGTGTGCGTTATGCATGTGGTTACCGGTGTTTGTCTCCGCTGGTGTGTACATAACGTTGCCGTGCTTGAACGTGCAGTCGTTGCTGGATTGATTTGACCGACAAAAGCGTTGTTGCGGTCAGGCACTGCACTGCCTCTTTCAGGATGACGTGCCTTGTGACCCTTGAGTCGGTCATAAGGCTAAAAATGCAGTTGACTAGACTACTATCTGAATGGCTAGCTGGACTGCTACTACATGTGCTTAAATGATCCAAGCACTGTTGCGCTAGGAGTTGAGTTGGTAACTTGCGGGTGGTTGGACGGGGCGCCGCATGCCTTTGGCCTTTTTTTTAATGGTCAGCAGGGGCGATGCAACTGCTTGACCGGTACTGGTATGATGTGGCCGTGATGCAGACACGGCGTGGGTGCCGCTGGTTACCGCCTAGTTGGCTTCGCAATGGCCTTTGTGGGTTACTCTGATGGACAAGCTCGAGCACGGTGTGAACGCATTCCAAGTATATATCGACGCTTTTGACCCTTACGGACAAACTTGGCGTTGCGATTGTTCAATTTGCTCTGCGGCAAGGGGAATCCGTGTTGCCCGTTACTGCTGCTGGTACTTGTTGCCGTTCCTTTACCCAAGTTCTTTCCATGTGGTTGGTGTCGCACTAGAATTCCTGGCTGGCAGTGTTTGGTCCGGGGTCGGCTGCTTCCGGCATCCAGTTTTGGCGTTTGGTTGGCCTAGACACAGTTAAGGCAGGACTCTGAGCGTGTCTTTTCAAGATGCGTCCTATTTTAATGTACTACTAGGCCTAACTGGGTCACGTTTTTCTGCTAGTGGAAAGTTAACGTCCCGAAACCATGCTCGCCGGCAGGGCACAATTCATGGGGGCGTTATCGACAATAGGTGGGTTAGGTACTAGCCAGGATTCCTCTTGAGGCCCTCCTGTGAGTGCCGGCCCCTGGGCTTCCAAATCTGTGTTGTCGTGATCTCTCCCTCTTTGACACCGGCATCCTACTTGTCTCGCGCTCTTCAACGCAATCCTTGTCAGTGCCCATGATGTGTTGCCTCTCCAAACCGTAACATCCCTAACGTGGCTATACAGAGCCAACTTGGAGGCCCTTAGGAACAATAGTGGGCCATGCATGCATGAATTGCATGCGGAGTACCCGTCGCGACGATAGGGCTTAGACTGGCTAGTCCTACCATGCTTTTCCGCATCTCCTTGTGCAGCATAACTGTATCTGTTGCACGCATTGCCGCCTCCACCCACTCCTGAGATTGGTTGCGTAGACTGCCGAACATTTGGCACTCCTGCTCCCTCAGACCACAGTGGCTTACTGCGCACACGACATGGGAGTTGGCGGGGACGGGCGGGATTGAGTCCGGCCTGCAAGCAAGGAGGGCATGTAGTAGCAGTGTAACACTCGTGTTCTTAGCTGGTGGCGGGCACGGGGCCCTGGTTTCCTGGTTACAGTGACACAAGCGGGTTGCAAAACGTGCTGTCCCGAAGGCTGAGCTAGATCTCGGTTGGCATGTTTGCATGTAGCGTGCCCAACATGTCCCATGGGTCGGCGTCCGGAGTTAACTTTGCTTATCACGAGTAGTATGTGCAATGCACCATTAGTTCATGCCGGATGGAAAACCCAGGCAATGGCGTTCGGCAGTTAACATTCCGGTGATCCGGTCCAGATTAGGTGGGTTGGTGTGTTGGGAGCCCACATCAGTAGGAATCTGTGTATGCATGCTGCAGGTGTGCATACAGGGTGCAACGGCAATGGGGATCTGCCACCTAAACGTGATATTGGATGTCCAGCGTCAACCAAAAGGCAAGGGTGGCTGGTACTTCAGGACGGATTTCACCTGCCTAAGTACACCCTCATGCATGCAAGAATTGCACGTCTACGCGCAAGTACACCACGCGGAACCATCTCGCTGCATAAGGTTCGTTGGCACGGCTGCTGGCCTTCCTGTGAACTTCCTTCGCTGGCTGTACTGATGCGGCGACCCTCGACGCGAATCCGGGATAGCCGTACCGGTGCAAGGTTAACCAGAAGGCGAGTGTCGAAGGTGTGGAACAGACATCTATCCATTTGCTCCCAGTACGTTCATACAACGCGGCACATTTTAGCTCGAATGCTTTTTCTGAGCTTTCGTTCGCGCTTCCACTGGCATACTATGTAGCAGAACTGGAATGCGTCCCTTTATACTTTAAAACATACAATATGTCACACTTAAGGAGGCTTCGTGTTAACATTGAACCCTCTCACGCGCACGGTTCCCATGGAGGTCGTTGCCGCAGCGTGAGGCGTCGGCCCGGCAGATCGCAGCTTGTAACGCGTGCGATATTTGACGAAATGGAAGCATTTACGAATCTCCTTTCGCCGGGCTCAGCGAGGTAGTATGCTGTTTGCTATACAACGGCTGCAGCTACCATGGGATGTGCTTTTCTCAACGCTTGCCGCTTTCCTTTTCCCTTATCCCCCCAGCGTCATTACTGCAATGATAGCAGCTACCTCAGTCAGCGTTAACTTATACGGCGGACTATTAACCGAGCGCAAACGCGCAGACCTGGCCAAGCAGGTGCGAATGCCTAGGTAGCTAGCCCTAACTACTTCCTTCGTAACCAACCAACGTCATCCCGGCTCACAATTTTATGTAACCTCACCGTTTCCAAACAATAGATGGAGCGCGAGCGCCAGGCGGCCCAGCAGCTCTGCGAGATGCGCTCATTAGTTGCCCGCTACCGCGGCCCGCTGCTAGAGGCCGCGGTGGACTTGGAGTCGCGGTTGGTGGCGGTTGCCACGGGGCGTACGGCACGGGGCGGCGGTCGAGGCGTGGTTGAGGAGGAGGTGGTCTACACGTTGTTCACGCTAGCGCAGTTCCTTGGCTTTGTGGAGCTGGTGCGGCGGGAGGGGCCCAGGGAGCGCTCATTCTTACAGCAGGGCAATCCGCAGGTGGGTGGGGAGGGGCGGCTGCGTGGCTTGGCTAGGGGATTGGTGCGAGGGGTGGCCGGGTTGTGGCTGGGTAGGGAAGAGCGAAGCTGTTTTGATGCCGGAGCCGTCAAGGTGAGGGATGGGCGGCCTCAGACACGTGCTAGGCCCACGGCTTTCAACTGACCCCAAAAGCTACTGCATATACCGTAGTTTTCCACACGTACTCGTGCACGGCCGTTTTCCGCCCCTCACCCCCTATTGGACCCCGCTGCCTTTGGTGCTCAATACCCCGCTTCCTTTCCTCCTTTCGCTCCTTCCATTACCGGTACTCCATCTCTCCATCTCCCCTCCTCCGCTCCTCCGCCCCCAGGGCACCGACACGTTAGCCAACCTGCTGGAGGGATTCCGGTTCATCCTGTGCGGTCACCCGCAGGCGCTGCAGGTGGGGTGTGTCGTGTGGGGCAGGGGGCAAGCAGGGCTCCTGCGGGGGCCAGGGATGGGAGGAACGGGTGGTGGCATGATGCGGCGGGTTACCACCCCGTGGCTTCACGCTGGGCTATACCTGGGTTCGCAGCTTCAGCGCTGTGAAGGTATCCATGGGTCAAAGTCCTTTGGCGATGTTTCTTAACCCTCACATGTGGCCTGTCCCCTCCCCCCCGCATGCCGCGCCGTACAGGCCTGGTACGACGAGGGCGAGGCGCGGGACCACCCGGGGTCACGTAGACGGCCGGGGGTGCCGTACGGGGGGATCCTCAGGTGGCCTGTTCAGGAGCTGGAGGTCTGCGCTCCCAGCGGGGGTAGTGGAGCTAGCGGCGGTTGCGCTACTAGCGGCAGCGGGGAGGCTGGGGCCGGAGGCAGCAGCAGCGGCGCTGGCAGTGGCGCTGCGGATAGTAACGGAAGAGGAAGTGGCGGTGTGCCTGCCGGGAAGGAGGCCGCTTGCAGTAACGGTGTGGGGAGTGGCAGCAGCTGTACTAACGGTGATAGCAGCAGCAGCAGCAACAACAACGGTAATGACCATGGTAGCGTCAGTAACGCCAGCAGTAACGGAAGAGGAAGTGGCATGTCGTTGGGAGGGGCCGCACTGGGGCAACGAATCGCCGAGCAAGAAGCATGCGGGAGACATCCGGCTTCTGCTTCTTCTTGCGGTTGCAACGACAGCCCCAGCTGCAGCAACGGCCGCACCAGCAAGTACGACAACGGCAACGGTAACAACACCATCGGTAACGGCAAGGGGCTAGCCTGCGACAGGGGCAGCATAGCTCACAGTGGGGGTGACGCCACCACCAGCAGTAGCAGCAACACCAACACCAACAGCAGTAGCAACAGCAGTAGCCTGCATGGAAGGAACGGCGGCAGCAGCAGCAGCGGGCGCCTGGGCGGCAGGTTCAACAGCAGCAAGTGGCCGGGAGGCAACGTGCTTCACATGTCTCGCGGGACGCAGCGGGCGGTCGGGAGCTTCATGATCATAACGCCAGTGGGTGAGAGCAGGGGGCGGTGGTGGTGGTGGTGACCCTGGAGAGTGGTGACCTGAGTTGTCGTGGAGCACGCCGGCTGTGGTTTGGGTTCGCTGCTTAATGCACATACCGTATTACGCGCTAGGATTGATGCAACAATGCAAGTACCGGTATACTGTGTATACGTCAGGTCGCACGCACCTTCTAGTGCCGGGATGCTATAGGACTGCCCATGTGCTTTCCTACCCACCACGCGCGTGACAACCCGGCTACCCGGCCGCGCGTCCTTCCCCCACACCAATACCAGCACTTCCATATAACTCCCATCCGTCGCCCACCTCCTCCCCAGGCGCCCCCCGGCACTACACGCTGTCGTACTCGGACTTCTACTGGCACTTCTACCGCGACCCCGCCTTCGCCGCCTGGCTGCGACCCATCTTTGAGGACCTGGTAAGGCAAAAGGGGGAAACGTAATTAAAATGGGAAGCAACGGAGTCCTAATCCCATATCCCAAGGCAAAAGGAAGGGAGGCTGAGAGTCTGCTTAGCCGTCAACTCCCAACCTAGCTGCAGCTCCGCTGCTTCCTAACTCCCAGCACCTCATATACCCAGCGTGTGGGATCCTAATCCTGCTTGGGCCAATGCGCATGCCCGGCACACCCCTTCAGGTGGGCTTGATTGCCACCCCCGGCGGCTGGCCCGGTGTCGGTCCCTTCCCCGTGAACCGCTGGACGCGTCTGCTGCTGCTGCAGCAGCTGCTTGTGGACACAATCGACCTGCTCGACCCCTTCATGGTGCGCACCAGCGAGCAGCACAGGTGGCGGCTTGCACCTGTTCAGTATGCACCGCTGCCAAATGTAAGCTGTGGGAAGGCGGGTACGGCAGTAGCGGCAGTTGGTTGGACCTGTATGTACCCTGGTAGGCATGGAAGCATGCAGCAGGCAGTGGGGAGTGTTTGTGATGGCATGGTGTGCTTTGTTGCATTCGATGCGTTTCTGCTTTTCTCGGGGACTCGTTGACCGGGTCAACGCGTTGACTTTCTGTTATGCGTCGTACACCTGATGGGGACACCTATGTCGTATGCCGTACGCCGTACAGGCTGAATCGTACAAGGAGCGGCTGCGGGTGCTGGAAAGCATGGCGGACACCGCCCTGCCGGTCATGAACTCGGTAGGTGGGTGGGTGGCTGGGTGGGAGATAGGGCTAAGGATTGGTGGGCTCTTTGGCACACATGCATGCGGCAAGAGATTACGGTAACAAGCCATCCATCCCTGACGCTACTCCTGGAGCTGAATGAACATTTGCAGCAGCTGGTGGTGGCCCTTGTACGACATGCATCCAACATCCCAACTGCTCTAAGCACCCCTGTGGCTCTGTGATCCGTGTAGGTCTTCCTGCGTACGGGTTGGGCCCGAGATGCTCGTGACAAGAACGAGTACCTTCGAAACCCCGCCTCTTCCTCCTCCTCCTCCGGCGGTGGCAGCGGCAGCGGTAGCGGGGCTGGCCTGCCTGGACAGCAGCTGTCTTCGTCACTATCATCAGCTACGGCCACAGTAGACCCCGAGTTCTTCTACTTGTACTCTTCAGTCTCCGGTAGCGGCGGTGTAGGTGGCGGTGGCGGAGGTGGCGCGGGCGTCACTGGCCGCCGAAGCAGTGTGTACGGCTTAGACGATGGTGGCGGCGGTTCGGTTTACAATAGCTTGGATGAGATTGATGATGATGGCAACGGCATTCCGCCGTACTCGTATGATGGCGGCGGCGGCGGACTTGGCGGGTTTCCGGTGCTTGCACCAGCCGGACCCATGGGTCGGTCGTCCCGAGCCCTGTCTGGGTTGAGAACGCCGCCTGCTACAGCGCCATCTCAAGCGGTTGTATCGACGGCGCACTCGCTTGCTTTTGCCAGCAGTGGCAACGGTAACGGTAACCGCAACGGTAAAGGGCACGCCAGTTGGGACGCGCATGTCAGCAGCGCGGATGGGTACTGGCGAGCTGCAGAGGATGATGAGTCCATTCCGCCGCCCACTGCCCTCATCGTGCCTGGGAGCAGTCAGCAGCGGTAGCGGTGCACCAAAGAGGGTTCAGGAGGGGGTGGTAAGGAGCGAGAGTAGCAGGGAGGGAGCTCGGCGCGAGGGCAGGAGGAGTGTGTGTGTGCGTGAGATAGGGCTGAGGGAGGTGTTGGTTACTGGGTACCGAGGCAGCAACATTGCCTGAAGGTGTTCTCTTGTCTTCGACAATTTTCGAGGATTGCTGCAAGTCAGTAGAGCGTATTTAAGCGGCGGTGTGTGACGTCGGGTGGTAGTTCCACTGAACTGTAGGACAGGCAAGGCTCCTTGCTCGCGACTGCACCGAACGTAATGTATAAAGAGTGTTGTTAGTCATGGTTAGGAAGTGATGCTATTGTTGTTCTTAATTGAGGGCAACTGAGGGTTAGGGAGATTATCTCGACGGTGAGTGTGACTCGTAGTACTCAGCGTACCGGGATCAGTATGTTGCAGCCTGCTGCTGCAAATCCGTGACAAGGGTATTCTTTGGAAGTTGAAATTGATGATGGCAGCGTGAGCAGCTGTCGAAGGCAAACCCGGTTGTCCTGTTAACGTACGTGATAAGACTTGATTGGTAACGGAGGAGCAGTTCTGCAGTTGGAGGACTGCTGTGCATGCCCTTAATTTCATTACACCACTCCACTTAATTTGGACTGCCTGGATCCCGGTGTTTCGTTTCTGCCGTAGTTTGCGGTTTGGCTGTGCCAAGCTGCTGGATACCACGGTGGCATGTAATACTCATACAATTAAGGCAGCAACGTGCCTTGTAAGACCCAAAGTTGGTTACCTTGCCAAGCGCAGGATGCACAGAAAGCTCTAGCCAAATATGAGGCACACACAACGCCCAATCAAGCTATGAACCGCATGTTCTGTTTGTGCCTCATCAAAACACGCTATCACCATCGTCATCAGCATCATAACCGCCGCCTCCCTCGCTGTGATGTACGACATGAAAACCCCCACCGCCACCACCGTCCCTCTCTTCCTCCTGTGCCACCACGAACCCCGACGGCAAAGACCCATCGTCCCCACTCTCGTACACCCCTCCTCCGCCGCCTCCCTCATCACCCTCTCCCTCCGAATCAAGATCCAGCAGATCCAGATCTCCCACATCGCCAACGATACGGCCGCTCTCATCAACCGCCACCTGAGGCAGAATCCCCCCTGCACGTCGCATGGATGACGTGGTTCGTCCCAGGGCTCGGTTGATGCTGCCACCACCACCGCCACCTCCACGACCCTCGCCTGTGCTTGCTGTGCCCGCAAAGCTGAAGGCCACGGCGGCGGCGCCCCGGGCTGTTGTGGCGGCGGAAGGGCGTCTTGACGGCGGCAGAGGAGGTCCCTCCAGCGGTATGGCGGCGCTGAGAGACTCCAAGCCCCCACTCACAGCGGTGGATGCAGCAGACCAGCCTGCGGTGGTTAGCAGCAGGGTGGAGCAGGGGAGGTGGGAGGTGATTTGAACAATCGATACCGTGTTGAGCATGTATGGGGACGTTCACTTGGGTTAGAAGACGCGAGGGCGGAATCCGGATTAATGTTAAAGCAGCTAAAGTGTTATCTAGTATGATCGCATCCCACGCTGCGCTGCACCCACGCACCTCCGAAGCTCTGCGCCACCTTATCCGACCCTCCATCCTCATCTGAGCCGGCATGCGCCTCCGCATCCTCGTAGCGGGGGACCCGCTGGGGGCTTCCAGTAGCAGCCCTAGCAGCAGTGCTAGCAGCAGCTGTTGCTGCTGCCCCCGAGCTGAGCGCCATGTTAGCTGCCACAACACCTGACTGCCCAGCAGCACCATCAGCAGAGGATGGTGCGGCAATGCCACCGGACTCCTGGCGCCTTTCACCACCACCGCGACCCCCAGCACTACCACCGCGGAGTGAGGAGTTCGTACGACCGGGTTTTTCCTTGAAGCCCCGTACGACAGCCGTACGGGAGATCTCCAGCAACCCGTCATCATCGTCATCGTCGATGTCCGCTTCTTCCTTCTCCTCTGCGGCTGCTCGAGCGCCTTCATCGTCGTTGCCAGCAGCAGCCGCAGCAGCATTGACGTGGCTGTCCCCTTTTCCAGCTACCGCGGGCATCGGTATCCCGACGACGGGATCCGTTTTGGAACTGCTGGGCTGCTTGACCGCTTCTGCTGCTTCTTGTCGTGCGCGTTCGACGGTACGGCGCGCCTGAGATTGAATGAAGCAGGGAGTTTGGGTTGGTTGGGTCTACCAAACTGCGGTGCCTGGGTGCGACCCAAACAGCACACCAAGGCACGCCAACAGAGGCGGTCTAGGTTTGACTACAACAGTGGCAAAAGCTGTATACCGTACAGCCCGGCCCCGCCAGCAACGGTGAGAGCATGCAAGCACCTAATGCGTCATCAGCTGCCTATACCGCTATCCCCATGCAATTACCACCACCACCACATCATGCTACATGCCTAGACACGCGTGCCAACCCACCTGCCGGCCCCGCCAAGCCGCCTGGATGCATGTCGCTGCCCGCTGGTGACCCGATCCGTACGATTGCTGTCCGTACGACTGCTTTGCGTGCGACTGCTGTGCGTGCGATTGCTCTCCTAACCGGGGAGCAGCCGCCATCACCTTGGGTAATGGCGGCGCTGCAGTCAGCGCTGCTGCTGCTGCTACTGCGGGTGTATCATGTGGTGCCGCTGGTTGTGTTGCTGCCACCAGCGGTGCTGCTGCGGTTGCTGCCGGAGCTTGATCCGGATTGTTCGCCGCCAGCGTCTGCGCTGAAATCGGGGGCGTGGAAGGTTCAGCTGCCCGGCCTGTGTCCTCCTCCACAGGAAGCGACGGCGGCGGCGCCGTCGCCGTCGCCGCGACGGCGGCTTGTATCTGGGATACAGAACCGGCATCGCCCGCCTGCACGCCGCTGGTCGATGGCTGAGCGGCGGCCTGCACCGGCCTCTCAACCTCCCTTCCGGCGGCGGCACGCGAAGAGGAAGCGGAGGGTCCACCTCGCATACGCTGGCGGGTGCGATGGCCGCGGTAGACGGCTTGGATCCGAGTGGCGGCCTGGTCCGGAGTCAAGCCCTTGCGAGCAGCCGGGCGCGAGGGCACCGCGGGGTTGGTGGTGGCGGACGCGGGAGCTTTGGGCACGGAAGCAGGAGCTGGGTTGGACGTGCCGGCGCCGGTAGCAGCTACTACCGGTATTGGCTGTGAAGCCTGGGTTACGAGTAGAGCAGGACCCTCAGCAGCAGCAGCAGCTGCTGTCATGGTGGTGGCATCAGCTTTGGTGTCGTTGAAGGTAACGCCGGCTGTACCGGTAGCTGCTGTTGTGGTGGTGGTGCCACCTTTGAAGGTGACAACCAGACTGGAAGGCGGGTTGGGAGGCGGAGATGGGCTTGGAGCCGTGACGGTGGTGGCAGCGGGAGTGCAGCCAAAGGCGGCTCCTAGGCGGCTTGCGCGATCAGCAACCATGTATGCCAATGCCAGCGTGTGTTGCTGTTGCTGCTGCTGATGGGAAGGCGCATGTGGCTGGATACTCTTCTCCTCCTTCTTCTTCTCCTCCTCCTCCCCCCCACTCGCATCCTCGCAGTCCTCATCGTCATTACTCTCAGAGCTCTCTCCAAAGCGCTCCCGGTAGAGCTGCCGTAGGCTCTTGGGACCAGCTCCGCCGCCTAGACCTGGCTTGTCAGCTCCCTGCCGCTGCCGCCGCTGGCTGCTGCTGCTGCCAGCATCGGATAGCAGCGTCCGCTGGCCTGGGGCTTTCCTCCTTCCTGTTGAGGTGGTTGCTTTTGTCTTGGGCTGCTTTGACGGGTTCGTGTACTCTCGTAGGAGGTCCAGCAGGGCCGTCAGGTGGGCTGCCTGCTCAAAGGACGAGGGCATGGTGAAGTTGGTGACATAGCTCATAGGACAACACGGTAACGTCAATAGCCACTTATTCTTACGGTGCCAGCACCGAAGCCAACCGGTCTTCTCACCGACCTTACCTCCTCACGATCCCTAGTGCTCCGCAACGCCCGTTCCAGCGCATCTGCCGGTGTCCGCCCCGCTTGGTCCGCGACCCGTGGGTCAGCTCCGAACCGCAGTAGCAGCCGCAGCAGCGGCCGCGAGCGCGCAGTAGCCGCCAGGTGCAGCGGCGTCTGGCCACGTGAGGGCTCGGGTGTGCTGGGGTCAGCACCCGCCCGCAACAACCGCTCCACCAGCCAACAGAGGGCGCTGTTTGAGTTGAGGGAATGGATGGAGGAGAGGATTAGGGACAGGTATGGCCAGGGTGCAGACGGCCACGCGGGGCACTGAAGGAGGGATTGGCAGGTTACCAGTACATACTGCTTGAAGCCCTTTGGGAACAACTATGAATTGGATCTAAAGGGATAGTAAACAGTCCCGGTCTTGACTCAAGCTACGCTTCCTGCTGGATGCCGCTAAAAACCGAGTGCTACCAACTCCCTGCCTTTCCTCCTTACCCCGGCGGCTGCTTATGTCGCGACGTCGCCAGCTTGCAATGGTTAATCCGGTTCGCCTCCCTTAGCCTGCTAGCGGCGGCCGCCTCCGATAGCACCAAGTGTAACGCTCGCCGACCGCCGCCATCCACCGCATTGGGATCCGCCCCCGCCGCCAGAAGCGCCGACACGCAGCAGCAACCGCCGCCGCCGCCGCAATCGCCGCTGCCGTACTCTCCGCCTTCCCAAATGGGGGCTGTGGCTGCCGTACTGCGACCATGTGCGTGCGGCCGGCAGCATGCGAGGTGCAGCGCAGTACGGCCTTCCGCATCACGTGCGTCGATGTGCAATGGTCCGGTAGCAGCGGGAGGAGAGGAGGGTGAGGAGGCTGATGGGGGAGGGGGCGAATGGCGGTCGAGTGTGGAGGCGGCCGCGGCGGCGGCGGCGGCGACGGCGGTGGCTACGAAGGCGCCGGAGGTGGCGGCTGCGGCGGCCGATGCGAGTGGGTGTGCGCGTGAGAAGGCACCGGTAGCGGGCGGGGCGGTGGAGCCGGAGGCTGTGGCGTGCAGGTTGGTGTTGTCATTGTCCTCGTGTGTGTACGGCGGCAGGTGCTGCCTGGCCAGCGGCAGTAGCATGGCCAGCAGGTCTTGAAGACCCGAGGAGGCGGCGCAAACGTGGTGGATGAACGCCTGTGCATGGAGGGAAGGTGGGTTGGAAGGGAAGTGTCTTTGGACGGTGTAACTCTTACCAGGCTACCAGTACTAGCAATGCTGCTATCAATGCCGCTATGCAAGAATGTGTGCGGTGCGCAGGCGATAGCTTGCGTGAGCTATCTGTGAGCTGCCGCACCAGCTGCTACGCAGCACTTAGTCCCCGTCATCCTTCTCCCGCCTCTTCTCCCCGATCCCTTGCCCTCACTCCATAAGATCATAACGGGTGAAGTTTCCCGCACCCGACCCGCACCTTGTGCAGCAGCGTCTCTCCGCAGCAATCGCACACATCCACTCGGGCGCCTGCAGCCAGCAGCGTGCGAGCACGGAGGGGCCCCTCGGGCTGCCAGCAGCCTGCCAGGGGGCGGAGCGGTGCGCATGTTAGTGCGTATGCAGTGGGGACCTGACCATTCCCAGCACATGTAAACTGCCCTGTAGTACCCGCGGTAATGATGCCCATCAGCGGAGTGATGCCGTTAACGTCCCGTGGGTCGGTCTCAGCTCCCGCCGCCAACAGCAGCCGCATGGCTCCCACCGCACTGGGTCCGGGGCACATGGCAGCTCGGTGCAGAGGGGTCTCCCAGGCGGGGTTCCGTGAGTTGACGAGTGAGCGCTGTTGGTCGGGGTCGCCTGCAGATGCGTGCGTGGGAGTCATGCCCGCACCATATGGAAGCGTGGGGGCCAGCAAGCTTAGGTGGGCAGGCAGGATTTCGGGGTTACAGGATTAGGTGGGAAAGATCTTGGGCATCTAAACGACACCGCACCAGACACTGCTGTTGCAAAACAACGCCTCCAACCAACCAGCTCAAACAGGAATCACGTACATGCAATCATACGGTGAAATACCAGGATACCAGTATGTGTGTTGGCCACCATGATCCCAGCTTGTGTCGGTACCGGTACTCCACACCCAGAAGCTGCCCATCCGCCCACCTGCCTCCTCTAGCAGCTCCCGCAGCCGCAACACGTCACCCCGCCCTGCAGCCCAGTGCAGCTCTGATGTGCCGGGACGCGCTTCCGCCGCCACGCCAGCCGCCAAGCGTTCGGCATCCGTCTTGGTCCAGGTCTGACCCATGGGTCGCGGGTGCCATCCGGGCAGCTCGTAAGGCACATCGGGCTGAGAGTCGAAAGGCGGCCGGCGACCTAGGAACGGGTGGTGATAAGGAAGGGTTTCCAGGCATGAGAAAACAAGATATACTGGTATGGATGTTGTGTGGATTGCGCAAGGCATTGTGGAAGGGAACATGACCCGTTCGACGGCAAGCTATACCGGTACAACTGATTGCCCGCAAAGGAGCCGGCGTCTACACCCACCTGTGTACACCAGCTGCCCCTCCCTAAAGCGGTACAGCTGCACTGCTCCACCCTGCTGCCTCCCTCCACCTCGCCTCGAATGCTTTTGCAGATTTTCAATCCTTGGCTGCTGCACAGTCTCCGTCGCTTGTCGTTGCGAAGTCCGCCTTCCGGAAGAAGGAGGCGACAGCGCCGCTCGCACTGGCCCGCCGCCGCAGCCACCGCTGCCATTGCTACCGTCCTGCAGCAGCCCTGACGTCGCCGGCGGCCCGCATCCCCCATCCAACATGTGTAGTACCTCCCTCACACTGCGGGCAGGTACCGGTGTACGGCAGGCATGAGCATACCGGTATGACCAGCAACGCCTAGTTACGGTAACATAACGTGAGCCGCAAGGCGCTAAACGTGCAAACCCATCCCGCCAACTGCACACACTCCCAAACCCACTCCCAAACCCACCTCTGCTGCAGCTCCGAGTCGCCCCACTCGCCTTCCAGGTAGGTTCGAATGCGGCCAGTGCCCCGCAGACGGGACGCCACTGTGCAGCGAGCATCCGCCGGTGCTGCTCCCGGTGCTGCTAGTGCTTCTGGTGCCATCGCACCCCTCACCACCGCCCCCGCAGTCGTACCGGTACCGCCTCCGGCATGTCCGCCGCCAGTTCGGGTACGGGCGCGTCCGGATGACACCGCTTCCGTACAGCCTGCCGTACCTCCAGCATCCGCTGCAGCAGCAGCAGCAGTGGCAGCCTCCCCAGCGGCGACAGTCGCTGCCTTGGCAGCTATGGCGCGATGTAACGCCCCGTCGGCGCCGATGCCACGTACACGCGCTTCCGGCGGCGCTAGACTCTGGTGCTGGTGGTGGTCCTGCTGCTGCTGCTGATGGTGCTCGTCACACGATGGACCCACGACGAATCCCCCGGGGTGGATGGGTTGCGTCGTTGGTAGCAGCAGCGAGGGAGACGCGGAGGCGGGTCGTGCCAGACGAGAGGGTTGGTAGGGGCGGTTGCTGGCCGGGAAGGGCAGTTTGGCACTCTGGGGTCTAGGAGGCGGCGGTGTGGTGGTGGTGGTGGCGGTGGTGGCCGAGTCTGCATGATGGGGCTGAGGGGGGTTGGGCCAGGCGGCGGGTTTGGTGTTGGGCGAGGGGGCGACTTGAAAGCCGTAACGGGAGGGGAAGCTGAAGCTGCCGTCGGCTGAGTGGCAGGCGGAGGAGGGTGGGTGAGGAGGGTGATGGAGAGGGTTGGTACTTGTTAGGTGTTGGGTGGAGAGGATGGGGTAAGGATGGGAAAAGCAAAGCACTCCACCGTAGGCTCATTCGCGCACCGCAACTCTATCGCAGTCGCCTACTGGTAACCAAACTACGTCCTACTTCTCCCTATCCCGTATCCGTGTGGTACCCAGTGGCCCCAGTTCAGCGAACCCACCTGCCACCTCAGGCTGAACCATCACCGAATCCGCCGCCTGCTCCGGCTTACCAGCCACCGCCTGGAGGATCCACATACGACGAATCACCGGTATCACACTTGGCAAAGCAGTTTGCTTGCACCTGGCAGCCATAGCCATGTCCCAACCCCTGTAACGGTACCTCCGTAAACCCCACAACCAGTCGAGACCTCGGGGAGTCCCTGTCCCATCCCGCCCCGCCCCGCCCAGGCACTTCATCCCACCCCTGCCGCATGGTGGTTCTTCGACTGTCACACCCGGCCCCTCCTTCGCCACCCCTTCGCCACCCACAACACCCACCCGCACCACCAGCCTTGCCGTCCTGGGGGCAGCCAGGCTGCGAGCCGCAAGCAAGTCGGGGGAGACGGGCAGGCCCTGCTGCCGCCGCAACTGCACCTGGAGGGGGGAAAGGGAGGTGCGTTGGCAATGGGCGTTCGGGATGGAGCAGGAACGAGCAGGGAGCTCTCCGGGGTACGAGAAGAGGCGAGGGCTACAGGTGGCACGGAGAGGTACGGTAGCAGCAGCAAGTCGGCATTGATTACGTGGACGGTATTCGGTATGGAACATGTATGCGAGTATACCGGTAGTAAGGTATGAAGAGCACAACGTCACAAGCAACGTCAGGAGCCCCTGCAGCTGCAGGTAAGCTGGTGCATCCGGTTCCCCTGTCATGCGCGTGTGTCTTGGCGTGTACGGCAGCGCGACCCCACCTCGTGTGCCGCTGCCCGGTGGTTGGTTAGCAGTGAGGTAGGCGGATAGAACGGCTGCCCCGCCGCCGCACCCGCCGCCGCACCCCCCGCAGCACCAGCTCCGCTGTCGCCAACCACTCCCCGCGTAGCTGCCGTACCGTACGCCGTACTTGTCTCCGGTGGTGCTATGCCGTACATGTGCCGTACAGCGTCCTGTGCCAGCTTGCTTTTCAAGGTATGGTGTACGGGCGTGGCGGCGCCTTGGGCTAGAACCTGTGGGTCATCGTTGCCGAATGCATGACGCCAGCATCCCAAGGGGCAAGGGAGGGAGGATAGCAACGAAAGGGAAAACATTCTTGACTCACCAACAGCACGGGTTCATCTCGTGGGAGGATAAGTCCGAACCGCCGTGCAAACGATAACGTCAATGCGGGCATGGACAATCGCATTGCTCACCCGTCGTACAGCTTTTTGGTCTGCCGTACGCCACGGATCGGGTCCGGGCCGCGGCGGATGCACCTCATGGGACCCTGGTTGCAGCCCCCGGCCAGCCGGCAGTCCCGGCAGGGGTCGTACGACATGTCGCCGTACACTGGGCTTCACGCCGGCGCCGTCATCACCTCTGACCCATGGGTCTTTCCTCCCTGCCGGGGCGCTGCTTTTGCCGCCGCCAAACCCATCAACCGCTCTCCGCCCGGCAACGTCAGCAGTGTCGCCAGCACCGTGATCGTCATCTTCATCGTCGCTGTCGTACACCCAAGGCTCCTGCTCCTCCTGCATCTTCTCACGGCGGTCCGCCTCCGCCAGTACGGCACGCCCGGCGGCGCTGAGGCTTTGTCGTACACGTCCCCCATCCTCTCCTTCTTCTCCAGCCTGCCGCCAGCCGCCTCGCGGCTCCCTAGTAGGTCCGACACCAAGGAAACCCTCGCCTCCGCTGCCTTCACCGCCACAATCCTCGTCACCACCACCAGCCGCCTCCACCGCCGCCTCGGCTGCACGCCGCATAGCGCTGCGCAGGGGTACCTGCTAAGCGAAAACCCACTGGGTCAGCGACGTGTGCATCGCAACATGCAACATAAGCACCCTGCATTACTAGCCCACCCGGCCTCCACAAGCGCACCGGCATCCCCACACTTTCCACCAGCTGCCGACGCCCCCCTCACCCGTGCCAGGTCGTCCACTGCTCCCCCCTGCGCTGCCAGCCCCTGTCTCAGCGCCCGCCCGCGTTGCTCCACATCTGCCAGGCCCCCGGGGTCCTCCACACCGCCCGCACCCGCTGCTGCTGACCCCGCTGCTTGTCCTGCCGCGGCTGGTGCGGCACCGCCTGCCGCTGATGCAGCTGCTGTTGCTGCTGTTGCTGCGCGCTGGCGCTCCCGCATGAGGCGGTCTAGACCTGCTGGACCCTCCTCGCGAAGGACCTTGAGCCGCCTGGAAGGGGCCAGAAAACGCAAATCGTCAGCGAATGCAGCAGGCCAGTAGGAGTAAAGAGGACGCTAGCCAGGGATTTAGACGGTGACACAGCCGAGAAGCGGAGAGGAGGAGGAAAGGCAAGGCGCGGTGGTCATGCAGGTCACCCCATCGCACGTAGGACATCCTGCTTGAAGCACACGCAACCCCTTCCTTTCCTCCAGGCTTCCCTACCTGACCACGTCCTCATGTGCCGACACCAGCTCGCCCATGCGCCGCATCTCGCGCATCACCCGCGGGACGCCGCCGCCGCCCCACGCCGTGCCGTCACCTGGAAGCCCCTCCTCACCACCGCCGCCGTCAGCAGCCGCACCGCCTTCGGCACTGCCGTACTGGCATTCCTCGCTGTCGCCGTCAAAGGCGGTGGTGGCGTCGCCAGCGGGCTGCTGCCGCTGCCGTCGTTGGTCGACTCGGCTTCCGGCGTCAACATCTGACATCACGCCTGCTGCGCCATCCTCTAAGCCAGCACCTGCAGCTGATACCGCTGCTGCCGTTGCTGTTGCTGTCAGAGTCCTGCCATGCTGCCGCACGACTATCGTGACTGCCCCCGCAGTGAAGCCGGTGTTCGTACCGGGTGGAGCCGTAGTCTTAGCAAGGGCTTTGGAGGCGGCGGCTGCCACCTTTGCATCATGAAGCACTCGCTCTTTCTCGGATAGACCCACGGGTCGGCCGGCGCTACGCTTGGCATCCCCGTCAGTCCCTCGACCGCTGCCGCCGCCCCAGACCCCCATCCATCTATCGTGTTCCTGACGGCGCCCAAGCCGGGAGGCGCAACGTGTTGCTGTTGTCGTGCTTCCAACACAGCTGGCAGCTCTTGTTGCTGCTGCCGTTGCCGGCTTCATCTGCTGCTGCTCCAGTAGCTCTGCTGGCGGCGGCAGTACGACTTCGCCGTACAGGATACGTTCCGGCAGCGTCTTAAGTTCCGCCACTGCCTGCAGCGGCAGGTAAACCACGTAAGCGGTGCCGCAGGTCAAAATGTACCGCCGGCTAATACACGGGACCCTGTCATGAATGTCCCCCTCCCCTCCTAGGCCCCGTTAACTCCACCCCGCCCCTCTAATGCCTTACCTCTGCCAGTGCCTGCCGGTGAGCCGGCTCCGACAGCCCCAGCACCCTGCTCAGTTCGGAAACCGTACTGCTGCTGCCACCATGGCTGCCGTACACCAGTAACAGGTGGCCGTCAATAGCGTTCTCCCAGAGCCGCCGCGCCACCAAATCCCCCAGCTGCCCACCGCCGTGCTCATGCGGGCGCTGAGCCCAGTGCGCCACCTCGGCGGCGCTCCAGGTCTGAGGAGGCCGGCGCAGCACCTCGATCCAATCCTCATCGTCCTGTCGTACAAAAGGTGGTGGCATGCAAGTCGCAGGTGCGTGTGGGCAAGCATGTGTTGCTGACTGGACTGAACGTATGTTTAGGAACCGCTCGGTAAACTGAAAAGAGGGACTTTGCCGCTACATGTCAATTATGGGCTAACCATGTCGACGGCTTGCAGCAAATGTATGAAAAAAGCGTGCGCTCCTATGTCGGAAAACTCGCAAGACCCATGCTTCACCCATCCGGGGCCTCAGCAAACTGCCCCTGACGCACGCCAGCTCCCACGCGACCATGCGCAGGCGACTGGTATACCCACCTCAGGAAATACGTTCGGTTGCACACGAGACCATTCCAAAGACACCTCGTAACCGGTAGCAAGCGTGCGATGGCTAGTATACGCCATATTTTGGGCCTAGGGCCATTGACCGTCCCGTGTTGTGACGTTGACCGGTTATAACCTGAAACGCACGGCTTAGCCAGCATCAAGTACTCAGTTATATATAGAAATATGTTTTACCTCTCTTCAGTTCAGGGACGGCTTAACCGTACTGCATCTTACGTGTTGCAGTGCCATTTGGTCAGGATGGCGTTAATTCCTTATCCGAAACAAAGAAGTAACATATACCGAGAGCATTATTGCCAAGCTACCGTCTGTGGCATTACTTTTCGCAGCAAGCTTAGCGCAACACCTCACAGCCTCAGTCCTTTGTTTTGACGTACGAGTACCTATTATGCAGCAAATCCTGGTATGCTCTGCAGTTTAGTTTACGGCTTTAGCACAGGTGCCCTAGCACGAGCGCTCCTAACCACACGTCGACACATGGCTGGACCGCGCAGAGCAACACAAGCTCAATGAGACCACTTTTCAGTCAACGAGGTCAAGCACGAGCTGTATACACCAATGCTACCTCCGGCCGCGACTACAGGTTAGACACGAAGACACCATGCAAGCATGCATCCAACGATGGACTGGTTGGCCACTTGACTACACCAACTTAGTTTGGACACGCTTTTACCAGGCTCAAAGAGCCGAAAGTACTCCCCTCTGCGTCCGCTGATTGCACGTTGTAGGAGAACGGCAATGTCCATGGGATGTGTGGCACTGACGCTGCTCGCTTTGCTTACTCTAGCCCTCGTGTAAGTTCAACAAGGGCAGCATATTAACATTATACATGTGGGTCTCCTAGCCACTTGTGTCCCATGCAAAGCACCTTTGGGGCTTCCCATTCACGGCACTACCCTTACAGCCAACAAGACTCTTACCCGCCCACCTGTGCTGGCCCCCACCCCTCCGTCGGGCTGCTGCTGCAGGCCCATCGCCCGGCGTGTGTTTCTGGGCATGGGCGTGGGCATGGCACTGGTGTCCGTACCCATGAGTCCCTCCTCCGCGAACGGCAGTACTGCAAGTACGACAACCGCTGATGTGGACGTCGAGCACCGGCAGGGCGAGGTACGCAGGGGCTGGGACTGGGACTGTTGTAAGGGGTGCGCAGGGGTGTGGGGTGGTAGGCGTGTGTTTTGTGCATGTGTGGGTTGTGGATGGGGAATGGCTATTGAGTGTTGACACCGAAACTGCTTGTTTGCGTCGGGTGAGGCAGTGATGGGGCAGGGACGGGACAGGAGGAGGAACGGATGATGTGGGCCCATGAGGAACCCTAGATTGGACGCATGCGTCTACACGTATCCTTGACACGCTGGAATTAAGCTACTCTTTCACGAAATAGGTGGCATTTGCAACCTAAGTACCTAACATATGCACATCTTGGCGCATGCTTGGTTCACGGTGTTGCGCTGCCGCCTGCCTCCTGCCTCCTAAATATCGAAAGGTCCGCTACAGCGACGAGGAGTGGCGGCGGCGGCTGCCCTCCGAGTCCTACCAGGTGCTGCGGCGGGGAGCCACGGAGCGCAGGTGGACCAGGTACGATGCGTTGACGACATGACTGATCCGCGGTACGACAAAACACACACAGACACACGTTGTGTACGACATTAAGCTACCATGACTCCATGAGCTAGCTATCCCCCGCATGCGCCGTACCAAACATGCACCAGCGAGGCGATGCAGCTGAGAGCACATGGGAGAGTAGAATTACGTTTTCACTTACGCCGGCTCCTGTCTGGCCTGCCGAGTACGACAAGCCTGCCTCCGGAAGCTGTTTCTAACCATGCCGTCTGTCCGCAGTCCGCAGTCCCTTCGGCTCTGCTCTGTCTTTATCTCCCTGCCTGAGTCGTTGAACACACAGTCATCCGCCCTCCCCACCTTTTCCTCCTCTCCGCCCTACCCTACCCTGCCCCGCCCTCCCACCCCACCCTATCCTCCGCCCTGTCCTGCCAGCGCCCTCAACAACGAGAAGCGCCCGGGGCTGTTCAGCTGCGCCGGGTGCGGTGCGCCGCTGTTCAACACCTCTGCCAAGTTCGAGTCGGGCACGGGGTGGCCCTCCTTCTTCCAGCCGCTGCCTGGTGAGCCGGGGGGGGGGGGGCGGGGCGGGGCAGCAGTGACGCTGGGGCAGGCGGTGGGGAAGGTGGTGGAGGAAAGACGGTGTGGACAGCGGCGGTGTGGACAGCGGCGGTGGGGAAGGCGGGGCCTTCATGACGGGGAAAGGGTGAGGGGCTTCTGGACCAACGGCTATACCCCATGCGGCAGCGGTATTGTGGGAACGCACATGGCAATCGGTAACCCTCTCGCGCGCGCGGTACCTGCCCGGGTCCCGACCCCGTTGTCAGCCCATGTGATGATGACCCCTGTACCAGCCCACAGCAGCAGCCACAAACACATGCTCCCTGTCCTTTGTTCTTCTTAGCGTCGTACATGCCTGCATGCACGCGTGCATGCAGGTGCTGTGATGGAGGTCCCCGACCCCTCCCTGCTGTGGGGCCCCCGCACGGAGGTGCGCTGCCGGCGCTGCCAGGGCCACTTGGGGCATGTGTTTGATGACGGCCCCGCACCCACTGGGCTGCGGTACTGCATGAACGGGGCGGCGTTGCGGTTTGAACCGTCGGGTGGCGGCAGCGGAGGAGCGATGAGCAGCGGTAGCGGTGGAGACGGGCAGGGAGGGGCAGTGTCAGGAGCAGCGTGAGGGAAAGGGCGTGGCGGGGCGGCGCGTTGAGGCAGAGCAAGCGGAGTTGTGTTGTGTGAGAGGTGGTGGTGGGTTGTTGTGGCTGGTTGAGTGTTGTGATACCGGTATATAGGGCGGTGGCGGCCGTAAGGTGTGAACATAAGTTGCAGGGCCAGCTGCACGTTCATATGTAGGTGCCTGTAACTTCCACATCTACCAGCGCTGTTGCCAACCGTCCATAGCAACCGCCCCAGATCCGTACAACATCCTATGTTTAACGGCCATCTAACCAAGGAACGGCACAAACGGTGCAGGGCACAGTCGCAGCTCGCAGCTGCAAACGTGCCAGACTGCTTGTGTGCTCAAGCTGTTCCTTCGACGTCGTGATCCTGCACTATTGGTAAGACGCATCCTACCGGTATGTCCTTCGAATCCCGTCTTCATGTGTTTCGGCACGGCCTGCCGCCTTTGACTTCTCTCTCGAGCCATCGTCCCAGGCAGTACCGGTAACACCCGTAAGCAGCCCCGCCTGCTCACCATATTCCCACGAAATGGATCGATGTATACTCTACCGTACATACACGCCCTGCATGCAACCCCTCATCACATCTCCTCCCTCTCCCTTAAAAACACAAACGTGCCGCCCAGCCCAACCGCTCTCCCAATCAACATGTCCTCATCAAGATACGTCAGCAGGTAGCCCGCAGGGACGCTGTCCCTCCGCGTAACAGCCCTGCTGGCTAGCTGAGCTGCCGTACGGAATTGGAACCTGAACTGGGCCTCCCGTAACGCCAGCAGGACCATGTGTTGCAGGGAGCCGCGGGGCAGCAGTGCGGGTGCAATGGCCGCCTCCACCGCCTCGCTGATGCGCACATCGCCCACTCGAGCCTCTTCGAACACCAGTGCGATGCGTTTGTCGCTGCGAATGTCGTACCTGCGGGGGAAAGGTTGGGATGGAGCTCAATGGAGACGGTGGGGACTTGGTGACTCTGGGAGATGCGCGGTGAGTGGTTTAATGCAGGTGGGGGTCGTCTACCAGGATGAGTGGGGGGGCTTATGTAAAGGCTCTGTTATCGGTACTGCTCTGGTTGCATGACATACGCTTTTCCGATAAGCGTGCGTGGGAGGCGAGAGCGCCATGACCCATGAGGAGGCGTGTTGCCTACGAACCCCAGGCGCTTGCAGGCGCGTCCGCTCCCCACATCGAGCCCCCTACGGAACCTAGGTGCCGCACCTGGCGCCTACAGTGAAGCTCAGCGAGGACCCAAACGCCGTGATGTCTATAATGTTCTCGACTACGCCCAGTTCTGGGTTGGTGAAGCGCTGGTAAATGTTCCCGATTTCCAACGGTCGCGGCAGGCCAATGCCACTCAGCGGACCCGGGCTTAAGCGATATTCGGCCTCAAGGATGGGCAGGACGTCCCTTGCAGTTGTGTAGATAAGCTTCCATTTCCCTGAAAGCAGTGAGTAATCCAGGCGTTCGCCCTGGAATCCCTCGACGAGCACCTGCGGCATCGGATGAAGCCATACCCAGCCTTCAGGCCGCGCTTTGGAAACTAAATGCTGCCACACATAACGTTTACATGTCGGCAGGTTAACGAGTACCTGCGCCTCTTCTATTAATCCGCGCTGAAAAGTTTCCACGCCGAGGCCTCGGTTGGTGAACCTCACAAGGTCCACAAGCGCTTGCTTTGCTTGAGCCCTTTCAGAAATTGATGAGCCGTATATTAATCCGGACGCTGACGCTGCGAGCTTGCCGGTAGGAAACGGGCGTCGGGTGACTAGTCGTCGACTGGCAACAGCCTTACCAGCTGCTTTCCTTTCCATGTATTGCATTGCTCCTAGCCCATAGAGCTCGATATTCTGTTAAGTAAGCGACTTGTTGTAAGCGGAACGCCTATGGTTCATGGTTGGAACGGCATTTGTACGAACGCTTGTTCTAGGAACGGTGCGAATTGCCCAGCTCTATGTGGACCAACAGTAGCACGCTCGGAACCATATGCCTTGCCCATTTAGTGAAGCCCGCACACGGGCCACCAGTCTTGGCGCTTATGGCCGCGGCTGCTGCTGCCGCTGCACGCTTGCTGGGTTCTGCATAACTGTCGACCGGCAACAGCCCAAGCAGCACCTCCACCGCACCCTGCCAACCCTGCAATCCCACACCATGTCCTGCCTGCCGCGTGAATAAAGAGACATGCAATTCCCTTGCAACTATAACGTGCCATAACGCTACATGTACGGATTAACTGGTACGGCGTCTATACGAGTTTGCCAAGGACGGCATATGCACAACATGTACCGCCATGACCCGCACAACTCACTAGCTCACAGCGACATGCCTGTAACCCTACACGCAACAGGTTCATACTTTGGTTACTCTCACACATATTCACACGCACACATCCTCACTCGTTGTCAGACACCTGCGCCACTAGCACTCCACGCCCTCCTGCTGCCACAATCGTCCCGCCACTCACATCAACCGCTGCAACTGCTTTCGGCATCTGCCAGCCGGCCAGCAGCGCGCCCTCCCTGCAGTCCCATGCCAAAACATGCCCCTCTGCCGTACCCAGCGCCCCCAGCCCCCCCGCTACCCCCATGCATGTGACATCCTCCACTCGCATGGCCCGACCCAGCTCCACGCCACCCGGCCGTAGCAGCGCCGGAACCACGCTTTCCAACCGGCCCATGGGGTGCGTCCCTGCAGACCCAGCCTCTCCGCACCCGCCGCAACTGCCGCTGCTGCTGCCACCAGCCATCAACCCGGTCTCCGCTAATCCCGAGCCCAGCGTAACTCGGGCCATGAACGGAACCGGCCAGCTGCAGTCTGCCACGACCGATGTCTCGCCATTTACGCCACCGTCGCTGCTACCGGTATCTCTACTCGGCCCGGCCGCCGCTTCCTCTGACTCACCACTCGTCCGTGCTCCCATCCTTTTCCTTCCCTCCGCAGGCTCACTACCAAGCGCTGGGGACCAAGCAGCGACAGGCACGGGCTGCAAGCCCCTCAGCAAGCACCCCGCCGGCTTGGCTACGGTGAGCAAAACCACTGCGGGCGCCACCAGCGCTTTGACAGGTACCACATCTGCACTCGTCATGGCCGCCGGCGGCGGCAACTCCGCACCCGCTTCCGCAGAGGCCACCGGAGGCTGCTGCTGCGGCGGCGGCCGCGACACAAGCCGCGGCCTGCCCACGTCCCACATCGCAATGCTGCCGTCGGATGAGACGCCTAGCACCAGCCTGGGGTTGTACGGCAGCGCTACTAGTTCCACCACATCTCGCAGCGGCCGAGGGAGGCGGTGCTGCTGCTGCTGGTGAGATTGAGGATGAGGTCGGGGTTGCGGCAGGAGGGCTGCTTCATGCAGCAGCACTTGCGGAGTGTCCAGGGAGGGCGACAGGCGCCAAACGCAACCCATGCCCGCATCACCGGCTGCGATAACCTGCCAGCACCACACCTGGCCAGGCGGTTGCTGCTTCAGTTGCTGTTGCGATTGCTGCAGCCTCCTCAACGGCTGGTTGGGTTCGTTAGGCTCCATCACACCAGCTGCAGAGCTGCCGGCGGATACTTCACCCCCAGCGTCGAGTGCTGCCAAGTCGTCGTCGCCCGCACCAGATCCTTCTGACAGTACCCCACAGGGCGTGCAGGTCAAGCAGCGAAGTCTTGCGCTGCAGCTTGCCCCACCCTGGCCGCCGTCGGCATGCGGGACCCGCAGTGTCTGCGCATGCGCCCACGCACCCGCCCTGTACTGCACCAGCTGGACATCACAGCCGCCGCCGCTGTCTTCGCCCATGCACGGCTTCCTGGCCTGCTCTTCCTCCTCCTGCGCGTGTCTACCACCGTCTCCCCCATCGCCACCACAGGCCAGATGGGCCCTCCTCCCATGTGGGCTCCTGTCCTGGTACGGCTGCTGCTGCTGGGGTTGTTGCCCCGGCCCGGCCATGTCGCCATGCTGCTTCCCAGCAGCAGCACCGCATCCCGACAAGCCGCCTGACAGGAAGCCCAGCTGAGCGCTCAGCAGCAGCAGCGCCAGGCCGCCGTCAGGTGCCACCAACAGCCGCATGGCCTGCCGGAAGCTTGTTGGTGCATGCTCGCCCGCTGCATGCCTGCATGCAGGCTGTACCTGCACTCCTCCCTGCGGCGGATCAGACGCATCCAACCTCGCTGCTCCTGCTGCTGCTGGTGAAGCCCCCGGAGCCGTCGCCACCAAGGGAAGCGTGCTGTGGAGTGACGGCGGTCCGTCGGCAGGAAGGGACCATGTATACAGCGTCAGGCGCTGCCCTCGCGGCTCCCCATCCTCTCTTACCCCAACAGCGCAAGGCTGGCTCCCCCGAAGCCCACAGCCACTGCCGCCACTGCCACCACCGCGCTCGTCATCCTCCCCCGCAACAAGACATGCAATGAAATATGAACGCGGCTGCATGCCTGCAGTATCCTTGGAGACGCTCTCCGCGTTTACACTGCAGCCGGCAGCCAAGTGCACCTCCAGGACCCTCCCCGGGTGCACCAGCTCATCATGTCCGCCTGCATGAAGCCGGCCGTGGTGCGTCACACGGGGGCCGCCAGGGTGCACGGCGGCGGCGTCGGAGGAGGCTGCAGCGGTCACAGGCCCCGCGGGAGCATGACGGCCGTACGACAAAGGCCCAACGCAGCTGTCCGGCAGGACGCCCTCGCGGCCGGCTGCCGCGGCCCCGTCAGGACGTTGTGGCGGCTGCTGCTGTGGGGTACGTGCGACAGCCGCTGCAGTCGCCGGCGTGCTCGCAGGAAGAGGCATGTGCGGTTGCATGCCGCCCACAGCCAACCACGTCCCACATTGGGCTCCCTCAGCACCCACAGCGCTACCCGCCGCCGCTACCAGCGCTGTGCCACCCCCACCAGCACTCCCAACCCGCACAGCAACACCGCAACGCGACGGAGCAGCTCCCAGCCTCACGGACCCTGGCGCATGCATGGCTGCATCGCTGGCCTGTACGGACAGCGGCGTGGCGGGTACGACATCCTCCTCGCCGCCGCCAGGCAGCGTGGAGGGCTGTTGGCCGGCGGTGTCGCCTCGTGAGGCCCAGGAGCAGGCAACGGCATCACCGGCGCTAAGACCATCGCCGGCGTCAGCACCGCCGCGCGGTGGCCCGGGGCTGTGCGGCTGCCCTGCTAGTAGACCCTGGCCTGGCGGACCAGCACCCTCAACCTCACCAACAACAGGATGCGGCAGAACCCCCAGCGGCCGCTGCTGCTGTCCATGCTGCTGCAACGGCTGCAGCGAGGCAACCGTATTGCCCTCCAGCAAAGGCTGTTGAGCTTGCGGCGCGGGCAGGACACCCGCGAGTGCAGCCTCAATGACGCCCAGACGGCCGTCCGTAAGCGCCCGAAGCGACAGGCTGGCATCACGAACCAGCGCGGAGCCCGCCGCGGTGGCGAGAAGGGACCCGAAGCCTGCTGCCAGGCCGCCTAGCTTGGGCGCCAGGACGGTGGCCGCAGTGGCCCGCTCCTGCTCCTCCCTCGACGTCCCACCCGCCAAGGTATCGGTACCCGCTGTAAGACCGCGCTGCGTTTCAGCTGCTGCCGCGGCGCCTTGGCCGCCACCGTCACGTTGAGCGCCAAACCGGAAAGCGGCTTCCGGTGCCTTACTGCTGTCGCCGCCACCTGGAGCCGGTAACATGGTGGCTGCAGCCGCCTCACCAGCCGCATCGCATGGCACACGGGCAGTCGCCGCCCTGCCACCGCGTCGCTGCATGAGCCGTGTGGGGACCCTTCGAGCCCCGGCGGCAGCGGCGTCCCGGTCGTCATCCTCGTCCTCATCCGAGCTAATAAGGAGCGCAGGGTTGGCGGAGGGCTCAGCGCATGGCCCGGAGGCGCCACCGGCTCCCATACTGGCCCCTGCCAGCGACGCCCTGGGCTCGCCTGCGTTGCCGGGCTCGCCCCCGTCATTGGAGAAGGGGAGTAGCAGACTGGCGGCAGATGCAGACGCAGCGGCGGCGGCAGCGGCGCTGCCGCCACGCCCTACCGCAAACAAGCTACCAGAGCCCCGGCGAAGCAGCGGGGCGCCGCCTGCCGCCGAAGCCGTCCCCACCTGCGTCCCCTCTGCAACAGCCATCGGGACAGCGGCAGCCGACCAAGGACCTGCTGCCGGTAACCGCACGGCGTCGCGACCGGTTTCAGGAATTCCTGCAGCAGTCGCCGACTCCTGGTGCCGCAGCGCATGCGCCCCTGGCCGTACGGCGCCCTGGGACGAGCTAGGGCGGCCGTGGCTGCGACCTCCGGCAACACGGCCGGCGCCCGGCGCTGTCTTGCCGGCTGCCTGGCCGACATGCGCGCCCAAACGTGGACTGGGCGTCCCCGCCCTGGCAGGCTGGATGAAGCCCAGTATACTGCGCTGATGCTTTCCGGCCTTTGCCTTTGCCTTGAATTGGCTGGTGGATGGGTGCCGCCCGGCGTCAGTCCCCATCCAGAGCCCCCCGGCATCGGCCTGCCCGGGAGTGCAGCCGATGAACACGACATCATCGTCATCGTCATCACCGTCCACAGCCATGGCTTCGGCCTCTGCCTCGAGCTCGCCTGACGTCGGCCCCCGTTGCTTCTCCTCCGGCTGCCCCTGCGGTCTTTGCAACGGTTGAGGCTGATGCTGTTCAGATGGCTGTGGTGGTGACGGCGGCGCGGTGATCAGGTGTTGATCTGGGTCGGGATCTGGGCGTGGCTGCTCGCCGCCTGCGGTTGCTGCATGCACCGGCTGTTGCCGCAGTGGCAGCCATGCAGTCTCGGCTCGTGAAGCATGCTGCACATGCGACTGAGAATGCTGTACGAGATGCAACAATGCCGGCTGCTGCTGCTGTGGATCTCGTGGATCTCGTTCCTGCAGCAGAGGCGGCGCAGCAGGGGGCAGGCGTCGTCCTGACGGATCCACCCACTCGTCGCCCTCCGACGGCGGCAGCAGCTCAAAGCCGCCAGTCGCCGCCTTGGGAGCTAGTAGCCCTGGGTCACGCAGCTGCTGACCCTCATCTGAGGTCGCATGTGGGTCCTGTGGGTCCGGCTGAGGCTGACTGGCAGCAGGAGCTGAGGCGGCGCGGGCCAAACATGGGCGCGAGTGGAGCTGTTGTTCCCAACTTAGCGGCGGTGCGAGGGTGCCCTGCGCACAACCGTCGCCCCTAACTTGTTGCTTAACTCCCGGCTGGGACTGATGCTGCTGTGGGTAAAGGAACGAGTCTTTTGGGTCACCACGGTGCCTGTCACCTGCCGCAGCCTTGGGCGGCTCTCGTGTGTAAATGTGAACTTCTCCGCCGTGGACAAGCGAGTTTCCATCCTGCTCATGCCACGCAGGACCGCGGCCATTTAATTGTACGGCATGTTGGCCAGTGCTGGGCTCAGATTGCTGGTGTAGGAGACGGGCAACGCCGGTGCTGTCCAGCGGCAGTGGAAGGGGCACAGGTGGACCCGAGAGCAAGGCTGCAGGTGCTGGCGGCACAGTGCTACTCGGTTGTACCAGGCGCTGCCGATAGGCCTGCGCCACGTAGCACGTAGGATTGTCAGGAAAGATTAAAACATAGCAACCTTTGTTGCTTCAATCCTTGAGCTAACAAGGAAGCTGCAAAGCGGAGAAAGAGCAAGCATGGCTGTCAATCCAACCGTCTTTGCATAGATGCTTCACCTGGGCAATAGTTTGAAGCCTCCTTCGTTTGATAAGCAAAACGTGGAAAGAATCCTCTTGTGCTGCCCGAAGTAGCGTCCATTTTGGCTCGTCGGCCGCATCATCCATGCGCACGGCTTTGTCGCTCCAAAGCCCACCTCGCCCAATTCTATATCAGGTCGACATTAACAGGTGGCATGATCGTGCAACTAAGAGCTAAATATTGGGGCTGAACCCCTTGCGGGAAGGTGAAAAGGGTTGGCGATGAGACTACCTGGTGCGCTAGATGCGGATTGACGCAGATCATAAATCGAGGGCGCGATCGACTGCCAGATACGAGAATAATGGTTCTGCCCTTGTAGTCCTGTCGTTCGCTTCCTCAACTCCCGCCACACCGTCCTTTGCCGTACTAGCGACAGACATGGGCTTCGCTCCGCCGATGCCTTACCTTTACAACGCATGTATATACAAGTATGAAGCTATAAACATGCGCGGTGCGTTAGCGGCGCTACTCGTTGGATTGTTGTGGGGCTGTACCAACACTTTTGTGAAGCGCGGCACCGAAGCTGTAAATGCTCGAAGTAGCCAGCTGAAAACGAAGGACAAGAAATTGTTTGCGCATTTGGGCGTGTGGATCTCGACGCCTGCCTTCATCATTCCTTACCTACTGAACCAGTCAGGCAGCGTGTTGTTTGTTTACTTGCTCGGGTCTTCTGATATATCTGTGGTAGTGCCTGCTGCAAACGCGTGCAGCCTGGTCTTCAACACCATAGTAGACCTGGCGCTGGGTGAGCGCTTCCGGGTTGCACCGCTCCTACTGGGAACATCGCTCGTGGCGACCGGCATCTACCTTTGCGGAACATCCTCCTAGTCGCTCCGGCCCCTCTCCCTTGCTGAAGTCCAGCCGCTGGGGGCTCCTGAACAGAACTACCCGCAAACGCCAGTCCCTGCCAGCCTGGGGACACCCACCCACGCGATGGAACCCATGCGGACCACACCCGCCTGGCCCATCACCGTCCCACCATCCTCCCGAGCTAGCGACCATGATCACCACCCGCAGCACAACCACCAGCACCCTCACCTGCAGCAGCAACAGGAGCGCCAAATCGCCTTCCAGGCGCTCCGCCCCGTCACCACCCAGCTGCTACAGCTGCGGGACCAGCCGGAGCGGCTGCAGCCGCTGCTGCTGCAGCTGCGGCGGCTGCTAGCCGAGGACCTGCCCGCGGGCGGTGTGGCGGGCTGCTGGGACTACGTCGCCTTCCCCCTCATGGTGCTGCTGGATGCGGTGGCGCCCAGCCGCCAGGGGAGCACCAGGGCACCGCAGCAGCCGGGCGGGCCAACAGGGAGCGCGCAGGGGGGGAGCGGGCGGCGGGCGGGGGACCAGGAGCAGCAGCAGGGCCAAGGAAGTGGTGGTGCTAGTGCTGCGGAGGGTATTGTGGCAGCAGCATGTCGCAGCGATCGGGTGGTGGAGGCGCTGCTGGGTAGGTACCCGGGGGCCGGTTGATAGGGGTGGTGGTGGTGGGGAGGAGCCACATGGGAGCGGCAGCAGGGACGCTTAGGTACAGCGTTACGAGTGTCCCCTTCCTCGCGCCGCTGGCACCGACCTTGCTCCAATCTCTATCCCCTCTCCTTCCTTACCGCCCCCCTGCCCCCCTGCCGGTCAGGGTCAGTGTTTCCGCGGCTCAGTTTATCTAATCCCCCCTGCCATCCCCTGTCCCCACCTTCCCCTTCCAGGCGCCTTTCAAGCACTGCTGGAGCGGTGCCCCCAGTCCGACACGGACTCCCCACCCCCTCCTTCCTCCTCCTCCTCCACATCCTCCCCCCCGCCCGCCTCCTCCTACGAGCGGCAGCTAGCGGCGCTGCAGCACCTCGCCCCGCTGCTGCAGCTTCCCCGGGAGGCGGCTGCGGAGGAGCTGCACCTTGCCGTACAGCGCTGCCTCGCCACGGCGCTAGAGCCCCTAGCCGCTGCTGCTGCTGCAACATCGGCCCCGCAAGCAGCTCCGGAGCAGAGCGACATCAGCAGTAGCAGCAGCAGCAGGAGGGGAGCTGCTTGTGCTACCGTTGCCGCGCCGCTGTGTGGGGCTGAGGCGGTGTCGCTGGCTGGGTACCTGGTGCACTGCTGCCTGGAAGGGGCGGAGCGGGAGGTGCTGGCGGGGCACAAGGGTGGGTGGGTGGGTGGGTGAGTTACGGAAACTGGGTAGGTTATGGAACGTACTGAATTGTCGGAAGATGATGTTACCACCAAAGGCGTAGCTGCGGAAGCGCTGTGGCAGTGTACAAAGCGTTGTGTTTGCTGCTGCCCCTTTCCTCCCCTACCCTGTAGGCAGCAAGGCCCTGTGCGCCGCCTGCCTCACCTCCCTGCGGCTGCTGCTGGCCGCGCTGCCCCACCCGGACACGCTGGCGTTCTTCCTGCCGGGGGTGGTTTCGGGGCTGTCCAAGCAGCTCTTCGCGGCGGGTGGGTAGCGAGCAGCGTTAGCAGTCTTAGCATGCATGGGGCGGGGGTGGTGGCAAAGTCCCGTGCCGCTCCCGGGTAGTGGTTTCGCTTTCATGTACCACCTCACGGCCTGTTACCGGTACCTCCTGGCATGCATGCAGGCACCGCCATCGGTCGCAGCGGGCCGAGTGCCCCGCCGGGCGCCTCCGCCACCGCACAGGCGTTGATCTGCCTCTGCCAGGCCGCTGTCACTGTGCTATCAGACGAGAACACCGCCAGCATCCTAGGCAGCAGGCCCTTTGTCGGAGCCGGCGGCGGCAGTGACGTGGCCGGCAACGACGGCGGCGCTGCAGCGCCCCTTGGCGACATTCGCTGCGCTGACGACGCGCTGTCAGCTCTCAAGGCATTGAGCCTTTCCGCAGGGGGGACGGCGAAGCCGTCCCCGCCGCTGCCGGAGGCGGCGGCTGCGGCGGCGCCGAAGGCGCCGCCCCCAGCCCCAGGCAGCTCCTCCTCCTCAGCCGCAGACCGCCGCCGCTTACGAGTGGAGCGCACGCTGGTGTGGCTGGAGGACACCAGCGGCCGCATGAATGCGCTGCTGGCGCGGGCGCTGCCGCCGCTGTGCGCGCACCCCCGGCCTGCCGTACGCGCCCAGCTGGCGGCCACCTGCGCCACGCTGCTGCAGCGCTGCAGCCGCTCACTGGCGCCCTCGCAGCCGTTGCTGCTGCGGCTGCTGTTCACGCTGGCTCAGGACGAATGGAGGCAGGTGGCGGCGCCGTGCTGGGAGTGGATGCGCCAAGCCGCACCTGGCTTGACGCCGCCACAGACAACCCAATCTGCCTTGCCTGGTTGCCCTGGTGAAGCGGAGGGTGGTCAAGGTCCTGGTCAGACTGCTCAGGACGGGGCGGCCAGTTTGGTGGGCGCGGAGGGCAGCGGTGGCGGAGCACGCAGCGTCGAGTATAAGGCCCTGGAAGACGAGTTCGAGAAGTTCATGCAGGGCCTTATGTCGGAAAGCGCGTTACTGGAGCCGCCCGGCCTGGAGTTGGACGAGCATGAGCTGTACGGCGGTACGGATGACGGGGCGGGAAGTCGTGATCAGGGTGCGGCGGCTGCTGGTGCTGCAGTAGCTGTCTCGGCAGGGGTTGCCCCTTTTGCAAGAGACGCCGCTGCGGCTGCTACGGCTCCTAGACCTGGCGACAGTCGTATTGGTACGGCGGCTTCGCAAGCGGCACCCACGGCGGTGCCGCAGGTGGCGGCGGCGCCTCCGCCGCCTCCGCTCCCGGGCTTGCAGCGTCTACTGTCGGAAACCGCCACGTCAGCCCACCTTACTCGTGCCGTACGGTCCGGCGACGCGGAAGCCGTACTGCAAGCGCGCTGCCTCACGACGGCGCTGCTCGTGGCGGGGCCGGGCGCGGCGGCGGAGTGGCTGCTGCTGCGGCCCGCTGCCCTGCACGACCTGCTAGCAGGGCTCTTCCGCTGCTTTGCGTTCGATCGAAACGCCGCCACCCTCATCTTGCACCTGCGCGGGGAGGCAGGCGCGTATGCTCCTGTGGTGGCGGAGGCGGTTGCCCCCGTCGCGCCTGTAGGGCCCGCCAGCGCCACCACGGCGTCGGAGTCGGCGCCGTCAGCAGCGCTTGGGAACGTTGGGAAGTCGGCAGGGACGGCGGCAGCTGCCGCCGCCACCGCCATGGCCGGCGGTACGGCAGCGGCGGCAGAGCTTCCCCGCATGCCGCTGGGCCTGCTTTACCTGGCCTCGCAACGCTCGTACGCGGCGGTTGCGGCGGTGGCCAGAACCATGGGTCGGCTAGCCCGGGCGGCTGACGTCAGCACTGCGACGACGTCAAGCAGCAGCGGCGTCGCGCTGTGGCGGCTGGTGGACGAGCTGGTGTCGGGGCTGCGACTAGCGTCGCGCGGTGGCGGCGACGCTTCGGCTTCGGGGCTGGCGACTGGCGGTAGCTGCGGGGGCCAGGTCCTGGAGGGATCGGACTCGGAGGGCGAAGGTGCCGGGGAAGCGGGCGCATCCGTACGGCCAGCGGCGGCGGCGGCGGTAGCGACAATGGGAGGGCCCAGCTGGCAGTGTGAAGCGGCGGCGGTGGTGGCAATCATAGCTGAAGTGGTGATTGGCGCGTCCAACGCCTGGGCTCCTCCGCTGGAGCCTGAGGCGACCACGCCGTCCCCTTCCGGGCCCCCGCAACCCTCCTCTTTGTCCTCACAGCAACCATCAACGGCTTCAGCGGTTACGTCGGCCTTCCCTGCAACCGATTCCGCTTTCGAGTCCCTCCTGTTAACCCTCCTGGACGAGCTCATGCGGCCCAGGATCATCAAGCTCTGCACGCACAACAACGCAAGCAGCACCACCGACGACATCTCAGCAGCCGCTAGCAGCAGCCACAATGCTGCGCCAGCCACGTCACCAGCGCCTCTGTCGTACGACGATGTCGTACATCCGGAACTGACAGTTGTACGGCAGCGGCCCCTGTCGGCGCAGGCGCTGGGGGAGAACGTGATGCTGCTGCGGGTGGTGTTGGAGGCGGTGGGGACGGCGGCGCGCGCTGTAGGGCGGCGCTTCACCTCCCCGGGTCGGCTGCTGCGACGGGTGCTGGTGCCGCTGCTGGAACTGCTAGGGGACCCGGCGCCGCCTGTAGCAGCCGCTGCGGATACGGCGCTGCAATCAGTAAGTCGTATCCCTAACGAGTCAGCACAGGCGGGTGGATGCAGGGCACTGGGCACAAGGGACACCAGCAGTTGCCTTCGCCTCCTCAAGTACCGGTATCCAACCTTCTTACCTCCATCTTCCCCAACTCTTCCTCCCATCCTTCCTTTCCCTTCCTCTACCCTCCCGCCAGATCTGCCTTCACTGCGGCTACGGCGGCTCCCTAACCGCACTGCTGGGCGCCAACGCTGACTTCGTGGTGGACGCGCTGTGCGCCCGCCTGCGCGACCTGCGCCGCCACCCGCGCGCGCCCCACCTGCTGGCGGCGCTGCTGCGGCGGGCGGGTGTGGCGCCGCAGCTGCTGCCCATCATGGCGGAGCCGCTGCAGCGGGCGCTGCAGGTGCGGGAGGGGGGGAGAGGTGCGGGAGGAGGGAGGGTTAAAGGGAGGACAAGAGCATGTTGTGCGGTAGGGGGTGCGGGACTGGATATGGGTTAGAGCCTAGGGGGTACCGCAGGTGCGAGATGCGGACGTGGGGTGCCGTCACTGGGCTAGGGGAAGGCCTTCACCCGACTTTCCCTACGCGGGGGAACGCTATCGCCATGCTCGGTCGCACAGAGAGAACGTCATGCTTAAGTGCGGTACCGAGAGCACCTGTCTATACACTCCCTTCCGGCCCCTAGGGTGTATCCGTGCTTGCTCGTCACTGGGCTCCCCACTACGCGCACTCCTACCTGGCGGTGCTGCGGGAGCTGGCGGCGGGGGCGGCGGCGGAGGCCGCAGCGGCAGCGGAGGAGTCCCGTGCCGCGGTGGCAGAGATCAACCGCGTGGCGGCGGAGGTGCGGCGCGTACGGGCGGAGGCAGCGGCGGCGGAGGCGGCCGCGGCTGGAAGGGCAGAGGCAGGGGAGCAGGAGGGTGCGGAAGCGGGCGTTGCGGGACCGGAGGAGGTTCGGCGGTACTTTTTGGAGCGAGAGCGGTCCAAAGCGGCAGGTGGTGAGGAGGGGGTCGATGTGGAGGGTGGCGCTGCCTCTAGGCCGCTGCTGGTGCTGACCGCGGGGCAGCTGGAGGACAGCGAGTTGCGCTTCCGTCGCCTGCACGCCGCCGCCGTCGTGGCGGGCGCCGCCGCCGACGCCGCCACGCCGCTGCTGCTGTCGTCTGACCTCCGCACCGCCGTCGCAGCGTCGGAGGTGTTACGCGGCGCGCTGTCGGCGCTGTCGGCGGCGACGCCTGCGGTGGAGGCGGAGGCGGCGGTGGTTGAGGAGTACGGCGGCGCGGAGGGGCGCATGCGGCCGGTGCGGCCCGAGACGCCGAAAGTGCTGCCGGCGGTGGCGGCGGGGTGGGGGCCGCTGATGGCGACGCTGAGGGACGCGCGGACGCCGGTGGTGGAGCGGGGACTGGCAGCTGTGGCAGAGCTGGTGGCTGTGGCAGGTGAGCTGAGTTGTGGGTTGGAGTTGTGAGCTGCATGCCGGTACAACATGTCGGAGGATAGCCGCACGATGAACCCTTCTGGTTTGTATGCACGCATGCAGGCGGCAGATTCCTGGCACGGCGCTTCCAGCAGGAGGCCTGGCCTGTGCTGCAGCGCCTGCTGACCCACGGGACGGCGCACACGCCCGGGCAGCTCAGCCTTGGAACAGAGGCGGTGCGGGCCGCTCCGCCCTCACGACGCCTCACTGCGTCGCTGTCTGACGGCGGCGGCGGCATCAGCGTCATGGGCGGGGAGGACGCCGCTGGGTCGCTGGCGCCCGCCGCCGTGACCCGGGTGCGGGTGGCGGCGCTGGGCTGCCTGGAGTCGGTGTGCAGGTGCCCGGACGCCACCGTGGCGGTACGGACTCTCACGTGGGCCATTGCGCAGGTGAGCGGCTTCGAGCGGCTTCGAGCCTTTCCGACATGCGGGAAGCGTACGCTACCGTGTTGCGAGTACAAGTTTGTACGGTAGTCAAGCTGCTTGCCCTCATAGGGCTCCTAAGGAGTCACTTCCACCTGATGCACCGGTATAACGGGATCCACTCGTTGCCCGTCCCCAGGCCGCCTTGCCGTTCCTTGGCGCCGCACATGCCGCTCCGCTGCATGAGGCGGCGCGTGCAACGCTCCTGGCGGTGGCCGCCCTAGACCCTGACGGCGTGTGGTTGCTGTTGTACGACACCTCCTCCAACATGCCGCCGTCGTTGACGTTAACAACAGCTTCCGTTGCACAGAGCCTTGAACACCGTGACCCACATCAGAGGCCTACTCAGTCCCAGCAGCGGCCACGCGCCGGTGTTGCGGACGACCTCCGGCAGCCACCTGGGGCCGCTTTTGCACCGCTGCGTGTGCTGTTACCCCCACTGCAGGGTAGCGGCGGCGCTGGGCGGTACGGCAGCCGCTTCGCTGGTGCAGGCGGGGCGTCTTCGAGCCATCAGTGGCCTGTTACGGCCGGCGTGGCAGCGGATTGTGGGCCGCGTGCACAGGCGCTGTTGGGGGTCGTGTCGGGGTACGAGGTGCCGTGGCATCGTACACCGATACCGTCCTTGGACGTCACTGCGGATGCCTGAGCTGTTCAAAGCTGCTAGAGCTTCAGGCATTCACTACTGTTTGTTCTGAACGTCAGGTACCCGGCAACGGCTTTCGGTCAGAGACGCACAAGCTGACATGTAAGGTGCTGCTTTGCATGGCCCTTGCTGGAGCCCCATTGGGGTTTCAGTGCATACGTCCATCAAGTTGCTGGAGGATGCTATGTTTGCCAAGAGCAGGATGGCGGCCATTGTATGATGAGTAAATTAGTATAGGGCAAATTGCAGGGCAGAGTCGTAAGCTGGGTGATAAGGACATTAACTGCGCCTAGTCTAGGGTTGCGGCATGCACGCATGCCTTATTTTGTGAGAATGGCAGGATGGATGGGGCCAGGTCACGTTGCCGCTAAGTTAATGACCAACATGAGCAGGACATGCTCCCACGTCTTCAGGTTGATTGTAAAGCTTAAGACCTCATTTGAACTGTTGTTGCTCTCCTTTATGACAGCAACGCATGCATCCTGCCATATCATGGTATTATCTCGTGTATGCAATCGCTCTGGCCCAAGCCGATACGCGCACGCATGTAGCCGAACCTCGCCGCTACTCCTCAGAACACGGTAAGCACACCCGAATCCCATTGCTGTGTCGGCTGCTCATCAACATCATCAGGGCAGTCACCCTCACCGCGGCCACCGTTGCGCTGCTCCAAGACCGGCGCCATGCCAGGGTCGGCCCAGCCGCCATGTCTGCCACCACGAGCGCCGCCCACTGCCGCTAGCGCTCCCATTGTCTGCCCCATCGCCGCTAAAGGCGTCTGCTGGCCTAGGCGTTGCTGCTGCTGCAGCCGCTGCTGAGGACCCTGCTGCTGTACATGGTTGCGTCGCTGCATGTGGGGCTCCGGTTGAGGCAGCCTCACCGCCCCGCTGGCACTTCCTTGCATCGGTAGCGCCGCCGCTTCTCCCATCGCGGCAGGTAGCGCTCCACGTCCGCTGCCCCTGTTACTACCATTGCCCGCGTTCAGCGCGGCCTCCTCCTCCGCCACCATGCGCCGCAACGACACCAGCAACCGCTCCGTCGCCGCAACCTCCTCACGTAACGCCTGCAGTCGTGCCAGCCGCTGCTCCCGTGATACTGTGCTATCTGCTGGCCCACGGGTGCCGGCAGCTGTAGCGGCCCCAGGTTCATCGTACACCTCGCCCGTCCCTCGCCCGGATCCGCCCATGGCCGCAAGGTCTGTTGCGCCACTGGGAACTGTGTTGGCAGCGTCGCCGGTTCGGACGCTTCCAGCAGGTGCGTTGGCGGTCGCAGCGATAGCAGCCCCTGGCGCGGCGTCATCGTCGTACAGAAGCTGCTCCAGAAGCTCTGGTGTTTCGTAATTGCGCGGGTCATCTAGCAGCGACGTGCCGCAGGGGTCGCTCGCTGCCGGCCTGGCCGTCGCCACCGTTGAGGGCTGCTGCTGGGCAGAAGCTATAACTTCAGGCTCTCCGTGTGCACGGGGACTCTCGGCCGCAGTCGCAACCGCTTGATGTTGTTGCTGCAGTGCCTGAGCGGCCGCTTGCCTGATTGGGCGGAAGCTGCAGTCTACAGGCAACGGGGAAGCGGCTGCAGCGTACAGTCCTGGCCCGCGCCACCCTGCTGCCGCCACTTGGCAGCTGAGCTGCCGCCTCGATGGCTCTAGCTGTGCCTGCTGCTCCTGAGGCCGGATGACGCTGTCGGTGCGCTCCGCATACCCGCTACCTGTATCCTGGCGTGTACTGCCATCCCATGAGCGAGTGCGCTTGAGCACGCGGCTGCGATAGCCCCCCAACCCCAAGCCGCCCTGCAGCTGATAGCTGCCATTAGGAGGGGCGACCTTGGCCACGAGGTCACCGACTTTCCTGCCAGCGGCTTCAACACCCGGCGGCGCAGCCGTACATGCGCCAGGGTGTTTGCCAGGGGCGCCGCATGGGGGGTACAACACTGCAAGGGCTATGCGCTCGGCCTCGGACATCGTCCTCGCAGCAGCGGATGAGCAATCCGCATTGCTCGCGCCCATGCAACTGCTAGGGCGACTCCTTGAATCCTCGATCTTGCCTCCCGCCGTTATCTCCGGGTTGGAAGCAGGTGGGTGGCTTGGCGGCAGCTTACCTGGGCGGCCCGCAGCAGCTGCCTGCACGCAGCCACTGACAGCACCTGGTGGAGGGGGCTCCCGGGCGTGACCTGTGTCTTGGGCTGTGGAGGACGACGATGCAAGTAAGGGCCTGGTACCACAGCAATCGGTTGTATTCAATGCCGCGGAGGCGCTAGGCCGCGGCCTGGAGTGCTGCGGTGGCAGAGGGCGAGGCGGATCTATGTGGTGTGGGTATGCGAGCGGACCACAGCTGGAGCGAACAGCTGCTGCTTGGCACCCTGCTGCGCTGTGAGGGGACGGCTGGCCGGTGTGTACAGCTGGGCCCTGCAGTGGCAGAGAGGTGATTGTTGCGGCGGCTGGCAAGGCGCGCGAATGCTGCGGACCCTGTCTGTCCACCTGCTGCTGCTCTGGCTGCTGCCGTGGGAAGGGTGGCTGTGACGACACAGGACGTCCTGCTGTTGTTGGCGGCCGTGGAAGCCGTGAAAGGGTTGTGCCGTCACCCAAAGGGTCCAATACCGGTACGTTGTTCCCTGCCGTTGCACCTGGATGGTCTGCGGCGGGGCTCTCCGCTTGCCTGCCTTGTTGTGTCCCCACTTTTATGGCGATGTTGCCGTCATCGCACTGCATCATGAGGCCCGCGTTAAGCCTAATCTTCTTGCGGGGTCCTGCGGTTAGGGCACCGCGGAATTGTAAGATGCGATTTGGAAAGGTGTTGCTGGGTAACCTGGCATGCTGTGCTCCGGATACTGCAGACCGCTATCCATTTGGTGTAATGGAGGCATACTTTCCTACAAGACTCTTACCGAGAGGCAGACCAAGAGCTGCCAAATCCGCATCGCTTAGCTGCGCTAAGGAGCGGGCGTCAAGACCCATGGCATGGAGTTGTTCATAGTACTTCTCAATGCGCAGGAACTGCAAGTAAGATGCGGGTTACACGGCAGTTGTTGGGAATAGGTCGTTCGTATGTCAAAGGCAATAGGAGCTTAGGTAAGAAGAAGCAAGACGGACTCGACATTGTAGGCCATTCGTGGCCAAGTCCTCCCACGCACCTGGAGCCATGCACGCAGGCCTTGCATGTTTGCACCATTACTACATATCTCCATGCGGCCGTAAGCAAAAACAAGTGAGGCAACGTGTGTGCGGCAGCTGGCGATTCCTACGAAGACAGGACAAAAACGATATCCGTCATATATCCCGTATACTAGCTAAATTTTTCATGGCAAAGTGGAAAGCTGTGAAGGAGCAGGCAAGCACTCCCAGGGCAGCACGCGCAGCACACAACTTGGATTATGGTCGTACAGTGAGAACTAACAGGTGGCCCCTTCTATGCTTAGCAGGCTTGGGGTTAAATGACCTCATAATTACAACAATTGAACAACAGGCATAACTTTCTTAGCTCTTGGCCGTTGGCTGGGGGGTTGCTGCATGACATCAACCTGTGCTTGCATCTAACTGTTACCGAATATCGTATTACTTCACCGACTTGGGAACGTCGTCTAAATGAATGAATGAATGTCAAAGTGCTACTAAGGTATAAATCATTAGGGACGGGTAGCAGGACGTCACCGCCCTAAGCGGTGTCCATCGGTGTCGAACGGTCCGGACGTCCTCCCGCGTCGAGCTCCTCTGGAACCTCCCAGATGACATGTTGAGAGGGTTTCACAAGCACTGTTTGTGCTTGGCGGAAAGCTTCGCCCCACTCTACGATGGCACGCGGCGTGCAAGGCGCAGCCGTTGTGCGTTGAACTCGCATACAACGCGGACCGCGGAGGATAGCATACCCTGCACTGTACGTGAGCAACGCGACCAGGGAGGACCCACATGCAGCCGTCTCCTTTGGGACAAAGTGTTATGACTTGCAGCCTTAGCGGCCCTGTAGAGCCCTAGCTATGTCGGGTACCCTGCGCATGCCAATACGGCACCGTTAGCGGTCCTTGGTGGGCCCGCGGGTCAGGACACCGTCAGCGTCGATAAGCTGTGTATTCGCCAGAATTGAACTACTTATCACTCCCCATGTTATGCACGATGAACGGGGTAACTGGTAATATTACTTTTTCAACGGGCTCTACCAGCCGATCTCTTTAAGCCCTACAACCTTCGGCTTGTTCATTGCAGGACGGCAAGCCGCAACACGTCGCCGGTCTATTGTATTCGCTATACACTTTATACTGCTACTGTGCTCTTACTAGATAGCCGCCCCGATCATAGTCAGGGTGCATGTGATCTTGGTTTAGTGACTTTGTCGAAACTCACATATCCTCTTCAGTAATGGACATATTTGAGCAAGCCGATGGTAAGGTAACAAATTCAAGTTCATCCAGATTAATGGAGGGCTTACCTAGAATTCCTTAACTGCAGCATTTACGCCCAGTCGGGCCGTGCTGCAAGAGGAGGAGGAAGCTGCCGCTCCTTCCGCTTCAAATTATTTGAGCCCAGCTGTATGCGTTGTAAGCTTGTGAAGGGCGGATCTATGTCTGGTCGCGTTGAATGCCTGGGCTTACGCGATGTGGGCATTTGTTTCCGCAGTGGAACAAAGCGCTGGTTCAACAGCTGTACCCCGAGGGGTTTTCATGTGATACGTTGGTGAGTAGAGGGCATTTATTTGGTCTCGTTTAGGTCTGCCAACAAGGCAGACCAACTGGGCTCCTCAAGCTGAGGAACTAACTGGCTCCTCCCACGGCATCACTGCTGCAGGTCGTGGCGACATGCCCCACCTCTTGTGCCCTCGTTCGCAGCCTACCCGGCAAGCAGGTTGGTACGACTAGCCGTCCTCCTGTCCTCCCCTCAGCCCTTACTGAAACCCTTCCCGGCCACCTAAGGCGCCATTTAACCCGCCTCCCGCACCCCGCATACAAACACACGCAGCTCATAGGGTCCGTCCTGGCCCCCGGTGTGAGCCTCGCGGGCAACAGCCTCGCCTCCTGCTCCAGCCAGGCCGAGCCCCTGCCCTCAGACCGCGTGTGCTGCGTGTATGCCCTTCCACCGGCTGCTGCCTCTAGCCAGCAGCCCTCGACAGCTTCCCTCGAAGCACCGCAGCAAGGGCAGCAGCAGCAGCAGGCATCTGCAGTCGGGCCAGGGGCGGGCGGCAAGGGCGTGCTGCTGGTTTGCTGCCAGTACGAGGTGCCTCGGGAGCGGGCAGCCGCATGGGCTCGTGCCGTACTTGGGCAGTTGTCGTACGGCCATGCCGTGTTCCTGGGCTCCATGGCGGCGGAGCAGTTCCGGGGATTCGGTGAGGGAAGGGGCACCAGGGAATGATGTGGGTCTGTTGGGGTTAGGGTTCCGGACTTCCGGTTCCAGGCGAATTGGGCAGAGGCGACGTCTGCATGGTGCGTGTGGGCGGCCATTCTTGTTCTCCGGGGCGGCTTCGATCCTGGGCCGTTACATGGCCCTCGCTCTGCCTTCCGCTCTGCCTTACCCGCCCCATGCAGGTGACGCCTCTCAGGAGGTGCTGCTCTTCTCGCTGCGGACGCGCGGCGCGCAGCAGGCCCCCCACCAGCAGCAGCCCCCGCCGCTGCTGCCCACGGGCACTGTGGTGGGCGGTCTGCCTGCGGCGCTGCTCTCACACTGCCAGGTAAGCGGGTGTGAAGACGTTTGGGACCTCACCGCGCGAAGGCCTTAACCCTGACCCACAAGCGCCATGATATGCATTAAACGCTCAGCTCTCAACTACATCGTTGCTCCTGCTGCCGCTTCGGGCTGCGATCGCCGCCTTCCCCACCCGTGACTTGGTCAACCACCCCACTCTCCCCCTCTGCCTTTGCCCTACCCGCTCTCCCGCCCCTCGGTCCGCCACAACCCGCTTCCACAGGTCCGCGGGCGGTCAGCTGAGCTGTTCGTCCTAGTGGAGATGGTGCTGGAGGGGCGGGCGGCGCTCATGGCGGCGCTGGCGGGGGCGGTGGGGGCCGTGCTGCGCAGCCGCGGCGCCGGGGGCGCTGCGGAGCTGCTGGGCAGCCGAGGCGTGCTGGCGGCGGCACGCAGGGAGCTGGGGCTGGGGGGCCCGGTGTCGGATGTGTATGTGTAGCGGACGAGGGGCTGCCCGGATGGAGTGGTGGAAAAACTGCTTTGGCTGAGTGTTGGAGGTAGTGCAAATTCGCATGCAGGTGTTGGGGCTGTGTGTAGGGGGTGGTGATGTGGCTCGAACGGCTTGAGGTTTGGGCGAGTACCTTATTGGTGAGTGGGACCGCAGGAGGTGCTGCTATAGCTATGGAGGGGCTGCCTAGCGCTGGGGAGCTTGCAGGAGGTTGTGCGACTTGCCGGGCCGGCTTTGCAGCTGAGACTGGACAGGCGGCAGTCCGTTACTTTGTCTCGGCCTGCGACGGCCCCCCACGGTTCCCTTCAGTGGAGCCGCTGGTCTGTAAAAACACTACCGGCTAACAAAGCACTATGGCAGGACTGCTATTGATGTCAGTCGGCTTCAGGACGCCCAGATCTGTGCGCTCGATCAGCTGAGCCGCATATTAACGTGAACCTCGGGTTCTGGGTTCTGTGCATGGAAGCTTCCAGAAGCCCTGGAAAACGTCTTGACACACGGGGCCCGCCAACGCATTGTTTTGCCTCCGCCACCTGCCCAGCATGAAGAGCCATATGCTCGCGCATCCTCCTACACGCCCCAATAAACGTTAAGGACCGCTCACAGCGGCGTTTCCGCCTTCGCTGCATCCCCTTCCTTAGCCATAACCTTTAATATATACACCTAGCGCCTGTACACGCTGCATGTTGCACCCCACATGGACTCCTACCACGCCCCCAAGCTGCATCACTCCGCTGGCCGATCCCCTCATGTCGCCGCTGCCTCTGTGACCCGCCCGCCGACGCAACCACAAGCTGCTGCCGAGCTCAACCCCATGCTCCCAGGCCTCACCCCAAGTCTTACCCCAGCTCCATCCACACAACGGACCCCGGCTGGGACACGGCCCCGACACGTCCCGACAGTCCAGGGCCGCCTCTGCTGGGGTTCAGTGCTTGCTTCAGCAGCTGCTTCAGTACTTGAGCGGCGGCGGCATGGGCCACACCTGCTCGCTCTCCAGGTCCACGTTGACGGGCGAGTCGAAGATGTCCAAGTACTCGGCCAGCGTGGGAGCGTCCTGGCAGTGCGGATGGGAGAAGGAGGAAGGAAGCAGGTGAGAAGGACCCGCAGAAGGACAAGCTGAATGCTTACCGTGCTCATGAAAGCGCAAACACAGCCGCAGCAGCCTTCTCCCATTCCGCTCCTGCAGCTGCATCACTCTTGCCTGTTCCCGCTGCTGCTACTGGTACCGAGACCCCCTGCTATCCTTACCTCCGTGGGTGTCAGCGACAGCACCAGCTCCTGCGCCGGCACGTCTTCGAAGGAGCTCTCAACGGTGTTCAGCTTGCGCCGCGTGTCACTCTGGGGCCGGGGGACAGAGGTTGGTTTTGAGCAACAAGGGAGTGGGGGAAAAGGGTCATGCGAGGGCAAAGTGCGACCCGTGCGGTACGGCGTACGGGGCCGCATGCATGGGTACATGAGCAACTGTTGCAGGTACGATTTGGGGGGTACCGGTGTGCGGAGCAGACTACTGGGCTGCCATCAAGCGATCAGGACCGGGTCCCAAGGCGGCCGACGGAATGCTATGGCAGCCAATGCGTTGGGAGTATGGGGACCCAACGCCCAATGCTGTTACGTATGCCCCGGGATGCCCCCCGCTCACATCGTTGGGGCTGGTCAGCTCGGGCCCAGCTTTACGCAGGAAGCCGTTGATGTCGGATGCGGACTTGACCGCCCTGAGATGGGGGCGGGAGCGGAGGCAGCGGCAAGGAATCGAGGCGAGTGCAGGGTCAACATCATTTCGGGCACCGTGCCACTTAGCACAAGGGAGCTGAAGCAGAAACATGTGAAGCCTGAATCTCATAGTTCGCACCCCGCCCTAGTTTAGCAACGGAGTAGCACCCGCCAAGGAAGCTCCCGGCCCCTCCCAGTCCCTCCCAGACTCCCAGTCTCTCCCGGCCCCACCCGAAGGCGTCCAGCGGGTCCATGGCCTCCACGTTGCTGACGGAGGGCATGTAGGCCGCGTACCAGGCGCTGAAGTAGCGCGCAGGCACGTCCTCGCAGCTGGATATTATCCGTGTTTCTGACAGCCGCAGGTCGGACCCCTGCGACTGCACGTCCCGCAACACCGCCATCAGCTGCGGCGTCTTGCCCTGCATGAGCAGTTGGGCGTATGGATCGGCTGGGTTAGGGAGGCCTGAGACTAGTTAACAGGCTGACAGTGGCATTGCACTACAGCACTAGACAGCCCAGGGTGTTAAGGTACTCCCATTTGTTGCGATGGGGGTGAGGTATCTGTAGGCAGGCAGATGAGGCACACATTGCACACTCCATGCTAGGCAGCTCGCTAAGCCCACCAGGTCCAGAGGCCACGCATGCGTGTCGCAGCAGCGCAGGGGCCTTCTGTTAGGGTGGCTGAGCTGCCGCCCTCACCTCAATGACGTGGATGTAACACAGCGGGTAGACGAGCAAGAAGCCCGTGATTTCGCCATCCTGGCTGTTCTTTTCTACTATACGAGAGAGTTGCCCTGCGGAAAACGGTTAGGGTGGCATTAAGTAAGGTTGAGGGATGCCCTGGCATCCAAGCACACCGCTGCAGAGGGAGCAAGGTGTCAAACCAACCGCTCCCTTCGGCCCCCGCATACACACCTTTCACGGCGTCCATGGTGTTATGTCGTTGCAGCATCCGAGCCACGTAGACTATTCTTGTGACTAGCACAGCCTGCACATAGCATGGTTCGGTGTTGCAGGTGTCGCTGTCACCGTCGAGGAGGGACCCCATTCATGCTCCCCGCAGATTTCCCCAGACCTTGCCAGCTTTTTGCACTCTATTTAAGATGACGTCCAGCAGCGAGTCGCGTGGCCCTGCTTCTAGCTGACTCCGCAAAGCATCCGCCATCTTTACTTAGCAGTTTTTGCTATTACGCCTATGCAAGCAATCCTCTAATGTACGAGCAGATAATTTGATAGGTCCGCGCTGTTGTAAGCCTTTTGTATGGATATTATGAAAGTCCACTGTTCAAGTCTGGTAGCTCTAAAGCATGGACAGAACTAATAACGAGAATAAAGGAAAAATTGTTATACCGGTATACAAAAAAGTAACAGTTATAGTCAAGACGCTGCCCGACACATCTAAGAAAGTTGATCGCATACGGATCGCACTTTCATGCACAAGCAAGCAAGCCAGGTCACCAAGCTAACCATGGTAAGGATGCGGACAGATATGACGACAGTTCATTTAGTATGTGGTCTTGTATGCTGTGCCAGCCCTGAGCCATTGAGGATGGGTTGGGATGTTGGGTGAATACCCTGTCCCAGCCCAACGACTGTCCATCTACCCTACTTGAGGCGTGTACGGGCGCGACTTTATGTTTTGGGTCGTAAGCAGCATCGTGATCCAAGTTGACGGTCGTGCCCGACGGTTGATCGAAAAGAGGCCGACCGACAGTAAACCGTGCAAGGTATGCAAGCTGCAAGGACTACGCGCACACGCCCAATACTGACCATTAGGAACACTCCCAAAGTCACGACTGGCCAGGCATAGGGCCTTCCTCATGCTGGTTAACCTGCCTCAATAACGTCACTGGATGAGGGTCTAGGAAGTCAATTTGCACGTGTGGCAGCAGCGAAACTTGTGTTGCGGCAGGCATTGCCGTTCTGTTGGTCAGGGGGACACGGCTTATTGACTGCAAGGTGGCTGGGGCCCAAGGAACCTTACAGTCCTCTACGGATTTGGGAGCAGGAGCAGGAGCTTCGCAAGACAGGGCGAAGCGGACAGGAATGATAATTTATGTTGCAGCATCCCACATCTCTTACACAGGTGGAATGGGAATGCGTGCGTCGAAATGCATTGCGCCAGGTAATGCATGGTGCCCGCGTCCCCTACCTCCCGTACGACAGGCATGTGAAACCGGGAACTATAAGTATCCTCACAATCCCATTGTTTATTCACTGTTTGCAGAGATCATAAGTCATAAACGTTGTCACAGCCAGCATTACAAGAGAGGAGTATCTGCTTTAGTGTCTTTTACATCTTCTTACTTTTGGTCGCAATACAAGAAGGAGAAAAAAATTATTAGGGAATCATGGCGAACAATATGGCTCAACAAATTATTGAGCAAACCGTTGTGTCGCTAGCGCGGCAAATGGAGCAGCAGGTAGATCGAGAGCTGCAGAAGCTTGACAACCTGGGGGAGGACGACATCGAAGCTATTCGGCAGAAACGGATGGTAGAAATGAAGCAGCGACAAGAGAAAATGAAGGACTGGGCCGCGCGTGGGCATGGCGAGTACAGGGAGATTCACTCCGAGCAGGACTTCTTTAAAGAGATGAAGGGAGAAGACAGGATGGTGTGCCACTTCTATCGGGAAAACTGGCCTTGCAAGGTATGCAGTGCGGGTCCTGGTCAGGCACTGCCGTTCATTGCGCTGACGATGAGTGTGCATCCAGGTCATGGACAAGCACATCGACATCTTGGCAAAGAAGCACCTGGAGACAAAGTTTGTGAAGGTGCGTGTGAGAAGGGGGAGGTGTATGACGGAAAAGGGCAGCCTGGTGGGACTTAAGGTCTGGGGTTGCGGTTTGCACCCCAGGGAGACCTATTGAATGAATGGGAGGTGAAATGCCGCTCTTAGGTCATGTATCGGTGTCCTCAAGTGACGGCGGCCGTTTCCGCACAAGGTTAAACCCCCTGTGCCATGGCCCTCCTAATGCCGTGTTGCATTAGGAGGGTGGGACCTGTCGTTGCTCACCACACGTGGCATTGCAATTCTTCTTGTTGCTGATGGCCCTGCACAAACAAGTAAGCCCCGCCATTTTGCCTCCGTCGGTTCCACAGATCAACGCGGAGAAGAGCCCCTTCCTAACAGAGCGGCTAAAGATTTGGATGTTGCCCACCCTGGCGCTCATCCAGAACGAGAAGACAGTGGATTACGTGGTGGGATTCGACCAGGTAGGCAGAGGAGGATGGGATTTGGGTTCCCGGGCTCGCGTCGTACTCTTGATACCACTTGATGCAGAAAGAGTGGACTTGCTGGGGTACAGTGATCCGCATGGGGCCAAACCTCAGCCTAGCATGCCATGCGCTAACTGAGCTGCCTTCCATCGCAATGACCCACATCCCAGTACATGCTTTCATGCATGCTTTTTAGCTGCACGGTTCTCCCTGTCCTGGCCGTCCGGTTGGTTCCTGCCCCCGGCCCGCATCCCCACAAACCCCACTCCTCCCTTCTTGCCCCTCAGCTGGGCGGCAAGGATGACTTCGACACGCCAGTGCTGGCGGAGCGGTTAGCCAAGTCGGAGATGATTGACTACAACTGGAGTGCGGGCGGCAAGGCGGCGGCGGCGGCCCCCAAGGGCATCCGCAAGGGAGGCGGCGGCTCGTACAAGAGGACGGAGTCGGACGAGGACTCGGACTTTGACTAAGCAAGGAGCGCAGTGCCGCTCCGGGGTTGCAGCGGGGGCTTGGCGGGCGATGCTGGGTAAGGGGTTGTGCGGCTAAGCGCGGGGTGGAGGTGTGGAAAGCGGGGAATTTGCAATGTGCTGGGACGGGACATAAAGAGGGGGGATGTATTCATGGATGGTTCGCAACGACCGGTCGGGTGTGCATGCTGCTTGGGAAAAGGGAGAGGGTGGGCGGGCGAACCCTCTACATCGTACATCGTACATAGACAAAAGACATGCTTGGAAAAATGATCGCTTGAGGTACGCGCGGGGAGGAATTGTGCATCTTAGGACCTACGAATGCATGCTGACCATTGACACGCACATAGGATGCCCCATTGGGCTATGACTTCTGACTGCTTGCATGACGTTCTTACCTTTGCTTTTGTTAATGCGCTAAACAGCTCATCTGCACTGATCGCTGTGTGGGGGTGCGGCTGCTAGGTAGTTTGAAGACTGTGTGTCGTTGCATGCGTCCGGGCAGGGGTTCTTGGCCTTGGCCATGCCATACAAAGGGCCATTGGCTCGGAGGGGATACGTCGCGATGGCTGAGGGCTGTTGCAGTGCTGTTCATGGCGATGAATGCGCTTGCAAGGTGTAATACCAACGAAGGTACTGGCCCGGACGCGGAAGTCATGGGCGCATGTGCGTGTGAAAGAGCAGGAATGAGGATTTGAGTGCATAAAGACCCGATCGCAACAGCCATGTTGGTGCCGCAACGCACTCGTCGCTTGCCTAAAACGGATGTGCACAGTAACGGAAAGTCAGTCAGATACCGGTATGGTACAGGCCACAGCGTTATCAGTTAGCCGACCCGCTAAGCTAGCTATCCCGCTAGCTTCCTCCTAGTAACCATTAGGTTGCAGGCGAGCGCAACTGTACTCAACAACACATCCTCTTAGCCTAGCCTCGAGCACTCATCACAGCAATTGCTCGCCAGGGGGCCTCCACAACACGTACCAGCTAACAGCCCGCAACCGTCCCCGGCGGCTTCCTCCACGTGGAGCAGGCACAAGAGACCCGCATTCAACAAAGCCCTGACAGGATAGCCAGCGCAGCCAGCCCTGCAAAACCACCCAACGTACCCTCCTGCTTCTTCACCACATGCGTTATTACCGCATACCGGCTTACTTCCCAGACAACCGCAACCCTGCTTCAAATCATTTCTTCGCAGCACCAAAGCCCTTGTTCACCTTGGGCGGCGGCACCCGCACCACCTTGGCCCCCGGGTGCGCCGCCAGGTACGCCTCCTCCAGCGCCACGAGCGCCGGCCGCACGCTCTCCAGCACCGCCGGCTTCATGCGGTCGTGGAACAGCACACCCTGGTGGGTAGCGGCGACGAGTGTACAGCAGCAGCGGATGTTCAAGATCGAAACAGGTTAAAAGGTAGAGAGCGAGGAGTAATGGAGGCATGTCAATACCGGTCGCGTGTGTCACTGGATAGCTCCGGTGCAGTAGAGGCATTGTAAGAGGCTGGAGGCATGGACGGTTTCAAGTCGGCAAACATCGTCGGCCCGGGCCCGCACCTGCAGGTGGTCGTATTCATGTTGGAAGATCCGAGCGACCCACGGGTCATTCAACTGCAGCTTGATGGGCTGCCCCATAGCGTCCTGCGCCTTGACCACAATTTGCCGCGAGCGCTGCGCATGCAAGGTAAAAACAACATCATAGGTAAGAAGGACATTAAAGCTTACACCCACGGTTTACCGGTACTTCGCAATTGAAGCCACCCTCGCTTAGACCAATCCATGGGACCCGCCCCGCCCCTCTCCTCCCCAACCCTTCCCTCCCTCTCCCCTAATCCCCCACAACACACGCATTGTGCCCATGCAGCAACCCCTGCAACAGTACCCCCACAACCCGCGTCCCCATCCGTATCCCCTCGTTAGTTGCCTCGCCAGTTTCCCTTTTCCCCCGTATCCCCTACAACACCGCGCCCCACACCCTCGCACCTCCACATCTCCGTAAATGGCTGGGAAGGACAGGCAGCCCTCCTCGCTGAGCTCCCGGCCGCCCGACTGCTCCACGATCTCCGGGTTCACCAGCACCGTCTCGCTGCCGGGGCGGCTGCGGCCGGCCGGGTTGAACACCATCAGCCGCACGTTAACGCCCACCTGGGGTGCGGCCAGCCCCACTCCATCGTCCCTGGCAGCATGTGGAGCGACAGGGTGCGGGAGGGATGCGAGGGAGGGAGGGAGGAAGGGCAGTGCGGCGGAGGACTGAGGACGGCAGAGGCTGTGCTGCTGCATAGAATGTGAGCAGGGAGTTGGAGTGTTATAGGGGCGGGGGTCGTGTGACGTGTACAATTTTGCGGTTTTACTGGAACCGAGCTGCCGTTGGGAATGCCCATGTGGACTACCGCTACTGGTATTCTTGCGTGGTGACAGCGTCTCAGCGGCAGACTCACTGGTACATGACCCCAATCATTTCCTTGGCTAATCGCATCAGGGCGTCATCGAAGACGTCTATCCGTGCGTTGACGGCTCGTAGTCGGGGGTCCGGGTACTTGATGATTTGCAGGGGGCTAGTCCATTCCAGCTTTGTGACTGCGGGTGTGGAGAACCACGGAAGGTGGCGGTTGTGCAGCATAGAGGCACAGGGGTTTACATGCAGATGCGCCACCGAGGGAGACGGAGATACGAAGGATAGCGGGGTTGCAGCGATATGGTGGGCTGCCAGTCGGCAAGAATGGCAACGCCGATGGCTTGGTCGGTGGGCATGGGTAAAAACACGGCAACGTCCCCAGCGAAGAAGCAGGCAAGGAAAAGCAATCCAGGTCGGCTACAACATCTTCCCCTACTTCGCAAGCGTGAACTTACCTATAGGTGTTTCCTGCACGGGTTTGGCCGTTGTACCGAAGCCCTTACCGCCTCTAACTGCTTGCACTCTTGTCGACGACGTGCCTAATCTCCCCAGGAGAGCCGCCGATTGAGTTTGTGTGGCTAAACGCTTAAGCATCATCTGGCCTTGTGGCAGTATTGGCCTAGCAATTCCTGTCACCATCGCGCATTTGCCAAGAAGTTGCTTCGTCGATGCGCTTAACGTTGCCTTGTCTTGCGTAAAATTGGATAAGTAGCCATCCTGCATGAGGGAATTTGCTGAAGTTTGCACGTGTGAGGTTGCCTATCGTCGTACTCCAGACTTGGCCAAGTAAGGACTTCGCAGGCTAACTATCGCAACTTTATGGAAATTAGGCCAGCGATATAGAACATGTTCCACAATGTGCATGGCTGGCACTTATACTAACGCAGCGAACGTGAACTTGCTGCTGACGGATTTAACCCTCGGTCTGCGCTCATTACATGGAGAGACACTCTACTGCAACAGACGGCGATGGTGAATGTAGGACAGTTATTTTCGGAAGAAGGTACCCACGTCGCCCGCATGTGCCTGTACCTACCTGGCCTTTTGCGCTACAATAACTGCAGATGACTACGCCGATGACTTCACGGATGATTCTGATGATAATGAGCTGCCATTGCCGGTGAGCAAGCTCGCTTGTGCACTCCTCAGATGCGGTTGAGCCAAAGGTTCACTTTTGTGCCTCCTTTCCCCACGGTCATCATCTTAGGGCCTACACGACCAAGGCGAGTCGATGCGGTGGCCTGGAGACGATGACTGGCGGCTTCCAGGACTGTTGGCACAGGTAGCCGGGCGGACGCTTAACGACATATTGCTTTACAAACGTGGTGACCAGTTGTGAGGACATTTTTATTGCTTTCAAGACAATTATCGCGTCCATGCACTGTCGTCGTACCCAAACGCGGGTCCTCATGCCCATGCTCCCCAGTCGTTCCCTACACACCCTTTCCCTTGAAGCCCTCTCCAACCCGTCATCCTCACACGCCAGCAGGGTACGCTGGACAACGAAGCTGGCGACGCCGGCCGCAGGCCCGATCGCTCAGACGACAGCTCCTCTGCCGAGGTCCTCCTAGAGGACGAGCCCCAGCCCCGAACTATCGGCGCGGGCCCCTCGCGTCCGATGGCTGCAGCGGACGCATACCCGCGGAATCCCTGGGTCTTACAGCGGGCGGGGGCTCCCGACCTAGCTGCCACCTTACCGCGAGGCAGCAGCCCAGGCCACTTCGCGGCGTCCCAGCGGCGTAGCAGCAGCATCCTCCACAGCCTCCGGCGTGCACCCCCATCCCCGTTTCGGACCTCGGCTGCCTCCATGGGGCCCCTGGGCAGCAGCAGCAGCAGCGGCGGTGGCGGTGGCAGCGGCGGCGGTGGCTTCCGGCAGCGTGATTCCTTGCCGGCGCTGCAGCAGCAGCAGTCGCAGCCCGCCGGTTTCTCCATGGAGCATCGTGCCAGCAACCAGCACCCACAGCACGCGTACCAGTACCAAAGCATGCATGCCCAGCAGCAACAACAACAGCAACAACTGCAGCCACAATATCAGCAGCAGCAACGGCAGCAGTACCGTCAGCAGCAGCAGCAACAACCACAGCAACAGCAGGACCTTTTCGGCGGGCCGCCACCCTCGCGGCAGCAGCTGCTGCCACCCGTTCAACTACGGCAGTTACAACCACCGCAACCGCAGCAGCAACACCAACCGCTGCTGCTGCGGACACAACCACAACAACAAGTACCGCAGCCGCAGCAACACCAGCAGCAAAGACAGTTCCAACCGCAACCACCACTCTCCCGCCAACCCGATTCTCGAGGGAGCGGCTCAGCCATGCAGGGCTTCCGGTCCATGGGGATGAGCCTCCGGGACAGCAGCTTCGAGGATCCCCTACGTGGGCGTGGAGCTGCCGCTGCTGACGAGGGCATGAGTTCCAGCGGGGCCATGGGTGGTGGTGGTGGAGGTGGTGGAGGAGGTGGAAGCGGCTGGCCAACCTACCTCATAGTGGATCCCTATGCTCGCGCACTCTCCTCCTCCTGCTCCTCCTCCGCATCAGCCAGCCCTAGTGCCAGTCCCCTGCCCCGCCATTTTACCCTGCAAGCCCCCAGCAGCAGCGGCCAGCAGCACTGGTACGGAACCCAATACTCGAACTCGCAATACGAACAGGACTTTGGTTTGGGTCTGGGCCTGGGACTGGGTCGGGGCCTGGGCGGCGGCGAGGATAGCGCCGGGTTGATGAGTAGGGACGGCGGCGAGGGGATGTCGCTAGGGCTAGTGGATCACCGGCTTAGCGGGTACGGCCTGGGGTTGGGGCTTGTGCAGGACGCCGCAGCCGATCGCTCACTTAGCAGCAGCGACAGCAGCAGGAGCAGTCGCAGTCGCACCAGCAGACCTAGCATGCCTGCAGGCCACGGCACCAATCATGGACGCGGGCATAGATGGGACGACGGCGTCAGCGCAAGCGCTAGCGGGACCGGTGGCCGGTACGATCCCGGGCAGTCCAGATCCAGCGGCGGCGGCGCCGCCGCCGCCGCCGGCGGCAGTAACGGCAGTGTCGTACATTTACCGCCGCTGTGGCCGTCGGGAGGGTTAGGTGAGGAGCGTCGGTTGGGGAGTGCCGCCTCCTCTTCCACGGCTGCGGGGGCGGGGTGGCGTCCGCCGCCGCTGGAGATCCCTCGCGGCCACCACCTGGCTGCGGGCAGTGTCAGCGGCAGCCTGAGCGGGCGGTGGCGGCCCTCGCTGGACGATGATGCGGGAACGGCGCTGGGATCACCTGCGGGAGGTGGGTGTTTGGCTGGGTGCATGCGCGGATGGATGACATGATGGATGGGTGGGTCTTGGGGTGAGATAGTGTTGAGAGAGGTCTAGAGGGGAGGATGGGGGTTGCTAGGCGGTCCTGGGATGGGGTGAGGAGCCGTGTAGGGGCTTGCACGTGCTAAGGCAACAGACGCTCGAAACGCCCCCGCGCAGGTTCGGGCATCCCACAACTAAGGAGTGTAGGGGAGCCGGGCTGGGAGCGTCGCTACGGCGGCATAGGCGGGGGCGCTGGCTACGGTTTGGCTCACGGCATTGGCAGGAGCACGAGCAGCAGCAGCAGCACCCCGGGGAGGTACAGCGCCCGCAGTGGCCTGGGCAGCGGCGGCCTGGGTGGCGGGGGCATGGGTGGCACGCTAGGCGGCGGCAGCGGCGGCGCGCAAAACGACAGCCGAGGCAGCGCAAGCGGCAGTGGGCTTAGTCGTGGGGGGCTCAGCAGTGGTGGAGCTCGTTGTTTCGCATCTCTGGACAGTTCCAGTGGGCAGTACGAACGCCGGCGAGCCGTACTTGGATCCGCCAGTCGCCGTATGCAGCCGCCGCTGACGTTGGAGCCTGTAGCACCGGCTGTACGGCAGTACGGCGACGGTTTTGCAGGCATGCTGACAAACGCGCAGATCCAGGAGTGGATGAGTCAGCACGCGTCGCGGTTGCTGTTGCCGCGACACATGCATGAGATTGCGGACATTGTGTTTAGGCCGCCGAGCGCTGTTCCGGAAAAGAAGTGAGTACCGTATTTGTATTGGGTGGGTGGGGAGTGGCTGTGCATGGAAGTGCGTGCTTTGCGCGACGTGTAGGCTTGCCCATGCAGACCGGCTCTCGGGCGATTGGATGTTAATCTACTAACCCGTGATCTACGAATTTGTGTGTTGCTTAGTAAGGGGAACTACCGGTATTAGTCCCGAACCACCCAACGATGATGCAAACCATGATGATGCCTTATCACACGGTCAGTTAGTTGTTTCATCTTTACCCAACCATCGTTGCGTCTCCCCGCCTCCGTCAACCCGTGCCCTGGGTCAACCCACGCCCACTCCTCCTGCCTGCACAGGCCGCCCAAGTGCCAGCCCGAAACCAACTCCGTGACCACGCTCTCTCCGCCCGTGATCCTGGGAGGTCGTTACCCTCCCCTCCACATCTCCCGACTCGCCAGCGATCCAGGTTTCATAACATCCCTGCTGTCCGGCCTAGAGGGCGTTGATCCCAACGACAGCGGGGTACAGGCGGTCGTGACGGCGCTGCAAGGGAGGGACGTCACCGCCAGGGATGAAGACCTTGAACCCGGGAGGCGGAGGCTGGGCCAGCAGCAGCCACCGCAGCAGTCGGCGGCGGCGGCGGCGGCGGCGCTTGCGGGCAAACCGGGACGTCCGGGCTCTGGAATGCCGGCGCGGTGTTAGGAGGTACGGCCCGGCCTGGCCCGGCCCTGGAACGCGGGGTGGTTACAACTGGTGCCTTTGCAGAGCCGGTATTGCATCGCATGTGCGCATGTTAGGAAGTAGTGTGTTAGGAGGTAGGAGCAGGGCCCTGCATGTACATTTGTTGTTGGAAAAGGTGGAGGGAAGGAGCTCCGGAGGCCGTTTTATACGTCGGCCAGGAGGGTGTATTGTAGGCCAAGTCACGGGCAGCTTGGGGCTGGAGCCGTGCCCATGTGAGGTGAACAACCGCCGTGACTGAGGCCAGGGTGTAGGCTGATTTGGGCTAACGAGTTGCGGTGGTGGTTGAAATTACTGCTACTGCTGTACACTGACGGTTGAAAGTACGACCGGCAAAACTATGGTTAAGAGGTTACGCGTGGAATTTATGAGATGGCGGATGGTGGCGAAAAAGGGCTTCTTTGCGTGTCAACTACGGTTTTGCAATGGCTTTGGGGAGCAGGGGTAGAGCGGCAAAGGCGAGATCGAGGACGCAGGGATGGCGGGCAGGTTGTGTGGGGGTCGTAGCCCCGCTATGTAGGCAGTGAGGTGCAAGGACTGGTTTGGCTGGCGGGGTTTGCAAGCTGGGATGATGGCCGAGTGAGGCATCACTGTGCATGTGCAGGGTGCTGCTGGTGGCATGTAGCGTAGCGCACAAGGGCCTCATATTGCAGCATCCCCTTCATTGGCAAGGTTATGGTATGGTACACTACAACAACGCAGGGTAGCGGTACCGGTAAAGCACAATGGATGTGGACATGGACACATACATGAGCTATCTGAGTGGGGTTGGATGGGGTTTGCAAGTGCTTGGGCTCACGTGCTCACGTGCGGCATGCCTCGGCATTGCCGCTGCATTTGCTGTACGCATATATGCTCCTACAGCAAGCGAGGCATGTACGAATGTACGGAAGCCAGAAAGGTATATGGGTTTTCTTGTTGGGGGCTGCCAGCATGTCGTACGTCTTTTTGTGCAAGAAATGCAGCTAGAAGTGTACCTGAAGAAAGGAGCATTGGATGCGAGGCCCGTCTGTTACTTGGCTTACTTCCCCTGTGTACGTTTGCGGATGTGATGTTACGGTGTCGTACGGCCTTTGGGGGTCGGGGCTGGATCCGTCATAGTGGTGCGGTACATTCGTAAGACGCAGGTGGCTTGTACGGACAACGAAACCCCAGTATCATTGTGCTTTTGAACCTTAACCAGCCCAGGCTGTGTGCGCAAGTGTGGCAGTGCGGACACAGGGCCTCGGGTTTAACTGTACGTTTCCGATTTCCATTTTACTGGCGCTTGCGCGTCCATAGCCCCCTTCGCTGTAAAACTTCTTTCTTGGCTTTGCCGCGGCCTTACCGTGATCGACAAGCCCATGGCAGCACATCAAGAACGAACATGAACCAACAGCCCCCACAGGACATGAAAACGAGTTCAGGAGGGCAAGGACCCAAGTCCTCTCATCCTTTGCCAACCGTAAGCGGTGCAACTGGAACAGAGCTCACGCAGGGATCAGAGACCACGGCAAGCTTCCATTGCCACACGACGGATCGCACCTTGGAAACCGTCGGATCGCACCTCCTGACACGCATGCATGGAGATAGAAACAGCCTTTACCGGTAGTCACCACAACGACATGCGAACACCGCCAAAGGTGGCTGACGCACGCTTATAGTCCTGAAGCAGCAGCGCCGCAGACGGCTTTCCCTACTGGTATATACATGGCGCTAGCCTTCCGCAACAATACCAGAGAATACTCTCATCGTCAGTTGGCAGGGCTCTCTCCAGGTGTAGATCACAGCAAACAATGCCGCATTTTCAAGTCTGGGTCGCTTCCTACACGACATATGCTGTAGCATACGCCCTGAGATCACGCACAGCCCAACAAATCACCGCGGACGGTCTAGAACCCAACACTGAAACGCAAGAACGCAGTACAAGTAATGCAGAAGTAGCCCAAGCAGCAATCATAACCCAGATAACCAAGACCCATAATGCCCTAACACATCCCCCAAACCAAGTCCCATATAAACACATGTACGTTAGTAGCAGTATGCTTCGAGCATGTCACTCTTCATGCCATCACGACACAGACCGGCTATCACCAGCCACCAAGTAAGCAGGGCCCTTGGCCCACTTCCGTTCCCCTTTCCGCCACCGAAGTGCCGCAAATCCTCCAACCGCTCTCATTAGAAAGGAAGCCTTCACGCACTTCCTTCAAACTGCGCCCCCAACATGTCGCCTACCACTACCGGTATCACCATCACACCGATGTGAACCGTGTGAGGGCCTGCGGAGCACTGCCTCCTACACAGCGCCACCCCTCCCCTGCCTGCAACCCTGCATGAACCGAGAGCAGACTCCCCTAGCTGCTACTGCTGGTGCGCGTGATGCTGCGGCAACGCCTGATGCGGGTGATGCTGCTGGTGATGGTGGTTCTGATGCAGCTGGGCCTTATGGTAACGAGCAACAATGGCGGAGCGCTTGCGATCCCTCCTAGACGAGGACCGGTGGCGCAGGAAGAACGCCAAGCCTGCCGCCACGGCGCCCACGATAGGGGCGCTCCAGAAGACCAGGAAGTGCTCCAGATCGTTTTGCCGCTTGTAGTGCAGGTGCCAGGAGAAGCTCTAGGGAGGGTCAGGGGTCATGAAGGGCAGACGCGTCACGATGGAAAAGGCGTCCGGACAGTCTGGCAAAGTCAGGACAAGGAGACAGTGCGTTGGGCGAAGCTTCCAGCCAGCAGGTAAAGCGAGCATGTCGGCGGAAGCGAAATTCGATTACAGGGAGAGCTGAGAAAGATGGGCATTGCATGGGGACCATGACAGGCAAAGGCTGCATGTCGGTGCTGCAGGAGGCTCCGTACGTGGCATGCGTACGCGTGTGATGCTGGCGCATGCACTCACCACGAAGGGGTTGAGCGATGGGCCGGTGAAGTAGTACCCTACCCAGCTCTGCGCGGACAGACAAGCGAACACAGCGGGGTCACAACACATGCCGGGTCAGCCGCCACCTAAGGGAAAAAGAGGTTCGACTAGGTTCGACTAGGCAGCGACGAGGGGCGCGGAGCAGTTGGCACAACCAGCCGGCCTGTACTAAGGACCGCTAGGGCGGCAGCAGCTGGCGGTAACGGTACCTACCAGGACAACGGTAGAGAGCATGGGCATCCACAGGGTGAGGAAGCGGCTCTCGGAATCTGCAACGGAGGAGGCGCAGGAAGGGTGTCGGCAACAGCCCGTCGGGCAATGGGTCACATGTAAAGACATGTTGCCGAGGGACGGCCAGAGGGACGTGCGTGTTTCAGCAGCGTCATGGCTGTAATGGGCTGATGCGAGATGTACCATCCAGCACAGGCTTGCCGAGTACGTGATCCGAGTACATGAGCGGTTTCTCGCACGGTTGTGCCAGCTGCATGCAAGCCGCCTTCCCATGCGGGCTTCCTTTGCGTAACTTACCGAGCGATAACAAAAAGACGTAGTTGAGCACGAAGCTCATGGTGCCCTCACAGGCGAATCCAACCTCAAACGCCACGCCATCCTTTATGCCCCCGGACAGGGTGTGAAACTTCCTGCAAAGCACGACGCACACGTACGACGCACAAGCTTAGGAGCATGCCTTGAGCAGCTCACTGCGTCACACAGGATGAGCCGCAAAGGATCACGGGAAAGGCGCGTCCAGCATCAAAACCTACCCCTGCAGGAACTCAGGTAGGTACAATTTGGCCGCAATGCTTCCCGCCAGCGCGCCAGCAAGCTGCCCGCCCTGCATGCGGCAGGCACATCCGGCATTACGGTGGACCATGGCCTCGGCCGTTTGTGTCATTCACAGGTTTACGAAGGCGCCCATGCATGCATGGGTGCCCTGGTGGGGATGGCGGATGGACACGGGGCATGCCTTAGCTAGGGGGCCTTACCATGCGGAGGAGGTGCGCCGGGATGCTGCCCTTTCCGCTGCTGATGAGGGCGATGCTGTTGATGGGGTTGAACAGCGCCCCTCCGAGCAACCCGCACAGGGGCCCAAACAGGGTCAGCGCGGATAGGAGGACGCCAATCCCCAGCGCAAGCTCGTCCATGCCGGTATACTTGGCCAAATACTCTGATGCCTGGCATGCGGGGGCAACCGTGGACGGGATTTGAGGCGATCACGGGCCTCCGTCTCGCCGTGCCGGGCTGCCGTAGGTATATTACTTCTACCGCAAGCCTACCCTAGCCCTGGACCTCGACAGCAGCGTGCACCGGGGCCCCTTGAAGCCTAATACGAACCCCACTTGCGCATGAAGGCGTTAACATACCTCTGCAAAGCAACTGGAGGCCAGAACCCAAAGCGCAGTGACAAGGAAATCGCCAAACACCAAGGCGAGCAGGCTACGCTTTCGCGGGCCTGGACCGCCTATTTCTGGCGGGCCTGCAGCCATTTTAGCTCTTTTTGCAGGCAAGTTACAGTAGTCGTAGCACTTTTCCGTGTGCGTGCTTAGGGAAAGCAACAGGTTACGAGGGTTACGCCGAAGGCGACATATTTCAAGGACCCAACTTGGCGATAAACAGCAAACCGTTCCCTCTGCACTGCCGCAACGCTCGCTTGGCAAAAAGATGAAAGGCAGCGTGTAAGGTTGTCGTACTTGTCGCCCCGTGCGCAAATTGCTAGATGTTCATCTTTGGCGTTCGTCAGAAGAGGCGTTGCTGCGAAAAATTACGTATGATAAGTAGAAGAAACAGTCAACGTTCCTGGTCTGCGCCTGTATAAGGCGCCTTTGTCCTTGACCAAGCCACCTCAACCGTCGTGTTGGGTGTAGAAGCCAACTACCTTTTCAGGTGTTACAGCCTAGCCAGGTTAGTATAAAATCATGGAGGAGGTAAAGGCGGCGGAAGCAGCTGCAGATCAGGTCCAGCACGCCACAGAACCCGCTGCGGCAGAGGAGCAGGCTGCTGGTGCTGCTGTTGAGGCTGAAATGGCAGATGCTAGCAAGGACGTTTCCGGGCAGCAGGCTGACGTGAGTGAGGTTGGGCTTAGGGGTAGCGGGATTACTGAGCGTTTGCGCTAAGTGGCTAACGTGGTTTCGTTAATTATACTACAGACTGTAAAGATGGAAGTGAACGGCGACGCCGCGAACGAGGGCCAGCCTGCAGAGCCGGAGTCTGGTCCGGCAACGGAGGCAGCCCCAAAGGAGGCAGCTTCACCGGAGACCGATGCCGTTGGAAAGGACGTGGCGGGTGCTCTTGCGGGCCCTGAAAAGGATACAGCAGCTGATCCTGATTTTGGCCCCGAGGAGTGGGAATCAATGGACATACCCGTCGAGTTTCGACCGTTGCCGATTCTACGTGTGAGTTGCAGTTACTGGTGTTGGTGCTTTCGATTTGTCTGTTTGGCCGTTAGAGGCTGCCCATTGACTCCGTTCTACTACAACAGGTCCGCAACATCAACTTGGAGGCGAAGCCGGAGGACGTCAAGAAGCTGTTCGAAGACATCGGCATCCCAGTGCACAGCGTGTTCTACGACAACGTAGAGCGCAACAAGAATGTTGCGCTCATGCGGTTGGCACCACCGCCGTTGCCGTGGAAGCTCTCGAAAGAGGAGCTGGAAGCGAACCCGCTTGACGAGGCGCTGAAGAAGTACATCGAGGTGAAGGACCAGGAAGCGAAGGAGGCCGCGGCCGCTGCGGCTGCGGCTGCCGAAGCTGAAAAAGCAGCTGCAGAGGCTGCGGCTGCTGAGGCAGCGGCCGCTCAAGCGGAAGCGGTTCAGCCTGATGCTGCTGCCACAGAGGATGCTGCTGCTGCTGTGCCGGGTGGGGGGGAGGGCGAAGCAGCGGCCAGCAGCGCAGCTGCACCAGCGGAGGAGATGGATGCTGCGGCTGGCAGCGCTGCGGCGCCTGCAGATTTCTCCGAGGCGCCCGCCGCCGACCAAACGGAAGCCCCGGCAGCTGCTGAGGAGGCCACAGGTAAGGCCGAGGACAAAACATCGGAGCCGGCTGGGGATGCCACCGCGCCAGCCGCCAGCGGAGATGCCCAGACAGCGGCGGGCGCCGAAGCCCAGCCAGCGGCCCCGACGCCCATGCGGCCAGCGCTGCAAGTGGACGACGGCCGCTCTGACGGCGACGTCCTGAAGGTGGCGCGCTACACCGCCATGCGCCTGAACGCGCTGCAGTACCCACTTCACCTCATGGGTGACCGCCTGATGATCGACGCGCCCTCGCTGCAATGCACGCTGTACCTGGGCAACGTGGTGCAGAACAGCGATGAGCAGCTCAAGAGCCACTTGGAGGCGCTGGGCCGTGTCAGCCGCTGCTTCATCATGCGTGGCGCCTCGGGCGAGTCCAAGGTAAGGATGGCACAGAGCTCTGCTGCGGGGCTGTAGGTCGCATGAGCACGGAAGCAGGCCACTTACTGCGACGCGATCGTCAAGCTCAGCAAAGCACGGCACTCCGCATGCATCCTAGTTGCACGCTCCTGCTAAACGCGGTTTCGGCATTGTACTCTCCACACATTCAGAACCTTGTTAAAGACCATTTCGCTTTCCCTTTATTCCTGCGTGCGGTTTGGCAGGGCTATGCCTTTGTGGAGTACGCCACGCCTGCTGAGGCGCTGAAGGCGAAGGAGTCGTTGGAGGCCCAGAGCCGCAAGGCCTTCCAGGACATGATGGCGCACAAGAACGACCTGCAGCGCCAGCGGGGCCGGGCCGCCAGCACGGTCGCCGGCGCTGGCGCCACGCCCGCTGCAGCCAGGACTGACGCGGCGGCGGGCGAGCAAGCTGCGGCAGCAGGCGAGAGCAAGGATGCGGCAGCTGCGGCCCAAGAGGGCGAAGAGCCGGCCGTTAAGGAGGAGGCCGCGTCGACTGAGGATGCGGCGGCTGCAGGCGAGGCTGCGGCGGCGGTCGTTAAGCCTGAGGCGGATGCGGAGATGAAGGAGCAGGAGGCGCCTGCTGCGGATGCTGCCGCAGTAAAGGAGGAGGCGCCCGCTGCGGAGGTCAAGCAGGAGGAGCAGCCGGCCGTAAAGCAGGAGGGCGAGGAGAAGCATGTGGAGGAGCAGCAGCAGTCTAAGGCGGAGGAAGGTGACGAGGGAGACAAGGATGGTCACGCGCAGGTTCAGCACGCCAGCAAGATCATGCGCGCCGAGTTTACCCACACGCGGCGCGTTCAGGACCTCTTCTCGCGCAACCTTTACCTGGCCAGCCTGCCGATGGTGAGCGGTTGGAGTTCTGCACGTGTTGTTTGCACGTGCTTTTATTGTAGGCGGAGTGGTCCTCGTGCGGTTGGGACCGCAGCGTTTTCGCTGCAATGAAGCTGCGCATCCAACAGTATGGAGTCATGAATTCGAGGCGTTGTGGTCTCGATGTAGCAGCAATGGCATGCCACCTTTGGCCAATTCCGTCCGCATCCGCCTCCATCCCTTGCCCTCTTGCAGTCGTTCAGCGACGAGCACCACCTGCGCAAAGTGTTTGGTGAGTTTGGGCCCGTCACGAACGCGTCCATCACGCGCGGCCCCCAAGGCTACTCCAAGGGCTTCGGCTTTGTGGAGTTCATGCGCTCGGATCATGCTGCCGCGTAAGTGACGGGTGTTGTATTGACTTTGTTTGGGAGTTGGGAAGGGCGGACACCTCACAGCATTCTAGGCATAGCGGTCTAGCTTCGGGTCTCGGGACTTGCACTAGATTTACGAGAGGGACGTGCATTCAGCCCTTGTATGCACCAGGAAACTAGAATTCTTAACAGGATGTAACTTGAAACGACCGTATCTCGCCTGGAAACTCCCTTGTGCAGTGCGATGAAGGCTCTGGACGGCAATGAGGTGCCGCTGCTGGGCAAGCTCGCTATCTCCTTCGTCAACCCCTCGAAGCAGACAGATCGCAGGAACCAAGGGCAGATGGGTGGGCGCGGCGGCCGGTACGGCGGCATGGGCGGCCGCGGCGGCATGATGACCCCTAACTTCCATGGAGGGCCCGGCCCGCGAAACGCGCCGTACTATGCAGGCCGTGGATCGTACGGCGCTCCACCGCCGCCGCCGTACGGCATGAGCCCGATGATGCGCGGTGGGCAGGGTTCGTACGGCTATGGGCGCGGTGGACGCGGGTACGGCGGCGGCTACGGCGGTGGTTACGGCATGGGAGGTGGCTACGGCATGATGGGGATGGGCGGGTATGGCTACGGTGGGGGCATGATGGGCCGGGGCGGTTATGGTGGCTACGGTAGCGGTGGCGGGTACGGTGAGGGCTATGGCTACGGTGAGGGCTACGATGGCTCAAGCACGGGTGCAGGCGAGGGGCGCAGTGGCCAGCAGCAGCCACAGTCGCCTTCCTCGCAAGGACAGTCCCAGCGCAGCGGCTACGGCGGCGCTGCCTCTGCAAGCGGCGCCTCCGCAGGCGCCGGGTACGGCAGCGGAGCCTACGGTTCCAGTGGGTATCAACAGCAGCAACAGGCGGGGACCTCTGGCTCGGCCCAGGGCTATGGTGGAGGCCAGAGCGCTGGGTACGGCGCTAGCTACGGCCAGGCATCATCCCAGCAGCAGTACTCGAGCCAGGGAGCCGGCTATGGGGGTCAGGCAGGCGGCTACGGCAGCCAGGCTCAAGGGTATGGCAGCTACGGAGCGCAGGGGTACGGCAGTCAGAGCTCTGGGTACGGCGGCCAACAGCAACAAGCGCCTGCTGCGGCTGCGGCATCTGGGTATGCTAACCAGCAAGCGGCTACGGGAACGTACCCAACGTCCTACTCGGCCCCTGCCCAGGTATGGACGTGCTCCCACATCCTTGGTTGTATGGTGTGCAACGCTTGGCCTGGATAGAGTTGTTCGAAGTTGTCCTTTACGTCTGTGAGTAACGTCCTTGGTTGTGAATAATTGTCCCTCCGGCTGATTGTTTACAGACGTACGGAGCTGGCGGTTACGGTGCAGCCTCTGGTTCGGCTCAACAGCCTGCCTCAGGATACAGCGCCGCGGGCCAGGCTAGCGCCGGCTACGGATCCCAGCAGGCGGCCACTAGCTACGGCGCGACACAGTCCCAGGCGGCACCTGCATCCTACCCTACGTCGTACTCCGCGGCCCCGCAGGTACGTTTCCTCCCGATGAGCCGCCTGCTTTCCTGTGTTCGCACGCCTGTCATGTCCCTTTGCTGAGCGGTGCGGCAACGTTTTCGCTTCCAGGCTTACGGGGCGTCGGCGGCAGCCCCCCAACAGCAGACTGGTGCCTACAGTGCAACAACCCAAGCCGGTTACAGCCAGGCTGCCCAGCCTGCGGGCTACGGCGCCGCGTCTACTTATGGGGCGTCAGCGGCCACAGGATACGGGACCTACGGGCAAGCCACGGTGGGTAACGCTGGTCTATGCATACACAACCTACAGAACGTTCCGCCTCGCGGCCAGTTATTTTAACACAACCTACATTGCCCGGTCTTTGGGTCTACCTTGTTGCGGCCCGATTCCACGTCAGTGTTTTTATGATGGTTCAATGTCCGCATGCATGCAGGGTTACGGCACCACTGCTCAGCAGCCAGCGGCTTATGGAGCCGCTTCTTACGGTCAGCAGCAGCAGGGCCAGCAAGCCTACGGGAGCTACGGACAGCAGGCCGGCGGGTACGGCGCAGCGGCTTATGGTCAGCAGGGTCAGCAAGCGGGACAGAAGCGCGAGGGCGACGCCTACGCTTCCTACGGCGCTGGTTATGGTGCGGACTACAACAAGCGCCCCCGTTACTAAGCAAACATAGTAACCGTGTCCCTAGCATGCGGATCATGTTCTGCGTGTGATGTGCGTGTGTTGCCTAACGCTTTGCCGTGCCCGTTGCGCCTATCCGGCATGCTGAACAGCCATGTGCGTGTGAGCGTCATTAGCACCTGCGGTGTTTGAGCTGCGTAACCCCTGCGGTCTGATGCGATATGGGGCTGCCTTTTGCGCGCCCATCCCCCAGCATCCCAGTTGGCCTTATCGGTGCATTTGCCCCTTGCACAAACGCTTTGTATGGCCTGAGAGGAATGCACAGAGAGCTTGGGGGAAAGCGTCCGCTGCATGTGCTTAGCGTGTCGCTGTTGCAATTTTTCGGGACTGCGTTTCAGCTAGTGCTAAGCAAGTAGAGTTATGCTGCTCTGGGGGAAAGCGCCATGCGCTGCATGGATATATTGTGAAAGGCTCGGGCGTACCATCCTTCAGGAGGGAGCTGAAAACGAGTCTGAGCTGGGTTTAGGATGCATGCTCTTTCAATTGGGGATATTGGCACCCATGTTGGGGGCTGGGGTCGTGCCGTGATGTTAGGTACCTCCCCTTTCCTACGGGGTGTAGTAGCCTGTTGTGGATTTCAGTTATGTTGGGCGTTGTCAGTCAACCTTGGGACCTAAGAGTTGCACGCATGGGTTTGAATGGATTGGACGATTGTTTGTGGGGGTCCAATTAGGTTTCAGACAATGCAAACGCTTTCATGCAAGTAACAAAAGAGAGCAACCCTGCTTTACGGCACCGTTAAGGGCGCACAAAAAGTTCATGCACGGGTTAAGGGATGTGTCAGGCACCTAAAGCGTAGCGCTGCACTCGAAAGCCGTAACCCCTTTTCTTTGCACTCCTTTCCAGGAATTTCCAGGATTGGGGCACTGCAATGCCTCAACGTCCCTGTTTCTTAAGCGCACAACCTCCCCAATGGTATGCCCGCCGCGCAAAGACGTAGGCCCCTGGGCGTGGGCTTTGCCGGCGTGTCGTCATCAAGTGCTGGGCTTCAGCAGCGCGCGGGCGTACGGGTCGCCGGCATTAGTGTGGTGCGCCAGTAAGGAAGGGTTGGGTGCTGGGAAGCAGGAGGAAGGTTAACGGCGATATTGGATGTGGGTTTCTCATGCAATGGGTACACAGGCATGGGCTTCCACTTCTGCATGGGAGGGGCACATATGTTGCAGCTTGGCAGGGCTGAGCATGGTAAAACGCCTCCATATTAACCAGGCAGCCTCCATTTATCAGCAATCTTAAACGCATGAGGCGTTGCCTTGGATCAGGGGGATACGAAGCCATGGGACGTTGCCTTGCATCAGGGTATGCAACAGCAGGTCGCGAAGCTCAAAATTGGGACCAGGTGTAGTCCCCTGCTTTTGCCGCCATAACAGCCCAAAGCGCAGGACGGACCTTCAGCTGCACTACACTACCCCGTGGATGCGGTGGACAGCAGCCAAACGGGGCCGCTTGCCTTGTGAAGGCGCCCAGCCCTTCTTCGGTAGGCATCAAGTGGTACACAGCCTCCAGGATACGAGGGGAATTGCATGGCACAGTAGCATGTGCTGCAATAGCCGTAAAGATATGCATATAACTAGGGTGGTTTATCACGCGACGTGACGCATGCCTACAGCCCAACTTCTGCTGGGGAAATGCGCTGTTCGATGCTGGTTCAAGGAATGGGATGTTGCCGTAGTCAGTCTGCCATGTCGTTTGCAAGGTTGTGGCATGCATGTAGCAGGTGTTTAAAACACGCACGCCTGCGCATGTTTCCTCCGAAGCAAATTACACCGTCACCCTAACGATGTCGATCATCCTGTCTACCGTCGCTATTGTTCGGGTGTGTAATAAACGTCCTCCGCAAAACCCACAATCCTGCAGTCCGCCGCACTCGCATGTCTCAAGATCTTATATCACTATAGCCAAGCAAGAGCCTCAAATCCTACGCGTCGCATTCACAGGCGCTGGAAGACGAAGACGGCAAGTGATAAGCCATGTGACTTTTTTTTCAACAGTATACCACCCTCGTCTGCTCACATGTGCAACTTGCAGCTATACTTTGCAGCTGCCGTTGGAAAATGGCAGCCACCGGCATCCGAGAAACACACTTATCTCAAAAACGCAGCTAGCCGCGAGAGCTTCCACCTGCGCTAGGCTGAGCATAAGGCAACCCCACCTCCCCAGCCCGCTCAAGCCCCTGCAATTCAAAATGGTGTAAAGCAACCGCCGCCAACTTTTAATAAACAACCTCCTGGCACACGAAGCGCCTGCTCAGGCGTGCTTGCTGTCGCCAATGATGTGTCCGCCTGCGGAACAGGTCAGCAAAGGCAGCATCCTAAGCACCGCAGTGGGGTGGTCTCAATCAAACTGCTGCCTTCCGAAGCCCACATCCGCCCCACCGAAGAAGGGCGCCACCTCCGCAATCAGCTGCTGGTACTCCACCGGCTTGCCGTCCTCCAGATGAACCTTCACCAGCTCGCCGGCAATGGGGGTCTGCGGAGGTATGAGGGCCAGGCGCGGCTGTGATCACCAAGGCGGATTCAAACATCTGCTAGGCGCGTCTTGCAACATGGCTTGCCGCATGCATGGTAACAGCCGTTGATTGGCGAAAACGACATGTGCGAGGGTGCAAAGGTACGTATCCCGCAAGCAACCCTGACGAAGATGTAGTGCAGCCCCTTGATGCGGCTACCGTATTGGCAATGCCCTAAACCGCCTACCTTGACCTCCACAAAGGTGCCCAGCTGCTCCACGTAGCCCAGCGTCTGGCCCTTCTTGAGTTGGGCGCCCTGAGGGGGGAGGTGCGGAAAGCGGGGTTGTGGTTCGAGGACTCACGGGGTCGGGATTTGCCAACTATTCCTACGTCCAGTTGTAACGCCCAATGCTACAACATGCACCACTGTTGCTCGAATCCCAACGGGGGCGCTTCAGGCTTGCTCCAACACGCTACACGCATCCCATGAGTCTAGCCCACTCACCACATCGACGCAGTTGCCCTTGCCCACGCGCTTTCCTGCCGCGTACTTGCCGCGGCGGAAGATGCCGACCTGTTTGCCATGGGGAGATATCAGCAGGGGCCGTTAGGTAACGTTAGGCCACAAACGCATGGGCAACATGCAGGTGTCGGAGCCAACACGGAGGTATCTTCACTTGTAGATAAGAAGGATCTCTGCCCTCTTAACCATGCCCCCACACGCGACGGTCCAAACCAACATTGCACGATTGCGACGAGCATTTCCTGTCACCTCACCTTGGGGGAGTTGACGTACACCAGGCTCTCATCCACAGTGTCCTCCACCGTCGGGACGGGCATCGGCAGGTCAAGGGTCGCTGCGAGGGGCAGCGCCGCGGCCGCAGGAGCAGCAGCGGCCGCAACGGGCGCGGCAGCAGCGGCAGGGGCAAACGCGGGGGCTGCAGCGCTGCCAGCGACGCTTCGCTTCACTTTAAGCTCAAAGCCGCTCATCTGCAAGATCGTAGTTCATGCTTAGGATGAAACCATGACGCCATTAAGCAGGTGAAAAGCGGCATACCCTGAAAGGACGCCGGCGCATCTCACCTTTAGGTGCATCTCAGCAATCTCCGTTTCATTGCATAGAGTGTTGATAAACGATGACACCTGTGACCAGAAGTAGGGCCCCGTGCGGTCAGTTCCATGAGTCTTTGGCCCGGAACAAGACGTGGCATTTGCGTTTACCTGCTGAGTGCTCGGCACAACCTCAGGACCATCAAACTCCTCAACTGCATGATAAAAGGTAACACCTTTTGGCGTAAGTATTAATGATCATGCTTCCTCGCAACCCATATGGCTTAATGTCCAATCGCACCCGCGGTGTCAACCTCCTTCTTCGGCTCCGCTGCCGCTGCCCTCAGCACTGGCAGACGAGATACTGGTGCCACGCGCGCAGCGCGAAGACTACGGTTGGCAACAACGCCAGCAGGCCGCTGCGGCGCACACGTCCGAGCTAGCATGTTTACTAGTTTTATGTAAGGTCCAAAACTAGCTAAGGACGGCGCAGGAAGCCTCTTACAATTTAAAGCCGAGTCAAGCGTTGACACCGCTGTAACGCACGCGTTTCCGTACAGTGGGAGCGCATCCTGAAATTTTCCAACTGTAATGCTACCATCAATTCTCGCATGGCCGACTACGAGGTACTAATTGGGGTGTCTATTGACTTGGGATAGTCACAGCGACTGGTGTAGCTTAGCGCCCTGCGTCAGCGCGACTTAGCTGAAATGGGTTATAGATATCCGCATGAATGCATTTCATGAATATCAAGAATATAACTTGGATGATAGGCGCCGAGTAAGCACAGCGAGAATCTATGGCAACTGAGGTGCCCTTGTCGGGAGGTGCTGCGGGTGTTCGGCATTACTATGCTGCTGTGGGCAATAAGGAGGCCAAGCTGGTGCGCGGGGAAGGTTGCGGACTTCGGCATATGGTCTATGGGCTAAGGGGAAGCGTGGAGTAGCTGCTGCCAAGTTGGGGCCTTCCCAAGTTTAGGGGTATCTGAGCGGCGACACGTCTTAAGCATGCTGCCTTGCTGCACTGTGCTCCGCATTGCCAAAGCAAGAGTCACCCTATGGTAGCGACATACCCCTCACCTTTCAGTTACCTATTCCAAGCCCATCTGGGTTTTGCCATGAACAGTATGGCACTCGGTACCCTCCCTATCGCTGCCGGTCACCATGCATGCACGCCTGCTTCCTCCACCGCGCCATCTTCCCTGCTGGTGCCGCCCCTAGGCGACCCTACTGGAGTTGCTGCAGACGCTGCAGGTCGTCAGCCGCCGGCCATTCGCCATCATCTGCAGGTACGTCGGGTCTTAGCTCTTCGGTCGTCAGGTGGCACGGAAATTCCCCACGCTTGGAGTGTTGTGGCTTGTGGGCTTTCATGTGGTATGTCCGTATGTGGGGCTAGTCAGGTACCCAACGACAGGAGCACAGGACTGACCTGCGGGGTGTTGCCGCTGCCTCTCATGCTGTTTGCTCTTGTTGTCCCGTAACGTCTTGCACTGCTGCTGCCCTGTCCCCACTCTCTCCCCCGCGCCGCAGTGCCCGTGACACCCTGGACTCGGTGATCTTCACGTTGATGCGGAGCCGCAGCTTTGCCGTCACCGCCATTGTAAGGGGATGACCGACGGCCATATGTTACGTGGTGTCAACTAGAGCGCCTGGGAAGCCGCAGTAGTGGCGGTATTTACAAACCGTATGAGAGGAGGCTGGTACCGTAATAGTCCTTAGCAATGACCTTAAAATGCTTGACCACTTGCGCAAATGGATTTACGGCATCTCGTGCCGCCTGCTCCCCGCAGCATAGCGACCTAACGGAGAAGGAGCGCGAGCTGGCGCTGACGAATTTTAGGCGCAGCGCGTTTGAAACGCCCGCCCCAGCCCCAAACGGCGCCTCCGATGCGACTGCAGGTATGCTTATGCGGGGCAACTGGTCTGAACACTACCGGTAGCATGCATTCGGTTATTTGCGATCCTTGGCGTTGCGTCTTCCGACTTTTGGCATCAGAGGCACCCTAGGCAGCGATGGATGGAATTGGTATAATCAAGGGTCGCCCACTTCGCCAATCCATGCGTACTGACTGAAGCTTGACATGTGCTGGAGCAGCGAGCGAAAAGGAGGGGGCGCCGGAGAGCGAAGGCGCTGAGCGTGGGTTTGCTGGAGGGCAGGAGCAGCAAGGGGCGGGAGAGCAGCCGGTCTGCGTTCTTGCCATCACAGACGTTTGCCTGAAGGTACGATTGTACTGGGCGTGGGGTTCTTCAAAGAAGAGTCTAGGTTGCGTTCGAAACGGCCCGCAACAGTCCTAAACAGGGCATTTTGCTTCCGCAGGCGCTGCCCAAAGAGTTGCTACCGCTTGGACTTGGGGTCCTTGTGGAGTTTGACCTGCCGCCATCGAAGGTGAGCAGCACCAGAACAATGTTTGGGGAGGTGTGGAAAATGACGTGCCACGTCTAGGCTTGTCAGCAAACACCATTCGCTGCAATCCCTTGATTCAGGAAGTCTACACACGGCGTATTTCGACGCTCTTCGGCGGTGGGAGGGATCGGAGGTCGCAGCGCTGCGTGGTGGTAGATATGGTCGAAGCAGGATCCATCGCTGCGTTCCGCTTGCTTGAAAGCTTTGTTGCCGGTCAAGTACAGGAAGTACCTGTGCGCGTGGGTGACATATTTTTGTAGCTGTGGACCATACCTTGACGTTTGCAGCAAACGAGTCTTTAGAATTGTACGGGATGCCGTCTGGATCGAGAATACCAACAGCTGTGACAGGAATTGGAACCGTGTATGTGTACAAAGTAGGCTATAGCAACTGTAATTGTTTTTGTTTACGTACATTCCAAATGTTTTTGAGTGTTCATCTTTTGCCTGGGTGCTCCGACGGAAGCATGTTCAACAACTCGAGACATTGCTGATGCCCTGGTCGACTACCCACTTAAGTGGTATTCAAAGCTTATAATCGTCTCTCATAACTGAAAACGGGCACACAAGCGGTTCTGCTGCGTGCCATACGCCCATGCCCAAAATGCGCATGGATACGGAGAACCCCAATCCGTTGCTGCAGCTCCCATCGCACCTGTTGGAGTCAATCCTTGTCGCAGTAGGCACCGGAGCAGGTGGAGCGTATGCATCCTGCAACTCTCTGCGAAGCGCTTGGCGAAATGCAATGTCTTCAGCGGATACTTCCGCGCAGTACTTTATGCAGCGATATGGTCCAAATGCTGCCTGTTTGGGAGCTTACTGCTGCATCATTAATAAGCAGCTCCAAAGCTGCTCAGCCCCTGAAGCTCTCGCGCTTGCACTGCTGAGACAGTTGGAACGGCAAGGCTGCGCCCTATCCACGCCCCTCCTCGCCCTGGCAGGTAGCGTGGCATCTTTCGGGCCTGCAGCTTTACCATGTAACCGCCATCTCTTGCTGAATCCCATTGAATTCGTTTGACAACATCACACATGCCATGCCTAAACATACCATGCCCCGCCCCTTGCCGTCTTGGGGCCGCCGGTGCGTAACAGCTCGCACGGGGCATCTCCTCGTCGTACGACACCTCCTACTTGCTCTTCCGAGTGCTGCTTCGAAGTACGTTAGCACCGCCATGCTCGACGCCGCCACGTTTGGACACAGCGAGGTGCTCGGGGCGCTGCTGGCGAGCGGCATGAACGGCGCAGATGCTGCTGCGGACAACAGTGCTGTGCTGCACGCTGCGGCAAGCGGATCTGATCCGAAGACCTGCGTTGCCATCTGTCAGCAACTGCTAACCGCTGGCGCAAGCGCAAAGAGCCTCGGCGGCAGCAGGGCACTCCTGTTGGCGGTTGAGAGGGGAAATGAACAGCTGCTCCAGGTAGAAATTGGGGATCCGCCATGTGGGTGTTGGTCAAAGAGGCTCCAACAGTTGCATTACCTTCATCCCTGGCCTATGCAGTACCGGCATACGGGTATTTTGTAGCCGTCCTTGTAATCCTTGCGGCCCCTGAACACGCTTACATTCCCCTGCGCCTTGCTGTAGGTTCTGCTTCAAGCCGGCGCCGACCCTGCTGCGTACGACAGCGCTGCGCTGCAAGCTGCCTGCGAGCTCACAGGCGCTGCAAGCATGGATGCCACCACGCCCCTTGGCCCCGCCACGGCACTGCGCATGATGCAAGTGCTCCTGGCGGCGGGTGCAGACTCCCACGCTGCCTACTGCCGGCCTTTGTACACCGTTGCAGAGCAGGACTCCCTAGAGGCGCTGAGGCTGTTGCTCGACACTGGCGGCTACAACCGTGACGCCAAGAACCGTGCCATGCGGGCTGCTAGCAGGTGCGTCAGACGTCACTCCTTGCCCACTTCATGCACCTGCACCATTCCGCAGCAGGCCCAGATGCCCAGCGCGCCATCTGGGTCGGCTGGGCATTTGGGTCGGCGCGGGACATCTGGGCAGGGCATCTGGGTCGGCTGCGGAACGGTTCGGGACGTCGGCAGGGAGTGACGACCCAGATGGCCGGCGCACCATTTGGGTCGACTGCGTAACGTGCCTTCAAGGCCGGCAGCTGAAATGGGTTCATTGTTACCGGGTCGATTGCTTTGACGGTACAGGGCTTGCAACCGTTGTGCCGGTATTCGGGACGTATCTTATTCGCAAGTGCTCACACTGGTGGCGTCCAGGCCCGTAAACCCGCAGCCGTGTTCCACTGGACAGGACACCCTCCCAGCTCCATTGCTACCTTCAACCGTAGCACCTTTCCTGTAGTCATAAACAGAATTTGCTTGCGCGCCTGCCCAATCCTTGAATCCCTGTGCTGCAGGGTTGGCAGCCAGCGCTGCGTTCGGGAGCTGCTACGCCTTGGAGCAGACGTCCACTCCACCGAGGCAGACGGCGCCACCGCCCTCGACCTTGCGCTGAAGCACGGCGAGCTCCGGATCGCCAACATACTCCTGAACGCAGGCTACGACCTCCACGACGCCCAGCGCTCTATGAACGCCTTACTCGCAGCCGCACATCAAGGCGATGGCGGCGCCGCCATAGCCCTGCTGGTGCGGCGAGCGGCGATAGATGTGCGCAGTGGCTGCGGCGGGGGGACTCTTGTGGCGGCGGCGCGGTTAGGCAACGCCGTTGCGGTGAAGGCGCTGGTTACCGCCGGGGTAAATGTTCAGGAGTATGGTGGTCGCGCGCTGGTTGAGGCGTGCCTGGCGCAGAAGAAGCCTGGAGCAGCGGCGGTTGTGGCGGAGCTGTTGAAGGCGGGCGTGGCGGGAGGCGTAGACGGCCGCCGTCTGGCACGAGACGCAGTGGAGGCTGCGGCCATGAGCAACAACGTACGTTGTCAAGGGCTGAAATTGCTTCTACCGGTAACGGATGTCCGCGCAAGCTCTCAAGGGCTCTCAAGGGGATGTGCTAGTAGGCATATGACCTGGGTTTCCTGTACCCTATTGTCTGGCTGTGCCTTATGCGTGATCAATAACTGACTGGATTGGGCCCGCAACCGCAGGCGGACTGCGTCCGAGAGCTGCTGCAGTCTGGCGCGGCGGACCGTGAGTCCATCCCTGCAAGCGTTGTGCGTGCCGCCCGCGAACGGCGCTATATGGAGGTGGTGCAGCTGCTGGAGCCGCAGCAGCCAAGCGACCACCCGGCGGATGCGCTGCCTTCCTGCCACCCGCCGTTTGTGCCGTTCCCTGGACACGGCCCATGGCTGCCCCTGCAGCTTGTGGGGGACCTATGGGTTGAGGATTGGCCGGAACTCCACCAATAGCTGAAAGCGTGGAACCCATGGAAGTAACAGCTGCGGACAAGCTGTTGCGCCGGTAGTGTGTTACTAATGAAGATGCAGACAGCAGTATAATATCAGCGGCATCCTAGCGTGTATTTGTATTTATTGTGTGACGGGGAGCGTCTTTTTATGATGTGACACGGCAAGGCGGCATACGGGATACACGAGGGTTACCCCAAAGCCCGGCATATAGTAATCCCCACGCAGGCGACCGCTCGTGGCTCGCAATCCAGGATTTTATTTACTATCTTCATGCTGTTTGTAGGTCCAGCTGTATCTGGTTCTCTGCCGCTTGGGCACTTGTACAGACAATACCCTGTGGGGCCCGCGTGATGTTCTGCTATGCATGGTCGCCACTGGTACCACTGACACTGTTAACCTCACTAGCGACGGTGCTTCACCGTGCATGCACCTAGGTCAATGCCGTCTATCATTGTATGCCGCATTCCACAGCGGCGCTATGCTTCCTAAGGAGGCCAGCACTCATCAACGTGTGCTACTACGCGTTCCAAGCCTTGCTATTGGCTACTTGCACGCGGTTGCAAGTAGCGATTAATGTGTACACCTAGCCTGACCTAGCTTGCTATTAAGGACACTCCTCAAACCTCGTCACCTAATTCGTCACCTCACACTTCAATACGGTACACAATTTCTCTCCAACAAACGCCATGCCATCACGCCTGGTGCTTGCTGTTGCCGAGATGCGTCTTCAGTTGGCCAAGGAGCTTGTTGTAGAATGTGGGTCGCACGCCAGCTGCCACAGAAACTGTCACAGTGTTACCCGGCGGTTGTCCTGGGCCTCCTTGCTCCTCATCAGCTCCTCGCTTGACCTTCACGGGCTCCGAGTGTCTCCCCACGGGTGCGATAATGATGGTGTAGACCTGATACCCCACATTCGCGAGGATCGCAAGGCTGCCCGCTACAGTGAACATCAACACAAAGCAGGTGCCGTAGTACCGGGGCCCTGCGTGGGGGACAGGGGGACAGCCCAGCAAACCAATATAGGTTAAATAGTTGTAGGGCGAAGCGGACACCACAACGTGCATGCAGTCAACCTCCGACAGGAGTTCGGGCTCTGACCACCACCCTTTACCATAGAGCATGATTGGAGCAGCTGAAACACGTGCGACCCAATGGCACCCAACCGCCGACCCACGGGTCCTCAAGCAAAACTTACTGTCAAAGTAGTTCCAAGCTTGCACCTTGGCTACAATATTGCTTCCTTTGTTGTTGATGATGACTAAGCAGACATCGTCCGGAAAAACCAGCCCAAACACGCGTATGTCACATGTCTTCTTGCCGCTACATGAAGAATCTGGGGAAGGCGCAGGCAAGGGCAAGACACGTTCGACAGCTGACGCCTCATGGCAAATGTGAAGAAGGTTACTGGGCCGAACTGAGCATCCACCGGTACGGCTTCGCGTCTACAATCCCCCTCACCATCCAAACAGCGGGTACCCATCGCCGCCAACACACGCCTTTAGCTTAGCTTTTATGCCTTAAACACGTACCTGGTACCGTCAGGCACCTGTCCCCAACCCAAGTCACGTTGTTCAATGCGCAACCCTGCAAGGAAAACAGCAGTGATGTTACTGCAGGGGTCGTTAAGAAAACCAGCCGACATGGCATACTGTACAGTGACCCGCCGCTTATAAACAGCATGTGCTTATGAAGCAGCTCCCACCTCCTGAGCCGCCTTAGCCTTGAAACTCAAGAAGGACCACTAGACACGACACGCGCATCAGCGCATGCACACCTTCCCGCCCTCAACCTGGCCGACGCACCACGACCCAATGGCCACATATCGTTTGCAGCCCGCATCCTTACCTCAACCTGCTCGCGCCGCATGAGGAACATGTTGGTCAGGTTGGCCGTGCTGCTGGTGCTAGTCACGGTGTACTGCGTGCGGTGCGTAGACATGAAGCCACACCAGTACCACATGCTGCGAGCTTCTATTGTCTGGTTGACCGGGACGCACACACCGGGAACTGCGGGGAAAGAGATTGGCGTATGCATCCACATGTTGGGTAGTTTCCGGTAGCAGGGTTTGCCAGGATAAGCCGTTCTCTGACGAGCCCCGGCTGCTTTCATGAACGAATACATCTCCGACCCCCTTTCATTCCCCTTTGGTATGCCCTCTCCGGTAGCCACCACCAGCGCTAGAGCAATTCATCGTCTGAACGGATATCGGTGCAAGGCATGGACATTAGTGTGTTGCGGATCGACCCACCGTTGCAAACCGAGGAGGGCCGGTCATGACTCTGAACAAGAGATGACTGCACTGCTTTGGTAAGGTTATATTTCTGTCCGTCAGTTGTCCTGCGCATGGCCGCCGACGTCGTAAGCACAGGTGTTGGTGATCACACCATAGTTAACGAACAGCATATTCACCTACCCTAACAAAAGCAAGACGACTATCGCAAATAACCCGTGCAACTGCATGGCCATGAGGAATCCTCCCAACTGTAACTCCAATACAAAGAAGGGTAAGGCGTTATATTATATTACTATACTAATATTCTTCATTACTAGCAGGCAGCGATCGGGTTGCTATAGATGCTGGCGTACGGTAGGCTTTAATTGCAAACACGGCAGGGGCTTCAAGTTGAACTCAGCGGCGCAAAGCAATTCACAGTCATCGTTCACACTGTGCGCTTTGCTCTGATCACTTTGTGTCATTTTGTTGTTTCTTTCGCGCCAAGCCAGATAGTTTGTACGCAATGGACTTTCTTGCCTCAGTATAAGCGGGCGCTAGTATGGTGACGACACGCGGACACAATTCTGGCGGCGGGCGTTCACAGGCATGTAGAACAATGGCACTTACAGTCAGGTCCTTTGCCGGCGAAGGCGACCATCGCTTAAGTGCCATCCCGTCGCGAGTCTCCCCTGACCTGTTGACAGTTTCCTGTTTCATTAACATCACGTGCACCAGTTGCACTCTCTCCATGACTAGAAGACGCCTTCCGTCTTACTTTGGTCTCTTATCACCGCACCGCTCGTACTTGCGTGCAGTCTCCGAGAGTTGCCAGCCAACGACCCTCGCGTCTCGCGGCGGCGACTTTTGCCAGGCGCGTCACGGACGTGGACGAAATGGACGATGACACAAACGATGATTTCATCGAAAGCGATGACACCGACGATGATGATGACTATGGCAGGAAGCCCCGTAAATCCCGTCAGGTACGGCAAAGGATGCACTCAGAGCGTGGACCGACCTCGCGTTGGGTGGTATCCAACGATGCGACAGAACACCCAGGTTCCTCTGAGAGCAATCTACCACCCGTCGTGTAGCGATTGCATGGCTCGGAACAGCATGTAGCCCTTGTATGTGTACGGCGCCACTTAGTCATATGGTGCTACGGTGCTACTGCCTGCACGGTTTTAGTCATATCCTGAGCTTCCTGCCCCGCTTGACACGCGAAATCACCCCTCGTCGCCTGCATTCTCTTCATCAATCCACAGCATGCAAAGCTTCCAAGTAAGCGTGGCGTCTCCAAACCTCTGCACAAGAAGAGCATGGAGGTGAGTTGGCGTGCAAGCAAAGCTGTCGCTCGTGTGCCGGCAGCCCATTATCCCACTAAAGACAAGGATGCCGCTATTTCGCCTGCTCTTCCAAGCCACACCGAGCTCCATGCAGCATCGCCCGCATGCCCCGTCCTCGCTTGCCGTACCCATACCCATATCACCCTCACAGCCAAAGCTTTTCCCTTAACCTTCCACGCTGTGACCTAGATGGCTGGCGTCCGGCGCAGCTCCCGTCTATCAGCACCTGCAGCCCTGGTGCCAGCTCTGGGCAGCGAGCGGGCGGCCGGCGGCGCCGGCAGCATGGAGGAGGATGCCATGGGCGAAGCGAACGGCGCGGTAGAGGCGGAGGCCGCTGGAGCAGGAGCAGCAGACCGTGGCAACGCGAGCAGCAGCAGCAGCGGTGACACCAGCAGTAGCAGCGGCAGCAGCAGCAGCGACTCGGGCAGTGACAGCTCCGCCTCTGAAGACGATGAGGGCGGCGGAGCGGGTGCTGGCAAGGCGGTAAGAGGGGGCAACGTGGCGGATGCGGGGGGTCGCGGCGAGGGCGGCGGTCAGGAGGAGGAAGGAGATGAGGAGGAGGAAGGGGAGGATGACGGCGGCGTGTGGAAGGGGCGCTATCACCTACGAGGGCAGCAAGTCAACCAATTGAGAGCGCACCCCGCAAAGCGGCCTCGCTACTCGGAAGACGACCGGGATCGCCGTCATGGAGCCCATCATGAAGACGAGGAGGAGGAGGAGGACGAGGAGGAGGATGACGGAGAGGAAGGGGATGCGGAGGAGGAGGAGGACGGCGGCGGCAAGAGCCGTCGGCTTAGAAGCCACGGAAAGGGCCGGGGCTCCGCCGGCGGCGGAAGTAAGAAGGGTGGGCGCGGCCGCAAGGGCAAGGAGCCGGCAGGGGCGCCTTACACGCTGCGGGACCGCAGCCGGCTGGTGCCTATCACGGTGCAGGAGCAGCAACGTCAGCAGGAGGAGTTGAAGAAGGAGATGCTGTGAGTGCTGCACATGTGCTGGCGTTTCATGGAAAGGGGGTTGGTCCTGGAGCGTGCACCCGACCCGCGAATGTGGATTGTCTACTTCGCACGCCTGCCTCACGGCGCGCCTCATAACTGTGTAAGAAAATCTGTTAGGATTTTTCGGTAAGAAATAAAAAACTTGCCCTGTTTCGCTTTCCGGCAGGGCTCGCAAACGCAATCGGGAGAGGTCTCGGAGCCATGGGGGCGGCGGCGGCGGCAAGCATGGCAACGGGGGCGGCGGCGCTGCCGGCGGAGGCGGAGGCGGCCACCGGCGTCACGGCGGCGGCGGCTGGCGTGACGGCATGTCGGACGATGAGGTGGCGGACATTGAGGGCACTGGCGGCGGCAACTCCTGGCGCAACGTGCACCAAGCCATGGGGCAGAGTGAGTCGTGTGTGGGCTGATGGCAAGCATGATGGGCGCAGGGGCATGGAGGGCACGGCTCATACGCCTAGGCAGGTCTCTGCCAGACAACCATGGGAGCTCGCAGCATGCGCGCTTATACACCCTATAACCACAGTCATGACGCATCCAACTGCCATCTGAAACACTCCCCACCTTTCCAAGCCCCGCTCCGCTCACCTCACCGTTACGGCGTTACCATCACCTTCCCGCCCTTCCTGCAGTGGCTCCCTGGCTGCAGGCCCCGCCCAACACCCCCATCCCCGGCCAGCCTGGCCACCACGCCACCGCACATGGCGGGGCGCAACAGGTCGTTCCCAACAGTGCCGTACATCTGCCTGCTGCCGGCGGTGGCGGCGGCGGTGGCAACCTCGGAGCAGGGGGCTACGCCGCGCACCCGCCGGGGCCCGGCGGCGATGGGGCCGGTGGGGGCGGCGCCGGGGAACTGCCGCTGGCTCCGTGGGAGCAGGCGTTGCTGGCGGATGCGGCGGCGCTGGCGGCAGGCGGCGGAGGCGCCAAGGAGAAGGCCGGGAATGCGGAGATCAATCCAGTAGCGGTGAGCGACGGAGGGAGGGGCGAACCCGCGGAAGAGGGTTACTACGGGTTAGCACATGCTTGGTGTGGGCGCCTGCCTTGTCTCAGTAACGCATGCGTTACGGCCGCACTCTGTCCAAAGCCTACGCCCTGACCTCGTAGTATTCTCATATCCCCCAGACTAAGCCTGTGTATCCACCTGCCTACCCACCTTTCTGCCCGCCTGCCCGCCCGCCTGCCTCCTGCAGGTTGACCCCAGTGTGGGTTTCGACCAGGTGGGTGGTCTGGACGCCTACATCGACGCGCTGAAGGAGATGGTGTTCCTGCCGCTGGTCTACCCGGAGCTCTTCACGCGCTTCAACGTGCAGCCGCCCCGGGGCGTGCTCTTCTACGGGCCGCCTGGCACGGGTGAGTGCGGGCTGGTGCTGTGCGGGTGCTGCTGCGGGTGCTGCTGCTGCTGCTGCTGAGGAGGAGGAGGAGGAGGATGTTGTCCGAGAGAAAGGATCAGCTCCTGGCTGTTTTTCAATGGAACAGAATTGGTAGTAACGTCATGAAGCGTTTTAACGCTTGCGTCCGTACCCCGCCTCCATGCGGCTTTGGAAGCTCCGGGTTTACATGCTGTGTTCCCTCCCTGCTGTTTGTGCTGTTCCTGACCGGTATCCGGCGGTATCCGGTGCCAGGTAAGACGCTGGTGGCCCGAGCACTGGCCAGCCACGCCTCCCGCTACGGCGGCCGCAAGGTGTCGTTCTACATGCGCAAAGGGGCCGACGTGCTCAGCAAGTGGGTGGGCGAGGCGGAGCGGCAGCTGCGGCTGCTGTTTGAGGAGGCGCAACGCAACGCGCCCGCCATCATCTTCTTTGATGAGATTGACGGCTTGGCGCCGGTGAGGGGGTGGAGGAGGCGGTGGGGGGTCGCGGGCCGGGCTCTGGGACTTGCTGGCGGTGGGATGAAGCGGATTGATCAGGGTGCGGGAGAGGTGCGGGATTGAGTAAACCTGGCGCTGGACGGTTGCGAGCATCCTCCCGCCGCCTCCCATGTGCGGTATGAACCACCCACCTGCCCGTCCATCCATGCATCCACCCACCCATGCATGCACATCCGCGCAGGTCCGCAGCAGCCGGCAGGACCAGATCCACAACTCCATTGTGTCGACCCTGCTGGCCCTCATGGACGGACTGGACAGCCGGGGGCAGGTGGTGGTGATTGGCGCCACCAACCGCCCGGATGCACTGGACGGGGCGTTGCGGCGGCCGGGCAGGTTCGACCGGGAGCTGCTATTCCCGCTGCCGGGGCTGCAGGTGTGTTGTGCAGCGGGGGCGATGCGGTTGGGATGCTGGCCGTTGAAGATGATGTTGCTGACAGCAGAAAGTGACACTGACCATAAAGCGGGAAGTGGAAAGCGGGTTGGGGTGTGGATAGGGGAGGAAAGCGGGTACATGGAGACGTGGAACGAAGAGGATGCATGGAGACGTGGAATGAAGTCCGACCTCTGCGTGTCCTATGCGAAATGCGAGCTGTGCTCCTGTGTGTTGGCTTGTCCGGCTCTCCTTTTCCCCTTCCTCGCAGGCTCGTCGCTCCATCCTGCAGATCCACACCCGCAAGTGGTCCGAGCCGCCCAGCCCCCCGCTGCTAGATGAGCTGGCGGGGCTGTGTGTGGGCTACTGCGGGGCCGACCTGAAGGCCGTGTGTGCGGAGGCGGCCCTGCACGCCGTGCGCAGAAGGTGCGCCTTTTCCCGGGGTGTGCTGCCGGCTTACAACCCTACTGCCCTTTGGAAAGTGATGACGTCCGCCTTGCATGCCCACGCCTCTCGAGGCTGCCATCCATCTTGCCACGACTGCTGCCTCCCATGCGCACCCTCCACGCTTCCCTCCACGCCTCCCCTCCACGCAGGTACCCGCAGATCTACGCCTCCGAGGACAAGCTGCTGGTGGAGCCCTCCGCAGTCACTGTTGAGCGACAGGACTTCCTGGCCGCAATCGCAGCCATCACCCCCGCATCCAACCGCTCCGCAGCCGCACATGCACGACCCCTGCCGGGCGGCGCCGCGGGGCCCTGTTTGGCGCCCCGCCTCGCAGCCCTGCTGGGGCACCTGCAGCGCAACTTCCCACCGGCCGCACAGTGCCTGGCGGCGGGAGCCGCTAGGGAGGGTGGCAGCGGTGGTGGCGGCGGCTCCGCCGCCGCCGCCGCAGCGCCGTCCACGGCGCTGATACTCCCACCCGGCAGGGCGGGGCCTGGCGGCGGCGGAGCCGCCGCTGCCGCAGCCGTAGGCGGCGGCAGCAGCAGCAGCCAGAGCTCGCTGCTGTCCCGCTTGCCTTCCTTCCTGGTTGCGCGGCCGCGGCTGCTGCTGTGCGGCCCGGCGGGGTGCGGGCAGTCGCAGCTGGCGGCGGCGCTGCTGTACGCGCTGGAGGGGCTGCCGGCACACGCCATCGGGCTGCCGGCGCTGCTGGCGAACCCGGGCGCTAGGTCGCCGGAGGAGGCGCTGGTGTGGGCCTTTGTGGAGGCACGCAGGTGGGGGAAGGGGGCATGAAGGGGGGCGGTGCGATGGGGTACGTCGACTGCCTTTGGTTGACTACCCAGGGGTGGGGGTGTCCTGTTAAGTCTTGCATGCCTCGGTCTCACCTGCCCCCCATGCCGCCCCGCCAGGTCCGCCCCCGCCATCCTCTTCTTGCCGCACCTGCACCTCTGGTGGCAGACCGCGCCGCCGCAGCTGCGAGCCACGCTGGTGATGTTGCTGCGCGACCTGCCGCCCGACCTGCCGCTGCTGCTGCTGGCCACGGCCGAGGTGCCGTACGGCCATTTGGATCCGGAATTACGGCAGCGGGTGTTCCAGGGTGCGGACTGTGTGGTGGCACTGCAGCCGCCTGAGGAGCAGGCGCGGCGGGAGATGCTGCGGGTGAGCGAGCAAGCGGGGGCAAAATTCTTAACCGTGCATCCATCACCTCTAGTCTTCTATCCCGCTCCTTACTCCTCAACCCTTGCCCTATTAGCCCTAACCGTCCCCATGATCTGACCGGCTCTGCACTGCCTTTCCCTCTCCCCACAGGAACCCATCATGGCCGCCGCAGAGCCCGTGGACCCCGCCCTCCTCGCACTCGGCACCTCCGAAACCACCACCACCGGCACTGCCGCCACCTCTGCTGCGCCGCCTCTGCCCAAGGACCCCACCGTGGCTGCTGCACGGGAGGCGGAGGCCCGCGCCGCGCAGGAGCTAGCGGCCCGGCGGGCTTACGAGGAGGATCAAGCGGTGCTGCGGGCGTTGCGAATGACACTACGCGGGCTGACGCTGTCGTTGCTGAATGACAGGAGGTGGAAGCTGTTTTGGGCGCCTGCAGATGCGGCAGATGATCCGGAGTACTGGAGGGTGGTGAGTGGAGCGAGGGACGGGATGGGGCGAGAGTCGGGATGGGCCGAGAGTTGGGAGAGGACGGGAGTGCGCCACGTGCTGCTGCTGCCTGTCCTACCGGGTACCGGCCCTTGCCCGCTTCCCCCCAAGTCCTTACCTTCATGCCTTGCTCCCGCAGGTGAGCAACCCCATGGACCTGGCAACTGTGCTAGCCCGTGTGGACGGACGCCAGTACGCCACCGTCAGTCAGTACCTCGCAGACATTGCGCTCATCGTACAAGGCACCCGTGAATACTTTGGAGACACGGCACATGGCGTGCGCTACACCAGCCGTGCCGCCTCCCTGGCGGATGAGGCGGCGCACTTGGTACGGGTGCGGGTGCCCCTGGAGCTAGCCAAGCGCTGCGAAGATATTGCGGCGAAGGGTGGACCCGCGCCGCCGCCGCCGGGGCTCGAGCTGCCGGAGGAGCTGGCGGCGGCGAGGACGAAAGCGGCGGCGGCGGCAGCCGCCGCTGCGACGCGCAGCGCCGGCGGCGCCGCTGGGGCAGCCGGTGCGGCAGGTGGTGGCGGTGGTGGGCCAACGACGCGGCAGCGGGGAGGGCATGGCGGCAATGCGGACGCGGCGTGCTGCATCATGTTTGACGACCCTGAGGCGTTGTTGAGGAAGGTGGCGAGGCATGGGCCGCGGGAGAAGGAGCCGCAGCAGCAGCAGGGCTCGGCGGCGGGTCCGTCGGGGCTGGCGGGGTCGGGCCAGGTGGAGGTGAAAGAGCCGCAGGGGGCACAGCAGAAGCAGCAGGGCAGCGGCGCTGGCGGCGCCGGAGGGGCTGCAGTTACGGATGCGGCAGCAGGGGCAGCGGCGACGGGTGGTGGTGCGGAGGAGGATACGACGTCCCCTGTACGGCATGACACCAGACCCTCAACGGCTGCGTCAGCAGAAGGTACGGCGAATGGCAGTCAGGACGCTGCTGCTGCTTCCGGACCGAGTACGAATGGGCTGCTGCCTCCCATAGCGCCAGTTAGTGGGGCCGTCAGGAAGCACCACCGGCGGCAGTCAACGCCTGCGGTGGCATCAGCGGCTGCAGATGCCATGGAGGTGGACGCTGCTGCTGCTGCTGCAAGAACGTCTACTGGTGGTGGTGGTGCTGCTGCTGCTGCTGACGACGACGCTACAAGGCCGAGCCAGCAGCAACAGAGACGGTCACGACGCTCGATGGGCGCTTCCGCTGCTGGCACGTCTGGGGGCATTGCGATGGAAGTAGAGGGCGGAGCCCGGGAACAAGGGCAACAGGCAGGGCGGCAGCAGCAGCAGTCGCAACAGCAGGAGGGCTCAGAGGGGCAGCAGCAGGAGGCGACGGCGCAAGACGCCGTCGATGAGGAGGCTCTACGGCAAGCGGAGGCCTTGCTGGATCGCATGGTGGAGTGTACGGCAGGGTGGTCGTTGGAATCTCTAGAAATGCTGTACGGCCGGGCGGCGGCGGTTGTGGTGGAGCATGTCCGTACATGCGACAGGCGGCAGGTGGTTGCGGCGTTGGAAGAGGCAGTTGCTGGTGTTGTAGCTGGTGCCGGGAGAGTGAACGGGGCGGGCGAGCGGTGAATCCGGACCAGGGCTGGGATGTGCTACCGGTAGGGGCGTGCTACCTCCTCTGGGACTTCCATGTTGTGTCCGGACTAGAGGTCAGGGGGGGCCACCTGGTTGCCTGGCAGGTTCCGCGGTGCTGTGCGGCGGTGTCAGGTGGGTGTTGTGTGCGGTTTGTGGTGGCTTGGAGGGCCTTGATGTAGATGGGTTAGCGCGAGCGCTCTTGTGCTTGCTAGTTGCTACCCTTCTAGCTGCAGTGGCCGCGATGCAGTACCTGCTTTTGCCAGCGGTGGTGGCTTTCCCTTTGGGAGTTCGCATTCCTGCTCCGCTTCCTGCATTCCTTCGACAGGCTCGGACACAGACATGTAGGATTGGGAGACCTTTATTCAATAACCTGACGTCCATGTCTCGTGGAACATGTATATTGAAATGGGGCTCGGGATACCAGCCCATCCATTGCTTGTGCTTGTGCTTGTACACGATGTCACTGATCTCCTCGGGCGGGCCTTTGGGGTGTAGGAAACGCATGCACGGAACCGCCTAGCGTCATACGTTTCCCCTGTTAGCAAGGGGAATGGCCCCAGTGAAAGGTATATCCCACCATACTAATAGTGCCTGAATTGTTAGCGGACCAAAGCTGCTGCTGTGGATCAGGGGCCCGCGGGGCCTTACACGCCATGGGACATTTAGGCTGAGCCGGCGGGTGCTGTGTTGCGTGAAAAGACAGCACAGAGGTTGTGGCGGAGGATTTAGCAGCTGAAACGCGCCTTGCATGGTTACGTATGGGCACCGTAGTCCCATAGCTTTGATGCCGTCGTACAAAGTACACAGAACCTACGCAAAGGTGTGTCGGTTGGTTGGCGCCGGTATACGCGAGTAGCCATGCGCATCAGTCAAGTACTTAAGCGTACAGGCAGTGACAACGGAGCAAGCGCATTGGGTGGCTGAGGGAAGTAGGTTGTGCGCAAGCTGGGCGTATCTTAACCGCTGAACTGCAGCCTAGCAAATCTTTCCATGAAGTACTCACCCTGACAAGCATTGCTAGCATGGGTACTGTACATAATGTTGTAACCTATCGCACCGTGTTCCTAATTGTACGTCCGGTGGTGTAGCAACCGTACAACACCTCCACGCGGATCCACACGAAGTACCAGGATGCCATCGTTAACATGATAGGTTGACGTAAAATGCAAGCACTGGTGCATGATAATGTTCAGGCAGCTCAAGATCGCGACAGCCGCTTATGGCCTTTCGGATAGTTACTGGTTACCACAATCGCTCATGGCACGCACACTTTGAGAGAACAATGACCTATTAGCGCTTCATATTTACTGGCAATAAACTATGGAGTCTGACGTTTCGGGCCTTGGTTCACGAGTGGTCCTTAAGACGGTCAGCCGAATGCCAAGGACATTCGTCAACCATCTTTACGCTGTAGACTGGGCTATTGGAGGATGGGTCAGGTATTCAGTTTTGCCCTACAAGCCAACATCGTCTGTCGCGGTGTCGCCATTCGCTCTTAGCCGTCTGCGCCTATCCTTCGCAGCTTGGGGACAATATCATATGCAGCATGTGCGGCGTACCTTTACAAGCAGCCAGGAACTGCGGAGCCAAGCGAGGCGCCTCCTGAACAGGTGTGGCATACATCACACCTCACGCTTCGTCCCCTTAGCTTGTAGGGCTGTCCCCGGTCCCCGAACCCCACTGCAGCGCTCCATCATTAAGATATGAACACACCCTAGCCCGCTTTCTGCGGTACTCCAATTTAATATGCGCTGTCGTGCCCCAACCCTATTTCAAACGTCCACAGGTTACTGCTGTCTACGCCATGTGCACGGTAGGGGATCCCTACAGCTTACTGTGCCGTGCTGGTGACGGGGTTGGGCCTGGGGTACTGGTATAGAGTGTACGGCAAGAGGGTATGCGATGTACAACAAGGAGCGCTTCGCGAGACCTCATGCTAGTCGTACGACCTTTGCCTGGGCATACCTCCCTTCTGTGCCAGGTGATGTTTGCAGCTTTGCATGGCGGTCAGGTATTGCGACATGACTGTCCTGATACCTCCCTGGTTCCCTACTGCTTGCTGACTAATGCTGAACTGCGAGTACCCTTCACACCTCCATGGTTCCCTACTGCTTGCTGACTTATGCTGAACTGCGAGTACCCTTCACACCTCCATGCATCATCCTGACCCGCCGCCCAGGCCGCCTTCGGAGCCGTGTTGCTATTGAACCTGATGAATCTGGGGGTACGACAGCACCTCCTGCCCTTCAAGGTACGACAGCGCCGTACACGCTTGCAGTTGCTAATGTACGGCACACCGCACACGCATACACACTGAAACATGCGCCGTCACTCGTCACCCGTCACTTTTCTTACATCCAGCAACAGCTTTTTCAGTAGTTTTGAATTACGGTTCAGGTTTGGTCACCGCTGTCTTGCCTGTACTCGCGGTTCACATGCGAACCTCTCCCAATTGCTTGCTCTTGTCCTACTCAACTACACACTGAAACTGTAGCCGAAACAATAGCTGCTGCTGCGGCTCTTAAGCGCGCACATCCCTCTCTCTCGCGCGCGCGCAATCTCCGACAGCACGACTGTCCCTCTCCTTCGTCCCTTTGCAATACCTCCTCCTGCCGCACCCCTTGGCACGCACCGTAAACCGTCGCCATGCATCCGCTCCTCACAATTCCTGCCCCCTCCGACTTCTTCACACCTCCATTCTCCTCTTTGCCTTCCTCCTTACCCCTCCTCCTCTCCTCCTCCTCCTCCCGGGATGCAACAGTGTAACCTGCTCCTCCTCTTCATCAACAGCATCGCCTTTGTCACCGACCTGCTGCTCTGGCTGGGTGCCACTCGTCTGGCCTCCTCCTCCGCGGGTGGGGGGCGGGTGTTCGCGCCGCTGCGCTACCTTCAGTGGTGTCACTCCACCCCCACCATGATATACATGCTGGGACTGCTGGCGGAGTGCAGCGGGAGGCAGGTGGGGTGCGAGGGGGGAGGAGGTGGGGGGCAGGGAGATGGGAGAGTTGGGCTTACCTGGGAACTCTTCACTTGGGCTTATCCTCTTTCCCCCTGCCTCTCCTTTCCTCTCGGCTCAGTTTACCTATAATCCCTCTCCCCGCCTCTCCGTGCCTCTCTCTGCCTCACCCTGCCTCTCTTGTGGTTTTGGTATTCTCCGTCACTGTTCACTGGTACTCTCCCTCCCTCCCTCCCTCCCTCCCTCTCCCCCGCCCCCGCCCCCTCCCAGCTGGTGGTGCCACTGCTGAGCGACCTGCTCATGGTGCTCACCGGCCTGGCTGCATGCTACACGCGGGGGCCGCTCAAGGCAGCAGCCACACTCGCCTCCTTCGGCACCTTCGCGGTCGTACTGCACTACGTGTACGGCATGTTCCAAAAGTAAGTAGCAGGTGTACGACACCTGTTATCGTCTTGTGTTATCTCATTCCCATCCCCCCCCCATCATCCTCAAGTGATCCTAAGTGATGTATGTGTTTTATGTCCCTGTCGCAAGCCGCGTGCTCGGGCGGAGAGCTGTGCCTGTTGCCTGGCCATCTTGAGCCCCGTGTGCTGCTCGTCACTCTTCCCACTTCCCTCACCCACCCCTCCATTGCGCTCCCCCCCCTGCCTCTACCCCCCCAGAACCATCTCCAGCGATGACTTCCCACGCGAGCAGCGCACCACCCTCCGCACCGTTCTCGCCCTGCTGCTCGCCCTCTGGAGCGCCTTCCCCCTCGTCTGGCTGGCCTCAGAAGCCCAGCTGCTCTCCCCGCTGGGGGAAGCCGTGTGCTGGGCGGTGTGCGACTACCTGGCCAAAGCCGTGTTCAGCAGCCAGCTCTGGCAGAGCAACTTGGCGGGGGTGCAGCTGCGGAGGGATGCGGCGCTGGAGGCGTGGGAGGCGAGCAACCGGCGGGAGGCGGTGGCGCGGCTGACGGCGCTGGTGGCGCAGCGGGACGAGCTGTTGAGCACTCTGAGCCATGAGCTGAGGACGCCGCTGGCGGGGATTGTGGGTGAGAGATGGAAACGAAGGGGCGTTGGGGGGGCAGGGTGCGGAGGAGCGTAGGGGTAAGGATTGTAAGGGTAAGGGTGACGAATTGTCGCAGCTCATTGCACCCCTCATCGGTCCAACATCACCACCTTCCCGTTTCCTCTCCGCCCTCCCTTCCGCAGCCCTGACCGGCTCCCTGTCTCAAGAGGTGTCCTCGCTGCTCCCCGCCGCCGGCCGCACCCTAGCCGCCCTGCGAGCCACCGCCACTTGCATGCTCCACATCGTCACAGCCACCCTGGACAGCTTCGCGCCCGGCGCCTCCTCCTCCTCCGCATCCTGCTCGGGGACGGGACCGGGTCTGGGCTTGGGCCGGAAGAGCGGCCGTAGCAGCAGGGAGTACGACAATTTTGATGTGAACGACCCCATGGGTGCTTCCCGTGCGGGCAGCATTACCCCCTCAACACCCACCGCAGCAGCAGCAGCAGCAGCAGCAGCCCCGTTGCTGGGAGTAGCAGCAGTCAGGAATGCTGGGAGTGGCGGCGCTGTTGCCGCCGCGGCTGCCTCCCCCACCGCGCCGTTGGGCTGTGTGGATCTGGGCCCGCTTGTTGAGACGGTGACGAGTGTGCTGCAGCCGCTGGCGCACGACGGGGTGGCGGTGGTGAGCGAGCTGCCGGAGCAGCTGCCGAGGGTGCGGGGGGACGCCACAAGGCTGAGCCAGGTGGGTGGGGGTGGGCGGGTGAGGGCACCCCAGGTGGGGTGGAAAAGGTTGTAGTTGCCTGCCTGCGAAACATGCGGTTGGGAGGGAGCGCTGGGTCCTGGGTACCTCTGTGGTCTGTACACGTGTGCACCTCTGCAGCTCTGGACTGCCATGGGGCTATCGCGTACGATATCTCTAATGGCTTGACGCCGCATGCAGCCGCAGGCGCAGCCCTGGTCTGTGCGTTGTAATACTGGAAGACTGGGCAGGAGTGCAATACGGGCTGTAGCACACCGCTCCCCCCCTGCCGCCCCATCTTTAGCCCCACCGCTTCCCCCTCCTCCTCCTCCTCCTCCTTGTCATCCCGCTGCTGTACGGCAGGTGTTGTACAACCTGGTGGGGAACGCCATGCGCTTTACCTCCCAGGGTGAGGTGCGGGTGGTGGTGCGGGTGCTGCCGCCGGAGGGGACTGCGGCTGCTACTGCTGCTGTTTCTCCTGCAGCGGGGACGCCCAACGGGGCCACAGGCCACGTGGCAGCCCGAGGGGCACCCAACGGACCCTCCTCGTCCTCTCCACCACCACCATTGATGGCAGGAGATCCGGCTTTGGCAGCGGCAACGACAGCCGCCCCTTCCTCCTCCTCTCCCTCCTCCTCCTCCTCCTCCTGCTGCTGCTGTTGGCCCCCGGGTACTCAGGTGGAGGTGGCGGTGGAGGACACGGGTATCGGCATCCCGCAGGACCTCCTGGACGACATGTTCCTGCCCTACCGCACCGCCCGAAACAGCCCCACCTCTGCTGCCTCCTCCTCCACCTCCGCTGCCTCCTCCTCCGCCGCCGCTGCAGCCTCACGTCACCTGGCGGGTGCAGCAGCCTCCTCCGCCTCCGGCGGCGGTCCCTCCCGGGCTTCCATGGGAGGTACGGGGCTGGGGCTGTACCTGGTGCGGCTGGCGCTGCGGGCGCAGGGCTCGGATGTGACGGCGGAGTCGGCGCCTGGAGTGGGCTCGGTGTTTCGGTTCAGGTTGGCCGCCGTTGTGCAGGATGAGGATGAGGAGCAGGAGGGGCAGAAGAAGGTGGAGGGGGTGCAGGAGGGACAGAAGCGGGATGGGGGCGCCGCGGCGGCGGTCAGTATTGCAGCCACAGCAGAGCCCACCCTGGCCGGAAGCAACAGATCAAGCATGCAACAGCAGCAGCAGCAGTCAGTGAGGGCCCCCACGGGTGCTCCATGCAACGGAGGAGGAGGAGCCGCCCCAACAGCAACACCACCACCAGCAGCACCGTCTTCAGCAACGGATGTCAGTCCAAGCACCTCTCAAGTATCGTCGGCACCAGCAGCAACGACCGGGTCATTAAAAAATGCTCCCCCAACCTCCCCTCTCACCTCCTCAAGCCCAGCCTCAACTCCAGCCGCCCTCAGCGCCGGCAACTCCACCTGCTCGCGTAGCACAGCTCAGTCCTCGCTCGGCAGTACGGGTACGGCCACCGCCTCCGCCTCCGCCGCTGCTAAACAGGCTGAGAAGAAGGGCGGGGCAGTGGCCGCAACAACCGCCAGTGGGCCCTCGCCTGGTAGTGGAGCTATTGCAACCCCCCAAGCGGCAGCGGGGCTGCAGGAGCGGCTGCTTGCTGGTCTGGGCTCGGTGCAGCCGGGCATCTTGAGTGCGCAGAACTACCGACACCGTAACAACGGCACGCTGCAGGTAGGCAACCGCCGTGACGACCAAGCATGCAACTCATGGTGTCCCCTTGTGACGTGGTTCGTTTTTTCCTCTTTACTCCCCCACCTACCTCCAATGGGCACTGCACGGCTGCTTCTTTCTCCCACCACCTCCATCCCACGCAGGTTCTGTCCGTGGACGACGACCCAATCAATCAGCTGGTAGCCGGCCAGATGCTGGCCAGCCAGTCATGGAAGGTGGTCAAGGCAATGAACGGACCCGAGGCACTCACCCGACTGCACCTGCCGCACCTGGCTCACCTGCCTCCATCCAACACACCCTCCGGAGACGTCACCGCCGCCGCCACCGCCACCGCTGCTGCTGCTGCTGCCGTGTCCTCTAAGCCTCCCTCATCCGCCGCCGCCACATCAGCAACCCTCCCTGCCGCATCGGCATCCTCCACGTCAGGGATCAATGTGGCAGCTATCTCCGCGGCATGCGTTGAGACCTCCGCCGCAGCGTTGTCAGCGGTGGTAGCCTCGGCCGGGCTGCCGCTGGTGCTGCCGGAGGGCTGCCTGCTGCCTGATTGCGTGCTACTAGACGTGATGATGCCTGGAATGAGTGGGTTTGATGTGTGTCGGCGGTTACGACAGTGCTACAGCCCCGCCGTACTGCCGGTTATAATCGTATCCGCCAAGGGTGATAGCGCGGCGGTGGAGGAGGCGTTTGATGCGGGTGCGGATGACTACATGACCAAGCCCTACAAGCGAAGTGAGATGGTCGCGAGGATTAGGGCGCAGATACGCATTCGGGATAGCTTGGCGGCTGCTGCGGCAGCTGCTGCGGCGAGTGCTGCTGCTGCTGCTGCTGCGGCGGCGGCGGCAATGCCGGTGCAGCGTGTTGATAACGACGGTACGGCACCACTGGCGGGTGAGTCTGGTGCCGCGGCGCCGTCGCCGTCGGCGCTTGGAAGATCGACAACAGCACTGTCGTGTTCCGCGAATGCTGGACCAGCGGCACCGCAGACAACAGACCAGCCTCCTGAGGCTCCCAGCGGCCTTACCACCAGCGGCGGCGTTGGCGGGGCTGATGGCAACGGCGGCGGTTCAACTCCTGAGCGCCACCCTTGCAGTGTTTGCAACGGCAGCGGCGCCATCTCGCACCACTGCGACGGCGACGCTGCTGCTGCCGCCGCCGCTTCGTCTTCAGAGCCTCCAGAACGCGGCCTCAAGAACCCCGAGCAGCGGATGGATGGCCTGACGTCGGCGACAGCAGCAGCAGCAAAGTCTAATAGCTTTGGGGCGCCGTCGTCGGGGCCGCATGCAGCAGCGCGGCCGCGTACAGGTTACGGCACGCAATCGGCTCGCGAGGAGCCCTGCGGGACACGGGGCGGGACTGGACTGGGTTTGAACAACGCTGCAGAGCCGACGGGTGGGGTGTCGGCGAGCGCTAGCGGCAGTCTCTCTGCACCGCTGACGAGGTTGCGGGTGTCAGCCGTTGACGCCGCTGCTATCACCGCTACTGCGGTTCCGTGCAGCGGCTGCGGTGGTGGCGGCGGTAGCAACAGTCAGAGATGTAGCCATGAAGATGTCAGCATGATGTCTCTCATGCGGGAGATCTTGGCAGAGGTACGACGCAGCCGCCTGCTGGAGGCTGACGTGGCAAAGCTGACGTCACGCGTCGGCGCGCTACAGGCCGCATGCGGCACGCTAGCAGCGGACCGAGACGGCTGGCGGCGGCAGGCTCGGGATCTGCGGGCTTTGCTGGCGGCGGGGGTCAACGGTGGCGCAGCGGGGCCGGCGGCGGTGGCGGCGGCCGCGGCGTTGCTGACGAGCCCTTCGCCGCCGCCCACTCATGCTGGCGTCAGGATGAATGGTGGATTATGTGTGGGAGGCGGAGGCGGTGGAATGGCGCTTGCTGATATGCTTGTGTCTACACATGCGAGCATGTCGAGTGCTGACTGCCTAGCGACAGGCGGTGGCGGCGGAGGTGGCGGTGCTGGCGGAGGTGGCGGTGCTGGCGGAGGTGGCGGAAGCAGCAGCGCAGGCGGCGGGAGTTTGGGGATGCAGCTCGAGGATCTGCGGCGTGAGACGGCGCACCTACGAAAGCAGCTGAGCTGTGCAATTGCAACTGCCCAAAGCAAGGGATGTGACGCCGTGACGGGCAATACCAGCAACAACAGCAACGGCAGCAACCGCAGCAGCAGCGTCGCGGGTGACAGCGATGCGCGGGAGCGGCCGCGGGTGCTGGCCGCCGTCAGGCCGGGCTCTCCGCTGGCCGGCGTCGGCGGCAGTGTCGGCGGCGAGGACACACCCTCCTCTGCAACGCAGGACATGCTTCTAATGGACGCGAGCTGCTTCTCAGCTGGCAGTTCCCAACCACAAAGACTGCTTAGCGCTATCGACGGAGGCGGTGGCGGCGCCAGCGGCGCCACGCCGGCGACGGCGGCATCTACGACCGATCAGGTGCCGCTAGCAACCCCGCCGTCCCTGTCGGTATCTGAAGCCCCCAATGAGGCGTCTCAGTCGTCTCAGCGCTCACAGACCAGAGCGCACCCCGACACCACTACTGACGCTGCTATCTCAGCTGGTTCCGCGGCGGCTGCGGGTGCCCAGGCACTTACCGCGGCCGCCGCTTCGCCGCCTCGCATTGTCTTTAACAGCAGCAACAGCGGCAACGAAAACCGCAGCCCCAGCCCCAGCACAACAGCCACCACCAATGGTACATCTGCTGCTGCTGTTGCCGTTGCACCGGCCGGGATGGTCCCGTTCCCAACAGAGGACCGGTCAGGCAGCCCACTGCAAGGACAGGAGCCGTCACTCCGACTCTCCAACTGTGACGTCACCGTCGCTTTCATCCCACAGATCGCCTCAGGGCCCCCACATCCCGCCGCCACCGCGTCCGCCGCCAGCGCCAGGGCTCCATCCACCTCCTCCGCCTCTCCAACTCCCTCGCCGCCGCCGCCTCCGACGCATGCGGCGGGGGGGCTGAAGAGCCCGCGCTTCGGATCTCGCTCCGGAGGCTCCGGGGGGCCGAGTGGCGGCATCTTAAGGCTGCTGTGTAGCAAGGGTGCTGCGGTGCAAGAACCGGAGTCCTGCGCGGGAGGCAGGGATACTTAAGGGGAGCTCGGATGGCGGTGGCGGCGGGGGGCGGAGCGGAGGCGGGGGTTTGCAGCCCTGATTGGTTGCAGCAGCAGCAGCAGTCTCGGGCGCTGCTGCCCACCGCCGCAGTCTTCTTAGCAAAGCTTGCTGGGTGAAAAGCAGGGCTGTTGGGTGAAGGGAAAGGGTTCATGAGGGGTTGTGGGTGTGTGCATGGAGAGTTGAGGTGCGGGTGGTGGATGTCAGGAAGAGAGCCCTACGTAGACGGCATGTGATTATTGTGGGAAGACTGGTAATCGTTGTGTGGAGAATGAGGAGGTATGGTTGCTGGCATGCTGAGAGACAGGGCTTGCGGGCGGTACGGTGCAGGTTCGGCACTCTGCAGGCCTCGGGTAGAGACGCGGTGTGTCGATGTGTAGAGACGCGGCGTGGTTTAGGGACCGATGCTTCATTGCTGCGCACTATTTGAAGCAGCTTGCAATTCTTGAATCCGGATTCAAATGGCAGGAGTGGCACGAAGTGGAAGGGCTAGAGGATTCATGTTTTTGTTTGGATTTAGTTTCCTTTAATAGGCGGTGTCTGCACGTCTGCAGGTCTATTGGGGCCTCTGTGTACAGCAGCCCTTGCTATGAACCTAAGCTGGGGTGATTACAAGATGCCGAACGTGTTTGATTGTGTTAACTCTTGAGGAGAAAGTGGTAGAGGGAGCGGCAGAGAAAGCGATAGACGTGCGACTCCTATGGCGGTTATGGGCTTGAGGCATCTTGAGTGTAAGAGGGGAGAGCCGTGGTAGGAGCGTCGGAGTCGATTGTCAGAAGGGTTTTTATTCTGTACGAAGCTCGTGTTGGTTCTATTAGTGGATTATTACGGTTTCCCGACGACGTTTGTGGCTATCTTGCCTTCATGTAAAAGGTGCGCTACCTTCCCGCTTTCGTCGTGAAAACGGAGTCTATGGACATACCGGTCATGCACATGAAGAGAAGGAATGCAGCAGGGCGCATCATGCACCGGTAACTTGAGCCATCAAACAACGCATGGGGCATTACAGCGTTCCTCGTTAGGCAACCCCTGGGCAACTCTCCTATGTACCGATGACCCGTAGCCTCCAAGGGTACGGCAATCCTTCTTGGCGTTTGTCGTACAACTGACATGGAGAGTCTCAGGTGCCTGCAGATTGGCAGCTCGCAGCGCGCGATTCTACGATGCAGCACTTGTCCAGCGACAACAATTTGTTTTGGGTCGCAACACCAAAAGCTAATAGCAAGTTAGGATATCGCACGTAACGGACCCATGGGTCGTCCAACCTACGGCCCGAAGATATATTATACCACTGCTCCCGCCGTTGATGCCTACTACATACTAAGCTAATATGACCCATGGGTCGTAATACTGAAACATGGATAAATGGTTCAATTGACAAAGCTTGGAATGCCTTCAGCCGCATTGCATAGCACGCTTGCATGGCCCCAAACCCAAACTACCCTAAACCATCCCAACGTGCAGCGACCTTCCCGTTGGAGTGACGCAGCGGCGTCTTGCTTTGCACCTGCCCTCTTAAATAACCCAATGCGCCTCACATTCACAACGTCAAGCAACAACGACGGGTACCACACAACAAACGACACAACAGACATACCGGTAACACAACAGCAACATGCAGAACACCCCAACACGCGTAACTTCGCTCGTCCTCACGCGCACCTCTCCGCTGCCTCAACCGTGACCCACCTGTCCCTCCTTCTCACCACTTCCTCCTTTTCCGTTCCCGTTTCCGTTTCCGTTCCCGTTGCAGCCGTTCCCGTTGCTGCCATCTGCGTAGCCATTGCCATTCCCATTGCCGTTGCCGCCATTCCCATTCCCATTCCCATTGCTTCCCTCCCAGCGGCTTCCATTTGCATTCCATGGGCCATGCCCAAGCCCTCCCATCCCCGCCGCCGCTGCTGCAGCCGCCGTGGCAGCCATGCCACCTCGCCCACCACCACCTCCTCCATTCCTACTACTACCAACCTCGCCACCACCACCACCACCACCACCTGCCGGTCGGATGTACTCCATCCTTAAGCCCTCCACACCCGATCCCCCCACTGGAACCTTCAACCGCACATCCCCCCGCACCTCCTGGAGGCCCCCTCCACGGCAGCTACCCCCCACGGTGTACTCCCCATTGCCGCCGGCCCCGTTGCTGCTGGCGGTGTTGCTGCTGGTGGTGTTGTGGACCCCACCTGCTCCGCATTTGCAGCTCCCGCCGCCGCACCGTGCTACCTGCTGCTGCCGTCGCTGCTGCAGGTCTGCCCTCCTCTCCAGAACGGATTCCGGATCCAGATCCAAATCCGCTGCGCTGCATGTGGCGGGATCAGCCAGGCAGGCCACCATGTCGCGCTGCGCCACCGCTGTTTGCGCGGAGAGGTGCAGGTCGGCGCAGATCTCGGGGAGAGGCAGGATGGAGAAGGGCTCCTCGATTTGAACACCAATGTCCTGATGTGGGTCGGGTTGGGTCGGGTCGGGTTGGGTTGGGTTGGGTCGGGTCGGGTTGGGTTGGGTCGGGTTGGGTTGGAGTTTGAGTGTGGGAAGGAGGGCACGGTAAGGAGAGAAGCCCGAAGAAAAGGAAGAAAGGACCGTTGCCTATTGCCGTTTCTTGGCATGTGTGCCGTACTGCGTGGCCCGCCTCCCTCCCTAGTCACTCAGCAGACCCTCCCACACGCACCCCCCCTGCTCCTAACCAGGGTTACCACACAGCTACTCTTTCCCTTCCTTATCCCCCTACTCCGCCCCACTCCCCATCCCCCCGCTCCTTATCCCCCCCTTCCCCCCACCTCGATCCCCAGCAGCAGGAACGACACCACCCCGGTCACCGGCACCGCCGCCCACTCGCACGAGTCGTACAGCGCCAGCGGTAGCGCGGTGAGGTAGATGAGCATGAAGCGGGAGGTGTGGCGCGTGTAGGTGAGCGGGATGGGGAAGCGCAGGATCTGGCGGGGGGAAGGGACGTGGAGGTTGTACAGTGTGTGGGAATGTTGTGTGAGGACGCTCCGCTGGGATCACTTTACAGGCTAGCACGAGAGTCCCTAATAGATTCTCCTGTTTCCTGTTTCCACTCCTTCCTCTTGTACCTCCGTCGCCTGCAACGACATGCACCCGGCCTCCGCCTAACACACCCCACTACCCACCAACCGCACACATTACCTCCTCTTAGCGCACCCATCCCAACCCATCCCCACTCATCCCACCTTTTCGCACTCGCATGCTGCCTGGTTGAGCCCGCTCAGCTCCCCCAGCAGCGCCGCCTCCCGCCCCGCCTCCAGCTGCGCAGCCCCCACAAGCGCCGTCAGCACGGACAGACAAAACTGGTGGTAGTGCGGACCCGCGGACAGAACCTGAGCGGAACGGAGCGGATCAGGACTTCAGGAGAGGAGTAGGGCTCGGAGCGGAGCGAAAGAGAGTAGAACGGAGCTGGCAGGAGAAGACCAGGGACAGGGAGCGATGATGGATAGGTAGGGAAGGAAGGAGCCAACGGTCATCGGGAGGGTTACCGGTACATAACGGTACCCCCACCACCACCTCCCCACCTGCTCCAGCTCATGCGGCCGCAGTACCGCCCCCAGCTCCTGCCGTACTGCCGCCTCCAGCGCTGTCGTACCGCTGTCGTACCGCAGCTCTAGCATGAGGCAGGCGGGGAAGGCGGCGGTCCAGCGAACCAGTCGGCGCAGGTGTGCGGGGTCGTGCACCCAGGCGGCTGCCTTGCGGACGAGGTCTGCGGCGGAGGTACGCAGCGTGCCCCAGGCGTCCATAGCAGCACACCTTTGCGGGTGGGAGGGAAGGAGAAAACCCAACATTGAATGAGAATGGCAAATAGGATGACAAGCTCCTGGTGAATGAAGTCGAGTTGTGCGTGAGGGGACTAAGAGGAGTGAGAGTGAGAGGATGGCTATGAGATTGACTGGAATGGAGGCGCCGTTGAAGGGAAGCGGGGGCTTATGTTTTCACCCCATTGTGATCATTGTGATCATTCCGTAAGATGGGAGCGGGGTGGCATGCTTTACAGCTGGTGCGGCTGACGGTTGGCCGATTGGTTGTTTGCTGCACCCCGTATGGACCTACCAGCGGCCGTAGCTGGCGTCCGTGCGGAAAACCAGCAGCAGGGAGAGCGCGAAGGAGGTGAGCTGGAAGGGCACATCGGTGAAGCGAATGCCCTGGGGGAAGGGAAGGGAAGGGGAGGGAAGCGGGGGAAGAGAGGACCGAACCAGACAAGCATAAAGCACGGTAACTTACGGCGGGTGGGTGCGGAGAAACCTTACGCCAACATGTTATGAAACCGCTCGGCCACCCTTAGCATCGTCCCCGTGGCTGGCTCCCACCCATCATGCCCCGCCGTTCTACTCGTTCGTCAGTTGTTGGTTGCACTGTCCATGTGCCGTACATGCCGTACCTGGAAGAGATCCGGTAGGCGCCCCGTGTCGACCAGGGTGCGGTACAGTACGACAGCGCATGACGTCAGCACGATGAAGCTCATGGGAGCCTGCAGGTTGTGGAAGGTGACGGACCTGCGAAGGAGAAAGTGGGGGTGTGACGCGCAGCGTAACGCAGGGAGTTAAGGGAGTAAAAGGCGTCGGGATCACGGGCACATGCACGGGGTTATGGATGGTGTCGAGGGAAGGAAGAGAGGTCCGGTCGGATTGATGCATTTCCCTTCACGCCCGTTCCCAGCTCCCTTTCCCTTCGCATTCTGGCCGTTCGGTCCTGCTTGTCTTCAAGTCGCAGCTAAAGGTGCGGTCAGCCTACCGTGCGCTCTCCCATCCACCAGTATTGCTACACATTTCCCTGACGACGCACCGGAATATAGAGAGCATATGACGAGCATATCTTCCCGTGTTCTGATGGTAAGCCCAGCGCGACCGGTTAAAGACGGAGCGTGTGCTCATGTCACGGCCAGAGACTTCGATGTCTTCAATAATGGGAGACTCCGCTCTGACACGCATGCGGCTTCTTCCTCTTACAACTTTTGTTACATCAGCAAGCTTGTGTACAAGCCTAAGAGGCCGAGCCGTTCTTGTGGATATCGTGCCCTGTCGCGGGGCTTCCATTCTGAATGCGAACATTCCCAGCCGACGCGACTCGCCCTGACGCCGCCGCGCCGGCTGATATTAATGATATCCTAGCTAACGTAAGGTGAAAGCGACGCCGCTACTGGTGCGCGTCACGTTAAGGAAGCAAGCGCCAACGGTTTGCTGTAGTTGCGCTTGCAAAGCCTTGCAGCAATTATCGCAAAACACCTGGTAACGCGCTAATGATGGCAGTAAATGTCCTATACTCGGGAAAAAATGTGGTGTGTTCAGGGGGGGGGTAGGAAGCGCAAAAATAGACCCCAACCCTCAAATTGAAGGCGCTTTGCGTCGGGACTCCAAATCTGCTTTCAGATTTCTTTTTGGAGTTGTACGGAAAAAGTTATGGGCTTGCAAAGTTGGTTGTACGGCAGGGGTGGGTGGGTGGGTTCAGGGCCCCAACGACTTTTTTACTTGAACCTCCTGAAAAATTTTTCCAGGCCCCATGTTAGGGTTTTGAAAGCTGTATTGCCATCCTTTCTTCGTTTCCTATACGTAGAATTAGTTCTATCAACAAAATGGTCACTTCTCGGCTTCCGATGTTCCAATGACACTTCACCTCTGAACCATGGTAGCCGAACGGAACTGCCCAATCCCCAAACGTACAAGAAACAACTTATGTAGAAAGCATACATTGCGAACGCGGCTAGTCGGCCCTTTGTAAAGGCCTAGCATAGCAGCATGTCGCATGTGCCCATGGATGTGGAACACGACTGAGGAGGCGGGATGGGAGTAGACAGACTAAGCTGCGAGGAAGCACTCACAGTGACCACGAATGGGGGTGGGGATGCAGAGCACACAAACAAGAAGGCGTGGCAATTGGTGCCAGGGTCTATGGTCGAGGGCCCAGGGGGAAGAAGAGGCAGGAGCAGGGACCTGGAACGTGGTGGCGCCGTTGTCTCGGTTGGTGAATACAGAACTGGCGGTGGTATGGCGCAAAAGGAAGGGCCGTGGTGCTTCCTAGGCGCCAAATACATAACATCAGTCAAGCCGGGGCCAAGAACAGGGTTACCTTAGCCGTCCATAGTGCAACGCTGTGACATTAACTTCCCAGGGGGTTTGGGGTTTTTCGACTGCATTTAATAGAGCTTGCGCAGAGGAACCTAGACGTTATTTTCCCGGGCGTTTTGGCATAGTTTACAGGTTGTACGACACGCTTGGCGGCGGGTGGGTGGCTCCGAGGCCTTCTCTTTGGAAAATTCGGGTTGGGGTTTATAAGAAAATTTTTTACCCCCCCCCTGGTGTGTTAGATGCTGTTCAACCAAGCAAGTATGAGTGTTAGTTGGCGTAGGTGGTGGGTCGGAGACATCTAGCCTACGACAAATAATAGGTAAGTTCTCGCTTCGGCCTTGAGAGTTCTTAATGAGAACCCAGTCTACTGCTTTCTGTTGGTCGAATGCAGTACCGCGCGCCACCCGAAGTTCGCGCGCTTAGGTATGCCTTTTGCGACGACAGATCTTTGACTTCGATCATTTAATGTAAGGATCGTGCGCTTCTTAACAGCTTGCAAACAGTGAACGTATGCTGTTATCAGCGCGCACCTGTGTCAAGCGTCGGCCGGTGCGGCCCACGGGTCCTTTACTAAGCTGCCACCCAACTGAACCCACGCCCCACTGGATGCCGGCTGAAAGGCATAACACACGCTCCATGCATGTAACATTATAACATCCTAATTGTCAGGCTTGCAGACCGTTGCTCACTAACTTACGCTTTGCGCCCATGAATTTCCTGCGTATCGGACCCGTTGCCAATCTCAACCCCTACAAGCGAAACAGGGTCGGTAGTAGCCTAGTAGGTCTTACACCAGATGCCACAGTCCAACCAGCTCCAAATGAGCTCGGCAAAGCTTCTGTTGAGCGTCTCTAGTCGTCCTCATACCTCATATCGAAGGCTTAAGAGGGGCGCGGCTGCCAGCCAGCAAGCCTCTACGTGGCCGACACCTTGCGTCTCCTGCCCCCCAGCAGTAACGGCTGCTGCAGCAAAGCCGGCACATCTCTCCTATCCTTGTGCGGTAATTAAAGTACACGCTGTAGGGCACAGGGCAACCCACGGAGCAAGGCACAGGGCATAACAGTCCTCCCTGCTCTTAGCTCCCTACTTGCAGCCAACCCTGAATGCAACAGCCGCCGTACAGCCGAAAAAGCTACTAGGACCACACAGCCCTCAGCTGCCTGTCAGCTTACAGTGGGGTTTGCAGCGGTATGCTCCTGCGCTCGCATCACCACCACTTCAAACCCGCAATCTTGAGAGCACTGTCACCTCTCACCACCATCCATCGCCCATCCCAGCCGCGCCCCGCCCTCTCATCACCCTCCGCCCTTCCCTCGACGTCCCCGCGGTTCCCGTTCCGACCAGTGGTGGTAATGGTACCGTCCCCCGCCCTCACCGCCGGCGCGACGGTCCCTCTCCCGTTCTCTCTCGCCCCCAGCCTGCCTGTCCCCACCGCCCTCCCTCTCCCTGTCCCCATGCGGCAGCTCGTACTCCCGATGTTCACGATGGTCCCCATCAAGCCCCATGCCGCCGCCGCCACCCCCACGACGGCCCAGTCCGCCGCCGACGCCGTCCTCCGCTCGATCGCGGTCGCCGCGGCCGCGTTCTCGCATGCTGCCGCCGCCACCACCAATATCGTACATGCCGCCACCGCCGCCCAGTCCCAAGCCGCCAAGACCGCCGCTCTGCCGCTGGCCGGCGGCGGAGCCGGCGGCGGCGCCGCTGGCGGCGGCGAGGCCTCCAGCGAAGCCCCCGCCGCCACCACCGCCACCACCACCTCCCGCGTGCGCCATGGCCGCTGCCACTGCCGCCGCCAGTCCCCGACCCGCCGTCGCATAGGGCCCCGCTAGCGCCGCCGCCAGGTATCTGGGCGCCTCCTGCAGCGCTAGCACCACACTCTCCCCGCGCTTGTCCAGGCTCTTGATCTGCGGGATCAGCGAGTGCGGGGTCGCTTGTCCGACTTGTCTGACGAGGGGTAGCTCCATTCCTCAACATTCATCGCCCGGTTGCGCCGCCGTTCGCTGATCGCTAGTTGAACACCAGCCGCTACCGAGTCGCCCGTCATGTGTTCATGTCCCCTCCCGTCCCGCTCCATCCGCCCACACCGTCACACGTTCACCCCCAAACCACCCACCTTGACATCATGCGCCGCCGCCTCCTTGTCCCCCAGGATGACCACCGCACGCACGCCACGCGCCTGCGCATACGCGTACTGCTCCCCCAGACTGGGAGACAGTCGCGGCATCAGCTCCGCGCGCACCCCCGCAGACCACAGGGCAGACACCAGGGCCATGCGCTGCGCCAGCGCGCCGTCGCCGCCGCGGGCGCACACCAGCACGTCGGCCTGCAGGAGGGCGGAGCGGGAGGGAACAGGGACGGGGGGAGGGCGTTAGGAAGGAGAACAACGCGCGATGCGGGACGAGGGCGTGGCGGGCGGACGAACTAGCTGCAGTGGCTGTATGGCTGAGGCTGGGGGGCCACAGTGCACAGGCAATGCAAAGGACGCCCGTGGCATGCGGCAAGGTGGAAGACATCCAAAGCCAGCCATGTTCGCAGCGGTCGCCCAGCGCACCTTGGATGCCTCTAGGCCCCCAGCAACCCCCGCTCCGAAACCCATGTAGTACCCCGCACCCCCGGCGGCACCCAACCCGCTGCCACCGCCGCCGGCTGCTGCCGCTGCCGCCGCCGCCGCTGCCCGCTGCTGCGAGACGCTGACGATGAGTCGTTCCACATTGAGGGTGGCGCCGACGGCACCCGGTGGAGGAGATCCGCCGTACAAATGGTACGGCACGGCTGCATGCGGTGTGGCGGCCCATAAGGCCCGCAGCAGGGCGTCGTAGCGGCCGCCCACGGCTACCATGCCGGGGGTGAGGGGGGCTGCGGGGGGGAGAGCAATGTGGGGGGTTGTTGAGAGGAGTGCCGGGGATAAGCAAGGTACAAGAGGTATCGGTGATATGTTGTGAGACACGCATGGCGCTAGGGATAAATAGGTACGCAACCACGTGGTATGCGGAAAGCAACAAGAAACAACTGCGAAGGCAGATAGGATGCTTATTTGCTAGCAAGCAAGCACGAGTGCAACACTAGCACCCCGGCACTGACCCGCGGGTCGCGCCGCATGGTGGTGACCCGCCCCCGTCCCCAGCATCATGTGGGGCGAGGCAGCGGCTCCGGAGCCCAGTGCGCCACCTTGGGTCCCGGAGGCGGCAGGCAGCCCTAGCAGGTGCACCTGCAGGAGGGAAGGAGGAGGAGCGGGAGAACGGGTTTGCCTCGCAACGTCGTATAACCCCAGGAGGTATCGCAGGTTACAGCTGGCCCGTAGAGACAAGCATGTAGAGAGGACCCCCAGCCTGGCGACGTAACGACACTTAGACTCCTTCAAGGCCTTCAAGCCCCAACCCCCCCGGGCGCTTCCCCACGCACCTGGAATATGACGCCGCTGTAGTACTCGGCCGCGGGGCTCATCAGCGGATCCAACACTACCTGGGGAGGGAGAAGAAGCAGAGGGAGTGGAAGAGGAGGGGCAAGGGGAGTGAAGGCAGCGGACATGTGCAGGGCCGCGTTCGAAGCACGGGAGGTTGCCGGCTTGCGGACCTCCTCAGCACAGAACTGCCCAAGCCGCTCCTCCGCCTGCTCTTCAGCCCACGCTCCTCATTCCCACGTCCTTACTTCCCTCCACCTCTTCTCTCTCCTGGATCTCTCTCTTCTCCCCCTCTTCTTCTCCCTATCTCCCCACCTGGCTTGCGGGCACCCCCCACACGTCCAGCAGCTGAGCCACCACCGCCACCTCCTCCAGCGCGGCCGCCAGGGCACCCGGCAGCGGCACAGCGGCACCCGCAGCAGCACCCGCACCAGCACCCGCTCCTGCGCCTCCCGCGGCCGCCTGCTGCTGCATACCGCCTCCCCCTCCTCCTGCCGCTGCCGCCACCACCTCCTGCAGATAGCTCCTCAGCCGGCCCAGCCCGCCCCCTGCCGCGTCCCCCGGCAGCTCGCACACGCCCCGCTTGCAGCGAGCCACGCGGTCGGCTGGCAGCCCCAGACCGTCCAGCCCCGCCTTCACGGAGGGCCAGGACTGCAGGGGGGGAGGCAGAGGAGACAGAGTGAGAGGCAGAGGAGGGAGAGACGTGGATCAGCGGAGATGGCAGAGATATGAGGTATCTTCGGAGCGAAACAGCAGGACCGCGGCTCTGTCCTAGGCTCTCCGCTCCGCTCTGTAGCCTCCTACCTCCACCCATCCCAGCCTCTACCTCCTCTCCAGCCCCTCCCTTCCCACCCACCCCCTCCGCTCACCTTGTACCTCAGCTCCCCCCGCACCGCCCCCAGCATGGGACTGCCCCGCAGTGCGGTGGCCAGCAGCCGCCGGGCCGCCACCTCCACCTCGCGAACACCTCCTGCACCACCAGCACCGGTGCCACCTGCAGCCGCACCTGCAGCACCTGCAGCCCCTCCAACACTACCAGCTGCTGCTGCTGTTGCTGCTGATGGTGCTGCACCAGCTCCCCCTGCTGCGGCTAACGAAGCCCCGGTGGTGGTGGTGCTGCTGCTGCTGGGTCCCAGCCCCACGCTGTCGTACATGGCCCTCTCAATGGCCCGGTGGCTGATGCGCACCTCGTAGCGACCCAACTCGGGCAGGAACTGGTCTAACACCTGCGTGACTGCCTTGATCGCCTCCGCCTCAGCCAGCAGCCTCCCCCGGTCCGCATGCCCCCCGCCCCCGCCCGCACCGCCCCGCCCCAGTCCATGCCCCCCTCGGCCTCCCCATGCGCTCCCTCCCCCTCCTCCTCCTCCTCCTCCCGCCCCGCCGCCGCCCCCTCCCGCCGGGTGCAGCAGGTCCAGGTCTGCCTGGCAGTAGGAGGAGGGCAGGCTGCGCGCGCGGCCGCAGCGCATGACGTAGCTGATGTCGTAGCGCCGCAGCGTGTCCAGCGCGCCTGGGTGCCGGGGGGGGGGGGTGAGGGGTTGGGGCGAGGGTGAGATTGGGTTAGCGAGCGCCTTGTACCGGTAGTAAACACAGCCGTGTTGGACCAGGAAAAGAAAAAGCCTCCGCCACCCCCTGCAGGGCTCGCATGCGCGCCTAGGTTTCATACACTCCCCCCCATCACGCCCCCGCCCCTCCTCCCGCCTCACCCACTGGCGCCATTGCCGCCTGCTGCACCAGCCACAGCGCGAAGGGGTAGCGCATCTCGTGCCGCATGGCCAGCAGCGCGCCGTGCGGGGACAGCAGGCGCACCGCGTCGGGGGCCAGACCGGGGTAGGCGTAGCCAACCTGCCGGGGGGTTGTGTTGAGGTCAGGTGGGGGTAGGACAGGAAGAATCTTGGCTGCGAAAAAGGAAGCAATGCAGCACAGGTGGCTCCCAGCGCCCTACCGGCAACCTCCCAGCTCCTCCCAGTCTGGAGGAGCTGCCCTCCACCCCAACCATATTGGGGGAGGGCAGCCATGATGATGGAGCCTGGTGTCACATGGTTCGTCCGTCCTGACTATCCCAGCCCCTCCTTCTCCTCCTCAGCCCCCCTCCTCAGCCCATCCTGCCCCCTCCTCCTCAGCCCATCCTGCCCCCTCCTCCTCAGCCCCTCCTGCCCCCTCCTCCTCAGCCCCTCCTGCCCCCTCCTCCTCAGCCCCTCCTGCCCCCTCCTCCTCAGCCCCCCACCTGGCTGCTGTAGAAGCTGCGCGCTCCGTGGCACTCGAAGGAGGAGCGAACCGCGCGGATAACATCGTCGCGAACCTGGGTGGGAGAGGGGGCGTTCAGCACGGGGGTTGCCGCCATCTCGGGTACCTACTTGCTCCCCTTCCTCTTCTTCCTCCTCTTCTTCTTCATTGTCCCACCCACCCTCCCCCACCTGCGCATGTGCCACCCGGGGAGCGCCCGGCAGCTCCAACCCATCGTACGGCAGTGCCGTACCGCCACCTCCACCGCTGCCACCTCCTCCCTCCGCATCCCCTGCCTGCCCGCCCGGAGGCCCTGCGGCCGCCGCAGCGGCCCCTGCACCTGCCCCTGCTGCTCCCCCCGCCCCTGCTCCCCCTGCCAGGCCTGCTGCTCCCCCTGCCCCTGCCACCGGCCCCCTGCCCGCCTGCCCCTCCGTGAGGCTGAACAGTGCCGCCACCACCCGCTCCGTGGCGTCGGGGTTGGAGGGCAGGTAGCGCAGCAGGTCGGTCAGCTGCGAATGGGGGGGGGTCAAAGACCATACCAAACCATAGGAGACCACAAGTTAGGGCAAAGCAATGGGGGTAGGAGTTGGCAGGGGGGAGGAGTCCACATGGGGATGGCATGGGAGTAGTTGGTTGGAAGCAAAGAGGATACCGGTACTTGGCAGGACGGCCGTCTGAGGTACCACATGAGGGTTCGCAGGACACAGGTGTGGTGAAGTAACGCGCGCGCCTCTGCATGTGGTGTTGCCGCCCCCCCCCTCCACTGCTTCACTCTGCCCTAACCTGTGGTTCTGGTACGGTTATCTCTGACCTCCCCCCTCACTCCCCCCACCTGTTCGTCCTCCACCCTGGGCGGCAGCAGGTCGGACGCCAGTACCTCCCGGGCACTGGGGCGCTCCCCGGGGTTGGGGGCCATCAGCCACCTGGGGGGGGAGGCGGCATGACCCGCATGAGAAATGGGGGGGGGCAGCATGAAGATAGCCCATGCTCGCCCATACTCGCTCATCTAGCAAACCCCCCGACCTAGCGCCCCCACCACCTAGCACCCAGCCCCCCCTTAGCACCCCCCCTAGCAAACCCCCACCTAATGATCCTGGCCACCCGCGGGTGCGCCCGCTCCCATGCCTCAGGCAGGCGCGCATGGTCACGCAGGTCGTGCAGCAACACTGAGCGCTCCATGCCTGTGTGGAGGGGGAGGTAACAATTGTTGTGAGAGACAGGTGGGAGGGTGAGGGACCGTAGCGGGTGAGAGTGTGTTGAAAGAGGTACCGTGGACAGGCAAAGAGGTGAGAAAGTAAACGTACGGCAGGTCGAAAGAACTCAGCGTGTAACACACGAACCAAGAGGTACCGTAGCCGTGTGCCTCGAGACACGTGCGCAGCGCCAGCAGCCGTTAGCTGGCTCCACCCGCTAGCCCCAGCCCCAGCCCCCGCTCCTCCCCCACCTGTTGAGAAGGGGTGCCACAGCTCAAACGCCACCACTCCCAGACTCCACAGATCCACCTTCTCATCGTAGCGAGCCCAGCCCTGCGCAGGTGTGTGTACGGCATGCGTGTTAAGATAACTGGCCGCGAGGCGGAATGTATTGTGTACGGCATGTGTGTTACGATACGACAGTGCTGGGTTCGAACTTGGGGTCGACAAAAAGGTATGGCACAGCTACAGGCACCAAGCACCCATAGCTCTGTGTGTCCATGCACTGCCATGCACGCCATGCACTCAATTCCATCGGGTCCTGCAACCGCGTGACAGCTGCACGGGTGCACGGGTGCCATGCTAGCTTCTCAGGCCATGCCGCCTCGGGCTCACTCCAGCAGCTGCACGCTGCAATGTGGGTGGTATATCCGGGTGGGCTCAGGTTGCCCCGCCATGACCCAGACCCGTGGGTCACCCACGTTCTTGATCTCCGGGCTGATGTAGAAGTACGACCCGCACACGCCGGTGCGCTCGCTGGGACCCGTGCCGTCACCCGGCCCGCCCGCAGCGCCGCCGCCGCCCCCCGCAGCACCGCCCCGCCAGCTGTGCATCCCCGCGGCGGCAGCGGCAGCAGCAGCAGCCGCAGAGGGAACCCCGGGCGGACTGCCGCCTGCTGCTGCTGCTGCTGCCGCACCTGCCGGGGTAGCGCCGCCCATACCTGAACAGCCAGCAAGGGTGCGGAAATAAATTACCCCTTCCCGCAGCCGATGGCAGCCATTGCGCTACAGGAGGTCAAAGCTGCAGGTTGTCATAAACTCCTAACAGAAACGAACATGCACCCCTCGGCACATAACATGGAAGGCGAATAGCATTGCTAGAGCACGACCTCGGTCCATGCTTGCCCACTCCATTCCTGCCCCCGTCCCGCCCCCGCCCCCGCCCCCACCGGGGGCTGCTGCTGCGCCGGCAGCAGCGGTTGCGCCGCCTGCTGTCGCCTGGGAGTCGTCGGTCGAGCCGGTGTGGAACTTGGCCTGTGGGTGGGGGAGGAGGAGGAGGGGGTGGTAGCTGAAAAGCTGACTATCACCTCAGTAGGAGAGGGTGGCAGGTGATAACTAGCTCCCTGCGTGGTAAGGGTAAGAGTAAGGGTTAATGACGCAGCAGGCACTGCAGGAAGGGCAAGGTACACACACGCCTTAATCCCTCCCTCCCTGCCGTCTCCTATTCCCTTTGCTCTGCCCTAACCTGTGGCTTCCTGTGGTATGGTATGGTCTTTGACCCCTCCCCCCCCCACCGCACCAGTCCGAAATCTCCCAGCTTGATCTCCCCATTGGCCCCGTAGAAGATGTTGGCGGGCTTCAGGTCGCGGTGGATCACCCCCTGGCTGTGGATGTAGGCCAGGCCTGGGGGGGGCCGGCAGGAGGACGAGGGCGGCATGTGAGCGGAGGTGAGGGCTCTAGAGCTCTAGCACGGATGGCAAGCGCGGGGGGATGACTGGACTGGAGGTGTGTCACATGCAGGGTGGCAACCACAGTGGGCTACGGGAACAGACATGGAGCTCACCGCCACCCCACCACCGCCACCACCCCACCACCGGCTCAGTTTACCTCATACCCCCCCCCCACCACCACTACCCGCCCGCCTCACCCGCCAGTATCCCCCGCAGCACCCGCCACGCATCCTCCTCCTGCAGCGGCCCCTGCTGCAGCACCCCCGCCAGCGTGCGGGGGCAGAACTCCATCTGCCAGGGACAGGGCGGGGAATGGGGGTACACATTCCGCATTAGGCTGGACGACGCGACGAGGGAACAGAAAGCAGGCATGCGTCCCAATGGGTTGGGGGTCAGCGGCGGCCATACACAGTGTCACACAGCAGGTTTGCCTCACCTCCTTCCCTTCACCCCCCCTTTGACACCCCCTCCCCATTTACGCCTTCACACCTGTATATACAGCATCTGCGTGGGGGCGCCTCCTCCCCCGGTGCTGCCGCGGTCGGGTGGGCGGCGGCCGGCAGGGCCCCCGGGGCGGCGCCGGGGGCTGCCTCCGCCTCCCTGATGATGGCGGGGTTAGGTGGGGGGGGGGGGAAGAGCAGTGAGGCGGCATGGATACTGGCAGGCGATTGCCTCCCCACGCTGCATGCATGCACGCCGGCCGGCCGTACACCCTCCTTGGGGCACCGGTAGACCCTACCCGTCCCTGTCCTGTCCTCTGAGGTACCGGTACCGGTATCTCCCCTCTTGTTCACCAGGTCGACCCTACCTGTTTCCGACCGCCCCTCGCCGTCATGGCCGACGCGGTTGCAGTGGTGGCATGTGTGGTAGCCGTTACGGTGGTGGTTGTGGTTGTTGTCGTACCAGTTGCCGTCATTGTCGTCGCACTCGTATTGGTCGTCATGCCGCTTGCACCGCTGGAGTCCTCACCACCCCCACCATCAGCCACGCCTGCACCTCCTCTCCGTGCCGGCCCCCCAGGGCTCCCCAGCCCCCCTCCTCCACCTCCTCCTCCACCCCCTCCCAAGCTCCCGCCGTACGCGCTGCTACCCTCCGTCCCCTCACTGGCGGTCGTGGTAGCTGTTGTGTCCCCATCACTCCCACTGCCCAACAACCACGCCGCTGCACCGCTCCTCAAACCCAACAACCCTCCGAAACCAAACCCGCCCTTGCGATCCGTAACCCCACCACCACCACCACCTCCAGCCCCGCCTCCTCTAGTAGCAGTACCACTAACAGTAGCCGCACTGGTTTCAGCAGAGGTAGCAGCGGTGGTGGTGGTTGCGGTGGTGGTTTCGGAGCCGCTGCCGCTGCCGCCGCCGCCGGCAGCAGTTTCCAGCGCCAACGACTGCTGCAGCAGCCGCCCGCCCTCATGCGGGCTAGGGCTAGGACTGGGACTGGGACTGGCGCTGCTGCCAGGCTCCTCCCGCACCGGGGCAAGTCCAGGGCGAGTTAGGGGCGCAGGGACGGGGCGGTTCGGGCTGGGCCCGGGGCCTGGCGGGTGGTTGGTTGCATGGTGGTGGGGTCCTAGCCGGGATGCGGGTTTCGGAGGCAGAGCGCTGCCCCGGGGCTGCTGGGGCAGGGCGGTGCGGTTGGGGCTGGGGCTGGGGTTGGGGTGGTGCTGGAGGTGGAGGTGGGGGTCGGACAGGGAGCCGCTGGGGGTGCCTGGGGGTGCAGTTGGGGGGGAGGTGCGGGTTAGTGTGTGGTGATGAAAGTGCTGGAGAGCCTTGCATGGGCAACACAGAGCTGCGTAATACCATACATCAATACAACAGGCCGCGAACTGAGCCCCTGCATTATTACTACCGTTAAGCTACTGCTGCTGCTACTGCGGGAGCCCCAACATGACACCCTCCTTCGAGACCCACCATCACCGCACCCACCTCCCGGCGGCGTGGAATCCATCGACGCCGACGTCCCATACCCCCACGCCTCCTCCTCCTCCTCCTCCTCCTCTCCCTCCTCCTCCTCCTCCTCCTCGCTCCCCCCCGCATCCAGCTCCTGCGCCGCCCCCGCCGGCAACGTCTCGCACCAGGCCTGGAAGTAGCGCACCACGTTGGGGTGCTGCAGGCGGCTCAGCGTGGCCACCTCGCGCATGATGCGAGTGTAGGAGGCGGGCGAGCCGCTGTCCAGCCGGATCTTCTTGACCGCGTACTGCCGCCCGTCCAGCCTGAGGGTGGTGGGTGGGTGGGGTTTGGAGGGGGTGGGTGGAGAGGTGGGGTGTGGGATTTGTAGGGATACATACCGGCATGCCGAATTAGGCTGGATGATATGATGGCGTGTAGTCAAACTTGTTGGGTGTGGGACGGGGATGTCAGGAAGGGGTCGGCGGTGCTTGGCGAGGGATGTTGGCGGCGGCAGGAAAAGGGGGAGGGGACGGAAAGACTGGGTACCTGACCTTCTTTCCCCCCCTCACCTGTTCACCGCGCCCACCACCACTCCGAAGCCCCCCTTGCCCAGCCGGTACAGCTCCTGGAAGTCCGACAGGTAGCGACTGGCCAGCAGCGCCGCAGACCCCGCCCGCTGCTGCTGCTGTTGCTGCTGAGACTGCGACCCCTGCAGCTGCTGCTGCTGTTGGTGCTGCTGCTGCTGCTGCGCTGCCCCTGCGGCACCCGGCCGCTGGGGGCCCTGCTTGCGGGAGGCACTGCCGCTTCCGGCGGGAGTGACGGTCTGGCGGTTCCAGAAGCGGGACAGGAGCTGCGAGGCTGCGGGGGAGGAGGACTCGGCGGAGGAGCTGGCGGAGACGTTGGTGGTGGCTGCGGCGGCGGCGGCGCGCATGTCCTGTTGCGGGTAGCGGAGTAGGGTGGTAAGCAGGTGCCAGAAACGGTGTCAGATGTGTCGCAGCAGGGTCATGCGAGGCGCATGTTGACAGCGAGTTTGCAACTCCGCCAGCTCCTTCCACATGCACCCCGCCCTTTGCCTCCTTGGCCCCGCTCACTGGTTGCTGCCGCTCCTCCCGCTCACCCCCGCCTCCTCCCGCCCCCCCACCTGTCCAAACATGCGCGAGAAGGCCTGGTCGAACAGCGCCGGCTGCTTGGTGACCAGCCAGTGCAGCCACTGCGGCAGCAGCCCCCGGCGCCGCAGGTGCGCGCACAGCGCCTCCAAGTCGCCGCTGTCGCGTGCGTCCAGGCCCTGGCCTGAGAGCATGTGGGCACGTGAGCAGCCAGGACGGGCGCCGAAGAGGGACCGAAGAAAAAGGGGCCATGTCATGAAACAGGGAGAAGGAAGGGAGTTGGGGGGGGCCATAGCCGCCAGCCTTTAGGCTATGGTCCCTTGCTGCAATGCTTTTGGACACGACATGAAGACAGCACGGCAATAAGAGAAAAGCAGCGGTGACGGCTGTGCCATGTTGGGTACGGTCCCTCCTGGGCGATATTCTTGAGGAGACACACGCCCCTGCAGCAGCAACCGCCGCCGCAGCACCAGCAGCCCAACACAACACAGGCAGCCGCCAGCCCGCCACCCAACCCATGCGGTATGCAGCATGCAGCAGCACGTGCCGTACCTGCCGCTGCCATCGTCAGCAGGTGCCCTAGCAGCATGTGCAGCTTGATCTCGCCGCGTCCCGAGCTCCGGCCGCTACCGTCGCTCCGGCGGCTGCTACTGCCCGCACCCCCACTGTACGACCGGAAACTCCGCCCGCCTCCAAACCCGGCATCCCCGTCCTCGTAGTAATCGTCAGACTCGCTGCTGCCTCCGCTGCTGCTGCTACTGGGGCTTTCACTGCTGGTGCTACCGCCGCCCACACCGCCCGCCCAAAGTCGCCCCGGTTGAGCCCTAGGGGGCGCAACCGCGGGCTGCGCAGCTTGCGTGCCGAGGGCAGGCTTGTTCCTCTTCCCCCGCATGCCATCATCCCTGCCGCCGCCTCCGCCGCCGCTGCTGCTGCTTCTCTTGACATGGCCGCTGTCGCTGCTAGAGGTATCGCTCTCACTACCGCTCTCACTGCCACCACCGCCACCACTTTCGCTGCTAAGCGCACCACCTTCTCGGTCCGCAGGTGGCATCGCCGCGCCCCGTCTGGTTGCCTCGCGCAGCCTCCTCCCCTGCTTGCTGCGGTCCCGCTGGCGCCCCTGCTGCTGTCCCTGCTGCTGCCCCCTGTGGCTGCTGCGGAGGGATGTCTGCGAGCCCGCCTCCAGACTGCGGGCGGAGCTGGCGTTGCTGCTGGTAGCCACCAGCGCCCGCATGGCCCTGGAGGGGTGGCGTGGTAGGAGGGTAGGGGTGGCGTAATGGGAGGGGAGAGCGGGTCAGCGCCGCCAATTGGCAGGAAGCCGCGGTTGGGATTAGCCGAAAGGCGCATCAGTAAGCCGGGCATGAACACATGACAGAGATTTAATGAGGAGAGAGGTAGCTTTCCAAACCCCAAAGACACGCACTTGGGAAGCTTCTTCGCTAGCAATGCCGACGACACGCGACCAGGCGTGGTGGGACGGACCGCCTCCGGGCGCGGCGGCAGCCTCCTCCCCTCCCGCTCCTCATCCTCCTCATCAGCCCCGAAGGACCCGGCTGCTGCTGCTGCCGTACCTCCGTTACCTGGCTTTTCAAGCCGTACAGCGGGTGCCGCTGCCGTACCTCCGGCTCCTTGTGCAGGCCGTTTCGTGGGGCTAGCCTGCGGGGCAAGTCTTGCCGGCTGCTGCTCGGCTGCCCCTGCAGTGGCTGCCGCTGCCTGGGGGATCCCAGACCCTGCACCCATAGGGCCCGTACTGGCAGCACCAGTAACAGCACCAGCAGCAGGGGTGCTGTCCGCACGCGCAGTTGCTGGAGGTTCCGGTGACGGCGCCTCACCAGCTGCTGCCAACGCTACAGCGCTGGAGGAGGACGACAACGTCGGGGGTGCTCCCTGAGGCGGCGGCGACTGCATGACTGGCGGCGGCGGCGGCGGCGGTGGCGGAGGCGGCGGTCCGTACAGCCCCGCGTCCATCTCGCTGTCCTCCATGTCGTACAACCCGCCGTCGTACGCCCAGAGTCCGCCGCTAAGCCCGCCGACGAGGCCGATGGACGGCAGGTCCTCCGTCAGCGACATGCCGGAGACCTCCGCTGCCGATGCGGCAATGGAGGAGCTGGAAAAGACCCCCTGCGGCTCCAGGGAGGGCTGCTGCGGTGTCTGCTGGTGCGGGTGCGGGTGGCGCCGCTGGCCCCCCGCCGCCGCTGCCGCCAGATCACCGTTGCGGCGCTGCATGGCGTCCCAGAGCGACTGTGCTTGAGCCTGAGGGGAGCAGGGGCGTCACATTATCTCAGCGCAGGTTGCGCACACCTGCCTTCAGTTTGGGCCGGGGCCAAGCAGCGCTGCCCCAGGGGCGCTTCCCACCCTGTGTCTTCCGTCCCCCGCCTACTGGTACACATGCGCAGCACAGCACCCCACAGCCCACACTACTCCACGCCATGCTCGGCCCCTTCCCACCGCTGATCCGCCCCCTACCCTCGTCTTGTTTGTCATTCTCATCCAACACACTGGGTATCTTTTGCTTTCCACACCTGCTCTCCCTGCTGGTCCCCGCCCTGCTGCTCTCCCTCCTGCAGCTCCCCGCTGCCCTCGCCGCGCTGCGGGTCCTGCCGGCGCTGCTCGTTGACGGTCCGCAGCACCTCCTGGCACATGTCCACCAGGTTGAAGACGCACACCTGCAGTGCAGCGGGGGGTGGGGATTCAGCTGCATGGTAAGCTACGGGTGCTAGATGCAGTGAGTGGCCGTACGCAAGGACGGTGTCACTCCTGCGGAGCGGCGCAAGTGAGCTAGCGAGGCACATGTAAAGGCCTCCACCACATTGCAGGGCAAGGCGCTGCCGAGAGGTTGTGGCTTTGGTCAGGAGTGAGGACCTGTGGGTTGCTTTGGGTCATGCGGTGGGTCATGAGAAGCAGGCAAGCAGCGCAGGGAGAAGCCTCCCGCGGCAACGTGCCCTTCGGGAGGGCTGTTGTTCCACCCGCAGGCGCCTACCTCCTCCGCCTCTGCGTGCTCCGCGGCGCTCTCCACAAGTCGGGCCAGAAGGTCGCGACATGCTTCCGGCGACAAGCCCTCGGGGTTCTTTAGTTTCAGTGCCAAGGGCTGGGCAGGGTAGCTGTGTGGGTACCTGCAGGCATGGCGTATACCGGAGACGTGTGGAAAGGATGTGTGATGCGTTCGTGCTGCCGCGACATGGCGTGGCGCGATTGTTACACGCAGGTTGGAACCCCCATAGAAGACGCCAAGCGGTTCGACCCTTGGCCTGGTCAGGCCATCCGACCCACAGGACCGGCCAACTAGGGTGAAACCGGTTTCGTCGCAGTTGTGAGCACACGCTGTAAGCTACGCAGTTTAGTCTGTACCTGACGGATAGCAACACGCTGACGAGGTTTTCATCCAGCATGCCGGGGTGCGGAACGACGGTAAGGTCAAACCCAAGGCCATCATGGTGAACGTCCAGATCATCTCCATAGATAGCGGCCAATGCAAGCAGCTCTTCTTCGGTCTCCTGGCCACCCACACGAGTAAAGTGGAGCAACAGTCGGGTCAGGATATATACGATACTTGGAAAGGTAACCAATGCTAGATCACTCTATAGCTCTGCACGGGACTTACAACGTTGGAAACAGTGGTAGCCCTTTGTCGGGATTTCTTCTTTTTCTTTCCGGGCATGATCAAGCTTATTCCATATTGATAGAACAAAATATTTTCATAAAAGCTAACATCAAGGCTAGGGTATGTCAACCAACCGGCGTACTGCCGTGCATAAAGTACGACTCTCTCACAACCCTCCCAGAATATGCCAAGACTGTTACAAAAGCTTCCTTCTTGCCTTTAGGCCTTACGTATTAACTGGCCCGGTACTGCTTTCGGGGCGTTCGAGCACTCCAGTAGGAAGTCCATTTATCTCTTTTGACTTCAATTCACGAAGATGGACCCCGTTGAGCTTGCAACGTCCTGCGCGATGCCGCCGGTGCTGTCAAAGTCTGCTGTTGCGGAGCATCCCAAGACCCTGCGCTCAGCACATCTGAAGACGGATACGTATGGCGTCGCGGCGGTCGCCCCTTACCAGGCGATGCCAGTCGCTGGGCCAGTCATTACCCACCATAAGTCCTCGGCCTTGCCGGTTGTCGAGCCTCACCCGGAGCTGACGGAGGAGGTAAGCGCCGCCCGCGCTTTCTCAGAACATGCTCGCGTGGCATGGCGCTAGACTCGACAACATCCTTAACTGGCGCAGGAACGTGAAGCGCGCATCGCAGAGATTATTGGCAACTACATGAAGAAGCTGTCGGAGAGGACGCACCTCCACATGGGGTAAGGAGTACACGTCAACTACTTGCACCTTCTACCCTGACCTGCGTCCTGAATGCCATATGCATGGTTTAACTACTACATAGGTACCCCTATAACCTTGAGTTCGATTACGGGCTGTTGGAGGGGCTCACGAAGTTCAGCATCAATAACCTCGGCGACCCGTTTATCGAGAGCAACTACGGCGTCCATTCTCGGGAGTTCGAGGTGCGTTTTCCTTCTATTGTTTGTTTGGTCGTCACAAGTGTCGATAGCGTCTACTACTATTCAGCCTAACTTTTCTTTTACGTGGATTGGACGGGCGCGCAACGGACTGTATTCTCCCGTGCTTAGGTTGGCGTACTGAACTGGTTTGCTCGGCTCTGGGAGATTGACGAGGAGGAGTACTGGGGCTACATTACCACCTGCGGCACGGAGGGCAACCTGCACGGTATCTATGTGGGCCGTGAGAACTTCCCGGATGGCGTCCTGTACGCGTCCGCGGAGTCCCACTACTCCGTGTTCAAGGCGGCCCGCATGTACCGCATGCAAGCCGAGAAGGTACGGAGCAGAAAGGCCCTAGCTCTCCTCCGGGTTAAGTGGGCGTGGAACCCGAGCAGGGTTGGGGAGGTGGCCTCACGGAGTAGGGCCTCAGTCCTTCAGCTACCCAAGTGTTGTTACTTCCTTACGTAGTCTCTTGCATGGCCACACAGCATTTTAACGACAGTCATATCCGCTAGCTGGACGGAATGCCCCCGCCAGTCCGCACCACATGAACATCCTAAACCCTGGAAACCCTCTCGCGCTCAACCCTCGACCCAGATCCCCACCCTGGAGAGCGGCGAGATCAACTACGATGACCTGAAGGCGGCCCTCATCGCCAACCGCGGCAAGCCCGCCGTGCTGAACCTCAACATCGGCACCACGGTGAAGGGTGCCGTGGACGACGTGGACCGCGTGCTCGCCGTCCTCAAGGTGCGGCAGGCTCAGCAGGCTCTAAATGGGGGCCTGGATTAGGTTGATAGCCGTTGACGTTTTGGGTTTTTTCTCCTGACGACATTGGAGTATGCTCGGCTCGCGTGCGCCTGTCTGCCTATGTTGAGTTCACTGAAGGTCTGAACTGAAGTCAGCCATGGTGTATGCGCCTGTTGGGCGGTTCCACAGGAGACTGGCTACACCGAGGACAAGTTCTTCATCCACTGCGATGGCGCGCTGTTCGGCATGATGATGCCCTTCCTCAGCCGTGACGCGCCCATGGTCACCTTCCGCAAGCCCATTGGCTCGGTGTCCGTGTCGGGACACAAGTTCGTGGGCGCGCCTGTGCCGTGCGGTGTCGTCATCACCCGGTAGGGCAACAGCAAGGGGCTGTCTTCAAGGGAATGAGTTGTCGGGCGACCCACATCGGTTTGGCGTGTAAACGGTGGTGACAAGGGATGTGGGTCGCTCGATAACTGATGCCGCTGTTCGTCCTCCTTCCCGTTCCTACTTACCTTGCATGTCTATCTTTCCGCGCCTTTGCCCTCCTGTCCTTAACCTCTGTCCTGTCCCCCCTTCCTGTCCCTCAGCTTCAAGTACGTGATGGCCCTGTCCTCGGACGTGGAGTACCTGAACAGCCGCGACGCCACCATCATGGGCAGCCGCAACGGCCACGCGCCCATCTACCTGTGGTACACGCTCACCCGCAAGGGCTACGAGGGCATGCGCCGCGACGTGGAGCGCTGCATGCGCAACGCGCACGTCCTCAAGCAGGTGCGAGGGGATGAAATGCGTTGGGAGGGGAGGGGAAGGGGCACGAGGGGAAGCAGGATGATGACACGAGTAGAGGGGACACGTGAAGTGTCAAGGACAAGCCTGACCAACATTGTTGACGTCACTTAGCCATAAGCAAGGAAGGGACCCATTCTGAGATTGTATGCTCGTTGTGTTGCCGTCGTACAGATGCTTGAGAGCGCTGGCGTGAAGACCATGCTCAACGAGCTCTCCAACACGGTCGTCTTTGAGCGGCCCAGGGAGGAGGCCTTTGTGCGCAAGTGGCAGCTGGCGTGCGAGGGCGACATTGCGCACGTCATTGTCATGCCCAACATCACCGTGGAGAAGCTCGAGGACTTTGTGGCTGACTACGTGCAGAGCCGTGCGCGTGTGTCCATTGCGGCGGCCAAGCGCGTTGCCAGTGAGGCCAAGGCGGCTGAGGAGGACGCGTAAGGTGTAGGGCTGCGTTGGTTGCGCCGTCGTTGCGCTCTCTTTTTGTGGTGCTGGTAATTCCGTGATTTGGGTTGGTCTGTTTTCTCGGTGGGTGTGTTGCATCTGCGATGGCAGGATTGATGGCAGCAGGGGTGTGCAGGGCGAGGGTGCCCTGCAGTGCTGTACACGTGGGTTGGGTTGGGTGGGCATTGGAGCCTTTTTGCGCTCTTGGGTTGCTCTGCTGCCAGCCCGTCTTGTTGCTCTGCAGCTGAGCACGTGGGTCCTGCAGACGTCTTGCTGCGTGCGATTTGCGTGTGCATGACATTCCTTACTGATTGTATCATACGCTGGGGGCGCGTTAGCTCCCGTGGGACGGACTGTGGAGGCAACGGTGCAACTTGACGCTTATGCGCCCGGTAGTTCGGTTGCCCTGTGGTTCCGTAAGCCACATGACGAAATGAACTGTGAAGTTTTGTGTTTGTTGTCCGCAGCAATTGGAGCTTTTGGAGTTTGACCTTTGCGCTGAAGTTTTTGACTGCTTGGATCTTTGACCCCTGGTTTTGTATTTTTAATTGACGCGCATAGGTCTGGAAAGCCTAATGCTGGCGGTTTACAAAGGGCCGTTCATACGGACTCGTGCTATCATGAAGACAGCAGAACTCCTATGGTTTAAGGAGCCGAATGTGCCTTGCCCGGCATTACCAGCCGTTTGAGCTCTGACACACACTCACACGGTGGCAGAAGGAAGCCACCCAAATGAGTGTGGTTAGGTGGCACGCTGTGTCTTCCGTATCAACAGTCGAGGTTCCAATTAACCATTTGTCTTCCAGGTGCTTGCTCATCCACAGTCCCGAGCTACTCCAGGTCACCACTCACGTCCAAGGCCCCATTGGAGACCCCCTGAAGGTCTCCTACCTACTGTACCAATGTTCCTACCACTTGTCGTAAGTAACAACAACCAATGCAGCATACTGTTTCGTGAATTTTACACTTGCAGCAAGTTGTATTCAACTAATATAATTGTATGCTGCATGCGTGCCTGCATTCTCATTAGCATGTGCAGCCCCATTAGTACACCTACATACACCTAACCATGCATAAGACAGCACCATGCATTCCACTACCGACGGGCTTCCTTTTGTCTTCCCCATAGCAAGGGGCCATAAAGGAGCCTCTCTTTACCTCCACCTCATATTGTTGTTTTTCCTAACTCCTATGCATGCATTATGTTACACCGGGTACGCCTTGCGTGTCCTTCCATCCAGCCCCGTCAGCAGCTGGTGTCAATGGCCGTCTGGTACCTGCCCAGCAGGTCCAGCACCTGCCGTATTTCCTTCTCGCTCTTGCCCAACAGCTGCAACAAGAGCGAGAGCGGGGACGCAGGGGCGGGGGTAGTGAGGGTCACTGCCACCGTGGCCATTTGACGATCGCCATGGAGCACAGCCGACCACCATATTAGCTAGGATATCCATGGCAGAGCAAACAGCACATAGGCCCTCCCCACCCTAACCACACTCGCCGCACACGGTTACTTCCCTCCTCTTTACCCCTAACCTTACCTGCGGATAGTACGTCACCAGCTGCGCCGCTCCGTACTCGCTGAGCCCCAGCTTGCGGAAGGTTATGATGGACTGACCGGCACGCACCAAGTCGCCCTCTATCAGCGCCTCAGGCGTCTGGCACAGCACATGTTGGACTTGAGCCTACAGCAGGAAGTCATAGTGTAGGAGCGACAAGGGATTGTTGGAAAGCGCGATGTGAAGGCGCTAACGCGCCGGGAAGAGGAACAGTCGTGAGGGCGACGGAGGACTTGCCTTGCTGAGGCCGAACGCAGTTAGGAACTCCACCCAGCTTGGCAGCTGGCAGCAGAGGAGGGTTGGATGACGGACAATGAGCGCTCGAGCCGCGCTTGCTGAGCCCACGATGGCAGTTAGGGTTTCAATTGATGCACCAACATCAGCCGCTTGCATTCCATTAACGGCATCTTGGACAATGCCAGAATCTTCGGGTGAAAGGCCTAACGCACTCAAGTCGTCATGGACCGCGGAAGTTAGGAATCGCGGGTGTCGCGGAGGCGCAAGGCGTCTGAGAAAAGTTCCAGCTATTCGATAAGTCCGATTTCGGGGAGCCAATAAGCACCTCACAGAACGTCTTGATAAAGAAAGCGTATCTTGACTCCAACATGTATGCGCTGCGCAAGAGCCCCTAAGAGGTAACGACATTTCGCCACCATACAGTTATCATACAGCACTTCGTGCTATTGACAAAACGAACTCCAACTTTCAACCGCTCCGACAGGCTCCGAAGCTTACCCGCCGATTGGGATTGATGCTCCTCTCCCCCTCCTGACAAACGGGCATAAAGGGAATGCTTGCCAGTATGAAATCTCCCAGGGTGGCCTTCTTTCAAGTGCAGTCGCCAATGGACCCGGCGGGCCACCCGCCGGCTCACGCTAGACAAACTGCACCGCGAACAGGGCCAGCTAGCATGTCACTGGCATGCCATCCTCCGCCGTCGCCACTAATGCTTACCTTCCAGCCCAGTAAGCGGCAGTAATACCCGCTGCATTGGTATACGGGTATTTTGCTGCCAGTTCCTGCCCCTCTGCTATGGCCTGCCCCGTCGGTAGCAGTTTGCTAGTCGCATAGTAGTGGGCAATGATAATGACTTACACACAAGGACCGTGCAGAAGTCTCAGTCATTCAATGGGGACATATGTACATGGTTCTTGCACGTCCCACCCGGTCGTGCGGTGGTACGTGGTGCAGTTCTTTGCTGCTGGTACCCCAGTCCCGGTTACGTACTGTCATACAGCGTACGGTACTGTGAACGACGTACGGTACTGACGTACAAGTCCTTCAGCCCCTTTTCGAGTGCTCCAGGTAACACGCCTGCGTTGCATCATCATCCGCTTTGTTGTGACTTCCAACAACACCTCGTCACTACAATGCGCCGTTCTGTTGCGCTAAGTGTCCCTAATTCGCACGGACCACGAGCAACAAGTAGTACCACCCAACGAAACGGTCAACCCATGCTCGTCCCTGTTCCCCCCCTAACAGCCAAGCCATGAGTTCACTACTCGCGTGCATCAAACACGCAGCCAGCCGCAGAGCCGGCCATTCCCACTCTCCACCGCCTATTTACAAGGCGCGAGCTGCGTGGCAGTTCCACCGTTCGTCCTGCGCGGGCAAGCCAGGTGGGGATGGCATGAGGCAAGGCAACGAGTGAAAATCGTCTCCAAAGCTTCCCATACGGCATGCTGCTGCCCAAACCTGAGCATGCACCCTATCATGCGTGCTGTGCCCGCACATGGCAATCGTTGCTCCACAGCAACCGCAGCAACACAATCCACATCCATTGATTGTGTTCAGAAAACTGGCCGCGAGCGCTTCTATGTGAGGAATCAGGAATGAGGAATAAACAAGAGCATCACTTGCCATGCAAGTTACGAGCTGTAGGGGTACTTCCGGTGCCGAACGCCTGGGGTCTTTCGGCGCTCGGTCTCGAGCATGCCCCGAACATCACTGTCCGCCAAACGCACGGCAAGTGCGTGGGTAATACCTTCTCTCCGTGTACCACCCCCAGCCAGTGCTCTAGGCATGGGGACTCGGCCACTGGCGGTTTCATGCAGCATACCGTACATGCACCATGCGACACAGCGGCCCCTTTGTTCCCTCCTTATGCGCCGCCATTCGCCTCACCATCCATGCGCCTCAACACCCCACCCCACTGCAATACAGCAGTAACTTGCGGGCACCCTGTGCGCCTGCCCGTTGACCTACCCACCGGTATCTATAAGGAGCTACGGACCACACACGCCAACAACACGGGCCGTGCAGCCGCAGCGCGGGGACGACGAGGGGGCGGACCACAGGGGCGGAAACCACCACCAGCGCCGTTGTCGCAGCACACCCTGCCACGCTGCTGCTGCCCGGCGCGCGCCGCGGCGCTACCGGTCCGGCAGTGCCGTACCGCGCTCCAGATTCGCCTTGATCTCCGAGGTATACTGCCCGAAGGCGCGTTGGATCTTCTTGTTAAAGTGCGCGTTGCGGTCGTTGATAAAGTCCACGTCGGATGCGTCGTTGTAGCGCCGACGCCGACTGAACTCGTCCTTTTTGCGGTCGCTGTGGGATGGGATGGGAGGGGATGGGATCGGGGCGCATGTTAGGCGGCAGCGGTCAGGACGTTCCAGGGACCGGAAGCCGCAGCAGCCCCCCTTCCTGCATTGCACCGGCATCTCCCCACTTTCCAGCCCCACTCCCGCTTCCCCCTGCAATCGGTGCTTCCTAGCACCTCCCCCCCTCCCGAGCTCATCGCGGGTACCCCTGACCACATCTCCCGCTGCACCACCGCCTCACCGGTCCACCAGCTCCGCCACCATCTTGTCCACATTCTCCGCGGGCAGCTTGGGGTCCTGCCCGTACATCATGCTGTCGGCGTCCCTGTTGGTGTGGCGTCGGCACGGGCGGGATGCGAGACAAGTAGCCGCATTTTGGGTGGGATAGGGGGTGAGCTGATCACGATCAGTGCGTGGGAATGTTAGGAGCACAAGGAGCGCGCATTAAGAGGAATAAGGCAACTAACCGCAAGCTAAGGTAGCATACAATCTGCAACACCAGGGCCTAAAACGAAGCTGAAGCAGACGCACCGGTAGAACTCCGGGTCCGCCGCCTTGGCCTTCTCGTAGTCCTCCTGCGTGTACGGCACATTCTCCGCCCGCTTGAGGTAGGAGCGGTAGAGGTTCTCGCTGGCAAACACGCCCCAGCCGGTGGGGCCGCCCTTCTTATCATGCTTCTCGTACTTGAGCGCTGCTGCCTCCGCAGTCTCCAGCCTGCCGGGCGGTGGGGAGCGCGGGTAGGTATTGGAGGCTTAGCAACAGGGGGCATGCGCGCAAAGGGACTCGCAACACCACACCCCTGCACCGTCCTCCCCTCCCCGCTTGGACGGGATCTGGGACGTCATCACCTTCTGCTCCATGCAACGGGCACGGTCCGCATACCTACCACGGCTCAGCTTATGTAAAGCTACCGCTAGTCCTTCACGCAGCCACCCCACGTGCGCACCTGTGTGCCTGCGTGGGGTCCAGCCCCAGCCTCTCTAGCTCCTCCGCGCGCCGCTTCTGCTTCTCCTCGTACCATCGCCGTTGAGCACCCGCGCTGTTGTCCCCGCCACCGGCAGCCTCCTCCGCACCGGGGCTCTGCAAGCAGCAAGGACAGCGATGCAGCAGCAGCAGCGCAGCAGCAGTTCAGCAGGAGGCGCCGCCATGATCCGCAGCACACCTCCGTCACCGCAGCGACTCCTCTAACAGCGCACCGTGATCATTGACCTCTTTAGGGTTTTATATATACCAGCAAGGCCGGCAGCCACAGCAAGTGGTTCCAGCCACTAGGGTGTACTCTTAGTACCCTTGGATCCACAGCACCCAGCGGACGAACTGCGGATCGAACTAAACCCACACCCTTGTGCTCGTTCACAGTCCCAGTCCACAAGCGCTGCCGCACCCACTTTTTGCCGCTTCTTTTCCGCTATCACCGCGTTTTGGTTCTGCTTGCGACACTGCTGCAGCCGCTGCCGCAGCTCCAGAAGCTTCCGCTGCTTGGCCGACATGCCCGCGTAGGGGTCCGCTCCCTCCACCCCGCCGTCCCCGGCCGCCTCTTCATCTCCCTCCTCCGTGCCTGGGGCTGAAGACCCCGGCCGCGGCCCCGCGCCCTCCTGCTCCTCCTTCGGACTGCCCTCCCGCGCCGCCGCCCGCTCCGACTCCCCCTCGCGTCGGGTGCCGGGTTGCGCTGGCTTGCCGAAACCCAGGGCTGAAGCCACATTCCCCAGTGCTGAGGCCGGCACGGCTGAGGGCTGCTTCTTTGGCTGCTGCTGCTGTTGCTGCTGCAGGGCCTTCAGCCGCTGTAGGGAGTCCTGATCTGGGTTGACGGCGTTTGGGTCGGCCAGCAGCTTGGCCGCCTCCTCCTTCTCGGCCTTGAGCTTCATCATCATCTGCAGCTTGCTGGGCAGCTGTGGGGAAGGGAGGAAGAGCCGGTGCAGTGGCGGGAGCCGAATGAGGGCAGGGGCTAACATCTGGACTAGGACCAACACAGGAGCGGACCGACGTGAGGAACAGTGTCATATGTGCAGTACGGCACGTCACGGCAGGGAGGGGCTGCACCCGTACGCACCTGCCCGCAGTCCGTGATGATGACCCGGCGGCTGGGCTTGCCGCTGCGCTGCCCCACCACCTCCATGCGCTTCAAGGTGGTCATCCCCTCCACCACACGGCCGAACACCACTGCGGGGCGTGAAAGAGAAGGCAGAGAGAGGGAGAGAGGATTAAGGGTTGGGGCAGGGCGGGTAAGCGTCCAGGTACAGGTAGAGGCTCTCCGTACGATGGATGAGGATGCGCGAGAGCTTTCTTGCCACCCCCGAATGAGAAGCGAAGGGGGATGGGTTGCAGCGGGAACATGGAGTAGGATGTGGTAGCTGGTGGCAGCTTGGCAAGTGAGTGGTAGGCAGTAAGACGCTGTGCAACACAGGCGGCACCGCTCACCGTGTTTGCCGTTAAGCCAGGGGCAGGGCACCGTGCAGATGAAGAACTGTGACCTGCAGTCGTAGGAGGGCGGGCATGGGGCGTGGGAGGACGTGGTGTGGCAACAGAGCGGCACAGACGACGCAAAGCAGAGAGTCTACACTGCAGGGCCTCACGCTAAAGTGTCCAAGGAGTTCAGGACTGAGGCATTTCACCCACCCGTTGGTGTTGGGCCCGGCGTTAGCCATAGAAAGCAGACCCGGCTTGTCGTGCTTCAGCGCAAGCCCCGCCGGCTCATCCTCAAAACGTGGGCCATAGATGGATTCTCCACCTGTTCCATCTCCCGCTGTGAAGTCGCCTCCCTACAACCAGAGCAGATCCCCCAAGTTCAACCCCACTGTGATCACTTGCCGAGGACCGAGAGGTGTCTAATTACAGGTAAGTATTAAGAAGTGCTTATCGGCAATAAAAAGCGCGCTTCTCACCTGGCACATGAACTCCGGGATAATTCGGTGGAAGACACAGCCTTTAAAGTGCAGTCGTTTACCGGACTTCCCCATGCCTTTCTCGCCAGTGCATAGCGCCCGGAAGTTCTCCACGGTTCTCGGCACGATGTCAGCATAAAGCTCCATGACAACCCTGCCAGCCGCCTCACTACCAATCTGGATGTCAAACCATACTCTTGGATTCTCCATGGCTTCAACTAAAAAGTTGTGATAAGGTAATCGCGTAAGCGAGATTGGGGTCAACCAAGACGGCTCAGGATACTCTAGGAGCACAGGAAAGATAACTCTTGTCGCATAACGTATACCAGTGCTGCTAAAGGTTGTGCTTTTGGATGGGTTGGTGACTGTGCTGTTTGTCAAGAGGCAATTTCCAACGGTCAATACATGTACGGGATGGCCATATCTCCGTACCTGGTCGTGAACTCATCTACTGGCTGCGGCCACCATGTCAGCGCTCTGGGCCTAACACGTCTATTGTACACGCGTTGCAACATCCAAAGAAACTGTCGGCGGACGCTAAGGGCTCTGGTATGCCAGCAGCAGGGAAAAGCAGTTGCACACCTGTCGTGGCCACTCGTAAGGGGGCGGTGCCTAAGGGCAACAGCAGGCTGGGGATGGAAAAACAAAGGCCATTATGCAACAGGAAGAGGCATATGGACTTCGCGGTAACCCTGTGCTGCCCCGAGTGGCTCATCACACAGGCAGTCGTGCTGTGGGCAACGAAGGGGCGTGTAACGGCCAACCCTCTGAGCACTGCCTGAGCAGGGGCGACCGGGTCGAACTACTGGGTGATCTACGGCGCCTGTTGCGCCTAGGGACCTTTGCTAACCTTCCACGATGGACAGGTGAGACTCCCCGCCTCGTTGCGCAGGAGCATGCAGTGTGAGAGTGAGCGACAAGAAGGCATACACGCCCAGTCATGAAGAGCACTAGAGCCAGCTTGCACAATTGCGTGTGACAGCATGGAATTGGCGTAAAGGATGAGCTCCCAGTTAACGGCTAAAACGGAACCGTTGAGGGACTTGATTTCTTCCCACAAGGGGGTGGGGAGAAAAAAAATAAATAAGTGGGGAGGGGCGGGAGTGACGCAACCGTGTGTACCTTCGCCGTTACATATGCTCTACACAGTTCTGCCAGTAACGTTGAACGTCGGACATGTTCTGCACCAAGTCCATGACGCAACCCGCAGTCCATTGCAGCTTGGACAACGGCCGTGAGGGTTTCCGGCTAAGCTTGGCACTTGAACACGTGAACGTGGCAAGGACGCCTACCTCCGTGCGCAGACAAAGCTACTAGCCGAGAGACGTGCATTCGTTAGCTAATGCATATCCTATAGTATAGGATTATGCGCCCCTGAATTATGATCTACCGGTACCGGTAGCCAACCGCGTGTCCCGATCAAAGCTGCCGGTTCCTTTCCTTATTACCGGTGTTGCGCGTTGCAGGGTAAAGTAACATCAGCGAAACGAAGTTATCGACTAGGAAAAGCGGCTACACTGCTTCTGCTCGTAAACCATGCATGCTCGTTTGGCTTATCGCTAAGCAACTGCTCCGCATAGGACATAACTCTTGCCAATATGTACTGAAGTTTTGAACTCAGAACACATTGAGTCTGGAATCGTCTACTGCCCGCGGTTAGTTAAGGACACCTCTTCTATGTACGGTCCGTACAGCCTTGGCATGACCGCGCAAATCCCTCGCTAAGCATTAAAAGGGGGCGCTTCAGTGGAAGATCACTAGGTTAGGCTTTGTTCAGACGGTAGCTTCGGCGCCGCTTTTACTCCTTTGTCGGTTCTGATCAGCACGCCACTGCCATGAAGTGGGCAGTGCTGTTGGCCACCCTTGTGGTGGCAGCTTCCGCTGAGGTCTACCTGAAGGAAACGTTTGATGGTGAGAAGCATTTCAGCTTAGATACGAAGGGGTCTTTTAACCGGACCGATCTAGACGTTTCTGGGCCATCCTCACGCAGACTCGTGGGCGGACCGTTGGGTGAAGTCCAAGTGGAAGCAAAGTGACGGCCAAGCTGGTGACTTTAAGCTGAGCGCTGGCAAGTGGTATGGCGACGCTGAGGCGGACAAGGGCATCCAGACTGGGCCGGACTCGAAGTTCTTTGCTTCGTACGCTCCTCTAGACAAGGTCTTCGACAACACCGGCAAGGACACCGTCCTGCAGGTATGATGAACTCTTGAAACGATTTAACTTCAGATACAATTCCTAAGCACTGTCCATTGCCTTGCAGTTCTCGGTGAAGCACGAGCAGGACCTGGACTGCGGCGGTGGCTACATTAAGCTCGTGCCCGCTTCCAGGTGGGTCGGATCGCGGTGGTTGGCATGGGTCTGACCTTCGTGGCAGGTGACTTGACGCTGGAGACCTGACGCGTCGGTTTTCCCGCGCAGTGAGAAGCAGATGGAGTCCTTCGGTGGTGAGACTCCCTACTCCATCATGTTCGGCCCCGATATCTGCGGCTACTCCACCCGCAAGATCCACGTGATCCTGACCTACAAGGGTAAGAACTACCTCATCAAGAAAGACCTGAAGGCGGAGACCGACCAGCTGTCGCACGTCTACACTCTGGTCATCAAGCCCGACAACACCTACAAGGTGCGTCTTGGATGACTATCTTGCTGCCTCGCGCATAAGCTGACGTACACTTCCCCCGGTTACCGCTGGGTACGTCCATGACAATGGCTGATATGGTCTCTCTCTTCCGCAGGTGTACGTTGACCTGAAGGAGGTGGCCTCTGGGTCTCTCTTCGAGGACTGGGACATGCTGCCCCCTAAGACCATCAAGGTACGATGCTAACCATGGCACGATGTGATGCATGGCGCATGATACAAACGTGTCATCGTTCGAACATGCCCATAGGACCCCGCACAGCTACCACCTATTGGCATGTAACCTGCAGCGGTTCTCCATTCCGGCTTGAGGGCATAGCCGTTGAGGCCATCGTTTCCCATGGTCTTCTGGGTCATGCTTATCAGCTCTTAAATCCTTCTCGCGCCCTTTCCCTCGTAATTGTAGGACCCCAAGGCCAAGAAGCCCGAGGACTGGGACGAGCGTGAGGAGATCCCCGACCCCGAGGACAAGAAGCCCGAGGGCTGGGATGACATCCCCGCCACCATTGCCGACAAGACCGCCAAGAAGCCTGAGGACTGGGATGAGGAGGAGGACGGCACCTGGGAGCCGCCCATGATCCCCAACCCCGAGTACAAGGGCGAGTGGAAGCAGAAGATGATTAAGAACCCTGATTTCAAGGGCATCTGGGTTGCCCCCGATATTGAGAACCCCGAGTACAAGCACGATGACACCCTCTACAACTTCAAGGACCTGAAGTACGTCGGCTTCGAGCTGTGGCAGGTACGCAGAGCGGCAGAGGGGGACACAGTTTGTGTTCTGGGTCGGCATTACCCTGCCACGCTCCTGCATCTGGGTTCATAACCTTTCAACCCCCGACAGTGCTTCTGCATGCAAGGCATATGGCATAGTATGGAGTCTGCAAGCAGCTATTGGAGCACGTAATTACCGTGTTGGGACTTTTGCCATGCCTGCACAGGTGAAGTCGGGCTCCATCTTCGACAACATCATGGTCACTGACGACTTCGAGACCGCCAAGGCCTTCGCTGAGGAGACCTGGGGCAAGAGCAAGGACGCCGAGAAGGAGATGATGGAGAAGGTGCGTCTGGGGGAATTGTATAGCGTGGGTGCCGTTGCCGGCACCAGGATCCTGCACACCTACGGTAGTAGCTGGCTTTGCATCACTCTCGTGGGTACGCAGGTTGTCCTTGTTTTATAGCATGGTTACAGTCTAACGGTTTCTGCCCCTTTGCTCTCCTGTAGGTGAAGAAGGAGGAGGATGCCAAGAAGGCTCCCCCTCCCGCCGCCGCCGCCGCTTCTGAGGAGGGCGAGGACGACGATGACGAGTACGACGACAAGGAGGAGCCCGCCGCCACCGGCTCCGTTGAGATCCCCAAGGATGAGGAGGTTAAGGAGGAGGCTGCCCACGATGAGCTGTAAATCTCTCGTTGATGGTAGTTGAAATTCTTGCGGATTGTTGGAGGACAAAATCAATTAAACACAAACCATAACATGACTTGACGTTTCTCGGGATGGAGCGATGGCTTGAGAGGATGAGAGGTGTTGACCATGCGACGACTGGGATGAAGGCACGTGACGGAATTGTGATGGTGGAAAGCTCGACAGGTTAGGCTTATCTGACTCGCATAGGCAGGATGCTCGCCGGGCGTGCGCCCGATTTTGCAATGCGCGTTCATGCGTACATACATGCTGTAAAGGCAAATCCACACCTTGAGCTGCCCTCGACGCCCACAACAGCTTTGCGCACAACATGCAAAGCTTCAAGTCGATAATAATGGGTTGACATCGAAGTCTGAATGGATCTCTCATGTATGTCGCCATGGTTCAAAAACCAACAATGTACGGCTTGTACATACGCGCGTCACAAGTCGAGCTTTATCATTTGCAGGCCTGCCTCTTTGGTGTTCAGTAACTTTCCAGCTTTCCTGCTGCGTCGTCGCTATCATGGCATCTGTGTGCAAATTAATCAGTCAGCCCAATAGGATCGGGACCTTACGCTCACCTCGTATGCGTCTTTGCTCACGCACACAACTGCAAATTGTTCGGTCGTCATCGCATGACAGGTCCGATCTGCGGCAGCAGCAGGTGCGGCCTCTTGCCTGCTTCAGAGACCCTTGTGACAATGCATTGCTTTCCGTTTGTTTTGTGAGGTATGAGGCATCCTGGCTGAGTCTTAAAGGCTCCATTTCGTGACCGGCCGCGCAGGGTCGCGTCGACAGCGGTACACAGCGCGAGATGGTAAGAAGGCGTCCTGCTGTCATTGAACTCATTTTTACAAAAGCCATTGCCGGACCACACTTTTGGTATTGTGTATATTGTATGTGCCGGGAGGAAGCTATGAGCCAAGGAGCCTAGTAGGCTGGGGAATGACCTCATCGTGAAGGGCTAGACGTGGCTGACCCGTGGGTCAGCTCCAGTGCTCCTTCAGGAAAAAACGCCCTGAATAAGTGCGACACGTTCCCATCTGCTGCCACACTCAAGCCTAGTAGCCTACCACCAGTCCTTCCTTGTAACTGCTTTCCCATGCGACGTGTAGGACACCCAGGGGCCACCGAGCAGCAACCAGCAACTGCGGGACGCATCGGATGTGGACCTTGGAGTTGCGCCCATGTACGGACCGTACCCCGGATCCAGTGCCGTACAGCACGGCGACAGCACCATGCAGTCCCAGGCGGAATACCGGGAGCAAGGCGGAGGGGAAGACATCAGCCTGCAGCCACCTGGAGCGCCGCCCGAGGCTGCTAGGGTGAGTGTGGTAGCATGTTTTAGGTTTGGTTGCGGCAGCAATGATGAAACACAAAGCGAAGTGTTACTATCTACAGCACGGAGGTTACAAGCTCTGTCAAGCCTGACCCAACTTGGAAGTGATGTTGCACGGCCCCACATGTCCTTACGTGTCGTACCTACCGCATGCGCCTGCCGTACACAGTCGCGCCTGCCGTACACCGTCACTCGCCAACACCGTCACTCGCCGTCCCGCACGTATGCGTTGCAGCAACGGACTGCCGCGCTGCAACCCAACATGGACGTGTCGGAGGCTGACGTGGCGGTTGGCATGCACCTGCACCACCTGTTTCCGCGCGGCGCTGACCCACGGGCCATGCAGGCGAGCCGGGCAACATACACACCGCAGCACTCGCATGGCATATGGCATGGCGTCGCAACTGGCCTTTCCTTGAGTCGGGACCAGAGAGAGAGAGAGAGAGCAGGGACGGGGCGTTGGGGCACGTTCCTAAAGCTAGGCTTTTGCCGCTATTGCTCGGATGCCATCCTTATCAGGAAAGGCGGTCGCGCAGCCTTAACCGCGGAGAGGGGCCTTCAGCTCTTAAGGAGTAAGACACACCACCTGACTGATAACTACAGATATTCCCCAAGCCTTCCCGTGCTTGCACGCATGTGCTCTCCCTCAGATTCTGCGGCAGCTAGAGGAGGAGGCTCCATCTGACATCGACCAGGCACGAGGACTAGGGCCCGAGCAGGTACGCGCTGCCCTTCTCTGCGGAAGCTGGGATCCTACGGCTTAGGTATGACACTGTACGGCAGCCCTAATGGCCTGATACATGGAAGGGCTTGTGCTCCTCACCGTGAATGATGTGAACTCACTTGTTCTTTATCAAGATGTGCGACAGCTAGCTCCCAAACTCCACCGCCTCTTACGGTACCCTGCGTGACACCTTTAAACACAGGAAGAGGGCGGCGTCGACCCCTCCCTGCCGCACCACCATGGAGACGCCAGTCGGGGACCCATGGGAGCGGAACGCGATGAGGGAGACCGCTCTGGCGGCAGCGGCAGCGCTGCCGGCGGCGGTGGCGGTGCATTCGCCACCGCCGCCGCCGTGACTGCGGGTCCTGACACGGGGGATCCGTACAGCGGAAGGCTGGGAGAGGAGCGGCGCGCGGAGTGGTCAGGCAGCCGACCTGCCTCGCTGTCTGGTCGGGCGATTGGACTGGGCAGCGAGACGCAGGTGTGTGATCCTGCTGTGGGGCTCTGTACGGGTTGCATAACCATCTCCTTCCCTCCTCCTCACCGCCCCCTTATCTCCCCTCCCCTTCAGGTTCGTGAGGTGGAGCGGCGCATCAGCGGCGGCACCGCCAACACCGGAGCCACCCTCTCGCACCTGCCGCCGCACCAGCCTCCCTCAGCCGCCTGGCAGCAGCAGCAGCAGCAGCAGCAGGTGCGGGGCGCTGCGGGTGCTGCTGCTCTCGGAGGCCATGCAGGTGCTGCTGCGGGTGCTGCTCCCCAGCCGCCGCTGTACCGAGGTCATCTGGCGGCGGACCAGAGGACTGCGGCGCAACTGGGGTCACTCAGCGCGGTGAGAGGGAAGGCCATGGAAGGCATGGGCGGGGTGTCGGGAAGGAAGGGTGAAGGGAGCGTTGGCGGTGGAAGCAGGGAGGTAATGGTGCTAGATGCCAGTGACCTGACCAGCTGGCGAACTGATGCGTGTAGGGCCTTAAGAGCGACCGTACGGCAGTAGCTGGGTGTTGCAGACACGATTATTTGTTTGTACCCATCACCGTAGGTTCGTGCTGCAGAGGCGGCTATAAGTCTGCCTAGCAGCGGAGGCAGCCGAGGGGAAGGCGCCGGCGCCGGCGCCGGCGCTGGCAGCGCTGGTGGCGGTGGCAGCAGCGGCGGTGCCTCCGCAGCCGCAGGGGCTGCGGGCCGTAAGGCTTTCAGCGCCCTGGAGGGTGCGATGGGCGGAGCGGTGGAGGGAGTGACTGGCGCGGCCAAGTGCGTGAGGGACACGGCGAGGACCGCGGGGCAGCTGCTGGGGTGAGAAGGGCTCTGTGTGCGTGTGTGTGTATGGCGGCAGGGCGGGTGGGGAGGGGTGGGGTGCGGCTGGGTGGGTGGGTTATGGGCCTGGTGCACATGCAGATGGCGTACAGTGCTCTGGCATGTGTGACATCTGACATGATATATGTTGCGATGGTAGCGTATTGGGTCTTGGCCTGTCGGACATCTCCGTCGTATATACTAGTATGCCCGCTAGTGTTAGTTGCTGATGACATGATGACGTTCCTGTCGCTTTACATGTATCCCTTTACAGGAACGCCGCAAAGCACGTTGCGGAGGATGTGGAGGGAGCGACCCGTGGGTCGGGGCGTGATGATGATGCCGCGGCGGGCAACAAAACCACCAGGCGCGACATCTAGGCATACGTGCAGTTCTCAGTTTGTAAGTTGGGCCAGGTAATGGGTTTGTAATTGTAGCTTTGTCCCTTGCGGCGCGCATGCAAACGTTGATGAGCGAGGCTGTGGTGTTGCTTTGTTTACGTAGTACGTACATCTAGGCTGTGCAAACCACTTGCGGCGAGAACATTGTGGATCATGCTCCTGTCAGCGTACATAACTGTACACGGTGTTGCTGCCCAGGTTTGGAGGGGGTAGCCTCAGAAGATCGGGACACAGGATACGTACCGAGCTGTTGGCATGTAGCAATCGAGTTGGAAGAGAGTCACGTTACACATTGCCGGGAGAGATCCCTCAGACCGCTCCTGCTGCATGGGCCGTCATTGGAAGTGCGTGCGACTGCGCTAGCTGCTGAGGGACGTATCTCGTTTAAAACAATAGTTTCTGGGGACTTTGGCATCAGGCCACATCCTTCCATTCACCGTCGACCACACTACCGCCGGTACAGAGGAAACCCAACCCAGATGCCCGACTGTCTCTTGACAACAAATACACACCGTGCCAGTTACACGGCACGAGAACGAGATACCGTAGCACCCCAACGTCACCGTCGCGGCGTCAGTCTCAGCACAACAGCCTCCGGTCGCAATGTAAGCAGCGGCTGAGGGCGCGGTAAGGACGCGGGGGAGTTGTACGGCAGTGTTAGGCTGTAGCGCTGCAGTACGGCAGATAGCACCAGCATGGCTTCCATCATGGCAAATCCGGATCCAATGCAGTTCCGTGGACCGCCGCCGAAGGGCAGGTAGGCTCCGTTGGGCCCCAGACCGCTCATAAGGCCCATGTAGCCCTGGTAGCCCTCCCTGGAGGATGAGGAATACGGCAGGGATTGGGTTGATGAGGATTACATGCTCAGAGATAGTAAGAGATGAAAGAAGCATACTAGGGATGAGGTGTTGAGGATTGTCCTGGTGGCCATCCTTGGATTACGAGGAGTGGCACGGGGCCAAGGCGAAACCAAACCACAAGTCAGGGCAGGACAGAAGTGGATAGGAGGCAGCAGGGTGGCACTGATTGCAGTATCCGTCTTGATGCTATCCTAGGATTAATGCCACGGCCTATCATCCCGCACACCTGCTTTGCAGCTCATGCCAGCGTTCCGGTTTAAACACCTCTGGCTGCTCCCACACAGTCGGATCACGGTGCATGACGTACGGCGACACCAGCACTGTCGTACCGGCGGGCAGGCTGTAGCGGCCGTCATCCCCTAGTGTCGTACCCACACGCGCGCAGCGGCCCACCATGTACGCCGGACTGTACAGCCGTAACGTCTCCAGTACGATGGATTCCAAGTACGGCATGTGTCGTACACTACGGCAGTTGGAAGTTGTAGCGGATACAACCGGAGGTAGTTAGATCAGTGCTTGCACATCAGTAGCATTGATAGACACTGGAGGCTCTGGCACGAATCAGCAGCCAATCCTGTAGTGGCGGGCAGTGTCAATGCTGCTCTTGGAGCAAGCCGCGGAGCGCTCCTCTCGGCCCTCTACCGAAGACTCCTAAGACAGTCCACCACCCCCCAGGTCAGCGGTATCCACTCACCTAGCTGCCGTCGGCGCCGCCGTTTCTCCGCACACCTCTCGCACCTCCGCCGCCGCCGCCTGCTGCACCTCCGGATGCGCCGCTAGCAGCGCCGCCGCCCATCCCAGTAAGATGGCACTGGTCTCCTGACCCGCCACCAACAATGTCATCAGCTCGTCTCGTAGCGCACTATCGCTCATGCCGTACCCATCTTCATCACGTGCTAGGAGCAGACTGGTGAGAAGGTCGCCAGGTACGGCAGGGGTAGTGGCGGTGGCGCGGGCGGCGGCGGCGGCTGCCGCCGCCGCAGCGACGGAGCCGTGCCTCGCCGCTAGGTCTTCGCGGCGGCGGGCAATCATGCCGTACACCACTCGATCGAGTTGTTGTACGGCCGCCGCGAACTCCAGGTTGTCCCATGTGGGTAGCCACTCGGGGATGACGAAGCCGGTTGCGGCTCTGCGAATGTGGGGTGAGCAGGGTTAGGAGGGCTGTACGGCAGGGGCAGGAGGTTTGCTGTGGAGGGGCTGATAAGCGAGCTGTACGGCAGGGGGACATACGCACAGCACTAGTGACTGCACATGAAGACGGCGGGGTACGAAAGGCAGCACACCTGCACACGCCTCCCTCCCGAACCCATGTAGCATCCACGTACGGTACTAGCGCCCTGACAAGCCCTACAACAACCTACTAAGTCCCGCCAATCCGCGTCGTACCGTTGTGTGAAGAAGGTGAAGGCCTTCTCTACTGCCGCCACAATCTGCCTTGCCTCCTCACTTGAGGCTGCCGATGAGGAAGAAGAAGCGGGTGAGGAGGAGGTGGAAGAGTGCGGTTGTTGCCAGGTAGAATGCGGCTGTTGTTGCGACTGCTGTTGCTGCGTTTGGTGCTTCCTTTCTGGAGCGGTGAAACCGAATAATGCCTCCAACGTGACTTGCAGCGTCAACTCGTTGAAATCCGCATACACGTCCCGGGTGCCACCTGCAGGACAAATGTACGACATAACAATATTAATCAATCTCATGTCACCTCCTCTACTATTACCGGTAAGCGATGAAGGGCTGTCCATGGGATTTCAGGTAATACCCGGCCTAGGAACCTTACGAAAAGTCAGCTTTCGCGACCGTGCCGGTACCCCATAGCAACCTTTCCCTTCCCAGCGCCTCCTCGCGCTCCTGCTTCTCTCTCTCCTCCCTTACCTTGACCCCACACCCGCCCCATCATATCCTCCGTCGCCGACACCATCGCACTGCCGTACGTCTCCACTGCCGTACGACGGAACGCGGGAGTCGCCAACCGCCGCTGCCGTTGCCATACGGCACCATCACTCACCAACAGCCCATTCCCAGCCAGGCTGCTCCCCGGGAAAAATGCCGTACCCGCCTTGCCGTACACGCTACCCGCCTGATCCACGAGTACGGCATGCGCCTCCTGCCGCCCCGAAACCAGTACGACACGCTCCCCGCCTAGCAGCAATCCTACGACGGGGCCGTAGCGTGCAGTGGTTTCGGAGAGGAAGCGCAGGGGATCCGAGAGGAGGGCGAGGGTCTGGTCGCCTGGTGGCCCGGCGGGGAACCCGGGCGGCGGGGGCTGGGTTAGGCGTTGCAGGCGAGAGGCGACGTCGCCGGCGGCGGCAGTGGCAGCTGTGGTTGCGGAGGTAAGCTGGGCTGCGGCGGCTTGCAGTAGACTAAGCCAGAGGTCTAGACGGAGATCCGAGGTGGTGGGCGGGTGAAGGTGTGAGTGCGGGCTGGGGGATGCAGAGGTGGAGGAGGCGGATGGAAAGGAGGAGGATGAAGAGTGGTGCGAGGGCGTTGATGACGGGGTTACGGAGCGAAGCTGGGAGGTTGAAAGCGCTGAGCTGTACCGGTGTTCACAGCTGAGGCCCCTGTTGTATGTTGCATCGGATTTGTGATGTTGGCACCGACGGGATGCTGTTGGGACCACATGGCTTGCGCTATTAGTTCCGGTGAAGGCATCAGGAGAGAAGCTCCTAGCGTTTAAGAGTGAGGCAGCGCCATGCCCGGCGGAAGGGCAACCGACACCTGGAGCACTGCCTTGAAATGCACGCGTTCCGCATGGTAAGCGCGTAGACTGCATCACAAGGCTAACAAGGTTCGCTATGCCTTTCTTCCGCAAGGTTACGCGCAATGTGGGATGTCCAGCACTCAACAATTCAGCGCTTTTAGCTTAGAAATGCAGAAGACATGTACGAGGAGCCAGTTTATGGAGTACTTCTTTGCACTGCGTGCAACAGCGGTTGCAAGTATGGTGACAGCTGCTAGTACAACATCTTTCGTACGGGCGAAATGCCCCTCACCTTTGCGTGCAACTTTGGTGCTACCTGCAAGAAAACCTGATCCTAATTGGGAAGCTTCAGCGCTGGATCAGGGACCCAGAACCAGGTGCGCTCCGCTATCGGCAAGCATACCGTTGAGCATATACTGAAAGCATCATACTGTACATATGAATTCGAATTGTGTACAGGAGCTGGAACCCCTATAATTGAGGCCAATAAGTGTACTTCATAGAAAGGCATTGGAAAGGCGAAGGCCTCGGCTCGTGACAGGGCCTCCAGGCCTGGCGACTTGTCCCTGAGCGAGCGAGTGATCCTCAAATACTCATGCTCTAGTGACTATTACAATGAACGTCATGCACCACGCGTCGGCCTGTGATGCAGCAGCGAGGACGCAGCGGATGGGCATCGTGATCGCGACAGGTACTTGGCTCACGCACAACGTTGCAAACTACTCTTCTGACAATCGACATGTTGCCTAACCAGTGGGCACACTAGCAATCGGCATTCGTTCTGTCCAGTCTCACGGACAGAGACGGACGGAGAGTGTCACGGGTATCACGGTTGACCGTCATCGACTTGAGGGCTGTGTCTTTGGCCTCTGCCTTCCTGTTTCGTAGCAAGTGAAGTTTCCTAGCAGCGCACCTAAGCTCTCCCTTACTTGCCCATTACCTAACCCTCGCAACCCCCTTCCTATGCCCATGCACCTATTCCCCTCTTGTCCAGGCCCAAGCCGCATCGCCACCTGCGCCGTCGCCGTCTCCTCCAGCGCTAGCGCCCCACTCCTCCCTCCAACGCAACCTCCCCTATCCGCATCCGCCCTCCCAGCCCTCCCTCGCCATGCCCTCCCCGTCCCCAGTCGCCAAGCACCCTCTCGCCGCCAAGCACCCTCCCTCCTCCACCCCTCCCTGCGCACTCGGACCCGCAGCACCCAAGCCAGCTCGCCCCCTCCCGATCCGCACGACCCCCTCAACCCCCAGCAATTCCCCTCCCTCGACCCATCCCAACCCTCAACCCACCCAAACCTCGACAACCCCAGCAGCGCTGCTCCCAGCGCCTACGTCAGCGCTGCCACCGACAGCTTCTCCGACCCCGCAGCCAGCACTTGGGACCCGCAGCAGCAGCCGTACGACTTCTCCCTCGCTGAGTCCGCGTACACCGCAACGCTACCACCCCCACTAACACCATCCTCTGCCACTGCCTCGACAGCAGCACCAGAAGCAGCGGAAGCTCAAGTCCCGGCAGTAGCAGCAGCAGCAGCCGAAGCACCAGCCGGCAGTGCTGCTGCTGCGGTTCCTCGCTCGCCGCATGCTCCCCGCCGCGTGTGCATCTTCGTGGAGCCCTCGCCCTTCACCTACGTGTCGGGCTACAAGAACCGCTTCACCACCATGATCCGGTTCCTGGTGGAGGCGGGCTGCGAGGTGCTGGTGGTCACAACGGGTGAGGCAGGGAGGGGTGGGGGGGTGGGGGAGGGCTTGGTGGGGGCGTGTGGTGCTTCCCGAGTACCAGTACCTTACCGATAGACGGGAGGTGCGCATTCTATGGTTTACACGCCATTAAAATGGCCATCAAAACAACACTTCCTGCTCTCCCCCATCCCTATTACGGTAATCCCCCTCCCTCACCTTCCCTTCTTCCTCTCCCCCTCCCAGGCAAGGGCTACACGCTGCCGGGAGTGGATTCCTCCAGCTTCCGCGAGCAGCCCGGCAGCTGGGCGGGCGCACGGGTGGTGTCGGCACTCAGCTTCGGCTGCCCCTGGTACGCGCAGGTGCCGCTGAGCTTCGCACTGTCGCCCAGGATATGGCGGGAAGTGAGGTGGGTCACACCTCGTACGGGCCGTGGAAATGGGCTTGTGAAACACAATGCAAGGAGAGGGGCGGCGGCTGCGGACGCCGCTGAGGACGCCTTCCTGCACTGCTGTTGTACAATTGCGAGCTATGCGTTGCCCGACCCTTCCCTTCCTAAACGATATGTTGGTTGTGACCCACAAAACCCAGAACCCCCACCCTACTCCTCCCGCTCCCACAGGGACTTCCGCCCCGACCTCATCCACTGCTCCTCCCCCGGCGTCATGGTCTTCGCCGCCAAGCTGTACGCCTGGCTGCTGCGCGCCCCCATCGTGCTGTCGTACCACACCCACGTGCCGTCGTACCTGCCGCGGTACGGCATCAGCTGGCTGGTTCCCGCCATGTGGGGCTTCCTGCGGCTGCTGCACGCCACGGCGCACCTCACGCTCACGGTGAGCCCCGCCATGGTGGAGGAGCTGCTGGCTAACAAGGCGGTGGAGCGACGGGAGCAGATACAGGTGAGGGGGTTGGGTCTTGGGTGGGGGCGGGAAGCGGGGGAAAAGGGGGAAGGACCAAGGGGGAAGGAGGGAAGAGGGAAGCGGGTAAAGGCGGGAGCTCTGTGGACTGTCTCCTGTCCTTTAATTCGTTGTCCATGACCCCATCCCATCACCATATCCCTCCCAGGTCTGGAAGAAGGGTGTCGACTCGGACACCTTCCACCCTCGCTTCCGCTGCGACGCCATGCGCTCCCGCCTCACCGCCGGCCGCCCCGAGCGCCCCGTGCTGGTGTACGTTGGGAGGCTGGGCTTCGAGAAGAACCTCTTCTTCCTGCGCCGCCTGCTGGACCGTAACCCGGGGGTCAGCCTGGCGTTCGTGGGGGACGGCCCCGCGCGCGCGGAGCTGCAGACCGCCTTCCAGGGCACCCCCACCACCTTCCTGGGCATGCTGCATGTGAGGGGGTTGCGGGAGGGGGTTGGGTAAAGAGGAAACAACTAACTGCGGGAGGGGGTGCGGGACGGGGGTGTGGGTGGTGGTTGGAGAGCTAGGCACGACTGGAACGACTGGGGCCTCTAAGGTGGCGGTGGCGTGGGGAAAAGGAGCAGGAAACGCTGGAAGAGCAGGTGCATGCGGCCGTGCTGCGTTACTCCTGTCTGCCTGCCTGCCTCATCCCCTTCTCCCCCGCCCCGCGCCCCACCCTCCCAAAAACACACACGCTGCAGGGTGAGGACCTGTCGTCCGCCTACGCCTCCTCCGACGTGTTCGTAATGCCCAGCGAGAGCGAGACGCTGGGCTTCGTGGTGCTGGAGGCCATGGCGGCGCAGCTGCCCGTGGTGGCAGTGCGCGCGGGGGGCATTCCCGACATCATCCGGCCGGAGGATAACGGTGTGTGGGGGGGATGGAGGGGGGGTGCATGTGTTGCTTTGGGTTGTTTGCTTGCATGGAGGTGGTATGGGGTGCGAGGGGAACCCTGGGGGCTGGGCTGGGCAGAGCTGGGCCCTAGGAACTGGCAAAACGGGCATAAGTTGCCTGAGACGGGCACTTTCCGACGGTGTCCTCCCTCTCCTAACACCCCCCCTATGCAGGTGTGACTGGGTTCCTGTACGAGCCGGGTGATGAGGAGCGGGCTGCGGAGCTGGTGGGGCAGCTGGCGGCGGACCTGGAGCTCAGGTGGGGGGGGGCTACAGGGAGGGTGGGGCCAGCGGGGCAGCCAGGAGGGTGAGGCCAGGAAGGCGGCTGGGGCTGGGTGCATGCCAGCATGACGCATGAGGCGTCAGGTGGAGACGGTGGCGCGTACGGTGTGCCAATCCGGCACATCATTCCTGTGTTGTGGCCCCATGCTGCGAGCAATTGCATATGAACCACCACCCGCTCACCCCTCACCCCGTCCCCGTCCCCGCTTCCTCAGGGCTCGTGTGGGCGCCCGGGCCCGCCAGGAGGTGGCCAAGTGGGACTGGCGCGCCGCCACGCTCCACCTCCTCAACGTGCAGTACCCGCTAGCCATGGCGGCGGCTGCAGTACAGTACGGCAGGGCGCTGGGGCAGGTGGCGGCGGAGGCGGCGGCGGGGGCCGTCCTGGCATCACAGCAGCAGGAACAGGCTGCTGCTGCACTTACAGCACAGGCGGCTTGAGGAGGAGGAGGAGGAGGAGGAGGAGGAAGGAAGCGGCGGTGCCGGCGTGAGAGGAGAAGCGCACCGGTACCGGTAGTTGCTGGCGGGCGTTGCATTGAGCGTTGGAGAGGCATGCATGGGTGCTTGGGGAGGCAGGAAAGGAGCAAAGGAGCGACGAAGATCTCAATGCATATGAGAGGGGCGTGTGGAAGTAGTGCTGCGTGCATCCCGGTGCAAGGGGCTGCGGTAGGCACGAGGCGGGGATGAAAGAAAGAGCGTGGAAGAAAGAGGGTGGAAGCAAGTAGGTAAAGGGAAGTCCAGCTATGGGAAGTCCTTGGGGCATGGGTTGCTGCTTGCTGGCGCGGTGGTTTTGTTCCTGGGTGTTCTTGCTTGGTGCAAAGGCTGTGCGGATGTGTCCTATGCAGGCTATGGTTGTGTGGGAATAGTGAAGTCCTTGGGGCCTGTGTGCTATTGCTTGCCAGAGCTTTCCGAGGGCTGTTGCACATGCATGCAACGTAGGATCAGATCGTCTAAACCGTATGGTTCGTCTAACCGTATGGTATATGCAATCGGCCGCGTGTGTTCTTTCTGCGTGTGTGTGGTGCATGTGCTAGGCAGTTGCCAAGCATGAGGGAGGTGATGAGTGGTAGTGCAAGCTGACCAGCTCACCGCTTCCCCTGCTTGTGTTATATCTCGTATGTATGTGGGTTACTCCCAGCGAAACATGCATGCATCTAAATGGAGCGAAACGCCGAGAAGACCGTAATATTTGGTCAAAAGCCTGCGCTGCGGGCTGTCTGCAACGGCAGGCGCCTGGCAGGCAATAAGTATTTTCCGAGGGTTAGGAGACAACCAAAGGTTATTACAGAGGAGAAGAAAAAGCGTGTGCGCATGTGACGAACTTGATGATGAAGGTGCTGGCCATGCAAGGAGCCCCGTGAGGTCTTACCGTACACATGTTGAGGAGGAGCATGTGTGTGCTGTGCGTTTTCTTACGGAAACATTTAAAGGTTTAAGCTGGTTTCGGAGCAAATTGCTGCTGGAGATCTTAGCAAGAGAGAGCAGGAGGGGACGGGGATCCGGCACACATTTATGTTGCATCCGTGGCAGGGGCGTAAGCCCCTATTGCCGAGATCTTGCAGTGCGTTGTACCTCATGACATACGTCAGCAATGATCACCTCGCTGTGTATGGCCGTCATTGACGTTCGTAGCCGTCATCGCCTTTCCGGGCCTGTCCTAACACCTTATGGCCTCATGCTGCTCGGGGGATAATGGGATAAGGGATAAGACACGGCTCCGCCAGGGGGATGTCCTTCGCTTGCTGTGGTAAGGTGTGACCAGCAAGGGAACGCTTGCCGGCATCTTTGTCCGTTGCTCGCTCGGAAGGGCACAGCCAGCCAGCATATCGGCTTCCCCGATGCACATTCAGATCCTGGGGGTACCGGTAACCACTTTGGCAGGTTGCGCCTCGCCGCCTTCAGGTAACGCATGGACCGTAACGAGATTAACGGTGTGAATAGCTGCATAGACGTAACTGTACACACCTGGTACCGTATCCTTATTTGGCGTCTCCAGAGCAAAATGGTCCCCGTTTCTGCCGTCGGGTTAGAGGTATGCCACGCCCTACTCTGGGCGACCCGCGGGTCCGTTCTAAGCAATGGTCACCCTTTGGGACCCCGTCAGACTCACCGCCAATACCGATCTGGCAAAATATTTTTGCGTGGGGCGTTTGTGCTGGCAAGCACGGGGCACCTGCGGGCCTATCGAGATGCACATCGTGGACACAACGTTCACTCGGAACCCACACACAATTACAGCATTTAGCTTTTTTTCACCGCGCCTTACCTTAATAGCATGGTATTTCGGACCGAGTGCCAGAAGGTTAAAATATAAGGCTAGAATCATTACAACATAAGCGTCGCGTAAGGTACTTGATGGGCTTACACATTAACTAGGGTAACTTCAAATGCATTGTTGTATGTTGTGATAGAAAGTGTTAGCGGGCCTGTTACCTGACAGGGTCTGGCCTGATACCTGACGCAAAAAGTTAATGCGGCAGGATTTTAAATACGGCGTTCGTACGTCCTGTGGACATAAATCGCCCGACGGGCAATATTAGGGTAGGCAGGCTTTGTTTCGCCTCCGTATATACGTTTACTTATCAAAATGCAGTGCCTCGCTAGCAACGGACTTCGGGCGCAAGCCATCACCCGCGCTCGTCGCTCGCACGCGCCAGCTGTGGGCAGGAGGACCGTTGTTCGTGTCGCAAATGTTGCAGCTGTACCCGAGGCGCCTGCTGCGGATCGCTTTAAGCGGAAGCCGGTGAGGAGTAAGGAGATGTTTGTGCGATTCAGCTCGTGTGTACCATCGACGACCTACCTTTGAATTCCCTAATCTTTGCTTAGTAAATAAACATGACTATGTGTGCATGGAAGGTTGTGGCCGCTTACGGATGATATAGGAACTTGAGGCTGCATGGGCAAAACCCTCGGCGGCTGCCATACGTCGCTATCGTGGCTAGCAACACCAACATTTGTGTTCTGTGTCGTCTATATGCAGGATGGCTCCTTTGACCTTTCGGCCCCTCCGCCGTTCTCCCTGGCTGACTTGCGTGCTGCCATTCCCGCGCACTGCTGGGAGAAGAACTTGTTCAAGTCGATGGCCTACCTGGCCCTAGACGTTGGCGTTGTGTTTGGTTTGGCCGCCGTCGCCTACACTGTTGACGAGTGGTGGGTAACGCATTAACGCTTAATGAGCGGCTGTCGTCTCAACCAGGGCGTGTGAATTCTATCCTGGCAGCTTACAGACTTGCATATGCCTAATGAAATGCAGGTGGCTGTGGCCGATGTACTGGCTTGCCCAGGGGACCATGTTCTGGGCGCTGTTCGTGGTTGGCCATGACTGGTAGGTGTGGACGACGGCTTCGTCCGTCGTCAACCTGCATTCATTATGCCTCAGTTCTGCGTTCATCACGACAACGCATAGCAACTCCTTGTCTGTGCACTCGCCTGGGAAACGCCAAGTCGGGCTGTTCTGGGTATCAAGCAGCTGCCTCTAGCTCAGTCGCGATAGGCATTGCACTTTCTCACCTTCTCCGGGTCTGGAGTGATCGGGGTCCCGCCCAGCCTCATTAACCATGCAAACAGACACCCTTTGCCTCGTGCCCCTTCACGAAATCTGATGCCAGCATGACGCCTCCCCCGTTCTCTGTTCCATAGCGGCCACCAGAGCTTCTCCAACAACAAGGCGCTGAACGACTTTATCGGCAACATCACGCACGCGTCCATCCTGGTGCCGTACCACGGCTGGCGCATCAGCCACCGCACCCACCACGCCAACCACGGCCACGTGGAGAACGACGAGTCCTGGTACCCGGTCACCAAGAGCATGTACGACAAGCTGGTGAGTTGGGGACTTGGGTTTCCTTGATGCAGGTGTCAGGTGATATTCCCTCTTGAGATAGGCGCCCAGGCCTAGTACCGGTACATCCTGGCTAGAGAGCTATAAACGGGATTTGGGTCGCAACCAGAGGAGTTCTTGTTCTAGCTTGCAGCCAGTACACGGCTGCTCAAGGGGGGCTGGCTAGTAAAGGGCCAGGGACACTAAATGTTGATCTGGGTCGCCGCTGTGGGATCTGGGTCGGCGCCTAAACGGAAGCTCCTCATCAAAGCATGCACTTCCTCGGTCTTCAGTAGAAGGCAGCATAGCGCTTTGGGCCTGCCTACTGCAATCTCCCCAGGACCATAACCCCATTTGGGTCGGGCAGGTTAGGCCCCCAAAATTCCAACCCCTCTGCTTCCTTTCCCTGCACAGGAGCCCATGTCCCGCATCGGCCGCCTGTCGCTGCCCTGGGCCCTCTTCGCCTACCCCTTCTACCTGTGGAAGCGCAGCCCCGGCAAGACTGGCAGCCACTACGACCCTAACTGCGACCTCTTCAAGCCCTCGGAGCGCAACGACGTGAGTGTTGCCGGCTAGCACGTAGCGGTGCATGTGCAGGCACCCTTTACACCGCGAACTGCAACTTGCGCAGCGGAATAGGGTCGACTTGCACAGTTCCCGTCGGCATCCTCCCAAGCACCCTTCTTGCTTCCAATGCCATACCTTTCCTCTTTGCGCCCCCAGGTCCTGACCACCGATGCCTACATGGTCGGTATGCTGGCTGTGCTGGCCGCCTGCACCATCAAGCTGGGCCCGCTTGCCATGATCAACCTGTACGTGCTGCCGTACTGGATCAACGTGGTGTGGCTGGACGTGGTGACCTACCTGCACCACCACGGCCCCCACGACCTCAAGGAGAAGATGCCCTGGTACCGTGGAGAGGTGGGGCTTGGGGGTACGGGGCCGGGCTGCAGGCGACTGGGGTTACTGGGGGATCGCCGGTTCGTGCGGTTCGAGCCAGCACGAGGTTGGGTCCCAAAACTCAGTATGTTTTCCATGTGGGTCACGCGCGTCACCGGTAGCTCGACATGTTTGCTGATGCTTCCCCTGCCGCCATCCCGCCATTGCCCTCTCTTAGGAGTGGAGCTACCTGCGCGGCGGCCTGAGCACTCTGGACCGCGACTACGGCATCTTCAACAAGATCCACCACGACATTGGAACCCACGTGGTGCACCACCTCTTCCCGCAGGTGCGTGCCGTACCGGTGCCTCTTGTGTGCAGCAGGAAGCTAAGCGACCTAGGCCTGTCATGAGGTCAAGTGTGTTGCTTGATAATAACGGGCGTCGACCCAAATCGCAGAATGGCCATACCGCATCAACCAACTCACTCCTGTTGTCGCAACCGAACCCATTACGCAACGCAGATCCCCCACTACAACCTGTGTGAGGCCACCGAGGCCGTGAAGCCGGTCATGGGCCCCTACTACCGTGAGCCCGTCAAGTCGCCCGGCCCCATCCCCACCCACCTGATCGAGCCGCTCGTCCGCTCCTTTGGCAACGACCACTTTGTGGCTGACCAGGGCAACATCGTCTTCTACGAGACGGACCCCAAGTTCAACAAGTAATGAGGAGGTCTCAGGCAATTGAGCGGCTGGATTGTGATGTGAGTTTTGCGGGTGGGTTGCATATGAGAGGAATGGTGGATTCGGCCAGCAAGAAACCTGGTATGGTAATGTGAATCAGTTGTCGACTTTTGGGGGCGGGCTTCGCGTTATGGCTGATGGAAGAGGTGGATGCGTGGGGCGGAGTACGGGTGGTGAAGAATTATCCTAAGTTCATCTGGGTTTGCTTTGGGTATTCGGATGCAGGCAATGCGCGGAGTGGATGATGCCTGCTGGCCTTATTTGCTGTTCGCAGCTGTTGTGTGCTTGGTTCTTGTGGGAAAGGAGGGCGCATCTGAGTTTGCATGTGTGTGTTTGGCGCATGTGTTTTGGCATCCATCGCCCGTGCTGCGAGGCTCGTGGCTTGGGAAGAGGATGCGGCAGGTTTTGCCTGGGTTCGGCATATGTGTGTAGTCTGCGCGCGGGCGTGCTATCTACTCCTTGTGAGAGTGGCGCAGTGTCCGACTGGTGTCTGGCCGTTCGGACGTCCCGAGAGAGAAAGTGAGCGAGGGTGTTGGATGGGTTTTGTGGATGAGTGAGGTGGGGCTCTTTCGAACACAATGAGCGCTTTCCCTCTGTCGCAGAAGAATCAGTATGCGCTTATCATGACAGCATGCCATGTTGGCTGGGCTGCCGTGGCTGATGCAGCGCGCTTCACGTGACTTGAACGGGAATCATCATTATGATTATAAGCAATGCCTCGTGTCCTTGCATAACGTAACCGGTTGAAATCCCCAGTGTTTCTTGTCCGTGTGGATTCCGTTGCCGTGTTTGGCTTTATTGACGTGTGAGACGAGTGCCAGAGAGAAGCGGACACTGTTGTCCTTGGTGGGTGTGCGGTGTGCTTGGGTTTGTGATTAGGATTTAATTTGGGATTGTTTCCCGGTACGTGTTTTGCTGCACGAATGTGTTAACAGAGTTCTCTTAGTTGGAATTCTCCATATCTCAGCCTTTCCAAGCTTGCAATCAATGCCAGCGGTGTCATGCCCTTTCTTCCGTTTACATAGGCCGTGGACGGTGTTCAGAAGTGTGATGCAGACTTTGTTGTTGGTGTGGAATGCTTGGAAGTTAAGAAAAGAAGGATTGTGGTTGTTACAAAAAATCACTGTTAGTGCACTTCTAGACACTGATGGCACTCGTCGTACGCCGAACATAGCATGCCTCTTTGGAGTGTGTAAAAGTCTCGATGCAACCCATCCCTCTTCATCATACCTGGCAGGAATGAACCAGGAGGATCACAACTGTAGACATTAGCGACGGCGAGCATACGTAGTGGCAACTAGGAAGCCGGTCAGGATGAGACATACTCCGTCGTTGCGGTAGACCACCTCACCAGGCCTGCATGCTTAGTCATCGGTCATCATCGCTGTGTAAGCCGCTTAATCGTGTTTGTTGACTCCCCAGGAATGTGAAGATGGATGCCTCCCGATTAGACTGCCATCAAGCTTGAAGTCATCACCATCATACCATCAGCGCTCCGCTTCTTTTCTTTCGTGTCATGCGTTATCTTCTTTAACCTTCATCACCACAGCATGCCGGGGAGCCCTTACCGGAGCGAACCTGCGGGGCGGGCAGCTGAGGAGCTGCATGAGACAAACAATCCCTCTTTCCACGGAGAATACGGCTGCGATGGCACTCAACAGAACCCGCGTGTACGACATGACCAAAATAGGCGCCTTACAACTATTACGGAAGCAGCCTCTCATGCAACCAATGAACGGGGGCATCCCTGGGACGTCATAACAACCAAACAACGCTCAAAGCTGCTATTAAATTGCAACTTTAACAGCAGCGACCCAACACCTAACCCAGGTAAAAGAGCCTAACCTGCTCCCCTCTTTTCATCTGCACGGAAGGCCAAGCCACAACAAACAAGGAACCGGCCATCATGCGGCAAACCATGTACGAAAGGGGGCACACGTCACTTCCCAGCCCCCACGCCCGCAACAAAAGCTCAACCTGCAACCTCATAAACTACACGACAAGCAGTGCAGACGAGGCAAGGCACTTTCGTCCTTATTCCTCCGCTTACATCCGACGCGTTGCCCCTGGGGCTAGGGCCGAAACAGCATGCGGGTTTAACCGCTACTGCTCAGCTGCTTATTCCCTGCATGGGCAGCAGGGCAAATGGCAATATAGCTGAGACAACCTTGCGTGGCAGGGGTTGACGTGGTAACCTAACGCAACCGACAACCTCCGGTTGCCTTCCCATGCCCGCAACACCTGGTCCACATGCCGCACCTGTCCCCCGGCGAGCGGCTCCTCGCGTCCACAGAGCGCCCGCGCTCCCGACCGCTGTCACGTCGCCCGGTGTCCACTGACCGATCCCGGCCGCGATCGTCCCGTGGGTCACGGTCCGCCTCGATGCGGCCACCATTGTTGGGCGGCGGCATGGAGCGACTGCGGCTCGCAGACCTGGGGCGCATGCATGCGTTGGGGAAGGGCATTGGATGTACATGAGAGGCGCATGCACGTATGCAGTGGGTAAATGTACAGGAGGGAACTAATGGGGTCAGAAACCACAGGATCGTATGTCAGTAGGTGCTGCTGTTTTGATTCTACCCATCCGCACCTGTCTCGCCGCGGGCTGCGCCGGGGCGACCGGCTGCGCCCCCGTCGTGGGCTGCGGCTGTGGCGGCGGCTGTCCCGGTCCCGCTCCCGGTCCCGGTAGTCGCGGTCCCGGTCGCGATCGCGGTAATCGCGATCACGGTCCCGATCACGATAGTCCCGGTCCCGACCTGTGCGCATGGCGCGCGTGCGTATGGGTACAACGTGAGCGGAACAGCATGTGGCTGTGTAGCAGCTTTCATGCACAGGAAACAAGCCTACCAGGCCTTACTAAGCGCAGAAAGTGTTCTGGCCAAAGGCATAGGTCTAAGGTTCAAGAGCGTAACAACATATGATCGATGCAGATTTTTGCATGCATGCACAGTTGCACACACTCACGCGCTAGAATGCACACATGCAGAGACCCCCAATCGCTTCCACCGACACAAACCCACCGTAGTCGCTATCGCGGTGGCTCCGGTCGCGGTCACGGACTCTGTCGTATCCACCACGGCTGCTGCCGTACCCACCGCCTCCGCTCCGGAACCCGCCGCTACCGCCGTTGCGGTAGTCCTCAGGCCGCTTGCGCCCGTGCTGTGCAAACTGCACTGAAATCACGCGGCCTGCAAGCGTTGAGCCGTCTAGTGAGTGGCGAGCCTCTTCCGCGTCCTTGGCGTCCGAAAATTCCACAAAGCCTAGGCCGCGGGGCTCCCTAGGGAAGGCGGGGCATGGCAGGGAATGGATGGTCAAGGCCGGCAATGCAGGTAGCACATTTTTCAAGACCCTGCAGGATGAAGGCCGTGGACACGGGCCTGCGGTGAGTTTGCAGTGAAAGAGGTGGCAGCGGTGGCATTATACACAGATGCCGGGTGCGGGTGTTACTCCGGGAGCATACACGCTTGCTTCAGTACTGGTAGAGTCCCGTGAAAAGGGAAAAGGATACTAACCGCACCCGCTATGAAAGTCCTTGGGTATATAGATATCGCGTATAGGCCCATAGCGCTCAGCGCAGTGTCGAAGGTCGTCAGCCCTGCGTAAGGAATTGTAGGCAGCGACGCAACGCTGTTTGTCAAGGTGGCCGCCACAGACCAAAAGAACAGGTCCAAATGCCTTACGTTGTTGTCTTCGACAAGTTTCGAAATAGCAGGGAGGTCCTCAGGTCTCTTTCTCTCCGCACGCCAGAGGGTCGGCCTCGGGGAGAATAGGACCGTGAGCGGCTCCGAGAGCGTGAACGCGGCATGATGCCTGTTATTTAAAGCTTTGTGTACATGAGTCACAACTATAGGTTTCTTTGGCTACTTTCCTGGGTCGCCAATTAAGTTCGTTGTAATGGATTCCATACGGCGTACAAGCCCGATGTTGAGTACCGGAGGCAAAAAAGCATAACCCATTGTACGTTAAAATGTCCTCTGAAATATGCTTTTCGACCAGTTACTGACCTGGTCGGGTGGGAAGTGTGTAGGTCCAACCATGCAGCCGTTGCTTAAGTCGCTGTCGAATGCCGAAAGGAAAGTTTGTTTTGTTCTATCCTTCTATCAGACACGTCTCGTAGCAAACTGTCTACAGGGATTCAGCGCTTAGGGTGGCTATATATGCGTCGATACCAACGTGAGCGAAGCGCAAGCGGGGAACAACAGATCACTGGGAATAGTTTTCTGGCAGGGTTACCAGAAGGCGTTATGTCATACGGTGTTGTGCCTGCTGGTCGCTCCGTGTTAGACGGGTCAGCCCTTCATCGCCCAACTGATGACCCGGAGCGGCAGGGTCTTCTTCCGGTAAGGGGGAAGGAACCACTTAGCCCGGGCTGGGAGTTTACGCAGTTAATCAAACGCTAGCATCGCGCATAATTCGGCTGAAGTGCCCGAACCGGCTGTTGCTGCCTCAAGCCACTCCCGGCCTCGGCGATGTCACGACGCATGCTACTTGTCGCGTCTGCATGTGCAAGCCCCTAGCCGATATAACTTCTAGTTACCCGGGAGCCGATCCATTGGCCACGAAACTGTCATGCCATATCACATGTCCAATTGCTGGCAATCACAACTGAGCTCCCGCAGCCACTTGCGCGGCCAACGGGCCCACTAATACTGCCTGGTCCTTGACATAGCTGATATTTCGCCAAGTTACCGTGGTACCCACCCATCCATCCACCCGTTTATCCATACAGAAAAGCAGCGGGCTCAATGGCAGCTTCAATGTCGGCCAGCGCTCAGCCCTCAGCCACGACGGTGACAGCTGCGAGCTTGATGAGGAGGACCTAAACGCAGCCGCCTCCGGCAGCTCACCTGGCGGGCTGCGGCGGCGCGGAGGTGGCAGCGGCGGAGGCCGGGGCCGGTCGTACAAAGCGTACGAAAGCCTGGATTATGAGGAGTACGACGACACGGTGTATCGTGCGGACCAGGCGGCCAGCTCCTCACTAGACAGCCTGCTGTACAGCGCCAACAAGTACCTGGTGTGCTTTGCAGTGGGTGGGTGGAACTGGGAGAGTTGGAGGGCGGGGATAGACCTGGGAGGGTCCGGGAAGGGCCGGGCCCAATCGTTCGGGTGGAGCGAAGAGGAGGACGAGGGGTCTCACTCTTGGTCCGAAGCCATGTAGTTAGGGCGGGAGGACGTGGTATGTGCTCCGCACCGTTGGATGCCACACCCCTCCCACACCCCGCCTGCATCTCGCCCTCCGCCTCTCGCCACCTCATTACCGTACAGGCGTGGTGACCGCCCTAGCAGCCTTCGCGGTCAACGTGAGCGTGGAGAACATAAGCGGCTTCAAGTTCTGGGCCACGCTGTCGGTCATGCAGCGCGGTAGCGTGCTGGGCTCCTTCCTGGCCTACACCGCAATGAACGCGGCACTGGTGACGGCCAGTGTGGCGGTCACGCTGTATGTGGGGCCTGCAGCGGCGGGGTCGGGCATACCAGATGTGAAGGTAGGGCGGAGAGTGGGGTGGGTTGAGGAGTGGGGTGTTAAGGGAGCTGGCAGGGAGGAGGAAGGTACTAGACTGTCGGGTTGGGGTGCAGCGCGGGATGCCGAGGGGTGTGCTGGAGGGGGGTGCGGGTCGGGCTTGCCGGGCGTGTTGGGGTGCGGGAAGTGGGTCGGGGCGAAGCGAGGAGCAAGGGTGCTAAGTGCAGATGAGGCGAGGAGTGTGGGGTGAAGCGAGAAGTTGGGTATGGGAGGAGGTGGCTTGTGAAGGATTGGCGGAACGGACGCCTCTTTCCAGGTGTACGTCACCTCTAGGACGACGGTCTTGTGTGTTGTGTGTTTGCGTGGTGGCTTCCATGCTGCCCTTTTTGCCCCCCCACCCCCCGCCCCCCGCATGGGCTTGTCAGCTAGTTTACCACTATCACACCACACATTGGATATTCTTCTTTCCCCCGGCCCCCCCCGCCCCCCGCATGCAGGCCTACCTGAACGGTGTGGACGTGCCGTACATCTTCCACCTGAACACCCTGGTGGCCAAGGTGCTGGGCGCGGTGGGCAGCGTGGCGGGGGGGCTGGCGATCGGGAAGGAGGGGCCGTTCGTGCACGCGGGGGCGGCCATTGCGGCCATCGTTAGCCAGGTAAGGAGGCGCTGCGCGGGTTGCGGCTTGGCTTGGCTTGGGTTGGTCGGCTTAGCGGTGGTGGTGGCTGGATGGTGGTGGGGGGGGGGGGGGGGAGCTGGTGTGGGTGGGATGTGCGCGGGATGGCAAAGGGGATGGTGTGTGGTGCTTAGGAGCATATGGGGCGGTGGGCTTTTGCCTTTGGTTGTCACTGCTCTTGCGGTGTGGCTACGGTAGGTGCGAGGACCTGCAGTGAGACGAAGCAAGCTGTTGTACGTCACCAGCACCCCCATTTCCCTCTCTCCCTTCCCCATGCTCTTGAGCCTATCCGCCTCCCCTTCCCTGACCTCCGCCTCCTCTCCCTATTGCCTCCTCTGCCCTCACATGCGTCTTGTTCCTCTGACTCTCTCTCACCCCTCCTGATATCCATGCTATGGTCTTTAATCCTCCTCCTCCTCTTCCTCCTCCTCACCTCCAGGGTGGCTCCGGCTCCGTGCGCCTGGACTGGATGCGCCACTTCTGGAACGACCGCGACCGCTACGACCTGGTGGCGTGCGGCGCGGCGGCGGGTGTGGCGGCGGCCTTCCGCTCCCCCGTGGGCGGTGTGCTGTTCGCGCTGGAGGAGATGACCAGCTGGTGGAAGAACCAGATGCTGTGGCTGGCGTTCTTCACCACGGCGGGTGAGAGGTGGCGGGGGGGGGTGCGGTGCGGGGTGAGGTGAGACGGAACCCACGGACCCCTAGAGGATGGTCGAGGCAGGGCTGCTGAGTGCAGAAAGATGCACCGTGCATCTGGGCCCTGCAGGAGTCCTTGTCTGCCCTCTTTTCCCTCGCCATTCCACCTCCTCCCCCCACCTGCCCACTTTCTTATCCTGCCTGCCTCCCTGCCTCCCTCCCCCAGTCGTGTCAGTGGCCATCCGCGTGCTTATGAAGGCCTGCAACGCCAAGGGCTGCGGCTTCTTCGGCAGCGGCGGCTTCATCTACTTTGAGATCCACGAGGGGCAGGACACCTACGAGTTCTTCGAGCTGCTGCCCATGCTGCTGCTGGGGGTGCTGGGGGGGCTGCTGGGGTCAGGTGAGGGTGCATGGTGGGGGGTGCCGGGTACGACAGGGGGGCTGGGGTACTGCAGGGGGGCGGGTACAGCAGGGAAGCGGGTAGGAATCCTGGGGCGCACTGGACACGGAAGCAGAGACGCAGTGTGTCGGTGTGTATAACACACTCGCGGGCCGCGGACAGCGTTGGGTGGCTGCCCTACCGGAACCCGCACAGCATGGACACCGCTGCATGCTGCTCCGTCTCCATCTGCCCCCTCCCATCCCATACCAGCCACCACCATCCGCACGCTCCCTCCCACCACCACCACCACACCTGCGCCCTGACCTGCTCCCCCCCCCAGCACTCTGTATTGTGGCACTCTGCCGCCTCCTATCCCCATTGCTTTGCCCTAACCAGTGGTTTCCTATGATTAAGTATGGTCTTTACCCCCATGTAGGCTTCATTGCCATGAACGCGCGACTCAGCGCCTGGCGTAAGCGCCACTTGGCCCCGCTGGGTCCGCGCGGGCGGCTGCTGGAGGGGCTGGCCATCAGCGTCCTCACCAGTGCGCTGTCCTTCGTGGTGCCGCTGCTGGTGGCGTGTACGGCATGTCCGGCGGGGGGCACCGGGGAGGAGCACCCCTGCCCGCGGCCGCAGCACATGTACTCGGGCAACTACGTGAGCTTTGGATGCAGGTGGGGGCGGGGAAGGGAGGAGTGGATACCCAGTCGTGTATGGGTGATGTCTGATGACCTATCTTGAGGTCGTGCTCATCCATCTGTTTCTCTCCTGCTCTTTCCATCCGGCCTGCCTCCACTCCCCGCCTGCCCGCACAGCTCTCCCGCCCCCACATCCACCCCACCCCAATCCCCGCCCACCTCCCCCACCCCAACCCCCGCCCTCCTTCCCCACCCCCGCCCTCCTTCCCCACCCCAGAAACCGCGGCTCCTACAACGACCTAGCCACGCTTTTCTTCAACACGCAGGATGACGCCATTCGGAACCTCTTTTCCGGAACCAAGCGGGAATACACGGTGAGGGCTGCTGCTCCTTGTTTCACTTAGCCGGTATGACCCATGGGTCGCGAGGTTAAGGCGCAAAGTAGCCATTGTCCAACTTGCCCTGGCCACGCCTTCTCCTCAAACTTGTTCTCATGGGCATGCATGCTGTGGCGCCCCACCCTCCTCCCTTCCGCCAAACCCTCTCCGCTTCTCACACCCCCGTAAGTTAGTTGTTGCCTCTTTACCCCACCCCCACTCGTTGACTCGTTGTTTCACTTATATAATTTTTTTACCCCACCCCCGCAGGTCTCGGGGCTGCTCATCTTCACCACCATCTTCTACTTCCTGGCGGTGCTCACGTACGGCATACACGCGCCCACCGGCCTCTTCGTACCCAGCATCCTGTGCGGTGCAGCGTACGGCCGACTGGTGAGGACTGGGGAGCTGAGCGCTGAGGAGTTGTGGGGGAAGTAGGAGCCGCCAGTCGCCATGGCATCACGCACTGGCCTGGTCCCTTCCTGGTTCCTTCCACCTCCCTCCCAGTTGCTGCACTTCTTCCTTATACTCTTACCTCCCTCCTCCTCCTCCCTCCTCCTCCTCCCTCCTCCTGCCCTCCCCCAGGTGGGTATCTTCGTGGCCGACATGCACCCCACCCACCAGATCGACGAGGGCACCTACGCGCTGCTGGGCGCCGCCTCCTTCCTGGGGGGCGCCATGCGGCTGACGGTGTGCACGTGCGTTATGCTGCTGGAGCTGACCAACAACCTGGCGCTGCTGCCGCTCATCATGCTGGTGCTGCTGGTGGCGAAGGTAGGGGGGAGGAGCAGGAGGGGGAGGAGAAGGAGGAGGGGTTGAGGGCCAGTGGGGAAAGGAAGAGGTGACCGGAGGAAAGGGCGGCGGTGGTGGTGGTGGTGTACATGGCCTACACAGGCCTGGCTGCAGGTGTGGAAGCAGGGTACCGTGCTGTTCTCGCCGCCTTCCGCGTGCGCCTCCAGACCCATGGCCTGACCTTGACCCTGACCCCCTGGCCTCCTGGCCCCCGCTCCCTCCCTGCCCTAACCTGTAGTTTTGACATCTGTGCTTCCCCCCCTCCCTCTCCCCAGGCCGTGGGTGACGGCACGGGCATGCAGCCGGTGTACGAGGTGCAGATGGCGGCCAAGGGACTGCCCTTCCTGCAGCCGCAGCCCGAGGCCTTCATGCGCCACATTACGGCCAAGGAGTGCTGCGGCAGGCCGCCCGTCACCTTCAACAGGGTGGAAAAGGTGGGGGATCTCCCGCCTCTCCTGCCCCGCTCCTCTCAGCCGTTTCCCCCTTCGCTTCTCTTCTCACATGTGGTCGTCATGCTCCTGCCTTCATCCTCCTGCCTTCACCCTCCCGCCTTCACCCCATTCTGCCTTCATCCTCCTCTCCTGCCTTCACCCCCTTGCCTTCATCCTCCTCCCGCCCAGGTTCGCTCCGTGGTAGAGACGCTGCGCTCCACCCCGCACAACGGCTTCCCTGTCATGGGGCGCAGCAGCGAGGGCGAGCGGCTGATCTGCGGGGTGGTGTTGCGGCAGCAGCTGCTCACGCTGCTGGCCACCGGCGGCCGCAGCATGCAGGCCAGCCCCGCGGTGTCATCGGACCTGAGCGGCCGGGCAGCGCTGTCGTACAGGTGGGGTGTGCAGGGATGGAGGAGGTAGGGAGGTGGTGGTAGGGTGGCGTAGAAAACACCTCGTGCTGCTATTGTGGCCGTTTCGTTGTATACTTCAGTGAATACCGGTATGTGTTGCGATTAACCTCAATAACTTAACTCCACCGCTCTTCTCCCCCCCCCGGCCAGTGTTCCCGAGTTCTCCAAGCCCATGTCGGACCCCGCGCCCCGCTGCGACGAGGGCGTGCTGGCCCCGGGGGCGCTGAGCGAGGAGACGCTGGAGATGTACCTGGACCTTGGGCCCTTCCTCAACACCTCATACCATGTGGTGCAGGTGGGCGAACCTAGCATGGGAGGGAGCGTGTAGGGCAACTGAGAGCGGGAGGCGGTGTCATTTGATACGGTGGTTGCAGAGGAAAGGGCGATGTGGGGTGAGGTGTGGTGCTTGCATGTGGGGTCCAGAGGCGGCTGGTTCTTGCAGGTATCGTCCCCTTTCTAGTTAATGTGGCAGGTTAACGCGGCTTGCTCCCCTGATTGCTTGCCCTCCTCAGGAGGACGCCCCGCTATCCAAGGTGTATCAGCTGCTGCGGACGCTAGGGCTCAGACACATATGCGTCGTTCCCAGGTGCGGAAACTGCGGACTCTTGACAGGAGGAGTAGGTCTGTCATGTGTTTGGCAGGGACTCCACGCTCCGCAGTGGAGTGCGGACTCCTTGCCAAACACTGAAACACATGACAGACTTGCCCCTCCTCTTACTCTTACCGGGTCACTCACTGGGCGTTATAGGACCTTAACTTAATATACAATAGGAGCGTAATTCTTACCACCCTAGGACTCAGCTAAACTTCCTCAAACTCAAATGGAGCGGACCAGCGGGAGCTGCAGCGGAGCTAAACCTGGAGAACCAGCATATGCACCGCATGCAGCGCACGAGGCAGAGATAGGCTTGAACCAAACCGCTAGCATACCGGGTAGCATTAGATCGACTCCCCTCGGGGGGTGGCAGATCCATGCTGACCTAGGACGCTGTAGCGTAAGGTTGCAATGCCTTGCCACTGGAAAGCACAAAGGAGGAAGTAGAACTGGAGCCCAACAGGGCGAGGTAGCGCAGATGCGAAATGGCGGCAAGTCAGAAGCAAAGGAGAACCGGCAAGCTCAAGGCAGGCGCATACGAACAACGAACGTAATTGTTTTCCTTCTTCTCGTGGCTGGAGCGGCAGCGGCTACAGTAGCACATGCCGGCGGTCTTCCCCAATACTCTCGCTTTCAGGTCATAGCAACTCGGAATGATAAGAGCAACAATCCGACAAACATCTCGTTCGTAAATTATCCTAAGGAGGAGGGCTACGCGGCTACGCTCGCAACGATAAATATACAGACATCATGGCGGGCTAGACCCACAGAACGGGCAAGCAACGAATTCGAAGATAACATATCAATCTCCCTCAAGGACGTTGCTGTAAGAGCCAAGCAAAGCGAAACGGTAAAAGTAAGCAGACCACCACCTGGCCCGCCAGGCGCTGCGCCCAACAGCACAGTTCCCGAGCCAAGTGTCTCCATTGAAAAACGACAGCCAGTCTCTCACTGGATACAATGGTGTGTAAGCAAGGAGTGCAAAAGGCCAGACAACCCACAACCGAAGCTCCCATCCACCAGGTTGCAACACCGTCTCTTTCACCCCGTGATAGGAGGCACAATCTCTGCATTCTCTTGGGTTCGTAAACGTATCTCAGTCGCAGCAATATCCATGTTCAATGCGCTTGCGATTGCGACATGGGCAAGCTGCGGCTTAACCGCTGCAGTTGGCACGGCACGTCTCGCTTACACCGTAACACTGTCCGTATGCAGGTATCCCTGCAAACATAAGCGGAGAAGGCTCTCACGACTCATTCACTTCATCAACTGCCTGCAAACAGCAAGCTGCACTGCACTGACGTCATATATACCGCTGGTCACAGTGGCATGGCTAAGCGTAATCCCCCTGAAGTCTACAGCCCTACTCCTCAGTACCGTAGGACTCCTGTACTACCTAAGACTAGCTCTACAACAAGCTGCCCTCCAGTATGTAACGCTTGTAAATGTAGTAGCACACACCCTAACACAGACACTCCTACAATCGCTGACATGGACCTACCAAAGACCACAACTTGCAGTCATGGCAATCATAGCAATAGCAACACAGTTTTACTCCATTCCCAACCCATCATACGCGTGCGTCATTCAAGCGACGAGCCTTACCTGCATCATGGGGCCACTAATTGAAAACTGGATCCGCTGTAACCCTCAGCAAGCCCTAATCGTACCCATATGTACGACAATGTGCATAGGTGTACTGCTGAATGAGCCGTGCACGGCACTGCTCCTCACATTCGCTCCCACCCTCCTTAGTGGTTACGGCGCCACTCCCGCCCTCACGCTCGACATGACCCTTATGTTAGGCTTCGGCGCGGCAATGGGCTGCATACAGAAACCCACACTGGAAAACGCCGCACTAATAGCCATTCTCCCATGGATAATGACGCAAAGCCTGCGACTCGCGAGACCACGCGTGCCAGCTACCCATACCACCCCGCCACGACATGCAAAAGGCACCTCCCATACCGCTCCGGAACACGACCACACCCAGCTGGGAGGTGACGACGAAGACACCGCAACAGCGGCCCCTACACCCAGCAACGAACGCAATAAAGCTACCTGGCCCCCACAAACGCACGAAAGAGAAGGCCCACCATCCTATCATGAAAAACAGTACCGCCAATTCTGCATGATACACGCTATCAACAACCTCGTAGGCTGGCGGCTCTTGGACTACGCGCACGTTGTGCTGTACTGTGAGACCATGCGAAAACACATGCGAACAACAGCAACACCAGAGGCTCTAGCAACATGGGAGCACAGCTACGGGGGGGACGCAGGCAGCTACTCAACAATGATCGTGAACCACTACCTACGACACAACGTCCGACTAAACGGACACCAAAACGCACCACTACCGACCCCATACCTGGCATCCTGCTCCACAGGCGTCACCCTTCGCACCAACTCCAGATTGAGCGACGCGATAGCCCAGCTACCGGAAGAAGCGAAGGACCTGGGATTCATTGTCCACCTCCTGAACCACGCCGTCGCGGTAAAGAGATGCGGCAACAGCTGGTATTTCATAGACTCCATGCAGTCAGCCCCCGTCCGCCTAGGAGAAACATGGGAAAAACAAGACGGCGCAGTATACTACCTAAGGAATACTGATGTTCTAACCCTCAACGTCATCCATGTGGCCATCCGGCACATCCAACCACCCCACAACTGGGCCCGGCAACGCCAAGAAACCCGAGCTGCCCGCAATGAAGCACCGCCCGCCCCACACAACCCTGCAGTACAACGAACAGCGGTTCAAGAAGCGAACCCCCAAATAAGAACATACGCGCAAGCCGCTCGAGAAGGACTGAACGCAGAACCCCGAGCTGCTGCCCCAAGGAGGCAAACAAGGCCAAACCACACGAGTACAACCGGCATACCCGCTAGGAACAACAGAAGCGCAAAACGGCCCAAACCACACACCATCCTGGAGGCGTGGGCACGCGCAGCCAAACGGCGGGCAACAGAAACAGCGCCAGAACCTCTGCAAGCCCAACCCACAGAGGAAACTATGGAAGAACCAGGAGCGGACAATCCGAACCTAATCCACGACCAGACAACCAATCCTAACAACCACAGGCCCCAGACAGAAGCCAACGAAGATCCGCCCTGTCTCCCAAACGAGAGGCCACCCACCACCCTGGAAAACCCAGAACACCGTACCCCTCCTGAAAATAGCACGCAACCAAATGAGCCCGCACAACCTCAAAGCCGACACCAATACCTGCACGTCGTAACTCACAACGTCAGAGGACTAAGCGCCAACCTACAAAACACCCTCTGTAACATGGAAAACTGGGATGCGGATATCCTCATCTTTACGGAAACGAAGCTGGGAAGCCGAACTAGATGGCTAATGCAAACCGTAAAGAAACACCTCAAAGGGTACCGCACGTACACAAGCAACAAGCCCTGGGAAGGAAAGCCGAGCAATCGGTCAGCAGGGGTTCTTCTAGCAGTCTCAGGACGGTTTGGCAAACGCGGGACAACCACGATACACCAAACTCCAGTCAAGCTCCGTGGATACGTCAGCCACTGTACCCTGGCCCCGCCGCGTAGCATCCCACTGCACGTCATAGGGGTGTACTGCCCGGAAGACCTACATGTGCGGGAACTGATATACGAATACTGTACAGCTGCACTACGAGAGGCAGAAGCACGCAAGGAGCACCTCATAATAGGGGGAGACTATAACGCCGTCTTGCAACCTCAGGACAGAACAACTGGGACCAACGACACAGCTGACCGGCGACACCAAGAATTTGCCCAGCAAGTAGGCCTGGAGCCCTGCAACCCGCTCACGGGCGCTGCGCGCCCAGCCTCATATCGACAAATACATGAAGGAGTGACCAAACATGAAAGTCGTATCGACGACATCCTACTCAGCAAAACCCTACGCACAACAACACGAGCTGCAGAAGCAGCAGGGTCAACATGCGCCTACGAAACCGTCTCTACCCCAGGAGGTAGCTTCGACCATAACCCGGTCCATGCCAGGATTCCAATAAGCCTCCTGAGACTGTACGACAGCCCCGCAGCTACCGACCCAACAACCAATCAAGCCGCAAACCCGGAGGGGAACGCCTGGCAAAGCGTCATCCTCCCCATTCCTGCCGCCACGATTCTTCGTGCTACAGCTCGCATGGCAGCAGAACTAACCACCTCCATCGCCAACCTTGAAGAACAGATGTCGGGCGCTGTGATAGCCATAAACGCCGCCGTTGCGAAGCTAGGGGAGGACACCCCAGCATGCCGAGCAGCCGACGTGACCACGGGTCTTCGAAGCCAGCCTGAAATAGCGGGAGTGGACATAGACAACTTAGCCCAAACGTTTGAAAATGACATCCTGCAAAAGGCGCTAAGCATCCTTTATGAGGAATGTGAGAAGAAGCCCCCCCGCACAGGCAAGCGCCACCCCCCCAGGGTAATCACACGGCAAGTCAGGAAACTACATAAGGAACACAGGAGCCTTAAGCAGGAACTCGAGGCAAACCTGGGCCGCACTACGCAACAACACGACAGGCCCCCCACAACAAGCCCCCACATGCCCGACACCCAGGAGACCAACCCAATCAACACTGGCAGCACGCACACGGAGACAGAGGCCACCCCAAACGACACCAGTCCGAACACGGCAGCCTCCACACCCAGTAGCATCGACATGCTAAAAGCAGCCATCAAAACGAAAGGAGACGAACTCCGTCGCCTCATTAAGGCAGTTACCCGCAAACAGGTAGACAAGGCAAAACAAAGATTCCAACGCCTCATGGCAACACAACCAAAGAAAGCTCGGAAAACAATATTCAATAACTCGGACCAAGAAAGAGGCACCCCAGCGATCCTCCACCCCGCCACTGGACAATTATGCACCGAGCCCAACACCATCTTAGCATCCCTACACCACTACTTCAAGGAGCAGGCTGCCCCGGTAAACGGCCCCAAAACTGGCAAATTCCTCCCCAGCGACGCACCGAGAACATACCCATGGC